GTGTACAAACTCATAAAAATGAAAAAAGCGAAAAATATTCCCTTAGCCTCAGTCTGACTTCAAATCATAGAGAAAATGATTTCATAGGGTATAGGGCTCATAGGAGAGTGTTAGTCATCCATGCACCGAACCAGTTTGGTGCAGGTCAGCGCGACACCTGGAAGACTCTGGAAGATCATTTCAGCCATATGGACATGTGTTCACAGCATGTAATCTGTCAGAATCTCTATGTGCTGCACATGAAGGATGCCACAGATGCTTCCAACTATGTTGGGCAGCACTCCATCTTTTGTGAGCGTCTGCTTTGCATGGGTGCCATATACACAGATGCTGAAGCAGTCTTTCAGCTACTTCACAGACTTCCTCACTCTGGCACTTGGCCACAATTCAAGGCACTCATGATCATCACCCTTCCGACCATAATTCCAACTGCAGCTGCTGCGACTACTGCAACCAGTGCTGCTGCTACAGCATCCATCGTCCCAGCTCCTTCAGTGTTCAACATTTGTGTCTCACGGATTTCAGCAGAAGCTGCGAGAGTGATTGATGAGAGAGTGTTAGCAGGGGGAGTTCCCGGCTCAGAGTACACCAATGCAGTGACTTCTTCATCTTCTGGGACAATCCCAAGCAGAAATGCAAACTCCATTATGGGACTTCATAAGCATAGACACAATCTGGATGGAATATTCTGCACTACCATTGGGTGCAACAAGGGGGACCATGACCACACACATTGCTATGCAAAAGGTGGCAGGATGGAAGGTCAAGCACTGTGGATGAAGCACAAAAAGAAAGACAAGGAGACTGCAGCTGTCATGATCGCACCCATGCCTACACCTACCGCTCCATCTCCCACGATAGCATCTTTCATGGGCATAGGATCAGCAGCAGATACCTTTCTAGCAGACCTCTCATGTGCATCCATCACTGATGTACCAGGCGAAGACATGGCTCCCACAGATACTGCAACACTATCCTATCTTGTTGCTGCAGGCTTCAACACAATTCTAGACTCAGGAATGACTACAACACTAATCCGCAACAAGTCATACTTCTGGTCTTACTCCACCGCAGATGCTGTTACAGTCCGCATGGCGAATCACGGAAGCCTGTCCACCTCAGGTCAAGGTGACTGTATGGCAATCCTCTCCATCGGAGGCACCAAATGTTGTGTGCAACTCTCGAACTGCTTACACGTGCCGTCAGCAATGTTGAACCTGCTGTCAGTAGGCTGGATGTTGAGCACGGGATGGGACTGTGTATTTTGAGCTTCACTTCCTTGCTGCGAGCTAGTCTATTGAGGAACTGAATTAGGTGCAATTCCCATGGCAAACAATCTGTGCTATGTGAATTTGGAGTTTCTCCCCGTGCCCATGAACCAGTCTTCGTCACTCATGCCCAACATATCACATGCCCACCCTAGACTTGTGGCATGCACGGCTTGGACACATTGGTGGAGAGTCCATTCATTGTCTCCCTCTCTTTGCGACAGGCACAACAGTATCCGCTGGTTCAATCTTATCCAAATGTGAGTCGTACATCATGGGAAAGCACCCACATCATCCCCACCCTCCATCAGAATCTGCTCGAGCATCTCAATTCCTCGATCTTGTTCATGCTGATCTGTGCAGCCCCATTCCCATTGTTACCCCCCACAATAAGCGATACTTCATTGTTTTTCTTGATGATCACACAAATATCCTGAATCTCCAACTCCTAGCCACAAAGGATCAGGCTCTGGATGCTTGGTGTTTGGTATGTGCTCGTTGGGAGAATCAGTTGGGACTATGAGTGAAGGTCTTTCGCTCTGACAACGGAGGTGAGTTCCTGAATGCAATGTTCACTAAGGAACTCAAATCAGCTAGAATTGTGCGACAATTGTCAGCCCCTTATGCACATCAACAGAATGGCAAAGCAGAGAGAGTGATACGCACCATTGAAAGGTCGTATGTACACAATGTTGGATCATGCTCGTCTGCCTCGCAACCTATGGGGTGAAGCCGCCCTTTGCACTGCTTATCTTTTCAACCGGACCAAATCACGCTCCCTTCCACCTGGTGTCACGCCCTATGAACAGTTACATGGTTTGAAGCTGAATGTCGAGCATCTCTGAGTATTTGGTGCGCATTCCTGCTGAGTTGCAGGAGAAGTTGGGACCTAGGTCACATGAAGCGGTATTTATGGGATATCTGCCAGGTGTCAAGGCCTGGCATTGTCGAGATTCTGTCACAGGCTCTTTCTTCAACTCACGAGACATCATATTTGACGAGTCCTTCTCTAGTCGCAGCTTCCCCGCTGTTGATAGCGACAATGACGACGATGATGTCAGCACACACTCATCAGTCCCTACAGCCTCTGTTCATACTCCTCTCATTGCGCCAGCACCTCCTCCCCAATCTCTTCCTGCACAATGTTCCGGACACACTCAAAATCCCACTGTGTGGAAGACAATATCATGAGCAGCTTGCTAATGATGCAGCTCACCTCTGTCGTCAGAGGGACTTAAGACAAGCTTGCATTCAAGGTGTTCCTCCATCAGATGATCCTGATGCCCCCGTGCCTCATATTCTCATCCTGCCTTGTCCTGCCCTTCTACCAGCTCCTACTCATCCTCTCGCTGATAACAATGATAGCGATGAAACAAGCATCGGTCCAGACCCTGAGACAGTAGGTTTTCCACACACGCTGGCCAATCTCATTGTTGCGGAGCAAGCTTGCCTTTCAATCCGCAGCGACTCTCGCCGCAACCCACAAACACCTGGCTTTAATATGAAGATCCCACTGAACACTTATGATGAAGCAATGTGTCGTTCCAATCAGGATTCATGGTTAGCAGCCATGAAATGTGAGATGAACCTGATGTCGGAAATGAATGTCTACGAGCTGGTCCCACTACTGGAGAATCGACAAGAAATCAGTTGTCATTGGGTACTTGAGTTCAAAGAGGATCAGAAGGGGGGATCAGTCTACAAGGCGCATCTAGTAGCTCAAGGTTTTTCCCAAGTGCCAGGCATAGACTTCAGGAAAATGTTTGCACCCATTGCCAAAGCTGCCTCCATTTGCATTATCTCTGCACTATCTGCACGCAACAACTGGGAACTTGACATGTTTGACGCCAAACATGCCTTTTTGTGGGGGAAACTCACAGAAGACATTTACATGTGTCAACCCCCGGGTTTCGAATACTTCACGCCCAACATTGGGTCACTTGTTTGCCACCTTCTCTCGTCTTTGTATGGGCTGAAACAGGCAGCTTACAATTGGTATGAACTTTTTCACAAAGTCCTCACTCATTTGGGTTTTCTGCATGTCGAAGCTGATTACGCTGTTTTCGTCTATGATCACACCAATGGCGAGGGGGAACACATCATTTGCATCATCGCCTGGCATGTTGACGACAGACTCGCAGCTGCTAGCGACTGTCCCTTCCTTGTGTGGATTAAGGGCCAAATAGCGCAGAGATTTGGCATTACCAATCTTGGTCCGGTGTCCAAGCACCTCGGCATCCAGTTTGAACCCAATCACACAACGTGCGAGCTGTGGATGCACCAGACGGACTATATCAACTATCTGCTCAAAGAGCATGGCATGATTGGTTGCAACTCAGTCACACCACCTATGGACCCTCATTTTCCCTTCGGCCGTGAAACCAACATCCATCCCCATATTGACAGCCTCACTACTGAGTACTGGAAACTTGTTGGCGAATTACTTTACCTTGCAATGTACACTCGTCCCGACATCGCTATTGCCATCATGAAGTTAGCTCAGCACAACAGTTCCCTGGAGCATTGTCATTATGCAGCAGCCAAGCATGTCTTATGTTTCCTGGCAGGCACTGTTGTCCTTTGCACACACTATGGGGGTGTGACCGCCCTCGCTGACCTCCATGGTTTCAGTGATTTGGACTGGGCAAGTTGCCTGGAAGATTGCATATCCATCACAGGCTACGTCTAGTTCTTCAATGGCGGGCCAGTTTCTCACTCGTCAAAGAAGCAACTCACTCACGTGTTGTCATCCACCAAGGCTGAGTACATGGCCTTGACAGCCATGATTCAGGATGGGCTTTGGCTCGCATCATTTTTTGAATGCTTGAAGATTCCCTTGACTCTCCCCCTCCACCTGTTCACAGACAATGCCGGGGCTATTGCCCTATCCGAGGAAGCAGCAAATCATGTCTGCACAAAACACATTGATCTGCAATATCACTTCATTTGCGCGCACATAGAGGACGGCACCTTCAAACCTGAGTGGCTCTCCACTCACAAGAATGTCACCGACATCTTCACTAAGTGCTTGCCTCGTCCCCTCCACCTTCGGCACCAAGCAGGCTTATCCCTCGTGTTGCATTAAGTGTCAACAATGCATTGTTGTGGGGATGTGTTGAGTTTTTGACAACATCATGTCATCGTCTAGCATCATCGCATAGCATATTTCCTTATTCTGTTTCATCATGTGTATCAGTACTTGAACCTTTCCGCTTCGTTCTCTCATACCTCAGTTGTTCTCTCCAGACACTGAGGTATGTTTTCTACTTTCTCGTTATCTCGCCATGTCTTACGATAGAACCTCTAGTGTGTTCATTCATTAGGTAATTGCAATATTAGTTGTTCTCTCCAGACACTGAGCATGTTTGTTTGTTAGCTTCAACACTTACCTCAGTTGCATACTCGTAGTGTAGCGGAATGAGGTGTCAGTAACTTGAACTTGTCTGTATGTACTCACATGATTAAGTAAGCTGTACTCACCATATCCCCGACTCCCACATTAGTGGAGGAGGGCTTAGTCGAACACAAAAATCACCCTCTCACTACCGTTCTCTGCACATGGATTTTTCCGACTTCCTGTATGTCTCCGTGATTTGTTGTTGGCTCCTGTCATCGCGGCACCCCATCTTGATATTTGATACTTCATGAACAATTCTAAAATTTTCCGTCTACCTCCCCTCCTTCTTTGATAAGGTGCGTATTTATTGGGTGTCCTTTGGGCATTGTCGCTTAATGTCTCAGATGGTTGACATTAGTGCACTGTATGCCACTGTGGTCAGCAATGATCCTGCGTGGTTTTTCTATCCCGAAGACCATTATTCAATATCCCTTTCTGAATTGGCTGCATCCGTTGTCGTAGAGGCGGCTCGTCAACTTCCTTCGGCCTTTGTCCCGAAGAAGCGCACCCATTTTGAATCCATCAAATCCATTCTGTTGCACTTCTCTTGTTTACGTGCCGAGTTGGGTGCTGTATCTGACGAGGCTCTGTTTGCTCATTATACCAAGTTTATCAAATGTCCATTACCCTCTGTGTCTCGTCTGTGCCTCATCTCTGCCTACATTGAGATGCTTTATAGAGAAGTCATCGCAGCTGCCCTGCGCTGACCATATAATGATTTACTTCCTGATTCAGATCATACCTTGAACCTCGAACCTGACCAGACCCTGAACCCCGAACCAGATTATACCCTGAACCACGAACCAGACCATGATAATACTCTGAAACGTGACCATTGCGTCAGTCATCAATCGTTGTCGTGGGCTTTGCTACCTGCAAAAGAGCTGGTGCAGCGTCTGGAAAAGCTCAATCGTTCTGACATTGTCAGATGTACTTATTGCAGTTGACCGACCCCTTCATTACGACCAAATGTGTTGTTCAGTCTTTGTCCATCGAATTCATGTATGAGTGCAGCACCCTTGATGGACTTATGTTGGACACGTTCTTGGGGAGCGTTTGTTGCATTCATCGGGGCGACTGAATTTGGTATGGATCTGGAATACATTGATAACCGAGACCTAAGTACTTTGCAAGTCAATCATTTGTATGGTACTATACCCATTGTATGTTACTAGTTCCACATCAGCTTGGGCCGGACACTGAACCAAGAAAGGAGTCGGGGTTTTGGGTGCGTAGTCGCCAGTACCCATTTAGTAATAACAAACAAAAACAACAATGTTGAGCAAGGAACTGGAGTGGGAATATAACCAGTACCTCCAGGCAATGCTCATGACACTGCTGAAATTTATTAAATCTTTCACAGAAGTTACAGCCAGTGACTACAAAGGGGTGACCCACGTCTACTCAATTCACTCATGAAATTGGGGGTATTATAATCATTTCCAATAATTCCTTAATGTCAACATCATACAAACTTGGGACGGAAGGGTCCTGAAGGGCCGAACCATTTTCCGTCAACCTGCGGCGCAGCATAAGACACTCCGAGAGCCCCGTACAAACTGTTTCCGGAGACTCACCATGCGACTCCAGTAAACCCAAGGAAAAAGGTCCTAAGAATAGCACAGACAATAAGCCATGCCTTATTTTAGGAGCTACAGCTCCAATTGTACTCCGTACCTTTTTGAAGTGGTAGAATATTCTGAAGGATTTGGCAGGCTCAATGCAATGATACAAGTAGGAATCACAAAGGACAAACCTTCTCCGTTTTGTCTGATCGCCCAGGTAATTGGCGAAACTTTCTTTGGGTACAAGTCCATACTTGAACTCCGCTAGCATCAATTCCCCATACCCCGTCAGAAGCTAAAGTTAGAATTTGGTCAAGTGGATAACGTTGTAAGGAGGCGGACGGACCGGACAACTTGTATAGCCATCATACTTTGCATTGCTCACTTTGCCAGTGTCCATAACCGAAAATAAGTTTTCCGTCAAGACAGGAGCCTGAGATGTAATGGCGGCAACCGTTTTGCTCGTGGGTAGGGAGGAACAGTCACCCAAGGCAAATATGTTTCCAAACTCGGGTTTGACATGTCTGAGAGTTGCCTGATCGACTTCTACCCAACCCACTGGATCAGCAATGGGCGATCCTTTGATGAAGTCTAGCGGTCCCATCGGCGGCGCGACATGCAGGAGGGTGAAATCACGATCTACGGTCGAACCATCATCCTTCTTGAAAGTTGCCTTCCTGTTCGCAACATCAATAGAAACTAAGTTGTGTTGGAATTCTGCTCCGATACCCCGCTCGATGCGCAGAGCGTTTAGGGCATCCGAATACTTCTTGACGCTAAACATGGATGGCATGCCAGTCATGAAGTCTATTTTAATGTTATTTCCTCGGCCAGATTTTTGGTATCTATCCCAGGCCATCCACATGATTTTCTGCGGAGCTAGAAGACGATAAGTAGCCGCCATACATAGAGAAATTTGACATACCTCCTGCACATTTAATGATACCTGCAGGTTGGGTAAATATAGCATTTCCGGACCTGAGAGCATCTACGTCGTGCCAAACTTTGTCGCAGGTATCATAGGAATATATCGATGAGACTCCAGACGAAGGATCAGCGAGAGCCTGAGGCAACCCAGCGATGCCGTCCCAGTTTGTTTTCAAACCCGCTGCCACTACAAGTGAATCGTATGAAATTGTCCGACCTGACGTTGTCGTGACTGATGAGGATTCCGGATAGAATGACTTGACATTCTCTGCGATATGCGTGATATGCGGCGGGAATAGGGACGCGAGCGGTCGTCTGAAATCTGTTTTAGAGCCAAGACCAGCACCGGCTAAAGTCCTGGATGATACGTCAGGATTCGTATACAGAAACGAGGGATAAAAACCGTCACCAGCCGGGCTTGAAAGAAGGAGCCATCAAAAAGTAGCTCACACGAGTATGTTACAGTCTGATTATGAGTGCTTACTTGATAGTAGTGATAGTCTGCTGCGTCAAGGACCACTACATCTCCTGCATTCAAAGGCTTTCCAGCAGCCTTAAAGCGGTTATATATCTGGTTGGCAACCGTCAATCCACCAGAACCTGAAAATGCATCAATGTTAATTCAAAGGACTCCATCGACTGATGCACCTGCTCCGATAACAAGCACTCGGAATTTTTCCTTGGTGCTCGTACTGGCATGCCTAGCTAGAGCGACAGTTTGTCGAGCAAGCGGGCCTGTTACACGCCGGCACGCTGGCAACATGTTTGACATGATGATAGTGAAACAACAAGGCGAATACTCTGATTCTAGACTACTGATAAAGAATTTTAATATAGATCTTGCGCCCGCCGTTGGTGCCTGGTGTACGGCGAAGAAAACAATTACATAATTGATATGCCTGAATTCTGAAAAGGTTGCTCAATGTTGCTCGAGTTTTCCTCCCCGAGTACCTACATAGATTCGGGCTGTACTCGTTGGCGACAATAGCTCGGGGTGTTTCAATATTAATTAAGGAATTGATTTTGAAAGACTCGGAGAGTATAAACGCCAAATTCAAATTCAAATTTGATGCCAGACATGCTTACTAATATTTAATATTATGTAAGTGCTTCTTGTCTCCACACTCAACACAACGACGCTCCTTATTCTTATTTACCTCTCATCCAGCTGGACTGGACACTGTACATTAATATTCTTTTAATCTCTTTATTTTATCCTTCCGCACATCACAAGCTAGGTGACTCGCGCGCTGGTCGTCAATGCAATCGAATCGTCCTTCTCTACAGGCTGGAAAGCTCGGCTTGCCAAGTTCCCCCGCATGCACTCGTCTCAGGAGAGATGCCCCTTTTGTGGAAGGTCACTCACGAAACCAGAGCCAGCCCATTGTGTCCAATGCTACTCGCTCGTTGCGCTCTCATGGACCCTCAGTATCGGCTCCCGCCCAGGTATCCACTCGTCGTGCTGTAGGAGCCGCTCTTGGTTCTCGCTCCAACACGCGTGCAGGCAGCCGCGAGTCGAGCACCTCGGCTGGTTCCGAATCATCTGCTTCATCCTTCTCATTCCGGGACAGAATGAACAGTCAGTTGTCTTCGTCCACTAGCTTAGAAGAGTATCTTGAACCGCCAACAAAATCTACTGGACCCAATAAATCACTCAAGACCGATACGGACCAACATGAAGGTCTGTAATTTATGGTTTTATATTTTATTGTTTTGTTTATATTGCGATCTCAGACCCCGAGCGTGGTAGATATTTTTCAATATTGGAAAATGGTGATAGCATATGGAATCGTGTTGCTGCGGCTGCAAGTGTCTTGACAGTTAATGTCAATCAAGCATGGTATTCAAGAATCGGCGCTTCAGAGGAAGGTGGGTGCACATCAATCATGACTTTTCCCTGTCTTCTTAAGTTATGTATTGTAGAAACGGCACCTGGACGTGACTCGCATTTGACCCGCGTAATGAAAGCCTATCACCTTGCAAAGGCCCGTCATCCTTCAGATCTTCCTGACTGGCTCTTTGACGAACGCGAACGCAAGCCATCTCTCGGTTCTCGGTTCACACAGTCACAAAAAGGCGTATCATCTGATACTCAACCTATGCGCCCTGTAACGCCCCGTTATGTCTACGATAACGCGGCTCCTCGTGCGACACCAACAACCCATTCACACACCACATCCCACGTCCTTACTTCCCCAGAAAAGACAGGCTCATCAAAGGCTGCGGATCGCCTGAAGGCGTTCAGAGATGCAAAGCGAGCTGATTTGGGAGTGCGGCACGGTTCCTCCAAATCAGAGAGCTTGTCCTACTCTCCACCACGATTTCGTACCAACGTGGATGCATATCATAATGACAATCACCGGGGCGCATTGCCTTCTCCTACCAGACGGCCCCTACTGTCGGCGCAGCCGTCTCAACCAGGCGCATTCTGATTCAGTTGGCATGCCAGTCGTTCTCAATCTGGAAGCCAAACACGTATGGATAAACATTTCTCTATACTTCATGTACCTTCGGTGTCATACATGTATGCACGGGTGTTGTAGCGAACCTACTCAGTTGACTCGATGATTGCTTACATCATTTTGTTGAATACACGAATTTATTGGAACACCTAGATCTTATCTTATCGATTTTGTTATTGGTAAGTTCGTTCCAAATCAAATACCTAAAACTGACGAACGACAGCACTAGTGCGCTGATCTTGTCATTGGAAATTCACAGGTCTGACAAAATCATGAGACCGATGAAAACTCCATGAGTCATGCTCCACGCCGTTCTGTTGCTCGTGCCGCAGCGTGCGGTTTCCAGAGCGACCAGCTGACACCAAGACAACTCGTTTTTCAGGTGACGGAAACAAGATCTGCTGAACAATGTTTAATTACTTTCATTGCACTCAGGACATCAGAATAAGTTTTATCAAGCTAGACGTTCAAGGAAGCAGCTTATGGTGCATACAAACTACAGCTGTGTTGTGGATCGGCCAGAAAACTCATCGTCTATGTTTGCACGTCAGATCCGCCAAGTGACTCCAGTTGCAGGGCGGAAATAACCAGTTCCACCCCGTTGACAACGGACGATCTTCGATCGAAAATTGCCCACTCCGACTTCGAGTCGCTATGGTGAGTCCTGACACAAGGGCAAGACAGTCCTACTTAAACCTTGGCCCCTGAGTGTCAAGTCTCTCTTTACCTTTTCGACCTCTTCATCGACCCTCTTTCTTCTTTCTGTCGTCTTAGTCGAGTTCATTCTCGGCTCGCACACTTCGGGGTTCGTCCGTGACTTTTTTTGTAGCTTGAGCTAACCCTTACTGATGGTATAGATCACTCTCTTTGATAGAGCAGGACTTCACTACTCCTAGAAGGAGCACTACGTGCGCTCAGGTCGCCAGTAGTCTTTGAACAAGTATTTTTTCTGTTTGAAAATGGTTTTTATTGCGCCTTTCCTAAGCGCCGCAGCGATATGCACCACCCTGGTGGTGGCTGCTCCTCAACTTGATGACTTCCCTCGGCATGAATCACCTGCGTATGTGTTTTTTCCGCTCTGTTTGAGATTTTTCTCACTCAAATGGCAGTCCTGCCTCAATGGCCATACCCGCCATGGGCGCCATGGTCACCCCTCGCTCCGAAGGAGGTTCGTATGGTGATTCATCGGGAGGCTCATATTCATCAGGAAGCTCGTATGGCGATTCATCGGGAGGCTCACAAGGTGGAGTGTCACAGCAAGACGGGAAATACGGCGGTGGTGATGGCTGGGGCAATCAGGGTTACATGAACACGAGCACGACGATGGCCGCAACGTCTACCATGGAAGGTTATGGTGGTATGGGTGGCATACAAACGTCCACAAGTTATACCGACAGTGGCTACAACAGTACGGCCAGCATGAGCGAGTCCAGTACCACGTACAGCTCAGCGACGACTTCGACTCCCGACGCCACGTCGACTGCCATGAACACCTACTCCACACCCGCGTATGGATACAGCAGTATGACCAGCATGAGTGAGTCCAGTGCCATGTACAGCGTGGTTACAACTTCGACTGCCATGAACACCTACTCCACACCCGCATACGGCTCAGGCAGTTATGGAGGTGGCAGCGGTGGTTCAGGCTATCAAAGTTGCATGCAGAGTAAGTTTGCGCCAACTTTTGCCAGCGACGACATGCTAATACCTCTATTTAGTGTGTGCTGCATCTTACGGCGCTCCTACGATGGCATCCTCTACATGGTCCGCTCCCCCCGCCACGACTACCGCAGCGGGTAGTTCTGGTTGTACACACACCGTTATTGTTGCTCCTACCCAGGGCGTTTTGCGTTATGTGCCTTTCGCCATCAATGCGTCTGTTGGTGACACAATCGCATTTGTCTGGAATGCCAACAAACACACTGTTACGAAGTCATCCGAACTGGCGGTAAGTCTCTTCATGAATATTGATTTTGAATGAATATCTTAGATGCTTTTTAGATTTGTAATAAAACTTCGGACATGCCATTTTCTTCTGGGGTGCAGAATAAGAGCTTCGTTTGTACGTGTCTGGAGCCAGAAATTTGATGGAAAAACTAACCAGCGTCCTAGTCACCCAAACGGTCAACGACACCGATACAACATTCTTCTACTGTGGAGTTCCCGGACACTGTCAGAAAGGAATGTTCGGTATCTTGTACGGTTCTTTCTTATTTGACGTGACTAGTTATCTGAGTCGTAGCCTCAGAAACCCTCCCAATGCTCTAATGGGTAACACCTCATCAGTCTCCAGTATGATGCCTGTCATGGCTTCAAACGTGAGCATTGACTATTTTTTCTTTGATTCCCTAATCCCAATCGCCACCAGAGCTCGAACATGACTGCGATGGTTCAGTACACTCAGATGGCGACGGCGAACAATACCATGGCTGGCAATTGGGGTGGAAACATCGACATGAGTGGCATGCCTCCATCGTCCTACCAATACATGCTCGAAAATGTGATGTAAGTTTCTGATTTTTCTCTCGTGCCGCCTCACATGACCCTTACGCGTCTTGCACAAGGTATACGCGAACCTTTTTGGCCGCCAACCCCGAAGTTTTGTCGGAAGATGGCGTTATCGACCTGTCTAGCGCGGGAACTACACCACTCATAGTTCCAAATGACATTACCGCTGCCGCCGCCAATTCCTCTACATCTCCTGGATCCCCCACTTCCGGATCACCAACTTCAGGGGCTACTGGCAGCAGCAGCCCCTCAGCAGCCTCGACAGGTGGTGCCAAGAGCCTCGGCTCATCAAGCATTCTCGTCAGCGTTGTTGTTGTCGCCTCCCTTGCGTTCGCCATATGAACGTCCCATAGTGATTGGACTTGAAGTTGGCCACCTTTCTATTTTCTTTTACTTGTTCTCATGTGGCAGACTGTTCATCCTCTTACGTTGCGCTCCTCGCGAACTAGAGTGATGCTGTTCACTATGAGCTTTTTCCACCAGCCCGGCGCTGTGTTTTGTTTCGAACCGTACTTAAATCTGCTATCTTTGCATTAGCTTGCGTAGAGACACAGAAGTGAAGTAGTTGTAGAGAAGCTTGAATCCAAATGGAGTCGAACGATATCGTTTGAATACCATGAGAAATCGAAGTCCAGCTAAAAGCCGAATATATCGTCGATCTCGTCTCGTTTCTCCCTGACCTTCTTCGATCGTCCTTGGTCGGCAGGAGTAGATAATGTCTTTCGTTTTATCGCAAACTTGTCTTTTCGAGAGGATGATGTGGCAATGGCGACTTTTTCTACAACTAACAGTTCCGACTGATTAGATGCAATGTCGCAGACACGTCGTGAGGGAGATGGTAACATACCGACTGCAGCTTGCAAGTTTATGCTCCCAGATTTTTCCATAACGGCCCTAGCATCGACTTGTGTGGATGATGGTCGGTCAAGCGTCTCCTCTCTAGAAACAGCGGAACCAAAATCCTCCGGGGGAACATCTGGATTAACGGTATGAGCTGGCTGGTCACTCTGACGGGACAAGAGATGTTCCGACGTCTTGGAAGTGCTCGATTCAGCTACGAAACTCGGCTTGTGGGTCGGCTAGGAAATCACAGTGAGAATCAAATAGAAACTGGTAGAGATAGACCGATTTACGTCGATAACACTCAGTACGCGATCACAAGCAGTCTCGCAGTCTCGGACACGATCACCCATTTCAACCGACAAAGTTGCCATTCTTGAAGCAAGTCCGGCAAATAGTATGATTAGGTGAATGAATGCACCAGACTGCATTGCAAGGGAAAAATGGCTTTACCAAGCATTAAGCAATTAGATATTCACAGATTGCCAGGGACTTACTAATAAGCTTCTTGGAGTCGCTCAGACGTCTGTGAATGACCATCATTAGGGCTACGTGCAGTAGTACATGCTCACTCACTTTAAGTATCAAGCAAGAATAAGCCTTAAACCTTTCAGTCACGAAAGATACATACGACCGACTTGGGACGTGATTCCAAGACCCTCTCATCAATTTTTCGCTGCAAGTGCTCGATCACTTTATCTCATTCGCAAGCTAAATGAAATATCACACCTCTGAACAACAGTAGCACCATAGAATGATGCTCTAAGGAGATGCACATCCTCGACCATATTTACTTCTAGCAGCCGCCAACCATAACGTCTGATCTCCGAGATACGTTTGAAAAACAAAGCTGCTCGATGCTGATTTTTGCTTCTGTAGTAAAGCCTTTCAAGCACCTGCATTTCATCCTGGTAGCTGGCGAGAGCGGCTTGCAACCGACGTGAACATGCTTTCAGATCTTTGAGGATGCCGTCAACAGTAGGATGCAATGAATTCTCGAGGGAAGCCCTTTCTGAGAAAGAGGTGGCTGTTGGAGCACAACTGCGCGCACGTCGTGTATTCATTTCGAACCTAGGATTGTTTGGCAGATTTTTCTGAAGTCAGGTCCATCTGCAGTCGCCGGAAGCAAAATGGGAGTGACGGTATTACGTACTATACGTAGCGTTGACCAAGTAGTAAATAACTACCACTTCGGGTTCTTTATTCTTTAATCCATTGAGTAGCAATTACAACCAAATTACAACAGCTGCTCAGAGGACCAACTTGCGATGTCCACGCAACACGGTCAAGATGCCAAATTCTTCCAGCGCGGGAAGATCGAGGTACGGCACTCTCAGACGGGTCGCCGACTGGAACTCAGTGACGAACTTAATCATGTAGGAGTTTCGCGCTGAGCTGCAAGCAGCGGAGGCAAAGGATAAAAAGTTCCAGAAACGAAAGACCGTCCTGAAGAAGATTGTGGCAAACATCACGATGGGCAATGATAGTGAGTAGTCAAGAATCACGGTATCACTCGCTCATGTATATGCGGCATGTATCCCAGTGTCACCTCTATTTCACGACGTAATTCAATGCATAGGAACCCCGTTGTTAGAGATTAAGAAGAGTGAGTAGACATGTCCTTATGGTTCATATCATCCTGATGCCACTACAGTGGTATACCTTTTCCTTGTCAGCTATGGGCGCTCGAAACCAGATCAGATACACCTAGTAATTCCTAGTTTCCTACAGGTATTGAGTTCACATCTGTCGCGTCAGCCTCATTTCTCTAATGTGCTATAGGACTGCAACGATCGTAACCCTCTCATACGAGCACTCGCAATCCGAACAATGTCCTATATTCCCATACCTGTGGTCACAGAAGCACTCACTGATCAACTACGACATTGTCTCAAAGATCGCGATCCATATGTTCGCAAGACTGCTGCGATATGTGTAGCGAAGGTCTATACTGCTGACCCTCGCAAAGCCGAACGTAAAGGCTTCGTCGAACTTTTAAGAGACATGTTAATTGATGAGAATGCAACTGTGGTTTCAAACGCTGTGGCGGCATTATCGGAAATTGGAGATCGTCAAGACGGCGTCATATTCAAGCTCAACTTGACCATTGCAAACAAACTTCTCAGCGCATTAGGCGAGAGCTCTGAGTGCGTGTCTAGCCACTACTACTCTACAGAGACTGATGACTTGCTTTCAAGATGGGGTCAAATTTACATCCTTGATTCTTTGTTGCGTTATGTTCCAGAACAGCACGCAGACGCCGAAATGATGGCTGAACGTGTAATAGTGCAATTACAGCATGCCAATTCTGCCGTGGTGCTGACGACCATCAAAGTTCTGCTGTATTTGATGAATTACATGGGTGATCGCCGATTGATAGACTATATCTGCAGAAAGATGGGCCCTCCACTTGGTGAGTGCAATTCTGAGTTTCCTGGACTGCAGGAACTGACAGTTGAAGTTACATTACTTTCTTCTGGTCCTGAGGTTCAATACGTTGCCCTTCGAAATATCTTGTTGATCATTCAGCGGCGACCCACCGTTCTCAAGAACGATGTCAAGGCCTTCTTCTGCAAATACAACGATCCAATATATGTCAAGCTTGCCAAGCTTGAGATAATGTACCGCCTCGCTCGGGAAGAAAATGCCCGAGAAGTTCTAGCTGAGCTGGAAGAGTGTGTTAACATGTTATCTTGCGTCAACGTGCACTAAGCTGCTGCCTCAGATATGCTTCAGAGGTGGACGTTGATTTCGTCCGGAAGGCCGTCCGGTCGATAGGCCGTCTCGCCATCAAAGTAGAACCTGCTGCAGACAAGTGCATAGAATCATTACTCAAGCTCATCGAGACAAAAGTGACTTATGTCGTCCAAGAGGCAGTAATCGTCACCAAGGATATTTTCCGAAGGTACCCTGGGAAATACGAGGGCATAATTCCAAAAATTTGTGAGAACCTTGACGCACTAGATGAACCCGAGGCAAAAGCTGCCATGGTATGGATATTGGGGCAATTCGCAGACAAAATAGATAACGCCGAAGAACTCTTGGATGACCTCGTGTACAGCTTCCTGGATGAACCGGCTGAGGTGCGTATGGCTTCCTGTTTCACTCCCAAACTTCCTGAGATACCTCTGTCAGGTCCAACTCGCACATCTCACAGCCGTCGTAAAGCTTTTCATTTACAAGTCGCAATCTGAGGTTACGAAGGCGCTTGTTCACAAAGTATTAAAATGGGCAACGGAAGATATTGATAACCCTGACTTGCGAGATCGTGGTTTCATGTATTGGCGTATGCTCGCGATGAATCCGGCGGTGGCTGCAGAGATTGTGCTTGCAGAAAAGCCTGCGATCACGACTGATTCAGATCGCATGGATCGTGGGGCTCTTGACCAACTCTTACTGCATACTGGCACACTGGGAAGCATATACCACAAGAATCCAGAGGTGACAGCGTCTGACATTTTTATTCATCGCTTCCGACTCATGTGTGCGATTACAGACATTCATTCGAAACGCTGCGGGTAGAGCACTGATTGACAGCCCCGCGTTGAACACAAACTCTAGGGCGGTGCTCGTTTCCCTAGCGCGACCACAACTTCCACCGATGGCCATTAGCGTGTCAGGTCCTGGTCCTGTCGAACCTACGCGACCACCACAACCTAGTGAAGCAACAAACAATGTACCTCTACCGACTATTATGGAATCTTCACGGAGTGATGAACGAGATTTACTAGATGTCGAAGGTGATGATGGCGCGGGTGGCGACAGTGGAGAGGGGTACCCAGAAGGTGATGATGATGGCCCAGTCACCAAAGCCGCAGATCCATATGCTTCTTTGGGTGGTGCATTTGGTGGTTACGTGACGGATGTGCCACAACCTGTGACAGGCGGGAGTCGTGGTGGTGATCTGGACGACTTACTACTCTAACAGCTTTGCATTTTGTTTAATCGTTTATAAATCTGTATTGACACATGGATAAGGATCGATCGAGTACTCCGTACCCCTTCGAAACATGAATGGAGTATCGCGTATGTGAATCAAGAGAACGCGGACTGAATCCTGCCAGCCACTTGTGAAATGGTAGTCTTGGGCCGTAAAGAGTTATAGTGCTGAGGAAAGGATGATCAGTATGTCACATCTCTGATGAAGTATGGAAGCATACCTCCCCTAGCCCATACATTCTTCTATGGAAGCTGATACGAACTACCTTAGAAAACGACCGAGGTGACGGACCCGGGTTGTGTTCGACGATCCGGGGGACACCACCCTGCACGACGTGTATGGGAACATTATATACTCGACTGAGTGCCAGGATCTCTGGTTCTCCACCCCAAGTCCCGGTATCTTTGATCGACATGCAGTACTGCTCAAATTGCTGTGGAGTCATGAAGCCTGCACTTGTTGCTCCAACACCATCTTCGCCAAATGCGGATGGCAGGAAAGGTAGGAAGTCATCTGGGTGAGTGTAGATAAAGTTCGATGCAGCAGCGCGGACGGTGACGTAGTTGGCTTGATTGGGAGGAAGTATATTAAGGAGGGCTAGCTGGTCCGCTACGGCAGAGAAAAGACAATGACCATCTGGTGGTATCTGTTGACGAGCTTTTGGTGGGGTTCATTGATACTGACGAACGTCTTGCCTCACCTCGTGTGTCTGTACCCCAAGCTTGTCGCATGTCTCCTTTATTGATACCTCTTCTTCCTTTGCCTCTCTCTCTAGTCTTGCGCCTGCCACCGGATCAATTGGTGCGTGATTCTGAGCTAAGGCTGCTACCTTTCTCGCCTGCTAAATGTTAATGTGTGATTGACTAAGGGTCCGGAACATATATTCACCTGTCGTGCTTCATGTCGGCTCTTACTATCCTGCTTTTTCTTGGACGATCGAGCATTGTCTTGAACTGTATTCTCTTTATGTTCTTGAATCTCCAATAACACGGTAGCTGATTCTTGCTGTACAGTCTGGTTCCGGGAGTCGAGTTCCGCAAGCAGGTCATCTACGAGTTGATCGTTGTCCTCGGTTTGGGCCTGATCTGGTGTGCTGTTACGTGATGAAGAGACAAACTTCTTGATTTTGTTCTTTCTTGAACCTGCCATAGTTTCTTACTGTGCAGAGTAGAAGAGTGGAGCTTGCTGGTCACCGAAATCGATTACTCCAAGCAAGACCAAAGCAGGATTGGGATCTAATCTTATCTACTGTTGCCACTAAAATAGAAAAAATTACTGTATCAGATCTCCTACAGTGTAGCTGCACAGTAGATAGGTTACCACTCGCCTTCCTAACCTATTCACAGAAGAGTTGTCATATCCTGAGTGTACGGGAAGTGTGGTTAAGGAACATGTATGAGGCGTGCAATGATTATGCAAAAGAAACTCGGATGAATGCGGTACTACGAGAGTCAAGTCTTCCCACGCTCACCTCCTTCTCTCACTTCTAAGTTGTCTGAGTCGTCAAATCGACACCGTTCATCGTTTCGAGTGCACAGTTACACCCGCCTTTCGCTTCTTGTTGACACTGCAGTGCAAGACCACAGGACGTGCAGTGCTAGCACGTAGGACATATCGGGCAGAGCCGGCGAGGCTGGGAATCAGAATGGCGATTATGATGTACCCTCGATGCGTCAAACATATTAATGATGTCGAGGATAGGATAGCTGTTCACGCACGATGATCAACAGTACTGGGTTTTTCAGCAGGCTTGAACAAAGAAGCCAAGGCAGCTATTTGAAAGAAGGTCGGGCAACTTACCGTTGGGCTTATTATACCGGCGCGAGGCACTGAGAGAAGCGAACCTGCTTTCTACAACTATACTTAGGTCTACAGAGAATCTACGCTCACATTAACGTTGGCGGAGTCGTCCAATTAGAGAATAAACACACGTTGCTATATCAATGAAGCGTATCAGTCGATGAGGCCTAGGCTAGGCTCAAAAAAATAAGCATAGCCATTACAGTTGACGTTGAATCAGAATTCGATAGATCAACGAATACGCTGTACCGTGAATGCTGTAGTCACCTCAATATTAAAGTGCTGTAGGTGCACTGCCACAATTGATCCAACTTATGGCGAGTTGTCCTTACTAACCGATTTCCCTCGGTTCACTCTATCTGATCAGCTTTCTACCCAAGCAGGCGATTTTTGCTGCAGCCAGAATCTCTAAAGCCCTTCATTTATATTAAGCACGCGACATACCACACAACCTCTGTCATCCTTCAGACATATGGACACTCCTCCGATGTCCCTGACTTGCGCTCAGTGCGCTCGGAAGTTGGGTGATCTCGTGGCACAACTCCCTGTTAATGACATCGAAGAAACATGGAAAGAAGTCGAGTTGACCGCCCAACAATTAGCAAATGGCCTTCGTGTTCGAGATGGTCCTGGTGAGAGTGACATGTTTACATCGCAGCTCAGGGGAAATTTATGCGTTACCGACAGATGATAATCACACGATGTTGGGAAAAACTTTGTTACCCCAGAATCTCACTACTTTACTCAGCAGCGCGTTGAATGGTACCCTTATCCCGGATGCTAGTCGTACAGCACCTGTCTTCGAGATTCTTCGTGTTGGCGCGAACCTTTGCGTGGAGCATGGTGATTTTCGTTTCTCAACTACTTCTCGTAACAGTGTACTAAAAACGTGTTTAGACCAGAACCGGGGGCACCTCCTCGAGGCAGGTTTTCCCCAGGCCGTCGTATCTTTGCTTGAAGGCTACACAGACACTATTCCTGAGGAACCTCAGATGGATCCGTTTCCTATGTCTATTGCACATTTACAGGTTGTGAAGACTGCTGTAGGAGTCTTGCTGAATGCTACATTGACATATGGCATGTTGCATTCTTAAATTAATCACGGACAGATATTGACTTGTTCTCTAGAACCAGTGAGAAATCGTCTCATATCGCTGGAGGTTGCGAAGACAATTTTCCGGCTATCCACAGCCCTCTATCCTCCTGCCGCATGGATGAGAACCACCTCTAACCTTCATCTTCCTGACACATCTCCGACTGACATCACCTTTGACCGTATCGCCGAATCTTGGACCATAAGAGCCGGACTATCGAGTTGGGCAGGAAGGTTGATATCAGAACTTCAAGATGATGGTACAATTGTTTCCTGATGTCATGTTTAGGCCATTCTCAGGATCATTTTCTTCTAGTACACCCTCTGTTCTCCCAAGAAGTGTTGCCATATCTCGTCCAATCACTTATTGCCTTCACCCCACCACTCCTGGCTGCGCCCCCTCCCCCTCACTTCGCGCAACCTTCTCAACTACGGACCACTCTCATCAATACAGATTTTGACCTTCTCTCAGAATCATGCTCTCACCTCGAGTCATCAGCGCTTGACGTAGCGGACGTGCGTCTTTCGCTGGCACGCGGCTTTACATTTCCCGCGGAACATCATGACATTCCCTGTTTTTCCGCGATGCTCGATTTTGTTGAGAAGGGAAAATATCCTCCATTGTGGTATGTCCAGTCCGAGAATGGTCTCGAGGGCGGGGACATCAGTAAGAAAGAGAAGGCTTTCGATGATTGCAAGGCTGCCGTAATCAAGGCTGTCGTAGAAGTCTCTGGAGACGATAGGAATCTCGACTTACTGTGGGACGACTCAGATGATGCGCAGCCAGGAGGAGAGTTTGTGTCACGAATGGTCGACTGGATCAGAGCTTTTGTCAGTGGTGAGACTTCTGGCAATGGGAGAGATGACCTTGTAATTTGTGCCACTTTATCTCTGGGTAACATAACACGTGGAGGTAAGTAACATATAGTAATGTGGATGACTAGCTGACATTGGTTTAGAATCTCACTCAACGATTCTACTCTCTCAGCCACATGACATCGCCCGACTCCTGTCGTCGGACGCTCTGCTCGCTCCGTCTACTGACATCAAACTGAAGCATGGTGTCATTGGCCTATTAAAGCACTTGGCACAGTCCTCATCTCAGATGCCATTCAACCGTGCAGCTCTCAGCGCTGCTGGTGTCATACAGCTCATACTCAGGAGCGGCGTTTGGGATGACAGAAGCGATTTCATGCTTGAAATAGTCCAGGTGAATGCCATCGGTGCTATAAAGCATTTGTGCAACAACAGTGGTAAGCATTCATTTTTGACTTGCTTCTACGGCGATTCAAAACAATTGCCTCCTTGCAGTGGATAATTCTTGCAACTTCATATTGGAACCAGTGGATAGCCAAGACCCTCCTTCGACAGGTCTATCCCAGTTGCTTGCCCTTGTCAAGCGCTCCGACACAGTTGCGATCAAGAGCGAAGGTACACGGATCACCGTGAACCTGATCAGGTCGCTCTGGACGAACGAGCGTAGAGATGAACTAATCAGCGAGGAGGAGCTACGAGTCAGACAACAGAAGCGGGTGAAAGCCATGGATGCCTTGCTCACTGCAGCGTGCGCAGAAGCGCTGGCTGCCCTTATCGGAAGAAGCGCCAAGCATCTCATCCTTATTAATGAGGGCGTAGTGGCATCAAGTCTATTGAGCATGCACCGCGACGGAGGTGAGCGAGGCGAATTTCTAATGTTGACTGAAGACTGACTGATGTTGTTACATAGGTGCATTAGTTCTGAACGCTTTGACCACTCCACTGCCAGTAGAAGTGACGCCATCCTCGACGGGGTCCGCCCCAGTATCCACAACAGCTTCTACCAGCAGTGAAACGATGGACTCCCCGATCATCCTTTCTCCAACGGGCGCATCCAGTAAGATACCATCTGTTCGACATGCCCTTGATCAGCTCGTCGTCTCTTTAAAGAGCGAGTCCACTCCTGCCGAGGTTCGAACAAACATATGTGCGTTCTTTGGCCAGATCAGTAAACGTGGAACCGGAGACGGACTTCAGAGGCTGAAAGATGCCACAAGACCGATTCTCGAAGAGTTGGTCAGCGTTCACGGACAAAGTATGCTTGGGAGTGCCGCGAGGAAGGTGTTGGACATGTGGATATCGGAGTGAACTGTGCATGGAATATGAATGGAATGACAGATGTTGTCAATGTATTTTTGTGTGTTTTTAGACAGTATGAGACGTATGAGTTGCGTTGTCTGAGAAAATCGTTGCACGATCAAGAGTTGAGTTGTTGGGCAAGTACTGACTAGCAGATTCAGATGCAGAGCCCTTAAACCGACCTTAGTACAAGCTTATAGAGATGGGATCGTATCACTATCAGAAGATCAGAGGTGAGGAATGGCACGGCTGGCTTTCCTGCCTGTGTTGGTTTTGAACATGAAACGGGTGCCTGTCGCTTCGTGGATGGGGCTTTTCGCACCCTGTCCAGTCTGCTCAAAATTTCATTTCCGCAGTGTCTGTGAGTCACAATATTTGGCGTATAACTCAGATTTAATGTCTAGCTCCCGACTGCGCATGGCTGAGACGCATCAGGGCAGAGGTAAGCTGGGCAGCTGAGATGTCCTGAGGCCAGGAATTAATCGATGTCTCGGGGAGAAGAGGCCAAAAACCAGACTAGGCTGAAATACGAAGCATGGCATGTAATAGCTAGAATACGAGGCATGGAATACGAGGCATGGGATACGAGGCATGGAATATATTAATGAGACGTGCGGAAGAGTTCATATGTATAACGTCCTAGGACCAAAGCGCAAAGCATGTGGGATTGATGTATTTCAATATGCATACGAGGGATTATTTATTTTGAGTCTTGTAGAGGGGAGTCGGAGATAGAGTCGGGGATGCCAGTGGGAAGAAAGACTGTCACTGAACGTTCCTGGTTCGGCGTCTGCTTCGGTTCCTAGTTCGTCCAGGAGATGAAAGAGCGGTTTGTTTGACTGATCAATAGTAAGAATCGTAAAGCTCTTGGATTTTCATTCAGAAGAAAAAGACGTACCAGCGCCTGTCGAGTGGGGTGATGCTATATTTATCACCACGTACTGGCCAAGCGTATTGCCATTGAATACTACACTTTCGCGACCGTGGTCAACTGGGCCTAGCGGTCTCGCTAACGGACCTTGCGAGGATGTTGACTCTGCCGGTTGGGTGGCGACATATTCTAGTTTGGTTACGGCTTATTCAAAAGATTAGTAGATGACAAGTCGGACATGTGGAGAGCTCACTGGAACCATAACTGTTGCTCGAATTTATGTTGATCGTTACGCCTTCGGCGATGTAGTTATTTTGTATGGCGATGGCGTGGTTGTTTGGGTCTAGGGGTTGACCCGGTGAGGGTTTGTCATCAGCCATCATGGAAGTCTGACCGGGGGACAAGACTCAGTTGAAGTATGCAGGGGGTGGATGCTGTTGCAATTAAAGATGCTGGGGTGCAGATAACGTCGGTAAATGCAGTTTTATCTGCTCAGATAGTCACGACTGCTGCATGATCAAAAAAAACCTCAGAATGCACGGAAAGAATTACATGAGTGTGCAAAATTCAGCCAACACATGTATATCGACCGCTGCAGTCGAGTTGTTAATGTCGCAGTTATCCAAGGTATTAAAAAGACACGTAAACTGTATGCGACATCACCGCATCAAGGATTACAGTACCCTCCGGAGATTGGCAGAGAATACATGCATTCAGGAAGTCGTGACGACCATGGGCACGCGTATCAGCTCCAGTTTCCTCGTGTTTGTCATGAAGGTGGCTTATCGCGGATCTTGGATCCTGCCAGAAAGTTGTGTCAAAGTCCCCTAGCGATATGACGCTAGGGATGCGAGTCACCATAATATAGTCGTCCACACCCAAGTGCCCCACGACAGCTAGCACTCTCATGATGGGGAGTATATGTGAATTCCAAAGGTACGTTTTGACGGTCACTGTGACAAGAGTAGTCTCCTCCAGGTTGCGGTCACCGGATGATGTCGTATGCACCTCGAGGTTCTCGTGCGTTAACACGGCTAAGGTGTCCCCCATGAGGTTCTCGTGAGTCAAGAAGGTCGAGGTGTCCCCCATGATGTTCTCGTGAGTCAAGAAGGCGACGTGTTCCCCATGAGGTTCGCGTAAGTCAGAAAGGCGAGGGGTCTGAACCAAGAGGGTTGCATGCATGATGCATATCACGAGGAGAGCCTGGCACCTACCGGCGCGCGGTTGCAGATATCATGGGTATTGGTTTGGCAGCACCACGGGAGGTAAAACGGAAAGAAGATAGGGACAGTAGTAGAAGCTCAAGCAGCAGCTTCATATGTGAGGAGGACTGTAGAGAGAACCACCACGAAAAGAACAGAGAACGGATACGATCCATGACATTGCAAAATATGTCAATCGCTATGGCACAGTGCGTTGAAGTGCAAGAGGCTTTGGTTAGGAATCATGGTCGCATAATCCTAGAGTGTATTGGAGCGGAATGGGAGTCTCACTGGAAGCTACTGGTCGACACACTTTATAGTTCTACAACACGCGCTCGTGGATTTCATTTCGCGCCGGTGTTTGCGTTTTGCCGTGCCCGACTACACCGGTGTCTGTAGTTCCCGCTCTCCCCGGCGGTCCTCATTCCCAAAACTGATCGGACATTGCAGGGGCGTGTCAGTCTGTCAGAACATGCGCGAGAGGTATTACACAAAGTGCCTATAGCTGTTGTGGATTCTGCAATGCTTACATTTGCACTGCTATCTTTTTCTAGTAGTCTGAAGGCAAGCAACAACATGGGTGAGTTTGCTAATCTCTGCAGCATCCACTGCAGTGATTCGGACGCACTCGATCCATCATACAAAGAATTATTGTTGTCAAATACTACGCAACTCACACCAATAGAAGGTTATCGTTAACATATCGTCAATATTGATGCAATAAAACAAAATGATTCTACATAGAGTACACCACATGTCATGATCGTGACAATGCCTTTTGCGCCTCCTCACTTGCCTTCCGAGCACCTGCAAGCGCCGGCCGAGTGCCATGACCCATCATTCCTGCGGCGTGAGGTCGTTTCCCCTGCTTGGCATTGTTTGCAGCTGCTACGACGCGCAAGAGGTTGCCGGCACCTGAATGTTTCGTTGTCCGAAAAGTTCCAGGGGCTATCGCTCGTTCACGTTCAATGCGCTTAAGGAAAGGACTAGGTAAATTTTCTTCGTCAGAAAGGTCATATTCTGGGGGTACGGGGGGCGCTGTCTTTGTAGTCGTACAAGCATTTGTAGACTCTGTGCGCGAGGTTGTTGACTTCGAGGGTCGTGATGATGATGCGAATCCCGTAGGATCAGAGGCAGATGCCGGTAGAGTCGCAGTTCTCCGGAGAGGTGCCCGTCGAACAGATCCTCGAATAGACGGCTTGCGTAGACGTGTGGGGGGGACAACATTCGGGTCTCTTGATGACGAGGCTGAGGCAGTCATCTCGGGACTTGTTCGTTCTCGTTTCGACGGGGAAGGCGGCAAGTCGGTATAACCCTCCCCGTCTTCTGCTTCGGAGTTCTCAGCTCCCTCGTCAAAATCAAATATCTTGGCAAACTCGATATTCACTTTTGGTGATTTGACGAAAAGATTGACGAGCTGAGCTGGAGTAGGTGTTGCCAACGGTTCGCCAGTGTCTGTCAGGATGACACCTTTCATCGCTGAAAAGGGCACCAGAGGTTTGGCGGGACGGTTGATCGGCGTTTCGAGCGTCATGGTTGTGTTCATGAAGGAAACATCCTGCGACCGCCGTTGGGCAGACCGCAAGCGGCAGTCTTGAGTCATCTGTGTGAGAGGTACAAGAAGGTTTTTCACTTCTTCTAGGGGCGTCTTGTCTTTGGGTCCTACAGTTGGCGCAATCAGCAACTGGAAAGTGTGAAAAAACATAGTCTGAACCTTTAGCTTCGTTCGCAGCCTTCTCTTCCGCTGCTTTCAGCCTTACTTCTAGATCTTGCCTTGCTTCGTCCAGCTTGCCCTGCTCTGCCTCGAGCTCTTCTTCCCTCCCTCGAACCCAATTCACCCTGTCCTCTAGTTCCTTCATCATCCCTGCCCTTATCTCCTGCTCTCTTGTTGTCCACCACGCAAATAACTCCTGATCACGCTGGCGCACATGTTGTTCAAGCTCTTCCTCACGCAGCGCCATCACTTCCTCCATACGTTTTCGCACATCACGCAGCCGTTGTTCTGAGAGGGCCTCTGCCTGTCCCAAGAGCTCCCGGAGTCGGACGATTTCGTGATCTTTTTCAGATACAATGGATGTTAGCCGTGCTTCCCGTTCTGCGAGGGCTGCCTCGCGGGCAGCGACTTCCCGCTCTTTCGTAACAACCGCTACTTTGTGTGATTTCACTGTAGTGAGCCTGTAAAAGCCATTTAGAGTGATCCGTAAGTCCTGTAACAAAAAACTAACATCTTTTCAGTCTCTGAAACCTTGAAAACGAGCTCCAAGCGCTCGTGTTGGAGGAGCTGAGCTGCCGAAGGCCTCATCGCGGGCTGCAAAGAGATGTTGAATAAGCAATAGAACAGACAAGGACCGTAGTGTGCACCCCCGTATGATATGATTACTTACGTTAAGGTTCAACATTGCTTTGATAACACTTGACAGTGCCTGGCTGTACCCTTTCGGCAAGGGTGGTATTCGGCCGTTCCTACACGAGCGTGAGTTCAAATTTTTCTGCCGTGCGAGAGTGAGGCAATCTACAACTGACCGTATAAATATGCTCAACTCAGCGTGAGTCTTGGCTTCATGGAATGGCGGCTTCAGGGCGCACAGCTCGTATATGAGACAACCCAAAGACCAGATATCAGACTTGGAATCGTAGGCTCGTTCTTGCATCAGCTCAGGAGACATATAATATGGTGTCTGGTCTCCTGAATTAAGTCATGCAAGAGTCCCAGTCAAATAGCTTACCCCGACGTATGTGTTCGCAAAGTTTGCTTGGGATAGCGCTTTTGACAAGCCAAAGTCACCAAGCTTCACGGTATTTGATTGGTCCAGAAAGACTGCGCATGAAAGGGTGATGTGAAGTAAGAAATGATCTTAAAATGACATACCATTATCTGGCTTGAGGTCTCGGTGTAAAATCTGCGGCCGCTTGGCATCACCTTCAGACGTGCCACTACCTATTCGTCCATGGCTGCCAGGGTGATGGCAATAATGAAGCGCAAGCAAAATTTGCATGAAGTAGTTCCAAATCGTGTCCTCTGGTACGGGTCGGTTGTGCTTTTGCGCCTGCTTTATGACAGTAGATAAATCCCCTCCGCCACAATACTCCATGAGGATGTACAGGATGCCTGCATCTCGGTCAACGTGACGGTCGTGATATCGTACAATATGCTCGTGGTGCAGATCTTTCAGGATATTACTGAACAGCGATGAGTTGGTGCAGCAGAAATGAACTTGAACACTGACACTTCAGCAACAATTTGTTTTCTATCACGGTCGCTCATTCTCTCAAAGTTGAGCTCCTTTCTTGCAAGAATCTACCACAAAATATCAATTCTGACCTAGCGAAGTAGGGGTAACACCTGCAGACTTACCTGGCCATCCGACTTCCTTCTGACTTTACGAATAATTCCGAATGAACCATTGCCGATGATATCCAGAGGCTCGTACAGTTCTAGAAAGCTGCTCATGATGTTGCACAATGTGTGCGGTAAAGGTAGTGGTGTGATAAAACAACAAACTTCACAAGACTCAGTCGAAATATAAATTTGCCAAAAGGCGCGAGTGGGACTGCCACAACCTAAGTTAAGTTTGAACATGTCACGCGTATGGGTTATATTCATCATGTGACCGTGATTTTTGTCGTGTTGACCCAATCAACTTGACTTCATCGTATTGACGGTCCCGGTCTAGACTCTATCGACAGCATCCACAATTTCCATCTGATGTACATCGTACATGCACCAAACGTAGAGCTCTAGAGGCTGGCAATACCACGCACGCTCACTGGTAGGAAAAAGCTTACTAGTAGATTGTAAGTCATATTTCTCAAAAAATGCAGCGCTGGACAATTCTCAGAGAGTTCTAGGTCGACCCACGCTTAACTTGCTGTACATTAAAAGCTTGTTTCACATCAATCCATCTCTCAACGTCTGTTGACATCTCATTCAGCTGCGTGTGATTCATATCTAAACTCAGGCACCATGCAATCGCCGACTACCACTCATGAGTTATCTAGCCCTCCACCTTTGGTTCCTTTCTCCTCGTATCATGGCTAATGATGGTCTTTCCGCTATGATGCACACGTCTCCGTAGAGATTTCCCATCATCACCTCTCGACCACCCGCAACGTAATGCGAGTGAAAACTCCATGCAGAAGGCCTTGTGCTAACCAACATGATATCTGTTGCATCTTTGCCTTCCATCACATTTCCGTCCGACTTGGCCCTTCTTCTATCCGGCTCACCACGCGCCCCTACGAAACGAACAATTTCAGGATTCCCCAATGTTTCCGATAAGTAGTGGACCTCGTCGTGGCTGGAAAGATCAACTATATGATCCGCCAAGAAACTGAATTCCGTCCATCCAACATTTCGATACAGAATACGGACTGACCACGGGATGGAAAGGGAGTTCAAAACGCATGCGATCATTGCATCTCTGCCCTTCAGGTGGCTGCCGATATCGACCACAGACCTAGACGTAGACATGTACTGATTGTCAAGGCCAAATGCCAGGTATCCGCCTTCAGGCAAAACGCCTGGATCTAAAAGCAATTCGCTGATGCCTGTTGTCAGCGAGTTTACGTCGTAAACACCCTTTCTCTCAAGGGTGGCGAGTGGAATGTCATTATCGGTTGGAAAGTGTAGGCGATATGTAAGTATCACACGATGCCCTGACTTGATTTTTCTGACCGCAAACTGCACGTCGTCGTAGAATGCAATAAATGCCACAGATGTCTGTGTCGTCCTTGTGAACAATTCTGCGAAATCAATGGTCCACTCATGATGTCCCTGGCGAAGGAGTAACGCTCCACCTTCGATGTCTGTTGGGAATACAACTAAAACAGTTGCAAATCCTTTAGGGATCGCCTTGTTTGTGCATGGGTTGGTGGACTCTATCCGATGGACGACTGCAGATGAAAGGCCTGTAATAGTGAATTATGAGGCATTTCAGTTTTTTGAAAATCCTTTGCCACGAACCAAAAACATCGCAGAACTCGTCGTGGCTGAGGGAAAACATTCGTGACTCCTCATGACTCTTGATGAGCTGGTACTCGTGGAGACAGACATCTAATAGATTAGGGTGACCGGTTGAGCCCTCTTGAGTTGCGGGGAAGACTGGCGAAAATGTTTCATGACACTCTGCATCTGGTAATTGTATGCTATTTTTAGTGTTTATTACAATACCATATAATAACTAACCATAAATCTTCAGGTGCTGGACAAGGAGTTGTGATGATCGCTTGCTATTACCGCCTTCAAGTAATTCACTTCGAATAGCCTCAGTGAGACGGCAATGCTCCGCGTCGAATGTGGTGGCAATCTCGATTGCGTCGAGCTGTGCTGGAGTAAAGCGAGAGTTATTTGCTGTTGGAGACTGAGCACGACAATAGCATGTTAAATGGCGGAGCTCTTCACATGTTGCTGACAGTAAGTTCATTTTTCTGTTGGAAAAAAAAATAACTTCAACTTTCCATCTCATGTAGCGCGCGGATGTGCGAGCCATACCCCGCGTGATCATCAGCGCCCGTACTGTAAAACAGGGTGCATCTATCTGGTGTGGAAAGAAGCGTTCCGCAACAATACGATGGTCTGGGCTTCATGGAAGCTCGAACGTTGTCCAACTTCCCCATGATGATTTCTCCATTCAAACACCCAAAATATTTAACATATTATGATACGAATAGAAGACACGGTGAGTCAATATTTCGACGTAATTTTCTTGCAATAAGAAGCGCGCTACATGACTCGACTCATTCCTTGATCAAACCTTCGTCAACGTAAGGTCCCAAAGGGGCCCACGCACTTTAAGCTTCAGAGTCATTTTGTGAGTCAGTGATTGATCGAAAGTCCCAATTTGACAGTGACGAGAAAGCTGCTTTCTGAGCGCGCCTAAATTTCATATCCGAAGCTCGTACTAATACAGGACCTTTGCAGGGACCTCCGCAACTAGGCAAATATCGCCATACAGGTTTCCCATCGTTGCCTCGTTCCCGTACGCAAGGTATTGAGAACGCACGTTTGTGACGGAAGGCATCTCTGTCATTTGGATGATGTCAACAATATCTTCCGAATATTTGGAGTAATCGCCAGCCCGCTTCTCGTCGTCATTCCCAAATTGATCAACAAACCGAACGAATTCAGCTCCTAGACCCATTTTTTCACCAGCACCCCAGTGACTCCACACGAGGTCTTTCTGGGATAGGTCCGATATGAACTTATGAAGCACGAACGTCTGTTCCGAATGAGACACACTGTCTCGATATAGGACGCGAAGAGACCATGGCAGATGAAGCTTATTCAGGACGCGCGTGATAATCGCATCCGAACCCTTCAAGCATGACCTAAGAGTGTCCACTCTCATCTCTGACGATACCGGGTACTGATGGCGAAGTCCGAACCCGAGATAACCACCGTTAGGCAACACCTTGGGATCATTCACGAATTCGGCCAGGGCAGTTTCCAAGGATGGTTCAAAAGGGCCGGGTGCCCAGATCATAGTAGCTGATGGACTGTCCCCGCCAGACGCAACGTAGAGTTTGTAACTCAACGTCAGGCGGTGACCGGATGTGATTGGGTCAATCTCACGTTCGACCTCATTGAAGTACGCTGCATAACCAACGAGAGGGATCTGTGCTTCTGACAGCATTGCAAAGTCGACACGGTGCTCATTTTCGTTGTTGCGTAGACTGCATATCCCTCCGGTATGCGGAGTCGGGAATACAATATCAAGGAAACCGAATATCTTGTCGCTGTTCGTAGCACTCTTGTGTGGTCCGACATAATTGCTCGCACCTAAGCATAACGAAAATTAGTTTCAATATGTACGATATACGAACGTTCGCTAACCATAGATATTCAATTCATATAATTTGGATCTAATGTCCCGCCCAACGGCCATGCCCTCCAGTAACGACTGGCCCACAGCATCAACCAATCCAGTGTTTTCCAAGTTAAATTGAGTGGCAAATGCGGTGGCGTCTAACCTGCCGGCCCTGAGTTTCTCAGAACCTTCTCCGTCATCGTGACTATATGCTGCAGGCTGACAAGCTTCATGCAGAGACTCAAGCTGGTTCTGCGTAGGGAACAGCAGATTGATTTTTCTAAATAGTTTTTAGCTCGTAGCCACTGGCGAATAATGAATGGCATACCGTACACCGCTTGTCGCTGTACTATAAAAGAGCGTAGATTGCTCCACAGCAACTTCGCAAGTTCCACTGCAATATGGAGGACGGACATTTAGCGTTGCGCGGATGCGAGCCAGACCATCAGACATACTATGAATCGCAACGGACAGATAGCTCGGAGTCCCTATTAAATATTTTATCTCATCCTCATCGTATCAGAATCAAATTCAGGTCTGTATGGAGAAGATATCATTATCAACGGAGAAAGCTGCAGATCGGAGCGTCTAATGGTACTACATCAAGATCACGTACTTGTATATTCCCTGACTCACACATCTATACATGAGTCAGTCCCTATCCTCTTAACACGTTTTCTTAAAGTTTGCTTTCTAATACATAATTGCCTTGATGCAATATCAACACGTGAAGATGCGGAGTTTGAGATCGAGATCTAGCAGACGGGCTGCTTTCTGATTGTGAAGTGAGTCAATTCCTGTAATCTAGACAACCAACGAAGCGATCCAGAACGTCCAATAGACGCTTGCGTCGGTCTTTCGTATCAAAGACACTAGCATGATCCAAGTCAGGATCAAAGAGCATTTCTAGTGTATCCGTAGCCCAGTATTCCGAAGCAGTTGGTTCCTCTGTCAAATATTTTCTGACTTGTTCCGAGTTTACGATCTGATCCTTTCCGCTCAGCCATACAGCGACGGGTCTTCCCACTAGATCTTCTTTCCACAGTACGTTTTCAGACCAAAAGAAGTGCCGGGACAAGGTCCGCGAGATATCTGGGTCCCTAGATGCGAAATACCAAAGCTGTAACTCGTTAGCAGAACGAGGTTGTCGGTAGAGGAAATTGAAGGCGACATCGGGAAGATGGAGAAGAAATGGTATCGGATCAACGAAAAGTATCGCTGCAACGCGAGGGGAAAAATGGGAGTGGAGCATCTGTGTAGTGACGACTGTCCCATAAGAGTGCGACAAGACAACAACACGATCGAGTCCGAGATCATCCAGAATCTGGGATATAGCGGTGCAAGTGGCCGAGCTTGAGAGTGGAGAGGAGGTGATGTGCATGCTGATGGAAAGGAATTCAATTGCTAAAATTCCAATATCTGGATGCACAGCAATGAACTCCTCGAAGAAAGGCGTGTATGGATATAAACCAATCTGCAGAAACATTAGAATCATCCACATGAACACCTCAAGAGCTCACTCCAATGCCGTGTATAAAAAGGACGGGCAGTTTCGTTCTTGATCGGTGAGGACGATACCAGTATGGCAACTTGACTACCGGCGATCTTCGCGAGATGAGACAACATGGGCGCATTGGAAACGACGTCACGCAGTCGCCGTCATCATAGTGTTGAAATCCCTGGCGCCAAAGTCTGAACGATGAAAATAGATCCACCAGACCCACCACCTGAATAATCGTAGGTCTTTGAGGTTCATTACGCTCGGATGATTACTTACCAAATACCAGATCAATGGCCGGTGCAACATCGACACGCTGTCGAGCGTGGGTCGCATGCATCGAGCCCCAGTGTTATATCCAGGTGCCAACTTTCTATCAAGAATAACTTCTATCATCGAGAGATATTCCCCTATTTCTTCTTCCCATTCCACTAAACAGGTGTCCCTTGTTGCAGAGAACAAAGCCCAGAGGAGCCAGTCCACAACGTTTTCTCTCCTAAACTCCGCTGAAAAAAACCATCCAGAGATATAATCTGAGGTTGCCAGATAGCTCGAACACCGCTGAAATAGCATCCGCCGATGTTCGCGAGTGTGAATGGTGGGGTGCACTGCAGGCTAGAGGAGTTGCTTAAAACATCATGCTTGCCAGGATACAGATAAATCCATGCCTTCTGTAACAACCACCGTCTAGGCAGGTAGACCAATGTATAAAAAAATATCTCCAATAAAGCGTACCTTCCCAATGACGTCTGCCATCTGGTACCTGGTTGAGCAACGACGAGATATGCAACATACAGAAAGCTAATTGGTGCCACCAGACGAAGAAGCCCTATGCTGGTGACTATAAAGACATATTCAGGCAGACTTTTGCCAATCATTTGCGTTGGCTAACAAAAATTTGGAAGGGACGGGTTGAAGTTATGGAGTTACACTCTAATATTATAGAGTCCTCAGTGGGTGACTTGGACAGAGTCTAGGGGAGGCCACCTCATTTAAGTAATACTTCCATTGACTATTAATTTCTCACGGTTACACCCATCAGCGGGCGTCGCCGAAAAGTTTCCCTTGCTTTCCACCATCATCCAACGGCGACGTCGACGAAATGGCAAAGAAAAAGAATAAACAGGTGGGTATGCAGCTTCTTTCTATATATGCTGATTAAAGACTCTTTTAGATCATCCGCCCATGGTGCTGGTACTGTGAAAGGGAGTTTGAAGATGAGAAAGGTACTTTTTCTAATACGTCTGGAAGATGGAATCTCATATGCACGGACATTCAGTTCTCATGCAACACCAAAAGGCCAAACATTTCAAATGCAACATGTGTCCTCGCCGATTGAACACTGCTGGCGGTCTGGCCGTGCATATTCAACAAGTTCATAAACTAGAACCAGAGAAGTGCCTCAAAGTCCATCCATATCTAGTTCGTTTTGTTGACTTTGTTTTGTTCAGCCTTCCACGGATTGAGAACGCTATGCCAGGACGTGATGGGTATGAAGTGGAGATTTTCGGAATGGAGGGCATTCCTGCACCTGATGTTGCAGACTATAAGCGCCGCAAGGAAATCGAACTTGGCTTAGCTGCAGGTTCTATATCTCAGCCTCAGCCGAAGAGACCTAAGATTGAAAAGAGGCCTTTATCGGAGGACGAACTCAAGGCTCAGTTAGAGGCCCATAAGGCCTTGATGGGCGGTAGCAGCGATAATCCTCCTGCTCTTCCTGCAGCTGACAATAGTGCCAGCGGGGTATACGGCGCTCCTCCACAAGCATATGCTGCGCCTCCTACTCCAGCTCCGGGCCTTCCGCCGCCAGGGATGCCTCCTGGTATGGGACCAGGTGCGCCTCCTCCATTCTTTCCGGGAGGGCCACCCCCTGCCGGCGCTTTGCCGCCTTTTCCGCCTTTTCCTGGCATGCCCGGTTTCCTTCCAGGGTAAATCGAGTTTTTCTCTGCATTAAATTGTGTGTTGATCTGTTATATAGACATCCACCACCTGGCTTCCCTATGCCTCCTCCTGGTCTCATGCCTCCACCGGGTATGCTTCCCCCAGGTGCGCCACCTTTTCCTCCCGGAAGTGTTCGGCCACCATTCCCTCCACCACCTTCTTTTGTTCCCGCTGGTTCAGCATCACCGTTCCCTCCAGTTACACCAGGGATTGGATCTGGTGCTCCGCCGCCGCCATCGGCTGCTGCTATGGGACCACCCGCTGCAACCGCAGCACCACCTCCTTTGACCTTGCCAAATTCGGCCCTTGAACAGAAGTATGCGCCTTTCAAGAAACCGACAGAACTCAAATATGCAAACCCGAACTTTTCCCCTGTGAGTTGATGTAAAATTTCCCCACACCCTACAACTAATGAGGCGTATCGTAGGAAGAGAAACGGGCTCACACTAAAAAGTACTATGTTGCCCGAGACTCGACGAATATGCCGCTATCTGGCATTGACTCTTCTGCACTTTCAGCTGAAGAGACGAGAGGGAAGAAAAGGGCACGAGCAGAGGACTTCCTCTAGTGGTCAGGACTATACTTTGCGTTATGCTTGATCCAATGACATCGAGGCAGACGGTTGTTACAGCGCAGGCAACCCAAGGAAGAGGGCTATTTGATGGAGACTCACCAGTCCGTCCCATCCATCTACTTCTTTCCGCTCATAGATTTTTTGCACTCATCACCTCCTTATACTCATGTCACATTGCACAGCGCGATGTTTGCTGCGATTTCTTCCATCAAGCCATGCGGTGCGGACTTCTTCTTTGCCTTGAGTTTCTATATCGCCAGAACGTATTTTACTGTGTATTACGGTCGGTCTTTTCTCTTCTGTTATAATATTCTTGTTGTGCAAACGGTATGTCTATCGAAGGTTGGTTTTATAGCGTGAATGGTATTCCGTACAAACATAATCACTTGACCCCACAAGGTGTCGCTGACGCTAGCACGAACCTATACCATGAGGCATGAAACGTTGACAGTCTGATTCAAGTTGAGACATTGTTCTCGAGTATGCTGTTGGTTACTGTGCTATACACTGCAGCTATGCACCTGCTGACTGGGCGAATCATAGGTTGCGCAAAGACTGGCTTGGCGCCTCAAGTTTGTCCGCACGTCTACATAACGTAAGACCCGTACGTCCTCAAATAGTTGGATATTATATTACTCACCCGCACCATGTCATTTTGAACAAGTAGGAACAGGCAAGTACCTGGAGATGTAGATAACATACCAAAAGCTACATCGTTGTAAATCACACATTTGCTACAGTAGATCTCCAATATTACTATGCTCTAAAAGATCCAAGACCGACCGCGCCAATTTCGCCGCCTCCTTGTCGTCATCGACGTGTATGCGATGGTGGCCCCCAGGGCTCATGCTTATGACACCCCCAGTCCAGTCACACATGTGCCGCAGCGTCGAGGTAATCCCTGCTTCGTTGAGTTCGTGCTTCCGACGAATGTTAGACTGGACGAGGGAAAATATGCAAGAGATCAGGGGACAACGTGTGTCGGACTTGGCATCGGTCATGCAGTCGTGCATGGCGTGGATGATGTGTGCGTGCGCGAAGATGAAGTCCTGTTGTTCTCGCGAGCCATTTGCGATGTTCGCCAAAAAGCATGCAGTCTGTTCATCCGCTGCGTTAGTGAAGATTGCCAAGCGGAATAAAGTTGAGAATTACATGATGGGTCACATCCTCGTTGGAGGATTCTAGGCCAGAAGTAATACAATTGGCGAGAGTTTCCTTATCGATATATTCAAATACGTAGTCCACCCCTTCTTCGTCTTCTGCAAGGTTGCGCAGAATACTCATGGCTTGTTCTTGAATTTCAGTATTGGAATCGTTACATAGCCTGTGGAACAGACGTTAAGACGGTCTATCAGCAGCACAGAAGTTGAAACGAACATGACGAGCCGGGGCCAGCATAGATGTGTCATTACCGTCTGTCTTGTGCTGGGATCGCTTTTCCGGAGGGCATTCCTCATTGCCCACAAAGCACCAACTCTCATATTTATGTCGTCAGAAGCAAGTAGTTGCATCAGTCGCGGAAGGAGCCCTTGGTCCAATAGTTTCTGAGGAAAGAATTGCTCGGAAATAGGTCTTTGAAAGAAATGTCGCGACGCACCGGCCTTAGCGGTGAGAAATCGTTCACCAAATTGCAAATAGTATTCAAAGCTGCATATGTCACTCTTGGATCCTCGTCTTCTTTCTTAAATATCGCAAAGAGCTCCATTCCAATTTTGCTGTCCACGATATTTGTGCGGATGATAGAAACTGCACGACTAAGTGCGCGTAGGCACGTGCATGCTGCGTGGCGGATACCAATGTTCTTGTGTGACAAGGAGACTTGTATCGCGGGGACGATGTGGAGATCATCTGCAACTTCCCGGCGAATGTTATTATCAAAGAGCGAGATTGCTGCAATCACAGTCAACGTCGCCTGTAATATAAAAATAGGTAAGCACATCCTGATGAAAAGATGGCACTCACTTCTCTGAGGGCAAGGATGCTCTCAGGCTCGTCTTCTTCCCATTCCGACGTCCTTTCAAGTGGAGTGATGTGCTTCGCCAATAAAACTACCTTTTCCAATGTTCCGCGTTCATAGACCTCTCGGCACAAATCTCTATCGTCTTTCACCAGATGATCTGATGCAAAATCAGATGACTGCTTGAGACAAGAGTGATGTTCTCCTACAGAGAGTGTAGCATGTTTTAATCTTGTTCTGTGTAGTTTCAGACGACGAAGAGAGCACCCGGTTGATAACATGGATAACATTCAGAGCAGCAGAATAATCTATCGATCCTGGATGGTGGCTTGCATTGGCTCGAAGAACGTGAGCAGCGCTGAGGGTGGTCAACATTGAATGAAGGGTCTGATCAAACTGAACACATACCACAGAGATGCAGTAAGCTGCACATCAGTCGATCTACTTTTCGTCAAATTTAAAACGATGTTCAAGGGGGGGTCAACTCATGCCAGAACATCACATTTAGTCCTAATCAAATATTGACAATCGTGCTTACCTGTGTCAGGCCAGGCTCTTGCGAGTGTGTTCGCAACCACAGTATTTTCCATTGCCAAGGATGATATTGCGCTAAGCGCGGCTTCTTGTAACTTTGAGGTATCAGATTCACTTGCTGCTGATAAATAATGGAATAACCTTTATGTCCTTCTTTTGAAGGAAATTGACCAGAAGCCGGACTACCCATCCACCTTGTCTGGCTGGTGAACTAGAATTTACCATTTCCTTTTTTTCCCAACCGCGTCTGCCCTTAATCTCTTTGGAGCGTTCAGCAGGAGGCAGCCATTCTATGACGGCGTTCCGATGAGCATCTGAGCGGACAGTTGTACTGATCAGCTGTGCAATAGCAATGTTTGTTTGAGATGAAGGATCAGCCAGGAGTGGGAGAAATATATTGAGGCAATCAAACTTGGATCCTATTAACATGAGCACACCTTGACTAAAGGAATTCAAGTTACCTCGAAAAGATAGCTCAGTGCGACCTTGGCTTCACTCCGCAAATCGGGGCTCCATGTTCGAAGACCAAGTTGAGATGGACCAACGACTTCAGCAATGGCCGTGGATAACACTCGTAAACCCCGCGCTAATGCAGATTTTAGTTGCACAGGATCGTGGGGTTTCATATTTGACAGCGCAAAGAGGAACGCATGAAGAGCATTCGCGTGAATCAAGCTAATTAGAGCGACCTCTGAACCTGGAATGAACTGTTGGTCTTTGAACAAGAGACTATCATATGGACACATGCCATAGGAAATAGACGCAATCACATGGGCGGATTCAACACGAATGTCATCATGAGATCCTTGAGTATCAACATAGGACGTTGAAGGGTGCTTGATGCAGTTGACAAGCCTAGCCAGATGACAATGAGCTCTGTATCATGCATAAGGTGGTGTCACGTACAAATGAATGAGCGCTGTATCCTGAGCAAGGGCTAGTTTGGCGGCGGGATTGCCGATGACTGAATTTTTCAATGTCTTGAGGGTGCTGGTGGTGATGGTTCGCACTGTCATCCGTTTAGACTGCGTCGATGCAGTATGAGCAGTTGATGGTGATATTGAATCAAAGCCTACTGTTTAACTCAGGATGCTAATACCGTTGAGGCACTGCGGCCAGCCTTGAGCTTGAGTAATCTGCCACACGAGCCCGGCTTCCGACCCGTTCTGGCTTCGCCGGACCTGCCGATGCGGTGCCGCACTTCATTGACATCGCTGTCACCTCCTTGGTCTCAAACCACACCATTCACTTTCTATGGCGTCCACCCTGTCAGCTGAGGATTTATTGCGCTCAGCGACACAAGGATTTGATCACCTCTTTGCAAATGATATCGATGCAGCCCAGAAGGTGTTTGAATCTGAGGACGCTCCCTTCCACTTATTAGGACTTGGCGTTGTCGCATTTTTGCAGGCAGCCCTTGGTATGGAGGTTGGTTGATTACTTAGTATATCATCTCTAGAAATGACTGATTTTTGCAGACGGGTCTAATGGACGAAGCTACTCGCTGCCTTACAGCTTCGGAAGCAGGCGCCAAGAAACAAGCACGGGCGGCAAAATCATTACCCTCGATCCATCGATTCGACGCTGGAATGGAGTGGGAAGTCATGCATGCCGATGCTGTCGTTCTGCTTGGCCTGACTCATGCACTGAGGTATGTTTGACCATATTAACGCATGCTCGCTTCTTATATTCGGTTACAGCGAGTCATACCGGGGCTACCTGCAGTGTGTGTGAGTCCTATTTCATATGTGTGTCCTGCTTGCAGCCAATGCTTTTACAGGTATGAACTTAACAGGCGAGTTTTGGAATCGAGACGTGCTATGTATGACTAATGTCAGAGTAGTGCCCATTCCAAATTTAACAAGTGCGTTGTCATAAGTCATTCATACACCGTATATGTTCATCGACTGTCATCAGACTCTTCAAGACTGTTTACCCGAATGGTCTCCAGTCCTACGCAACTCCCGCAACAACCCCTCTACCATCGCGTAGAGGCTCTGATAGAAGTTTGCGTTCTTCAGCAATACAATCTAAGCCAAATACCGCGTCTAAGTCAGGCTTCTTTAGCAGGTGGTTCGCTCCGCCGGCTTCAGTCGCCGCCCCAGGGACAATGACAAATCCGCCAAGCGGGCCCGTCGAGGAACTCGTATTGTCCGGAACCGCGTTCGGTACCTTTTCTCACACCTCTGTGTTATCATATTGAATTCAAGGTTGTCAGGATATGGGTTGTTTAACCTAGTGCTTTCTCTCCTACCTGCAAAGATTAGGTATGTTGCTGACTGTGCGAGTAACATCCCCTTGACGCCGCTTCAGGAATGTTGTCGGCTTTTTTGGCTTCAATCACGATCGCATGCTAGCTCTACAGGCTCTTGCCGTTTCTGCCGCGAGGAGTGATATTCATTCCGTGTTTGCTGGGTACGTCCCCTCGATAGCTATCGATGCCTATTGTATTGATCAAATTAAAGGTTGGTTCTTATGACCTACCACGGGGTTGTTCTTCTTCTTTCTGGGTATCAGGCCGACGAGGCGCACATTATCAAACAGTACAAGGCAATAGTTTCAAGGTCAGTATTTTTCTCCTTCAGTTCATTCAATTAAGGCGTCCCAAATCAGAGTAGATGGCCGATACCCTGATGGTTCCTTGTGGATTCTGAATAAGGTATGTTTTATTCAACGTAAATGTTCTCTCATTCTTATTCCCTGTCAGGCAAAGATACAGCGCATGACATATGATACCGAAGGCGCGATTGAGACCTTGAGGGATGGCTTGAAGCCTGAGAGGAAAAAATCGTTCCCTCAGGCTGACACATTGGTATGCATCATGATTGTGACGGCGATTTTCCTGTCTTTAACCTCTGTTTCTACTGTTTCCAGCTCACATTTGAGTTGGCCTGGACGCTCCTTTCGCATCGTCGCTATGAAGAAACGGCAAAGCAGTTCCTGGACATTACTAAACTCAATAGCTGGTTCCCTATCTTTTTCTTCTTCACATACCTTCGAACTAACCTATCAGTCACGCAGGAGTCACGCGACATACTACTTCATTGCAGCTGGTGCGCCAATAGTTACATTATTCTAACCATACTATTTACCATTGCCTTACTAGGCTGCTATTTCTCATTGAAAGATTACAATAGAGCTCAGAAGCTTTTGGACAAAATTCCCGACCATCTCGACAAACGGAAGCTTTCAGGTAGAGATATGCCAACAGAAACCTTCATTAAGAAAAAGCGTTCGTCGTCCTTTGAACCAATCCTTTGACGTTCAATGAACCTCACATTGGAATAGTGGCTTTCTACAAGAGAAAGCAGGCTCGCCTTGGAGGAGATGAGAATCGATTTGTAGAGGCTATAAGGATCAGTCCCGCAGAAGGTTCGTTTCACGTCGTGTTTCTTTTATGTTTTTTTACTATTTCATTTGCAACAGAAATTGCGATTTGTGCGTATTTAAAAGATGACTTCAGCAAGAAACATTGACTTGATCTTACATAGTCTGGAATACCCACGCACGTATTGAGAGCTCCATCGCCATAGCGCATATCCAGGAGTGGTCCTCGCTGACCCCAGCTATCACTGATATCGAGAGCAAGTATCTGGCGACATCAGTTGCAAAAACTGAAAACGATGACCTCGATACTGTTGACGAGCTCGCAATACGCTCACTCCTCCTCGGCATCGTTCATCGTACTCTCGCAGAGTATACGGCTGCGCGCGCATTCCTCCTCGATGCGCTAAAGAGGGCCCCTGATGTCGAAATCAGCTCATGGGTTGGAGGTGTCTCCGCCTTCGAGCTCGCCGTGCTCGATTTGAAGGAGGCAGAAGTGAAGGGAACAAACATGAAGCCGGAGGAAGCCATGACGATGTGGGAAGGCGTGCTCGCGGGCGCCAGCGAGAAACTAGACCAAGCATATGCAATGTCCGCAAAGCAGACGGACCTGTCGTCGAGGCTTGATAGCCGAATTGTCATGCTCAGGGATGAGATTTTCGACAAGCGTGGATTGCTCGGGCTTCCTGCATGAGACAAAACAGCGTTGGACAATACGCATACACTATCGATGTTTTATGATACGCATTTCGGACTCTGCACTTAGTTGATATGCATCGTGTTATCTAAATTCCCTTGAATGGCCCCCGACTCTGGCGTCGTGATCGTTTCACAGACCTCCATCCCAATGTCCATAGCATAGAAACTATAGCAAATGGAGGGAAAAGCCAACTGAGCCTCCACGACCACCCAGCTATCCGTTCTAGCTTCATAAGACACAAACGAACTTGCTGTTCCAGATCCTGCACGGTGCCAGAATTATCAAGGACGATATCGGCATACTCTACTTTCTGCGCTATAGGAAGCTGCGAATTAAGGCGTGCTGAAGCATCTTCGCGAGACGAATTGTCGCGCGTCATGAGCCTCTGCAGCTGAATGTCTGCTGAACTACGATAGGTCGTAGCTGTGGATGAGACGCAAAGGTATCAGAGAGAAACGTACCAATACACCACGACCACTTTCCCCATCCATTTCCACAGCCCTCCTTCTATCAGAAGAGGGACGTCCACAACACATAGTTTCTCTCCTCTCAACCAGCACAAAAACACATTCCAGAGAATGGCGCGCGAAACAGCAGGATGGATGATGGAATTCAATTTCTTCCGCTTCACCTCGTTATTGAAGATAATGGCACCGAGTTTCTTTCTGTCGAGGGTGCCATCTGGGAACAGCACTTCAGAGCCAAAGCATGCGACGATTTGTGTGAGCCCTTTTGCTCCTGGTTGCACTACTTCCCGTGCGAGGACGTCCGCGTCGATGACGGGTATCTGCCGGGACTTGAAGAGGGTGGACACAGTTGATTTGCCCGTTGCGATACCCCCGGTGAGACCGACAACTTAAATTCGTTCAGAAATCAGCGGGGACATTCGTATGGAGACAAAATACCCAACATTGTAGACCCTGGGTAGCAAGGTGCTTAGGTGACCGTTGAATCTAAGCTTGAAGTGGCTTGTGCATCGGTCGCCACGTGACGTGTGCTACAAGCAGATGGCGACCGAATATAAAATTTAAATTCATTCATTAACATTCATGCGTAAATGGTTAGAATGAAATATTCTTTCTTTCTGCCATTTTACGACTCGAGCTCTCGCTTGATGTTGACTGGAATCACTGGATCGTACGACAAACCTAATACAATAATTCATTTGGCATTAAAACAATTGACCGAATCACCGCATCCATATCATGATTTCAACACAGCAATCACCAGATCTTGAAGATGGCAACACCTGATTTATATCTCGAATACACACTGCTTCCCGAAATGTTCTTGAGAATATACATACCGCACAATTCCAGATGACAGGTCATCATATCACAGCAGGCAAGCAGAGCTTTGCGCCAAACAATCGGCGCTTCCAGCTGTAGGCTCCAAACTTTGAAATTTGAGGACATCGTGGGTCGAAGCTCGTCTGACCGGCCATCGCCGTTTTCCAGTGGTTCTACTTCGCAATATTGAAGTGGCAGCTGCACGCTCCAAGGCTCCATCGGAATTCTAGAAGGCCACGAGTACAGCTCGAACTTAACCATTGTTATAAGTCATTAACAAATATGAAATCATAGCGCGACTCCGCCACGGCACGATACAACCGGAAGAACAGTAAAAGGCCACACCTTCCTGAACAACTCAATCTTCCGAGTTAGCGATCAAACGGCGATCAATCGGAGCGAGCTTGGGAATATCTAAGACCTGGCTTGGCGCCGAGTTCGAGATATCATCGGTCTCTAAAGAAGTGTGGATGAGCCACACGCATACAAAACATGGCTCTTACGGAAATTATCAGTCGAAGCGAAGTTCCACACGTGTCTCCACTCCATAGATTTTGAGCATGAAGCTACAAAAAAAATGACTATCTCTCGATGCCACCAGGGGTAGCTCGGACCGCTCGTACAATCAAATAGAGCGGGTGTTAGAATAAAACAATGAGCCTATACCATGGAAGATCGGCAGACTCCAAGATCTCCTCGGATACCGTTGAGAATTATCTGTCTTCATGCCATGATCAGTGATAGCCAGTGATTCCAACACTGCATATCATTGCTTACCCGCAGCCCACTTAGTACTAAGCTCTCGAAGGCATCTGCCAGTGAGACTCGGGCACGACCTCGCAAATGGTGTGATTTCTGTTCTGGAGTGGCTGATTCGTTCACGAGATCAGCGATAGATGGCTACAGTTCCAGTTCCACGATACGTCTCTACCGGTGACCCACTTCTAGTGATCACCGTCATTTCTTGGCGCGATGTGAATAAAATACTAAAAAGTGACCCATGGTGAGGATGAAACAAACATATATAGTCTGTGATAGACGAGGGTGTGTGAGCTTGTGAGAACTCTGAACCATGCTAAGCGAGGTACGGATATGCGTGGGTAATTTGTCCCCTGTAAGAGCAAGTGACATTATTCAGCCGTCCGACATGGTGAGGACATTCTCCCCGCAATGGTGAAGAATGAAATTGTTTCTAAGCTGAGCGCTATCGCTGATCGAGCTCCTTTACCAAGCGAGCGAGCGACGGGTATATAAATTCGTCTCACACGTCGTCTCTTCTATCCGAGATTCAGAATCCACCGTTTGCCCACCATTGTTAATCTCACCAGCTTATTCTTCCTGTCTCTTATCCCGGTTCTTAAGCTTGAGTCACCTGAAATGGCCTTGAACATGATATCTAGGAATGTTGTGAAGAAGGTGCTGGCTGTTGAGACACCTGAGGTGTGTCTATTTCAACGATTGTTAATCTCCGAAGCGGCTTATATCCAATTGTTAGGGTGCTGGAGCACTCGTACGACGGTCCATCGGAAGCGCGAGCTTGCGCAATTTGACGCCTTTCTTGTTGCTGGATCACTTCCATGTGTCCGAGGGTGCCGTAAGTTGATTTCCTGTCCTGTGTGGGCGCAATACAGATCATACAATTATTCATACAGGGATTCCCCGACCACCCCCATCGTGGTCAGGCAACCGTAACGTACATGCTCGAAGGGTAAGTGAATTCTACTTATGGCATGTGCTGCGGGCGTGATGTGATGTTTTGTACAGATCAAGTCGCCATGAGGATTCCGCAGGACATTCTGGTATGCCTGTTTCTCTCAATTTATCTTGATATGCGTTGACACATACAACTTCACAGGGACCATCAAAACCGGCGGTGTCCAATGGATGTCTGCCGTTAGTGAACAGCACTTTTTTTGTATGCGCCGTCAATCTCAACTGGCCCGTCATGCAGGGAAAGGGGATCATTCACGCGGAGATGCCCGTGCATGGAAAGAACGTGCCCGAGCCCCGAGGAATGCAGCTTTGGGTAGACCTACCAAAGGACGTTAGTCCCATGCCTATGTTGCTGTGTGATAACACAACTGACGAACGTGCTACAGGTCAAGATGACGGTAAGTCTAGTAGGGGTTTGAGGGTCTGGTCTTTATCATCACGTTTGAAATAGGAACCGACCTATCAAGAACTGGACCCTGAGGAGTATGTCGATTGTCTATGTGCTTTGAAAACTCTTTCTTTTTCTCTGACGCTTGGTTTTCCAGCATTCCAGTAGCGTACCCTGAAGGCAAAGACGGCAATATCAGCATCAAAGTCATCAGTGGGAAGAGCCATGGCGTTGAGTCACCTGTGCGACCACTTGGCGGGTGCTGGTACTTCCACGTGTTGATGAAGAACGGCGCAACCATGTTCCAAGAGATTCGTATGTATTCTTTGATGCTACGCTTGAAGTTCGTTGACACTGTCGACAGCTACCGGTTGGACAGCATTCGTCTATAGTATGTTGGTCGAATGTGTTGGTTCTGTCAAGGACTGACGTTTCTCCTTAGTTTTGAAGGGTGCAGTGAGCGTCGGTGAAAGCGGTCCTGTTAATGATGCTTTCCACACTCTCGTTCTTTCTCATGCGGACGGTGAGACTGGTGTGCGACTAACAGCTGCAACCGACGACACTTCGTTTGTCCTGGTAAGTACACTGTCTTTATAGAGGACCATTCCTGATTTTTTCGGCAAAAGGTCGCCGGGGAGCCTCTCGATCAGACTGTTTTCCAGTATGGTCCTTTTGTCATGACGAATCAGGAGGAAATACAGAGGACATTGATGGACTGTGAGTGGTTCGCTGGAATATTTGATAAGGTGCTCAACGAATGTCCATACTGATATCCAGACCGAACGGGTCGTAACGGATTCGAGAAAGCGCATACGTGGAAGAGTAAGATTGGAAATATGTGAGAACCCTTGTACGCATAGTAATGGCGTTTTTTGTTCTACAAAGGGTAAGCTCCTTTACCATGACGTTTCATGATTTCACGTTGACACACGTTGACAGTTTTGTTCAACGGTTTATTGCGAATGAACATTAATACTCGGTCCGAATGCACTGGCATTGTAGAGATACTTATTTTCATATTGATCTTCTTTCGAAATACAATATTAATCGATTCGATATCATGTCATACGATCGATAACGAGAGCTCGTATTGGCTCGATTGCTGTAAGCTTTTCTCCTCAAAGTTTTAAAACAGTAGTGGACGCAATCGACAAAGGTGCATCACCATGTTCATCAGATCTTGTTCTATGATGGAGATGCTTGCAGGTCATTTGCTCCAACATTAGACTCGTGACCAGTCTAACGTACGTCACAATGTTGACGTCGTCCGTGGTCATATAAGCCAGGCTGGACTTCAACCTTGTTTAGAGTGGCCCAACAGGATTTCATCAAAATTTAGGGGCAACCCTGAATCGGTTGCTTCGGACTCGTAGTGGGAAATTGATACCTACTACTGCGTATACCAGACTAAGCCAGGCTGTAGCTATGTAGTAGGCTGTGGTAGGATACCTTCAAGAATATCCTGATGGCAACGGTGCCCCTCTGAATAAAGGATTCCACTTCCGCGTGCTTCCTCCGACACCGACGGCGGAGGATCTACATAGTATTCTGATCCCTCGAGAATCGCTTTTCCGATATCAATCAACACGAGTTCCTCGAAAGGTGTCTGTGCTAATTAAGGACCAGGAGAACAGCATGTTCATTGTCCAATGCCGCCCCAATACCTTAGGCAAGCTGCAAACGCATAAATACTGGGATATCGGAGGCTGTTAGTGACCTACCGGCGCACGTAGAGTATTCTGGTACTATGAGGCTAGGCACTCGGCGTTTAAAGGGGACGCTCAGCTACTTATTCTAATTCACCTTGGCGTGCGTGTAAATTCACACTCAGGTGAACGCGTTAAACCTGATACACAGAGAAGCTTGCAAGTCGGAAGTAGTCGAGTGCACTATTACAGTTTGCAGAACGCCATCCAAGATCTTCAATCCGGATAAATGACTGGTCGCGGTGGACTTCTCGAAGAGATCTTCCATGTTTCCCATGGCCACCGGGGTATATCAGACCTCAAAATTTCCATGGCATAACTCACCCACCTTTCCTGTCATTTTCTTGCTTGAGCTCATCTATCCATTAAACCTGGAATCTGCTAGTCACGAATTTCAGTTTGATATCCCCTTCAAGTTTCAGTAATATTGATTATCGTGTAGCACAGAGTTCCAGTTACTGGCGGATTTTGATCCGGAAGTGATTGGAACTCGAATGAACTCGCAGCCTACAAAGATAGTTGAGCAAAGTCGCAACACTTTTCTTTTGGGGCAAGCTCCTGCACCGGCCACACGAACTTCCTGTTGTAAAACCGATTGGTTTCAAAGGCAAGGAGGGCCCTCGATTGATGCACTGTCGCTAGCACTAATAGACGCCCTTGGAATCTCTGCCAGATTTTACGGGCATCAAGTTGTCAGACGAAAGAAACAATACTAATGACAAACCGTAGGATCTTGACACCAACGAGCTAGGTTCCTTAGAGTCAGGCTCCTTAGAGTCAATGGCAAACTAGTAATTTTTTTCTTCTGACCAAGAGCCCTTATATTTAGAATGTAATTGAACGAGCGAAGGCGTCTGAAGCATTACACTTTAGCTGCCTTGAGTCGTTCAATCCCTTCTAACTAGATTGGGAACATGTGGCTTCTGTACGCGTAATGGTATTCTTGTCAATATACTTGCAATATTTGAGATCTGTAAATTAACGTACCATGAACAAACATACGTAAATACACGTTGTGCGCTTTGCAACTAGAATTTGATATGTAGAATGTTGGCAAGGTGAAATAGGGTGTCCTGGGAAGGGCCCGGTGATAATCATAGCCCGGTTCAATCCTGTTGATTGCGCGCAGCGCGCTTGTTCCTGGTGACAAAATTGGACAGCGGTGTGACACGCACCATAGTAATCGAGTAACATTTATTGGAATCTAGGTGCTCCAGATTTTGGCAATAAACGAAAGATATTTGATCCACAGAAGCTATAACAAATCATAACCATCTTCCACATTCAGTCATCCTCAGCGCCAAGCGCACACTAGCTATACGTTCAGTAACGCACGTTTGACCTTGACTGGTGTCATAGCATGAATGTGACGGCATCAGCGTGTCATTTCCGATGGCCTATTGGCCCTCGCTCAGTGAGGGAATAGTAGCTGCGCACGCAATGAATCAATGATGCAATTACAGCCCAGTGTGAGCTGTCCAAGATGTGCAAAAGTCGATTGACTTCTGTTTTCCGTTACAGCCTCGAAGCAGAGTATAGTAAGTTGCGAATAGTGCTATGGCTATGCTGCGAACCTCAGGGTCATGAGTATGTACTGATCTCACCTACGGTCCAGGATATGCGCAAAAGCCGACAGAACCAGGTAAGATCTTGACGTGTGGCATGAGTGCGTACGAGGGTGGGTTACGGTACGGCAGAGCCGTCACGGTACTGACAGGTGCCTGAACATCGATGTTTATGAAAAACCGAATAGTCCTTAACCGTAAGTACATGGACTGATGTGCCATCGATATCTGTTTCGGGCGCCGCGAGGTGTGGTTCCTTGATCAGCAGCTGCGGCGGCCTGCACAATGTTGGAACTTCTGTGAGACCGAGCCTACGGAGAAAATGCCAAGTAACAGCTGGCCATGGAGCCAAGGGTTCTGATAGGCATACAATACAGGAATTCGAAGTTGATATAGAGAATTGGAGAACGCCTCGAAGACTCGCCAAGTCGAACCTAGAACCGCCAAGTGTGGGTCAGTGATGTGGCACGATAGTTGGCCAATGGTTGACTTTGTGATATGACGATGATGATCCGTGGCTTGTCTAGACAAGCCTCCACAGCCGGGTGTATCGGAGGCCCTTCGTAGTACTTTTTTAGAATAGCCTGTGCAGAAATACAACGTGACAGAATTTGGCATTGGAGGGTGGAGATCATGAATTTAGCCGCGGTCTGAGTCATGTCATTGTGACCCTGGGCGCGTACTTTTCAAACGTGCGAAGGCATCTCAAAACGGAAACCAATGATTTTCATAAAAAGCTGTTCTCCCGGAAAACGCCAGGACCACTACACAGTACTAGTTGCACTAACAATACCGCTTTCGCCTAGCCACATCCACAACCGCTTACTAGATATTAGTAACCACTAACAGCCAACTGCCATTATATAAACCAGAACCTCTGTGCCTTTCCCTCGCAACTTGTTCATATCACTCCTTGTACGCAACCTGTACTAGCCCATTTCACAACTCAGCTTTCATGGATCGCTTCTTTGCCCCCAACACTTCAGAGGCATTGGCCCACACCCATTTAACGTACGTTCAGTTCCTTTTTCGATTCTAGCATGATCTGATCTCTGTGTGGCATGCCAGCGAAAATTGGTTCACCTGGGACCAAGACCATCCTTCATTCAACGAGACCCTCGTTGCAGGATGTGCATCCTATCAAGCATTTACGCGCTACCTCTCAGGTTCTGACCTATTCATCGTACCTAGGTCCCCTCGTGAGCTCGAAGGTGTTTTGTAAGCACCCCTTTATTCTCCGAACTTTACCCTCTCTTATTCGCTTGCTTGTCAGGCGGCGTTACGCGTATGATAGCATACACAATGCCATAGCGGTCTCACGGCAAACTCTTCAAAGAGGTGGATACAGCCGAGTTAGTGGAGCGCTATCTGTAATTGATTCCTAAGCTGACCCATTTGGCCTAGATGTGCTCCCTCGCAGAAAAGTCAATACGCGACGTTCTAAATACCAATGACAATGCAACTGTCTTACTCGATTTGCATACGCCTCAACCCGAGACTTTCACAGGACCGGATGTGACGCTGCCTAATTCAAACACCCGCATCAGGACTTAATGCCAGTTTCATCGCATCAGCTCGCTTTGTTCAACCTTTTATCCTCGGCTCCCCACTAATATTTTTTTCCACTGTGGCTTGCTGGGATCTTTGTTTTCGTTATCCTCCCGATCTGGTTATGTATACTCGCATCTGTAGCATTCCCCGCAACGACCTACCTTTACTATGCAGTCTGTATGTACTACTACAATTTAATCGCTTCTTGATTCAATCCATCATTTCCAACTTCGGCGGGTTTGCTATTCAGGGAATCCAACCACGTATGGTGCGCTGTGATTATAATCCTGCCTCGTTTGGTATACTGACAGGTACAAAAAGTGCATCCACATCCCGTCCCGCAGCGTGTTACATTCCCCGCACTTCATGATTACTCACACAACCGACTATTTTTTGGCCGCTGACCAACGACGTAAGCGTCCGCTGACGCTTGTGTGAAAGCAATAGTCAAATCAATGCCTCGGAGCGACGGGCAGTGTGTAAATTTATACAGTGCGCAGCCTGGGGCTAGTCCATATTGCCAAATGGATCTTTTCGAGACTGGCAATACCTGTGAGCTTGCCATCACGGCATCAGCAGCTACGTGTGAGGGGCCACGACTCTAACGACATGATTGATAATCGATATATTGATAATATCTGAGCTGTACGGCACCCCACCCGTATTGGAAGCTGAAATTTGTTTCAGTCTGCCACCGATCAACCCACGGCCGTGCAACGTTTGAACGGGAATTAATAACAGGTTAGCGCTTCTTCTACAAAAGAAAGTACACACCCCGTAGATAGGGCGGGGCGGCACGTAGATACTCAAACCAGATGCACACGTTTATCAACTAACACATATATCCGCATCAGTCTGTGAAAATGGTTATCTCCCCATCAACTGTACGCGTTTGAACCTAGTTAGGCCTGTTCGAACGGGCACATGAGATGACAGCGGACATCACGTCTGAATGAGAAGAAGCGCTGTGACGCTGTCAGTATTGCGAGATAACGTTAGTGAGTTGTGACAGACTTCCCGGTAGGCTGGATCTTCATGGCAGATGCACATGTTCAGGGAATTATCCAGCTCGAGCAGTACTGAATAGTTGTTATCTGTCGTTATCTGAGAGGCACCCTGAATTTGCATTGCCGTTGAGCAGATTTACATAAATGTGAGCGAACACTATTGTGGCATCACTAAACGCAGCATGGTGAGTTTGGTTGTTACCGACACCGATCACTTGAAAGTTGAAACACACACGAATAGTGCTGTGCTCACAGCACATCTGCAAACTTCTGCATCTCGATATCTTACCTTCACGCGCCTTTCGCTCAATATAAATCTATGCTCTTCCTGTCGGACTCCCGTTTGCCGATGGATCGACCTTGGACGTAACCCGCATCCGGTAACGTAGTTGATATCCAAGCCGGAAAGAAAAAAACACGGTACTAGGAGGTACTAGTACGACCTATATCGAAGACTGTGAAGAACCGTGAGAACGTGAATGCGAAGCGATGAATGGTCCGGGCGTAAAGCATGGAACCCCTGCAAAAAACTGCGTTCTTACGTTAGCGTAACCGAATACGTTAGGCTACCTTTTGAATTAAAACCAGAAGTTCAGAACGAACTCAGGGACCCCAGTGGTCCCTTATCCGGCAGACTTATCACGCGAGACACCTTAAGCCTTGAAGATTTGAAGCTTGAGCGCCTGCATAAAGTATACAGCATCTACACCTGTTCACACGATAGTTTCCGAAGGGGAACGACTGCTTGTTACATGTGGCTGTAAGCGATTGTCATCCAGGCCAGGTTCACTGATGGTGGTGGCCCCAAATGCAGGGAGGAGGTTGACCCCACATGCGAACATCGGTGCCAGTATGGATCGATATGAAGTCATTGACTCGCCCGTAGCGCTTGCAGTGCCCGCGTTCAGGAACGTTAAGCAAGTGCATGACGATACTTACAACGAGCATAGACACCCTTTTTGGTTTACTTTAGCGAGTATATGCGGCGCCTTTCGTTCTATCGCGAGACCGTAGTGTCCGGGACGCGATATAGATATCACTGATGGTAAAAAAAAAAAAGAGAACCATCGCATTGATGACATGATCGAGCCCTTGGATTCCGGCCAGGGTTACGCCTGAACGGAATGAGAAGGCTAGTCCTATGGATCAGGAGATCCGCAATGACCTGTCAACATCGAAGGGTGATGCTGCCCCTGCATGCGAGTTATTGACGACCAATAGTTGCTAGAAAGTGGATAGATTGAAAGTACCATATCAGTGGTTGTCTCCTAATAGGCTCACCTACAGTGCCGGTGCCCCGCACGATAAGACCAATCATAGATATGCATCCGATATAGAACACGAAGATACGAACAAATGTGGACTTGATAGCTCTGGGAGTCGTTTCCCTCAGGTTCTGTGCCTCTCAAGCCGTAACCGCAACCAAATCGCTGCCGATGTGTGCAAGCACCGTAGTGGTTAACGTGCTCCAGAATCCAAGGGAGAATGCGAATTGATCATTGTGGACCTGGTGGATGATGTAGTTGCCCATGGGTCCGTTTGGTTGCCGCCAGTAACGGAATCGAATGCGATCGTGTTTTGTGTTTCCTCCGAGATCGACAATAATGCCAGGAAGAACCAAGCCCACGAGGAATACGATCTTCAGGCCGCCCATCCAAAACCCCAATTCTGCAAAAAATTGTATACCAAGCGAGTTCACAATAACAACTGGAGGTGTCAATAGGCGACTCGAAGAAATGTTGGCTCAACTCGCCGAGAATGATATACAAGGCTACAAGTTCACTAAAATGAGATTCAGGCCAACGTGTTGGACAGCGTTCGTACCTGTCCAGACCTCGATAGGCGCAATATTGCATCACAATGCCAGTTGCATTGATCAACCCTGTGCCAATAGCGGCGTCTCGGTCAGTATGGCAGCATGCTCTCGTGTGGGTCTTGTAGATCCTCCACATGAAATAACGTCTCGTCCATGCGTTCAGTAGCGGACCAACTCAGGCGGCTGCCGGTCATGATAGTCTTGAGAGCGGGAATCACAATCACTGCAAAGATGATTCACGCAATTATATTGCATCTCCTCGGAATCTCCTTGCGTACAAATTACCACATTCCTGTTGTAGGGGGTATATGACTAAAATAGCCAGGTATACATGTGGTCCCCGGTCGGTCAGGTGCGCTAGTTGGTGACAAGACTTGCAAGACAAATATACATACATAGATCACAATTTATGCTTGATTTCTTTCCTGGCAATCTTGCCGAAGCGCTCAGCAGGTATTCCGCTACTAAATCTCTCCGCTTGGGCATAACTCTCTCGCAGATTCACGGCGTGGAAGTTGTTCTTATCGTTCAAACCAGCTTTGATGAGGGTTTTGATGGCGAAGATAGAGGCAGGAACTAAACCATCGAGTTCCTTCTTGAGATGTTGATGAACCGCAGAGTGGAATTCTTCTGTTGATTTCGATGGAAATATTTTGCTAAATCATCATCAGGATGGGGTAGGAAAGGTTGGGTATGGGAACACGCACTTGACGAATCCACATTCAAGCATTTCTGATGCGCTAATCTTCTTATTAAGAAGGAGAACCTCGTTTGCCTTGGCGATACCCACTTGACAATATTATGAGAAAAAGTCGTACGACAATGAATTCGCTTACTGCGGTTGACAAATGAAACACTAGCTCCTCCTTCCACCGCAATGCCTTGAAGAGTACATGTCTTCAGCGTGTATAAAAGAAAACAATCAAACGCGCGAACCTAGGAATGGGAAGCCGACATTCAACCAGGCTTCTGGTACGGCATATATGAAATCAAAGTTGCCAAGGAAAGCTATGGGAACCTATTTGAGATGACACGTATAGCATTTATGGTGAACATACCAGCTGCTATGCCTAACCTCGAGGTCGTCACTTGAGCCGCTTGCGAGACATTTAGAAAGGAAGTTGCATACCCATCACCGGCCCATTCAGTGCTGCAACAAGAATTTTGCTGTGACTATAGATCTTTCATGATAGGAATAATCGGTCGGTAACACTATGAAAAAGTAAGGATTGTGACATACGGCATGTGTGCAGTCTGTGTTCGCGGCCACTACCCCATTGATGAGGCAATCCCTCATCGAGCGTTGAGTAGTCGGACTGTTCGGCTCGCTGCTCGTCGTGCGCTTCACGTCCGTGCCACTTTCCGAAACAAGCACTATAAGTAACGAAACGCTTGCTCTGTGGACTGCAGACTTACGCACAGAACCACTTCCCATTTGCTGTACAAAGATGCAAAGATCAAAACTACTGCCACAAATTTGGAATTTGAATTTGCTTGCCTTTCCATACAGTTGCTACTACATCTTCTCTTCCATCGATGGCCCGTAAAGAGTTGGCAAATTCGTTATAGTCTGCGAGTCAATGGTTGCTCAGCCAACGTAGTTTGCTCAAGCACAACACAAACCTTCTGGTGTCAGCGCATTCAGACGGTGAGGTTCATTCAAGGTTATCGTTGCGATACCCTGAGAAACGTTCACTGAGATTTTACTTGCAGGCATGATTAAGATGGTGTTTAAGAAGACGAGGATTATCACAAGGAGATGCAAGAGACCTCAGCTATTGCCTTGCGCATGAAGTGGATAACCGGTTATAACCGCGCAAGGCGGTGGTCGAACGGTCTAACCGTAGATGCTAACGGTAATTACTAATTAGGCCCCCGACACCTAATTATAGCCTATAGCGGAACGTCCCGCGGTCACGGCAATCTTCGCTTGTCAACGACAACACACCTCACGATGAGCTCGAACCAACTCGAACTGTTGCGTATCCTTCGCCACCCACACATCTAACTCCCAGATTGGCTGCATACGCTTTATTTTCAATAGCTTTCAATATCTCTCTTGATCTTTCTCAACTCGTCCCCGCAAACGGTTTGAATGACTATCACCACATCTGTTTCTAATTCCCGCAAACAACAGCCCACCGGTGTGACGCGCGTCGGCGTGCAGGGTGAGCAAATTAACTTGAAGTCCTTGTAGAAGGTACTTATATCTTATAAAGTACTTCTATGATGCGATTGGTTAATTCTGCCGCTCCGCTGCTTTCACTGACGACGGACCACATGAGCTAGCACCAATCCGCCACTTCCTAAGACCTGCTGCTATCTCTTGTCTCCACACGTTAGTGCGTGTCCGTGCATGTTGCAGTTGTGCGAACTGGCACCTTTCTTTCAGCTCAAAGTACTTGACATCGACCCCATCCGTCAACGAGCTATGAACGCGAACACTCTTCCATTCATATTGTGGTACGCTTGTCTTTGTTGACTTCTCTCACAGGCACTGATCTTCATCGATCATCACCCATTTGCACAGTGCGACACTGAGCGCTCAACACCAAGACGCATTGACAAGCTACACCCAGAATCCATACCGTTCATCGCCCCCTTCACCCTCCGCAAATGCACCAACAGCTTTCCTATACCAAATCACATCCAACTGTAATAGTGGTAGACGAGAACTTTCGCAGGCTCGAAACGTCATTGTTGGAGTCCGACAGATCCGAGTCGACGAAGACCGAGTGATCTGATATAGGCACCAGGAGAAGGAGACATAGGTCCGAGCGCGAGCGGAAAGAGAGAGAGCGACGCTATGACGTCAGCTCGTGTCCTGAATATTGTTATGTCTGTCATTCATATTATAGTTGAAGTTTTCACTCACCATAAAAGCGCCAATGCGCATCTCCAAAGACTGAGATCGTACCTCTTTGTGCTAGCTCCCGCGTCCCCACTCGCGATACTTCACAGTAGCCATCCCCACCATTCTAGCGTCCCTCTTGCCCTAGTTAACAGACTCTTATCCTAGGAGACAGATGACTGCAGCAGGTGCTAAGAACGCAGTCTGCCGCGTCTGGCTTGGACTTCGCTAAGCCAGTCACCATTCCAAGTTACATTTGGATTACGAAGAGGTGACAAACCTCACGTGAGGTGACAGAGTGTGACGCTGTGCAGAACAGTTCTACGCGCGGAGTGTTCAGCCTTATCATTGACATTACAGCCGATAATTATCTTCCTTCCACATCTGATTCTGACTACCGTGACGGCGGAATTAAGTACCCGACGATCGTCGCTATGCACAACAATTCAGGAAACAATATTGCGTCAATTTTCCATCATGATTCCTATCATCGATCATCTGAGACAATCATGAAAAATGAGCATAGAAAACTGCTATCTCAATCGCTATCGAATTCGCCCTTACAACGCCCCTTGACCCTTCGTCGAAATGCTGTTTACAAGGAAAGCCGTAGCCGTCTGGCTTTCTCTTGCATTTGAACGGGTTCTGACTGCACAGACACCTCTGTCGAGTCATACGCCTTCATCCTTTCACCCGGGGGTCGAAAGTGATCTTGGACAATGGCTCATTGACGAAGGACCTGCGGTGAACACGACAGGTCATCTGGTGTTTGAAACGGCCAATTCCCTGCTTCAACACTGGGCAAATACTCGTCATCGCATTGGTATGTTTGATAATACTGAACTTCAACCAGATGGGTCGCGACTCATCATTTGTCTGCAGGTCATACAATAATCCCAGGGACTATTCCCGTAGGCACTCTCCTCTACCATGGAGCTCTCACCGGTCCCCATTTACCGACCGCCCTGGATTGGGTGGCTGTGGAACCAGAACACTCGACATTTTTCTGCAGAGGGACAAATGAAACAGGGTGCTGGCTCCTCACCCTTGCAGTCACTCGGCCGATGAAAGTGCTCTATTTTGACGGAAACAGCGCTGCGAAACTCCCTGAGGGCACTATGGACACCCAAGATCTCGTGGCATGGTCGGAAATGAAACCCGAGAGGGTGTGGAATGAAGAGCGGCGCATAAAGGATCTGTGTAAATGGGGTCAGAAGTATGGCGTGAACGGCTTTGTGAGGTTTGTTGGATGTTGAGATGCGTGCGCGCGAATGCCTGATGCTGATTTGGGAATCATAGGATGGAAATGAATTTGTGCGAATCCATACGTAGCCCCTTGGTGATTTGTTATTGACGACGGTCATAGTGAAATCATGATCTGCAACTTCACCTCTCACATGGAGGTCGTCTCGTTCTTAAAACTCGAGAGCACTCGCATCAGCGCCCACCCGCTGGATCCGCCAGAGGACCCCAATACTAGTGAGTACAGTGACTGTCCATGTTTTGACGTAGGTCTGATTTATTCTTGGACATCAGTACGTCACGTTCTTGAATTAATGCATTCTGCTTCATGGCGCGAAAATTATCCAGGAGAAACCCGGATCATGCTTGATTTTTCTGGGCTTGTCTCTTTCTACGACACCGCTCTTGTTCCCTCCTTGGTGCCGCGCCGTGTAGGCTTGGACCGGTGGGATCACCGAGTGGCAGGAATATCACCGGAGGATATAGAGCGCGTCCAAGACAGGCTAGCTCAGGCGCTAGCACGACCACCCTCGACAACCAGCGGCATTGACTGGAAAACGGTCTTGCGCTTGGTGGTCGATCGATATGCCAGCCGCCTGGAGTTCATACAGCACCTTTTGAACCTGACGTTGGACGATGGGACGATCTTTGACCACGCACAACAAATTCAAAGACAGTTGCGCAACGTGCTTTTGCCCTACACTGTGTTTGCAGCTCTGCCTCCCAATACCTCCGTCACCGCCAACGCGACAAATTCGTGGGCTGCGCCAGTTTTTCGGGAATGTGCTGCATCGCACGCGGCCTCCATAGCGTATCGTGGAACAACACTGACGCCCTCCGAACATCTACTCCTGCAGGCGGTGCGGGAAACTACGCATGAAATATGTCGCGTCGTCACGAAGATGTGGGCTTCCGGAATGAATTTTGGAGTCGACGCCTTTTATCCTCCGGAACAACGTCCTGAAGTCCATCACATACATACTCTCGTAGGCGAATGGAAGGAGGACGTGACACAGTTAATTTCCTGGTTGGACTGGAGCGTGTGGGCGAAGTGCCGACCGGCCTGTGGTTTCGAGGTAACACAATCAAGTTACTTGTTTGCGAAATGACTGACCTCGTCGTGTAGGAGATGTGCTATTTGCCTACTTGGCCGTTTGGGTTTGTCCGGACTCCCGGCGCACCACTTCAAGCCCAATGGGACAATGGTTCCTTATGGCCAGACCCAAACAAAGGGGAATGGAAGCGACCACAACCCAAGTGCATCAGACGGCGGGAGCCATATAGTTTTTAGGATACATGATTTACATTACTGCTGACATATACACGTCTTTTGTACATAATTATTGCACTGGAATTTAAGCGCGCCGCGCCCACGTGGGGCCTCAGTATGATCGGAATGCTCATCTTACAGCTGTTTTCATATCGATAGACCAGAATTTCGAAAATTCATTCAGCCGCTTTTGTTTGTTGTGGGAGCCACACCAAACAGAGGCGCTCACTACTAAGCTACTTTTGTAAGTCTCTAACCCGGCTCGGACATGTGGGGCCTGTGTGGTGTATTATAATCATCAAGTAGTAGTATCTGTAATTGTACATTATCTTTGTGCTTTCACTTACTGCAACGTCCTGTGCTGTAAGTAGACGAGGACGACCACTTTCCAGAGGGTTTCGAACCACAGAACCTGTGAGTTGCGAGAGCCGAAGAACGCGATCAATTGACTGTTCGATGGCTGCATCCCATCACTTGTGCTATGGCCTTTGATGTCATGCGGTGTGTGGACATGATAAACCACTGCTGTTTTGCAGCATCTGGTACATATCGATGGTCTCCGTTCATGATGATGGCCGGTACTAGTACTTCCCAAGCAACTTAGTTGGACAAAAGTAGCTTAGTAGCGAGCGCCTCTGTTTGGTGTGGCTCCAACAACAAACAAAAGCGGCTGAATGAATTTTCGAAATTCTGGTCTATCGATATGAAAACAGCTGTAACAACAGTCCGACACATGGAATTGTAAGTGCTCTCATCGGTGTCACTGTCCTGGCTATCGCATCCGTCACGGTCGACCATTAGAGCTTTCAGGTCTCTTGCAAATGCTTCTTGGGATATAATGAGGTTGCGATCCTGCGCGTGGTTCATCTGATTTGGCCAGCGATGCCAAATCATTGCGGTAGAACGTTAAGTTGAGGTTGAGGTCATCTTGGACTTCTGGCAAGAACCGGTTCGATCAAAGCTTCTCAACCAGGAAGCCTCGTCGTCGGCTTCATTGTACATGTCCATATTGGTGCACTGCAGCAGACGTAGGAGCTCTACATGGCGTTCTGCCTCTTCTATCTCCCACGCTGTTAAGACGACACGGAAGCGACTGGTGTCACGCGAGCTTGCTGAATAGCATCATCTGTCATGCGTATTAAACCACGTTTCAGGACATCCTTGCACTGTATAACAACTTGTGAACCAAAAAAACATGCTGGGAAAAGGAACTTTGAACTTACAGATTCTGAGTCTATCAGAGCCAAGTCACTTTGGTGACTTCTTGCAAGGGACTTTCCTGCGAAAAGGAGATCCGTTGGGTTTGGTCCACCAGGCTTTGCGCATGTCCCCAATTTGCTGGCAGCTTGGGTGCATCCAGTCATACGACGGACGATAGCATTTGGTAGATAAGGAGGATCCAGAAGTGGATTCATAGAACGAGGTATGTGACCCTTAGAGCGAGGGCGTTTTCGGCCGCTAGCAGCAACAGACCGCCAAGTAACACATCTCTTTGTGACGCGGCTACCCATTACTTTATCGGGGGTCTGGTCCTGCACATTCGGTGATCAGTGAAAACTTCTGGCGATTCGAACGTGACGATTACATGGTCACAGCCCTCTTGATGACGGCGTGAAGGTGAGCACCTAGGGCTCGACGTCGTTGTGAGACCAACTTTCATGCTAGAGGGTAAAGTAACTAAGGCTGGCAGCTGTGGAGCCGTCTAGGGGATAATTCATGTCAGAGCTTCGAAGTTTCAAAAAGTGCGGGACTTGGCCAGTCTGGGTGAGGTCTATACAGACAAGTCACAGACTTCCGTGTTAAAGCCTGGGGGACAAGTCTGCTACTAGGTGGTTGTTCGGAAAGTGCCGGGATGTCTGATGAGAGGTTCAAAACTGCTGCCATCCCCGCCAGTCTAGCATTCGAGTCTTGCCCTACCTGACAGACTCTTATCCTAGGAGATGGGTGACTGCAGCAGGTGCTAAGAACGTGGTCTGCGTCTGGCTTGGGCTTCGCTAAGCCAGTCGCTACTTGTTCAGAGTTCCATTTGGTTTGTGTAGAAGACGCGAGAGGTGACAGAGTGTGACGCTGTGCAGAACAGTTGATGCCGAACTGTGTCATTGACATTACATAATTATCTTTACATCTGACGGCAGACTATTAGAGTAAGTTCCGATAAGTACCCCACGAATCACGATCGTCTCTGTGCACAACAATTCAGGAAACAATATTGCGTCAAATTTATATCATTATTCCTATTATCGATCATCTGATGGCCAGAGGAATGAATTATAGAAAAATGAACACCGAAAACTGGTATCTCAACCGCTATCGAATTCGCCTATTAGGACTAGCCGCCGCCGAAAGGGTTGCGTAAAGGAAATCAAACCATAACTGCATGGATGCACTCACTGAGTGTATAACTAAGCTTACAACGGCCCTTGGCCCTTCGTTGGAATGCTGTTTACAAGGAAAGCCGCAGCTGTCTGGCTTGCTCTTGCATTTGAACGGGTTCTGACTGCACAGACACCTCTGTCGAGTCATACGCCTTCATCCTTTTACCCGGGGGTCGAAAGTGATCTTGGACAATGGGTCCTTGACGAAGGACCTGCGGTGAACGCGACAGGTCATCTGGTGTTTGAAACGGCCAATTCCCTGCTTCAACACTGGGCAAATACTCGTCATCGCATTGGTATGTTTGATAATACTGAACTTCAACCAGATGGGTCGCAACTCATCATTTGCCTGCAGGTCATACAATAGTCCCAGGGACTGTTCCCGTGGGGACTCTCCTCTATCATGGAGCTCTCACCGGTCCCCATTTACCGACCGCCTTGGATTGGGTGTCTGTAGAGCCAGACCACTCCACATTTTTCTCCAAAGGGCCAATCGAAACAGGGTGCTGGCACCTCACCCTTGCAGTCACTCGGCCGATGAAAGTGCTCTATTTTGACGGAAACAGCGCTGCGAAACTCCCTGAGGGCACTTTGGACACTCAAGATCTCGTGGCATGGTCGGAAATGAAACCCGAGTGGGTGTGGAATGAGGAGCAGCGCATAAAGGATCTGTGTAAATGGGGTGAGAAGTATGGCGTGAACGGCTTTGTGAGGTTCGTTGGATGTTGAGATGCATGTGCGCGAATGCCTGATGCTGATTTGGGAATCATAGGATGGAAATGAATTTGTGCGCATCCATACGTAGCTCCTTGGTGATTTGTTATTGACGACGGTCATAGTGAAATCATGATCTGCAACTTCACCTCTCACATGGAAATCGTCTCGTTCTTAAATCTCGAGAGCATGCGCATTGGGATCAGCACCGACCCGCCGCCAGAGGGCCCCAATACTAGTGAGCGACTGTGTTCATGTTTTGACGTAGGTCTGATTTATTGTCGGACATCAGTACATCACATTTTTGAATTCATGCATTCTGCTTCATGGCGCGAAAATTATCCAGGAGAAACCCGGATTATGCTTGATTTTTCTGGGCTTGTCTCTTTCTACGACACCGCTCTTGTTCCCTCCTTGGTGCCGCGCCGTGTAGGCTTGGACCGGTGGGATCACCGAGTGGCAGGAATATCACCGGAGGATATAGAGCGCGTCCAAGACAGGCTAGCTCAAGCGTTAGCACGACCACCCACGACCACTAGCGGCATTGACTGGAAAACGGTCTTGCGCGTGGTGGTCGATCGATATGCCAGCCGCCTGGAGTTCATACAGCACCTTTTGAACCTGACGTTGGACGATGGGTCGATCTTTGACCACGCACAACAAATTCAGAGACAGCTGCGCACCGTGCTTTTGCCCTACACTGTGTTTGCAGCTCTGCCTCCCAATACCTCCGTCACCGCCGACGCGACAAACTCGTGGGCTGCGCCAGTTTTTCGGGAATGTGCTACGTCGCACACGGCCTCCATAGCGTATCGTGGAACAACATTGACGCCCTCCGAACGTTTGCTCCTGCAGGCGGTGCAGGAAACTACGCATGAGATATGCCGCGTCGTCACGAAGATGTGGGCTTCCGGAATGAATTTTGGAGTCGACGCCTTTTATCCTCCGGACCAACGCCCTGAAGTTGATCACATACATACTCTCATGGGCGAATGGAAGGAGGACGTGACACAGTTAATTTCCTGGTTGGACTGGAGCGTGTGGGCGAAGTGCCGACCGGCCTGTGGTTTCGAGGTAACAAAGTCAAGTTCCTTGTTTGCGAAATGACTGACCTCGTCGTGTAGGAGATGTGCTATTTACCTACTTGGCCATTTGGGTTTTTCCGGGCTCCCGGCGCACCACCTCAAACCCAATGGGACAGTGGTTCCTTATGGCCAGACCCAAACAAAGGGGAATGGAAGCGACCACAACCCAAGTGCATCAGACGGCGGGAGCCATATAGTCTTTAGGATACATGATTCACATTACTGCTGATATATACACGTCTTTTGTACACAATTATTGCACTGGAATTTAAGCGCGCCGCGCCCACGTGGGGCCTCAGTATGATCGGAATGCCTACCTTAACAACAGTCCGACCCATTGGAATTGTAAGTGCTCTCATCGGTGCCGCTCTCCTGGCTATCGCATCCGTCACGGTTGACCATCAAAGCCTTCAGGTCTTTTGCAAATTCTTCTTGGGATTAAATGAGGTTGCGATCCTGCGCGTGGTTCTCGAGCTGATCGAGTAGTTCATCTGATTTGGCCAACGATGCCACATCATTGCGACGTTGGGTTGAGGTTGAGGTCATCTTGCACTTCTGGCAAGGATTGGTCCGATAAAAGCTTCTCAAACCAGGAAGCCTCGTCGTCGGCTTCCTTGTACATGTCCATATAATTGGTGCACTGCAGCAGACGTAGGAGCTCCACAAGGCTTTCTGCCTCTTCTATCTCCCACGCTGTTAAGATGATACGGAGGCGACTGGTTTCACGCGAAGCCTACTTTGCAAGAGTAGCTTGCTGAATGTCATCATCTTAGACCACGTTTCAGGACATCCTTGCACTGTATAACAACTTGTGAACCAAAAAAATATGCTGGGAAAAGGAACCTTGAACTTACAGATTCTACGTCTATCGGAGCCAAGTCACTTTTGGTGGCAAGGGACTTTGCTGCGAAACGGAGATCCGTCGGGTTTGGTCCACCAGGCTCTGCACTAGGGTACGGTTGAAAAATCCCCGCGACTTTTCAACAGCTGTTTATAAACAGACTGCCTCAGACCATTTATAACCGGGTGTTTTAAACAATTTTCAACCAATAGTTATTAACTGGTTAGAAAATATTTATCAACAGTGTGAATAATGTTTTCGCAGTGAAAAAATGTGAAAACTTAGAATATTCAGTCAACCGGCCTCATTTCCGACAACTTGAATGGTGCTTTGTTCTGGTCCATCCGAAAGTCCTCCGAGTCGTCACTGTCGTGTCCAGTGTCCTCGGCAAGCACGTCATTGGTAGTTGGTCTGACTCCTGGCACAGAGCTTCTTCCAGGCATCTTTAGCTGTTGGCACATAGAGTATCCCATTCAAGGGGTCATCTTTCAGCGTGAGAGCTATCCGAGTCTGAGCTCGCATTCCTGGTGTTGAACAGGGTGCCTATGCTATCTGGCATCTTTTCACTTCCTTCAACAATTGCCCATAGTCCTCGAAGGTCAAGAATTAACTCGACACGGTACTTCCATAGTTGGAAATTCGAACCATCGTTTTCGAGTGATGGAATGTCATATAGGCGATTGGAGGCCTGTGCAGTTCTACTTGTTGATGTAGAGCTAGATGATATTGAAGGGATGCTCGAGGACGAAGGAGTCACAGCTGGTAGGGCTGCAGACACTGAGGGTGTGTTCGACATTTAATTATTGTTTCGGTTGGTGTTCCTTTGTGGTACTGGATTGATTCTAAGCACCAGGGGCTCATAACCTTTTGTTCGAGGACACGTCGGACGAAAGAGAAGACAGAATGAGTTCTATAACGAAAGTAAGTAAGTGCTAGAGTAGTAGTCAGTATCGTAGTAAAGAATCTAAATGAATGATATCATACCTCAGTCTCAAGAGTCGAAGACTGAGTACTGAGGCCTGAGGTGCATAGCGTATTATGTAAGCGAGTGTTGTTTGTTGTTGGCCGAATCAAAGTTATCACTGATCTATAATCTTTCAACACTTGCCACGCCTCATATAGCAGAAAGGTACGTTATGGGGGCAGGAAGAACGAGTCTGTCGAGTGACTGGCATGATAGCATATCGATAAAGTTCGTCACTGATCTGTCACACTGATTCGAGATATTCAGGATGATCATAAATCAAATTCCATCTTTGAAACTTCTCGAAATTTTGCTGGCTGAACAGACTGTAAAGGGAATCAAACCATAACTTCATGGATGCACTCATTGAGTATACAACTAACCTTAAAACGGCCCTTGACCCTTCGTCGAAATGCTGTTTACAAGGAAAGCTGCAGCCGTCTGGCTTTTTCTTGCCTTTGAACGGGCTCTGACTGCACAGATACCTCTGTCGAGTCATACATCTGCATCCTTTTACCCGGGGGTCGAAAATGATCTTGGACAATGGGACCTTGATGAAGGACCTGCTGTGAACGCGACAGGACATCTGTTGTTCGGAACGGCCAATTCCCTGCTTCAAAACTGGGCGAATACCCGTCATCGTATTGGTATGTTTAAAACTCCAATCAGATGGGTCGCGACTCATCATTTGCGCCCTGCAGGTCATACAATAGTCCCAGGGACTGTTCCCGTGGGCACTCTCCTCTACCATGGAACTATCACCGGTCCCTATTTACCGACCGCCCTGGATTGGGTGGCTGTGGAACCAGAACACTCCGCAATTTTCTGCAGAGGGACAATTGAAACAGGGTGCTGGCACCTTACCCTTACAGTCACTCAGCCGATGAAAGTGCTCTATTTTGACGGAAACAGCGCTGCGAAACTCCCTGAGGGCACTATGGATACCCAAGATCTCGTGGCATGGTCGGAAATGAAACCCGAGTGGGTGTGGAATGAGGAGCAGCGCATAAAGGATCTGTGTAAATGGGGTGAGAAGTATGGCGTGAACGGCTTTGTGAGGTTCGTTGGATGTTGAGATGCGTGCGCGCGGATGCCTGATGCTGATTTGGGAATCATAGGATGGAAATGAATTTGTGCGAATCCATCGTAGTTCCTTGGTGATTTATTATTGACGACGGTCATAGTGAAATCATGATCTGCAACTTCACCTCTCACATGGAGGTCGTCTCGTTCTTAAATATCGAGAGCGTCCGCGTCAGCACCCACCCGCTCGATATGCCAGAGGACCCCGATACTAGTGAGTGACTGTCCATGTTTTGACGTAGGTCTGATTTATTCTCGAACATCAGTTCGTCACGCTTTTGAAGTGATGCATTCTGCTTCATGGCGCGAAAATTATCCAGGAGAAACCCGGATTATGCTTGATTTTTCTGGGCTTGTCTCTTTCTATGACACCGCTCTTGTCCCCTCCTTGGTGCCGCGTCGTGTAGGCTTTGACCGGTGGGATCACCGAGTGGCAGGAATATCACCGGAGGATATAGAACGTGTCCAAGACAGGCTAGCTCAAGCGCTAACACAACCACCCTCCACAACCAGCGGCATTGACTGGAAAACAGTCTTGCGTGTGGTGGTCGATCGATATGCCAGCCGCCTGGAGTTTATACAGCACCTTTTGAACCTGACGTCGGACGATGGGTCGATCTTTAACCACACACAACAAATTCAGAGACAGTTGCGCAACGTGCTTTTGCCCTACACTGTGCTTGCAGCTCTACCTCCCAATGACTCCGTCACCGCCAACGCGACAAATTCGTGGGCTGCGCCAGTGTTTCGGGAATGTGCTACATCGCACGCGGCATCCATAGCGTATCGTGGAACAGCATTGACGCCCTCCGAACGTTTGCTCCTGCAGGCGCTGCGGGAAACTACGCATGAAATATGTCGCGTCGTCACGAAGATGTGGGCTTCCGGAATGAATTTTGGAGTCGACGCCTTTTATCCTCCGGAACAGCGCCCTGAAGTTGATCACATACATGCTCTCATAGGCGAATGGAAAGAGGATGTGACGCAGTTGATCTCCTGGTTGGACTGGAGCGTGTGGGTGAAGTGCCGACCGGCCTGTGGTTTCGAGGTAACAAAGTCAAGTCACTTGTTTACGAAATGACTGACCTCGTCGTGTAGGAGATGTGCTATTTGCCTACTTGGCCGTATGGGTTTTTCCCGACTCCCGGTGCACCACTTCAAACCCGATGGGACAGTGGTTCCTTATGGCCAGACCCAAACACAGGGGAATGGAAGCGACCACAGCCCAAGTGCATCAGACGGCGGGAGCCATATAGTTTTTAGGATACATGATTCACACTACTGCTGATATATACACGTCTTTTGTACATAATTATTGCACTGGAATTTAAGCGCGCCGTGCCCACGTGGGGCCTCGGAATGCCTACCTTAACAACAGTCCGACGCATTGGAAGTGTAAGTGCTCTCATCGGTGTCGCTCTCCTGGCCATCGCATCCGTCACGGTCGACCATCAAAGCCTTCAGGTCGCTTGCAAATTCTTCTTGGGATATAATGAGGTTGTGATCCTGCGCGTGGTTCTCGAGCTGATCGAGTAGTTCATCTGATTTGGCCAACGATGCCAAATCATTGCGGTCAGCATCAGTGAACCGGTGAGCAAGTGAGAATGGTATTTAAAGCAATATATTGTAGAGCATCGCAACAATCTTCGTAAATCTTCTGACACATGGCATTGTCGAAGAAAGACGAATTTGCAAGCACACTAACCCAGCAGCACTATTTATTTCGCAAGCTTTTGCACTTGGATGGATGGACGAAAATTGAATGCACACAGGTTCATGAAGTTCATGAAGTTAAATACAACCGAGACTGAGAGGGTTAGGGTACGGCATCAGTAAATTCACACATTTCTTGACCTTCCTTTTTTGCAACTTGCCGCCGGGTAATTCCCGAAAAGGAGCGGCAAAGCCAGTCATAAGAACGGTGACACCAACTTGCTGTGAACTTGCCACAAGACGATTATAAGTCGAAAAAGTAGGTGCCTCCTCTTGACTTCAACTTTTTCCAACTTTATTTTGACTTTTTTGACAATTATTTTGCACTTAGTATTCCTACAATGCAAGTAGCAATACTTTATTGTGACTTATTTTGCACTTATCTCACACTTATTTCACACTTGTTGAGATGAAAATGACCACAAAACATTGCATTTCGAGTGATAAGTAGATTAAGTGAGAAAAAAAGGAGCGAAAGCAATATGAAAGTACTGGTAAGTAGTAAAAAAGAGACCTCAAACATGCGTAATAAAGCAAATAACACGACAAGTAGTAGTACATGCCAGTAGCGGCAACAACTTGGCAGAGATGCAGGTGGGTATACTAGTAGTAGTACTGACTCTATAAAACAAAAAGTAGCACCAAAAACCATCAGTCGCAAGACACTAGAAAACAACAAAAAAGAACAGTACCAGATATTGAAGATGAGCGCATGCTCATCCTCAGAATCATCCTTGTCTGGAATGAGGGGCACACCATGCCTCTTTGCGGTGATGTCCTTCGTACGTTCCCAGATGTCTCGGAGGACTGACTCTTTCATGCGGTTGATGGACTTCATGTAACCCCTGGTTGCCACACCATAGTTGGTGTCTGAGAAGGCCTTTCGAGCATTGCTAGCCTTGCCCGATGCTTTGTTCAAACTGTGGGGGATCTTGACAGCCTTGCCTTTACTGTTGACTTCCAATTCACTGACGAGTGTGTTTTTGAGCCCGATAAGCTTGAGGGCATGTTCCATCTGAAACATGAGAAATATGTTAGTTGTGATATGACGAGAAAGTGAATATACATGCCGCCACAGTGGCAAGACTAAGAGCGCCCTTTGCATGTGTGGTCTTCCTGTGGCTATCAACAGCGCCTAATGTAGCACATCTGTGCTGTACAAGGACCTGTATGAGGAGTTCCAACTGAAAGGGTTGCTTTAGATGACCATCCTCTGTGGTGCTCCCATACAGGAATCCTAGCCCAGAGAGTAGTAGGTTGTTGGCAAAGTCTTTGCGGTCTTGGTCAGTCTCGATATCAGCCTGCAATGACATGAAGTGTGTGAGTATGGAAACAGCAGTAGATCTGATGCCATTGCGCCACTCTGATAGCCGCTGGGTGGCCTAAGAAAAAAAGATCAGATAGTATGAATTGCATCAAAAATCACTTACTAGGGCCATAACGGGTCCATCGGTAGTGACCGTGTGCGGTATATCCTCGTAAACCACATCCCAGGCATCCTGCATAGTGGCGCAGAGAGTTGTCTCTGACTTGAGACAGCCCCAGACTTCATCTTGATCTCCAATGGCAGAAATAAGAGTAGGGATGAACACAGCACTCCACCTAGCCACTGCCTGAGGACCTCCAGGAAGATGTTTGATCCTGTAAGCAGCACGGGGGAGGATCTCCATATGTGCAATGTTCGTGACACCAGAAGTGACACTCGAAATGCTGGAAAGACTGTAAGTGTGTGCAATGGAAGGTTTTGCCCACTTTGCCATGGGAGCTTTATGCTAACATTTGTAGTTAGTATAATTTAAACATTAATTATTGAAGCATACTACCATGGAAGTGACCCGCAGGGATACTTGTTCAGATTCGGTCTTGACTATGGGCTTGGTCTGGCCCACAAATTTGACTTCAGATGAATCTTCCTCGATCACAAAGGCATGATAATCCATAAAGTCATCATCAACCATGAGATCATCCTCAATCTGGTCATCCTCGAGCAGGTTGTCCTCGAGCAGGTCATCCTCGATCATGTCATCAGTCAAGCCATCCTCCATATCTGCGAGCTTGCGCTTGACACTCGTCGTTGGAGTGGTAGAGCAGGATGTTTGAATTTGAGTTTGAGTTTGAGCGAGAGCTGCAGTTCGATGGATGTCAGCATCATAATATCCTTTGGGAATCTGTGTAGAAGGAGGAGGTTTGAGATCAGATTCCCTATCAGTGTCAGACATGTAGTCAACAAGTGAAGTTACTACTGGTGGAGCTGTGTCAGCATTCATTTCATTGTCTTTGTCTGCAATGATGTCAGGCTGAATTGTGTCGTGCTGTTGGTGAATCAGATTGGTGTTGCGATAGGCTAAGTTTGTTTGCACTGAAGTATCAGGGACCTTGAAGGAGATCTTGACGCCCTGGTGATGCAGTTAACACATTAAAAAAAAGAACTAGATAATCAAACTCACCTGAGCAGTCTTTGGTTTGGACATACGGGTAAGGGCTTGAGAGCGCTCGTCTGATTCTGCCAAATCGTCGTCTGCAAAGAGGGTCATAAAACGATCTGCCACATTACTAGCCCCAGCATTGGCGATAGTATTGATAGGCATGAGCAGGGCGCCACCGCTACTAATAGTACTCCCTCTAGTGAGTTTAGAGGAGGGAGCAGTACTAGAAAAGTTGGAAGGCATAGGAAATGGTCTGATCTTCAAGTCGGAGATTGGCTTTGGAACACTGTCCTCAGGAATATTCGACCTCCAACCATGGATATGCCAGACAGCAAGACCAAAATTTTTGGGACCTGGCATGCTATCATTATCATGAATAATTAGATTGAGAAAGAAAAAAACCGTTTCAGTCAGATGGTGTATCATAGTTGAGAAGGAATAATAAATGCCTTACACATTATCAAACTTCTTGTTGTCATCACGTGCCATCGTTGATTCGTCCATCAAGATGTCAACACCCGCTGCTTCTATTGCATCTCTCACTGGTGTCTTCACTGGTAACACTGTCCTCTTGCCCTTCTTTTTGTGTGCCCCCAGCACTCACACCTCCTCTTTCTCCTCTGCATCACTCTTAGGATGTTCGATGTTATCACTGGCTGCTAATTTACTTCCAGCCCTACCACCCTTGTTATTAGCGCTAACAACTCCATCCTTGGCCACAGTCAAGTTGGAGGTCTCTGCAGCTTTGACAGCCTTTTTGACGGGGCATGGGCAGGGATGAGCAGGCTTTGGTGCATCAGCGCGCATAGCAGCTTGGTCTGTCTGCATTTTTTTTTCTGAAATGCAGCAATGCGCTTATGTCCTTCTTGTACAGCTATTTCACTTGCCTGCTTTTCATCTTTTTCACACTGGTCATCAGCAGCCTTTTGAGCTTTGGTACATCTCTTTATGCAACCTTTGCCTCCGGTCAGGATATGCCCTGGATGCTGAGTTGCATTTTTAGCTCAAGTTGTCATGCATTTTGGAACTGTGCTAGCAGGCTTAGACATGGTATCAATGGAGCTCTGGGAGGCTGAAGAAAGAGAAAATCAAACCAGTGGTAGCTAACAACAAGGTGGGTTTCGTCACAATTCTCCAAAAATTGTAGCCTAAGCTGACTCTGAATAAATACATTTAATGACCCTACTTATGCCCTAATGTACCTACTAATATATTAGTGTGATATTTTGCAGCTGCCATTGACACCGGAAGCCTCAATTTTTATCGACACTTTCCGGCACTCCCGATACTATCAATACAGCGCTTTGCCGGCAGGACATCAATGTTCACCAAGACCTTTCCAGCGAGATAGTCTACTAGCACTTCCCACACTGTTAGTACAATTTGTGGGTGCAGTGAGGCCAAGGTTCACTGCTTTTCCAGCGTGGCTTGAACATCAATGTTCACCAAAGCCTCTTCGGTATGGTTTGCTCGCATCCATTCTGAAGCCCTGAGTCTATAGCCTTCATTTTAGCATTAAACTTTATATTTTTACCAGTTGGGTGTCATATCCTGCGTTCCGGACCCGGACCAATCACACAATCATCTCCGGACTTCTGGACTTCCGGATCCGGTCAGCTCCTATCTTCCATGCCTTTTCCCTTTGGTATTTCCCTTATCAGTTAGTATGCTTTATTTTCCGTCCCTTATTCATTTCCGTCTTCATTTTACTAAGTTCCGATAGACTAGTGATAGTCGTCCCATATGTTCTCTCCATAGCCTTGCATAGCCTCACACTGCACTAACTGTTTCTCCGTTATGTCCTCAGTAGTATATAAACCCTGTACAGTCTCTGTAGTTCATCAGTTCGAATATTATCTTAGACTCTGCTCATTCCCTCCTCCATCCAACTTGAGTTCCCCTCTCGTTGTCCTCCGCTAGTTTTAGGATTGACTCCTATAGACTTGTCACCTCCGCCTCTACCTCTGGTAGTCCTCCACTGTTTCCTTTCTAGTTCGGACATCGTCCGGATTAGTCTTATCACTTGTTTCCGAACGTCTGCCGGAATTCCCATGCATCGGACATTGGACTCTGGACATTGTCCGACAACCTTCGGACATCATCCATTAGCCTTCGAAAGTTAGGGGCACGTACTCGGGTAAGACCTCGCGCGAGTATAAGACAAGCAACTAACACCAAGCACATGAGGAGAAGTACATGTCCTGAGGAAGTGTAAGCGAAAGAAATATAATAAAAAATGAGATGCACCATGTACTAAACACACCGACCCGGCGACCACGGGTCACAAGGTAGAACGGGCCACTAGCTCCTGTGTGCGGAATATCGAAGGTGAAATTCTCATAATGATACTGGAACCTTTCCTCCCCGTCGACTATGATTCTAGTCATTTGGAGGTCGGGTAACCGCTGTGTGATTTCAGGTGGGGGAGAATGTATTTTCACAGCTGGTGGGGCAGGGGGCAGAGTTGGAGTGGTGGGAAGGGGTGGGGGTAGAGTCAGAGTAGCAGAAGGGATCAGTGGGGCAGGGGGCAGAGTTGCAGTGGTGGGAGGGGCTGGGGGTAGAGCCAGAGTAGCAGAAGGGATCGGTGGCAGAGTATGAGTATGTAGCGTGGCAAGAGAGTCAGTTGAAGGCGAAGTACAACTGGCTGATGTTGTGGACAGGCCAGAGTTCCATAGATCAGTGCTGTCGACAATGACTTGAACCAGATTATAAGCATCGTTTGCAGAGAGCATTAATGAAGACAGAAGTTGGAAGACAGCATCTGTAAAGCATGAACTACTGGCAGATGGAACAATTAGCAAGACACGTACCCAGCACAATATGACTTTCATGGTCCGACACGCTATGGGACACCATGTTTGGTCAGAGAGGACAACGAGGTTGAACGTTGAGTACTGAGTGATGATCGATGAACGTTAAATTTGAACTCACCTGGGTGCATGACTTTTATGTTATCTGTGAAGACTGAAGAACGAAGCTTGGGAGACTCGGAGAGGACAGGACATTATTATGTAAGCCACTGTCATAGAAGACCGATATCATCCTCAGCGATTCACCGTGATGCATGCGCATGCATACATCTTCAACAAATGGGCCAGTGAGTTACCATTATCGTACGGGAACAGAGTCAGTTGCTAATAGAAGAATTGGCTATAGATTACAAAGGGATCCCCAGCTGGTCACAAATGGATCGAGTTATACTGGTGAAGTTCAGGAATGCAGGTCAGTGAGGAATGGCCTAACGTGCATGATCATATACTAAATAATAATAACTTGTAGCTACAGCTCTAAGATCAGGTTTCTGGGCATACACCTCCTAGTCCATTTGACGAGCATGAGCACTTCTGCATCTTCCCTGGGGCCGTTGTCTTCAACCCCCGTTCAGGTCATACACTGTTCAGAGGAACTCCGGCAGACCTTACGGGTATCAACCAGTAAACGAAAGAAGAAACCAACCCTCAATTCATACTCACGGACCTCCAAGCAGTCAGTCCAGCAACGACAGCACACTCAGTATTGTGTTCACGATGATGGCTCTATCACCTATGCACGGAGATACATAGAACCTCCCAAGAATGCGCAATTGTCTCAGCCCCTTGCATGGGAACCTTTGCCTGGTTTCATACCTGATCTTTGCAATGATTTTACAGCCGGTGGACTGTCATCAGACGACGATATCACATCTTCATTGGATAATAGCCCAAAAAAAAAAATTCTGTTACTTATGTGGTTAGACCATCGGTCTTTGTTCCTTGAGGAGCTGTTGCGCCTGGAAGGCAGAGGTGACCTCCTGGAAGCTCCTTGTTCCCACTGCGGCAATTCTTTCCCCAAATATCAATGTCAAGACTGTTTTGGTATCGATCTTCGATGTTTGTCTTGCATCACGGCTGCTCACCAGCGTCATCCATTGCATAGGTTGCAGGTTAGTGTAGTGTTTCTTCATTATGCAAGACATTTTCTGACCGACCCCCATAGAAATGGAACAGCAATTATTTCGAACACGTGACTCTGAAGAGCCTCGGCTTCTGAATACAATTAGGCCATGCATTTGGCCAGAGATGCCCAAACCCCCATCGCTCCTTTAATGATGATTTTGTCGTCATGGATTCATATGGGATCCACGAAGTCTTACTGGATTTCTGCAACTGTGTGGGGGCAGGATCGCACGTACAGCAACTACTTCGCGTGTCCTGGTTTCCTTCAACAACGGCTGACCCCAAAACTGCAGCCACCTTTTGCCTCCTGGATGAGTTTCATTTGCTGTCTTTCGAATCTAAAGTCTTGGCATACAAATTCTATAGTGCGCTTGCGCGTAGGACCGACAACACCGGCCTAACTCCCATTAAGGTCAGTAATTTGATTTTTTGTGCTTGCCTGACATGACAATGTGGCTTATTTGATTTTATAGGACCGATATGAATCATTCATGAGGATGATCCGTGAATGGCGGCATTTGATGATGCTCAAGTGTTCTGGGAGAGGGCATGACCCTAAGGGAATCGACGCCACAGAAGACGGTGATTGTGCGGTCTTGTGCCCTGCTTGCCCACATCCAGGTAAAAACTTACCTGATGACTGGGAGCAAGCTCCTCGTGGAAAACGGTGCGCTGGAAACACGATAGTCGGTCGATGTCTGACATTTATTTTAGCTGGATCTACGCATTGTTCGTGGCCATCGATGCCAACTTCCACTTGAAGTGCAAAGTTGTCTCGAGCGATACCACAGACCCAAGTTTAAGTCATGGATTGGCATACTTTGTAGAGGAGAGTGCTTACAAGAAGTTGCTCGCAGAGAAAACTGATGTCCCACAAGAGGTGAGGCTACCTTGTGATCGCTACATTGGTCCTCGTTGATTCCTTTTAGAAATCTACGTGCGCTAGCCATAATGCCGTGAATATGGCTGATACAAAGACCAATTGGGGGCTAGCCGCTACAGGGCTTGGCACTATCGACTGTGCCCGTCATAACATGAAGCGTCCGAACGCCGTCGGAGACTTGCAAAAGGGAGAGAAGTAAGTCTACTCAATCACTGACAATTACATGCGCTGAACCACGATCGCCGATAGATACATTAATATGGACTACCTTTTTTTCAACACTCCATCACACCTCCTTGCACAGCCCATACTGTCATATAGATATATCCTAAGTGGACTATAATCCTAAAAGTCCGATACATACTCTTCTTTCATTATCCATCATCCAACAGGATGTATCCAGGATATATCACTCATTAGAATCACGCTGGCGGCTTCCCATGCTTACAAATCCTCATCTGGCAGCTTCCCATGCTTACAAATCACCGTTCTACGGGGGGTTGAATGCTCCATATGGATATTTGGCAGTTCACCTCTGTTTGCACCTTGCCATTGCCCCTGCCTTCCTCATTCTCCTTGATCCGGGATGATCGATCAGCAGGTGGCGATAGGATCTGACGATAGGATCACTTCTTGTACCTGTCAAGAAGTAATATGGCTGACACACTGCACAGCACTTTGACTTTGTGTTCGAAAATGTGTTCTTCAACCGTGAGAACAAATTGCGTGACTACCAAGGCTTTCAAACGCACCTGGTAACCTCCAACCTCCTGCTCTTCAGCGCCCACCAGAATGTTCTCCCAGACGCTTATGGAGCCATCTTGTGTACCCAGCAAATTTGGATGTCAAAGTACGAGTGCCTATGGATTGACCCGCTCGTGTTGGTCCATTGTCTGAATCCATGAGTCTAACTTTCATTACGATTGACTCCCTGATTTAGTCTTACTAGTTCTCATAATCGTTAATACTTGGGGCGGTACAACTCGAAGTACTCTTAAGTACTGAGTGCCTATGGATTGACCCGCTCGTGTTGGTTCATTGTCTGAATCCGTGAGTTTTAATTTCATTTTGATTGACTCCCTGATTTAGTCTTACTAGTTCTCATAATCGTTTATACTCGGGGCGGTACAACTCGAAGTACTCTTTCAGACACTCATTTTCCTTTCAGTTGAAGCTGACTTCTTTGAGCTCGCCACGATCAAGTAGGTCTTTCAGCCCGGCATCTGGAACAGACACATCTTTGGCACCCGTGATCACCGAGCTCCAGCCACGATGACACGGCTCCGTATTTCCTGCTCAGAGCGTCCAAGGGATCTTAGCATAGTCCGGGCTGTCCCAACTCAAGATGAGCTCCTGCATCAATGCATCGATATGTTAGTTCATCTGGCGTGCATTTAAGAGATCCTTGCAGCTAAATTAAACGAGATTAATACTACTACTATCACTACTAGTATTTGTCAATTGTGACATGAAGCTTTGGGCTGTGTAATAAAGTATCATGTAGCTGTATACTCACTGAGTATGATACAGTGTCCGTGCGTGGGATATTGGTCTCGATTTTTACACTACATTTCAATATTCATTTCACTTACTGCAGCTTAAATGCCCAGCCTTGTCGATCAACGCGTCAAATAACGTTAAGAGTACGTATCTAATTGATCTCATCCGCTGAGATGACTTAATGTCGACACTATGAAAATAGATGGCTCCTCGTAAATGGACAACATCCAAGCAGGAGGTGTGGCTTGAACCGTGGTACCAAAAGTTCGCCGAAAAGCAGAGTGACAAGAGTAGAAACCACCAAAACTTCTTTGCGGACCTTTATGAAAAATGGTTCGAGGTGTTTCCAGAGCCTCGCCCAAATAATATCACTGAATTGGGGCCATTAACACTGGGAGAATATGATAGTGCAATTCACACACGAAAAGCCGTAAGCTTCATTGAAATTTTCAAACCGACAACACTGAAAATGTTTGATAGAAATTACATATGCAATTCAAAAATAATTTTAGCGGGACAAAGGCAGGGCGACAAGCGAAAGCCAATGCCAACGACGTCTTTGACGCTGTTGTGCGGAAGATAACTGAATGTGAAAAACCTACACGAATGCTTCAGGAACACGAAGCTTATTCCAAGTTGTACTATGCTGATCGTGTTCAGAAATCCATCCAAGAGACGCTCAAGGTTGCACAAGCAACACAATCACTCACCAATGGTCAGCGAGTAGCGCTATTGAAAAAAGAGACCGCTACTCTGTATGCAGGCGAGTCTGAGGAGATCAAGGCTAAAGTGAGGGAGTACATCCATGCACAGAAGGAAGAGCGCGGTAAGGAAAAAGCCGAGCCTTGGAGTGATGAAGATCAGCAACAGTGTGTCCTGCTCGAGTTCACTGTGTAATAGTATCACCTGACATGCACAAAGGAATCTTACCAAACTGGCCACCATTGTGAATCAATTCCTCAAAGGCCTCGCTGATGCCACTGGTCTATCCTTCAGCCTTCTCAGTTGGAGGTCCATCTGCCGAGTTAGGTGGAATGATTGATGTCTGGAGGTATGTTCTACATCAGAGACTCAAAACTCGAGAGTCGAAATGACACTCAGCTGGACAGCTTCCATGTTGGAATGACGAAGCTGGGCAATAATTTTAGTCAGGCTTACCCTAAATTTGAGAGCGAGATAGTGGGACCATTCCGAGATTATCTGTATCGTGTGTACCAGTAAGTGTCATCTTTGACCATCCGTGACACCTTGTACAAAAAGGCTTACCATTTCGATAACAGCGGAGGCCGCAATACTGAAAGATCAGAAGATGGGGGGAGCAAGCAGCTCCAGATCATCATGGGGAGACAGCTGTGTGCGATGAGAATCAATCGTCATATCCTGTGATGGATGAGCTGTCCAAGCAGGATAAATCTTTGTCAGGCACGTTGGGATCGCCGGATATATCCGAGTTTCCTTCTTCGTCAAATGCTCCCACACTATCCTCTCCAGTGTCAACGCTGCCTTTCAGTTCTGAAAATATCATCTCTGGCGACAATCAACCAAACTGGCAGCTGGCCGACGATGGGTTTGATGACTTCCTAGAGACATTGGCCCAGAATCTGCCCATGTCAACTGTTGACTACTTGATGTCACATGTTCCACCTTCGGCTGAGACACCTTCCGTTCCGGTTCCAGCTGTGGCTGAAACACCCTATTGTCCCCTTCCTGCCAGTTTTCCCCCGTTCTGTCCATGGTGCTTATGTTGACACGCCCGAGCCATCTGATGGTATGCCCCCAGCTGATTCACTTCCTAGTGGATTCGCACATCCCACCGCACACCTTCCTGGAAATGAGGAGCCCAACAGCAACAGGCCAGACTGCACTCCCTCCATCTTCGATGGCAGAAGACCATACAGAGGACTCGTCTCCTCCATCCACCTCGTCCCACACTTCTGCTTCGGCAAATGTTGTGAATGAGGCTCAAGCGAATGAGGTTCAAACAGCCGAGGTTCAAACAGTCAAGGGGGATGACAACGGTGGACTCCGTAGAACAAGGCGTGCACACATCCCATCTACACGCAACAGCATCGCCAACTCAATCGGCAACAATTGCAAGGAGAACGCACTATTGAATCTGGCTTCAAAACGCAGCCATAACACTGATTCATCCGCTCGTGCGGGCCAGGCAAGCGAAGTAAGTCTCTTCTTGTGTTTTTACATCTCTTCTGCTCATTATCTCGCACAGAAGGCCTAGAGTGTGACATCACACAGGAGAATACATCCTCAAGGGCCTGATAGTACCTCTGCAGGCATATGTTTAGAGTCATCCTGTACATTACTATACCTAATACTTGAGTCTTGTTGCTAATATACTCGTTCCTATTGACCAATCAACTCGGAATTTGAACATTTGAACACAGTACTGTCTGAACTTTGAACATGTTGGTGCACAGGCTTCTCGATGATAATGATAGTTATGAGTCAAACATGCGAGTTATATACATATGGGCCAAGATGCAAAATATTAGCCTATTCAAAACTCGTAGTTCTGGTACAAGAATCCGTTGAGCAAATGCACGACGGCTCACATATTACAGTGACCTATCTCCGTATAATACGAGGGAACGGACATGCATAATATCCCGTATGATACGGGCCAGCGGACCATGGGCCCATGATAAAAATATCCTCGACTATGACGGATGGGCCGGGAGGCAAATTATTCCCGATGGAGGCGGGTGGGCCCATGCAGGGAATATATAGAGTAGATGAGTGGGCCGATGTATATGAATATTAGGTAGACGGGTGGGCCGAGGTAGTTGGATATTATGCAGATGGGTGTATTAAGGTAGATGTGTATGAGATAGATGGGTAGGTACTTGTTATCACATTCACGGGTGGGCCCAGACACATATTAAATTAGACGGGTGGGCCGAGGGTATTATAAAATATTGTATTAGACGGGTAGGCCCAGACACATATTAATTAGACGGGTGGGCCGAGGGTGTTGTATGGGATGTTGTATTAGATGGGTGGGCCGAGGGTGGTATAAAATATAGATGGGTGGGCCCATGTGTATCATAATTGTAGACATGATGGAGCTGAGGTAGTTGTACATCAACCAAATCAGAGGAGGTAATAAATCAAAGTTACCGAGTTCCTGGAGCAGCAGGTGATCTCCTGACATGGCCTTTGATGGTGCACAGGTTGTCTTGCAGAATTTGGAATCCGGGGTGCAAAGCTTGTGTTGCCCTATGAGACACCAAGTTCCGACCACCCAAATTTGGGTCAACCGTACCGACTTCTGAGTTCCAGGACCCGGGAGTCGACAAATGAATATCTGATAACCAGCACACTTCCAATCAGGTAGTATTTCATTGAGCAATGGATCATCCAAGGGGTCCCTTATCGGACTCGGTAGTCAATATAGGCAAATGATAATGAAAACATGAAAGTTGTTATTATGCTATTTTTCAAACCCGAGACCCTGAAACCCATTGTTCAACATGTCCATTTTTCACTCACTGCACAAATCACCGAGTTTCGAGTTTCGAGTGCCGAAACCCAAAACTCAAAACCCGGTGTGCAACACATCGATTGTTCATTTACATTACACAGATCATCGAGTTCCGAGTGTTGAGCGCCGAAACCCGAAAATATGTATGGAACATGTCCATTTCTTACTCATTGCACATATCACCGAGTTTCGAGTGCCGAAACCCAGTGTGCATCATGTCCATTGTTCAATTATATTACACAAGTCATCGAGTTCCGAGTTCCGAGGGCCAAAATCCGAACCCCGGACCCCGAAAATATGTGCGCAACATGTCCATTTTTCACTCACTGCACAAATCACTGAGTTTCGAGTGCCAAAGCATGAAACTTGAAACCCAGTGTGCAACATGTTGATTTTTCATTTATATCACACAAATAACCAAGTGCCAAGTACCAAGTGCCGAAACCCGAAGCCCGAGACCCGAAAATATGTATGCAACATTTCCATTTTTCACTTGTTGCACAAATCACTGAGTTTCAAGTGCCGAAACCTGAAACTCAAAACCGGGTGTGCAATATGTTCATCGTTCATTTACATTACACAGATCATCGAGTTCCGAGTGCCGAGTGCCGAAACCCGAAGCCCGAGACCCGAAAATATGTACACAACATGTCCATTTTTCACTCACTGCACAAATCACCGAGTTTCGAGTGCCAAAGCGTGAAACTTGAAACCCAGTGTGCAACATGTTGATTTTTCATTTAAATCACACAAATCATCGAGTTCCGAGTGCCGAGGGCCGAGACCCGAACCCCGAAAATATGTATGCAACATGTCCATTTTTCACTTGTTGCACAAATCACCGAGTTTCAAGTGCCGAAACCCAAAACTCAAAACCTGGTGTGCAACATGTTCATTGTTCATTTACATTACACAAGTCATTGAGTTCCGAGGGCCGAAACCCGAACCCCGAACCCCGAAAATATGTACACAACATGTCCATTTTTCACTCATTGCACAAATCACCGAGTTTTGAGTGCCGAACCCAAAACTCGAAACCCAGCATGCAACATGTCCATTTTTCATTTACATTACACAAATCATCGAGTTCCGAGTGCCGAGGGCCGAGACCCGAACCCCGAACCCCGAAAATATGTGCGCAACATGTCCATTTTTCACTTATTGCACAAATCACCGAGTTTTGAGTGCCAAAACCTGAAACTCGAAACCCAGGTGTGCAACATGTCCATTTTTCATTTATATTACACAAATCATCGAGTTCCGAGTGCCGAGGGCCGAGACCCGAAGCCCGAGACCCGAAAATATGTATGCAACATTTCCATTTTTCACTTGTTGCACAAATCACCGAGTTTCAAGTGCCGAAACCCAAAACTCAAAACCGGGTGTGCAACATGTCCATTTTTCAATTATATTACACAAGTCATTGAGTTCCGAGGGCCGAGGGCCAAAACCCGAACCCCGAACCCCGAAAATATGTGCACAACATGTCCATTTTTTGCTCACTGCACACAGTCCACAATTTCGGGGTTTGGGGGTTTTAAATCAACCTTTCATATATCCATACACATTTTACCAACCCCCGAACCCCGAAATTGTGGACTGCCGGGTTTCGGGGTTCGGGGGTCCCGGAACTCGGAACTCGGTATGTAAGACAACAAAAATATCTTTCGGGGTTCGGGGGTTAGTGAAATGTTTATAGATATATGTAGGTTAATTCAAACATGTCTGAAAATTTTCATTCGTCTCAAATGTCAAATCCTGAGTTCCGGGCTTCGGGACTTGGCACCCGGCACCGGCACTCGGGGTTCGGGGTTCGGGGTTCGGCACTGAAAATTTGACATTCAGGTGTTCGGGTTTCGGGTGATATCTAAATCAACAGCTTCGAGTTCTGCCAAAGCGTGAAACTTAAAACCCAGTGTGCAACATGTTGATTTTTCATTTATATCACACAAATCATCGAGTTCCGAGTGCCGAGGGCTGAGACCCGAAGCCCGAGACCTGAAAATATGTACACAACATGTCCATTTTTCACTCACTGCACAAATCACTGAGTTTTGAGTGCCAAAGCGTGAAACTTGAAACCCAGTGTGCAACATGTTGATTTTTCATTTATATCACACAAATAACCAAGTGCCAAGTGCCAAGTGCCGAAACCCGAAGCCCGAGACCCGAAAATATGTATATAACATTTCCATTTTTCACTTGTTGCACAAATCACTGAGTTTCAAGTGCTGAAACCCAAAACTCGAAACCTGGTGTGCAACATGTTCATTGTTCATTTACATTACACAGATCATCGAGTTCCAAGTGCTGAGGGCCGAAACCCGAAGCCCGAAACCCAAAATCATGTACACAACATGTCCATTTTTCACTCATTGCACAAATCACCAAGTGTCGAGTGTCGAAACCTGAAACCCGGTACTTCAAATGGACACGAATTGTATTTGTATGTATTATCCATTGGTGTAGGGTTCAAATAACTTGGGAATTGTATTTGTCAGCACTCGGTACTCGGTACTCAGTGATTGGTGGTCAGTGGTCGGTACTCGAGACTCAGTAGTCAATATAGGCAAATGATAATGAAAAATGACAGTTGTAGTCCACGTCAAGGTGAGTGTCTTGGTAGTCTTTCCTTGTCATTCGGCAAAACATCAGCAATAATGAAAAAATGAAAGTTGTTATTATGCTTAACTTCCTTACCGAAGGTTGTAGTCCAAGTCCAGGTGAGTGTAGTGATAGTCTTTTCTTGTCAATTGGTTATCTTGTTACTCATTATGCAGTACTCGGTACATGGTAATTGGTACTCAGTATTTGGTTTTGATACTCGGTACCCGGGAATCAGTAGTCAGCTTAATGAAGGTTGTAGTCCGAGTCTAGGTGAGTTTATTTGTAGTCTTTTCTCGTCCATTGGTTACCATGTGACCGAGATATAAGCTAAAGAAATCCGAAACATCAATAATGACAAATGAAATACATGTGTGCAGTAAGTGAGTCTAAAGATAAAAGAATGAATATTAATAGCGAGACTTGCACATTATGTCGAGATATCCAACATAACAAGCCTGTGATGTGATCAGAGACCTGGAATAACACCCATATACATCCATTATAATAGCTTAAAAGCTTAGAAAGATTCATGAAGGATTGATGTAATGATAGGCAAAATGACATATGTGTGGAGAGTGACAATAGACATCTTTTATACAAAGTCACATTTATATATGATTCAGGCCAAAAATATCATTACAAATATGTAGGATAGATCGTAAACTACCCAAGGAACCCATACTGCCTACTGCCCTGAGGGTAGGGGGTGGGTAGAAGGGATATAGTGAAAATATGAGTTGACCCAGCATTAAAGTCCTACCACTGCTCAACTAACCATTTTCGATGCTTTGGGTCTTTGAAGTTTCCCACACTCAATTTCTTACCCATTTCACTTCCTCAGTACTCAATTCTTGGTTGATTTGTCTGTAAATTTATCTCTATGATACTTAAGATATTTGAAATGTACCCCAGGTTTCTGATTATGAAGATTCAATGTTTTGAAGGCATGGGCCCCTTATCAGGTGAAATGGCAAGTATACACACTAGTTCACAAACTCCAGCCTATTGTGAGCTGATCTTGGTCATAAGAAGCAAGAATATAAGCTATGCTCATTATATATTAAAAGGTTGGATCATGGATGCAAGGGCAAGATACTGAAAATCGTGAAAAAATGTCACAAGTGCAATTGTCTATGCTTTGTTCCTGGAAAAGGATCCTGTGTGTCCTGGGCTGGTTATATGATATATCTACTCCGAATATGCTCAGGAATAGACTCCCTACAGTCCTTGAGGTCCAGTCCTACAGGGAAAAAACCCCAGCAGGTGAACCACCAGAAGAGGGGGAGGTACACTATACAATAAAGGATTACCCTATGGTCCTGAGCTCCTGATACATTGTTTCTATTGTTGAATAGATGATTGAGATACTATTCACCTAGAAATGAACACATAGGAACATATTTTGTATTTTTATGTATATATGCAATATCCATTCAAGCACCAAGTCCCGACACTTGATAGTTGATAGTCAGTATTCGAGCTCCGAGTGCCAATATTGCCTACCAATATCTCAGTCAAATGATAACCAAACCAAGACCCAAGTTCCAAACCTGACTACTGAATACCAAGTATCAGTACTCGGGACTCGGGACTATTGGCTGGAGTACCCAACTATTGATTCACAGGTACCGAGAATTAGAACCAAGTACTGAGTACCTGACTACTGATTCTCGGGTACCAAGTATCAGAACCGAGTACCGAGTACCCCACTACTGATTCTCGGGTATCAAGTATCAGAACCAAATACCAAGTACTGATTCCCTTGTACCGAGTACCGAGTAACGAGATAACCAATTGACAAGAAAAAACTACCAATACACTCACCTTGGCTCGGACTACAACTTTTGTTCAGGAACTTAAACATAATAATAACTTTCATTTTTCATTATTGCCGATGTTTCAGATTTCTTTAGCTTATATCTCGGTTAAATGATAACTGATGGACAAGAAAAGACTACCAATACACTCCCCTAGACTCGGACTACAACCTTCGGTAAGGAAGTTAAGCGTAATAACAACTTTCATTTTTCATTACCATTTGCCTATATTGACTACCGACCAGTGGCTGAGTGCCGAAGCTTGAAACTTGAAATCGGTGGAAAATGAAATCTCGCAACAATGTACACATGAACATGTTTCATTTCCATAAACAATTCCCCGAGTGTCATGTACCGAGCCCCGAAACCCAAAGCCTGAAGCCCGGACTGTGTTGTCAGGTTAGTACAAGACACTCGGTGAATTGTCAAAGGAAATGAAACATTTTCATGTGTACATTGTCACTGAGATTTTGTTTTCCACTGATTTCAAGTTCCAAGCTTCAGCACTCAGCATCCGGCACTCGGAACTCGGAACTCGGCGCTCGGAACTCAGAACTCAGTGAAATGTCCAAGGAAATAGAAATTTCACAATTCCCTGAGTTAGTACAAGACACTCAGTGAATTGTCAAAGGAAATAAAACATTTTCATGTGTACATTGTTGCAAGATTTCGTTTTCCACTGATTTCAAGTTTTGAGCTTCGGCACTCGGCACTCGGAACTCGGAACTTGGCGCTCGGAACTCGGAATTTGGCGCCCGGAACTCGGAACTCAGTGAAATGTCCAAGGAAATAGAAATTTCACAATTCCCCGAGTGTCGTGTACCGAGCCCTGAAGCCTGAAGCCGGGACTGTGTTGTCAGGTTAGTACAAGACACTCGGTGAATTGTCAAAGGAAATAAAACATCTTCATGTGTACATTGTTGTGAGATTTCATTTTCCACTGATTTCAAGTTTCAAGCTTCGGCACTAATTTGGAACTCGGGACTCGATTTTTGAGATGAAAGACATTTTTCAAACATGTTTGAATCAACCTTTCATATATCCATAAACATTTTACCAACTCCCGAACCCCGAAATTGTGGACTGCCGGGTCTCGGGGGTTGGGGGTCGGTGCTCGGGACTTGGGAAATTTGGGGAGATCAATAAAATTTGATCTACAACAAATTTGATTTACAAACAAATTGATTTACAAACTTTTGAAAGATATGTCGTCTCACATATCGAGTCCCGAGTTCCGGGACCCCCGAACCCCGAACCCTGAGACCCGGCAGTCCACAATTTCGGGGTTCGGGGGTGATCTACAATAAATTTGATTTACAAACAAATTGATTTACAAACTTTTGAAAGATATCTGTGTCGTCTCACATATTGAGTCCCGAGTTCCGGGACCCCCGAACCCCGAAACCCGAGACCCGGCAGTCCACAATTTCGGGGTTTGGGGGTGGTAAAATGTCTATGGATATACAAAAGGTTGATTCAAACATGTTTGAAAGATGTCTTACCCGGAACTCGGGACTCAATTTTTGAGATGAAAGACATCTTTCAAACATGTTTGAATCAACCTTTCATATATCCATAAACATTTTACCAACCCCCGAACCCCAAAATTGTGGACTGCCGGGTCCCGGCTTTCGGGGTTCGGGGGTCCCGGAACTCGGAACTCGGTGAAGGTACAACAATTCAGAGAGTGAGTCTGAACAATGTTGGGTCTTGCAGAACCTAGCTGCTATTCAACCCTAAAGGGTTTCTGGACCAGGCTCAAGGCTCAGAGGAGAGGAAATATCATGAAAACTTGCTGAGTACTCTGACTCCTACTGGTAACTGGTGAAAAGATAACTTGCTTATGTAAGCTACAAAGGTGCCAACATAAGGTAAGGTAAAAACAGTCTCTACAAGCCCAGCCAGAAATGAATCCCTACATCGGTATGTGAGACAACAAAAATATATTTCAAACACGGGTAAGTCAATGTGTTTGTCAATCAACTTGATTGTAAATTATATTTTATTGATCTCCCCAAATTTCCCAAGTTCCGAGTTCCGAGCTCCGGGACCCCCGAACCCCGAAACCCGACACCCGGCAGTCCACAATTTCGGGGTTCGGGAGTTGGTAAAATGTGTATGGATAGATGAAAGGTTAATTTAAACATTTTTGAAAGATATCCCATATGAAATGTCAAGTCCCAAGTTTCGATTTCCGGGTTTCTGGAGTGCCAAGTCCCGAAGCCCGAAGTCCCGAAACCTGGAGTCCCGAAACCCGGAGTTCAAAACTCGGGACTTAACATTTCATATGGGACATCTTTCAAAAATGTTTAAATCAACCTTTCATCTATCCATACACATTGTACCAACTCCCGAACCCCGAAATTGTGGACTGCCGGGTGTCGGGTTTCGGGGTTCGGGGGTCCCGGAGCTCGGAACTCGGAACTTGGGAAATTTGGGGAGATCAATAAAATATAATTTACAATCAAGTTGATTGACAAACACATTGACTTACCCGTGTTTGAAATATATTTTTGTTGTCTCACATACTGAGTTCCGAGTTCCGGGACCCCCGAACCCTGAAACCCGAGACCCGGCAGTCCACAATTTCGGGGTTCGGGGGTTGGTAAATCTCGGTTTGGGGTTTTGCACTGAAAATTTGACATTTATACATATCTAGGCTCACCCATATATGTACCCATCTATGTACAATTCCCCCACATCAGCCCACCCATCTATGTATTATCCCCCACGTCGGCCCACCTGTCTATGTAATACATCCTATGTTGGCCCACCTGTCTATATAATTATACCCCACCTCGGCCCACCTGTCTATGTAATAAATATTTTATCACACCCTCGGCCCACCCGTCTATTTGATATCCCTTTCGTCGGCCCACCCATATATGTAATACTTTTATGTCGGCCCACCTGTATATGTAATACACCCCGCGTCAGCCCACCCATCTATGTAATATTCCCCTACCTCGGCCCACCCATATATGTAATACACCCCCGTCGGCCCGCCCGTCTATATAACAATATTTGCCTTACATCTCTTTTCAGCCCAGCTGTCTATAATATCCTACTCTACATATTACCCTGATGGGCCCACCCATCTCCATGAATGATCATATTCCCCCGGCCCATCCGTCAACATCAAGGATATATATATCATTGGCATACATGGGCCCACCCGTCTCCATCGGAAATAATATGTGTCCCGGCCCATCTGTCATCATCGAGAATATACACAACATGGGCCCATAATCCGCTGGCCCGTCTCATACGGGATATTATGTAGGTCGGGTGGCCCGTATAATACGGAATTTGTCACTGAAGGGGCTCGACGGCTAACTCAGCATCTCCGTCACTTAGCGCATGACAGTAAATGTCTTCCACCATGGCAATGGTGTCCCTCATGCTCCGGCAAACTTGGTCTGCAGCACGCCACTCATCACAAACCCTGCATAGTTGAAGGATGCCATCTTGCCCTCGAGTAGCTCTCTTGAGGAAGTCCTCAATACTCAACATGGCACGTTTGAGGATTTCTCGATCCCCGTGGCCTCCAGGAGCGTCCGGAATAGATTTGGTGTATTCGGCGAAGACGCCCAAGGTGAAGGTTCGCGGCGATCGAACATGTTGCATGAAGTCGTCCTTAGCGTATTTGACCACGGCAATGCAATCAGCCAATGTCTCTCTAAGAACAATATTATATACACATCTAAGGCATTAATATTTAGAACTCACAGTGATTCGTGGTGATCATCTGAATGGTCATCCGTGCACTCGTCATTGCTGCTATCACCGTCCCCTTGACGGTTTTTGTTAGCATGGTATCTCTCCCTCCTCTTCGCGAGGATCATCTCACGGCACCTGCATCTTTTATCAACATTGGGGATTAACCGAACTAAATGTTGCACACCTGGCGTAGTACCGTGTGCGCTTGGCTCTCATTGCCTCGAGCTTAGCAGCCGCAGTTTTATATTTTGTTGGGGGGGCCATAGGGTAACTATGAGAGAGATGGTGAGACGATAGAGAGGAAAAAAAGAAGATGAAACCAAAGAGAGTTCGGGAAGCTTCGATTTGTTGGACCATATTAATCATGAGCCTCCGTGCAAGGATTATGGCTTATGGGCCCATGGTGCTGATTCGTACTACCGTCTGCATAATGCTGTAGATATCGGATGTGAGTGCGGTGCATGACATCAATGATAATTGGCACTTTTCTCGTTGTCAGACGGTGGGTGAGTGACCGCTAACTCATCGCTGTAGTGTAGTTGGGTGTTGTTGGTCCGACCTTAACAGATTCAACTGGAAAGGAGTATTAATGCGGTCCCGCAATTCAATATCCAATGTTTAAATTTTAAGTCGCATTTGGAGTGAACTAACCTTAGTATCATGAATCGTTGTCATGAGATGGGGTACATACATCATCCTGAATTCAATCGATTTGTTAAGTGAGTTTTGGTCCGACCTTATTAGATTCGACCTGGAAATGAGTATTGATGTGAAACCGCAATTCAATATCCAATGTTCAAATTCTAAGTCGTGTTTGGAGTGAACGAACCTTATGTTATTTGTGAATCGTTGTCGTGAGATGGTATACATCATCCTGAATTCAATTGATTTGTTAAGTGAGTTAGACGACCAATGTAGGGGACATGTAGTACTACTTTATAGCATGGTAGGACTGTATCAAATGACGCTACATGTTCAATGCCGTGACTGTTAGACTTAATTTAATTCTTCCCAGTCACATGAGCACATCACGTTTCGGGCTCTCACAGATCACCCGAGTCAATGTTCAAACGTTCAACACTTGTGCTCAGGCAAAATACTGGTGAGTATCATACGAACTATCAACTGCTGGTATGGACTGACTACTCACTTAGGCACTATAGGTTGAAGTACTACTACCTTCCGGCCCGGATGCTTCGACGTTTGGCTTCCAAGGCTGGTAGCGCTTCCACTTCGATGGTACCTACTATTCAGGTTTGCCTTGTGGCTCGATATTTGTTGCTATGGGCTGGGCTAATCTTCTTCAGAACAATACTGCATACAAAGGTACGGACAATGCTCTCCACGCCTCGAGTTACCCTCCCACTGCTGACTCGTACTAGTAACATCTATGTCAACAACGTCGATACTCATATGTGAGTAGCGTACATACTCTAACATTTTTTGTCTGGGCTGAAAATTATTTGTTCGGTAGCTTTTTCGTGGTGCTTCCTGCAAGATTCGTTTTGTTTAGGTCCACCTTGTGGCTCAACATTTGTTGCTATGGGTTGGGGCGATCTTTTTAAGAACCACACTATACATGAAGGTACGGACTATGCTCACTTTCTCCAAGCTTTTAGTGAAACTAGCCCACAGCCGAGTTATCTTCCTGCTTATTCGCGCTAGTACGTCCATGTCTGACACTCAAATGCTGACACGCGAGCAGTGCAACATGCTCAAACAGTTTTTACCTGGGTTTAAACTTGTTCGCTCTGGGTCTGTGGAAGAGCAGGATATGTTTTGGGAGAACATTTTCACCCAGTGGTTCACAGCTTGGCCCGAACGTGCAGTACACTACTCTGGGGCACCGCAGGAGCAGGATCTGTCCGACTTACAACAAGTGTTGCTCAAATTTGCGATTCAATGTCGTCAACGAGTACGTTATTTATTTCCTATGTAGTTATAACATATATTGATTCGATGATGACACAGCAGATCAAATCATTTATTTATGCAAACACTATTGGCAGAGAGATGCGCCTGGTATCGTCCACATTGAACGACTTTTTTAAGGTCAAGAAGCTGGCGAGGTTTGTTGCATAATTTATTCATCGTAATAATAACACTCACAATAGCACAGACAGCATTGATGCGGTGATGATGGCATATGTTTGTAGATAAAATATTGTACTAGACAGTGTCGTTTTGTTGCTTCGGTATTTAAGTCAGTTTCAATTATCCATTGTGATATATCGCTCGTGGTTCTTAACAACATTCTAGGATTCTCCCGCAGCACATATGGTATGTATGTTGGCTTATGCGCCACTGGATGTATCACCAATTTATGTAGTAGTGAAATTTAATGTGTTGACACCTAGACAGGCAGCGTTAGCCATGTCACAGTCTGGATGCACTGGGCGTCCCTCTAAACGTCCCAAACTTGTCAGGCATACACTGCTAGACCCCAATCAGCCCTCGAATCATGTCGACAGGCATCGCATATTCAGCTTGCAGCGTAGTGGTCAAGTTGGACTTCAGACATCTTACATTCCTACTAGCTCGCCTGAAAAGGAAGACAAAGATATACCTGCGTGCACTCTGCCCACTGGTGCTGACCCTACTGCACACACTGACGATGATCCTTGGAATGAGACGGAATACTTTGACCCTGCATGTGAGGTGGATGATGCCTTTGGAGCGCCTGAGGTACCAACGGCCGAAAAGAGACGCAGGAGAACTGCAGGAGTAAGTCTCCAGTGTTATGAAGAAGCTGTATCTAATCTCAGAACATATAGGACAATCCCATGTCCCTTTGGCTACCAGAACGTCAAACATACGTGAATAAATTTATACGACTGGAAGGAAGAAGTCAGGGTGCAGACACCCAATGCAAGTGTGGTAGCCATGATGCAGTTTTCCACTGTCAAGATTGTTTCTCTGTCGAGCTTACATGTCGGTCTTGTGCCATTGGATCACACCTCAACTCCCCACTCCATAGAATCAAGGAATGGAGAGACGGATTTTTCCATCCTGTCTCTTTGAAGTCCATGGGTTTGCAAATACAGCTGGGTCGCCCACCAGGCACTACTTGTCGGAATCCAAGACCTGCCTTTGGTGACGACTTCGTGATCATCAACATCCACATCATACACCTTGTCGGACTCAATTTTTGTGGATGCAAGCATGAAGTTTCACACTTCAAACAGTTGCTCCGTGCACGCTTATTCCCTTCCACAGTAACCGACCCAAGAACAGCAGCAACTTTTGCTGTTTTGGAGTCCTTTCATATACTTTCGTTCGAGTCTAAAATCTCTGCATACGAGTTCTTCCACGGCTTAGCTCGGCGGACCAACAATACTGGTATAACACCCATTCGTGTAAGTCTATCCTCATACCTCTTTGCAGCATACTTACACCAGTGCAGGATTGTTATTCAGTGTTTCTCCGAATAGTCTATCAGTGGAAAAACATCAAGGCACTCAAACGTTCTGGCTGCGGCCATAATCCTGCTGGTGTTGATGCTACTCAAAATGGAGATCTAGCAGTTCTATGCCCCGCATGTCCTCATCTGGGGAAGAACTTACCCGATGACTGGAAAAATTCACCTGAGCAGTGCGTAATTGTCTGAGAATACAACAAAACAACTGACACAATGAGCTAGATGGAAATTTGGCCTTTTCCTTGCTATAGATGCCAACTTCCGTCTCAAGCGCCAGATGGTGTCAAGTGACATCAGAGACCCCGGCCTCAGCCAAGGATGGGGTTATTTTGTTGAGGAGAAGGAATATAAGTGTTACCTACATGCAAATGGTGAAACCGTTGTAGGGATTCATTTCTGGCTGGGCTTGTAGAGACTGTTTTTACCTTACCTTATGTTGGCACCTTTGTAGCTTACATAAGCAAGTTATCTTTTCACCAGTTACCAGTAGGAGTCAGAGTACTAAGCAGTTTTTCATGATATTTCCTCTCCTCTGAGCCTTGAGCCTGGTCCAGAAACCCTTTAGGGTCGAATAGCAGCTAGGTTCTGCAAGACCCAACATTGTTCAGACTCACTCTCTGAATTGTTGTACCTTCACCGTCCAAGAGGTGCGTGTTTGATGATCTCTTAAATTCGTGTCTGACAATCATCTGCATCTCCAGAAAAGCAGCTGCATTAGCCACAATGCAGTGAACATGGCGGACACAAAGTCTGAAAAAGGGCTTGCTGCCACTGGTGTGGGAACCGTAGATTGTGCACGCCATGATATGAAATTGGCTAACGGTGTTGGCGACTTACAGAAGGGCGAAAAGTAAGTTGATTCTTTGACATGCGCTGTCCATCTCTAACTCATGTCGTCTTAGATATCTCAATATGGATTACCTTGTGTTCTCGGCTCTCACCAGGTTCTCTACACTGTCAACAATCAACTTTTCCTACGACATCACTTGCCAATGGCACAAGAAACTCTGGGATCGCTTGCCCATGCTGCCATCTCATCTTCAGTTCGACTGAGATGGTAAGACTATCAACTACTTTGTGCCGAAATTTCACCTTGCTGCGCATATCGAAATTTGCCAGACTCAATTCTCATTCAATTGGACTCCGGGTGTGGGACAGACTGATGGCGAAGCACCTGAGCGCGGTTGGGCAAACATCAATCGTGTAGCCAGTAGTACAAAGGAGATGGGCCCTGGAGCCCGACGTGATATGCTTAACGATCATTTTAGTGATTGGAATTGGAAGAAAGTTACAGGCCTTGGTAAGTGTTTAGTCTTCGTGAATGTATAGTGCTTATATCTCCTTGCTCTAGGTAAAGTTATGCTACGAAAAATCACAGAAGCAGTCGTGGTTGAGAAGGAGCACCGCCTGGCTCTCTGGGAGCTTGAGGGCTCTATCAACGAGTCAGAAACAGGAGCCGCTTCCCTCGCTACATGGAGGACAGAGATAGAAATCTAGGAGAAGGACCACTCGCAACGTAACCCATTCCAGAGCAGAGTTGACGGTAAGTTGTTCTTTGCGATTACAAAAAATTGCTCACAAATATACAGCGATGACCCAGGCAGCTGTGCGACTCGAGTTAGAACAACGGGATGCAAAAGAATTGGAAGATGGGTCAGCAATATCACTCCATGCCGAAGTTACCTGCAGTGTTCTCATTAGCACTGGTATTGACTTGGAAGATGCCCAGTCAGTCGTTTCAACTCTTTCGCACAGCGTTGCTGAGTATACTTGTATTTTTAGACGTTGTTTGCGTGTTGATTCCTCTGTGCTCGGTCAGCACTCAACTGATATTCAGAGGACTAGGATCTTAACTCGAAGAAACGCACTTCAACATCGCCTAGACGCCTGGACCGATATTCAAAGACTCTACATGCCAGCGGTTCCAAACCTCCGAACCTCTGCAAGCCTCCCAACCCATGCCAATGGTAACGATAGCGGCTGTCCAGTCCCAGATCTCACCTCCGGAAAGGAAGAAGACTTTCAGTTGCTTCTGCCTTCTGAAATCTGTGATATTGTGCCATGCGACAAGACACTCCTTGAAACGTAATGGTCTCTGCGACTTGCCCAAGCCAACAATGCTCTGAATGACTGTCATTCACAAATCCGACTTCGCCGTCAGCTATATCAGTTCAAGGTTCAGCATTTACGCGGCCAAGGGCCCAACACCCATGCACGCAAAACTCTGGATACGGTTGAGGAACATCTTACCCTGAGCCATGCCAAATATGTAAGTGCTCGTGAGGCGCTCGTCTCCTTGGCTCATCACCTTGATTGGATAGGATGGGAGCACAAATTGCAGCCTTTGAAAAAGGCACACCTCAGACCAATTGGGGACTTCAGCCAACAGACGCAAGGCACAGCTATCATGTCATGGATTTGGCTGACTCAAGGAATATCTTCTGATGATACCGAGGGAATGCAGGAATGTAAGTTGGTTCGAGTCACTCTCGCTCTTTTGTCGTCGTATGCTGAACTACTGCGATAGCGCTTCGTGTCGAGTGGTGTAAAGCCCGAGCACGTCGTAATAGGTGGTCAGAGGAGATCCAGCTCTTGTTGGAAGAAATGCGACACATCCTTGTATTTCTTCGGTGGCAGGGAGACTCTTGGGACTCCCATGCAACCCTACGAACCGATGGGCAGCCAGAGTATCAGGAAGGTTTGATTGCATATGCTCGCTGTCAAGCTCACATCCAACGAGGTTTAGTGGCGGCTTTTGCAGAACATTGGAAGAGAGTGCCACATCTTGTGGCCTCGAACTCGGATGCTGATCCATGTACTGATGATTTCGACGAGGGGATCTCTTTGGACGCACCTCCTTGTGAGTACATTGAGGGACCCGATGAATAAATAGCGTTTTGTACCCTGTACCATGATTGTGAAAATTAAATTGATGTGCTTCTTGATCTCAGAACTACATAGTGATATGGTACCTAGAGAGATCGCGAGATTGCTGACAACAAAATAAGATCTCAAGATTGTGAAGACTAAAAACAATATGTTCCCGGGGGATGCTGATGACAAAATGAGATTTCGAGATCGCGAAGACTAAAACAATATGTTCCCCGGGGATGGGCAGCCACTGTCCGAGAGTTGTAGATACCATTCTGAGACGTTCGGTAGGCTGGCTGATTGATAACTATACAGAACAGATATATTCCAGAGTGGATAACTAGACTTAAAGATGTATCGGACTTTTAGGATTGTAAGCCATAAGGATATATCTTTCTGCCTGTATCCTGTGTGTAAATTTGTCACAAGTGTTATGTACCACATGGAGGCTCGTCCAGCATCGTCTCAGCTCGAGAGTCAACGACACGACTTGGTAGGTTGGGCTGGTCCGAGCGTTAGCTTGGGGTAGGATGCAAGCAGGTGGAGCCGCTCACCCAATAAGCTGGAATGATCCGCGGCTCCAGCCACTCAGCCCAACCACGAGTGGAGGCAACGATCAGCATGCGACAGCGTTAGCCATGTGCTGGGACGAAATCTGTTCGAAGGCGCGAATATAAGTTTCATATGCTAAGGACTTCCAACGACCGGCAATTTGTATGATCTCTGGGTCGATTTTCTTTGCTAGATAGAATGAAGCACCGCCTATGCGGAAAGAATGGCCAAACGACGTTCCCCAGCCCCACGCAACTAAAATTGCATTGATGCGCTCCATTGCACGGACCTTTGCCATGGGGCGAATGTCCCCTTTGCTATCGCGCCACGAGAACAGTGGGTCACCAGCAAGGGCAGGTACGACTAGTGCCATGTTGTGTAGGGCTGCAAGGGGACACAAGTCTCCTTGTTCATTGAGGAAGACAGATTGAGTCTCTCTGGCTCGAGCTGTTTTCGCCGAAGGTAGGTCGAGACGTGCATATGGGTTCCCTCAAAGGTCATGGCCAAAGAATGTGTTTGCCCGAGTAAGGTGTTTGGCTGCATTGAAAGCAGAACAAGAGTGGATGGAGATTTCGCCGAAATGCATCATGCCGAAGAATGCGCATGAAGCCATGGCCCAAGTGCAGGCGTCGAATGGGTCCGATAGTGTTAGGGTTGCTTTGAGAGCTGACAACATTGGGACTGTTATAGGTGGTCGAAGGGGCTTACGACGACTACCTTGTATGTTTTTTAGACCCCGCAGCGACCAATTAATATGATCGTGATGAGCATCTGAAAGAGGTGGTGGCCACCCTTGAACTATATGCCAAGCTCGTACCGCTGAGAGATATTTTCGCGCGACTCCCACTGATATTGGTTCGAAGGTGGTGCCTGCTGCGCTCAACAACGGGTTACGAGGGTCTGGGTCTGTGACAGCCCATAAGGCAAATGAGTGCAAAAGTTCGAAGGATGCTGGTAATCGGTCGTGCTCCGGTATTGAGAAGATGTCGCAAAATTTGTGGAATTTTCGAAGCCCGGCGCCGTAGCTTGCAGTGTCGCGAAGGGAGGCACGATTAGCTAAGCTGGCTAGATGCTGAATAACGGGGTGATCAATAGTGCATGGGGGAGGTGAGTTTGTGCCTCTCCAAAGGAAGAGCCGCTCTGTAGCCTTGCATTGTGGACGGAGAGATGAAGGATCCTGACATGTGCTAGGTGACGTGGGAGTGTGTGTGGCATCTAATGATATTTGGTGTATGGCTCTTATGACAATCGGATGAGCTTGCCAGCTAAGTGCAAAGGCAGGGGAATGGGGGGTGACTGGACTGCACCAGGGAAACCTGCTAAGAAGGCCTCGATGTCACCTCAAGAAAGTGCATCTGCAATATTGGTGCGAGTAGGGACATAAACTGTGTGGAGTCGAGCTCCATTTTCTGCCTGCAGCTGGTACACTTGCTTTAGGATGGCGTTGGTCTGTGGGCTGCAAGATCTGCCCTTGTTGGTGACTGCTATGATACCAGCATTGTCTGACCGCACCAGGTAGGCTGAGTTCTTTGCCACACCGTGACCAATGAAACCTTGGATTAATGTTAAGAGCTGCTTGACGAACGAGGAGCTATGAACAAGTACCCATCTGTAATGCTAAGCGAAACCCTAGCTTGAGGGCTGCAGCCTCTGCCCACCCTATGTCGAAGTCCAGCTTTGGGCCAACTTTGAAACCTGGTGCCCAGTGCCATGCGGCCCAGTGGCCTTGCACAACTACTCCTATCCCAAAGGAAGAACTTGCATCGCCCCACCAACCGATATCAAGTGGGGATGGGTCTGATAAGGGAACGGAGTTCGGGAGACTCAACAGCAAGGACTGAATCCAGGGTAAGTCTGCAATGACAGCGGCAGAAGGCCTGAGGTGTGCACATGCGGATCAAAAACTTGCAGCGAAGAAAGCGATGGATGACAAGAACGGACGAATTAGAGGGAAGATACAGGCTACATGGACTAGTTTTCTGTGCAAGCTGGCTGCCTCTTTGGCTGTGAATGAGGCTCCTTTGAGTAACCAGCACACTATTAAATCTTGAATTTTGCGAAGCTTGTCCTCCAGTAGCGAGACATGCTTGCGATCCAAGTCCCAGTCGAAACCAATGTAACGCTGGACTGATGCAAAGTACCGAAGCTTCTCGAGGCTCCAAGGGACTCCGAAGTAGGCCATTACGGCCATGAAATCTGCTTTGGTCCAAGACTGGTGAGGGAGTCTGATTACCAGGAAGTCATCGACCCATTTGCGAATTAGCTCGAAGCCTGCCTTGCCATATATTGCTACGAGCATGTCAGCAACGGAGCCAAACACGCCAGCGCTTGATGTGAGGCCAAACATTAGGGCGTGGTCTACATACACAATTTCGTTCCAAAATATGCATAGAGCATTCTGCTGCCACGGGCTGACAGGTACTATGCGGTAGATGGATGATACGTCGAAGGTTGCTGCAACACAACCTGGAGGGAGTGAACATATGAGTGCGGCAGTTTCGTCGAACGTGCCCCACACGGTGGGAAAGTTGTCTGTGTTGATGTCCGCATTTACAGACTGGATGTCCACTGAATTGCGTGGGAAGGAAAGGTCCTGGACTATGCAAAATTTGTTGGAATGCGGTTTGGGAACTAAGCCCAGGGGAGAGGTGCGAAACGGTCCAATTAAGTCCTCGAGTTCTGAGGGGGTGAAACCTGTAGAGTATCGGCCTGCTTCTTGTTCTGAAAGTATGTACTGATCGATTATGGAAGGATTGAGCAATGATGAAGTATGATTCTTGAAATAAACGAGTGATGGGTGGCGGCTCCGGTATGCCAACATTAAAACCATTATGTATTCCGTCAACTATATGCTGCCAGTCGTCGAATATATTATATTTGCGGAGAGTTTCTTCCACTCGAAGATGGTTGAGCGGGGTGACAACGATACGAGGATCAACTGCGTGTTTTGCAGTTGTTGGCTCTGTGGGAAGAATCACCACACAAGCTGCAAGAGTGGGCATTTCTGCAACCGGACCCAAAGGTGCAGCTGGAGCTGCTGGCCCAGTTAAAGCAGTAAGTTTTCCCACTTGCTGTTGCAAGGGCATGCTTACTACGAGCGCCGGTTGCGAGGGGGGCCACTGGCTTTCCCGCGGATGTTGTTTCTGCAGAACAGTCGGCTGGGAGATGCCTGCTTGTTCCACACCGAAAACAGTGGTTTGAAGCTGAGGCATGCATCTTTTTACGAGTAGTGATGTTCCGGCCCGGCTTAGGCTCGGCCTGGGGGGGGGCTTAGGCTCACCAGATTTCAAGCCTGAGCCGTGAGCCCAAGCCGGCCCAAAGCCGGGGCTTAGGCCCATGCAAGCCGCGGCCCAAATTGATGTCCGAGCTCCACCATACTGTTCCCAACACCATGAACACCATGCGCAAATGCCCAGCACACATCAGCAACTGCTGATGTGGCTCAGACGAATATGGACGATGGACGAGAGTAGGAGAAGGGAAGAAGACAAGGAGGAGAACGAGAATGAGAGAGAGGAGATGGACGATCGGTAGCACTTGAGTACTTTGATTCTGCATGCCCGGAAGAGTAAGCGCTGAATACTATAACTCAGATACCTGAAGTGCAGCGTCGAGAAGGCGTAGGTACTTGCGCTTGCCGTATGTGAGTCGAAGAGGGATGTATTTCGAATGGTCGACGAACCACTCGCCAACCTTGGATCCAATTGTAGGTTGGGCACCTTGAATGAGGATTAAACTTGTGTGGTTCTGGGAAGACCTTGGGATCATTTGTGATAGCCCTGAAGCACGAGTGTCAGACCCAAATGTGAGAGGACAAAAACGAATGCCTACTGACCAATGGTTGCCAATAACAGTCGCACCTGCAGGAATGAGGTAGTTATTCCAAATTATGTCCTTAGTCGCGCGATGCGCAAAGCCTGTATTGCAAGGTGGTTGTTCATTATCGCGTCATCCAGCTCAAATAAAACACACCTCCAAGAGTGACAGGTCTCCACCTGAAACTCTCAAGCATGAACACGGTAACTTGCGGCAGCATTTCCTGATCAGCAAATGTCGGTACTAATCAGGAGCTTTTTCAGTAAGTAGATTAACATAGCATAGGCGCTGCCTACACTGTGTATGCCCCACAACGTCATCAAGTTCCTCTTGTACACGAGCCTGTGCATCTGTGTAAATGGTAGCGGCCATCATCATGATTGTGATTGCGGATGCAGTCTACAACAGTTATCAACTTATGACACGATGCAATATAAGAAATTACCGTATCAGAACCGGCGGCAAACATTCCTCCCGCAATGTATCCCAGTTGCTTGTCTTCGAGCTGGTACTGTTTCTGGTGTTCTAAAATGAACCTCGCAAATGATGGCCTCGCAGTCCCCTCACGCTTCACGGTGATGAGTGAGGAAATGTGTCATCGCAGTAAAACCACGAACCATTTGTCTTCGCACAGTGTCCAACGGGCCAGGCGGACGATGATCTTGTGTTCCATTTGAGATTAATGGATCTAGGCTTTCGGTCACGACTCACCATTTCGTGCGTATGTAGTTGAAGTTGAGAGGAATCGCGTCATAGTAAGAGTCAGTAATGAGAACATGCCAAAGGGGCGTGACCACTGACATGACAAGGTGTCATATACTCTATGTACCAAAGCCGCGGCTTGGGCCGCCGGCTTAGGCTTGTCTAAATCCAAGCCCAGGCCTAAGCCCTACTCAGGCTGTGACTTAGGCCTGGGCTGGGCCCGGCCTATTTGGGCCTGGCTTGGGCCGGCCCAGGGCTTCAAGCCGGGCCTGGCACATCACTATTTACGAGGCAACGATGGAAAGTCACTCGGGGCGGATCGCTTATTGGGTGAAACAGGCGGAGCAGTATGCAAAGAAATAGATGACATTTTATTGTTGGCCAGTGTAAGCGCTGCCACATCAAGCCCAGCGAGATTATGCTCGTGATTAGTGTGTGCTAACTCCTGCTGCTGCACATCGTAATGCATGGCTACTGACCAGCCATGGGTGCAGCCAATATCAAGAACTACAAGGTGGTGCGATGTAAGAGCTGAAGCCCGCTCGTCACCCCAGTGAAAAGCTGTCCTCTCCTCAGCAGCTTTCGCCGCTGCTATCCAGTCAACGGTTAAGATTAAAAGCTCATTTGAGCGGTCGAGACCTTTGGCCATAAGCCCCTCCTGCGTGAATACAAAGGACGAATCATCTCCACGAAGGAAGGCTTTGGAGCGCGCCGCATGAGTCAGGGCCGTATACGGTACATAGCGATATTGCTTGAATGCATCCTCCACCTTTGTGGGTATAGCTGTAATGGAACGATTTGAGTTCCATTGCCACGGTACGGTTGAGAAAAGATGGTAGCAGTACGACACAAAAACTCCAGTAGACCACACTCAGGCCTTGGGAATAAACAGTTCGGTGTGGTGCTACCAGTGACCAACCATAATGAATGGCGCAAACAAGCGCGGCGTGCGCAATATGCTCGAAGACAAACCCAAAAAAATGGCTGCGATAACGAAAGACTCACGTAGACTTAAGGCGCTAACTTTATGGCCTGCACGTAGCAGAGGCAAAGTGGGTCGTTTAGACTCATCCTTTGCGTTGGTCAGGCTTGCTCGAACTTGGTCGATAGCTGCAGGGTCAGCCACCAAGGCTTGAATGGGTGGAGGAGCTCTGGCCAGTGTATGGTTGCCGTGAGCATCCCCACGTTCAAGCTCGGCGATGCGTGCCCTCAGAGCAGCAATTTTGTCTGCCTGATTAGGAATTATTTGAGCCTGAGCGGGGGCTGGCTGAGGTGCTCTCATCACAAAAATTGCTTAACTAAGATGTTACCTGATTTAGACTGTTGTGTGCCACAGCGCTTGACAAGTCACTGTCAGGTCATGTCGCCGACATTCCAACCTGATATAGATACCTCACAATGACGTGTGTCTGCGATGCCTTTGTATCTACATGATATATGCAATACATTGTCGACGAGATCTACATACGCTCGATTTTCTCTAAGTCCTTTGTTTGGTACCCTTTGTCCCTTCACCACTTTTGCGCAAAGTGTTGGGGTTGTGCTCACCCCCAATAAGTTGAACTCGAGCAGCTCTTCAACCAGTACTTACCCACTGCTCTTCCCACCGCCATGGCCACCCTTGAGGCTATTGGTCATAGTTTATGACCTGAATTTCCATTCAAGGTAACACTTAGTAGCTCTGTCCACCCCTTCTCATACAGTGTACTTACTATCTCTCCACAGTGTATCCGCATTTAATACCTAAAGGTTCGCCATAGGTCGTGAGGGAGTTGAAAGGGACCAATGCTGGTGACATCGAGACTCAAGGTATGTTTTAACTTTTTATCATTTTTCTATATTCTTACTGCAAAGCATCTTGCACTCCTGTAGTTACCATGTCTTGTGCCTGCTCATTCTCTCGTAAACTGATCGATGTCTACAGATCCATACTTCTGGTCTTCCGCGCCCGTTCTCTAACTCTTTCGCTTGTGCTTGCTCTCTTGTGCCCGTTTTCTCATGCTTGCTCTCTCATACCTGTTCTCTCATGCCCATTCTCTCATGCTGCGCCCCATCTCTCATGCCCTCCTACTTCTCGATGTCGCTTGGTATTGAGAGCATCAACCGCGGCACCACAATGAGTGCCCACCACGTCACCTGTATCTTTGCATACTCCTAACCACCACCATTCACCACTTCCACTATGGCGCAAACACTTGCGGGTGGGGCTTTGGACCGTATTTTCTTGCGTGGACGGCTCATTCTCTCTCACTTCCAGGTGCACATGTTTTTTCTTTCTCGTCTACTACGACGACTCAGATCCTGGTCAAGTTGCCGAGGAGTTCCTGGCGGCAGCATGTGCTATGGCACGTTGTGTCAATCTGTTTTGCAATGTAGAGAAACTCTTAAGGGTGGGTTTCCTCCTGCAGCAAGAGCGGGCCACAGAGAACGGAGAACTTGAAGAGCCTGAGGCTGAGCATGAGTCCTGCAAGAAAAGGCTTGCGAGTCTGTAAGTCCCATCTTTTTAGTTTCTTCTATGCTACACTCAAATTTGCTGTTTTTTAGTTCGCTCAATACCCTCAATCGGTACAAGTGCAACTATCAGCAGTTGCTTCATTTAGCTCTGGGACTCCGATTACTTATTGCTGATAGCGGAAAGTCTAAGGAGCTCACTCAGATCACACGAAACGTGAGTATATGCTAGTTATGTGCGCAACTCCATTTCCAAATTGGACTTTGCCTTGTTGCATTCATATTCTCGCACTGGAACATTCGGTGTTGTGCTCTCGTTACATTGTTTTTGCTTTAAATACCCTTATCATTTGTTCACCGTTTCACTGATGGTGCGATTCAGATGTTCAAATGCGAGAGAGTTGAAAGACCATGTTCCTGGGATCAAACACTGACTCGGAATCCGGATATGTTGCAAGTTGTTGACAGCTCACCGTTCAACGTTCACCAAAGACCCTGGCTGATTCCCATTGCACCGGACCCTACACTCTACTTCAGCGATGTTGGGTATGTTATTTATTTTTTCATGTCCTCTTGACATCACCTCACGGCAAAGTTCACTCTCCGGTCCTGCGTCGCTACCTCAAGTCGGACTATGAAGAGACCACAATTTTACGAGGTCAAGTGGACACCCTGCGATCAAGTCTACCATCTGTTACAATAACATGTAACCGAGAACCCCTCCTACGGAGGTCATCATGACCTTAGCCCCTATCCCACCATATGCACCGTCCTGGAAGACTTACCGACTCAACGGAGACTCGTAGAGACACCTAGAACGGCCTGGATGCCGTTAGATGACCTAGACCAGCCTAGGCATATCAGGAACGGACCTAGATGGTCCTCGACCCGGATCATGGAGAAGCTCTGCTTCATGGTCAGAAGAGAAGCCGCATGCCGCAGCATGCGCAGTTAAACTACAAGGCATGTTTAGCCTTGAGGACTGATAGAAGAGGCGTGCAACGCCTCATGTATAGATAATCGCCCGCATGGCATCAGATAAGATACCCTTGTATAGACACACTCATACCTACCTACTGAACGTAGTATTGGTCTGTGCACACGGACGACAGTATATAGAGCAGACAGAATCATGTATATTCCCTACTTGATTCTACTAGGTTTTATCCAGAACTTCCTCTGAAAGACAGTCCCAGTCCTTCAGTCTAAGCCGCACCTTAAGGAAAGCCGACGCTACCTTAAGTGGAACCCCCGAACCTCTCATTCGAGAGAAGATCCCCGTCTCTCCAATAGCGAGCCCGCTATCAGATTAGGCAATCCGCCTAGGGAGAGCTCGAACTATCCTAGTCCGTAACACCATCCCCTGTTACTCATCTGAAAACTTTCGGCTCCCTGGGATTGCGTTACTTCAAGGTACGAGCAATTGCTCCTTCAAGAAACTGAGGAGCCTGTCTTCATTACTAATGTCTGTTCACTTACATAGCGCTGACGTGGCCGTTGATTATTATCTTGCCTCCACGGCCAAACCTGCGTGTGCTGCTCGATGCTCCAAATATCGATGTACGTTGTTGGTGTCCTCGTTGTTCAATTTTTAACTCATTCACTGTACCGCTGCCACAACACTCCGGCTTCCTTGTTCGCCTGGCCAAACTGAACGAAGTCTACTATAAAAATCATCAAAATACTTATATCATCTGTAGATATCCTGCTAGCACAGCAGGTTCCTTACATTGTAGTGCCTTACAATACTTTGTACTCTCATGATGACAATCAATATCTGACTTGAACTGAATATCTCTGTATGATTTACAATGTCTGAATAATCTAATTGAGATAATAATCTATTTGCCTGGAACACGTCGTACACGCTCCGTCCATTGGACATTTCAGGTTCCAAGTCTGCTCAGACATACTAGACCCTAACCCTGACATTGTTGACAGTGTTGACACTGCAGATATACCTATGTATTGTAGTGTCTAGGCTGAGCAATTTTTGTGATGCTTGGCTGCTCTCTAGGTGGTTGCACGACTGTAGACGCTGGATTAGTGGCCGTTGTACGAGGGGCGCCTGCGGGTTGTGGCTGATTCTGATGGCCTGTGGCCTGTCGATAGGGAACTGCGCGGGTACGGGTAACCCGCACGGGTCACGGGTAGGGGTACCGCTGGGGTACGGGTATGGGTCTGAGGTCATGATACCCCTACCCCTACCCATACCCGCGCTGCGGGTATCAGTCACAATGGGCGCCGAACGGATGCCAAACAGGTGCTAGTAAAATTCAACTACGTAAATACGAAACTATACAGCTGCCAACTGTCAAACTCTAAAGACAAATATAAAATTGTACCACGCCGCCCGCGAACCTTCGTCACCCACTAGTGCTGCCCATCATGCAGCTCAGCTTTGCAGCCACAGCGAAACGCGTCATCAAAATGACCGGAAAGGCGAGAGCCGCTCTAGAAGAAAAGAGTTTAAAAATGTCATCAAAGAAGCGGAAAAACGATGGTGGTGGAGATAGCGCGAACACACACCTTAAGAAGGCACAAAATAACCTGCAGGCTGGTAATACTCCCACCGGCAGTGTAGGGTCTGCAGACGAAGATGAGCTGGTCGAAAAAAATAGCTCTGTCACAGCTTCACGGACAGTGTCCATGTCTCCATGTCCAGACTCAGTCTCGAGTCGGCGTGCCCTGGTGCGCACCGAGGAAGAAGAGAATGCAATGAATGAAGACAAAACTGAGACCGGTAGCACTGTATCACAGGCTGAGGTGGAAGCCGACGAGACTGCGGAAGATGAGCTTGGTATGTGCAGAAGCCTTGATGTGAACATTTCATTAATTGAGTACCAAACAGCACGCTTAATGAAGGACTGGAACTCACCAGTCTACGCGTTCTTCAATCCGACACCACAGATTACCGAACTTGATGGGCGCCGTGCCCATAACTTCAAGTGCCAAGCTAGGAATTGCAAGACCAAAGTGCGACGATACCTTGACAAAGGTGATGCACGCTCCACCGGTAACATGCGGAAGCATGTGCGTTCGTGCTGGGGCGATGAAGTATTGAAAGCTGCGGATGAGGCCAAGGATGCCAACGAGGTGCGCAAAAATATAGTTGGTAGTTTCCTGCGAAACGGATCGATCACTGCGTCATTCAAGCGTAAGGGTAAAGGGAAAGTTACATACTCGCACCGTCAACATACACGTGCAGAAACACGGTACGAACAAAGTCTTATCTGAGTCTTGGACTGAAACATCTGCCTTCAGGGCCGAAATAGTGAGCTGGGTGTCCGAGAGCCTGCGTCCATTCGATATCGTCAAGGACCGTGCATTTCAGTCGCTGATGAAGACAGGGAGACCGGAATATTACATACCTTCTGCCTCCACTGTTTCGCGTGACGTGCGACAAGTATTTGTGCGAACTCGACAGCGTGTTGCTACAATGTTACAGGTAAGTATTTATCATTAATAAAAAAAACGAATATTCAAAACACACCAGGAATATGACGGTAAAATAAACTTTACTACTGATGGTTGGTCATCGCCCAACCATCGTGCGTTGGTCGCATTTTCAGTGCACTTCGAGCATGAGGGGGAACCACTAAGCATCCCATTAGACGTTGTTGAAGTGGGGAAGGTAAAAAAAACTCACCTATATAGATATATACGAGCTGAGAGCTTCATAGTCGCATACCGGCGAGGAGCTCGCGGAGGCGTTTGCAAAAGTGCTAGAAGAATTCGGTATATCAGAAAAGGTATTGATCCGAAAAAAAATTGAACAAACTTACATGCAACTAAAACCGCATTGCACAGATCCTGAGCGTCACTTGCGATAATGCGTCCAACAATGATGCCATGATTCGTGAACTGAGCGGTAAGGTACTGGAATTCGGCGGACCAACCACTCACACTAGGTGTTTCCTGCACACTGTGAACCTGGTGGCCAAATCGTTGATCCGGGAATTCGATGTGAAGAAAGGAGAGGCCGACCAAGCATTGGCGCATAGTACTGACATAGAGCTGGAAGAACTTAGCGCAGATATGGAAGAGGACACAGGGACGACGTACAAGGTAGATAATGATGACGGCTTTGTTGACAAGGTCGAGTTGTTGGACAAGAAAGAGCGGGCCACACTAAACAAAGAGATAAGACCAGTCAAATTAGCACTTGTCAAAGTAAGTGCGTGCAACAAAAGAGGACTCACTATTGAACACAATTGCTCCAGGTGCGCAAGCTTGCATACAAGACCATACATTCGACTACTATCATCCTTCCCGCATGGCATGCCATCCTCAAGGACTTGTCGGAACCCCAAACCCTCATGCCACGCGATGTGGCCACACGGTGGAATTCGACGTTTGATATGTTGGATTACGCACTTAAACATCGTGAGGCCGTAGATACCGTTACGCAACGGCGAGACCTCGGTTTACGGAAGTATGAGTTGGAGGATAATGAGTGGGAAATACTACAGCAATTGTGTGATATACTAAAGGTTTGCACTCTTTGTTTGACGCTTTGGCGCATATGCTTATGTTATATTGTTTGCTCTTGTTAGATTCTAAAGGACGCCATGCTTTACTTCTCGCGTGCAACACCTAACCTTGCGACGGTGATACCAGCAATGGATCACGTCGACAAGATGCTCACGTCCTATTCGCGCAACAAGAAATATCTGCCTTCAATTCGTTCGGCAGTCCAGCTCGCAAAAAAGACACTCAACCGGTACTATCAGCTCACAGACAGGTCTCACACATATCGGATCTCCATGGGTAAGTTCTATTCAATCTAGGTTTTTTCTAGTTTCTACTGACGGTTAATATTATTATACTAGTGTTACATCCCCAACACAAGCTATTATACTTCAAGGCAGCAGACTGGGAAGACAACTGGATCCAAACTGCGGAGCAACTTGTGCGCGAGGAATTCGAACGTTCATACCTGTCCCTTGATGCCGACTCTGATTTGGGGCGTGAGGCGGATGTCTTGGAGTCAAATGATAATATATTGATGGTATTTTTCTTTTTTGCTTTTTACTTAGCGTTTGTACTGACTCAATCTTAGAGCGACAACATTTTTGACAACCTCCCCGCACTTGCAGTCCCCAAACCTACTAACTCAGGCTCCGAACTCGACCGTTACCTTAGTACGGACGTGGAACATGTCACCAACCCTATCGCTTGGTGGCAAGAACGTCGCAAATCATTCCCCCACCTGTCGCGCATGGCCATTGATTATCTAACTATCCCTGGTATGTGGCATTATTATGTTTAATGCCTTGTAAGCTTACATTGCCTATAGCTACTTCTGTAGACGTTGAACGTCTCTTCAGTCGTGGGCATCTTGTCCTGTCACATGTCAGAAATCGTTTATCGGCGCAGTCGACACGTGCGCTGCTTTGTGTCGGCTTATGGAACGAGTTAGGCCTGGTCAAATCTGAGGATATCATTCACGCATCTAAGCTCCCAGATGTCGTTGGTGAAGAGGAAGCAATGAATGAGGGTTAGGGATCCGCACGGGTATACCCTGGGGTGTCGGGGACCTGACCCGCACCCGCACCCGGCAAAAACCCGTACCCGCTCTGACGGGTACGGGTTTTCGGCGGGTACAACAAGCTCAGACCCGTACCCACACCCGTGCAGGGTTTACCCGCGGGTACCATAGGTATCACCACCAGTGCTTAGCACATATGTCCAGCACACGTCAGCGAATGCTGACGTGACTCGAACATATGTGGATGGCACAAGAAGGAGGAGTGGAGGCACGGTCGAGGATGGTGGTGTCGGCATCGTGGATGGTGGCGTTGGCGTCGTGGATGGTGGCGTTGGCGTGAAAGCTGGTGGTGGTGCGAGTGCTGGGCGCACAAAGATAGGCGCTGGCGATGTGACGCGTATGACGTCGTCGTTGTTGCTGGGGGTAGAGTCTTCAATGTGAGTACTCACTTTCAGCGTGCCCAAAGTCTCGTCTCCTCGAGTTCCTCTTTCCTCCTTCATCTCTATACCATCCCTTCTCCCTTCCTCGATTCTCTTGTCCTTTCGTCTTCGCGTGTCGTCCGCGTGTGTTTGCATCGCGTCAACACTTGTTGACGCGTTTCGGGCGCGCGCGCTGTGAACGTGGAGTTGGTGGACTTGGGAAGGTGCGTTAGGTGCCGGTGTTGGTGGTGGTGCCGGTTGTAGCGTGCACGCGGGAAGTATGGTGTCCGCTATTACTGATGCAGGAGGTGCTACCATTTATGGAAGGCACGGGTATAGCTGGGGTACGGGTAAGAGCGCGGGTCTTAGAATCCCGACCCGTACCCGTACCCCAGTAGTACCCGTACCCGTGACCCGCGTGGGTTACCCGTACCCGTGCAGATCCCTAATGAGGGTTGGGACAGAGTCCAAGTAGATTAGTATTACATTTGTTGTTACAATTCATTACAATGCTCTTCGTAGTGACCCGCGGGTATACCCCTCGCGGGTAATACCCCGGGTCCGTTTGGCTGATACCCACAAGCAAACCCGTACCCGCACCATGGGTATGGGTATATCTCCGGGTACGGGTACGGGTCCGACTGCGCACACCCACAGGTTTACCCGTGCAGTTCCCTACCTGTCGAGATGATCCAGCTTGGGTGGATTGCTCGGCGGCAGCGTTAGACCCGCTGCCTTGGGTTGGCGGCGGTGTGATAGGATTGGCTGTAGTCCTATTTCCTAATTCGAGACCGAGGTGCTCATGCATGATGATGCTAAAATCTGAAGAAGGATTGGTATATGTGCGAGTGAGGATGTACGAACGGTACGACGAACTCGACGTTGGTGAATGAGGAAAAGAACGACTACAGCAGGCAAATAACGCTACCGCTCAGCTGGACGTTTGGTGCCAGGTTATTCCGGCAAGCTACATCACCCGGCACCTGCGCTATGCTCGTGACACTCATAATATTGTCCGTTGCATTCTGCTATCCCTTCTGCCATGCTCTCGCAAACCCTCACTGGTGTTCCCACTTTGTTGCACGTCTTTTCAGCAGTTTATATTGTTTCTACTAGTATGATACTTCGAGTATGAGCGCTGAAGGTGGGTCAGGAGTGTGCTGCCTGAGGTGGTGTAACCGGTGCACAGATGCAGTCATGTGATTGAATTCTGTGCTCATACTTACATCATTATCGGCACAAATCAACATCTAGCAGCAATCAAAGTCTGATGTGGAAATCTCCGTCTCAGTCTCACATGCAGTGACAGACATAGATACTGTCAAAGCAACAACAGCCGCGAGGACGACAAAACGCATTTTCTGTGCCTAGGCACGGTCGATCATTTTAGATAACTTCAAACATTCATATTTCTCGAGCAGTACGCATTTTTTTTCCAAGAACAACCGTACTGATTAACTCCGAACTAGGTAAATTGCACTCATCAACCATGATAACAAAGCGAAAGTCGAAACATCGAAACATGACTCACTGTCGTGACGTGCCTCTCAGGCTGCCGGCCTAATTTTCAGCAGGCCAAGCGGCTCGCAGACAATTTTGTAATTCTAAGGGGCGCAGGTGAGTCATGCAGTTGAATCCTTGTTACACAGCGACCTGCGCACACAAAAAAGTTCATCGCAGCAGTCGTCTATTTCGCATGGTCGTCCCTTGGTCGCACATGCACTGACAGACATAGATGCTGTCAAAGCAACAACAACCGTGAGGAGGGGGAAACGCATTTTCTGTGCGAGATGATATGAGTTCTTCTGAGGGTGATCTCGAATGACATCTCTGAGGATGACGACCAGCTTTTATATCCTGCATATGCTCATGGGCACGATTCTCATTGATTTGGCAGAACTGTTATCACATGGAACAAATTTCGGCAGAACCTGCGGGGGCGTATTCAATTAAGAACGACCGTTAAATCATAACCTGCCTGCAGGCATCGACAATTCTCTTCTTCGTAACCACAGAACCCTCACTCGAATCACCGGTCTCTCGTCCTAACACCTCACTCTTCGCTTCATCATTTGAACCTGCACTGACCCTGCCAGTGCAACGACAAAGTCAAGAAGTTAGCATCATTCTCGCCGATACTTCCGATATGTACTGGGTCGTTATCTCGCGTCATTTTTCGCTACTGGTTGTTCCCTTATATGTAGCACACCTGGAATTCGCCTACGCCATTCCTACGCCATTCGTAGGCCAGTGACCCTGCAACTACTGCGCAGAGACAATCAGGTATCTTTCGTGAATTGTGCTGCTGCTGATTGTAAAAAACAACTTTTCCCTTCGTCTCCCTCCGCAGCTTCAAGTCGTGTCTTCCTGTGTCTTGGGGTGAGGGTCCTTCTTCCTCCCATCGGCACACACCTGATCTACAGATCCGTCTCTGACGAGCTTAGGTATGGATAAACTTATCCGAGAGCGGCCATTCTCCCAGCATTTCCGATAAGGCTACCTGTAGCCCCCGCTCAACTCAGGGAAAACCTGTCTTTGATCTCTTCTTCCTAAACTTTATTTGTTCATTCCTCCAAGTTCACTTAGCCACACCAGAACCCGAAACGTCTGCGCAGTGCGTTCCATATTCACATGGCCTCCCAATATCAATCGTCAATAGCGATGATTGCTCGTTTTGGGAGCCTCTCGAACTTGAGCATAGTGGACTACGGACAAGATTGGGCAAGAGTTCATTATTTTTAGACAAGTTCAAACATCCACATTGATTGCTCGAGCAGTACGAAAATTTGTCCAAAACCAACTGTACTTATTGGCTCCGCTAGGTATTGCACCATAAACCACGATACCAAAGCGCAAGCATAAACATGACTCACTGTCGCGATGTGCCGCTCGGGTTTCTGGCTCAATTTTAAGACATCGGCTGGCAGGTGTAACCTGAACTCTAAGGTGCACAGATGAGTCATGTGATTGAATGTAGCGACCGGCTCGTACTCACATCATTAGGGGCACAAAGCAACTTCTTGCAGCAATCATAATCTGTTTTGCAAAGCTCGTTCGCATTCTGACATGCAGTGACAGACAGAGATACTGTCAAGGCAACAAAAACCGTGAGGACGAAAAAACGCATCATCTGTGCGAGGTGATATGGAATCTTCTGAGGGAGATATCTCTAAGATGGGGAAACACTAAGACGACGGCCAGCTTTTATATTCTGTGTGTACTTATGGGCATGATTCTGATCGATTTGGCAGAATGGTTATTGCTGTCAGATTCTAGGCAGAACCTGTAAGAGCTTATTCGATTGATTGCGGCCATCGTATCATAGTAACCTGACAGCAGGCATCAACGATTCTCTTCCTCTTTGTCTTTGCCACCACAGAATTCTCGCTCGAATCCTCAGTACTCAGTCTCTCATCCCAATCTCCCACTCATCGCTTCATAGCTCAGTGTCACGACGTGCTGTTCGGACTGCCAGCTCAATTTTAAAGCGACCTGCAGGTCCAAAATCCATCCTAAGGCGCGTAGGTGAGTCATGTAGTTGACTTTGGTTACACAGCGACCTGCTCATACTCACTTGGTTAATTCTACAAACCATGGCATCGCAGTAATCTGCATCTTTTAGTCAATCTTCCCTGTATTCGGCACATGCACTGATAGACATTGATGCTGTCAAAGCAACGACAACGGTGAGGGAGAAACGCTATAAGACAACGGCCAGCTTTCATATCCTGCATATACTTATGAGCATGATTCTGATTGATTTGGCAGAATGATTATTGCCGTCAGATGGCACGAACCTGCAAGAACTTACTTATTCATTTGGTCACTGCCATTATATCAAAAAAAAACCCCAAACTCTTTCTCGTCGCTTCATCGTTTGAACCTGCAGGAGGTCTTTTATAGAAAATTCTGACTTCGTATATCTTTAGTCCATCATTGGGATGAACGTCAAATTGAAGAGATCAACAACGGGACGTAAATATTTGCTTACTACGTGATGCCCACCGTTGCGTTCACGCTTTTCAATAACTTGGTACATCGCCATCATGCTTCAGAGACAAAACTGATCCTACAAACGCCAGGCTACTTTGCTGCAGCGCGCGGTATGGCCCATTCTTTTCCTCGAGGAGGTCTGGAGACATCGTATCTGAGAGAAACTGGTGGTCTACTGATGAGTCTTATTTATGCAACAATTCCTGATCGAACGAAAATTACGCAACTCCATCGATCAGCACGTCGATCAACTCTACGAATCATTAATCACTCGCGGTCAATGCCAATTGGCCATACTGGGCCGATGCTAAAAGCAGAAACACGGCCCACTATGCAGAAAACACCGAGGTACTGCCATGCAAGTGAGCCATGCTATCAGATTCAGGAAAATTACCAATACTCGCGCAAACCCCAATAGCGCAGCCACTGCAGACTTCGTCAGTTTGGCAAATGTTGGGTATGTCGGCGCCAGCCGTGTCAGCCTGAGCGGACATGATAGATACGGATGACGAGGCCAAAGCAGCAACGATAGCGGGGAGAATTGCAGAAGAGAACCGCATTGTTTGCGACTCTCATGATATGGGATCGGGTAATTCTGAAGGAATTAATAGCTAGAAGACAGACGGCTGGCTTTTACGTGCTGAATGTTGTAATTTGAAATCCTTCTTGTGTGGTTGTGCCATCCAAGGTCCATCAGCAATTTGATGCGGAACTACTGTCTACTGGACATTCCAGTTCCCAACCAGTCATCGACTGGGTCCAAAAGTACTTAACATCTCGGAGTCATCTCCACATAGCTCCAAGGGTTCATGTTGACGAACGCGACAGCCCTTTCTGGTCCTAGCACGAAGACCTTGAAAGCGTCAGACTCTTGAATGAATTTTACTTGCGATGCTAGCCCCTTCTCCATACCCAGGGTCATGTTGAGGATGATGTCGTGGGGTACTGCATGCAAGTGGTTGTGTTGGTGTGTGAATAGCCGACAGTCGTACAATATATGCGGCTCTCGCGTTTAACGGGACTCTCCACATGAGCAGCCAGTAGGCTGAGTTTGCACGAATAAAGCATAGTGCTCTGAGCTCTCCGATGAATCTATGTCCTGTGCGGCACTGTGTAAGGCGGCCATAGAATTGTTGACAAATGTGAGTTCTGCACCTATCAAGACATCTCTTTTAGCGAAGCAGGTAAGATGTCACGGACCATGGTTACTTGATATACTAGCAAATTTGCATACCAGTAGCAGCCGAATCCACGCCGAAACAATTCTATGACTGATTATTTTTATCTTCTTCGAGGATATTGAGTTCTTCTTTATCATCTTCCACTTGTAGTACTTAGTCTTCTTCGTTGAACAGTCAGTCGGCTTCAGAAAGACGTATCGTCTGGTCGTCATTAATAGCGTGAGCAGTGCATGCGGGGATTCGAGCAACCCGTCCGGCTTCTTGACAACTTTTTCATAGATACAGTTTGGATGTGAAATGAACACAGTACTATGGTTGTAAAGACTCGGGTATCATGTAGAATTACAAATTGCGGACTTCCCATCTGCGTGTGAAAACTTTGATAAATCATCCTCTTCCTTGGGCTTCAACACATCTGTCATGAATGCGATCAGCAACAAAGTGGTTGTTGCAAGACTAGGCACGCAGTCGACCATTCAGATAGTATTCACAAATATCAATATTCCTCGAACAGTGCGAAATTTTTCCAAAAACAACTGTACTGTACTGTGCTGTACTGATCGGCTCCGAACTAGGTATTACACCATCAACCATGATAAAAAGGCGAGAGCAGAAACACGACTCACTATCGCGACGTGCCGCTCGAGCTGCCGGATTAATTTTAAGCAGGCTAGGATCGCGTCTGGCAGACCAAATTTCCTCCCTAAGGGGCACAGGTGAGTCATGCGGTTGAATCCTTGTTACACAGCAACCTGCTCACATCAGCGCCACAAGTCAAGTTATTGCAGCAATTGCTCGTTTCGCATAATTGTCCTACGGTCGCACATGCACTGACAGACATAGATGCTGTCAAAGCAACAACAAGCGCGAGGAGCGAGAAACGCATTTTCTGTGCGAGGTGATATGGGATCTTTTGAAGGGGATCTCGAATGATATGGGGGAACACTGTAAGACGACGAGCAGCTTTTATATCCTGCATATGTTCATGAGCGCGACTCTCATCGATTTGGCAGAACTATTATCCCGTGGAACAAATTTCGGCAGAACCTGCGGGGGCGTATTCGATTAACAATGACTATTAAATCATAACTTGCCTGCAGGCATCGACAATTCTCTTCTTCGTAACCACAGAACCCTCACTCGAATCACCGGTCTCTCGTCCTAACACCTCACTCTTCGCTTCATCATTTGAACCTGCACTGACCCTGCCAGTGCAACGACAAAGTCAAGAAGTTAGCATCATTCTCGCCGATACTTCCGATATGTACTGGGTCGTTATCTCGCGTCATTTTTCGCTACTGGTTGTTCCCTTATATGTAGCACACCTGGAATTCGCCTACACCTTCGCAGGCCAGTGACCCTGCAACTGCTGCGCAGATAATGAGGTATCTTTTGGAAATTGATGCTCATTCTCATTCTTGGCATGCACTTTGTCGAAGATCCCTGGTACAGTAGTCATGGCCACAGCCATCACAGCTCGCTCTATCTATAGTTTTAGCCAACCACGACGATATCAAGTTATTCCATGGCAAACCCCGATGACCCTACACTTCCTCGGAGACAAGGAACAGCGTTGATGAAATTAGTGACCAACCATCAACCAACGCTGTTCCAAGTTCCTCTTTCTTGTCAATTGTCACTTGTACTCCATTCAACACTCACTCGGTGAAGAGAGACACTACCGCTCTCGAGCTCCCCGGCGCTACCATTTGATGGAAAGTACTGGGCAGGAAGTGATATCAATCAAATACTCTTTATCTTTATTCACTTTCGTCATAACGTGCGCTCCTGTATGACCTTGTGTGGGCTTCGACTATTTGATAGTAGCAGTAACCCGTTTGTCACGTGACGATGTAGCATCTCGCGATTGTTGGCTCCATCAAGAGATAGATCCATGAGCTAGCCTTCAAGCTTCAAGCTTCAAGGCCAACGTTAGACGAACAGATTTGAGCTGTACAGTGCGTTCCAGCTTCGTACGACATCCCAATATTAATCATCAACAGCCATAGAGGCTCGTTTCGACAGCCTCTTGAACTCAAGCTTAGTAGTGGACCGCGGGCAAGACTAAGCACGGATTAAATTCAAACATTCACATTGCTCGAGCAGTACAATTTTTAACTGTACTTATTGGCTACGAACTGGGTATTGTACTATCAACCATGATATCATAGCGAAAGTATAAACATGACTCACTGTCGCGACGTGCCACTTCGGGCTGCCAGCTTAGCGCTTAAGGCTAGTCGGCTCGCAGATGAATTTGTCATTCTAAGGGGCACAGGTGAGTCATGTGGTTGAATCCTTGTTGCACAGCGACCTGCTCACACAAAGCAAATCCTTACAGCATTGGTCTACTTTGCACAATATTCCATCGGTCGCACATGCACTGACAGACATAGATACTGTCAAAGAAACGACAACGGCGAGTAGGGAGAAACGCATTTTATGTGCAAGGTGATATGGGTTCTTCTGAGGGGGATCTCGAATGATATCTCTGAGGATGAGGGAACACTGTAGGACGACGACCAGCTTTTATATCCTGCATATGCTCATGGGCGCGACTCTCATCGATTTGGTATGTTGTCACATGGAACAAATTTCGGCAGAACCTGCGGGAGCGTATTCAATTAAGAACGACCATTAAATCATAACCTGCCTGCAGGCATCGACAATCCTCTTCTTCGTAACCACAAAACCCTCACTCGAATCACCGGTCTAGTCCTAATTCCTCGCTCTTCGCTTCATCGTTTGAACCTGCACTGACCCTGCCAGTGCAACGACAAAGTCAAGAAGTTAGCATCATTCTCGCCGATACTTCCGATATGTACTCGGTCGTTATCTTGCGTCATTTTTCGCTACTGGTTGTTCCCTTATATGTAGCACACCTGGAATTCGCTTACACCATTCGCAGGCCAGTGACCCTGCAACTGCTGCGCAGATAATGAGGTATCTTTCGTAAATTGATACTCATTCTCATTCTTGGCATGCGCTCAGTGGTCGAAGATTCCTGGTATAGTGGTCATGGTCCCAGCCATCACAGCTCACTCAATAGTTTTAGACAACACGACGATATCAAGTTATTCCATGGCAAACCCCGTCCCATCTGCGTGCGAAAACTCTGACTCGGACAAATCATCCTCCTCCTTGGGCTTCAACACGTCTGTCATGAATGTGATCAGCAACAAAGTGGTTGTTGCAAGACTAGGCACGCGGTCGACCATTCAAATAACATTCACAAATATTAATATTGCTCGAGCAGTGCGAAATCTTTCCAAAAACAACTGTACTGTACTGATTGGCTCCGAACTAGGTATTACACCATCAACCGTGATAACAAAGCGAAAGCAGAAACATGACTCACTATCGCGACGTGCCGCTGTGGCTGCCGGCATAATTTTAAGCAGGCTTGGGTGGCGTCAGGCAGACCATATTTCCTCCCTAAGGGGCGCAGGTGAGTCATGCGGTTGAATCATTGTTACACAGCGACCTGCTCACACTACTTTGACAAAGCAAGTCAGTGCAGCATTCGTTTACTTCGCATGTTAGTCCCTCGGTCGCACATGCACTGACAGACATAGATGCTGTCAAAGCAACAACAACCGCGAGGGGGGAGAAACGCATTTTCTGTGCGAGGTGATGTGGGACCTTTTGAAGGGGATCTCGAATGATATGGGGGAACACTGTAAGGCGACGACCAGCTTTTATACTCTGCATATACTTGAGTCTCATCGATTTGGCAGAATTATTGTCGTCACATGGAACAAATCTCGGCAGAACCTGCGGGGGGTATTCGATTAAGAACGACCATTGAATTATAACTTGCCTGCAGGCATCGACGATTCACTTCTTCGTAACCCCAGAATGCTCGCTAGAATCACCGGCATCTCGTCAGTCGTTGTTCCCTTATCTAGTACCTGTAATTCGCCCACGTCACGAGTAGGCCAGTGACTCTACAACTGCTGTGCAGATATAATGAGGTATCTTTTGGAAATTCTCATTGTTGGCATGCGCTTGGTCGAAGATAGTGGTCATAGTCATAGCCATCACAGCTCGCTTTACAGTTTTAGACAACCACGACGGACTTCCCCGGACACAAGGAATAGCGTCGACGGAATTAGTGACCATCAACTAACGCTCTGCCAAGTTCCTCTTCCTCGTCAACTGTGGAGCGGGGCGCTCTGGCAGGTCAGGTCGGGAGTGGCAGGGTCCTGGCGCAGGAGCAGGAGTCCTGGCTCGTAGTCGATAGTCCTCGCGTGCGTCGTAGCTGTCCTCGATAGAGAGAGCCGTAGCCTCCCGCCATAGAGGTCTGGCATTGATTCCCTTGCAGTCCGTGCCCGTTCCAACTGTCCCTTGTATCCCATCCGACACTCGCTCGATGAAGAAAATCAATCCCCTTTAAGTGTCAAGGCAGTAATATCATCACCTTTCCCCCCCCCCCCCCCCTCTTTCACTTTCATCATAACGCGCGCTTCCGTATGCCCTCGAGTGGGTTTTGACTATCTGATGATAACACGTCTGTCACGAATCACGAAGTGGCGTCTCCTTGACCCCATCACAGATCCACGAGCTAGCCTTCGAAGCCAATGTTAAGAAGTTACGCAGGACATTCCATCTTCATATCATCAACAGCACTGATGGAGGCTTGTTTCGACAGCCTCTTGAACTCAAAGCGGCTTAGTACTAGTGAACCGCGGGCAAGACTAGGCACGGATGATCATTTTCAGATAAATTCAAACATTCGTATTGCTTGAGCAGCACAATTTTTCCCAAAAACAACTGTACTGATTGGCTACGAACTAGGTATATTGCACTATCAACCATGATATCATAGTGAAAACAGGAACATGACTCACTGTCGCGACGTGCCACTCGGGCTTCCGGCTCAATTTTTCCCGCAGACCAATCTTCCTTGCTAAGGGGCGCAGGTGAGTCACGTGGTTGAATCCCTGCCGCACAGCGACCTGGTCATACTCACACCATTGACAATACAAGAAAAACCTAGGCAGCAAATGCTACCTATGCAAGTTTCTCCCTCGGTCGCACATGCACTGACAGACATAGATGCTGTCAAAGCAACGACAACGACGAGTAGGGAGACACGCATTTTTATGTGCGAGGTGATATGGGATCTTCTGAGGGGGATCTCGAATGATATCTGAGGATGGGAGAGCAGTGTAGGACGACGACCAGCTTTTATATCCTGCATATGCTTGATTTTCATCGATTTTTCAGAATTATCGTCGTCACATGGGAGAATTTCGGAACCTGGGGGGAGTGGAATCAAATAAAAACGACCATTAAATCATAACCTGCCTGCAGGCATCGACAATTATCTTCTTCGTAACCACAGAAACGCTCGCTGGAATCACCGGCCTCTCGTCCCGATCCCTCTGTCATTGCGATGTGTGCTCGGTCGATATCTCATGTCACATTTGTTTACGGGACCCCTTAACCGTTAAGCCAAAAGGCAGTGATAAACAAAGGCACGCTTTGTTTATCGCGGACAGTATTTATGCTGATTATGGGAACTCAGGTAAGCAGCGAGCTTACAAACCGCAATAGAAGCTTGTTCTTAGTAGTGGACCGCGGGCAAGACTAAGCACGGATGATCATTTTCAGATAAATTCAAACATCCATATTGCTCGAGTAGTACTTTGTTTTTCAAAAATAACTGTACTGATTGGCTACGAACAGCTGGGTATTGCACTATCAATCATGATATCATAGCGAAAACAGACACATGACTCACTGTCATGACGTACCACTCAAGTCGCCAGCTGAATTTTAATTCTTAACGCAGACCGGTCTTCCTGCCTAAGGGGCGCAGATGAGTCATGTGGTTGAATCCCTGCCACATAGCGACCTGGTCATACTTACACCATTAATATGACAATGAAAATCTTCGCAGCAAGGGGTGTAGTCGGGCGGCATTCCGCATGGTCCTCCCTCGGTCGAACATGCGGCACTGACAAACATAGATGCTGTCAAAGCAACGACAACGGCGAGTAGGGAGAAACGCATTTGATGTGCGAGGTGATATGGGATTTTCTGAGGGGGATCTTGAGTGATACCTCTGAGGATGGGGGAACACTGTAGGACGACGACCAGCTTTTATATCCTGCATATACTTGATTCTCATCGATTTGGCAGAACTGTTGTCCCACGGAACAAGTTTCGGCAGAACCTGCGGGAGCGTATTCAATTAACAATATTGACCGTTAAATCATAACCTGCCTGCAGACATCGACGATTATCTTCTTCGTAAGGCTAACCACGTGAGAATGCTCGCTAGAATCACCGGCATCTCGTCCCGATCCCTCACTCATTGCTTCATTTGAACATGCACTAAACCTGCCAGCGCATTTGGAAATTCTCATTGTTGGCATGCGCTTAGTCGAAGATCCCTGGTATAGTCATAGCCATCACAGCTCGCTCTACAGTTTTAGACAACCACCACGATATCAAGTTATTCCATGACAAATTCCGACGACCCTATACTTCCCCAGACACAAGGAACAGCGTCGACGGAATTAGTGACCATCAACTAACGCTCTGCCAAGTTCCTCTTCCTCGTCAACTGTGGAGCGGGGCGCTCTGGCAGGTCAGGTCGGGAGTGGCAGGGTCCTGGCGCAGGAGCAGGAGTCCTGGCTCGTAGTCGATAGTCCTCGCGTGCGTCGTAACTGTCCTCGATAGAGAGAGCCGTAGCCTCCCGCCATAGAGGTCTGGCATTGATTCCCTTGCAGTCCGTGCCCGTTCCAACTGTCCCTTGTATCCCATCCGACACTCGCTCGATGAAGAAAATCAATCCCCTTCAAGTGTCAAGGCAGTAATATCATCACCTTTTCGCCCCCCTCTTTCACTTTCATCATAACGCGCGCCTCCAAATGCTCGTTCCAAAAGTATCTCGAAATCCAGCTTCAAGTTAATAGACCAGGGTCAACCAACCACCTGGTTCTTGTTCTCAACCATCAGATATACAATTGGTATCCACGCTTCTCAGAGTCACTAGACGGGTATAAAATATGCGTACACAATAAACGCGCAGCCCGAGTGCACGCGGCGCATAGAGTAGCGTAAAGTACATCAATGACCAGCACCGGGTTGGTACAACGTGGGGGTAGTGCAGTAAGGTGGTGCGTGTATGCGGTGTAGGAATAAGTACGTGATGAGGTATGAAAACACGCGTGGTGTGCGAGGTATAAGCGTGTGTGTTGTGTCTACTATCTGAGACACGCAAGGATGCTGTTCTAGAAGTCTCTGTGAGGAGACTTAATTGGGTCGTTCCGTCGAAAACAGTAAGAGGTTTACGCACCGATTCCAATCTAAACCCTACCATTCCTCCAACTCGAAATTAAGCGAATCCCGATCCGAGTCCATGACTCTTGCGTACTCGAGAAATAATCTGAGGGATAAGAATAAGAACACGTCAATATCACGCACGAGATGGACAACGCAACGCAGCCCTTTGCGCGCACCAATCCACTCACCTATATAAATAAGCCACCATATCCTCCTTCCTCCAAAAACTCATACTCCACTCCCTCCCTCTGCTCGCAATTTTCTTTGCAAGGTCTTCATGTGCACCATGCCCGCTCGGGTCCCCACGGAAGAAGAGGAGGGAGTCGTACAGGTCAGAGTAGTCGACTTGGATGGGGACGTAGTGCACCCATGGGGCGATACGGTGGGTGAACCTTTTTAGGTTAGGATCGTTGAGTTTGGATTAGATGAGGGATTTTGTTGGGTAGAAGGGGGAGGAAAGGAAAACGCCGAGAAAAATTAAAACACAAGAAGAAGAAAAATGAAATGAAACGCACCATTCAGGATATACCGTAGACTTGAACACAACCGAATTACTCGTCATGAGCCTCTTGAACCGACTCGACCAGCCGTTCCCATCCACCTGCAAAAACGTCAGTAAAACTAATACCTAGCAGTGCAATAAACAAACAAGACAAGACTCACATCAAGGACATACTTGTACTTCACAGCCTCCTTAAAGCCCATCCTCCGCCGCCACTCCCACCTTTCCTCCACCTCCTTACACACCTCGTCCTCACACTGACCCGGTTTGCCAGCGAACGCTACATCCATCATCGCAGGGTTCACGATTGATTTTTTAAAGGTCTGCGTTGTGACACCCTCGGGGGACGAAGGATCGGTGACGAGGGCGTCTATGGTTTTTGGGTGGGCGGTGGAACGTTTCTCAAGGCCAGAGGAAGGAGGCGAAGAAGAAACAAGATCCATCAAGCGTCCCCTCTGCGAATCCTTCCAAGGCTTGTCCTTCCCATGATGAATCCCAGTATTCAGCCCCCTCCAAAGTAACCTCTCCTCATCCTTTTGCATCCACGCTTCTTCCAAGTCCCCTTCTTCCACACCCTCGACATCATCCACCCAACTCAACATGATCGGGACCCTGATATCAGAATGTAGTGGGCTACTGCAATAGCTGAACTGTGGGATTGGGAAGGGGTACGCGACGGGGCCGGGGCCATGGCTCAGGAACTGGCCGTGCTGGGCGAGATGGGACGGGTGGGCGCAGGGGTCCATGGCGAGGAGGTGATCGTGGATGAATGTTCTAGGTTTTGGAGTGTGTGAAGGTGGCGAGGGGGGTGGATTGCGTGCGACGCTGTTCAAGGGGCAGGCATGCATCCAGCCGCGAATGTACGGGGGTGGGTCTTGAGTTTGGAAGTCGAGTGCTGTTCGCGTGCGTGTGAGAATTGGATACGGTAGGGAGGGAGTAACGTACATTTCCCCTTTTCCCCTGCCTCGACAACCTTTCTCCTCATGTCATGGGTGAGAAAGACATTTGGGTTGTCATGGGGGCTGAACACAGCTCTAAACAACGGCAACTCGTCTTCGACTACCTTGATCAAGTCTAGGAGCTGATTGGCGGCTACTAACAAGTTTTTGCGAGTGTCTTCGTCTGCGGGGAGTGACTCGTTTCCGAAGTGGACAGGACCTGAGGGTGTTGATTTAGCGATGGTGTAGCTGTGCTGGTGACCTTCGTGAGCGAGCTGGATTTCTTGGAGCCGTGCAGGGTTTATACCCCAGAACGGAGCGAGGTCGATGTTGATCTGGTCGTACTCGTCTGGGAGCTGGACGTTGTGCTTTTGGACGTATGCCCACCTGTTTGGGGTTTAGAGGAGGGTCTGAAGGGATGCGAGTAACGTACCATCTATCGAAGCCGGGTGGAGGTGCTCTCGAGTATCTGAAGTGGTACTCACGAACTGCTTCGGGAAGCGTTTTACTAGCGCGTGCGAGTTTTGCATCCCACTCTTTTTCTGCGTGTTCGATGAGGTCAAGGATGGGGTGTCTACCACCTGGGTGCACTTCGAGGAGACCGTCTGGGCGGAAAATGTGAGAGGGGCGTTGTGGTGGTGGTTCAGGGTATAGGGTATCAGAGTCTAGATCCCATGGTGATCCTGTAGGTGCAGACCGGTGTGCTTGATACACTCGAGGGAGGTATATACTAAAATTTGTGGGCAGGTTAGTACTGACCACTGAATGACTTGGTGTTAGTGTGAATACTACGAAACTGGAAGCAAAGATGACCAGAAATATATAAGCTCTGAGTGATCTGCGAGTTATTCGGAATGGGGACATTGGGGACCATTAAAACGCGTTCATGTTGCATGTCCTTTAAGAACTCGGAACATTCGGAACTTAATCAATTCATCCCAGCATCCCCGTCAGGGTGATAAGCAGGCTTGACTTCAAATTAACTCGGATATAGTAGTGGTCTAGGCACTGCAGCTTCTTATAACGCCGCCATCACACGCGCGCCCAGTCACCGACAATGTCGTAATTCGACTAGACACGGGAAAGGGAAAAAAATTGTTGACATGATCGATCGCAGCCAGTTGAACTGCAGGGTCAAGGCACAAGTCTTACGAAGAAGTTGACAAACTTCCTGGTAGTACAGTGAGTACGTACTCCGTAATTGTCGTGGTCGCAAAAGAAGCTCTCACCACCATACGAGCGCATCCGAGTTTGTACCGATGAGTTGAACATACCCCACTATATAATACGCGTACGCATGCTACCAACTCCGCAGGATTAGCCTCCGGAATTTCTTTACCTTTTCTAATCCTTATCACATCTTGGCACCATATGTACACGTCCAGCTGTGATCCTGTCCTAGCTTTGTACATGCCTGAATAATTCTCTGCCGAGTCTTCAGTGCAACAGCTGTCCGTGGGTGACATGTCTGACACCAGTGAGACTCTTATTTGACTGGGTCTCCAGCCGGAGACCCAGTCAAATAAGAGTCTGCGATCGCGACAGATGCGGCTGCAGGCGTGTTCAGATTCATAAATATGTTCCTATCACAGATGTGTCCATGCCATGATCATATACATGGAACTTTTCTGGTCTTTCAACTATATAGTTCCCGGTCCATTCCGAGCGCACGTTCAACTTAGAACTACCCCTTCCACCCCCATGTTCTAACTAGCAACTCATCGCTATCACGGCCAGATAGTTCAATATTTGGCCGGCAGATACAGCTATCGCTATGACCAGGGCTGGCACTGGTATTACTCAATCATTAATCTGCAACCTGAATCTGAGTCGCACAGTTTACACGACACTCACACTAGTAAAGCGAACCCCCCCTACTCTGGTTTCGACACAAGTCGAAATCTGTTCTGATCATGCTATATCTGGTATAGCTCAGCTGGACGATGTTCGGTTTACGGAGAAATCTTAGACTGTTACATCAGTGGCATTTCCCCGCATCGCCATCGCCGTAAGTTCCAAACTTCTATCTGAGAAGCAAAGGGTCTTTTGTTGATGGCAGACCATATCAGACTCAAGATTCCAGGTATCAATATCCAATTGCAATGTACGTAGGTGCGATCACGCTGATAACGAAGAACGGACTCCGTGAGCGTGGAGCGCCATCTTCATCACCATTGAGTATCAGATCTCCTCTCGTGTCTCGTAAGACATATATAGGCGGGCAACGAGTCTGAACACATCGTTATCGTCTCATATGCTCAAGTCTTGTTAGGAACATAAGAAACACTAGAATAGAAACATTCATACACGTGCGTCCCAAGGAAGACACGAAAATGATAAAGTCAATGAACAAGAAGTAGCTCACGGCAAGTAATTCTTCTCCAGACTCACAGCCTGTTTAATGTCGTGAGTATGAACAAAAAGCGGGCTTGAATGATGTCGTCATTGGCGGGCACTAGAAAGAAAGAAAAGGAGAAAAAGTCCATGGAGCGCGTATAATTAATGAACATCTGATAAAAGTGACACAAGCCGGCAACAAAGATGAAGAGAAATACTGTCCGCATGATACTTTCAGCAAGACAGTAGCAAGCGGGAAGTAATCCTCTTCATCAAGCAAGCGACAGCACATTGGCGAGGAGGAGCGTCGACTGTGGTAGACACCACCAATGAACTGTCCTCGTCTTCATGTCCTGGTACGGCAGGACAACTGGGGAAGAGTGATGATTATGGTGTGGTGTCTAAGGCGGAGTGGTGGCAGGTAAAATTAAAAAAAACGTCAGTAGGTTTTGACCGAGCCCATCAGAAGTTGTATACGAAAAGGAGCCTCACTGCGCAGTTCCATCAGTGAATTGAGGAGTCCTCGATATTGTACCCGTGGGACTTATAGAACGACTGATGAGTCCTTCATTCAAGTTATTCCAGAGCGGGCTGTTCGAAAAAAGAAAAAGACTGAGTGAAGACAATCGCTTCCAAATTCCAAAGAAACGATCTGGTCTGGAGATAGAATTCCCTTCTTGATCGTGCCAAGGAGCCTGAGAATGCGACGTGGTTTTGCATTAACTGTACAGTTCTCGGTCCATTCCGGTCAACGTTCGTTCGACCTCGCGCGCTGACCAAGCCTTTGCACTCCTACCACCGCCGAACGTTTGTTATCTTTGAATGGTGGGTGCCATTTCATGTCCATGAACCTGCCATCGCTGCCATTACTCGATGATCCACAATCTCAAGATCCCGCATACATAAACCCGAGTCTTTCATACGACACACGCAGCAGGCCGCCCCGTCATGATCACGAAGTTTTTGATAATCGATTATGTTATTCATCACCCTGGAACCCATATCCTTGAATCTTTACCCGTTGTATATGCAACATTCTACTGGCTGAGGCTTGCATATAGAACGAGTAAAGAAACAGAGAATCTCTATCATGATGTATCCTTTCTTCAAACGAGACACCGCCAAGTGGAGAGTCAAAACGATTCTCTTCATCACTACTAGAGAATCCAACGCAAGGAACATCAATACCAGTACTATAACGGGAAGAACGTTCTTTGGTAAAACAAAGGCTTCAAAGAAGGTTATCGCGGGGCACGGAGCCCCGGGGAACGCAGGCTTGGCGCTGACCCCATTCGAACTCTGATAATAGTATACCATGGACTAAAACCCCGTATTTACCCCACACGGACAGAGTCGAATGGGATTTTACAGAACACATGCTGCTTTTTCCATGCGGTAAATCACGCCCGCGACGAAAACGGAGAGCGGCAAGAATACGGCTGTGGTGACTCCTGACTTCAGGAGGTTGTGTCACGTAAATGTTGATAAGAAAGAATATGGTTTTTTTAACTACAAGCAAGCGCATGGTCATGGCCCCTGGCCCCTGGGTATGTCAAGCTGCTCAGGCACCGTAGAGGAGTCATGAGAGACGTGCCAGGAATTTGGAGTGAACGCTGGAGGAAGTGGTCACTGGTGTTGATGAAAAACCATTAATGTTACTGCTTAGATCTGCTTTTGATTCTCGAAGCTTCTGAAGGTTCGATGTCACTGGCCAATCATGATGCACTCGTCGATTTTCACACCCTTCACCACCTCGCTCCATGGCAGTGCCCAGTTCACGATTTTGCGGGCTCGTTATGTTTCCTCGATCTTCACCAACAGTAATGATGTGAATCTAGCCTTGTCGTCCACCAGAGTTTTAATGCCGAAGTTCGAGACGCTAGAATGGCAAAGTATTGGAAAGGCGTACAAAGAACGAGCGTGTTGAGTTTTCAGTTATGTCTAACAGAACTATAGTGAAAAATAAGTTACAGGCCCGTATTATCCCACAGTTCTAAATGATCCACACAAGACGCTGTTTGGATCCGTTGAGCAAAGACCGTCCTCGGGGCAACCGGCAGGTTTTCAATAACATCCCCCGATTCGTTCGCTGCTCGTAGATTGAATAGGATGCGCGAGGCGAGAACACTGCGCACGACTGTCTGTGGGCTTTTCTGATTCAGCGTCAGATATGGAATCAACTCTGATGGGGTTTACCCTGGCCCATAGAAACCGCGAACAAATGATAACTGGGCAACCTGGTCAAAAACTTATCTCGAGGCTGAAGGCAAGCTACTCACAGGATGCATAAGCATGGGGACCCAGTTCATCATCGAAAACACTGCAAATGAATGCTGTGATCTTGACAAGAATCCATAAAAGACTCACGAGTAATGCACAACATGTAAAATACACCATCCCGATATATAGTAGTAACCAATTGACCATTCTCCGTTCGGTGAAATTTGAAGCGTTTGTAGAGTGTCAGGAACATTAACACTAGCGGAGGATCGTGAGCGTTAAGCAGAATCATAGAAACACTACGTACCAAGCTGAAAGATTGTGTGCAAACCATAAATGATGCTTTGTTGTCCTTCCCATGCGCCACACCGAGGATCTGAAACAGTACGGGGTGAGCAGAAGGCAAATATAGAAAGGAAATACAGTCTAACTTCCGGATTGACTCGCGACAATAATTATAACTGTTAGCATAGCTGCCATTGTGGCCTAAAATGATGTGTGATCTTTGAGCAACAAGAAAACGGCCTGGACGAAGAACCAAGGTCACCATGCCAAATGACGATATTGCGATCAAAATCCTCTTTTCGCCCCCACAAAACACATATGTCCTTGCGACAAGCAGCACTGGAAAAGAAGTCACAAGGGTAAAGCGACTTGACCTAGGGCTGATACTGACCGTCAGCAGCAGCAGAACCTAAGGTAGTGATGGCTAGCAAAAAAACATTGAGCGTTCAGAGCTTTGAAGTGAGGTTATTGAATACGCAACTGCCATCTACGGCAATGAACACTCCAGGATTAGGCTGAAATATTGTCAGGTGCTTGAATTATCTCACAGAAACTCAAGCTTACGATTCCCCTTTGAAGTGACTGGACGTTGTCTATGGCAGGGACTTGTCAATAAAGAGCGAGAAGTAGACAGACGATCCTGAGTACTCACAATATAGGTACATAACAACACTTGCAATCGGCAGATAGCGAGAAATGACAAAGGCTATCCTCATGATCTCCCACTTCCTCCCCCATGTCCAGCGAACCTGATATTATGTTAGTGTTTTCATGTGGCTATCGAACGGCACCAACCTCCGAGTCGAAAGTAATGCAGAAGTCGAACAGCTGGAAAAGAATTTGGTCATTGTTCGACCACGTTATTCGTTGCTCCATACCAAAACCGCTGCGGACACAACTGTCATAAAAAATTCAGTTGTGCGGGACAAAACAACAATCCAACGAGCATTACACTACCTTCGACATACTGAATTCGAATAAGAAAATAAAGGATGGCAAATGAAATAGGGTACGCACTACGACAGTTTGACGTTCGTTGAGATCCGCACACTGACCCATCCTGAACGAACTTGAAACAATGACCGTCTTCCTTTTATGTCGTCCGCTGAAGATAGTAGAGCTATGGGGGCAAGTATCATATAGGCACATACTCCATCAGATGCACTACTGTCAGGCTTACTATACTTACCTCATATGCAGCCTGAGTATATGTTAATTTCATCATCATCAAACGCTAACTTGACATCTGTACCCCTGGGCTCATTACCTCAGAACCGCTATGGTTGACAACGAGAACGGGGGTAGTCAGGGTTGATGAACCCCGGTTTTCCAGAGACTTCAGAGCATGTGATCCACATCGGTTCAACACAGAGTCACATAAGCCCACACACTAATCAGTAAGATGATTGGCACAGCGGGCCCGGCAAGGAAGTAGAGAAAGTTGGAGCAGTACAGCCTCATTGAAAGCCTGTCCCTCACGTGGCTTGGATCACGATTTTGAAACCTTATGGAAGAACGGCAAAAATGGGTAAAATAATTTCGAATGTTCGTCGTAATCAGTGTGTTACGCGTAAGGCAGTTGCTGCTGACAGGCGAGGGAACAAATGAATCATTGGGAACGAGCGACTAGATAACTTGCGCCTGGTAAGTATGGTTGTCCAAAGTAAATACAAAATCACATGCATGCACAATTTTCACACACCTCAATATTGTCTCATGCGGTCAGTGCCGTTGATGAGCAACGATCCTGCAGGGCATGCGGGCAATCAGAGAAGCGATGCAGTTCTTTAGGATTCATTACGTTGATCATTACGTCGGAATGAGGAGTGCCTCATGACTTAAGAACGTAATGACAAAACGCTCGAAAACCTCGTCAGCTGTAAATTTGCCACGGACTGCCCAGCAGGTAAGTTGGAATTTCGAAACAAGCCTGGCACGATCGATCAAAATATAAAAGCAATGGACATCAGCAATGCAAAGCACAAACGATCTAAACAATACGAGCATGGTATCTCCAACTCGATCTATGTGTCCAATGCGTGGCATTGAAGACAGCCACTGTCGACGTTGCAGAATGCGGGTGCATGAGTGGGATCGAGAAGTTGACGAGTCTGAGAGATACTTGAAGACGTCTGCATTGTAGAGACGAAAGGGTTTTGTGTATCTTATGGTAGAACCTGTTGTGCTTGGGAGGGAGAGGTTCGTGGCGGTTTGGGATCCTGTAGTAGATGTGGCCGTAGTTGGTGAAGGTTATGTCGAGGGAGAGAGATTTGGGCCTGTGGGCATTGGGTGTCGCAGGCTCAGGAGTGATTCTCTTCATCGAGCGAGTGTTGGATGAGGTGCAAGGGACACGGACACAGTTGACGAGGAAGAGGAACTCCGAAGAACGCTGTACCTTGATAGTAGTGGCCGGTCAGCCGCGGTCGCCTTTCGTTAACACTATTACTTGTTTCCGAGGGAGTACAGAGTCGTCTGGGTATGCCATGGTCCAACTTGATACCGTCGTGATTGTCGGATGGGGGAAAAACATCGAAGGGAGCTGTGGATGATGGAGAGAGATCAAACCGAGAAAACAGGAATTTCAAGCGAGGGTTTAAGTTGGAGGTTGAGGGTCGTAGAATACAACAGTTGTTCTTTATCAGCATCAGCATCGGAAGTATCGACGAAGCTTGAGGATTACTGTGACGGTAGTTGTTGATATAGTCGTTCCGCACAAAAATTTACTGGACAAGTCACAAATTCGCACGTGCTTTCGAGTCTCGACAGTCGTTTTGACTCTTTGAGCTCACCCGATGATCCACTGTACTTTTTCCCAGACGACCCTGTACTTCCTTGGAGCCGATGAACAGTGTTGACGAAACTACTATCAAGGTACCATCGCTCTTGCAAGTTCCTCTTCCTCGTCAGCCGTATCTTTGTCGCTTGCACCTCATCCAACGTGACTTGCTCGATTCTGAAGAGGATCACTCTCGAGCTCCCCACCGGATGGAAAGTACGGCATAGGCAGTAACATCAATCCTCTTTATCTTTACCTTTGTCGCCCACTATTCACTTTCGTCATAACGCGCGCTCCCATATGACTTTGGGTCTCAACTACATACCAGAAAATAACATGTCAGTCACGAATCACGATCGGCAAACAACTTCCGACGTCTCATTGGCTCCATCATACGCGTCGAGAGAGATCCGTTAGGCAACCTTCGAGCCAACGTTAGGCGAGCAGGTTCAAGGTTGTGAGGAAATGCCTGAGACTCTGCGCAGTGCGTTCTGTCTTCGTTCGACCTGCCAATATTAATCATCAACAGTAATGATCGCTCGTTTCTACAGCCTCGAACTTAAGCTTAGTGGACTATGAGGAAAACCAGGCACGATTGATCATTTTCAGATAAGTTCAAACATATATTGCTTGACCAGCACAAAAGTTTGTTCGAGAATCACTGTATGATTGGCTCCTAACTAGGTCTTGCACTGTTAACTAGGATACCAAAGCGAAAGCAGAAACATGACTCACTGTCGCGACATGCCGCTCAGGCTCTTTATTGAAACGTGCAGGTCGGGACTCCCAAATCCTAAGGCGCGCAGGTGAGTCATGTGGTTGGATCCTGGTTGCATAGCGACCTGCTCATACTCACATCAGGTTGACAAAGATAGTCCTTGCAGCAATCTGCAGTTGTTGTACAATCTATTATGCTACATGCACTGACAGAAATAGATGTTGTCAAAGCAACAAAAACGGCGAGGACAGAGAAACGCATTTTGTGCACGAGGTGATATGGAATCTTCTGAGGGGAATCTCGAACGATATCTCCGAGGATGGGGGAACACTATAGGACGACGACCAGCTTTTATATCCTGCATGTGCTTATGGGCATGACTCTGATCGATTTGGCAGAATCTCCAGATTGCAAAAAATTGGGCTGCTGGGATTCATATCGTGTGAGGGGTATAGTCCATGCTATGTGAGTTCTGCCACATAAATTACTGATTTGAAGTGTCTCTGAATCCGTCTCTTCACAGCCTCCAGTCTTTGCAAATCGGAAATACAATTTCTCCACTTAAGCTATTTGTGTGTCGCCATTTAAGAATAATTGTTTTATTCTGTGACCTGGCATCCGCTGCTTCATTTCTACCGGCCGTGTTTGCCGTGGACGTGGACGTGGCACGGCTGTTACTCTACTACCTTCTCTAAAGATTGATCATTATACTCAGTTTGCACTTATGGCTAGCTTCGCTGATTGAATTGAGACTGAAGGCGGCCCGAGTCATGTCACTGATGCAGCCTTTGTAAGGCTTACACGACACCGGGTGGATGGGACGCGCACGACATAGGCGAGACTTGACGCGCAATTAATGGTGGTATGTGTGTCACAGCATTCGGATAGTTAACGCTCACTGAACCACCATCAGTGCGATCAAAGACGAGTACAGAAGGAAGCGTACTGCAAGGTGTTATATCCACTTGGGACAGACTCGGCAAACGATCAAGAAGAGCTTTAAATGATTGTCTCTTTAGGTTCAGACAACGCATCTGAAATTTGAGCAGGCATTGACAATTCTCTTCATCAACGCTCGCTCGAATCCCCGGTCTCTCATACTAATCTGTCACGCATCACAAACCCTTAGTTTGCCTTGGCGACCCTGCGCATCGGCGAGGTTGAGAAATATAAGGCACGCTCCATGACCTTGGGCTTTGATTTCCGACCAGATAATAACACATCTGCCACGGATTACGAATCACGATTGGCAACGAATTGGCGTCTCGTTGTTTCTATCACACCAGAGAGAGAGATTCACGAGCTAGCCTTTGATGCCAAGGTTAGATAAACAGATTCGAGATTGTCTGTGTAGTGCAATCATCAACAGCAATAATAACTCATTTCGACAGCCTCTGGAACTCAAGCTTAGTGGACCGCGAGCAAGACTAGGGACGGTCGATCATTGTCAGATGAGTTCAAACGTCCGCGTTGCTCGAGTAGTATGAAAATTTCTCCAAAACGACTGTACTGATTGAATCCGAACTAGGTGTTGCACCATCAACCATGATGCTGCCAAAGCGAAAGCAGAAACACAGCTCACTGTTGCGACGTGCTGCTCCGGCTGCCAGCTCAATTTTCAACCTACTGGCAGTACTTACCGTCAATCTAAGGTCGCAGGTAAGTGGTGTGGTTGAATCCTGGTTACAAAGCGACCTGCTCAGACTCACCTGATCTCCTACACAAGTCCAGGTTGGGCAACAATCTGCAGTTGTGTTGCAAAGTACCATGCTACATGCACTGACAGACATAGATGCTGTCAAAGCAACAACAGCAGCCAGGAAAGATAAACGCATTTTATGTGCGAGGTGGTTTGGAATCTTCTAAGGGGGATCTCGAATGGTATCTCTAAGGATAGGGTAATAGTATAGGATGACAGCTGGCTTTTATATCGTGCACATACTTGTGGGCACGATTTTTCAGAATTTGAAATTGCTAACAGATAGCAGAGATTTCGGTAGAACTTGCATGAGCGTATTGAATTGATTACTCACAACCTACCGTTACTAGAATCCTATTGTGTTAGCGGGGTGTAGTTCATAATTACCAGGTGCTAAGCGCTAAGTTCTAAAGCCTGGGATACATTTCCCCTTCCGATTTCTCCCGCGAAACAGAGACACTTGGGGAATTATTGACTTCAACCGTTTCTGATTCCATCTCCTCCAGTCTTTGTAATTTTTCAAATTTCTCCCCTTATGCTATTTGCGTGCTGCTAGTGACATGCATCAGGAAAACCCTCCCATATAGACTTAGATAGATTAGACGTTCTTAGACAAATTTTCGCAAGCTGTGAAATTTTATAGTAGCTAGCTCTAAGACCAATAGTATAATAATGGCGCTCAAGGTGATTTCCTGAAATCTCGGTAAGCTCGGTAAAGGTCGGTAAAGGTCGGGTAAAATGTCCTGCTGGTAGTTAACATAAGGCTCTGAAGTTAGCTTACTCAACTATACGACGTACTTCGGCATGACGTCGGAGCCTAAAATAAGATCTTATCTCTACCTTCACTATGCCCCGTCACTCCCTACGCAATGAGCTCCTTGACGAATTGGACGAGGTGCAACTAGCCTTGAAAAAGGCAAGGCTTCAGCATGCAATCCGAAGTTATGCTCTCTCCTATTCTGATTCTGATGACTTGGATTCGGACGATTCTGACCTCGACACAATTATCACACCTCCGTCACCTCCTACCCCATTTTTCTCTGACAGTTCTGACTTCGACTCCTCCAGCGATGAATCTGACCACTTTGCTGCACGTTATGACCGTCTGAATGACACTATCACTTCCCTTTATGATGAGGTCATCAGGGCACGTGTCCTCCATCAACCAAATGCACCTCCCATGCGAGCTCCCCAAATACAACTCCTTCATGATTTCGGGGACTCTCGACCTCACCTGTTCCGCAAGAAGCTCCGCGTCAATCCAGACATATTTGACGACATCTTAGATCAAATTTCAGGTCACGCCATTTTCACCAATCGCTCAAATAACCCGCAGCTCCCCGTCGCAGTCCAACTTGCAATATTTCTTAACTGTGCTGGGCACTACGGTAACGCTATATCTCCGGAAGACGTGGCTCAGTGGGCTGGTGTTAGCATCGGCTCGGTAATCAATTGTAGCAATCGCGTCATGGTCGCCATTCTTGATCTCCACGATACGTTCATTGTCTTCCCTGCTCTTGACTCCGATGATGCAGAGCAGGCTCGCCGATTCGTCGAGGCGAGGTCATGTCCCGAGTGGAGAAATGGGATCTTCGCCGTTGATGGCTCTGCAATTAATCTGTACGAAAAGCCCGGTCTTTATGGTGAAGCGTTTTATGATAGGAAATCAAATTATTCTCTCAATTGTCAGGTACGTTTTTTCCTCTTATTCTAATGATACGAAATCTAACGAAACCTTTAGGGAGTTATCATGCCTCATAACTTGCTTATCGTCAATTACTCCCTCGGTCATCCTGGAAGCACACACGACGCATATGCATTCAAATCGACACGTGTTTATCAAGAACACGACACCCTTCTTCAAGCTGACCACTGGATCTGGGCCGATAGTGCTTATGCACTGGAGAGGTGGTGTGTTCCTCCCTTCAAGAAGCCACGGAATGGCCGCTTGACGAGGAATCAAAAGAGCTTTAATGTCAGTCTCTCTCGCGTATGTGCTCATTTTTCTGCTCGTTAGAATATTTACTAACTTTCAATTGGTTTAGATTCGCGTTCACATCGAGCATGCATTCGCTGCTTTGAAAGGACGCTTCCAATCCCTCAAAGAACTTCGTCACCCGATGCAGAATCAAAAGGACCTTCAAATCACTCTCCACTGGGTCAGGTGTTGCCTGATACTCCACAATATGATCATCTGCTTTGAGGCACAGCGCAACCGCTCAACAATCAGATGGGCTGTCGGGGAGGGGCTAAATACTATGCGCCGTGAGTTTGAAGAAGCGGATGGTGACGAAGTGATAGGCGATAGATCATATGAGGGTACCCCGGGTCAAGCATGTAGGGCAAGGCTCATGGATCAATTGTTCGACAGCCCTCATTCAGAAGCTCAACGTCGCGAAGGGTGAGCACATAACACGGATGATTCATCACAAGAACAATTGTAGTACATAGATATAGTGAGTAATTCATGGAAGACAGTGGCAGCCGTACAAAGATGCGCGAGAACAAGACAAATGCGAGCGTGAGATATGAAAAAAAAACAAATGAGCAAGTCGGAAGTGCGAACAGAAACAAAATCCAGTGAACAAATATACAAACATACAAATTGAAGCCCCAGGAGAGATCAATCACTCTTGGCAGCATTGATCTTGGCCCACTCGATCCGCAGGCGCATCACGTCCCTCTCCATTTCAAGAGCCTTGGCGTCTGCTTCACGCAGGCGAATCTCTGTCTCCTTGGCCTCCTTCATGCGTTGATGGACAATAGCAGCATCTGCGCGCTCATTGGCACGCTCCTCACGAAGGAAATCGTGCTCTTTCTGCTGGCGGTTAGAATTCATCTTCACCATCAGTCGCTCATTCTTGAGCTGATACAACGAGACCTTCTCAGAGTGTATGCTCTCCAAGTCATCGTTCAACATCTCGACTTGTTCTTGAATTTCCGACCGGACACGTTTCGACACTGAGTCCTTGCCTTTTGGATTGGCTGAAACAGATGTTTGTGAAGTTGGCAATTTTTGAACTGATGAGCCTTGCCTACCAGCGCGTCCACGTCCCAATGAGCTGCGGGAGGTCTTCGAGGATGTGACAGAAGGGGTGCTATTAGTAGCACCCTCGCGCACCATGAGCTGACCAGCATGAGATTTGAAGGAGCCATGACCATCGTGGATGGAGGTGCAGGGCTTCTGTGGAGCTGCAAATGAGGGAGGGGGGGACGGAGTTGGAGAAGATGGAGGCTGCTGGCGTTTCTTGGCACCCCGTTTCGATTTTGGTGGGCTGTCCAAAATGATGACATTGTCATCGTCATGATGACCGACTGACTCATCCATATGCAGGTCTTCCATGTCACCAGCAAGGGGGTTGTTGTTGTTGTCGTCCATTCCAGGAAAGTCTGAAAGTGTCTGAGGGCCTGGGGAGTATGTGTTGCGGCTTTGTGACTGAGCACCTTGGGGAGAGAGGTCATAATTCCAGCGTTGTGGAGAGCCAGAAGTGCTGCTTGCTTGAACACTCTGTTGAGGGGGGGCAAAGTTGAATTGGGGAGTGGAGAGAGAGCCAGCGACACCACCAGTATAGGTGCCTTGGGGAGGGAGGCCAAAATTCCAGTGCTGCGGAGAGCCAGAAGCGTTCCCTGGTTGGGCATTTTGTGGGAGGGGGAAGCTGAATTGGGGAACAGGAACACTGCCAGGGTGGGCGCTTTGGGGAGGGACATTGTAATTCCACTGCGGGTGGGAACCAGCGACGCCGCCTGGTTGACCACTTTGGTGACGGAGGCCAAATTGATGGGGGGCAAACTGTGAAGGTTGTGAAGGTGGCGGATAGGGAGGGGGAGGGTAGTTAGATTGTGGGACGCCTGTTCCACTACCAGTGGCAGCGCTGGTAGAAGGGATGTTACATTGTGGGGGGGGGATGAACAGAGCTGCCCGCAGGACGGGTGAGGGCAAAAAGATCACCTGCGTGGTCGGTGCCTGGCTTTGATGAAGTCGTTTTGGCAGCAAATGATGGGTTGGAGCCCCATATTTTACGGAGATCGTCGTACCAGGGGAATTCTTTCTGGACTTTGGCTGTGAATTTTATTAGTAGAATTAAATAAACATAAGTAACGGACTCACCATGTAGATTTTCCGCAGTACATGCATCGAGGGGCACAATCCCTGCACCAGTTGATTTAAATTCATTGCGGTAGTCACGGAATTTATTCCGGAGACTTCAAATAACTTGATTAGCATCTACGATCTGATAACCAAAGGATCACTTACGCTGTTATACGGTTGGACACAGAGTCACGAAACCTGGTCCGATTGGCAGCATATTGGCCAGAATATACTCTATCGCCGCTGAAAATCACTTCTGCTATCACTGCATAGATTGCGTTCTTGTCTTTGCCCGATGGAGGACCCTCGATATTAGGATCACTAGGTTTCTTCCCCTCGCTAGAGAATAGGATGCGACAATCTGCCACATTGTTGACGAGGTAATCGACCAGCTTGTTGGTACGTTGGATGTCTGCCTGCCAACTGATGCTTGTCTCGGTGGTATCTCCATCTCCTTTGGAACGCCTGGACTTTCCTCTTCCACGGTTGGGGGGTGGGACTGGAGGAGGATTCATGGCCTTCCACTTGGCCTGGTAGTAGATTGGGGAGAGGTTCTGCGACCCCTGCAGTCGTGCAGAGCGACGTAGTCGTGGTCGTAGGGCAGGCATATACTTTTAAGCTCCGACGTCATGCCGAAGTACGCCGTATAGTTGAGTCAGCTAACTTCAGAGCCTTATGTTAACTGCCAGCAGGACATTTTACCTGAGCTTTACCGAGCTTTACCGAGCTTACCGAGATTTCATGAAATCACCTTGAGCGCCATTAATGAATAGATTTGCTGATCGGGCTATATATAGCCACATATGTACTAATCGACTGGACATGTTGAAAAAGTTGACCGGACCTAGTTTTCACACGCAGATGCAATTTTATAGACAGTGATACCTAACCGTTTATCACGACTACCGAGTCTTTTCAAAACCATGGTACTGTGTTCATTTCACGTCCTCGCACCAAACTATATCCATGAAAACGTTGTCAAGAAGCTCATAATGAAACTTCCTGTAGTAAAGAAGCCGGACGAGTCGCTCGAATGCCCAGGCCCCGCATTCATTGTTCCGAGTCACACCCACCCACTATTAGTGATGACGAAACACTATGCCTCTTTCTGAGGCTGAATAACTGTTCAGTGACGAAGAGGACAAACTACAAGCTGAAGATGGAGATTATCAGGCATAGAAGTTCAGCGTGGATTCGGCTGCTACTGGAATATGAATTTGGTGGTATATTGACTAACATCTTACCTGGTTTTTGCTAAAATGGATGTCTTGATAGATGCCGAACTCACGTTCGTTTATGGCCGCCTTACAGTGCCGCACAGGACGTAGATTCATGATTCATCGGAGAGCTCAAAGTACCATGCATCATTCGTGCAAACCGGCTGCTCATGTGGAACGCCACGTCAAACGCGAGAGCACTTATTACGTGGCTGTCCGCTATTCATATGCCAATGCATCCACTTGCGCGCAGTATCCCACATCAACATACTCAACAAGACCCTGGGTATGGAGAAGGAGATAGAGGCGCAAGCAAAACTCATTCATGAGCCTGACACTTTCAAGGAGGTTGCCATACTATGACATCCGTCATGTTGACAACCCTTGGAGCTATGTGGAGATGGCTCCGAAATGTTGAGTGCTTATGGACCCAGTCGACGGCTGGTTGGAAACTCGAATGTTCAGTAGACAGTAGTTCGACCACAAGTTGGTGATGGACCTTGGCTGGCAATCTGCTGGCACTACAGATCGGTGCCATCTGTTTAAAGGCACAACCACGCAAGAAGAATTTCAAATAACAACATTCAGCTCATAAAAGCCAGCCGTCTTCTTCAGAATTACCTGATTTCTTATCACAAGAGTCACAAATAATGTGTTTCTCCTCTGCATTTGTCCTCGCCGTCGTTGCTGCTTTAGCCTCATCATCTGTCTCTGCCATACCCCCTCAGGTTGACGAGGCTGGCACCACTCAATGTCAAATCATTTGCTACACTGATGAAGATTGCCAAGAATTTGGCTGCACTCATCGGACTTGCGTGAGTATCAGTAGTTTTCGTGGCTCCGATAGCCTGACTCACTTGCATGGCAGTTCCTCGCTTGGTTCTGCGTAGTGAGTCGTGTTTCTGCCCTCGCATCCATGCAGTATGGCCATTGGCACTGACGCGCGAGTGATTAGTGATTTGCAGATTTGATCAATGAACCATGGTTGCATTCAGATCCTCCCTGGTCGCTACAAAATTTAACATAAGACTGACGTTATTCTGTAACATGCCCTAAAACTTTCCTGGGTCATCACTACAGTAGAACCAGGGCCGTTTGCTCCTATATAATAGATGATAAACCTCTTGACGATGTCTTCGGAGCCACGCACGTCCATCCAGTGAATAGTGCTCGACTGATTTATCGAACACTTTTTCAAACATGTTGCACCTCTTCGATATTGAAATTGCCAGCACGAGGACTGTCACTTTATCGATCCCGTCGCCGACTCTCTGGACGTCGAGTGGACGAAAAAGAGGTCGAAAAAGTGAACGTTTGATCTGATCAAACTGCTCGTCTTGTAGCTAACACACCTTTGATCTATCGCTGGCAGGTCCGACCCATGGTGCTCCGTTTACTCCAAACCGGATACCTCGTACACTCATATCATGTCCTCCTTCCACTCAATATCGCCTCTGTTTGTTTCTCGATCCGCAGCGCCCTACAAACTGTTCAATCAGCACCAAAGGCAAAGTGGAAACACTCACTAGTCATGTTTCGCTACGTGCAAATCGGCTTGCAAGGGTGGGATATCCCAAGTGATGCATATACCACCAGCGCAAAGAGCGAATTTATCGCAGCAGTCACTAACGGCTTCGCAAGGCTGGTCACGTTGGCTACAGATTGGTGCCCTTACTGCGACACACAGTGTAGATGACGTCAATGCAACGATAAATGCGAGGCACAAGAAACGCATTGTTCGTTTGAGGTGATACGATCTGCTGAGGGCTCGAACAATGTCTTTGAGGTGGATGGACGCTGAAGATGGTAGGAATTTTATATTATCACGAAAACGTTTAGCGAAATGGTTCCACCTTAGGCACCGCCTGAGGGGGCTTGGGTGGTACAAGGAGACGGTCAACGAAGATTGTGACTCGTATAGAGCAGACCATCATGGTGACATCTGTGATCCTAAGTGCCGCCCCCATCCATTTCAGCGACCCAGAAGGCAAGGTCTTAAAGTTCGCCTCTTAGTCTTAATATTCATTTTTTTAGCTGGCCCGCCTCGCACGTTTGAGGGGGCTCATAGTAGTGCTTTTGTGTATGGACTCTTAATGTTCTTCGAGATTGGTGAGGTGGCGATTAATCCAAATATCTTATTCTGACAATTCACTTCTAGTTCTCATGCTCACCACTGCATTTGTGAAATATCGACACTATTTTGGTTTTCATAATACGTCAATAAGAACCATCTACCGTGATGGACTCCCCTACATGTTCTGCATCACAAGTATCAACATCATTGTTATAATTTTCGTGCTGACATCTCTATAGTGGTATCTGTAAGGACGTCACGGTCGACGACCACACTCAAAGAACAGACAGCAGTTACGTGGTTGAGCGTATATGATTCGAGAGAGTGAAGAACAGACGATGTCTACTGAGATACGTATCTGTATATATAGGGCAAGAGGGGTGCAAATGGCAAATCCCGGATATGTGGCTCAATTTTACCTAAGCTTTTGAACCTTAATATACAGCCACTTGAACTTTCGAGACAGACATTCTGAGTTTTGACCTAGTGGTCTCAAAAGTGAATATATTTTTTGTTTGCTACTTGCAATGGGGGGGTTTTTCTTACTGTAGAATACAACTAGGTAGTTTACTTGATAAAAATGCGCGTATAAGTGCGCTACTCGCAGAAAAAAAAAGTTGGATGTAATTTTGTAAACACGTGATCAAAGCATGTGATGTCAATATATGCGCGTCAAACGCGTCGACGTGTCTCATTGCGTCTCATACTCTCACTCCTTTACACATAAATTATTATCATGGATGCATTACAGTGGCATGCACATACCTTTGATTCCTCAAGTCTTGATGATAGCGACTGGGACTCAGACACAACTAATGACTCATATCAGTCAGATTTGGACTTTCGATCACATCTTCATAGATCTCCTTCGATTGATTCTACTGATTCTTCTGGCCCTGCGCAATATTGGTTGGATGCCTTCTTAGAATTGGCAGTGGCACCAGAAGATCTACCCGATGCCTATGAATTGGCCATGACCCCTGAGGACTTCATCTCATCAGACCCGGAATCAGAAAGTTCGAAAACAGAATATGACGACGAAGAACTACTCATATTGAATAGTCCCGATGCACTCTATCAGCTTTTTCTCAAGGACAAGCTACAAGTCCAAATCAGTGCCTCAAAGCAGTGGGAACTTTTGTGTCCGGACTGTGCAGAGTGGTGTCAGACTGGCATACACTCGGGCATCAACTTATGGATATCCGGACAGTTTGTGTCACTCAGTAATCATCGGGTGTTACAATAACATGTAACCGAGAACCCCTCCTATGGAGGTCACCATGACCTCAGCCCCTATCCCGCCATATGCACCGTCTTGGAAAGACTTACCGACTCAACGGAGACTCATAGAGACGCCTAGAACGGCCTGGATGCCGTTAGATGACCTAGACCAGCCTGGGCTACATCTGGACGGACCTAGATGGTCCTCGACCCGGATCATGGAGAAGCTCTGCTTCATGGTCAGAAGAGAAGCCGCATGCCGCAGCATGCGCAGTTAAACTACAAGGCATGTTTAGCCTTGAGGACAGATAGAAGAGGCATGGTAAGCCTCATGGATAGATAATCGCCCGCATGGCATCAGATAAGATGCCCTTGTATAGACACACTCATACTTACATACCAAACGTAGTATTGGTCTGTGCACACGGACGACAGTATATAGAGCAGACAGAATCATGTATATTCCCTACTTGATTCTACTAGGTTTTCATCAGAACTTCCTCTGTGTGATCGTCCCAATCGCTCAGTCTAAGCCGCACCTAAAGGAAAGCCGACGCTACCTTTAGTGGAACCCCCGAACCTCTCATTCGAGAGAAGATCCCCGTCTCTCCAGTAGCGAGCCCGCTATCAGATTAGGCAATCCGCCTAGGGAGAGCTCGACCTATCCTAGTCGTAACATCGGGGGAGTCAGAAATGCGATCAGACAGCCAAAAAAAAGCTGTGTGCCCATCAGAAGGATGACAACGTGTTTGATGTACCATCAACATGTTCTGGAGTTACCTCAAATGACACGAGGTATGTTTAATTTTGGTTCCATTTTATCACACACATGATCGATCGATCATCAATCAAAACTTTCAGCGCATTGCTTGCTCCTCCTCCTGGTCTTAATTGTGCTGGTCTTACTGTTGTCTGGCCTGATGACCTTCGCCCATTCGCAATGCTTTTACCTTGGGAACGATACCACGAAGGTCCGGACTCATTACCTTTCCTCGTCAACATCACACATCCAAGCAAGCCTCGTGTTTGGTCAAAGCGCTGCAGGTTATCGACTCTACTTGAGGGTGTGCCATGTGATGAATGCGCCGACATCTCCCAGCATGTCTCTCAACTTGCGTAGGCTGCGTGTGACCCCAAACCATCATTGAAGGGTACAATTCGGACCCCTGGTGTAAGAAGCTGATTGGGTTGTTAGGATTACTCCCTGGTTTATCTCACAACAACGATGGTTTTTTTTACATCGGGAACCGGTTGGTCGTGCCTAGGGTGAACAACCTGCGTGAAGACTTATTCCATGCGGCACACGATTCTGCAGGGTACCTTGGTGCCGACAAGTCATATGGACTGCTACGTAGCTCGTACTACTGGCCTAATATGTGTAAGGATCTTGTGGATGCTTACATTCCTTCGTGCACAGAGTGTATGAGGAACAAGTCAAAGACGACGCCAATCAGAGGGGGAGATCAAAAAACTTCCCTTTCGCGCAATCCTTCAAGATCTTGTCGATTCTTGGCAGTGGATGATTGTCTGGGACCGTATTCACATTCAATCGTCTGAAATCATTTACCCAATGGGGTAAAACAGAAGGGTCAGCCTTTGGGATTATGAACGAGGGCGATGACCATTCGCTTTCGGAGTGTCAAAGTCGCCCGCTTTCGATGTGTGAATCCAGCAACATTTTCCACGCCACCCAATATTTCTTCGGGCAATTGTAGGAGCACTGTTGCACAATTTTGTTAGCATCCTTCAAATTACGTGGTTGAGCCGATTGTGTTCCAAAAAAGGGCCTCCTAACAGTAGGGGCATACAAAGATTTGGTGCAATAATCGCACATACAGTGCGAGACTTGTAAGTTTGGTCGAGCAAGCTACATGACAACTTCACGAAATGCGACAGAATACAGGATTTATCTTGAGACAATGCAAGTGAGACAGGGATCGGTTTCAGGAGCTTTCGACGGCGCAGTCCGAGTTTGTTGATGAGGTCTTCACCAATCAGAACTAAGGACGAACCATGATCAATCAGTGCAGAAACAGTCATAGGGAGAGAAACAGCTGGTCCGTCGACAAGACATTCCCAGCACAGATGGGGGGTCTGTAATGGAGCCACACACTCTTCGTCAGAATCAGTACCATCCAGTACCGCAGAGGGCATAACCACCACAACGGTGTCACTCTCCTCTGCTTCTACAGGGGCAATGATCCCCTTATCTTTCTTTGCACATTTAATTACAATGACTACGGCCATCAATGTCTTGTACATCGCGCCGTCTGGGAAACCCTTCTTGCAAGTAGCAGACCCATGTCCCGCGAAAGGTTCCCTACATTTGAAACATCCATTGTTGTCACAGAGCAACTGGTGTTCATCTTCAGTCAATGACGGTAGGCGAGTGAATGTTTTGTTTGATCCAGTCACAGTTGTATTGGTCGATTGCCCAGCTTTTGAGTTGAAACGTGTTCCTGCTATAAGTTTCTTCTCTCCAGCGGAGCGTGCACGCTCTGCGCGAAGCGCAGCTTCTACCGTGTCCTTCTGTCGCACAAGGTACCATAAGCATCTCTCGTCAAGAAGTCGCACCTTCTCAATCCATTTGCGCAAGTTGGTCTCAGTGATATTTTTGGCCTGGTAGTTCGCCGCCAGTTCTGTGTTCATGTGGGCCTCAAGGTGGTACAGGATGCTGTCGTTCTTCAGATGAGACGGCGTCCCACGTAAGAGTGTGTTGTGGCCTTGGACGTCGACTGCCCACTCGTGGAAAGGACGCTGTCCCTGTGTCGATGCCAGCATCTTCCTCCGGACCTGATCAGCCCAACCTGATGGCAACCAGTAACTGTGCACGTCCTCCATGTAGTCCTTAAAGGTGAGTCCGTCGAGACGTGCTTGATTATTACTATACCAATCTTGCATAACCGGTTCCTGCATCCCCCAGGCGACTTTCTTTACCATTTCATCGTCTTTCACCTCTTTGTGTAGGAAGAATTGGGTGCAACCCATTTCCCAGGCGTGTAAGACTTCTGGTGTGAGCTCTCCTGCTGCGAGGAACAGTGGTGTGCTAGCAGAGGTTTGTTCTACTTATGCGAATTTCGAGTTAGTCGACATAGCGGATGTTTCAATATCGCAATCTGAGTCAGAGTTGGTTTCTGTGCACGTATGCGTGTGAGAATGTGTGATATTCATAGAATTCAACGTGGGGGGTACTGGGGTCGGTGCGGTACTAATGGAGGTTAATGAGGACGGTACAGATGTCGGTGCTGCTGAACACGCTTGTGCAGTCAATTGTTTGCTGCGGCCTTGTGTTGTGACGGCTAAAGGAACAGTTGGGGGTGATTAATGGAAAGGCAGTTTGGTGCTTAGATGATGGGTTTGACCGATGGTCCACACCCAACAGATGGTATCGGTAGTATAACGGCAACAAGGAGCATGGTACGGTTGTATCGGTTTAAGCTACACTCAGTGAACATAAAAAAAAAGTGTAAGGACGTCACGGTCGATGACCACACTCAGAGAACAGACAGCAGTTACGTGGTTGAGCATATATGATTCGAGAGAGTGAAGAACAGATGATGTCTACCGAGATATGTATCTGTATATATAGGGTCAAGGTACTGTGCGCGGTGTCCAATCAGTAATGAGCTGCATCATAAGCTAAGTTTAGTTGCGTCATCGATGTGTGTCATCTGTACGTCATGTAAGCATCCAGCTTACAGTATCCACTCTTAATGTGATTGTCATCTCTGTGTTCCCTGTGAGCTCTTTTCTGATTATGTAGGCTTCGAAGAACTGAGCACACCCTTAGCTCTCATACAGCAAGATGTTAAACACGTTAGCCTGGTCATATATATATATCATCAAAAGCTCATATTCGACATTTTAGACCCCAGATTGTTGTGCACAGCGTTCTCGCTTCGCGAATACTATTTATTCTTCAAGCGAACAGGGAGCAATCGGTCATCTCCACACACCTATCGACGAATGCACCGGAAATGGAATCGATTCCAGATGGGTTTCAAGCGTGGCATGAAGGCAGGGAGACATTTACTGGTGCTGGCCAACCAGATCAAGCTTAGATGTGCTAATAATTTTGTGGGTCCCATGGATAGATAGCATTGTCATTTTAGTTAGCTGACTATGAATTACTCGTCTCCTAGTTTCTCTTTGTCGTTGTAACGGAGATGTCAATTGCAGTGGTCCATGGAAGAGATAGTAGCGTAGTCACATCGTTGACCAGTCAAACCATAATGTCAGAACCGGCTTTAGCTGGAGCTCTGGCAACACTTGAACTTTCGACAGCCCCTCAAACTCAACTTGAAGCTCAGTGAACCATGAGTAATACTAGGCACAATCGATCATTTTTCAGATAAGTTTCAAACATCCACATTGCTCGAGCAATATGAAAACTTGTCCCAAAACAACTGTACTGATTGACTGCGAACTAGGCATTGCACCATCAACCATGCCAAAGCGAAAGCAGAAGTGTAACTTACTGTCCCCATGTGCCCTTCGTACTGCCGGCTCAATTTTGTAAACTAACTAACAATCAAGCAGTTCATACCTCCACCCTAAGGCGCGCAGGTGAGTCATGTGGTTGAATCCTAGTTGCACAGCAGCCTGCTCATACTCACGCTAGGTCCACAAATCATGCCTGCGCAGCAATCTGCAGTTGTTTTGCAAGCTGTGAGACACTGTGCACTGACATGCATAGATGCTGTCAAAGCAGCAACAATGGGGATGAAGGAGAAACACATTTTCTGTGCGAGGTGATATGGAATCTTCTGAGGGGATCTTGAATAGTATCTCTGAGGATGGGGGAACACTGTAGGACAATGGCCAGCTTTTATATCCTGCATATACTTATGGGGACGATTCTGATCAATCTGGCAGAATTGTTATTGCTCAGGTCAGACGGCAGAAATTCCGGTAGAACCTGCAGGAGCATGTCCAATTATGACCCTTGTATCACAACCTGCCATCACTGGGGCCATAGTTAGTATAGTAGTTCATGATAGTGAATTCTCTCGCATAAATCACTCATTTGAACCGTCTCTAGCAGCACTCTTGTGCGTGCTGCTAGTCTTGAAAGAACAACCAGTTCATTCTGCGACCTGGCGTCCACCACCTCACTCATTTCGGCCGGCCGTGCCTGCCGCTGTAGAAACAACAATACAGAGAGGAACAAATGATGCTCCTGACTGTATCTATAATGTTGTGAGGTCACGCGTTGCCTAGTCTGCTATACTTGAGACAACAAGTGCGTTCAACCCTAAAGGGGAAGCGAGTGCAGCAAGGATCTGGTAGTAGGCGCTACTGGTTGGCTGATGCGGAGCGCGTGAAAGCGCAGGTGTGCACGACGAGGCGTGGGAAAGCGAAGGTGCGCGTGAGCGGAAATGAGAGAGAGTAAGAGTGAGTTTGCTTAAGTGATGATTAGATATTAGATGAGGTGAGAGATGCAAGCTGAGAGACGAGGTGCCAAAGAATAGATTGCAACTATATTCTGCTAGGTAGTAAGTGGGAAAGTGGGAGGTAAAGTGGAAAGTGAGTTAGGTGAGTAATATTATGTACTGCTGGCGCTTATATATGGTGCCTAAGTGCTGTCATGCGGAGCCGAAGCGCTACCGAGTGAGGTATGTAAAGATATATGTAAGTAAGGGTCCATGATAAGAATAAAGGTGGTATGATATGCAAATAAGGGCAAATGGAAATACACACACTAGAGAACTTGGTGGACAGTGGATGGATGCTTCCGGATGGTGGGCGCTATAGGGCGCTCAAGCGCGGGAAAGCACATGCACGTATACATCATAAAGCACGGGAAGTCGTGCGCGGGAAAGCTGCGCCTCGTAAGGGAATAGCTGCGGATAGCATACAGAGTGATGCTGCAAGTTCGTGCTGTGTACTCCCTAGTGAAAACTGCCATATCACACAATGAGAGGCATGAGTCTCTACACTGTGACAACCATGCAATCTGAGCTCGAGTCCTTGATTGAAAAACTACAAGAAACCTCATTGTCAGGACTTGTCTCATCAGTCCCCTTGACTTCGGAGACACAACTGGAACACAATACTACCCACCTTATCTCCCCCACATAGTACAGTAACTTATACCCATATTAGACGGACAGCTGAGGGTGACAATGTAGCAATAGAGGCGGGCCAGCCCATGTGGGCCCATGGCAATAATTGTACCATGGTAGACGAGTGGGCTGCAGGGTTGTGTGTACCTGTTGCAAACAGATGGGCTGGTGGTATATAGTGTAGATGGTAGTATAGGAATGTACTATATAGGATATCTATGTAAATAGCAGTGAATGCAATGAGCGATGGAGACGAGTGGGCCGGCTGAATAGTGTGCAATGTAAATGAGTGGGCCAGGGAGATGGGTATGATGGGGACGAGTGGGCCAGGGGTAGGGGTGCAACAGAGACGAGTGGGCCGAGGGTAGGGGTGCAATGGAGACGAGTGGGCCGGGGGTATGGGGTGCAATGGAGACGGGTGGGCCAGTATGCGAAGTACAATGGAGACGAGTGGGCCAGTATGCGAAGTGCAATGGAGACAAGTGGGCCGGTATGCAAAGTACAATGGAAGACGAGTGGGCTGGGGGTAAGGGTGCAATGGAGATGAGTGGGCCGGTATGCGAAGTACAATGGAGACGAGTGGGCTGGGGGTAAGGGTGCAATGGAGACGAGTGGGCCGGTATGTGAAGTACAATGGAGACGAGTGGGCCGGGGGTAAGGGTGCAATGGAGATGAGTGGGCCAGTATGCGAAGTGCAATGGAGACGAGTGGGCCAGGGGTTGATACAGATGAGCCGGAAGAGCGTTGCGGGACAGAGGTGAAGGTGAAATGGATTATACAGATGAGCCGGATGTCTGTTGTGTGATAGAGGTGAAGGTGAAATGGATGATACAGATGAGCCGGACGTCCGCTGTGTGATAGAGGTGAAGGTGAAATGGATGATACAGATGAGCCGAAAGAGCGTTGTGGGACGGAGGGGGTATCTGGTGCATACAGAGTATACTAACCGGAGACGAGTGGGCCAAGGGATCAGGTGAAATATATGATGTGGGTGGCATGATACCCTATCCGGTGCATACAGAGTATATTAACCGGGAATACACATCCGGTCCGTCTGATATATACATCCGGGTCTATACCCATACAGTACATCTGATATCAAACGAGATTGACAGGCAATATATGTGACTCAATACATGGAGTTGCTAAATATCTACACGGTCATATTTTGCATACTCCGTGCTCGGAGTCCCAACAAAATTGTGGATGCTGTCTCGCATGTACCACACAGTGACAATCCTGTTGCCCTCTTCCACATTCATGTAATATCTCACCAGTCGACATGATGAAGCCAATATCGAGCCAGAGTCGTATAGAAACTTGATTCCAAGGTTCATGAAATCCATGACGACCGGGCGATAAACACCAGCAGTAGTCATGATATCAAATGCTGCCGGTCGACATTCAGGATCTCTATGAGGGGGTGTCCGGCGATTGCATATGATCGATACCACATTAAAAATGGATGTCCAGCATTGAAGATGATGGTGCATCTCGTTCAATTCATATCTGGCAGCCCATTTACCAAGCCTGACTTGAGTTTCCATTCTGGCCCAATAAAGATCAGGGTGCATGACTCTGAAGTGCAGCAGTGACAATGATACCGGACCTTTGAAGGGATGTCGTAATATCGTGACCAGCAGCACCTTTCAGTGCCGCTGATACCTCTGGCGAGAAGCCATCTTCCGGGTCAAGATTTGGGAAGCCATGTTTCTACAATACTTCCAACCAGAGATTTCAATGCATGTGGACCGGACGCACCTCTCTTCCTTGCTGAAACCATGCAGGAGATATGATCATCCCATCTGGACTTGTATAGAAGTTGGACCGGTGGGTCCTCCATTGAGAAATCTTGCCTGATGTGATACTATGCTTCAACAAACCACTCATGGAATGTGTGGTGCCGTGAATATCTTTCTAAGTAATACATCCGGGTAAGATAAAAGAACAAATGGAAATGGATAAAGGATCAAGGACCAACCATCATCATAGCGGTCAGTGCTCCAGGCAAATACCAGACAATGATTCTACCGCCGGAATCAATGACAACAGATGGTGTTGTCAAGAAATGCTCCTCTTCAGGGGGGAATTTGTTGAAAAGAATCTCTTCTCGTTTCTCACTGCGACCGGATTCATCTTTGTCCAGGGCATCATTGTATCTAACCATGTCTATTTTAAGATGAACTTTCTGCAGGTGAGTTGATCAGAACAGATGAATGTGCCGGAATACCTACCGGCGTTAGAGTAAGCAGCGGCCATCACATTGGCTAGCTGCTCCAAAGCAATACAAGTGTCGATATCCAAGAGTCCAAGGTCCATATCCTTTACTGGTCGGTGAAGAATTTTAGATGTGAAAATCTCATGCACCAATTCACCGGCAAGGTAGGTCTGGTACAAGGCCCAGTCAAGTGGAATTGTAACCATGGCTTGCCGAAACAATCAAGTGACAGGAAAGCACCACTGTTATATCAATTGGAGAAAATAGCTCCACATTCACATGACCTGATTGCATAGACGGACTTCATTTCCATTCAGGTAAATATGACGTGATGGTATAAAAGATTGGCCGGATACCGGCGGACATTGGGTTGTACTTTACTGTGAAGTGGATGCACTGTCATCTATATGTAACTGGTCAATGAGTGCCTGTGAGGATGACACAGCCTGTGTGATTTCATCAATTGGCCCAACCAATCCGGTCAACCTATCACTTGATCGCCTAAGATTCATCATCCTTATCTGCAACATATCCAGCAACTCTCTCCCAATTGTTGTCCGGTGGCACTGCATGGGAGATCTTGAACCAATTATATCCGGCACATTATCTGGACCCTGCACAATATATGGGAGAAGACTGGTTTTCACATGATCAGGCTGTAATAGATGGTGTGAGCATCCGGCGCATCCGGTGTTAACAAGATCTTATGGACTGACAAGGTGTGAAAAGTGCCATTCAACCAAATCCATAACATCTTGGACAGATGACTTGGGCAACATATCTGAAACCCTGCAACACCCAAGTGATTCCTTCCACCAGTCATTAAAGTAGTCCGGCATATGAGTGATGTCATAGTCATCGGATTTGTTTGAATCCGCAGAAAGGCGCAATGCCTGGATATCCTGCAAAATGGCATTGACATCCAGTTGCCGGTCAACCAATGTGTGTGCAGTCATGGTTGAGAGCACATCCTTGAGAAGTTGAGAAATAGTAGCAGACAACTGGGTGATAAAACATATATTGATGAAAGGTGTGGCAAAGGTCTATATGTCAGAGAAACAAATGAGGGCATGGGAGTATCGGCATGGCTGGCTCCTACCTCCATCTCCCATTTCATCAGGGTGTAGAACGTCTCTGCATAACCAGGTATGGCAGTGGCAAAACTCTTGTCAACATACAGGTGCATGGCCAGCATCTGGGAATTGACATAGAATAGGGCGCAAGAGATATCTGCAGCTGTGATGTGATTGCCCTTAGCGGCAATGATGACTTGGTCGGAGGGGATGAGAGTTACAGTATTGTCCATGGAGAGGAATGTGAGGCTATAGTGTGAACCGACACACTAGGAATATTTACATGCCAAACACAAGGGTATATTACCTAACAGGTATTATCAACCGGTAACCACAATTATGTAACTAACCTGGCACCGGTACTTCTATCTGAACGATCATTTTCCGAAAAGCATCCTCTGCATGTGCAGCTAGTTGGTCATATATGTGAGATTGTCTGGCAGCATAACATGTATGTCCGGTGAGCCCTGCAGCAGTAGTGTTGTGCATGTGACAGAGCCATTGCTTGGCTCTGTGGGTGAAGAAATTAATTGACTACTGCATTTCGTGTTTGACAAGAATAACCTCCTCATTCCAGCGATTGCGCAGTGCTTTCGTCCAGAGCCAATTAACCCAGTAAACTATTATTAGAACATGTGAGACCGGACGACCAGATATAATCAGAAGCGCTAGACACACATTCAGTCATCCAGTCATTTCCTGATGTGTCTCCCTGAACATCCAAGGACCAGAACCATGAAAGAGTGGTATCCCTCTGACCACGTGCATTTGGATCGGCCACTGCAGAGCTGGCTTTCAGGTCTTCTTTCTTCAAAGGAAGGTATTTCTTCAAGAGGTCGTGGTCAGGGAGTTTGGCCAGTTGCAACCGGCATTTCGAATATATACGAGCATTGAGATTGACTGCTGTTTCAACTGGGCGAACTCGAGTCCATGCCCTAGTAGATGAAGCCTGTGACTTGGCTGACCGGACAGTATTGCGGAATAAAACAGCTTTATCTCCTAAATGAACTCTAATGGCATGGAGTGCGCCATTGGCCTGGCCTTCTCGGAGGGCAATTTCTTCTTTGATGAAATTGGTGAGACCTAACTCCCTGCACCTCACCGCACCAATGTCGGATGGCAGAGGTATGACAGTGAGCTCTGGTTGAAATATGGAAGTATTGTGTATGTCCGGATCAGGATTTTGATCTTTGTCAAGATCGGAGTAATCTTCACAATCATCGAGTGAATTACCAACAATAACCGGAAAATCTGGGTCATTGACATTGACTCCGACTCCAAGATAAGTAGGTGCCATCTCGAGAAAGCTCGTGATCTGAGTGTGAAGCTTATCCCGGCATCGAGCCACTCTCAACAGTTGCATGTCCATTGGGTGCATTCGTAAACTTTTCACGTCCTTGCAGAGAGATATTTGGGATTCCTCTATGGTGAGACCAGTTGCGAGCCAAGTGGTGGCTCCTCGTTGACCGGGAGGGTTGATGACCGGATGTTCAGGGCGATTTTGAGCCTGCAACAGGTGCAATTCCTGCTGTTTTTTTGTTGGAGCTGCACTACTGCGTGATCAGACCTACCGGACAACCAATAAAAGTGAACACTTGCCCCTTTCCAACCGGACCTCATAGATGTCCATAGCTGTAGGATCCTCTGCTCTGTTTGCATGAGCTAGTGCCTCCTCTGCCTTCCAAAGAACGACCATGTCAGGGTTGGCTGTCTCATTCAGATTATCAAATGCAAGTTTGCTCTTCGAAGCACCCTTGATAGCCTCTTTCAACTTTCTGGACAGAAACTTAGCTACCAGACGTGCCATCCGGAGATGCATTGTATGAGTACTGACAATATATGTACATCCGGAGGTGGGCGACTTACTTATACGAATCATTTTCATGAAGTTGCAATCATTCATCTGATAATCCAATACCTCCTTGTGATGGGGAGTTCCCATGCCCCTGGCCAATGGAGATATTATATTCAAAGGTGCCCAGAGGGTCTCCATGATCTCTCCGTCTATCCTGCCAGTCCCATAAATAAAATTTGATGCATACCGGACAAAGCAGCTGTCTTGATGTCCATGTACATGCCACAAACCTATTCCGGTGTGACGCTCGGACCCGCGCTGGGCAGGAACGAGTGTCTTTTGATACTCATATCAAGGTCTATAGAAACTTGTTGGGTCCGTGTCATTCCAGTCCTACTCTAGGAGTTACTTCGGCCAATAGCCAACTGGCATACACCCATACTCGGATCCGTCCTCCGTCCATGTCCTTTCCGTGTCCGCCTATCTCCATTGGTGTGTGTTCATTTTCTCTCGGTTTGACTAAGCGCTATCAAGGGTTATTACATGTAACCGCGTATTCTGTTCCGCGTGCACTCTCCTTACATATTACTTATCTGCCTCGTTTCATTGCTACAGTTCTCGCCTATGGGTTCCGGATGCTCACGCAGTAGGATAAAGCCTCACATGCTACATACAGTACAGCACTTCCCTTCCCTCGGACGCTACCTTTGTTTTGCGGAGTCACTTAGACGTTCCTAGTATTATTTGATCAATTGACAAGCTTTGTTCACTTCTCACTTTGAATCCGTGTGTTCTTGACCGCTCCGAGAACGCGCCTCTAAGTTTCCTTACCTAGGCTCTGCGCGGATCCGAACCGCTCTCGGTTTCCGACTTAGCATTTTTCATACCTAGTTATACCTCGGCTTCAAACCTCATTTATACCTAGCCGTCACTTGCGGGACCGCGCTTCACCTAGAAACCTGCCGCTCTTTACCTAGGATCCTCCCGCTTTAGCTCTTTTCTCATCGCGCACTCACCGGACCCGTGGTCTTGCTTTCGCTCTTACCAGCGGACTCGCTTTTCCAAGGTCGACTTAGTTCTATTTTGTTCCACGTTTGCTCCCTTCGCATATTACTTGAAGGAAGTGCTTCATAGCAATCCTCTTGGGTTGAGACAGCACACCCGCACTCAGTTGGATTTTATTGGTGCTCTAGCTTTCTTGCTGGCCAGTCACCTTTACTTCTTCACACCGGGAATGATATCCATACCTATGGGGATGGAAAGATACATGCTGGAAGCGATCCGGTCCTTCAAATACTTGTTATACTGACAATTCATGTCATAGAAAGTGATGGCTCGAGAGATTCCATTGGTCTTATAGTTGAGCGCTTGACTTAATGCATAGTCCATGTTCATCTGCCTGATTATTCCACATAAGAGTTGTAAGATCAGCCATTGATGTGACCTGGTGCAATATGCACTAACCTTTCGCCTTTCTGAAAGTCTACCATGAAATGTGGGACAAAACATCCATGCCGTGCACATGCACATCCTCCTATACCAGTGGTTTCCAGCCTTTGCCATGAGGTGTTTGCTTGATTTACTGCCCGGTGATTATTGCAATCTGACCTTTGGACATTGTCTTGCGCGATGGCCAAATGGCTCTTGTATCTTTCATCGGAGACCATGAACCCCAGACCATCCATTAATGATACTTCATCGGATGGATTCACCGGATGCATGTGCTCAGCTTTGAAATTTCCATCCATGACCAAATACCTAGTCATGAGCCAGGAAGGTGTATTGTCCGGCTGGGCGACTGTACCGGTAGACAGGTCCAAGTTTATACCCGGTTGCGGACATGCCGGGCAAAATAGGGCGAGATCACCATCCTTTGGCCGGTCATCTTTGTGGGCAAATCCATGCCACTTGTAAAGCTTGCATTGTCGCCACTGCCTGGCAGCTCTCATGAGCTCTCTATAGTGATCCTACAGATATTGTTCTTTAATGACCAGAATGTGAAGTACAGAATCAAACCCAGCTCACTGGAACCATCAGTGGAAAGATGCTTGAGGTTAGTCTGCGAATTTTGCTGTAGTAATTCATGGCTGATCTACTGCTGTAGAAACAACAATACTGACACACCGGCAGTTTCTGAGTTTTGCTTCGGGTAAGATTTTAATTGAAATGAGAATGTCAAGTTAGGCATTCGTACTTTGAATTGTATCACTGGGATAATGGCAAATTTCGACTGACGGAAAAAATGACAAAGTAAATAACCTATTTTGACACCAATTTGAAGTGTATTTTATACTCAAAATTTTTTCCTTCCGAAAAATATAAACTTCTACAATCCTATTTTGTGGAAAGATAAATTCAAAATTTCGAGGTGCAGAAAAATGTTCTGTAACATATTATGTAATAATGGGTGTGTTGCCACTCCGGGAAATTTTGAATTTTCCCTACGCTTAAATGAGATTGAGAAAATGCAAAGTTAAAGCAGCAGGAGAATATAATGGGCATTCATCAGGTATTAGTCGCGCATTCATAAATAGTTTATGTTTGAATATATGTGACGCGTGACTTCGGAGACCTGTTCATCGAAACTGAATGTGTTCATCTTCAGACGTTAATCCTAATTCTACTTCAATCAACAACAATGATGGCTGAACTTAACGCAAATGATGTAAGTTGTTGGTAGCCTGATGACACGTGGGAACTGATGCATCATCTGCAGGAAGTCGATATTAATGAAAACTACCATGTAAGTTAGACTACCGCCTGAGTAAATACACTAATCCTACAATAGCCTTTTCATGGGGAGGAACAAGCTGGAAACGACATGCAGGATCAGGGAGGAGGTATGGAGGAGCATGCTGGAGGTATAGAGGAGCATGCTGGGAACATGGAGCAAGATCTGGAGGATCACGATGGGAACATCGAGCACGCTGGAAACATATGGGACCAACCCAGTCAAGAAACATTCGCAGTAACGCCATCCACGATAGTAAGTCCATTGCTGCACAGGAAATCGTACAAGATGATATGGAACACACGCAAGCCCATCCGCACGCGCCACGTCCCGTCCACCCCCCCATCCAAATGTCGCATCGCGACAAATGCCTCCTAGCATTGATGGTAGAGGACAGGCACGAAGTGTTGCTCAGGTTATGGCGGGAGTTGGACAAGATGGAACATCTTCTGGGTTTAGAGCACATCTAGGGATGTAGGAGGAAAAGCCGGAGAAGGAGGAGGGAGAATGGAAGCGATACAATGATTAGATGCCCATTACCTACCCCTTATGATTTACGAACCGATTTACGAACCTTTTTTTCTGGAATGCCATCCACCACTTGCTTGGCTGGCCCATCTCATCAGTGTACAGGTGTTCTACCAAATGAGTTGTCAGTTCCTGGCAGGCAGCAGTTCACGAACCTTCTTTTCTGGAATGCCATCCACCACTTGCTTGGTTGGCCCATCTTATCAGCGTACAGGCGTTCTACCAGATGAATTGTCAGTTCTTGGTGGGCAGCAGTTCACAAACCTTCTTTTCTGGAGTGCCATCCACCACTTGCTTGGCTGGCCCATCCCATCAGCATACAGGTGTTCTACCAGATGAGCTGCCAGTTCCTGGCGCGCAGCAGTTCACAATTCATAAACCTTCTTTTCTGGAATATCCACCACTTGCTTGACTTACCCATCCTGTCAGCATATAGGTGTTCTACCAGACAAGCTGCAAGTTCCTGGCGGACCTGCGCAAAAGCACCGTTAGAGTACCTATGTGAAGCATCACTAATGAATGAGTAATTTAGACATAATGCCTACCTCCAGCCCAATGCATAGTGAGAGGGACATGCACATGACAGACACTCCATGCTCGGTCCCAAAAATATACTTGATAGTTCCTAGTTTGCGTCTTTGAGGTTGATGAGTGATGAGCACAATATTCGTGTTTTAAGTACCAACCGAGTAGCTTGTCATTCCCAGCGCACTGGGGAGGCACCAGATCGAGTTGACTTATACAATGCTTGTATACGAAGGTAATACGTATTGTAAGTGTAAGCGTAAGATGAATACAGGCTCGCAAAGTACTAGAAGAGATCATTGATTGAAGGACACAAGGTCATCTAGGCCAGCCACCGAACTGAGGATCTCAATGTCATCTTCAGGATCCAGCCTACGTTTCTTGCCAGATGGTGTGACTTGCACCCATGCGGACGTCACATCTTGTGAGGCACATAGTGACTTGGTGTATAAACGACGTCCGCTTTGCTTGTTGGTCGGATGCATTTTTTGCAGTACGGCCGCATCTTTGTCAGGCCATCCGGATGAGCCAAGGTGCTTGTCGTAGATATTGATGATGACCTCGTGTGAGTGCAGGATCTGCATACCTATCTCCTTCTGGTAAGCAGAAGACTCCAACAGGCAGCATTGTGCAACATCTATCATCTTTTGCTGTGCAGCCGTGCACACAGACCTGGCTTCGTCCAGAACTTCCTGCAATGAGAGCTGCAATCGCACAAGTGACTCCTGTGCCTCAGGGGAAACCGAGGAGTACCGATGCGAGAAGAACTGGGCTAGTTTAACAACGAGATTGTTGAGTAGTTTGCAGCCGACGAATATATCACGCGGAAAGTAGGTTCCAGCGACAAGCCAATCCGATTTCGCGGATCCTCCGGTCCCCACCAGTGGATCAGCGTCGAAGATCTGCAAAATGAATTGCGTCCGGTCAATGACGCTCATGTAGCTCTCCCTGTACTTCAAGGCCGTCCACAGAACAACGTACAGACTGGATTCGAGGTCATCCTTGACAGCGTGGACGGCAAAACTATTTTTAACGAGGTGAGCAGACATGAACTGCCAGGTTCCCTTGGTGACGGCAAAATCAATACAATATATGAGTTTGGAAAATGAACATACCGTGCGGGTGGTTTGTCGAGGACCCTGAATGGTAAGTAACTTTGCTAAGTCCCAATCGATGAGAAAGCCCCTCCCTCGGTAGATAACAATATTTCCAACGCTGAGATCTCGATGTAATATTTTTGCATTTTTATATGCATCCTGGTGGGCTGCGTGGATAATGAGTATGGACATCAGGTAATATGTGCGAAGTAAATATGTACCAAGTAATGCGTCGCGAACAGACTGGACGAGTTCACGAGAACTCTCAAAATCAGTCAATTGCTCGCCTACAAGATCGAGAACCAGGCGGTGAAGAATGTGGGGAGTGACAGCCTTGTTGGGGCAAGCCCATTCGGCGCTCCCAAACTTGACAGTCTGGGTGTTTTTCTCAGGGGTAGCGTGGATCACATCATGAAATGTGATGCATGTTGCGACATTGCGAACATTGTGTGACTTCAATAATTTGTAAGTCTCGCCTTCTGGTAGAACATCCTTTAACGACACGTGCCAAGAATCCTTGAACATCACAACCCTGTTGTTGAGAATATCAAACGCAGGACACGTGCAAGTCCAGCGGCCAACGAGCGGAAAACCTTTTGCAACAGGTTGGGGGATGATCAATGTCAACCAGTCAGAGTCCTCAATGGCAGGATCCTGAGGGACTGCAACTTTCAACATGTGCGTGGTAGTAGCGAGCTTTAACGCCGTCCTTGCGAGGGCAGCATCTTCGTTGCTAGCAGGGGTTATGGAAGTGTCAACGCCACACAGGGCAGGCGATGCTCGTGCAAAACAATAGAAGAAATCGGCCAGGTGTGACTCATGGTAGTAGTCGAAGGTGTTAGTGACGATAGCTCCCTCCCTATCCCATCTGATGATGCAAGCACAATTGTGGATAATGAGGATGGAGAATACATGGGTACGATATTGAGCGCCAAGCTGAGCGACAGCATAGCTGGTTATTTGGCCCAATGTATCGAAGCCCTTATCGGTTTGTGACACAACCGACTGATCGACTCCAGGATGTTTACGGAATGCGTCATGGATATCATTCCACTTGAATTCGATGTTGACTTCGAATTTGGAAATATCGCAGCCGTGCGATGTTCCGTTGGCGTATACACATACATCCAGCTTGACGTTGAATGTGAATGATGAGCAGTTATTGGTGTCTGCATGTTTGGAACTGTTCACAAATGATAACTGGGGAGCGAAGGGTCGTATGCCGTTAATCTGCAGTAAAACTGTCAAGGATCTGAATATCATAAGTGCGGAATGACTCACGAATCGATCGTAAGAATCTTCCTCTTTCTTAATAGATTGCATATCGAACACTTCAGCATTGGAGGCTGAAGCAAAGTCTGAAGTGTCATAATCTTCGGGGTTCGGTAGGAACTTATTGAGGAATTTCTCTACTGGCATTGGGCCAATGACATAGTTTTGCATTTCCTTGCCCATGGAGTTAAGGGTGTCGACTCGGCATCGGGCAAGGGTCGTGAAGGGTAGTCTTGTCGAACTATCTCGTTTGATAGGAGTATTGACGATAGGAGTAGCTAGTGAATCCAGCGCGACAGGCTGTGCTAGTATTAGTGTCAAAACAGGGGTGATGTTCCCTTCAGCTGCAGAACTATCCTGTTGGACAGTAGCGGGAGTAAGCTGCGAACCCTGCGCGGCAAACTGCGCTGGAATTATTTCTGCATCTACTGCAGCAATCCCATCACCTGTAGTAGGGTGACGCAGGTCACCAAGACTCATGATATTTGATACAATAATATGTACAGGTATGTATAGTGTATATGCTAGTAAAACACTATCCTATGTATATGTGGGTATGGGTATAGGGAATGGCAAAAAACCGAACCGCGTTTGTGTGCGCTTACAGGTATGTGTTGTAATGAGAAAGAGGAAAAGGAAACAGAAACAACATGACACAGTTTATATAGGGAATGAAACTCAGTCCGGATTTTCCTGGACAATGATGCAAGTAGTATAATTAGCACGTTGGTTTTTCATATTAATTGACAGTACTTACTATTCACCAAGCTGCTACTCAGTGTGGCAGTCCGGGTAGATATCGGTAGTGCGAAGGCGTAAATCTGAAATGTGTAGATCTATTAAGTTAGGGCAAGTCAGGTAGGCAGTGATATGGAAACTACAATGTATGCATCAGAAAGGCTTAGCGCCCGCTTCAAACATGACAAACAACTTTTTAAGTTAGAGCAAGGTACCATGCAGAGCGAACTACGTATTATGTATGTATTGAATCAAGAAAAAGAAAGCAAGAACGAAACACCTAGGTGAATGCCCACAAAGTTCAGCGCCCACTTCTCCTGACATGTATGTCGCCTTGACGGCTCTTTTGATCACTGTAGTATGCGGCCAGACGCCTTGCGTCAAGCTATATAACAGTGGATATTGTTTTTTGGCGTGATTTAATCCTATAAATCATGAGTTGACATCACAATTGTCAGATAGAGAGAACACACCCAACTCAGAGATACAACAATGATATGCTGTGCAGAGAAGTTCCATCTTGCAAAATGCGACACTACCCACTCAGGCATGACAATTGTGAGATGTTGAGTGAGCGCTGACGAGAATAAATGAGCTGGGAAGTGAGGATAATGGCGAAAAGGATCAGAGTGAGAATCCGATGGAAGGTGATGCTGCACGGCGAAACACACTCCTCACTCTGTTTCGAAAATATACTTGATGGTCCCTGGTATTGGTTGCACATTCCTAAGGCCGTCAGGATAATAAAGAATGAGGCTGTTACCAACATGAGTGGAGTCGCGAGTATAGATAGATCCCTTGTGGAGGGTGCGAGCATGCAAGACTGCCCGCCGAAGTTGAATGAGTTGGCGGAGGTCTTCTGGAATAACTTCTTTTATAGTAGAGGCCATCGGGTGACCTTGGAATCCATCGCTTGGATTAGCGTTGATCGAGGGAGACACAAATTTGTCAAATAGCCACTTGACCTCTCTAAATACAGGAGGACAAGAGAGATGGTTCAGCCAGTATTTGAGCTTTGCAGCCTTGATGTATGACCAGAGGAGTGTTGATTCTTGCTGTCCTGCATACCAGCACAGCGTAAGAAGTTTATCATCGACAAACAAGTTCAAATATTACCAAAAATGTGATTGCTGGGCAACCGCTGTAGCTGCCCGATGAGGCGCTCATATGGGAAGCACCACCATGACCGCACGGGTCCGAAGAGTTGCAGGTAGTCCCAGACGTGCAACACCATATGACCATTGGTTCGATGGTGTGCATGGGGATGAATTACTTGCAAATCCCTTATCCACTCGACTATATATGTATGGTATGTGTCTGCGCGATCCGTCATCATGGAGCGCAGACAGGCGATATGAATAGCAGATACGAGGGCCATTGTGTGATCAAGGGTGGCACGACGGCTGTCCGCGATGTCTGTGTTGCGATGTACTGATCCCTCGCCCCATAAACTGATTAACGCTATGGGTAAGTATACAGTCGTTAACGTGCGCCATTCGTCGGCCTTCACAGTCCCAGCTTTTGTTTCCCCAAAGTTATAGGGGACTGATCTCAAGAAAGAGGGCGTATCTGTCGTCTTGATGACATCAGAAATACGCCACATAACTTCTGGAGTAGCAATGCGCGATTTTGACAACCCAGGAGAGAAAGGTCGTGTTCGACGCTACAAAGGGATAACTCAATTAAGAGGGTACAAGAACAACACTGTTGAAATGCCTACCCAAACAAGGAGCGATCTAACCCAATGAATTTTGTAGACTTTTTTTCCAGGGTGTGTGACATCTGGCTCGATGCCCAAACCTACAGATACGAACTGAAGACATGCGACCTTCTTCATCAACAGTCTTCTCTCTAAGTCAACAACGTGATCCTCAATGAGCTCAGGGTCACTTCCCTCGAGGTCAGGAACTGCTTCTGTAAGAAGGCCATGGATTGACTGGACGGTTCTGACGTCTTTCTCATTGAACTCTGGAGGTTTGTGTGAATTAACGTTGAGGAAAGGATGTTCGAAAGCAGGGACAACATCAAACTTGCGATTGGCGGAGTCGGCTGTGAGGCCTAGAAATTCACGGAAATGAGCATGTGCGAGACCCTCCAGGAGGCAATGCATAGTGTCGACCACAATTTGACGAGAGGGGTCCCAGTACGATAACCTCCAGAGTGTTGACCATCGCACACTGTGCAATGAAAACAATTTGTTGCGCTCAACCGAAGTTTCGGTGTTCTTCCAGAGCTCAGCATAGCAATAAACTTCGTTCTTGTCCCTAAGAACCCAATCTTCAGTCTGGATATCTGTTCTACCGCAAGTCGACCTGTGCCAGCAATGGCAGGCCGTGCAATAAAAGTGACTTGTTGGACCCGCCAGCTGTGCGGCCTTTCTTGCCGCCGGGAGGTCGCACACAAGACACGCTATAATGCTGAGCATAACTCAACCGGGACTATGTAGAGCTGTGCAGGAATAACGTATGCCACACTCCCAACTTTCTACCATGTCGTCAACCACAGGATTGAGGAAGTGATTCAGCTCATTGCCTGAAGGTTCTGAAGGTCCAGGAATGATGCCAGCTAAGTACATGTTCTCAGATTTATACCTAATATCGAGGGGGAGGTTCAAACATGCACATGAGATGATGCCAGTAGAGGTCGAGGCATTTCATTGGAGATTGCCTTCAATGTTGAGCGTGAAAGCATATCGACCCTCAGTGCCTCTATCGATAAATAGGGATTGCCCGGAAGGACCTTTGAAAGTGCAAAAGAAGTTGGCATCCCAAACATCCTTGATAATATGAGGTGGGCTGCCAATAGACACCAGCAAATCATTGCAAGGCCTATCCATCAACACTTCAAGGTCGGGACGAGACAGCAATCCAGCGAGGTAGTCGTGGAAGTGGTGATAAAGGAATATTTTGATTGGTTCTAATTTTCCATCAGCAGAGGGCTGCAACAGCGGTTTATCACAAGGACCATCCTCTGGTATCGGACAGTTGAAGCACTTCGTGGGATATCGGGCGTGACTTGAGTTGAAGCTGGTGGTCGGTCTATAAGTACAGTTGCATGCCGGACAGACCGCGTAAGCTGTAGTCTGGCCGTCGAGCTTGAAGCACGATAGGGCGGTTTCCATAGAGCGTGGGATTTGAGAGTGTGTGTTTTGACGGCGGGACTCAGAATGAGGGTTCTGAGCCTCCATAGCAAGGCCTAAAATGAGGGCAAGGACTCCCATGAAGAACTCCCCATGTCTGCGACTAATGCCAAAAATGACGACAGATACAGCCCCTAGAAAGAGGGATATCTGGGCAACTTTGTCACAGAGGTTGATTGGCAAGTCAAAATGGTGTGCTTCATGTATCTTAGTCGAAGGGCACAAGCAGGATGAACAGAACTTACACGAATCAAATTCAATCGGCTTGGATGACACAGAAAGCACGTCTTCCTTGTCACAGAGGAGTCTGTGCATGTCATTACACGACCCCTCTAGCTGACTTCTACGAGAAACGATGCACGAGACCTTGTGCTTGATGATTCTTAGGGCTGTCGTGATCACAGCCAGTTCATCTCGGATGGTCTGCATAACGTCACGGGAAGTCACAGAGAAAATTCGGCTGTGAGCCCTATCCATCCGTGACTCTACAATATCCAAAGCTTCTTGAGCCTTTGAGCAGCGTCGCTTCTCAGCAGCCTGAAGAGCTTGGGCAATGTGTCTGGGAATTGACCAAGTTAGGGAATATAAAGTAAGACGAAATACGATGCTCACTGCGTGTCATCTACCGTGAATGTAGCTGTACCATCCAGAGAATGATAGGCTTGTCCCTTCTCCTGCTGAACTTCTGCACAGGAATTCCAGAGTTTGCTGTGACTGTCTGGATTGACGTCGTTGTCGGTTAACGTGATAGCAAATAACTCGGCAGCGAGATTGTCGACCTGTAAAGTATCAGACTCTAGCTGCTGGCGAGCAAGACGAAGCAAGGATGCTTCACGCTCGGACGATGGAGCCAAGTTAGCAGCTTGGAACAAATGTGCGGTTTTCATAGTGGTGGGTACTTCTTTGCTGCCAGGATTCCCAGGCACACCATCTTCTCCAACGTTGCAGCATTGCGCACACCTACAAAGAAATGTGCGGCTAGGCATCTAAATAAACTTCAGATGATGTACTAGCTGCTGTCGATAATCTGACCTTGGAGAAACATAACAGCAAAGGTCAAAAAAGTGCAAAGTTACATGCATAAAGCGTCGGGTAACGTATAAGGTCTGGATCTCGGGTTGTTATGGGCGATGCCAAATTACAAGGAGCTACATATTTGAGACGTAGGTGCCGAATCAGTGTAAATTACAATTTCTGAGGATGCAGGCTTACTTGGCACTTAGATTCGCTTCGAGCAAACACTTGTATTTTGTACATGATCAATACAAGAACGACTTTTAATTTTTGCTCATGATATAAATTACTACGACCAAGTTACGACAGTACAGTACATCGAAATCAGAAAGAAAAGTTGATCGCCAAATGAGGACACACCTAAATACTGAATGACTACATATCAAACGAGCCCCTTCAGTGACAAATTCTGTATTATACGGGCCACTCGACCTACATAATATCCCGTATGAGACGGGCCAGCGGATCATGGGCCCATGTTGTGTATATCCTCGATGATGACGGATGGGCCGGGACACATATTATTTCCGATGGAGATGGGTGGGCCCATGTATGCCAATGATATATATATCCTTGATGTTGACGGATGGGCCGGGGGAATATGATCATTCATGGAGATGGGTGGGCCCATCTGGGTAATATGTAGAGTAGGATATTATAGACAGCTGGGCTGAAGAGAGATGTAAGGCAAATATTGTTATATAGACAGGCGGACCGACGGGGGTGTATTACATATATGGGTGGGCCGAGATAGGGGAATATTACATAGATGGGTGGGCCGAGGGTGTGATAAAATATTTATTACATAGACAGGTGGGCCGAGGTGGGGTATAATTATATAGACAGGTGGGCCAACATAGGATGTATTACATAGACGGGTGGGCCGAGGTGGGGGATAATACATAGATGGGTGGGCTGACGTGGGGGAATTGTACATAGATGGGTACATATATGGGTGAGCCTAGATACGTTTCATCAAGACATACAGCTGATGTAGCCACCAGCAATCAAACATGTAGGATACATGTACACTGTTAAGAACGTGCTCAAGGGTCGAATCCGAAGGGCTTGGCTTCAGCTCGTGCGCCGCGCCCCTTACCCGAGTACGTGCCCCTAACTTCTGAGGGTTGTCGAACGATGTCCAAAGGTTACCGGACGATGTCCGGAGGGCGTCAGGCGATGTCCGGAGTCCGATGTTCGATGCGCGGGAATTCCGGCGGACGTTCGGGAACAAGAGATAAGACTAATCTGGACGAAGTCCGAACTAGAAAGGAAACAGCGGAGGACTACCAAAGGTAGAGGCGGAGGTGACAAGTCTATAGGAGTCGATCCTAAGACGAGCGGAGGTCGACGAGAGAGAAACTCAAGTCGGATGGAGGAGAGAATGAGCAGAGTCTAAGATGATATTCGAACTAAGGATGTACATAGATTCTACAGGGTTTATATACTACTGAGGACTTATCGGAGAACAGAGATGCGCAGTCCAAAGCTATACGAAGCTGTGGACGGAGCGTATAGAAAAGTCAAACACTAGTCTATCGGAAAATAGTAAATGAACCCGGAGATTAGAACAGATGAAAATAAAGGCGGAAATGAAATGAGGTATGGAAAATGATATGGTCTAACTGGAGTAGGAACGTACAAAGGGATAAGGCACGGAAGTTAGATGTGGGTCGGATCCGGACATAGATAGACGTCGGCCGGATCCGGACTTCCGGAAATGATGTGTGTGATAGGTCCGGGTCCGGAACGCGGGATATGACATACACTATGAGTGCATATACCTACCATCGACCACTGAATCTAAACCCCTAAGCACTAAAACATGAATCGACCATGTGTGGCATTGACCAATAATCGAGGACTGAAGTGGAAAAACCCCACACCTGAACCCTGGTGTGCAACATATCCTATTTCTAAGCATGGACACCAGAAGCACAACACTCACAAAAATATAAATGTCAAATTTTCAGTGCCAAACCCCAAACCGAGATTTACCAACCCCCGAACCCCGAAATTGTGGACTGCCGGGTCTCAGGTTTGGGGGTTTGGGGGTCCCGGAACTCAGAACTCGGAAGTTGGAAAATTTGGGGAGATCAATAACATTTGATTTACAATCGAGTTGATTGACAAACACATTGACTTACCCATGTTTGAAATATATTTTTGTTCTCACATACCGAGTTCCGAGTTCCGGGACCCCCGAACCCCGAAACCTGAAACACGGCAGTCCACAGTTTCGGTGTTCGGGGGTTGGTAAAATGTGTATGAATATATGAAAGGTTGATTTAAACATTTTTGAAAGATGTCTCATATCAAATGTCAAGTCCCGAGTTTCGATTTCCGGGTTTCGGGAGTGCCGAGCCCCGAAGCTCGAAGCCCAGAGTCCCAAAACCCGAAATTTGAAACTCAGGACTTAACATTTGATATGAGACATCTTTCAAAAATGTTTAAATCAACCTTTTATATATCCATACACATTTTACCAACCCCCGAACCCCGAAATTGTGGACTGCTGGGTTTCGGGTTTCGGGGTTCGGGGGTCCCGGAACTTGGAACTCGGTATGTGAGAACAAAAATATATTTCAAACATGGGTAAGTCAATGTGTTTGTCAATCAACTCGATTGTAAATCAAATTTTATTGATCTCCCCAAATTTTCCAACTTCCGAGCTCCGGGACCCCCGAGCCCCAAAACCCGAGACCCGGCAGTCCACAATTTCGGGGTTTGGGGGTTTTTAAATCAACCTTTCATATATCCATACACATTTTACCAACCCCCAAACCCCGAAATTGTGGACTGCCGGGTTTCGGGGTTCGGGGGTTAGTGAAATGTTTATAGATATACGTAGGTTAATTCAAACATGTCTGAAAAATTTCATTCGTCTCAAATGTCAAATCCTGAGTTCCGGGCTTCAGGACTCGGCACCCGGCACCGGCACTCGGGGTTCGGCACTGAAAATTTGACATTCAGGTGTTCGGGTTTCGGGTGATATCTAAATCAACAGCTTCGAGTTCTGCCAAAGCGTGAAACTTAAAACCCAGTGTGCAACATGTTGATTTTTCATTTATATCACACAAATCATCGAGTTCCGAGTGCCGAGGGCTGAGACCCGAAGCCCGAGACCCAAAAATATGTACACAACATGTCCATTTTTCACTCACTGCACAAATCACCGAGTTTCGAGTGCCAAAGCGTGAAACTTGAAACCCAGTGTGCAACATGTCCATTTTTCATGTACATTACACAAATCATCGAGTTCCGAGTGCTGAGGGCCGAGACCCGAAGCCCGAGACTCGAAAATATGTATATAACATTTCCATTTTTCACTTGTTGCACAAATCACCGAGTTTCAAGTGCCGAAACCCAAAACTCGAAACCCGGTGTGCAACATGTTCATTGTTCATTTACATTACACAGATCATTGAGTGCCAAGGGCTGAATCCTAAAACCCAAAGCCCGAAAACATGTATGCCACATGCCCATCTACTCATTGCACAAATCACCAAGTGTCGAGTGCCGAAACCTAAAACCCGGTACTTCAAATGGACATGAATTCTGTATTTGTATGTATTATCCATTGGTGTAGGGTTGAAATAACTTGGGAATTGTATTTGTCAGTGCTCGGTACTTGGTAGTTGGTAGTTGGTAGTTGGTGGTCAGTAGTCAATATAGGCAAATGGTAATGAAAAATGAAAGTTGTTATTACGCTTAACTTCTTTACCGAAGGTTGTAGTCCGAGTCTAGGGGAGTGTATTGGTAGTCTTTTCTTGTCCATCAGTTATCATTTAACCGAGATATAAGCTAAAGAAATCTGAAACATCGGCAATAATGAAAAATGAAAGTTATTATTATGTTTAAGTTCCTGAACAAAAGTTGTAGTCCGAGCCAAGGTGAGTGTATTGGTAGTTTTTTCTTGTCAATTGGTTATCTCGTTACTCAGTACTCGGTACAAGGGAATCAGTACTCGGTATTTGGTTCTGATACTCGATACCCGAGAATCAGTAGTCAGGTACTCAGTACTTGGTTCTAATTCTCGGTACCTGTGAATCAATAGTTGGGTACTCCAGCCAATAGTCCCGAGTCCCGAGTACTGATACTTGGTATTCGGTAGTCAGGTTTGGAACTTGGGTCTTGGTTTGGTTATCATTTGACTGAGATATTGGTAGGCAATATTGGCATTCGGAGCTCAAATACTGACTATCAACTATCAAGTGTTGGGACTTGGTAATCGGTAGTTGAGACTTGGTGCTTAAATGGATATTGCATATATACATAAAAATACAAAATATGTTCCTATGTGTTCATTTCTAGGTGAATAGACTTTGAAATTATATCTCAATCATCTATTCAACAATAGAAACAATGTATCAGGAGCTCAGGACCATAGGGTAATCCTTTATTGTATAGTGTACCTCCCCCTCTTCTGGTGGTTCACCTGCTGGGGTTTTTTCCCTGTAGGACTGGACCTCAAGGACTGTAGGGAGTCTATTCCTGAGCATATTTGGAGTAGATATATCATATAACCAGCCCAGGACACACAGGATCCTTTTCCAGGAACAAAGCATAGACAATTGTACTTGTGACATTTTTTCACGATTTTCAGTATCTTGCCCTTGCATCCATGATCCAACCTTTTGATATATAATGAGCATAGCTTATATTCTTGCTTCTTATGACCAAGATCAGCTCACAATAGGCTGGAGTTTGTGAGCTAGTGTGTATACTTGCCATTTCGCCTGATAAGGGGCCCATGCCTTCAAAACATTGAATCTTCATAATCAGAAACCTGGGGTACATTTCAAATATCTTAAGTATCATAGACATACATTTACAGACAAATCAACCAAGAATTGAGTACTGAGGAAGTGAAATGGGTAAGAAATTGAGTGTGGGAAACTTCAAAGACCCAAAGCATCGAAAATGGTTAGTTGAGCAGTGGTAGGACTTTAATGCTGGGTCAACTCATATTTTCACTATATCCCTTCTACCCGCCCCCTACCCTCAGGGCAGTAGGCAGTATGGGTTCCTTGGGTAGTTTACGATCTATCCTACATATTTGTAATGATATTTTTGGCCTGAATCATGTATAAATGTGACTTTGTATAAAAGATGTCTATTGTCACTCTCCACACATATGTCATTTTGCCTATCATTACATCAATCCTTCATGAATCTTTCTAAGCTTTTAAGCTATTATAATGGATGTATATGGGTGTTATTCCAGGTCTCTGATCACATCACAGGCTTGTTATGTTGGATATCTCGACATAATGTGCAAGTCTCGCTATTAATATTCATTCTTTTATCTTTGGACTCACTTACTGCACACATGTATTTCATTTGTCATTATTGATGTTTTGGATTTCTTTAGCTTATATCTCGGTCACATGGTAACCAATGGATGAGAAAAGACTACAAATAAACTCACCTAGACTCGGACTACAACCTTCATTAAGCTGACTACTGATTCCCGGGTACCGAGTATCAAAACCAAATACTGAGTACCAATTACCATATACTGAGTACTGCGTAATGAGTAACAAGATAACCAATTGACAAGAAAAGACTATCACTACACTCACCTGGACTTGGACTACAACCTTCGGTAAGGAAGTTAAGCATAATAACAACTTTCATTTTTTCATTATTGCTGATGTTTTGCCGAATGACAAGGAAAGACTACCAAGACACTCACCTTGACGTGGACTACAACTGTCATTTTTCATGATCATTTGCCTATATTGACTACTGAGTCTCGAGTACCGACCACTGACCACCGATCACCGAGTACCGAGTACCGAGTGCTGACAAATACAATTCCCAAGTTATTTCAACCCTACACCAATGGATAATACATACAAATACAATTCATGTCCATTTGAAGTACCGGGTTTCAGGTTTCGACACTCGACACTTGGTGATTTGTGCAATGAGTAGATGGGCATGTAGCATACATGTTTTCGGGCTTTGGGTTTTAGGATTCAGCCCTTGGCACTCAATGATCTGTGTAATGTAAATGAACAATGAACATGTTGCACACCGGGTTTCGAGTTTTGGGTTTCGGCACTTGAAACTCGGTGATTTGTGCAACAAGTGAAAAATGGAAATGTTATATACATATTTTCGAGTCTCGGGCTTCGGGTCTCGGCCCTCAGCACTCGGAACTCGATGATTTGTGTAATGTACATGAAAAATGGACATGTTGCACACTGGGTTTCAAGTTTCACGCTTTGGCACTCGAAACTCGGTGATTTGTGCAGTGAGTGAAAAATGGACATGTTGTGTACATATTTTTGGGTCTCGGGCTTCGGGTCTCAGCCCTCGGCACTCGGAACTCGATGATTTGTGTAATGTAAATGAAAAATGGACATGTTGCACACATATTTTTGGGGTCTGGGGTTCGGATTTCGGCCCTCGGCCCTCGGAACTCGATGACTGATGTAATATAATTGAACAATGGACATGATGCACACTGGGTTTCGAGTTTCGGGTTTCGGCACTCAAAACTCGGTGATATGTGCAATGAGTAGGAAATGGACATGTTCCATACATATTTTCAGGTTTCGGCACTCAACACTCGGAACTCGATGATCTGTGTAATGTAAATGAACAATTGACATGTTGCACACCGGGTTTCGAGTTTTGGGTTTCAGCACTCGAAACTCGATGATTTGTGCAGTGAGTGAAAAATGGACATGTTGAACAATGGGTTTCAGGGTCTCGGGTTTGAAAAATAGCATAATAACAACTTTCATGTTTTCATTATCGTTTGCCTATATTGACTACCGAGGCCGATAAGGGACCCCTTGGATGATCCATTGCTCAATGAAATACTACCTGATTGGAAGTGTGCTGGTTATCAGATATTCATTTGTCGACTCCCGGGTCCTGGAACTCGGAAGTCGGTACAGTTGACCCAAATTTGGGTGGTCGGAACTTGGCGTCTCGTAGGGCAACACAAGCTTCGCACCCCGGATTCCAAATTTTGCAAGACAACCTGTGCACCATCAAAGGCCATGTCAGGAGATCACCTGCTGCTCCGGGAACTTGGTAACTTTGATTTATTACCTCCTCTGATTTGGTTGATGTACAACTACCTCAGCTCCATCATGTCTACAATTATGATACACATGCACTTCAGTCAACCACTTGAAATGACCTCTTAGGTCTATGTGTTTGTGGCTAGCAAAGCACCTAGTAGGTGTCTTCTAGGATGGTATTCCCATTATTTTACCCTATGTTCTGGGATGTCCCGGCCCACTCTGAATGCAATATTTGGGCTATCCCTAGTACCCATTTGTGATCTTTCCCAGTCCCATCCGGGATAAATTTGGCATGTCTCTAGGACATCCTGGAGCATTTATCTCATGGGCTTTCCCAACATAAATCAGAGTGATAGGGGTCCTTTTAGAACATTTTGACGGCATTAAAATTCACAATTTGTACATTCATAGAAGGAGTAGTACTAGGTATTTAAGGGTGATCTATGCGCTTGAACCACAATTTTGAGATATACCACAAAACTGACCCTTGCTAGCATATATAATGTTTGTGAGACGCACTTTTGGGAGGGAGTGGTGGGTGGGTGCAAACCAGTGATAGACGACACTGAGTGCAGTACTAGTTGTTGAGTAATCCAATTTTCTTGTGATTGATGATACTAAGCGAGACAGCGGTGACTGAAATATTGTTTTTCACATAGACCTTGTTCTACGTACGCACTCATTCCTCACACTCACACAGAACACAATATACAGATGTCAAATAAAATCAGGCCACTGGCCTCATGTGGCCTATTGTTCCAGTGTGTCTTGAAGATGTCCACCTTATCATCGTTCAGAAGAGAATATATGAAATCATCCATTTATCAAGGATTTATATCTAGTATGTAGTTGTCCTATGGTTGAATATCATTGTATAGATGAAAAAATAAACTTGATGTCCCATTGTTTTTCAAAATTGGATATATTCTATTCTAAATATTTTGCCTATGGGAAGTCATCCATTACTATCTGGGCTGTCCCGCTGACCCTAATTACACGGTTTGGGCCCTGCCGCCTACCTCTCTACTACTATCTGGGCTCACCCGCCGACCCTGATTACACTGGTTGGGCTCTCCCATCCACGTATCTACTACTATCTGGGCCTTCCTGCCGACCCTAATTACACTGGTTGGGCTCTCCCATCCACGTATCTACTACTATCTGGGCCTTCCTGCCGACCCTAATTACACTGGTTGGGCTCTCCTGTCCACCTGTCTACTACTATCTGGGCTTACCCGCCGACCCTGATTACACTGGTTGGGCTCTCCCGTCCACCTGTCTACTACTAGCTGGGCTTACCCGCCGACCCTGATTACACTGGATGGGCTCTCCCGTCCACCTGTCTACTACTATCTGGGCTCACCCGCCGACCCTGATTACACTGGTTGGGCTCTCCCATCCACCTATCTACTACTATCTGGGCCTTCCCGCCAACCCTAATTACACTGGTTGGGCTCTCCCGTCAACCTGTCTACTACTATCTGGGCTCACCCACTGACCCTGATTACACTGGATGGGCTCTCCCATCTACCTCTATACTACTATCTGGGCTTTCCCGCTCACCCTACTTATGCTCTTACATGCTGGTTTTGCGCCCAGTCAGTCATACTGACAGTCCATGTCATTAAATAACATTGCAGTTTGACTCCCCACCCACTTTGACTACAACTTGCACTGCTCAAATTCTTTCAGCAGCTCAACAAAGCTACATCATCAACAGTTCTACCCACACCAACTGAATGCAGATATGAACAGGTGGTGTCCCAAAGATCCCCGAGCGGTGGGGAAGCATGCTTTCAATCGCTGGAGGAGGACGAGAGCAGCGAAGGTAACAGATGAGTGCAACTTTGTGCGGTGGGAGGCATATGCGATGAAATGCAGGAGCTTGACTTGAGAGTTAGAAGACAATGGGGGTTATTCGGGACAAGCAAATAGATGGGTGATGAACCTGGCGCACAACCGCGAAGGCTGCTCATGACCATAGAATGGGTCAGAGTGTCTTGTGGAGGGTTGGGTTGATTGGGGTTTGGATGGCACCTATGTTTCCCGAAGTTGAACATGTGGAATGACGAGCGGGTAAAAGAGGTGACCAGTGGAAGAGGGGGTTGAAATCTAGAAGCAGGCAGCTCGATGTTGATGGTGTCGCGGTCTGCCATCATGATAGCATGAAACGAGGACTTAGAAGAATTTTCAAAAATACTCACCTTCGCCCAAGCTACCTTAAAAAGAGGTCAAAAGCAAGGATTTACGGATCTGGTTAGTGGTGGGATAACAAGTGTTTGAAGAGACTAAACAGTGGTCGGGAAAGATGTGTTCGCGAAGTCTGAAAAGATGCTATTTACATTTGTTACTTCACCAAAATTACCTAAAATCACCGACATGTCTGCTTTGCGTACGGTTAGCGGCTAAGTACATTTTGAGTCCGTTTAGACCTGGTTTCTCCCTCCGTTTAGCGTGCGTCTAAAAACTTGTTTCCGCAGTGATTGCTAGTGTGGTAGACTGATTAGTTGCAAGCCCCTTGCAACACACTTGCAAGTTCTTTCTGTTGGACTTAGTGAAGCATGACGAGTGTGACTCGGAACTAGCCGAGTGGCTGAAACCTTAAAACATCGAGACTGATTAGGACGGTGCGCAAAGACTTAGCAACATTTTGATGATATGACCCGCAGTCAGTAGTCATACAATCCGGTGTGTCAGAAATATTAGGATTTGTAGTGTAATGGTTTGCGTGCGTGCGTGCGTGCAAGCGCACCGTGTCGATCTGAGTGTGAGTTCGAACCCACTGCCATGCATTTTAAATTTTCGTGTAATTTCTTTTCTTCAGTCTGCCTCTGACAACAAATCAGATATAGTGCGAAAACCATGATATTAATATTTCACAGGTTTCAGGGCCTCGGTCAGTAGTGTACACATATGATTGCAATATACAAATTCAAACAAAAGGTAGACAGACATGACCTGTATTGTTCCGACACACGAGAGTACTATAATACGAAGAAATGTCAAAGCTTCATCCGCGCAAGAGATAACTGAAGGGATGAGGTACACGAAGTACAGCAGTGAGAGGTACACGAAGTACAACAGCTAGAGAGGTACGCGAAGTACAAAAACTTGAGGCGCTACTATGAACAGGCAAGCAAAAGTCATGTTGAATGAGTAGAGAGCACAATTCTTGTCCGAACAACGTTAGTAGCGAAACCGCGAAGGTCCGTCTTCATAATGAGAGTCACCAGCTCCCCTTACTTGGAACCTCTGATTGTAGTCATTAGCATGATTGTGCCGGCGTGAGTGAGCAGGACGTCGATGATATGAATCATCCTCGCTATGTCCGACAGGAGATGTCTCACGTTGTCTGTGGGTGGGCCGATAGTGCCTTGTGCGAGAGGGTCCATCTCGCTCAGGGTAGACAGGAGGTGAACGTGAATATTCACGGCGGCGGTTTGGAGCAACAAAGTTTCTGTCCTCGCGACGAGGGTAGGGCTCAATTCTAAGCCATTAAGTTAGTATATGTTGGAAGTCATGAAAGGTAAGACATACTCCATGTCTGCGTCATTACGAGAATTAGTGGGACGTTCCTCCATGTGGCGCACGAATGTAGGGTCGACCTGAAGAGGATCAACATTGGATGAAGACGGAATAGCATAGCATTTACCCGTAAAGCTTTCTTCGCCTTAAACGGCAGGCTAGTCTGTTGTCTTCCACCGCCGACGGGTTCATCTCTGCTCGTAGGCAGAACAGGGCGAGGTTCACGATCAAACAAATCTGGCGCTTGAGGAAGATAATTTTCCTCGCGGCGATGTACTGCTGAGAAATTCGTAGGGGGACGTTGGTTTGATGGCAAGGTTGGGGGGCTCGGAGTGACAGGGGATTCATGATCACTTGGCAGCGTTTCGTGAGTATCCGGATGTGCTTCATGAGCTGCTAATAAATCTTCAGGGACAGACACCTTAAATTTTGCAGAGTCGACCAGCTTGCGTAGAACAACATCCAAGGCACTGGTCACCAAGGGAATGTCAAACATCTCCGGCACCTTGTCATCGAGCTGCTTGATACATTCTTGCACAACTGAAATGAGAAAACAAACGATACAATGATAACGTGGAGATGACATACCATCTGGCCAAGCTGCGAACTCGATCTCGGGTACATCGACGTCTAATTCACTTATGACGTCTTCCACGGTGCGGCCCTGACCTCGGTGCTTGCCCTTTGACTTCTTTTTCTCTATCTCGAACAAGCTCTCAGCTTCAGTGCGGAGTTCCGCCTCGTAATAGGAATGCGCTTTGCGCTTGATGAAAGGAACGACGAGTAGCTTGAGGTGCTGTGAACTTAGGTTGTGAGGATTGAATTCGGGACCAATAGGGAGGACGTCGTCAGGCCAGTTATTAATCATGAACTTGTACTGGAAAGCATAGTCAAGAAGCTTCCGCCACTGGACTGCTTTGGGTCGATACCCAAACTTCGCTATTTGAGCCGACTTCAGTGAATCGTTGTATGTGGACAAACTTGAGTACTCACAAGTGTGCTCGAGTACCATAATTGGCCATATCCTCCTGTAATGGTCGCGGGGAGCCTCGTTTGGCTTTGAGAGTAGAATCTTATAAGCCCCTAGTCTCCCCATAAACTGCGGCACGGATATATTGTAGCCTTGCGCTCTGTGAATATATCAGAAGGTAGGAAAAACCCAGAAGGATCAGACGTACTTCGTTGCGGTCACGACCCAATCTAAAATTGAGCGAGCATCCAGTTGATGCTCATTGATCAACTTGACTATGAGGTCGGAGCCCGCGACAAAGCCAGACGCCTGTCGAGCAGCCTCGTCTTGTGTTGTATCAAATATACAGCCGATGGCCTCAACTCCTTCAAGGCGAGAATAAGCAGACATCTATATTGAGTCATTAGTCGTAGCTTAGAATGCGCTAAGGAAGTAGATGTACCTTTCTTGCAATATCCTCCCTCATTGACAAGATGGTCTTGGCGCGTGATTGATTGGTACTGTCGCCAGTAACGTTAAAGTTGCGAATTATGTCCCACTGTTCGTTCTCCTTGCCCATCGCATGATAGTGTTTGCGTTGACGTTCTTTCCAGTCGATGATAGCTGAGACTCTGGAGTTAGCATCATCTATACCACAGAAATGGGGGACTGACATTCTTTGTCCTTGCGAGGGTAATTATCCATGAACCAGCGTTGGTGGGCATTCCAATCAGATTCTGATCGTGAATGCTTGATGGACAGACCAGCCTCAATGAGAATAGCGCGCGCGGACTTGCCATACTTGGCGCCAATCACCCGAGCTTCTTCTGCTGTTTTCTCTCCAAGTGCCTGAGCCTCACTGATGCCCTCTTGACATAGCCGGCCACGTTTTAAATGGCCTGAGAGTTCTTCTTCATTCTCACTGGGGTCAATGTCCGGCGTAGGGCCAAAGACTATACTGGCTGGAGTGGGGTTGCTGCCATGTGGAATAGATGCATTAACATGCTTCGTGCGAACGGTTGTCGAGCGAGTAGTTGCTGAAGACTTCTTCCTGCGCTTAGTAGGCGGGGAAGACGGGCTGTGGTGGTCGAGGTCGAGGTCTTCGCCTGCATCTGACTCATGGGAGGAACCTTGATCGGATGTTGCGGGGCCTTCACGGTAGCTGGTATCCGATGAAGAGGTTTGAGGACCATGGTCGAAACTTAAATTGTAGTTGCCCGTCTTGGCCCTTCGGGGCCGAAGTCTCCTGGCTGCGCACAACAGATGACCATCAGCCCTCCCCACTAAGAGAAAAATAATATAGTACATACCTAGCGGAGTCTCGAGGTCCTCGTTATTTTCGCCATCCTCAGGCTCTTCATCGGCATCCTCAGGCTCTTCATCAGCGTCCTCAGGCTCTTCATCAGCATCCTCAAACTCCTCACCGGCACCCTCAGGCTCTTCGTCGACATCCTTGGCGTCGTTGTCGCTATCGCCTTCTATGCTGTCTTCATGATGACAACCGTCAGCATTCCCAACCGTATATTAAATGAGATATAGAATACCTGGTGAAGTCTTTTCATGTATGGAGCCATCATTATCCTCATCCTCGTCTTCGTTAGCCTCGCTGTCTTCACGGTCTTCGTTACTGTTATCGTCATGAGCATCATTGTCGCTACTGCGGTTCATATCATCATCTTCATCCATGCGAGAGTCCGTAACCAGCACGTCATCGTCGATGACAGATGGATCTATGAAAGGGGTTAGTATAGTGATTGTAGCGAATGCCATAAATCATTACCTGGGGAATGGTCGCTTTGCAACTGAATTCCAGAAGAGACGGAGCCCGCTGAAGAATTTATGTTTTGTTTGCGAGGGCGAGCAAGGATTTTAGCATAGTCTTCAAAGCTCATGCTCGAGGAACGTCGGGGGAGAGGACGAGGTTTTGGCCGGTTACGGTCATCCGGAACAGGAGAGAACTCCTGGACAGCATTTCTTTTGCGCTTATTTTTTTGTTCGGCGGGGGGGTTGATAGCAATACCACTGCGTGTGCGCATGACATAGCTGCCAGACACTGTGGATCCATGAGTGCCAGTATTGGTTGCACCACGATGGGCTGCATTTCTGGTGGATGGTGCCATTGGAACGTAGACGGGCTTGATACTGAGAAAATGGGTGCTTTTTACACGAATGTTAGAAGCAGGCAGCTTGTGAAACACGAAGTCTTGACAGGACGATAGAAGAGTATAGGAGACTAATGATTATGGGTCAAAAGAAGAAAAATTCTTGTAAAAAACACGAACGTTGCAGATTTTAACTGATAGTAAGGCGCCCAATACACATCAAGAAAAAATATTACAAAGCTATAATCCCGCCCAATCAACACCGAAACGAACAGAGTTGCATTGAAAGAACATCATCAGAATAATGTAATATTCACCACAAAGAATCATATACTAACTTATTGGGGATGGTTCACATTAACAAAGCTTCAAAAATTACGCAAATGAGGGCCCAGATGGGTGATGGGGCGAATACGAGCTCCTCCGGTGAGTGGATGTGATGACATTGAAACTTCCATCTCTGTAAGCCAGCAGGTAAACCACAGGCATACTGTAGATTAAATAAAGTTGCACTGTACCAAATATTCTGATTGGGTGAGAGGGCGCAAATGCTAGCACCTCTTTCCTAATACAGTAATGGCTGCTCGCTGCGAACAACAGCAAGTGCACGATCCTACTCAAGCATGAGAATAAAGATATCGGCTAGAAATAAAGAACGTACATACATAGCACCAGGCTAACTCCAAACTAGCTTGGTTGTGATCTGTAAAGTGGTAAAAAGTGTCACTGCAACAACTCGAATAGAAAGCTAGGAAAATTACTTCGATTGCTTGGACCTCGTTCTCGAGACCACTGATATCAGTGTAACTTCGAGTGAGATCCTCGTCCAAGTTCACGACGCTGACCAGTGGACAAAACTCTTGATCGAATTGTAAGAATCAAGGCTACTTTTGCATACCCCAGCCTTTCGTTATCTGTTGTAAGTAGAATGAATCGATTACATTAATGTAAGATGGGGGGAGGACATACTGATCAGTAGTTAGAATACGAAGTTTTGAGGCGTTCAGACGATCAAAAAGAATAAAATTGCTGGACATGCGCAAAGTTCGCAGAGGATGAATAGACATTGGCGCATTTTTGAGGCATCCGACTCGTAGTCAGACAGCCAGACATTGCTGGATGACGCGAAGTCACCCAGGCAAAGCTTGTCTGCCTCGAAGGCAGACCACGCGATGAGGCCAGTCGTTGTCGTTGAGGTGGAGGCAAGGGTAACGATGTCGATGAGGTGGAGACTAGGGTAAATGATGAGGAGGTCGATAAAAAGCCCTGCATACAATCAATTAGAATAGAATTAATGGACACATACCTTTGTGGAGGATGGATCGATATGGGCGAAGTGTTGAGGCAGTACCGTAGGACCGTAATCTGACTCGTAGTCAGACGGCCAGATAGCACTGGATGACGCAAAGTCACCCAGGCAAATTGTCTGCCTCGAAGGCAGACCATACAATGAGGCCAGAAGATATGAGGTGGAGAGATGGGGGCAAACGATGAGGCCAGATGATGAGGTGGAAATGGGGTAAACGATGAGGCCAGACGGCATTGAGTGGAGATGGGCATTATGGGCACAAAGTTGATGAATTACTAAAATTGTCGAAATCGGAAGGGCCTTCCCAGGCTTTCGCCTGGGCTTTCCCACACTGATTCAAGGTGTGGACTTCACACTTTGAAGTTTGAACAACGCCAAAGTCCATTTCCTCCCTCATTCTCGACACTCTGCATCGCGGCGGTCAACATTCCCCAACCTCTATAGTCTACCTTCGTGGTGGGCGTACTGTGAGCAGCAACTTCATGTTGCTTGCTCCTGTCGATTGCTTAGACTTCGGTCAGCAGTCTTGTCTTCCACCAGGCAGTATCTTGCGATCACCACCACCACTGTCTTCGACCGCCACAGTTGTTCTTCCCCCCAGTAATTTCTTATAATGTAAGTATTGTCTTGCCACCACCACCACAATTGTCTTCAAGCGCCGGCATTGTTTTTCCACAGCCAGAACTGCGTTCCACAACTAGGAATTGTCTTAAACCGCCTGATCTGTCTTCAGCCGCTAGAACAACCTTCTGTCCGACTTGACTGATTCATCTTCACGCTGTTGCTGATATACTGATCTTGTTCAAGACTGCTGCAGACCTCCATAGGTAAGTACATTCGTTATATTTGGTCACGCTATCATGGCTGACATTGGGTCTTTAACCAGACTCTTCTCGCTCAAGACTCCTGTCGCCCTTTACAGTAAGTTTCTTTACTACTTTGATTCATGCTATCATTACTGACATCTCGCCATCATCAGATTTCTCTCCAATCTTTCAAGACTCTCTTACTATCGGTAAGTACATTCGTTATTTGGTCACGCTATCATGACTGACATTGGGTCTTTAGCCAGACTCTTCTCGCTCAAGACTCCTGTCGCCGTTTACAGTAAGTTTTTTTTACTACATTAATTCATGCTATCATTACTGACATCACGCCCTCATTAGATTTCTCTTCAGTCTTTCTTCAAGACTCTCTTACTATCTGCCTTCGTGGTAGCGTTTAAATCAGCAGTGACTTCGAGTCGTTGTTTGATTTAAATTTCCTTCCTCAGTGACTGCGAGTCGCTGTGTGTTTCCCCATCCTTGATATCATGATCCCCGGAGCTACCATCATGTTGATTCCTGTCTTCAAGCCGTTCATGCGTGATGGCGACCGTGCGTTTTAGATTCTTCATACATCTACTGCTCTTGACTGACGACGTTCAGGTTACCTGACTGCCACTGATGCTTTCTGTGTGGCTACATATGCCCACCGAGTGATCACGACTCCTAACATGAAATTCATTCCTCAACCCTTCGACAACGAATCCGATATCATTCAAGCGCGCGCAGACGGTAGATATTGGGCCCTGGATCCCTTCCAGTGGCCACAGATGTATGATGACTTGTACGCTCGAAGTTTTGCAATCCCTCGCCGGGAAGCCTATGCGGACGACGCAAGCATGACGTACGCATGGTTCAAACCAACTTTCTCAAGTGACTTCATTCCCCTTTCCCCCGGCAATCTTTTTGGTCAGCTCAAGACTGACGTTGTCGGCCATCTCAAGCGATTGTACGAGAAGGCCAACACGCGGGTTAGCAATTACAAGGTTGCTAGGATGCACAAGGAGGATCATGTTGTTGGGTGGGTGCATGCGATGCGCGCTGTCTACGAGCGCTTCCAGCAAGCCATGGCCTGGCGTGACATTGTCATAATCATTGCTGAATATCAGTGCCGGTTTCTCGATATCTGGGTGGTTCTAGACTACTACGAAATTATCGAGCCCCGCATGCGATTCGTCGACACTACGCATAAGGTTGACCCTAAATGGATGGGTTGTTTCACTGAAGATGTCGCTATCGCCACGAAGGTGCACGCTGCTGGAGTTCCTGTCTGGCTTATCCGCGATGCCAGACTTGTCAACTCCAACATGAACATCATCAAAGTCGTTTCCTTCACACCACCCGATGACCTCGTCATCGGCATGTACCACGATCCCATCAAACTCTTTGCTCAACCATTCGACATCATCACCAGAGGTCCCAATAATCGCCGGCATCACGAGGCCGCTCGTCAGCCATATTCCAACTTTGAGAAGTTGCCGGTTCCAAAACCCCAAGTGGAACAGCTGGTAACGAGGGAGTCATTGGTAGGAAAGGCTTGTGTAGACAAAGGGAAGGCCAAAATGAATGCCAAGCCTGCGCCGTGTAAGTTCAGTATTCTTATTCCATGGTTGTTGTGTCTAATTAATTCGTCAGACAATGCAACCGCTCCCCGTCAAAATGAAGTTGTTTCTGGCCGTGACAAGTGGTCTGATATAGATCACCCTTTCATGCCGCCAATGAATTCTTTCTTCAAGATAGCGTTGGAGGAAGCGAAGAAAGAATTCCTCCGTATCAAGCATCCCAGATACAAAATGGACGATGGTTACTCGCTTCCCGATCCAGGGTTATTCATTAACGTTCTTTCCCCGCAATCCTTGGTGAAGTACCTTGCCAACTGGCCGACATGCCGCCCAAGTTGGATAGAACGTGTCTATGATGAAAGGCCTCGACCCCTTCCTCGCGCCCAGAGCTGGCGCGATTTCTTGATATCTCAGCACGCTCAGGAGCCTTCGAACATGCAGACCTCCGGCAAGACCAGCAAGTCGAAAGCAGCGACTGCTTTACTTTTCCAAAAGGAAGTTCCGGTACTGCGGGCCTTGTGGGCAGCACCCACAAATGTTCACTGGCATGGAAAGGACATAGCCATTTCCACGCTCGACAATCCCCCCGCAGATCTCGCACGCCAAATCGTGTATGAAATCTGTGAGCAAAGTTTCCGATATGAACTTCTCGACCTGGATGAACATCTTGGGCGCGAAGCATGTAAGGACAAGGAGGCGAGGAAGGAAAGGATGGAGCTTCTTCGTAGCATTTTCCCGTCGAAGTCGTTGAAAGTTTGGAACAGGGATTTGCCACAAGAGAACAACGGACTCAATGCGCCATCTTTCGCCGCCGCTTTACCATATTTCGAAAGTTTCCGCAAGGTGTTGTCAACATGGGAGCACTTTCCCGAGTCCCTCAAACAACCTTTTGATGCTACCGGACGTGAGCACAACATATGGATGGGGATGAAGGAATGCTGTCTGTTCTACGTTCAGTCTTATTTCGACAATACTGGCCGTCCACCTATCGTTCCTCACTTACTGTATTCGGTCGCCTAGATGTTGATGCTGTGTGCTCGTTTCCCATTGCAATGATTGTGCTCTTATGGATTTAATGTACATATACCCCCAATAGTCAATAATTTGTATACCATCATGTGTCACTAATGCTGTTTCATCCCTACCGGACTTTGTCATGGTCAAACAGGTTATCTTAGACATCAACATTTATTTTCCCCATACCGCTAACATTTCAGTTTCACAGAACAGAGTGTACACGAACAGGTAGAGTTCCTTCCTTCACGTTTGCTAGCCCTCATTTGCTCCAAAGGTTCATCGACGTATTCGCCCACTTTTTCATTTTTGTATTCAACGTAAGTTTGGGACTTTGGGTTCCTCTGAGCGTTCAGTAGTTGACTTTGTGTCGACGCTGACCTTAGTGCAGGCTTTGTGCTTGCCTTCGACTATCTCGTAGTCGACTTCGTGTTGACACCAACCTTAATGCGGGCTTCGTGCTTGCCTTCGACTATCTCGTAGTCGACTTCGTGTTGACACTAACCTTGACGCGGGCTTCGTGCTTGGCTTTCAATATCTCGCTATGGTCTCATCCAACCCTATCGCTGGGCCGTCCACTCCAACCTCTCACAATACGCAGCACAAACTCGTCACTTCTTCAATGGCGAAGAGGAGGCAGCAACCACAGCAAAGCAGCAACTTTCATCTTCCTATAGCCCCCCCACTACTCGTACTTCCCGGAAGAAAACACCTTACACAACAATCACTCAACAATCCAGGAAGGTCACAGCAGCAACAGCCTTTCTGCGATGCCGATTCTGCTAACCAGCATGATAGCCCATCCTGTCATATCCCGCGTTCCGGACCCGGACCTATCACACTCATCATTTCCGGATTTCCGGATCCGGCCGACTTCTATGTATCGTCCGGATCCGACCTGCGTCTAACTTCCGCGCCTTATCCCTTTGGTATTTCCCTTATCAGTTAGTACACTTTATTTTCCGTTCCTCATTCATCTCCGTCTTCATTTTACTAAGTTCCGATAGACTAGTGATAGTCGTACCATATGTTTTCTTCATAGCTTTACATAGCTTCGCACTGCACTTACTATTCTCCGTTATGTCCTCAGTAGTATATAAACCCCTGTACAATCTCTGTAGTTTCCTCAGTTCGAATATCATATTAGACTCTGCTCATTCTCTCCTCCATCCGACTTGAGTTTCTCTCTCGTCGACCTCCGCTCGTCTTAGGATCGACTCCTATAGACTTGACACCTCCGCCTCTACCTCTGGTAGTCCTCCGCTGTTTCCTTTCTAGTTCGGACTTCGTCCGGATTAGTCTTATCTCTTGTTTCCGAACGTCCGCCGGAATTCCCGCGCATCGGACATCGGACTCCGGACATCGCCCGACACCCTCCGGACATCGTCCGGTAACCTTCGGACATCGTTCAACAACCCTTGGAAGTTAGGGGCACGTACTCGGGTAAGGGGCGCAGCGCACGAGCTGAAGCCAAGCCCTTCGGATCCGACCTTTGAGCACGTTCTTAACACATCCGCTGGGAATATTTTAGACCGTGAAGAACGCTCGTCTTTCTACAACTCACTACACTACATCTCCGATGCTGATTCAATCCTACCTTCCCGCTCGAATGGCCGCCAAAAGAAGATGAATCAGTGGCGATGCTGGACAACCGAAGTCATTCCTTCCTTGATCGCTCCATACCTTGCATACTTGCGCAAATCGACCTCTCTTCGCGATCGAATTGAATTGCAGCCAGACGAAGTTGCTGCCTTTCAGTGCAAATCCTCTTGTCGACGGAGGGTTCTCGAGATCACTTGCATACTCTTCAATTGTATGTCTCTCTTATTACCCGAGTTATTGGTTGGCTGATAATATCGTAGATATCGAGATATTACGAATTGATTGCTGCGCTTGCGCGCCTGCTCCCCTTCAGCTCCTGTCTCGCGGTTACTTTGCCTGCGCTCCCATCGCTCCATCCCTCGCTGTCGACCTTCAGTTGCTGGAACTTGTCAAGACGTTGTTCGTACATATCACTCCCAACACAACTGCTTGGTGCGAAACACTCGAGGTCTTTCTGGCTGGCCGCGGGTATCACCTTACCACCAAGGTGAGTCGAGCGCCTATACTGAGTTCTGAAGGATCAATATCTTTATAGGATAATCTTCGTCGTCGGTTTGGTAACGCTTATCATTGGTACTCTGTACTCTGCATGAGTGCTGAAGATCAGTTGTCCAATCTCATTGGAACTCATCGCCCACTTTCACCGCCGTCGACTGAGGGACTAACACGTCCAAGTGACTATCTAAGGTCTCATTGTCCGATTTGTTTTGGCTTGGATGATTGGCGAAAAAGTAGAACCCTTAATCTCAAGAAAGTTGTTTTGAATATTAGGAACTAAAATAATTCTTAATTATACAATAGACCTGATGTCCATACTTGTATTGATGCGTGTTTCACTCAAAAACGCTCAGCGGACCAACGCGGGGGAGGGCCAGATCCCTCAAACCCAATCAGATCAGTTTTCCTGTCGGATGATGAGGTGACATCGATGGAGGTCCATGTGCGGAGTTGTCGCGGCAGACCCCTTGATCGGGGTCGCAAGAGAAAGCGACCTGCAGCCACAGAAGAGGAGGGGGATGACTATGAGGATGGCATGCGAGTCCCGACCTCTGTGCTAGATGGTTGCGGTGAATCTTTTCTTGCCGCTGATGAGAAACGCGAAAAGGCTAGCACCCAATTTTTTGCAGATACAGGGGTGATGGCCATGTTATGTCGGCACGATCGTGTATTATGGCTCGCCAACATGACGTCAGCGGGAGAAAAGCAGCACTACGCTCTTGCTTTGATCAAGAAGCTTTTCGACAATCTCCCTACCGATATGACCGTTGGCCTCTTGTATGACATTGGCTGTCAGCTTCATCGAAGTTGTCTCAAGTACCGACTCCTCGATGATGCGGTTCTTCGCCGTATAACTTTCGCGATATCAGTCTTCCACGCTTACGGCCACCAATGGGCATGTCAAATTATATACCATCCTCGCAAGTGTGAAGGCTTTGGCCTTTCGGATGGAGAAGGTTGCGAGCGTTTATGGAGTGCGCTCAAACACCTTATTGCTCCGCTACGCGTTTCTGGGGTGAGTGTTCTCTGTTTCGAGAATGGTTGCATACGGGCTATAGCCGCTCATGACCATATTGACCATGGTCGTATTATTCATTCACCCCTGACTATAAACTACATGTTTGCTACTTACTGACCGCCTTTTCAGTTTCATCAGCGACTTTTTGTCCTCGACACTCAAGTCCGGCATCTAGATAACAAGAACCTTAGTTTATATGGCAACTGGTTGAGCCGGAGGTGGAATAACTGCATCAAGAAGAAGAGTACTGCAGCACAGGCGCTACATGAGCTTTCAGTCGATGAGACCTGTGTACGACAGGAATGGAAATCGCAAGTTAAATATCAGACGAAACCCCTGCCTCGTAAGTGCTACTGTTCGTGATGTACGATTACAATATTGATGCACGTTATCTCGACAGGAAGATCGAAGACAAATAATGACGAGGAAATTTCCAAAATTCTCTCCCTTGAGAAATCTCTCGTTGAGATTGATGGAGCGTTGCGACGCATGGAAACGCAACTTTGTATGGGAAACGTCGATAATCTCACTGAACACAACCTTCGTCTCATTGAGGAGCGCGCTCACCGATCAAGAGTCGCAGACACTTTGAGCCGCTGGAAGACACGACTTGGCATCAGTCAGCGCACCCGTCTAGAACAACTACGTCGCAATGTATACCTACAAGTCCGTTTAGACGCTCAAGCTCTTAAAACGCGTATCCGCGAACAACTTCGACAGCGCAAGTTCGAAATTGAGAAGCTTGAACGCTCTTACAGGCAAACTGTGAACGGTACTTATATTCTAAGTTGTACATATGGACCTCAACTGACTGCACTTTTTTGTCACAGAGCGCAAGCTTAATTCTCATGTGGATGCCGCAATCCAGCGACGCAATTCTACCATACGAAAGCTCGTGTCCTCATACAATAACCTATGTACAGATCTTAGCGCTCTTATCAGACAGCGCCGCAGTCCTCCGAATGCTATACCACCTAACCCCATCTCTCCTATCGGTATTTTTGATCTTGATATTGATGCTGACATTTGGGAGGACGTTGGACTCAACGATGTCGTGCTGGACCCCCCTGATTGGTTAGCTGATGAGGTCACACGTGCCGCGATCAAACTGTTGCTTGAGATTGACCGATGCAATGAAGAAGAGTCTCGTGTCAAGGTTGAGCGCTGTGCTCTGCAAGAGTGGGCGATTCTTGAGTGGGATGGTCTACAGAGGGCCCGTGCACATGCAAGTAAGTTTTTTTCGCACCTCACTAATATTCCATGCTGACTTTCGAAGACGATGATGAAGTAATCCTCTATCACATGAATTGCCGTGCTCGACAGTTCATTGTCCTTGTACTGGGGTGGCAGACGAAGGTTCGTCCCATTCCATGTGCGTGGCCTATGCCTGACTGTTGGGGGCCGTCACAAACCGAACTTGCTAATGGGACACCTGTGGTGTACCCTGATGTCCATGATGATGAAGATGTCGAAGATGATGTATGGGACGATGGAGATGACTGGGAATCTGACATTGGCTGTGGTGATGAGGAGCTTATGGACGTCTTAGAAGATATTGCATTAGCAGACCAGTATAGAGGGCAAGAGGTACATGACATCGAGGATGACTATGTAATTCATGAATCATTAATAGATAGCCCAACAAAACATGTTAGATTTAATTCGTAGTACTCTAGTTGTGCTGAACAATCTAAATCTTACAAGTAAAACATAACTGGGACTTGATATGAGAGAGGCCGAGAATGTATACATCACGTGATTTGAACATTGTCGAGAATTTCCAAAGGAGCCTTGCAAGGGACCCCTCTTGAGGTTAATTGAGGGGTTGCAAGAACACCCAAAATCTGTCCAAGTTAATTGGAAAGTATAGGATTTTCGGTAGGTCGAAACACAGTGAATCAGTTGCAAACTTGTAAAGTACTACACGAGAAATCTACTATTGTATGTACACCGATGTTTTAAGGTTTCAGCCACTCGGCTAGTTCCGAGTCACACTCGTCATGCTTCACTAAGTCCAACAGAAAGAACTTGCAAGTGTGTTGCAAGGGGCTTGCAACTAATCAGTCTACCACACTAGCAATCACTGCGGAAACAAGTTTTTAGACGCACGCTAAACGGAGGGAGAAACCAGGTCTAAACGGACTCAAAATGTACTTAGCCGCTAACCGTACGCAAAGCAGACATGTCGGTGATTTTAGGTAATTTTGGTGAAGTAACAAATGTAAATAGCATCTTTTCAGACTTCGCGAACACATCTTTCCCGACCACTGTTTAGTCTCTTCAAACACTTGTTATCCCACCACTAACCAGATCCGTAAATCCTTGCTTTTGACCTCTTTTTAAGGTAGCTTGGGCGAAGGTGAGTATTTTTGAAAATTCTTCTAAGTCCTCGTTTCATGCTATCATGATGGCAGACCGCGACACCATCAACATCGAGCTGCCTGCTTCTAGATTTCAACCCCCTCTTCCACTGGTCACCTCTTTTACCCGCTCGTCATTCCACATGTTCAACTTCGGGAAACATAGGTGCCATCCAAACCCCAATCAACCCAACCCTCCACAAGACACTCTGACCCATTCTATGGTCATGAGCAGCCTTCGCGGTTGTGCGCCAGGTTCATCACCCATCTATTTGCTTGTCCCGAATAACCCCCATTGTCTTCTAACTCTCAAGTCAAGCTCCTGCATTTCATCGCATATGCCTCCCACCGCACAAAGTTGCACTCATCTGTTACCTTCGCTGCTCTCGTCCTCCTCCAGCGATTGAAAGCATGCTTCCCCACCGCTCGGGGATCTTTGGGACACCACCTGTTCATATCTGCATTCAGTTGGTGTGGGTAGAACTGTTGATGATGTAGCTTTGTTGAGCTGCTGAAAGAATTTGAGCAGTGCAAGTTGTAGTCAAAGTGGGTGGGGAGTCAAACTGCAATGTTATTTAATGACATGGACTGTCAGTATGACTGACTGGGCGCAAAACCAGCATGTAAGAGCATAAGTAGGGTGAGCGGGAAAGCCCAGATAGTAGTATAGAGGTAGATGGGAGAGCCCATCCAGTGTAATCAGGGTCAGTGGGTGAGCCCAGATAGTAGTAGACAGGTTGACGGGAGAGCCCAACCAGTGTAATTAGGGTTGGCGGGAAGGCCCAGATAGTAGTAGATAGGTGGATGGGAGAGCCCAACCAGTGTAATCAGGGTCGGCGGGTGAGCCCAGATAGTAGTAGACAGGTGGACGGGAGAGCCCATCCAGTGTAATCAGGGTCGGCGGGTAAGCCCAGCTAGTAGTAGACAGGTGGACGGGAGAGCCCAACCAGTGTAATCAGGGTCGGCGGGTAAGCCCAGATAGTAGTAGACAGGTGGACAGGAGAGCCCAACCAGTGTAATTAGGGTCGGCAGGAAGGCCCAGATAGTAGTAGATACGTGGATGGGAGAGCCCAACCAGTGTAATTAGGGTCGGCAGGAAGGCCCAGATAGTAGTAGATACGTGGATGGGAGAGCCCAACCAGTGTAATCAGGGTCGGCGGGTGAGCCCAGATAGTAGTAGAGAGGTAGGCGGCAGGGCCCAAACCGTGTAATTAGGGTCAGCGGGACAGCCCAGATAGTAATGGATGACTTCCCATAGGCAAAATATTTAGAATAGAATATATCCAATTTTGAAAAACAATGGGACATCAAGTTTATTTTTTCATCTATACAATGATATTCAACCATAGGACAACTACATACTAGATATAAATCCTTGATAAATGGATGATTTCATATATTCTCTTCTGAACGATGATAAGGTGGACATCTTCAAGACACACTGGAACAATAGGCCACATGAGGCCAGTGGCCTGATTTTATTTGACATCTGTATATTGTGTTCTGTGTGAGTGTGAGGAATGAGTGCGTACGTAGAACAAGGTCTATGTGAAAAACAATATTTCAGTCACCGCTGTCTCGCTTAGTATCATCAATCACAAGAAAATTGGATTACTCAACAACTAGTACTGCACTCAGTGTCGTCTATCACTGGTTTGCACCCACCCACCACTCCCTCCCAAAAGTGCGTCTCACAAACATTATATATGCTAGCAAGGGTCAGTTTTGTGGTATATCTCAAAATTGTGGTTCAAGCGCATAGATCACCCTTAAATACCTAGTACTACTCCTTCTATGAATGTACAAATTGTGAATTTTAATGCCGTCAAAATGTTCTAAAAGGACCCCTATCACTCTGATTTATGTTGGGAAAGCCCATGAGATAAATGCTCCAGGATGTCCTAGAGACATGCCAAATTTATCCCGGATGGGACTGGGAAAGATCACAAATGGGTACTAGGGATAGCCCAAATATTGCATTCAGAGTGGGCCGGGACATCCCAGAACATAGGGTAAAATAATGGGAATACCATCCTAGAAGACACCTACTAGGTGCTTTGCTAGCCACAAACACATAGACCTAAGAGGTCATTTCAAGTGGTTGACTGAAGTGACACATGGGCCCACCCATCTATATTTTATACCACCCTCGGCCCACCCATCTAATACAACATCCCATACAACACCCTCGGCCCACCCGTCTAATACAATATTTTATAATACCCTCGGCCCACCCGTCTAATTTAATATGTGTCTGGGCCCACCCGTGAATGTGATAACAGGTACCTACCCATCTATCTCATACACATCTACCTTAATACACCCATCTGCATAATATCCAACTACCTCGGCCCACCTGTCTACCTAATATTCATGTACATCGGCCCACTCATCTACTCTATATATTCCCTGCATGGGCCCACCCGCCTCCATCGGGAATAATTTGCCTCCCGGCCCATCTGTCATAGTCGAGGATATTTTTATCATGGGCCCATGGTCCGCTGGCCCGTATCATATGGGATATTATGCATGTCTGTTCCCTCGTATTATACGGAGATAGGTCACTGTAATATGTGATCAAACTCCGCTGGCATTTGCCACTCAACACTGTTACAGTGTACTACAAATTCTAGCACCACAAGATCAAGTGTTATGTTACAGTGATGTATACAAATATATAAGCTATTTTTTCAGCGCCAGGGTTCCACTGCATTGCATGTGTGAGGAAATGATTAATTATGATAAAATTACAAGAGTTCTCACCTGGTGAGACCTGCAGATCTACAGCCAGTTCGACATCGCCCAGAGCAAAGCTACGCATAATGTCGACAAGATCCCCGGCAGCAGTAGCCGAGTAACCTTGCAAAGTAACACACTTGACTTGAGGAAGGGCTTGAATCCAAGCCGCAGATAGTGCCTATGCCCACGATTAGGATTGAAAAAGTGCTGTAACAATAATACATACCAATGAATCACTTGTAGCACCTGTAGCACTGGCTGAACCATCTGAGCAGTCAATCGCCAAGTGTTTGATGCAGACCATTGAACGGGTGCCCGACCAACACATCATCGCTGCACTAGAATGACTATTAGGTAGGGAAAGGAGGAGATATCCGATGCTGTCACAATGGCCGACACACTGTAAAATGGAAGTGATGTAGTCGGGTGATGCATCATGAGCTTGTAAGGAAATGTGAAGGCAGGTGAGGTTTTGTTGTTTACGATGACTCCAAAGGATTGGAAGGAGATGTGACAAGGGTCTGTCCAGGGTAGACAGAGAAAGAATCAAAGGTTTGGTGACTCAATTAGCCCTCCAGGGAACACCAGCAGGTCGTGGAATGACGCTGAGGTTACTGACAGCAGGGTGACGGACTAGAAAACGAATGAGCGTGGGTGGCGCACAATCAGCATCGACTCAGAGTTCGACAAGCATTGGGATCGTGAAGTGGCACATGAGTTTGTCCCAGTGTGCAGCACTGAGCTTGAAAGAACTGAGTCGAAGTTTTTCCAAACAGGGGGAAAGACAGATGGTCTGGATTGTGAAAGGAAGAATCTTTGGGGAAAAAAACGCCCGCGAAGATGCCTCAAAGGCTTTCAGGTTGTTCGCACCTATACACGCCTGGATTCGGGTAAGGCCAGTGATAGACAGCGAGACTGCGCCATCACAGAAACCCATGCACGTCAGTTCTTCGACACCAGAAGCACAGATATTTTCTAGTAATGCAACCATTTGAGAGAGAACCGGGGAAGTGAGAATGTCGAAATTCCAAAATAGTGTGATGTATTTTATCGACTTGTGGGGGATGGACTCGGGCAGACAAAAATTATCCATCCATCTCCAAGTTGACAAGACATCAAAATTTGGTGAGTCCACACGAATGTGAAATAGATTCTTCGGGGAAGTTGGAAAGTCTCTTTGGACGAAGAACAGCGGAGCAGCGATTTCTCTTAACAGAGAAGAAACTTGCGTGACAGAATGCAGATCTTGCGCTCCTAGAAGTGCGACGGTAGCGATGAGGATTTCCGCAGGTAGAGACCATATGAAGGTCTTGGTGTTGTATGGCTCATAAAGTGTCACACATTTGATCCCAAAGGGACCTAGTTGAACATCCACTTGACACTTCATAAAAATGTCAGACTACAATCTGGAATCAGTAAAGATAATTATATATAGCAGTGACTCCATACTGCTTCCCTGAACAACCGCTTCGCCATCGGACTGGTTAAGTCAGTGTGGTGGCGACTTATTTTTGGCTATAACTTTGTTAACGCTGATAAAAATATTTGAAATTAGATATACCGTGATATCAGAATATACCGCAACAACTTGACACATGTCGCCTGTAGAATAGGATTCCAGAATACGTCGCTTTCGAGGGGTGACCGAGTCACCAAAATCGATTTTGCGCTTCAGGGATGGTGCATCGCTTTCAAGTGTTAGAGCGTTGATGTCCTGTATATAGAAGTTAAGTCAAACACAATTTTGATATGGAGAATCTTACCTTCGAAGGTCCTAGACTGCCACAGACGTCAGTCTTTGACACGAAGTCCTGCGATTGTATTGAAGAATGTAAGTCACGAAGAATAGAGATAATATATGGGGCGCACATCACGACAAGCACTTTTTGGACTGGAGATGCAACTTGTCGAGTTTCCCACCGCAAAGGCAGGAGAAATGTATGATTGAAGATGACCTTGACGATGTTTTTCTACTTTCTTTAAGTCGCGCAAAGTTGTTGCGCCGGGGACAGGGAACTTATTGTTTAGTTCTGGATGTGGAGAAATCATTGTTTTTTTCATATTCCTAGAGGATACAGCGGCACTCACGGAAGCGAGTATGGGTACTGGGAGACAATATACCGAATGCAGCCTAAGATGAAGTCTAGACGCAACATCGACTGTTGTTGTGAAGTTACAGTGGTCTTGGTGCTACTAGGGTTTGTGACTTGATTCAAAAATTACTGATTTAAAGATTACAAGTCGGAACTCAACTAAATCGCAACTCACTCATGCCGTGCACATCACGCAACAAAAAGACTGCACCCCGTAAGGTGCGTTTCAATCCATATGCTCGGCCCTACACTTCAAGCAATGAAAGTATTGCACCGATCACTACACCTCTAACAAGGACACTTGCCTTATATATCGACGAGGAAGTGACATTGAATACTGCTGTAAGTAAATATGTCAAGGCCGTGGCCAGCAGTGACTGAAATGGACATTCATAGCTTTAGTGGATGGGATCCGCTATGTTGATCGACGAAGCCCCTGTACTCGACGGGACAATGGGAAGTCGGCAAGACGTCTCAATGCTGAACATTGATCTGGCAGACGATAAGGTTCGCAATATTGTTATGTAGCTAGGCTCTAGGACTGACCTTACAGCCTCAAAGGTTAGAAGCACGTTCCTGGTAGCGAACTTGATAGCCCCTGATGCCAGTCACCATATGGGGCGACTATCTCCAAATAGAAGAAAAATTGTTCGCAACCTAGAGAAGGTGGTAAACAAGTGTATTGATTGCAATTGCAAAGGGGACCATCCTACTACTGACCTTTTACGCGAGAGGATCTATGCAGCACTTGAGGGAGCAGTATTGAACATAGAGGTGGATGAGATTATGCGCAGGCATGTCTCGAAAGCCGAGAACTCCAAAAACGACGACAGACACGTAAGATGGTCTTTCAGTTTCCAGTAACTCTACTGATGAACTCTATTAGAAGCTTCCAACAAACAATGATAATTTCATCCCACCTGCCGCACAATGCATTTTTAACGGCATGAAACGTGGACCGTTCTCACTTGGAACAGTCCTCGGCGCGCAATCAGAACCACACGGACTATTTTCATTCAAAGCAGTTCCAGAGCCGCTAAAAGTAAAATGTAAGTCAGGTGCACTGCCTGCTAGAATGCCAGGAGGATACCCAACTGCATAAGAATGTATACATACGAAACTTGAATGTACATTACATACACCAGTGTCAACTGCAGAATCGTTAGTTAGAACCAAAAATCAATGGATGACCACTTACACAACGGACTCTCTGACTGCGCCTGGTAGATCAAGCCTCCCTATTCACAATTGTTGGTTTGCCTCTAGTCCTGCTGGCACAGTCATCTGCAGTTCAGTAGACGTCACCGGACAATTTGTCAACAATACTAGTACATACATGGCATCAAAATGTCTGGGCTACTTTATCAAATTGAAAATCTACTAGCGAGCAACAATAATCTCCATCTTCTGGGACTTCTTCTTAGATACTGTGAATGACAGACGTTGGTCAGCCAACCAGGAAGGATTATAGAATGTTCTTGGCAGGCCTTCGATTGCTATGCAAGAAGACTCCCGATGAGTGTTGCGAAGACGCTTTGCAGGCTTGTTTCCGCGGGGAGTGAAGATCGAGGCACCCGTCAAACGCTGTTGGTCAATAATCTGCATCTCGTGACTGAAATCTGCCCTCCATGGCATACTCTTCTGATGAAAGACCTGAAGATCTCCATCTTTGTGCTCACTCTCGTCAGAGCTCATGCCATCTTTGCCAAGACCACAATAGATTGTAGATACACCCACACAGCCTTATCATCCTTCCCTGTCGCATTCCTATCACTCAGTAGCGTCAACATGACTTTTTTTCGAGTTTCAAACTTCTAGTGCATAGTTCAATACTCTTCTCTGAAAGAAACAAAGTAACTGACCGTCGCCCTGTGAGTGATGACCCTAGCGAGCCACAGTCGCTCATTCGTCTGATCCACGAGTCGATCTCCCACTTGTTGCATGGTCTCGCGAGTACCGTCGCTGAGGCTGAGAGGCTGAGCCTTTCTCCAACACCTGCGGCATTGACTGAATTTCGTTATGATATCATCTTTGATTGATTGAGGAGATCGCCTAGACCATTGGTTGATCGCTTGCAAAGTTGTATACTGGGTGCAGAGTAAGTCAATGACTTTTTGGTTCCACTCGGACCTGTATGTAGTCGCCATATCCCATTGCATTGCAAGTGGGTCAGGACCTGTGCTTATTCCATGTGTGAAAGACAATATGGCTTCGCGCGACGCCAGCACATGAAGCATATACTCTTCGTCTTTTGTGGCGTGGAATGCAATTTTGAACAATTCTCGGACATTTGCCTGACATTGTTTCCGTGAGCAGAATCATTTGCTTTAAATAATCACAGACCTTGTTATCCCGGTGCTGGGTATCAGTAAAACTTTTGACGGGGGGTTTAGGCTGTTTGCGTCCTGAGCGAGGTCCCCGGGGAGACGTTGTTTGAGAATTCTGAAGAACCTTTGCGAGTGCCTCAGCAAGCATGCCGACAGTCGCGTTCCCGATCGGGATGTCTCCTAAGAGTGAAGTCAGGGGCATACTACTATCCATCTGGAGTTCCTCATCTGCATCAGATTCTGAACTGGAATCAGAAATCTATGATGTGCGGTATCAGGAGACAGAATGAATGTGAGACCCGTCAACTTACTGGTGAAAATCCAATGATGTTGGTACATGTAGCCACAGGTTTTTTGCCCACAAGATGCCACCAGGCAGGTGTTGACGCGGGTGATGCAGTGTTGGCATGTCGAATTTGACTCTGTGAATTCATGAGAACTCTGCATACCAGTGTGTCAATACGTACATCCAACGAATTAATCTTGGAACTATACTTGGCATCCAAGCGGGTTAATTCAGCTTCATTGTCGGCCAAAAACCTATCTCTTGCTAAATGCATTTCGCGTTCAAATTGAACCTCTTTCTCCACCAATAAGTGTTCTATTTCAGCGCGGCCCTCGTTTTGGGCTTTATGAAGACCAAGTGCCATATTGTTCTGTTAATGCAAGTCAGAATGCTGATATGGCGGTGAAAGAATCCTACCTGAAGCTCTGCTACTTCTTTACGATGGTTCTGGTCCAAGGAGGCGAGGGCATTAGCATTGTCACGCTGAAGAGATTGGTTCTGTTGCTGATACTGTGCAATGGCCAACTGCATATCTGATTCGTGAACATTCGAGGTGACCTGAAGCAAGTTAAGTGTGAACGTGAGGGATGTGAGACTACATGCACCTGCGTGTTGCATTTCCGGAGTAGAAGATTATGGTTGCTAAAATGTAGCTCGCGCACATCTTCACACAGCTTGAACGACTGATCGACTTCCTTGAGAAAGACTTTATTCGGCTAAATATTCGTTATTCGTTAGTTGACACAAGGAGCCGAATTGGATGTTCCTCACCCACTGCTTGTCGTCATCTCTCACCCTACAGACAGACTGCCAAGGATTATCTAACTACATCGGACACTCCTTGCTGGAGGAAATGACTGGCTGCGGTGGGTACATGTGAGTTATTGCTGAGGGACGACAGTCATCGTGATCTACACTAGCCAATGTACCACTCGCAGGTGGGTACATATGGGCTGTGGTCGGAGGAAGCTCGTTGAGAGGGTGTGACTCAATAGCTTCAGGGACCGGATCGTCCGAAGAGAAGAAGGACATTAGACGAGACATCTTGATGCAAGAAATTATTCTGCAATTCACAACTTATCTGAGGACGACTTACCTGGTTGTGTAACTGAGTGCGAAAATGTTGGTTGTCACCTTAATTCATTCCCGAGTACATACAAGCAAAACCAACCGAACAAAACAGACAATAAGTTCTTATCATGACTGCTTCTGATACGTTCGACTACTGCTTCCCAACTGCTTCCGAAATGATGGGGTCTATTGAAATTTACGAGAACCTTTGTGTCGCGCCTTGGCACAAGTATTTTTTAGTTGCATCTGAATCATATCCCCGACTGGCCAACTCCCATGATAATCAGCCAGTTCTGGAAAATGGCCTAGAGCCTTGAAAAGAAGTTAATATCAAGCAGCCATAGCAACCGCAGAGATACCTCTTTATAAACCTGAAGCAAAGCAGCCGGAGCTTGAAGTTTCTTGCTTTTGCCAACGTGACAATGCTTCTCGATAGACTGGTGAACGTATTCCTAATGTTATGTGAGGATGAAAAAAAAAATGATAAGCGCAATCCCACTTTGAGATTCTTGAAGCGCTCAGCATCCCAGTTAAGCACCTTTTCCAAGTTGTACCCACCACAGCCAGGACGCCCAGCCTCACCCTCCGGTTTGGGGATCTTGGAGTCCTTGGAATCTATGGAGGACAAGGAGGAATATGTTGACACCTTCTCAGACTCGCTGTTCTGTGTGAACTGTTCTGGCGAGAAGGAGACTAATTTGATGACTTTGGGAGTAGGTGTGGGAGGAGGGATGGGTGTGATTCCATGAGACATGATCGTGAAGATGCGTGAAGGAGTAGGACTGCGTCCCCTCAGTGGAAGGGTAGAGAAGGCTATCTCTTCTTGTGGAGATAACAAGACGAGCGATAATGTATGACAAAACATCTCCATATGATATGTCAGTAATGGAAGGGCCTGGGGAGGACCTTCAGATTCATGAAAAGGGGTGACGGGAGTAGAAAATTGAGGCATGACTGACTTTGGAACTGAACAGAGCCAGGAAGATATTTAATGGATGACGGCAATCCGGGCCTAGATCGGAACCCAGCGCCCGCCCAGGGTTGCCTGGTAATGGCGTTGTCGTCTTATTGTATACCACCTTATAAAAGTGTTCAACTCAGTCTTGGCGTTTATAACTACTGATGCTTTTTCTATCCACCAACGGCTGCAAAGAATATCGGCTTGAAGGGCGCCTCATCGGACACAAGAATGCCATCAATTGCCTAGCAGTCTCTCGCAATGGAAACATGTTGGCAAGCGGGGGTAAGTGGAATATTCAGAATGTCATTTTACATACTCACCTGAGTACAGGCTCAGACGGCATGAGGAGCTGGGACTCAAACGACGAGTGCAGCTCCCAGCTCCATGTCAAACCCCAGCCATCCAAAATCCAGCAGATCCGGTGACCTGTGCATGCTGGATAACTCGGCAAGAAGCAACACGCGAGACACTATGCTATGGCACAGGGCTGGGTTTCATAAGCATTTGGCAACAGCAAGGGGAAGACTCGAAGGACTTCCACGCAAAAGTATCAAGACGAATTGGGACAGGTAAAGAGATCATGTGTCTTACATATAACCACACCGGCGATGAAACTCGCATTGCAAGCGTAACACGCAACAGATGGGTTCAAGTATGGGCATTTGACTCCAAAGGACCATTGATACCGATCTTCAGTGTTGAGCTGTCCACCACGATCCCGTGCACTGTCCAATTCAAACGAACGGCAAGTAGAAACCTGTTAGTATTTGGGATGTATGACAGCGAAATGTAGGTGCACATGCATACATATTATCAATGAGTTCAATAATGTTTTTTAGACATACACTTCGAGGCTCAGACGGTACTATTGTCGGTACAAACAAGGCTGGACCTATGATGTGAGTGTTGGCATCGAACAAGTCAAATCTACTCACCAATTTACCAAAGCGGGCATGCTGCTGTGGACGCCCCTCAAACACTATTCCTAATCGACAACGTGGTTAACGGATTCAGCCTACATCGTTTGGAAGATGGAGCCTGCATCTGTACCTACAATACCAATCCAGTGAAGACATTCCCAAAACAGGTTGTTTTTGGGGACCGGGCTACCCTTGTTGTTGGAGGTAGCGACACAGGAACTATTCAGATTTTCGACAAGAATGACGGTGCCCTTAAGCAAGTATTGCAACACGCAGACAGGGGGTGAGTCCAAACTGTAACGGTAAGTTATTTCATTGATCAAATGAACGTGAATTTGACCAAGTATAAGACGTACGACAGTCCACAACACAGCCTGATTTTTGGAGCAACATCTACCAACGATGCAGAACCGACCATCTCCATCTGGTGTCGCAAATGTGCGACATCACCAAGCGACCGTCCTCTGGGGTCAGAGGTCAAGAATTTCGTATGGGGAATAATCCAGCTAGCTATCGCAATGGCGATAATAGCATATGTTAGTAATATGGTACGTGATAAATGTATGTGATGCAAAACACGCACTGACTCATTAGAATGCAGTTGATTGAACATTCGTCGGGGATTACATTGCTGGGAAATGCCTGGCGAGAGTATTCAAAATTGGGGGCTGAAACGGCTGACCTAACGAATACTAACATCCGCTCCTTGGTAGAACAATATATTGAGTCACTGAGGGGTGAAGAACTTGAGAGAGCGCAAAGCTCTGGAACAGATAGGAGACATAGACATGGACAAGCGAAGCTTGTAAAGCCGCAAGATATGCTACATGACGTCATTCTCCTCGGAAATTGATCTTGAATTTATTTAAGTACTCACCATGGGTACTGGAGATTCGAAGAGATGTATTATTTTGTACAATTTGGACTTAAGGCGTGAATTACTTTATGTCATGTAGATCAGAGTGCACACTTACATCCGAATTGAGTGTTCCGAAAGTGTGACCCGCCTGGGGACACACACCGCATGGAACAGGCAGCTTTCATCGAATGAATCACTCTAAGTTGCATTCCAAATCAAATTCTTAAGTCTTACATCGTAATCTAATCTATGCGGTACAGTATGTAATGAACACTTGCAGTAGTGAGAGTCCGAAAGGAAACCAGATTGTTGAACAGGCACTACCTATATACTGAATGACTACATAATCAAACTCCACCAGAAATATTACTGAGGCACCCACTTTGCGCCCACTCGACAATCTGGAAAGTTCTGCCGAATCGGCATTGCCAACTGAGTTTTAATATGTAAGTCATTCTGTATTTATGGCTGCGTGTTTCCAAAATGGTCTTTTTTCCGATTCCTGTAATGTGAATACGTAGTGTAGTGTAGAAGTGTAGTGCGGAGGTGTGAGTCACTGTATACATCCACCCACTCATTATGCTATTTACTAGTAGTAGTGGGCTGCCAGGACTTGACAATTAAAGACAAAAAACAGCGCTATGGTCTGCAATACCTTCAACACAATAGACAATTTGCGGTGTCCACCGTTCACCGTCCACAATCTCAACCACACCTGCTGCTCTAGCCATTCACTATAGATACTGATCTCGCGCCTTCATGGTTTTCTTTCCACTACTATCACCTCGATATGACAGACTTTGTGTAGACTACTAAATAAGTGAATAAAGTGTGTAGTGTTCTAAGTTTACTTGTGATAACGCTGAACTCTAGACTATAGAAATCATGTCCAAGCGTGCCGCATCTAATGACAATGCACCCACTCCAAAGGGCATCAAAATTAATGACGGTAAGTAGCAATATGATGTTCCTGATATCGTTATCCATGAGCAATCACAGGGAATCTGACAGCACCACTGGCGGATAAGCATGCATGGGCAATTTTGGAGCAGTTCCTTATGACGGACATGATGTATGCTCAGATGGAAGAAGCCCTTTCATTGTACCTCAGCAATCGATATTCTGAGGACGATTGGAAGGAATCCCGAGATGCACTATTTTCCGGTGACGGCGATGACAACCTCGCTTTGAGAAATCTTTGTGCTGTGAAGGCAAAGCACATACCCTCGGTGTCTGCTTCCAGTGATTCTTCCGTGGCCGACGGACCGTCCAGTGCGCGCGTCCAAAGTTTGCATAGACCAGCCAAAGTAAGCAAAATAGGATGACTCTGATACCCTCTTATGCTAATGAATCTCTAGTTAAAAAATCCCTACCTCGATCTGGCCGCAGAGGAGGGGGAGGATGATGACGAGGAGGAGGATGACCACGACCATAACGGCCCCTCTGGGCCGTGGAAGGTTACATCCTTGCCAGGATTATCATTGGCCGCTAGGTTTGCCACGGCCATCAATAACATCATGCATAGATTCGAGACGACACAGCGTAGCTCATCACAAGATCACCAGAATATTCCCTCCTCGATATCTGACTTGATCCCTTCGAGAAGTTCAACTGAGCTGCAGGGCGGGAGGATGTATCTTCTTCATGTCCACCGTAAGTTTTTCTATCAATTTAATGACGTTCTTCACTCATTCTTCACTCATCGATCACAGGAAGTGTTACAGATTATATTGCTACACACCTTCGGAAGAAACATTTCATCGTTAAGGTGTCAGCTTGGATACCTGGTCAGCTTTACATGGTTGCAGACAGCCCTAAAACAATCGCAGACTCGCTTCCTTCCTCACTCTACCTCGCCGTCAAGCAATATGTTCGTATATCGGATGAGGAATGTGAAGAGGTCGAGCGTTCTTACTGCAAGCTTCCCAGCCCGGCGTGGGTGAGGATCAAGCATGGCAAGTATAAGGGCGACATAGCCCAAGTCTTCGATTCCAATCTACCGAATGATTTCATTGCGGTCTTGGTTCCGCCACGGGATTTCCCATACTCCATGCCTCCAAGATCTCGATCCCTACTTGACCTATCCCGTCTTCCGAACGGGAACACAGTTTCCAACATCACTCATGGCGAGAAAAATGTAGGATGCGAATACAAAGGAGAAAGGTATTATATGGGCCTCCTACTTCACAGCTTCCACCGCGATCACCTAGAACATGTTGTATGTCCCCATGCTGACGACATTCAGCTCCATTTACAATCCGGGTGGGAACAATCATTCCTCAAGAGAACTGTGGTTGCGTTTTCGATGCAGTTCTTGCATGTAGGCGACTGCGCCAAAATTGTTCAAGGAGATCTTAGTTCAGAAATCGGGAAGGTCACCTCAACCAACCATCCTGCTGGTTCTGCCACCTTGGAATTGAGCTTGAGTGGACAGCGAAAGGAAGTAGAGCTTCGACTGCAGGACATAGAGCGCGTGTTTCGGATTGGTGACATGGTTCGAGTTGTAGCAGACCCATACTTGGGTGTGGAAGGCCACATTATTCAGATGGTAAATGATGTATTTTGTCTTTGTCAAGACGTCTTGAAGGAAGAGGCGAGTGTCTCTTTCCACTTCAGCATTTTGCAAAATCATCTAACACAACCTGTAGGTGAAAGTTTCAAAGTACTATCTAGACCGCCGCCCTCTGAGCCACACATTGCAAGCACAACTACCAACGCAGCAACTTTTTAAGCCTCCTCCCGATGTTGAATCCATCCAAATGGGGGATTACATAGAAGTGCTTATTGGGGAGCACATAGGGAAGTGTGGCATTGTGCGTTGGCTGCCCAAAGGAGCAGACAGTCTGTGGTTCCAGGATGGAACATTGAACATTCCAGTTCCCATTTCATTCATTCGGCGGACCCACCTCCCCCACCTCCAGACATTGCAGTACACAAAAGACAGGGGTTACGATGTGAAACCTGGAGATGTTGTAAGAGTGGTTTGTGGGCCAGAGTATCTGATGAAAGGGGTTGTTCGAAGCGTCGACTTTCCAAAAGCTCGCTTGACCCTACTCTCTGACATTGACCATTCGCTCATTAGTAATATTTTCCTCAACCTACGCATATCTGACTTTTTCTAGGTTGACGTTCCCATCTCATTTGTGGCAAAAGTACGCAACACCAACTTTGATTCTTTCAAAAAGGAAATCGGTCAAGAGGTATTTATCATTGGAGGCGACCATAAGGGCTACCGAGCCACACTGTACAGTGTCACCTCTGAGACTTGCACCGTTGCCGTGCATGGGCAGCAGCGCATCAAGATCGAACTCAAGGACGTTGCAACCAGGTAAGCGGCACGCACATTTCATGGTGGATCAATTGCTTATATGTATTTAGGTACAGAATGAGGTTAAATGGATCGATACTCGAAGGAACAGACATGTTGTCTTTCTGCGAAATGCGGAGAAGATCGTATTTGGCCGCACAACCTCGAAGTGTCACACCCCCACCCGAAAAGGTTCCTTCATCGGTTGCCATCACAGGCACCAGCACGTCAACATCCATGTGGACTGCCTGGACCTCCAGCCCCGATGATCAGACCGGTAATCCTTTGCCCGGTGTCAATCCCAACTCTTTGACTACCGAATCCAACCCCTGGACTGTCAACGCCGACGATACACTAGATAGCATTGATGCTCGAACAGAGAAACTCAAAGAGGGTGAGTCTCTCTACGAAGGCATTATAACATTCACCTGATTTCGTCCTAGGCCCGCTAGCTTGGCTGATGAAGAAGGAATTTTCTTCCAAGCTCAACACACATCACATGATGTTAAAAGTCTTACCCTCCTTCATGGGAGGCAGGCTACACAACCGGTTTGTATCGACAGCCTGTCCTGATCCCTTCCTCGGTCTGAATGGACCTGCTCCCGATGGTTGTGTTGCAGTGTTTTGCTCATCGAACAGTGCAGGCGCCGTGATTCAGCACTATCATATACCCGTCACAGATCTGAGCCCAGCCCCTCCCCACAAAAAAAACCAACAGTGCCTTGTTCTGGACGGGAGTCATCGCGGTTCCATTTGTAATGTAGCTAAGTGTAACCTTAAGAAGAACACTGTGGATATTGTAATCGCTCCTTCGACTTCTATTAATCTGCGTTTCAATCAAATCTGTCTTGTAGAACAGGTATGCACGACTACGTGACCATTATCGTACCATACCCATACTATACCATACCATATCATTTACCAATAAACACTTGATTCTCTGTTGCGCTCTTCCGTGTACCAAATGCCCGACGAATCCCTCATGAACGCCCGATGAATGCCCGCTGAATGCACAGCCAGTGCCCATGTCATTTTACCATGCAGAAAACTTCACATTTTCTGTATCACATTTTACCATCGGGAAAATTTAAAATTTTAACCGGAATGAGAATGCTGGCCATTATATAATACTTTACAGAATATTTTCTGCGCTCAAATTTTCCATTTACCAATGGATATAATTGGATTACAACATTTCGTAATCTGCATTTTCATTTTCCTAAGCGGAAAACTTCCAATATTCTTGTCTATTTGGACAGGACTTAAAAGTTTTGTCAAAATGTGTTACTTTCTCTGTCAATTCATCATGCATCAAAATGTGTTGTTGTGTCGATGTCGAAATTTAAACTGAAAATCCTTTATTTATCAATCCCATTTTGATTTCAGTCTAGCTTGTAGGAAAATTCACAAACTGCCGGTGTGTGAGAGGAACAAATGATGCTCCTGACTGTATCTATAAATGTTGTGAGGTCACGCGTTGCCTAGTCTGCTATACTTGAGACGACAAGTGCATTCGACCCTAAAGGGGAAGCGAGTGCAGCAAGGATCTAGAAGTAGGCGCTGCTGGTTGGCTGATGTGAAGCGCGGGAAAGCGAAGGTGCGCGCAAGGCGCGGGAAGTGCGCACGCGCGTGAGCGGAAATGAGAGAGTAAGATTGAGTTTGCTTAAGTGGTGATATGATGCAAGACCAGAGATGTGAGTGCGAGGTGCCAAGGAATAGATTGCAACTATATTCTGCTAGGTAGTAAGTGGGTAAGTGGGAGGTTAAGTGGAAAGTGAGTTAGGTGAGTAATATTATGTACTGCTGGCGCTTATATACGGCGCCTAAGCACTGTCATGCGGAGCCGAAGCGCTACCGAGTGAGGTATGTAAAGATATATGTAAGTAAGGGTCCATGATAAGAATAAAGGTGGTATGATATGCAAATAAGGGCAAATGGAAATACACGCACTAGAGAACTTGGTAGACAGTGGATGGATGCTTCCAGATGGCGGGTGCTATGGGGCGCTCAAGTGCGGGAAAGTGCGCGCGCATATATGTCGTGAAGCGCGGGAAGTGTGTGTGCATGTTGCGCGTTGCGCAGGAAAGCTGCGCCTCATATAGGAATAGCTGCAGATAGCATGCAGAGTGATGCTACAAGTTCGTGCCATGTGTCGGAAATTTCCAGGGGTGCCTTGCAAGCGTTCCATATTGGGACGCTATTTGGACCACATTGGAACTAAATTCCCAGGGAGCGTGACTTATTTTACTCACTTGCAAGCAGGCTCTTAGTACTTACAAGCGATTCTAATGGTGCCGGGTGATTATTGATAATTGCAACCACAATTCATTATGTCAGATTATTATGATAATCTTTCGTCGACGTCGTTGCTTCTCATTGATCCGACTCCTCCCATCATCGTGTTTGAATCTTTAGCTGCGTCTCTTAGGCTGTATATCTTTAATTTGTACTACTCTTGTGGCATGGCCCCCAACTGAAACACGACGAACCGGGGACGTAAATATATTGCTTCAACATCATCCAACAACCAAGTGGATTGTCAGTACTGTAACAAGTCATACTCGGCCCGCGGGATCAAATCTCACGAACAAGGGTGTCTGAGAAGACGGGATAAGAAGAATGATGACAAGGATTTCACGGCACTTGCAGCGCGTGCAGTAGAGGAGGAGCTGCAAAGGAAAGGTAAGCGTCGATTAAATTCTGTCTTCATTGACATATCGTCTTGTTGATATCAGTGTACTAATTAATAATACTTTTCGCATCATTTTTAGAAGCACGTCGAGAGAAAAGACGGCATCGTAAGGAGCAAACAATGGCTTCTGCTGTTGTTGCTGCTGCAGCGCCGTCGGTCCCTTTGAGAATGGTCCCGGATGGCACAAAGAACTCGTCGCCTGAGCAAGATCAACAGCCTGACGACTTCACTGCAGGTCCATTGTCTGAAGGGAATTCAGATGTTGCCGATGCAATGAGCATCAGTAGAGATTCAGATGCACGTCAATGTATGTATTATTTTGACTCGTGATGCACTCCCTTTCTGAAATCTTAATTACAGGTTCAGAATCAGATACAAGCATGGGCATCCCCGCGTGTACCACCCTATCATCGCTCCCAATCATGCCTTCAGCTCCTCCTAATCTCGATACTTTCAAGACGGAATACCACCCACACAGCGGCCGTGCGACTTCTGTAGAGTCGTTCTCCACTTTTGGACGCAAGGAGCATCAGCTGCCGCCTATTGTCGACAACGAACCCTGGCAGCCTTTTGCTTGTCGTGCGGACTTTGAGTTCGCCGAACTCGCACACCAGGCTGCCTTGAACAAGAATCAAACAGATGAGCTGTTGCGGCTCATCTGGAGAATTGCTGACGGCCAAGTGAAATTCACGTTCAAGTCCCATGGTGATGTTTCAAAAGCCTGGGACAGGGCTGCCAGTCAAATGTCACCTGTGAGAGAAGAACACGATTTTCTTTTTTTACAGTCGTATTAGACATTCCTTTGATAGTTCGAGAAGCATACCATTACTGTTGAGCACAAGCGGGAGGACCTCAAGTACAACATATACACACGGCCATTGTGGGACTGGGCCTTGGACTTGCTACAGGACCCGCTACTGGCACCCCATTTTGTTTGGGATGCACAGCGATTGTACAAGCACAACGGGATGCGTTACGAGCGCTTTGTACATGAACCTTGGACTGGAGACCGTTGGTGGAACGTTCAAGTATGCTATATTTTTTGTATTATTGTTCATTTGTGATTCTACTAAGTGATACCCTTTATATATTGAATTCACAGTCGTCTTTACCTGAAAATGGCGTCCCATTCGCATTTATATTGTATGCGGACAAAACTCATCTATCTTCTGCCGGTACAGTCAAAGCCTACCCTGTCTTCATGCGATGCGGAAACTTGCCTGTCAATATCAGGAACACGGATGGACTTGGCGGTGGGCGAATGGTTGGCTGGCTACCAATAGTAAGTGAAATTAGTGTTAGTTCTGAGTTTCGCGCGAAACAGTTCTTTTGTGCAGGTTCCTGACGATTCTGAGGAAGACGGAAAGCTCTCATATGTCAATCTCAAACGTGTCGTATGGCACAAGGCATTCTTCAAGCTGCTCGAAACCATCATCATCTATGCCAAGGCAGGGTATGCATATACATGCTATGACGGTGTCATGAGATGGTTGTATGCATTCATCTTGCTCTTATCGGCTGATTATGAGGAGCAGTAACGTTGTTTCATACTTTTTTCTGATGGTTTTCTAATCTAATCTTAGGTGCGTGATGGCACTGATACGGGGAACCAATTGTCACTGTCCCTGTCCTATCTGCCTCGTCCCTTCAGACAAGCTCTACGATAACGCTTCCACTTATCCGACTCGATCATCTGATGACACGAAAGCTTTGGTGGAGCTATGGACTAGGGACCGTGTAGCTGGAGAAAGCGCACTCAAAAAACAGGGCCTACGGCCTATTAAGGTCAGCACTTGCAATCAAATGTACCAATTATTGTCCCCCATTAATCATGTCTTACAGAACGTCTTCTGGAAAGTCCCAAATTCTGATCCTCATGACACGATTTCACAGGACCATTTGCATGTATATCATATGGGTCAGTGGAAACATCTCTTCGGCGAGCTCAAACAACGCATTGCAGCCCTTGGACGCAGCAACGAGAAGAAACTGGATGATCAGTGAGTTGTAATTGTTCAGACTACATGTTAGCAACCCTATTTAATTGCTCGCAGGTTCGATACCTTCCCGCGATGGCGCAATCTTAATCACTTTGATCGGGTTACTAATATTACTTACAGCGACGGTAACAAACTTCGGGATATCTCCAGGGTATGATATGACTTCGTGGCTACCAGTTCTCATGTTAACGAATTACTCTTCTCATAGCAAGTTTTGTATGCCGCACAGAACATACTCACACGCGCAGCGGATGAAGCTGGCTATGCACTACTACGGTGTATAGCGAGCTACCTACATATCGACATGTATATTTCACTTGACGTGCAGACTGAAAGCACGATTGCTGCGGGAAGGGCAGAGGTGTTAGAGTTTCAGAAGCGCTTAGAGGTACGTCATAGCAGTTCTGCAAATTGTCGTTAGTATTAATTCACTTATCATTGATATCTCAGGACTACATCAAAATCGTCGAGGAGACTGATCCAGACACGATCAAGAACTGGAACTTTCCAAAGATTCACTCTGGAAAGCATATATTCGATGACATCATGGTGAAAGGTGCCGCTCGGAACTTCAGCACTCGACCAAATGAGAAGCAACATGGACCGATCAAACGGTGGTATCTACGGCAGACCAATCGTAAGGATATTGCTGATCAGGTACGTTCATGCTTTTTAATTCTAACTCTCAATGAGTCGCTCCATACCACTCATTTCGTGTAACATAGATCCTTGAGCTCGACCATAAGAGTGTCGTCTCTGAATTTATTCGCAGTCGTATCGAGTGCCTTGATGAGGAACGACGCAAACTCATGCTTTCGCAGGAAGAACTGGAGGACACGGACTTGGATGATGAGAAATTTGAAGAACATTTTCATATCGGTTCACCCCTCAAGAATCAAACAACCCTTTCGCAAGTGGAGGAAGAAAACAAGTCCATTCGTGCGTTTCACCAGTTCCGGAAGAAACTCGCAACATTTCTCAACCATTTCCTTCCCTCTCACAACATACCGCTGCCGGAAGGAACAACGTGGTTGAAACTTTCAGCACAAGACCAGGTAAATTGACTTTCCTCGCTTTTACTCGAATCTGACTTTGTATGTCGAAAGATCCATGAATATCGATACTTGAAAGTGCATTATGAGTCTACCGCTGACTGGAAGCTAGCTACTGACTACCTGCGATGCAACCCAAGCTTCCATGGCAAAGAACGGCGTGACTGCGCTCTAATACGCACACTGGACAAGGACGGCCGCGACAAAAATATATTTGTGAAGATATTATGCATGTTTAAGCACACTGTTGGCAGCTGTACCTTAGATCTCGCGCTCGTTCTACCTATGGATGCCTTAATTGGCCCACGTCGGTGTATGGATCGAGAACTGCGACTAACTCGACTTCGCGCACGGCCTGCTTCTTCATCTGAGTTTATTACGCTTCATTCCATCATTTGTGGTGCTCTTCTCGTTCCAGATTTTGCTCATGATGGAGATTATTTTCTTGTGGATACTGTGGATACTGACATGTTTCTTCGTACTGTACATTCACTACAGTTACATTAGTAATAACGGTTCATTGACATTACCTATCTCTTTTAAACTTGTCCAGAGTACCCTCCTTCCTCTTCTAACTCTCAAGTAAGGCTCCCCCATTTCATCGCATATGCGTCTCACCACACTGACAAACTTTAATCCATGACCTTTCCAGCTTCTCAAAGCACACTTCCCCACTGCTTGGGAATCTTCGGGTCACCGTCTTTTCATATCTGCTTTCATGCTCGCATCCAAGGTCATCTGTGACAACACTTACTCCAACAAATCCTGGAGTATTGTAGCCCAGGGTATGTTCCAATTGCGAGAAATCAATCAGATGGAGCGCAAGATGTATCAGTATCTGGAGTGGGAACTCAATGTGGATTCGGTAACGCTTAGGGAGTTCGAAGACATGGTCAAGAAAGATTTCGCAGGTCAAGGACCTTACCTGACTTATTGTCATATCCCGCATTCCGGACCAACATCTGACGACGTTCCCACGCCTCATCCGGACCTCCGGACCTCCTGTCCATGTCTCCAGACCCAATCCTCTATCCGTCCGGATCCCTGTACTCCTGCATCTGATATCCGGATGCCAGATCTGATATCCACATCTCCGGATCTCCGGATCCGACCTATCTGTCATGTCCGAACCCAAACCTTAAATCAGCGCCCATCCCCTTATGGTAATCACCTGTCTCCGGACTTCCGAACATCCGGATCTGACCCACGTCTATCTTCCTTGCGTTCCGGACCCAGACCTATCACGCATTCATCTCCGGACATCCGGATCCGACCCGCGTCTATCTTCCGTGCCTTATCCCTTTGTATGTTCCTTCTTGAGTTAGACTTCCTCATTTTCCGTACCTCATTTCATCTCCGAGTTCATTTCCTATGATCCGTCTTATTTTCTAATACATTTCCACATGCTCGTACATAGCCTTACCCCTCTGCTTACTGATCTGCACAGACTTGCCTCTAGTATATAAACCCCAGTAGATACTCCTGTATTTCCTCAGTCTGAATATCATACACATATTAGTCCTCGCACTAGTCTTCACACTGAGTCCTCGTAACAGTTCTATTCCTCCGACTTAGTAATCATCCATCTCAGGCCTAGGGAGGAATTCCCTAGGCCGGAGCTCCGCTCCTCCGCTCCTCCACTCCTCCGCTCCTCCGCTCCTCCGCTCCTCCGCTCCTCCGCTCATCCGATCCTCCATTCCTCCGAGTTTCCGGATGTTCCTCCGGAACTTTCCCGCGGTCCTCCGGACCTATTCTGCTTCGGACTTTGTCCTTGCAGCCTTTCCTCTGTTTCCTTCTACTCAGGACAAGTCCTGAGTAGCCATTACACATATCCCCGTCAGGACGAAACTCCATCGTAATTTCCGGAAGTTCCTCCGGAACTTTCCCGCACTCATCCGGAAGTTTCTCGCACTCGTCCGGAAAGTCCTTCCGAAGTTTCCCACGCTTCTCCGGAAATCCTTCGGACTTCACTGGACTTTCTCCGGACTTCATTCTGAAGTTAAGGGCACATACTCGGGTAAGGGGCGCAGCGCATGAGCTGAAGCCAAGCCCCTTGGAATCAGTCCTACCCTTTGTGCATGGTCTTAACACTTATATCCTTCCCTCCTCATCCAAGACAACCCCTCCACCTACCACAAATCCCTTCCCGCCTCCTCCAGCCGCATTGGCCCCCATGCCTTCATATGGCCATTGGTATCCATCACCTACTGCACCAAACTCCAATACATGACTTTCGCTACTCTCGTCCTATTCTAGCGACTCAAGGCACACATATTTCGCCATTATGTGCTCAGCTCATCACGCATCTCTTTACTTGTTCAGAGTACCCTCCTTCTTCTTCTAACTCCCAAGTAAAGCTTCCCCATTTCATCGCATATGCGCTAAGCTCATTATGCATCTTTTTGCTTGTCCAGATCTTCGGCTCATTATTTTCTCATGTTCGACGGCTCACCTATCTGCCCACACTGAACCGCTTTACAGCCATTAATCGAGAGCCAGCTTTTTGGGTATGTACGCTCCATTATTATTACACTGCCTCCTACTAATAATCTCTTCCCATTGCCTCCTGTTGATGCTCGGGAATCTTCGGGGTACTTAATAGACTATCAATCGTTCATCTCCGCTTTCTGCATGGGGACATGACACAATTATTGTCAATGCATTATGTATTTAAGTAAGTCGTGATGATGCTCTGTTTAATTTGTGCGTGTGATATTGATGTGATGCTGCCGCCTTATTACATCCACAGGGTCTCATTCTGATATTCGTTTGAACAACGCTGCAACCTTTATCAGAACCATCAATGCGCATCATTACATATATTCAACGAGTCTAAGGTGCGTATCAATTTGTTAGTTAATGTCATGACATGTCGTCGCCGCCCCAATAGCACATGCTAGGGTCAATTTAAAGCTCGTGCGATTGACTAACACTCCAGTTTTCTGTTCTCGACGTTTGCTTGACTGTTTCACTAATACTAATACTATGCCTCCAATTCAGCGCAACCAAGGCGAAGACTTCACTCAAGCAATCAATGACGTCGACAGTGACTCCACCCGCAACTCAGATGGAACTGATAGCCTTAGCGACTCAGATTTGGACGATGATGCAGACTTGATGCGGATTCGCGACACCATTGCTGCCCCAACCGCTAACATGTCAACTCAAGATCTTCGCAAGGTAACTGTCGTTTTGCTACACACAGACAATGTTTGTAGTAATAACTAATAATCGTATCTACTAACAGGCGCTTGAAATCGCGCAAAAACTTCTTTTTGACATGCGTGGAAAGTACCAGGAATCATTGAAGAAGATTGCTTTACTCGAGGCTACCGTTTCGAAAGGTCGGAAGACAAAGCTTACAAAGAAAGATCTTGCCCTTGCCGCCAAGGAAGACAGCATCAAAAATTTTGGACGCAAGTTCTCTATCACCCACTGCTTATGGGTCGAAACGTCTATTTTCCCCTTGCGTGAGCCACCTCCCAGAATCGACCTCTCAAGCAAGGAGCGATGGCTCTCACCGCTATCCATCCAGGATGGCATTAAAGCTGAACTTTTCCAATTCATACCGCCAGCTGACCATAATATGATGGCTCATAAAAACTTTGGCTCCCATGTAAGCCCTCCCATCTTTGATTGCGCTCGATGATAAACTTAGTCTGTCCAGTTTGTGAAAGGCGTCAATAATGTTCGTGCCGAAATGCTCTCAGATGTCAAGTCATGCGCGGCAGCCATTTTTGGCTTAGATGCCAAGTTTTTTATATGCGGTTATGCACGGGACACAGAGCCTTCTTGCAAATCTCTGCTCCTTAACCCCCAAGGCCAGTACACGAAGTTTGCGCCGATTCTTTTCCCTCGTCCGGACCATCTCCTCAGAGATCAGTTTTTGAAAACAGCAAAACTTGTTTATGTAGGTTCTTGCCTCCCCTCTCTAAATAGAACTAACTAAATAGCATTTATAGATTCTGAAAGTGTCACTCTTTGGCCGGTCGTCGCTCGCTGCCAATGCAGTTCCCACTCCGAAAACAAAGGCGAAAATATGGGAGCTACGTGCTGTAACACCGGGTCTCATTGCTGCAGCAGCCATTGTCGTACGTGTTGTCTCTTATGCTGCACAATATTGACACTTAATACGAGTTTCAGGCTATATTTGTCCTTTCCGGTGACAAAGAGTTGGTTGAAGTTGGCGACAAATCTCGCATACCATACAAAGACTACCATAACTACTACCGACAATCGCTGTTGACTGGAGGTGCCTGGGCAGACGGAGTCTTCACCTTTTTCAACAACTCCTTGTTTTCCACTTCTTCTGCCGCAACTCTCCTTGATTCAGACTCGATGTTACTAGGCGACTTGACGAGTGGTCCGCATGACAGCTGGGAAGAAATGTTTGAGCATGCAATGGAGACTGGGGCGGAACTACCAGAACTGAATATGATTCAGACGTCGTTGGTTGGTCCTGTCATCGAAGCATCTTCTTCTGCACCCGGACCCCAGTCAATCTCTGCTGCCATGCAAGGTCTAGCTTTGGCCGAGCACCTACCACCTGCAGCAGTCGACGAGGATGTTGAAGCAGAGCCTGTAGCTCCTGTTGCTGCTCAGAAGCCGAAGCCGAAGCCGAAGCCAAGGCGGAAGGGCAAGGCTGCAGCTGCTGACAGTAACATTTCAGAAGATCAAGCTCCTGCCAATGTTGAACCTGAGGTTTCATCATTAGTAGTCAGTGGCAGTGGTGTGCGAAGGGGCCGATCAAAGACCACTAAGTAATATAATAGATTTTCTTCGTCTCATGTCACTCGTCGATGTACTTAGATTGTTCTTGATGTCGTTGGATTAGTAATACAATCAACAACAACAAACATTTGATGTGAAAGACTTGGAAGTCTTTCGTTCAACTTGTCATATCATTTCAACTATAAACAAAATTAAGTCTTGTCGTTGTCGACTGTCTCATGTCCTGCCAACCTCCACTCCCGTTGTCTCCTTGAACTTGCCGTGCTGCCGTTGACGCCTGCCTCCAACCACTCCCGTCTCCTTGAACTTGCCGTGCTGCCGTTGATGCCTGCCTCCAACCACTCCCGTCTCCTTGAACTTGTCGTGCTGCCGTTGACGCCTGCCTCCAACCACTCCCGTCTCCTTGAACTTGCTGTGCTGCCGTTGACGCCTGCCTCCAACCACTCCCGTCTCCTTGAACTTGTCGTGCTGCCGTTGATGCCTGCCTCCAACCACTCCCGTCTCCTTGAACTTGTCATGCTGCCGTTGATGCCTGCCTCCAACCACTCCCGTCTCCTTGGACTTGTTGTGCTGCCGTCGTGCCTGCCTCCAACCACTCCTGTCTCCTTGAACACGCTGCTAGGAATGGGATTTGGTCATCAACTGCCTCTCCGGGTCTCATCCATCCGTTTGTCCAAGGTTAGTAAGACTGATATCATATTTGTATTGTCTCCAACTCAAAAATTGTCCCCACCAGAATTATTATTTCAAAACGAAACGGGAGTGATTGAGGAACGCTTGGAACGCAATTGGGAGCAATTTTACAATATTATTATTAATAGTGCTATTATTATATTAAATAAAAGACTGCGTAATTTCAAGACCTTGGAAGGATACTTGTCGCTTCCAATGATATTCCAATTAGGGTATATAGAGCATTGGTCAAAATCTTGCCCTTGCATTGGAACGGTCTTGGGACCCACTTGCAAGACCCTCTATATTGCTTCTAAGCGGCTTCCAAAATTTTCGGGTTCCCTTCCAAGCGAATTGTAATGCCGCCGGTAAATTGAGGCCTTCCAATCCATTTTAAGGCATGCCAACCAAAATTAGAAATTTCTGACATGTACTCCCTAGTGGAAACTGCCATATCACACAATGTGAGGCACGAGTCTCTACACTGCACTCGAGGTTGTCTAACAGAAAGTCGTCCAAGACAGCAAATGTGAATGCAGTTTTTGGTCTTGTGAAAGACGCCGGGAACAAGCCTGCTTGAAAGAGCTGCATGTCTCGGCTGAGAGCACCGGGGCATTGGCAATAACATATGGAAAGGGAGTGAATGCCGGACTTGTCTACTACAGTTATTGCCGGATGATCTGGGTCTCTGACTGGTTGAATGAAAGGTCCCTCCAGATAATCGTCATCTATATTGTCATCAGTATCTGACCACTGAAAGAAGTCTGATGAGTCATCGGTGCTGCTGGGACATGGAGTGCTGTCGTGAGAAAGGTGAATGTGCAGGCCAACTTTAATGAGTGAAGTTTCTTGAAAAAATGATCCGGTCCATTGACTGATGCGATGGAATGGATGTCTTTGATGTTGAATTCTGCAACAGTCTGTGCAAAAGAGTGGCTCATTGAAACAGCCATGACATCTATACACCCCATCCTTCTTGCAGACTGAGCAAAGTCGGTTGGCTGGTGGGGCTTCTCTGATCATGAGTGAATTTATGTAGTCCTTGAACTTGCATTTCCATTGCCGGAGATATGCATTCTGACTCTGTATGGTCCGGTCAGACTAGGGAAATGAAGATAACTGTTGCTTGCCTGAGATTTTGGAAATTTAGGCTGGGGGATGTCACCTTGGTCAAAGTCAAAGTCAGCACCTTCATAGAGCAAGTGAGGGGACCCAGATTTATGCTTCGAGGGAGATTTTGTTGGTGATGATGTTACCGACTTTGTTTTCCAAGCCCATGAATCTTTGACCCAAGATGACCTGGATCCTCTGGTTGTAGTTTTTTCCTTGAGCTTATACAGCTGAGGCAATCGTTTCTTTGTAGGAGGGGTGTATGTGATTCCCTTTTGTTTGGTATTTGTCATATTGACTGGAAAGGATCAGTGTGCTATAAACTTGATGACCGGTAGCCTAGCACATGACTTCACTGCTGTGGCTTCCATCAATTCCGGACTCCAGGTGATTTGAACCGTTGAGATTACCACATTTTCCCTTCTTAGTCATTGAACGGCCCAGTCATCAAGGGACCAATTGATCTGGTGTTGTCCAGACTCGGAATGGTTTGACCGGTTGGAATTACCACATTGTTCCTGTGATCTCACCGAAGATCTTGCAATGTTACCTGTATGGGATATATTAAGGTTGGAGTGACTGAGGTTGCCATAGTTGCATCACACAACAAACACCATAATCCTGCCATTGACCCGAGTCACATGGATTTCATGTTCAAGTTACATGACAATTGACTGGATAAAGTACATCGACTGGAGGTTACATTTCAAGGTTTAAATACTTCTTTCTAGCCAGTGTTCTGGAGTGTTGGTGGTAGAAAAGTGATTCAGTTAATTGAGAGGGTATTCAGTTAATTAAGAGGGTTCGGCAGTAATATATACTTCTTTTGATTAGATGACTGACGAGTCTGGCAAAGTAAATACATTGATTAAACTTCAGTGAAGGGCACTGGCATTACAAAACATGCTCTGAGAGAACAGTTCAAACCAAATAACCAACTCTAGAGACACAAACAGGCTTCTTGTTTGATCTTCAGGACACCGGCTGTTTGTGTCCACATTCATGCTGGCCTCCAAAGTCATTTGTGATGATACTTACTTGAGCAAGTCATGGAATATGATTGCACAGGGCCTGTATCCAGTATTTGAGAGCTGTATGCTGCCCATATACTATATAATACAAGTCTAAGTCCATATGTTTTTACAGTTCTACATTCTATGCATCAGAAACACATGGGATGTTGAGGGAATCATACCAATGAACTAGTATTGGACAATCCCTTGTTTGGTTTGCAGTCACGTACATCAGTTATGTAATCTATTACTGTGAGATACACATGCATCCTTTCTTCTACCAAGATGTCCACTGCTCCTCAACTACTTTGCCATGCCCTGATCCAACTCATCAGTCGACAGCCCAAAAAGGACCAAGCAGAAGAAATTGACCGAGGAAGAGGTGCTGGTCTTAAAATCACACCTAGAAGAATGGAAGGAAGCCGCTGCCAATGATAGAAAAAAGATTCTGAAGGCCGTCATAAAAGAGGCCAAGGTACATGCCCCTGCTATGGATGACCGGTCATTGAAGAACAGGAAATATGTGAGCAGTAGAACTTCAAATTTATACATGATGACCAACTTTTATCATGATGTATCAAGACATACTGGGACTAGTTATATAACCGGAGGCCTGAAAAGACTCGAGAAAAGAAAGCCAGCAAGTTTGGTCAAAAATAGACTTCCCGGTCGGTCATAGAACAACTGCGCAAGGAGGAGATCATTGAAAAGACCGGAGCGATGCCAGGATCGAAGAAATTTATTGAAAGATATCAGACAACACTCACTGCAGTCATGGCCAGTCTATCTAAAGAGAAGCTGGAGGAGGCTCAGAACACTGCAATTGAGTGGTCTGCCAAGGCTCCTCCTGCAGCAGTCCAGGCGGACTTTGCGAAGAAGAAAGCACCTGGTATGATGAAGGATCTGGCAACCAAGTTGTGGAAGCAGGCCGGTATGAGAATTTTCATATTGTCAGCATGGAAAACAGAGGAAGATGAAGTGCAGATCAACGGGTGAGTTCCACTTCACACTCAACCGGTAAAGATATACTGATCCGGTTGAAAGAATTGACTTCAATGAAAAGTTGGAGGGCAATAGTTTTACCGATACGAAGGACTGGAAGTCCATGTTATCAGAGTGGAATGCCTATGCTGTGGAAGAGTTTGGTGAGCTTCTGTTTGAAAATCTTGCGCCATTTAGTCAAGTACTTATCCGACCTGGGGTGATACCAGAAGTTGACCTGAATAATGATGACAATGATAATGAGGGGGAGGTGAAGAAGAGCAGGAAGAAAGGCGGAAAGAAGGACAATTATCCTTTGGAGGTGGATAGCTATGGGCTTCCGGTCATACCGGACGTCAAAGAGCTTAACCTAGAGAGTAAAAAGTGTCTTATAAGAACGTTCCTCACAAAACACTACAGTCAGTTTCACAAATGATGCATCTGGAGTTGATGCACTGACTGGCTATTTTTCAGGATTGTGCAGCCAACAACCAAAGGTGTCTGTTCCTTGGGCCTCAGTGAGGATGGCTCAGGGTGACTTTATTGCAGCCAAGTTTTTACCTACTGGTTGGAAGCTCGATGATCTGTCAAAGATTCGGTTGGCTGATGCAGACCGGCTGTTAGAGTTGTGGTGTCAAAGACAGAAGGACCAGGTTCACCCAACCTTTGAATTTAAAGGCTGGGAAGGTGATGATAAGACAATGAGAGAACTGGCAGAGATAATCTCCGGCGATAGTTCTGACATGAGACCCAGGGTTCCAGTGAAAAAGTCCACCGGAAAGCGCACCGGGAGGGTGGAACAGCCGTCTAGTAGTGAGGATGAGGACAAGGATAATGAAGATGAAGAGGAGAAGGACGACGATGACGATGACGATGACGATGACGATGACGATGACGACCGCCCATCACCACCTCCAAAGTCGAAATCTATCAAAAATCGCCCACCGGTCAAGAAATCCATACCTGTCCCACCACCACCTTCAAAAGCAAAATGGACCAATACTCTCCGCAGGGCTAGTCCGGCTTCAGAGCAGGAAGATACTAGCCCACCGGTCAAGAAATCCATACCAGTCCCACCACCACCTTCAAAGGCAAAATGGACCAATACTCTCCGCAGGGCTAGTCCAGCTTCAGAGCAGGAAGATACTCGCCCACCGGTCAAGAAATCCATACCGGTCCCACCACCGCCTTCAAAGGCAAAACAGACCAATACACGCCACAGGGCTAGTCCGGCTTCAGAGCAGGAAGATACTAGCCTACCGGTCAAGAAATCCATACCGGTCCCATCGCCACCTAAATCAAAATCAACCCAAAAGAGGGGTAGGGCTCTTCCCATTCAATCTGATTTAGAGTCCGATGGTCGGCCACCAGTCAAAAAATCCAAGCTGACTGCAAGTGGGAGGGGACAGGCAGAAGACAACACCAGCACCAGTTCTGCACAATCAACCAGTAATGATGACAATGATCCTGTGCCTTCGCAACATCCTTCTAGAAGTCGTGCATTTGGCCCTACATCAGGTGTCCATGCCAAGAATAAAACTAACAAAACACCGGTGCCCAAACCAATGCCCCCTGCCCCAAGAAGGGCCACCGGCAAGAAAGCCACAGGATCTGAAGCCCAGACTACCAATGCAGAGCCAAAGTGCTCTCATAGAAGTACAAAGGCCTCTTATAAAGCTCAGTATATGCAATTGTAGTAATTTGGATCTTTGCAAGCAAGTATTCTAGTGATATGTGTAGATAGCATTTGACTGTAAATATATACTTCACGTTGAAAGTCGAGATATCAATATCAGTTGACATGCCAACAATAACTCTTGTGTGCAGTCAAGAACTTGCTCTCTCGCAAAGGCTTCGTCCGGCGACATTGCATGACCAGCCCGGTCCATATGCAACCGGTGCATTGCCACACGCAAATCACCTACAGCCCGTTGAATTACAAATCCAATGGGATCTGGTCAACTGATGGCGACTAAATTTAAATGATTAGAACAATATCTGGAACATCAAGAAGGCTTACAAGACTGATCCGGATCAACATGCACCACATCCATCTCGAAACCCATCTCTAAAGGATTTTTTTCTGGTGGAATATTATTCCCTTTATCCAGCGAGTCATCTGCCAGATGTGTGTTGAAGCCCATTTCAAGAGCCCCATCTTCTAGTCACATATCGTTTCAAATGAGTATGTCAGTATATGAGATGTAGATTCCAGCTACATGCCTGTGTTGCCGGCCGGATCACTGACGTCAATATCAAACCCCAAATCGAGCATATCCTCATCGTCCGGCTGTGGGGGAAATCCCAAGTCCAACATCTCACCATTTGACCGGTCATCATCAGACAAGGTGGGGAATTGCATATCCAACATGTCTGATTGTGGTTGGTTGTGGTTGTTGGTCATCCGGTCGTAATCAGATGAAGGAAATCCCAAGTCCAATGACCGGCCGTCATCTGCCGTTTCAAAGTTCACCGTCTTCAATCTTTTACCGTCTTTCCACCCATCATGAGCTGACAGGACATCTAGATCTGTAAAATCAATATGAATTGTCCTTACCATCGCTTAGCATGAGATGAACTCACATTCGCCCATGCTTGAACAAACCATGAAAGGGTTGTGGTAAGTGCGCTCCTCTCTCCCTGGCTCCAAGATGCTAAATACTGGAATGCCGGATAATGTCAACTGGTATGTTGTGGGAGGTGATGGTTTCTTACCTACATCCTCACTAGATACATGTAGATTATGCTGAGCAATCGCCGATGATTGCATCCTTCTTTTTTTCTGGAATGGGTCATACAAATCCACGGTCCTCATGATAGCACTGGAAGAATCAATGTTCTACAGAAGGCTGCGACCGGATGATTTACTCACAGGTTGGTTGGCAAAAATTCATAACTGATGACGTGTCAACAATGAAGGTGAACAATGGACTCGGATATGTCTGAGTCGGCCCGGATAGCTGGTTATTGAAAATTTTATAAGTGTGGTTGTTTTACACATCTCTTCTGGGTGACCTGTCCACTAGCTCTCTATTGTAATTGTCTCACTACCATGTCTTCTCACTCTGCTTCTGCTGCTGCTGCTGCCAACCAGGCTCTCATCGCTCTTGTTGCCCGGCTCAATGAGATGGTTCAAGAGGTTCTCCAGTCGCAGTCTGAGGACGAGAAAATGGACTTGAGCTGTGAGATTGCTCGCGAAGTGGTATGTTTGTCGTCCTGTCAGTTGCCTGTATTGACACTAGGGTCCCAGAATGTCGTGATTTGTTCATATGGGAGTGACACTTCATATGTTCCCCCTGGCCTGCTGTCACTTGCAGCTGAGATCTTTTGTGCTCAGAGGCGCACTGCACAATTGGTGGTAGTACCGGATTGGAACCGTCTTGGTAACAATCAGGATATGTGCATGAAGCATCCATTGTACAGTAAGACATTGGGTCATGCACCACCTGTTTCACCTGCAGCTACTGGTAAGCACATTCCTCCTCATCCCACCTGTACTCACACCTGTGACTGCACTAGCTCCTGCACCTGCGCCGGTACCTGCGCCTGCACCGGTACCTGCTCCTGCTCCTGCCCCGGTACCTGTGCCTGCCCCAGTACCTGCTCCTGCTCCTGCACCGGTACCTGCGCCTGCACTGGTACCTGCCTCTGCACCTTCGCTGGTACCGGCGCCACATATCAGCATTCGCATACCCAAAGATGTAGCACCCGGTGGGACAGCAGCAGCAGGGCCATCAACAAACCGGAAATGCCGACTCAGCAGCCCTCCTTTGCCTCGAGTCAATTGGGCCCGGAAGCCTGCCCCAAAGTTGAAGGAAATTTTGTCTGACACTGACACTACCGACAATGACAAGGTGAAGGGGAAGGGGAAGGGGAAGGCAAAAGCACTGGAAGATGACAGCGATGAGGATGGTGAGGGGATCGATGTAGATGATCTTTCAGACGTTGAGGCAAGTTTGTTTGTTGAGATATTCAACATTACTAATGCAACAAGCAGCCCCCAAAATCAACTCGTAGGGCTGTAATCATTGTAAAAAAGAAGGGCAGTGCATCGAAGGCAAGTCAGCAGGTTGTGATTCAGGATGATGAAGAGGATGAATTGGAGGATGAGGATGATGATACACAAGGCAGGCCAAAGGCAAGTTCATTATTCTTCTTCACATTTGCCAGTCTATCGCTCATCCGGATGCAGGCCACTGTCAGACCAGGGAAACGACAAAAACTGGTAGGATTTGCTTGTCATAGCACAGGTGATATAAAACGCTAACATTATTGAATAGTCCATGCAGCCCAAGGGCAAGGCCACCAGTAAGAAGGGCAAAGTGCCACAACCGGTGTGTCTTCCAGTCAATGCCATGCTTTACCAAACTAATTCTCCATAGCCCCGTGTTGATGAACCCCATCTGCCTTGTGACAGATGTCTGGCAAAGAATGTTGAGTGTTGCCCCTGATTGACGAAGAAAGGTGAGATCGCCTTGACTTGCTCATTGTGCTATCTGTAGAAGATGGCATGCATCCGGACTAACACAGAGAGCACACACACCACCTCTTCCACCGCCATTACCCCCATCACCGTCACTGCACCACCTGCAGCCGCAGTCGCCACTTGCTCCAAGACCATCCGGTCCAAAGCCACCGGAGAGAAGATGGGTGGGAAATCCAAGATGAAAGGCAAGTCTTTTGTTTCCGGTTACTTTCTATTCTAATGTATTCTTGTAGGCAAGGATATCTGGCACCCCAATCCTATCCAAGAGGAAGAGGACAACATCAACGATGTCCAGATGGTTGGTGCCGGCGGTTCTGTACAACAACCAGCCCCTTTGGCATCGGCAAACGATTTCCCTGCTGATCATTGGGTGGAGCCCGGCAATGATCAGATGCCACCTTCATCACCGGCCATGGCCTCAGAGGACGATATCCGGTTCTCGCCGTTACCTGTCGATTACAACCAGGCCTCCCCTGCCTTTCCTTCCGGACCCGGTCAATCCACCCAATACCCTCTCTCTCATGACGAGATGGAGGCCATGTTGGCCCAAATTCGCATTGATATGGAGGAACTGCGCACACACGATCGAATGGAAATTGACATCCGGCATGATCGCTTGGAGCGTTGCATGGACATCGCCGAGGCATCTGATAGCGCCATGGCCATGCAGATTGATGACATAGGGCGGGATATGCGTGTGCAGAAGGGACTCCTTGCTGAGTGCACAGCTGAAGTAAGAGGCATTGTCAGGTATCTGAGGGAGCAAAGATCCAGTCAAGCAACAGTGTCAACTCCACCAACATTTAATCCACCCCCGATGACAGCCCACAACCCATCTATCAGTGCGTTTGCTCGCACTGTGACCAACAATGTGTTCACTCCAGATATCTCTTGGATGGGTGCCCAGACCGGTGGTGATATGTTGGGTGATACTGCAGATGGATCACCGGTTGCAAGGCACAACCGGGTGCCATCCAATTCCACCATCATCCCTTCACTGACCATGAGGGAATCCGGCTCATCTGTTCCTCCGGTTGGTGCACCACCTGTGCAATCTCCTATTCTCCCGGTCGCCGGGCCATCAAATGTGCCGGCTGAGGCGCAGTCCATCTCGGCTCCTTTGCCATGCCCGCGATTTGGACCTCTATCGCACCAAGGTCGGTCAGTGAGTGCTAGGTATCCAAGCAAGCCTTCCGGTGATGGGCCGACATAATACTAGCCTATATCATTTATGTTTTTGTATGTACTAGTCGTCTACATTGTGTTGTCAACCTCTGGTGCTTTCAATGTTGAAGACAATGCATCATATAATCGCACAACCTGAATTTCAGTAGTGAGAATGTTGCTGTACTGGATGGTATTTCCACCATCATCTATCACACAATGCTCTTCCGGCTCATATGTATCATCCATTTCACTCTATCACACAGCGGACGTCCAGCTCATCTGTATCATCCATTTCACCTTCACCTCTATCACACAGCAGACATCCGGCTCATCTGTATAATCCATTTCACCTTCACCTCTGTCCCGCAATGCTCTTCCAGCTCATCTGTATCATCCATACCGGCAAATATTTCCATTGTCCACCGGATGGAATATCATGAGGCCCACCTGTCTCCATTGCACCCGGTACCCCCGGCCCACTCATCTTCTATTGTGCTTCACATACTGGCCCACTCGTCTCCATTTCACCCATACCCCCGGCCCACTCGTCTTCCATTGTACTTCGCATACCGGCCCACTCGTCTCCATTGTACTTCGCATACCGGCCCACCCGTCTCCATTGCACCCCATACCCCCGGCCCACTCATCTCCATTGCACCCCTACCCTCGGCCCACTCGTCTCCATTGCACCCCTACCCCCAACCCACTCGTCCCCATCATACCCATCTCCCTGGCCCACTCATTTACATTGCACACCATTCAGCCGGCCCACTCGTCTCCATCGCTCATTGCATTCACTACTATTTACATAGATATCCTATATAGTACATTACTATACTACCATCTACACTATATACCACCGGCCCATCTGTTTGCAACAGGTACACACAACCCTGCAGCCCACTCGTCTACCATGGTACAATTGTTGTCATGGGCCCACATGGGCTGGCCCACCTCTATTGCTACATCGTCACCCTCAGCTGTCCATCTAATACGGTTGAATTCACTGAAGGGGCTCTCTCCCCCATCAAACAGAAATCCCCTTTTCCCATCGAACCAAAGACCTCAGACGAGATTTTACTGCTTGCACTGCTCCGCGAAACAGAAGCCACCAATGTCACGCTAAAGTGCCACATCCTTGAGCTTCAGGCCACAAATATCCTGAATGAGAGGTATTGCAAGGTCCTTCGTGGACAGCTCGCAAATCAGGAAGCGAAAAAGTGAAAAGGGAAGGAGAAAGGAAAGTTGATGGGCGATGGTTTGCCGTGTTTCCTTTCCGGCGATGAGTTCTACGAGAAAGTTGTTGAATTTGAATGCGAGCAGAAAAAGTGCGTCGCCGAGAAGAAGACGAGGAAAGATGAATGCGAGAAGAGGGCCAAAGGACTGGCAGTGTGGAAATGTCTTGAAGATGAGCACAAGATGGAGAACAAGGACCGACGAGCACAGTACCACACTGCTTTGGAGAAGTGGAACAAGGATAAATTGAGGGCAAAGGCAGAGGGGCGGAAATTCAGCGAGGCAAAACCAGTCTTGGGAAAGTTGTGTGGCCCTATTCCAAGGCCAGCACTGAATGTAGCATGTGAGGAGGATGCAGCATCTAGCGGTGGGGAAAGCTTTGATCTTGATGGCATTTCAGATGCCAGTGATGAAGACTAGTTAATGGACACTCACCCTCGTAGACCCAACATGTTGAGGCAGCCGGCAGGTCGGCAGCGGCAGTCGAGAATCTTCGTACATGCACTGTATCAGTATTAGTATCAATTGCAGAATATTGAGACACATTACCATCTGAAACTTGTCAGTTGGCATGATAATATTGTGGGGATGAACTTGGTCCAGACTGGACCATTAACACTATCAATGGACTCGATATCAATGCAAGGAGACTGCTGGTGAGACGGAGTGTGCAACTGATAATGATTTTGCTAATGTTCGATAAGCAAAGATTAGCTAATGAGTCACGTGTCTCACGGAGCGCTAATGGGCAAAAAAGAGGTCCCCTCACTGTTTTGAATGACATACACGAACGGTTGCATATTTTTTTCTGAAACTTGAGATATGCAATTTTGATATATACTACTTGTTAGGAAAAATATAACAGGGTTTTTATAAGGTGTTGTAAAAGTATGGTACCTCATTTTTCAATTTCGCATCTCAAATACCGATTGATAACTGTAAGTTCTAAGGCCTGGGATACATTTCGCCTTCCGATTTATCCCGCGAAACAGAAACAGACACTTTACTGAATGTGAGGAATTACTGACTTCAACCATCTCTTTGCAATGCCCCAGTCTTTGTAATTTTCAAATTTCTCTCCTTTTGCTATTTGCATGCTGCTACATAGTAAAGAACAACTATTCTAAGTGAACCGGTGACCATTCCCGTCTTACTGTTCGTCACTACCCCATCAACGATTTCTTTCGCATCATTGCGCGACCACTTCCCAGGCTCAAATCATGAAGGAGTACATGTCGTGGAGTAGATGGAAAGACAAGAAAAGTGAGACACACCACCAACCTTTGAAGGAGTTGAGTCGCTCATTAGTTAGGCTACAGTCTGGTCGCCTTGCTGTGATAGACAATATAGATGCTGTCAGTGCAACAATAAAGATGAGGGAGAAGAAGTGCATTGTTTGTTTGAGGTGGTATGGTTGAGGTGCTCAAATGATTTCTTTGAGGTGAGAGGATGCTGGTGATGATAGCAAAATGACTTGCTTTTATATCATCACGAAAAGGCTTTGCAAAATGGTTATGCTTGGGCCAGTGCTTGACGAATGATACTGCGGCAGAATCTATCCCTCCTGGTCATCCCGTGGGTTCTGCCTCAGTCGTGCTGCACTGGTGGTGCGGCCATGACGTGGCAAGGAATGCCACGTCAAAACTGCTGATAGCCGGCCTACATTAATTCCTGACTCCATCCCAGTGATCTTGGCAGAACTCCAGGGGATTTAAGACTTGCAGAGATGTAATTTGGATCTTTTGACACAGTTTGAATGCCACATCGAGCCAGATCAATTGATAATTTATCTGTTGCGATACCAGACGTTGATGGTTTGTGCTGATATGATTTTATATCTGAAGGTCAGGCTATATCGACTCGAAGCCAGATAAGTTGACACAGGTCTTGACTCTCTTGTGAGCTCCAACTAGACGGTTAAACGAGACTCACAGAAACAAGTATGAGCAACTGCCTGTCTTCAATCTTGTCGGCAAATAAAAGCGGTGGAAACATACCCAATCAAACTGTGTGTCTTTTAGCTAACACCCATTTGATTTATCGCTGGCCAGTTTGAATGCTAAAAACACTATTTACACATAATTATTGATAATTGGTCTGATTATATCTAAGTTTGCGCAGGAGATACAATCTCGTTATAACGGTTCTCATGTATCACTAGATTTATGATTACTTTATCACGTCACATTCTGAAGTCAGTAGGATCAGCTATTCATGTCTCGGCACTAATTTCTCTTGTAGGTCCAATGGACCTGGGGACGGAAGTGGGGAATTATTCGCATTACCTTCACACTTTCACAATATGCACCTTTTGCTGGTGCATTGATGTCCTCGTATTGTGAACGGCGGTGAGCACCAATGCAAAGCTGATTATTAACCAGCCGCTGTCAAGACATGGGGCACCCAGGATGTGAGCACACCCTTTATCAGTGCAGTGTCAACTACAACTGGAAGTATCGGCGAGAATGATACTAACTTCTTGACTTTGTCGTTGCACTGGCAGGGTCAGTGCAGGGTCAAATGACGAAGCGAAGAGTGAGGGGTTAGGACGAGAGATCGGTGATTTGAGCGAGGGGTCTGTCGTTACGATAAAGAGAATTGTCGATGCCTGCAGGCAGGTTATGATTTAATGTTGTTAATTGAATACGCTCCTGCAGGTTCTGCCGAAATTTGTTCCATGTGACAACAGTTCTGCCAAATCGATGAGAATCGTGCCCATAAGCATATGCAGGATATAAAAGCTGGTTGTTGTCCTACAATGTTCCCTCATCCTCAGAGATATCATTCGAGATCCCTCTCAGAAGAACCCATATCACCTCGTACAGAAAATGTGTTTCTCCCTACTCGCCGTTGTCGTTGCTTTGACAGCATCAATGTCTGTCAGTGCATGTGGGGCCATAGGAACATCATGTGAAGTAGCCAACTGCTGCGCGCACCTTTTTTGTGTGAGCAGGTCGCTGTGCAACAAGAATTCAACCACATGACTCACCAACGCCCCTTAGAATAATACCATATTTCTTTGCGAGTAGGTTGGCCTACTGAACATTAGGCCGGCAGCCTGAGCAGCACGTCGCGACAGTGAGTCATGTTTCGACTTTCGCTTTGTTGCCATGGTTGATGGGTGCAATACCTAGTTTGGAGTTAATCAGCACAGTTGTTTTTGGAAAAAATTGTACTGCTCGAGAAATGTGGATGTTTGAATTTATCTAAAATGATCGACCAGTGTGCCTAGGCACAGAAAGTGCATTTTGTCGTCCTCGCGGCTGTTGTTGCTTTGACAGTGTCTATGTCTGTCACTGCATGTAAGACTGAGAGAGAGATTTGCACATCAGACTTTGAATATTGCTGCCAGAAGTTGATTTGTGCCGATAAGTATGAGCAGGTCGGCGAGTCGGCGACAGCCTGTTTGAACTTTGGTCGCAGAATTCAATCACGTGACTCATCTGCAGACCTACACTTACCAAAAGAAAAACCCCGATACACTCGGCATCCAATTGTACGTGTTCCTCCACGAGATCAGGACATGGATAAGCTGAAATTGAAATTGGCTGAATAAGGGTCACAATGACATTATATTTGAACCGAGTTTCGGCTCTCTAGTATGCATTTCGCATAATATTGCTGATTCAAATTGCGGGGTTGGCCGTGTAGAGTGCAGGTTACACCTGTTCTCAGGGTGGAGGAAGCTCGTCGCAAGCTCGCACACGCCACCATCACAGGTATCATTGCTGTCGCAACAATCACTATCCTTTACGCAAATATTTCCAGCTGGGCTACAGTTTGGTCGCCTTGCTGTGACTTCTTGTTCTTATTCTTACTCTTCAGTTCATTTCTCGAGTATGCAAGCAGCAGCAAGAGTCATGGATTCGGATTAGAATTCGCTTGTTGTAGTCGTAAGATTTGGATGTAGATTTGAACCGGTGTGTGTGTGCCTCTTGCTTTTCAGGTGGAATGACCCGGTCGAGGATCGTCGCAGGGACTTACAGAACATCATACCACGCGCGTCTCAAATAGCAGACACGACATACTGCACCACCCCACGTTGTACCAAGCTCGCGGTACTGGTCATTAATGTACTCTACGCGCCGCATGCACTCGGGCTGCGCGTTTAATCTGTGTACGCATATTTTATACTCGTCTGTTGAGATGTGTGAATATTAATTGTATATCCGATGATCAAAAACGAGAACCGGGTAGTTTGTTATGAGTGAGCTGCCTGGTACTCTGGTCATCTTGATTCAATTTGAAAACCTGCGAAGCGACGGATTCAGTTCAAACTTCAAATCAGTAATTCATGTGGTAGAACTCACATATCATCCCTAATGACACGATAAGGTCCCAGTAACGGCAGGTTATGATATAACCAATTGAACGCCATGCGGGCTGCAGGTCCTGCTGAAATTTCCGCCATCTGATAGCAACAATGATTCTGCCAAATCGATTAGAATCGTGCTTATGAGTATATGTATGCAAGATATAAAAGCTGGCCATCGTCCTACAGTATTCCCCCATTCTCACATATATCATTCGAGACCCCCTCAGAAGATTCCATATTATCTCGCACAGAAGATGCGTTTCTTTAGCCTCGCCGTAGTTGTTGCATTGACAGTATCTATGTCTGTCAGTGCATGTAGCGAAACGGAATGCGTGACAAGTGGAGATTGCTGTTATGGCATGGTTTGTAAAGATGCTAGTAACGTGAGTATGAGCAGGTCGCTGAGCAACCAGGATTCAACCACATGACTCACCTGCGCCTTAGGATGGAGACATGCTCTGTGTGGCACCCTAGCCTGTTGAAAATTGAGCCAGCAGCCCAAGTGGCACGTCGCAGTGAGGCCATATTTCTGCTTTTGCTTTGATATCATGATTTATTGTGCAATGCCTAGTCCGGAGCCAATCAGTAGTACAGCTGTTTTCAGAAGAACAAAAAATTGTACTGCTCGAGCAATGTAGATGTTTGAACACAATTTTGTTGCTGCGCTGGCAGGGTCACTGTAGGTTCAAATGATGAAGCGATGAGTAAGAGATTGGGATGAGAAACCGGTGATTCGAGTGAGCATTCTGTGGCAACAAAGAAGAGACTTGTCGATGCGTGACGGCAGGTTATGTTACGGGGTCAATAGTTGTGATCAACTGAATACGCTCCTGCATGTTCTATCGAGATTCTGCCATTTGACAGTAATAACCATTCTTCCAAATCGATCGGAATCGTGCTCATGATTATATCCAGGATATAAAAGCTGTCCGTCATCATGGTGTTTTCCCATCCTCAGAGAGATCATTCGAGATCCCCCTCAGAAGATTCCATATCATTTCGCAGAGAAAATGCGTTTCTCCAGCCTCGCCGTACTTGTTGCTCTGACAACATCTATGTCTGTCAGTGCGTGTGGCAAAGGGCTTTGCACAACAAATTCAGATTGCTGTAAAGGCATGGAATGTAGAGATGCTAATGGCGTGAGTATGAGCCGGTCGCTGGGCAATCAGGATTCAACTACATGACTCACCTGCGCCTTAGGATGGAGTGATGATCTGCGTGTGGGACTAGCCCAGCAGGTTGAAAATTGAACCGGCAGACTGGCACGTCGCGACAGTAAGCCATATTTCTGCTTTCGCTTTGTGACCGATGGTGCAACATCTAATTTGGAGTCAATACTAGGTACAATGCTCAAGCAATGTGGATGTTTGAACTTATCTGAAAATGATAGATCGATCGTGCCTAGTCTTACTCGTGGTCCACTAAACTTGAGTTCGAGAAAACGATCATTGCTGTTGATGATTAATGTTAGGGAACTGTACGAATGTGGAATGTGCGCAGCTTGAATCTGTTCGGTGGTCTCGAGCTCGAAGGAGCTCATGGATCCCTGTCTCTCTGTGATGAAGCCAGTGAAATGCCACTTTAATACGTGATAGACGTATTATTTTCTAGTACTACCAGATAGTCGAAGCCACTCACATTCATACGGGAGCACGCGTTATGATGAAAGTAAAAAAAAGGTCCTTAACATCAAAGGGTGGCGTGGGAAGCTCGAGAAGTGGTTCTCTTAATGGAGCAAGTGTTGGATGGGATGCAATGGTCGGTTGACGATGAAGAGCGATGATACTAAGTTGATAGTAGTTTTGTCAACACTGTTCCTTGCCTTGCCAAGGATGAGTATCAATTCTTAAAGATACCTCATTATCTCTGCGCAGCCGTTGCAGAGTCACCGACGGCCTACTAATGGCAAAGGCGAATTGCAGGTACTACATATAAAGGAGCAGCGAGTAAGTGAGAGTAAAACGACATGGGATATCAACCGAGTACTACGTATATAAGTGCTTAGGGAATAGAGACGGAGATGATTGCGCGAAGCTCTGGTGCACAAGAGGCTTGAGATTATTGGAATGAGATCTATTGAAATAAATATCATTTCTGAATACCGACGATTTCACGACAGCGCACCAACATTATTCATACATCCACCACTGAAACAGAGAGTTCTGCATCCTGTTGTTCCTTCTTCGATACGGAATTTTCGTCTCTGCTTCCTCCTTTCATGGACGGTGCGAGGTTGGCTACGGGTCCATTGAACCAATGGACGCCTCCATACACCGGGCAATAATACCAGGAAATCGCAAGGGCCATGTACCCTCCAAGGACCACGACTGTATAGTTCATCTCTTGTGCAGTTGTTTGCGGGGTCGAAGGAAAGAAGAAAACAATGATCATGAAGACCATCGACGACACAGCTATCGCTGCGATTGGAAAGCTCTGCACGGGCATATTAGTGCAGGAATGGTAAATGCATCCCTATAGATCAACTCGCCAATTTCCCGAGATAAAATGGGCCGGGTTTGAAATCGTTCTTGAACGCAAAGCGCGTTGTGATTGGCGTTATGAATGAGACATACGATGCAGTGATACCAATAGTGAACACCGCATTGATGGCCTCGGTGCTCACAAACGCAAGAAGCCCAATCACCAGTACAAAGATGGCGTCAAACCAAACCGTATTAACTGGTGTTTGCGTGTAGCTATTGATCCGGTACAAATATCGTGAAAAGGGAAGGGCTCCATCACGAGAAAATGCAAATGTCTGGCGAGAGCCGACCAGGAGGGAGTTCGATGCCACTATGTACCTGCTTTGTGATTAGGTTATGTGTGTCACGCGCTGCTAAAACGTACAGCGTTGAAATAATGAGACACCACAAAGCTAAGGCCCCCCTCTGCCCAAGCGAAGTGTATAAGATTTGCGCCATAGGCTGGCCGATAGGACCATTTAAGATACTTTCAAGGTCGGTGCCCATGCAAAAGGCAAGGGAAACGTTTATTCCTAGATAAGAAAATAGCATCAAGATCGGAGTGACATGTCATTCCACATACCCCAACCAAGAACGACCGACACTGCAATAGAACTGATCTACCTGGGGTGAACACAATGATTGGTCATTTTCTGATGTGACTCACGATTGCCCATGGTATTGCAGTAGCAGCGTTTGACGCCTCCTCACTCATATGGATGCTGGCATCATAACCCCCTGGTAATCAAAGGTGGTCAGGAATAGACAATCCGGGAGAAGAGGGTCTAACCTATTGAATAAAGAGGAGCCATGAAGCTCAAGATGAATGCGAATCCAGATGGCCAGCCAGCCACTGTCACTGATAGTGAGCTGCGATTGTAATTGCAAGCGGATACATACAGTTTGTGAAATTCCCTAACGCAAAACTTGCACTGTTTCGGTATTCGCGTGGCGTTGCGATTGGAAGCGCAATAATGACTATGAAGCAAAGGCTGCCGGAGGACTTGAAGCATTGGACATGGACAAATATACAACACCTACCACAGATTCACAAATGTGTATAGTCTCTGCAGTCTTGCCAAGACTTTGGTACCGAGGCTCACGAGGACTGCATGTGACAAGACCAAAGCTGCGTATATACCGCTGTGGCAACCGTTATGAGATATAGTGATTGGAAGAAGGTGTACTGACTAGAGCTGCTCGTTGGTAGTGACATATGCCTGGTCTGAGGCAATACTAATCGCGGCAGCGATTTGAATTGCGCAAGCCCAGTTCACGGAAGCTGACGCCACGCTATCAGAGGCAAATTGTTGAAAGAATGAAAATCGACTCACCGACTCCAGTGATAGTCTGTATGGTATTTGAGTCTGTAGATGTCAAGACGGGATGCACGTCATAGCGAAATGCAAGACTTACAGCCAACTATCCACGAGAGAAAATTTCGGCATCGTGGAGAAGCAAGTGAATAAGTCCAATAATATAACTAGACTTTCATAATGAGCAAATGCGAAATAATGACAACATCAAGTACATACACCTCCAGAAGTAGGTGCTGCTGATGCGAGCTCCGCCATTGCCAGCCCTATGCACATGATAAAAGGACCAGCAAATGCCCACTGCAGGGAAAAACGTTACAAAACAATGATCCCTACATATGATGAGAGTCGCCATAATCTCTTTAACCTATCCTAGTTGATCACTAGTGAACAGCTGACAGAGTACCGATGCGTCGCAGCGCATACAACCCAGGTTAATTATACAATATACCGTCGTACAACATGTTTCATGATAACCAAACACGAGCGCGATCCCGTCGGTTTGAACTCAAGACAAGTTTTGCATTGCGCGTTTCCATCATGTCAGGTCGTCAAAAAGCATCTGGTCTTGTGCGCATCTCAAAGGGTTCAAATGATGAAGCGATGGGTGAGAGTTTGGGATGAGAGACCTGGGATTCGAGTGAGGATTCTGTAATTATAAGAATTGTCAATGGCTGCTGGCAACAATGGCCGTAATCAAATAGATACGCTCCTGCAGGTTCTGCTGAAAATTCTGCCATCTGACAGCAAGAACAATTCTGCCAAATCGATCAGAATTGTGCCCATAAGCATACACAGGATATAAAAGCTGGTCGTCATCGCCCAGTGGTCCCGCGTTCTCAGAGATATCATTCGAGATCCCCCTCAGAAGATTCCATATCACCTCGCACAAAAAATGCGTTTCTCCCTCCTCGCCGTTGTTGTTGCTCTGACAGTATCTATGTCTGTCAGTGCATGTCAACCCGCAGGAGCAACCTGCGGATTAGAAGCTTGCTGCAGTCCATTAAATTGTGAAGATGTAGATGGCGTGAGTATGAGCAGGTCACTGTGCAACCAGGATTCAACCGTATGATTGACCTGCACGCCTTAGAGTGGAAAAGTTTTGACCTGCGTCTAAAAATTAAGCTGGCAGCCAGAGCGGCACGTCGCAACAGTGAGTTATGTTTCTGCTTTCGCTTTGGTATCATGGCTGATGGTGCAACACCTAGTTTGGAGTCGATTAGTACAATTGTTTTTTTCGTACTGCTCGAGTAATGTGTATGTTTGAACTTATCTGAAAATGACAGACCGTGCCTAGCCTTTCTCGTTGTCAACTAAGCTCGAGTTCGAGAGGCTGTCGAAACGAGCGATCATTGCTGTAGAAGATTAATATTGAGAGGCCGCAAGAAGATGGAACGCACTGCGCAACTTGAATCTGTTCGTCTAGCGTTGGTCTCGAAGGCTAGCTCATGAATCTGTCTCGATTGTAATTGAGCCAACGAGAGGCCACTTTTTTGCCGATTGAGATTCATGACGGACGTATTATTTTCCGGTATATGGCAGCTAGTCGAAAAGAGAATCAACCGGACCTAGTTTTCACACGCAGATGCATTGGGTTTTAATTGGTTTAAACGAATTGAATCAACGCTCGCACTCGGCTCTGGCCGAGTCTCAGCTCTACGCACATACTTGTCACTGATTGTGACATGTTGCCGTGACTGAGTCTCCTAAACGCTGGTGACGCAGACTTCGGTCTTTAGTTCTTTCGTCTCGACCGTCATCAGCGTTGAGCACGTTCTGCTTGCGCACATCCTGCGCCACAATTTAAAGCTATATATTGAATTCCTAAAAAAAAAAAAAAAAAAAAAAAAGACCTTTTTCGTATCGTTACACCTATCAATGTTGACCGTTTCGAGGAACTTCTCTTGGACCATCCGAACCAGCCGTTTGTTAGATCGGTTTGTCACGCTTTGCGTGAAGGCTTCTGGCCTTGGGCTGACACCTCTGATGACACGTACCTGTCTATCAATGACAACTCCTCGCATACGTGTTCCAAGACTGACGTACAACTCCAATTCATTGAAAATCAGATGCAGGAAGAAATTCGTTTGGGTCGAGTGTCCGAAAGTTTTGGAACAGAGCTTTATCCAGGAATGTATAGTGTGCCAATGCACACCGTTCCTAAACCCAATTCGGACAAACTTCACTTGGTTGTGGACCACACTGCGGGCGAGTACTCATTGAACTCTATGATTGATCGGGATGCGATCAAGGGTACCAAGCTTGATGGTCTACACTCACTAGGTGCCTCGCTGCTCAAATTTCGAGAGCAGCATCCGAACGTTGAGCTAATTATGTTCAAATCTGACATTTCACAAGCTTTCCGTCGGTTACCGATGCACCCTCTATGGCAGGTCAAACAGATCTTGACTGTGCATGGTCAACGACACGTAGATCGTAACAACAACTTCGGTGGTCGAGGATCTCCGAAGATTTGGATATCCTTTATGTCACTTGTCGCGTGGATCGCCATTCACAAAATCTTAATTGATGCGCTTAAAACCTACATGGACGACTCTTTCTCTTTCGAAGTGGCCGGACGTGTTCTCTATTATCCTCCTTATGATTGCTACTTTCCCGCAAAACAGACTCGACTCTTACAACTTTGGGATGACCTTCACCTGCCGCATGAACGACCAAAGCAAGTATTTGGCGCGCCATTGACTATCATTGGATTTGAAGTCGACCCGAATGCTATGCAGGTCACGTTACCCCATCATAAAAAGGCTGAGCTGGTTATAGAGTTACGTCGTTTCGCGCAGAAAAATCACCGTTGGTCCCTGCGCGAATTCCAGCGTCTGGCTGGTTGGTGTGAATGGAGCTTTAACGTGTTTCCTCTGTTGAAGCCGGGTTTGTCGGTGCTTTACGACAAAATCCGAGGAAAGAAGAATGCATTCGCTCAAATTCACGTCAATAACGCGCTACTGCGCGAGTTACGTTGGCTTGCAGACCACGTCGAACGTTTGGATGGCTTACACCTATTCCGGTGTCTAGACTTTGAGCCATCAAGAGATGATGTTGTGGTTATCTACACTGACACGTCAGCAGCAGGAATGGGTCTCTGGTTCCCGGACGATAACTTCGCGTGCCAGTCACCATTACCTGGAGATGCTCCCCACGATTCTATCTTCTTCTTTGAAGCGTTGGCTGTATGTTCTGCTATTCACGCTGTCACAAACATGGACGAGACCCCGGCAAAGTTACTCATCTACACAGACAATTCGAATACTGTGGCAATGTTCGACTCACTTCGAGCAAGACCCGTCTATAATTCACTGTTACTTTCGGCCGTGGATATCTTAATCAGCTATAGCGTTGACCTGCGGGTTGAGCATATTCCAGGTCAGCAGAACGTCATCGCTGACGCACTCTCACGGTTTCACAATGAGCTCGTGAAAGATCTCGTGCCTTCGGCGCAGATTTTTGACTTTGAACCCCCTCGGGATGCGCTGGGGGTGGCAGAAAAATGATCCGAGGTACCACACAGTCCAAGCAACCCGTGCGGGAAGCTTGGACTCTCGAACGCTTACAGCTAGAGCGTTCACTTGCCCTTGGCTGCGCTATTGAATCCACCACAGCTTCAGCTTACGACTCGCATCTAAATTCCTATCTCAACTTTTGTCGACTTCATCACCGGGAGGTAGAGCCAACTGCGGACACGCTGTCCTTCTTCGTGGTGTGGCTATCACATCATATCGAGCCACGATCCGTGGACTCATATCTTTCGGGAATTGTCAATCGTCTGGAGACACACTTCCCGCACGTTCGTGAAATACGGACATCTTTGCTCGTCACGCGAACTCTGAAGGGTTGCAAACGTCGCTTATCTAAGCCTGTTCAACGCAAACAACCACTCACTTTGGATGATCTCACTCTTGTGGTCAACACATTCGCATCATCTACAGAGTACGACGATACGCTATTCGTGGCAATGCTGGTTACAGGTTTCAAGAGTTTGCAACGTCTCGCAGAGCTCTGCTGGCCTAATGCAAAACGACACCAATCCTATCGTAAAGTGGCGCTATGCCACTCTCTCATGCTGTCTGCAACATCGGCAAGCTACACATTACCTCACCATAAGACGAGCACTTTGGGAGTAGGATGTGAGATATTGGTGATGGCAGAGCCTGAATCTAGAGTGAATCCTCTAGCTCTCCTACAACGGTATGTACGTGCTCGCGACAGTCGCTTTCCACACCATCCACACCTCTGGCTGACTACGAGTGGCACTATCCCGACGCGCGCATGGTTCATGCGTTACCTTCGGCGTTTCTTTCCCCCAACTATTTCTGGACATTCGATGCGAGCCGGGGGTGCCACTGCCCTAGCTGCGACTGGTGTCGCGCCTGCGCTGATTCAGGCAGCGGGACGCTGGTCTTCGGATGAGTTTCAGAAATACATTCGAAAGCACCCTTATCTGCTTCACTTGCTTATACACGGTTCTCAAAATCCGTAACTCACTGGATTTGACAGCTTAACGCTCGAATTGCTTGGTTGAATTCTCGTTTGCATCAACTTCTTGTAACAGTCTGGGGATTCTAAGTACGTCATCAGCATTATTTATAATTATAATAATAATAAAAAGAAAAATAGCCCTCTAGCGCTTGGTCGAGAGTCAAACTTGACTTTCTCGACTTTTCAGTCACCAGTCGTTTGGAGGGGGCTCAGTCACCAGTCATTTGGTGACTTGTACATTACTGATTCTTTCTATTTACTATACGTACTTCTCTGTTTTCAAACGAGCTGTCACTTCCCAGTATTAAAATTGATTGCGGGTCCTCCGAGCATTGAGCTGGAGGGCCCCGCTTGCCCTAAACTCTTCGCACGAGTGCCTATCACCAGTGCAGGTTGATTCAATTCTATAGATGATACCTACATAACTACCACGACTACTGAGTCTTTTCAAAACCATGGTACTGTGTTCACTTCACGTCCTCACACTAAACTATATCCATGAAAACGTTGTCAAGAAGCTCGTAATGAAACTCCCTGTAGTAAAGAAGCCGGACGAGTCGCTCAAATGCCCAGGCCCCGCATTCATTGTTCCGAGTCACACCCACCCACTATGATGACGAGACGGTACGCCTCTTTCTGAGGCCGAATAACTGTTCAGTGACGAAGAGGACCAACCACAAGCTGAAGATGGTATCCTTGAAGAAGATGAAGACCATCGGTTATAGAATGTGTTTGGCGTGGATTCAGCTGCTACTGGAATATGAATTTGGTGGTATATTGACTAACATCTTACCTGGTTTTTGCTAAAATGGATGTATTGATAGATGTCAAACTTACGTTCGTTTATGGCCGCCTTACACAGTGCCGCATAGGACGTAGATTCATGATTCATCGGAGAGCTCAAAGTACCATGCTTCATTCGTGCAAACTGAACCTACCGGCTGCTCATGTGGAACGCCACGTCAAACGCGAGAGCACTTATTACGTGGCTGTCCGCTATTCACATGCCAACGCATCCACTTGCGCGCAGTATCCCACATCAGCATACTCAACAAGATCCTGGGTATGGAGAGGGAGATAGAGGCGCAAGCAAAACTCATTCATGAGCCTGACGCTTTCAAGGAGGTTGCCATACTAAGACATCCGTCATGTTGACAACCCTTGAAGCTATGTGGAGATGGCTCCGAAATGTTGAGTGCTTATGGACCCAGTCGACGGCTGGTTGGAAACTCGAATGTTCAGTAGACAATAGTTCGACCACAAGTTGGTGATGGACCTTGGCTGGCAATCTGCTGGCATTACAGATCGGTGCCATCTGTTTGAAGGCACAACCACGCAAGAAGAATTTCAAATAACAACATTCAGCTCATAAAAACCAGCCGTCTTCTTCAGAATTACCTGATTTCTTATCACAAGAGTCACAAATAATGTGTTTCTCCTCTGCATTTGTCCTCGCCGTCGTTGCTGCTTTAGCCTCATCATCTGTCTCTGCCATACCCCCTCAGGTTGACGAGGCTGGCGCCACTCAATGTCTAAACTTTTGCTACACTGATGAAGATTGCCAACACCCTGGCTGCACTCATCGGACTTGCGTGAGTATCAGTAGTTTTCGTGGTTCTGATAGCCTGACTCACTTGCATGGCAGATCCTCAATTGGTTCTGCGTAGTGAGTCGTGTTTCTGCCCTCGCATCCAAGCAGTATGGCCATTGGCACTGACGCGCGAGTGATTAGTGATTTGCAGATTTGATCAATGGACCACGATCGCATTCAGATCCCCCCTGGTCGCTACAAAATTTAACATAAGACCGACGTTATTCTGTAACATGCCCTCAAACTTTCCTGGGTCATCACTACAGTAGGACCAGGGCCGTTTGCTCCTATATCTTAGATGATAAACCTCTTGACGACGTCTTCGGAGCCACGCACGTCCATCCAGTGAATAGTGCTCGACTGATTTATCGAACACTTTTTCAAACATGTTACTTCGTTGTACTTGATCTGGAGTTCAGTTCCTGAACCGGTTTTGGGGGTGGCCCCGCCAGGTCCCAGGATCGATTGATTGATCCACAACGGTCGTATCAGTCACATCAGAGTCAATGTCGAAGTTAACGTTCACCCATGGCTATGCCATCAGTGAATTGAGGAGTCCTCGATATTGTACCTGTGGGACTTACAGAAGGATATAATTTTGCTCGTGCTAGGTATAGGCATCTATAGTATGAAAATTTTTAGTGGTATTCAATATTCAAAGTTCGCACCTTAAATTTTCGCAAAAGTAACCTGATACTCACCGGCAACCGTAGACCTCGTACTAAACTGTATCCATAAAAACATACTCAAGAAGCTCGTAGTGAAACTCCCTGTAGTAAAGAAGCCGGACGAGTCGCTCGAATGCCCAGGCCCCTGCGGCATTCACCGCTCCGAGTCACACCTATTGATGTTTGTCCTTGCTTCTCTCATTTACCTTTAGAGTTGACACTACCTTCTCGATCTTATCATCTTCGACACCACATGTATCGCAATCTCTTCTTGAGATCCTCATAGCACTTGGCTTCTCGTCCGCATGGACCTTCCGCTCGTCCTTTCTCCGGTAGCCTTACCTAATCTTTTGGACTCGCGTATTTAGTTCCAATCGCTCTGTACAACACCTCAGTATTGTTCTCGAACGTACTGAGGTATGCAGACTCTCTTCTCTTGCTCGTCTTACTCTTACTGATGTAAACCATAGCGTGTCTTCGTCCGCTAGGTATATACATTCAATATAGTATTGTTCTCGAACGTACTGAGCGTGTCTTCGTCCACTAGTTGCACTAGCGCCTTTAACACCCACCATTAATGATGACGAGACGATACACCTCTTTCTGAGGCCGAATAGCTGTTCAATGACGAAGAGGACCCGCTACAAGCCCAGGCGTCCGTGTCATTTTGATGCAACAATTTGCTGCAGTTGCAGCGCTGCAGTGATGCATCAACGCTACAGTGGGGAGCAAAGCAATAGTGATGCATTACTGATGCATTATTGATGCCTGGAATGGCATCAGTAATGCATCAGTAATGCATCAGTACTTAATGCATCAGTAACGCATCAGTACTTAATGCATCAAATCAACAATTCTCAAAAAAGGGAAGCATCCCATGCTCGTACATGATCAACAATACCTCCCAGTATGGTCCACATCCCGCCGCCACCTGGTCACCTCCATACACTCCACACAGATCCTTCTGGCAGCCCCGCCATCAGTATCCATCAAACCATCAAAAAAGGGAAGCATCATACAGTTGTACATGGTCGATATGGGTCCACATCCCACTGAAAATATTCTAGGACGCGAGCCAACATCATACGTCGCTCGTCTTCGTCCATTTTGGCACGCGCTTGGACCTATCTCCCCTTATCGCTCGGATCCTTCAGACTCCCTTGACTCTGATCTTCCCCTCGACTCTGATCTTCCCCTCGACTCTGATCTCTCAGTCTCGCTGTCCAACACATATAATGTACTACTAGTTTACACTCTGGACCTTCGGAGATTGATTGTAGTATGTACACCTCGTATCTCATAAATTTCAGTCAGTTAGCTGTATTCTACCTCCAGCGAACCTTACAAGTACAAGCGCACTCGATATACCACTTATTAAGGGGATTAAATTGATGACACAACTGTATTCATCACGAGAAAAACAGAGACTACATGTGTTACTAACAGCATCAAACATTACTATGGTACGAGAAGCAAATTTGTGATCATGACATAAAGACATGGGCTCATGCCTTTGTTCGCCTTTTCCTGTGTCCGTTAGCATTGAGAAAGTGAGAATATACTAAGATGTCTTGGACGTACTTTGCAGGAATCACGCTGCCCATAGTCAAGTTGGGAGGACACTTCATCATTGATGCCCCGACATCCCCCAGAACAGGTGGATCTTCCCTACCAATGCCAACGAACGTCGAACCACCTGACCCGATAGTGTCAGCGACATCATTCCGCCTGGACTTGATTGGAATTCGCTTTGATACACGAGGAGCTGCACCGATATCAACCGCCGGATTCCGTTTCGTGGCAGTATTGGGGGCAGTCAAATGACCCAGCGTATTGCCTTTGTCAGCAGTAGCGTGCGATGTCTCCGTTACCGCACCAGACTTGGTGAGAGGTTTTGCTTTGGGTTTGGCCTTGGGTTTGGCTGTGTTCATGGGCGGCGTGATGGTGGGGGTGGGTTCTATAGCAGGATTGCAATTGACTTTGGCAGCCGGGAGCTTCAACTTGTGCTTGCGCTTAGACTTAGGAAGACCAGCACCAGTATGAATGCTGTCAAGGTCTTCTGCGCTGTCATCTGCAGGATGATTTGCTGCCGGAAGAATGGGCGACTGACGAGTAAAGTGAGGAAGAACCTCATCCTGTTCAGCTGTGGTGGTGGTGCGCTCGGCAGAAATTGGGGAGCTCAAGAATGAGGACAGGCTAGGCATCTCCCACCCCTGTGAATCAAGGTTGCTAAAATTCCACATCGTGCCATATCGCGTGTCGTGTTGCATGTCATAGTATCCTGGTACAGTACTCCTAGCATCGGTGAGTGAGGGTGCAAATGAGCTGAATGCCGGGGGGAATGGATTCGGCATGGTGCTACCGCCACCCAAAAACCCCATCGCTATAAGATCAGCATGAGAAAACGATGACCCGAACACCTCGTTCATCCCATCCACACTAGTTGGATCGGGAGGCAGTGTACTAATGTTGTGCCAATCGAATGATGCGTGAAGTTGAGCCTGCGCAAGTGATGCATCAGTTTGGGCTTGTCCGAATGGTACATTAGATTGGGCCTGTGTCGGAAAACTGTTAGATGACATAGGCAGGATGATGAAACGGCCTTACCTCGGAGTTAGACGTGGATTGATCAAGTTCATTGAGTAATGCATCACTGATGCCGGCTTTGGTATTACCAAAGCCTGACAATGCATCAGGCTCGGCCTGTTCGAATGATGCATTAGATTGGGCCTGTGTCGAAAAACCATTAGATGACATAGGCAGGATGATGAAACGGCCTTACCTCGGAGTTAAACACGGATTGATCAAGTTCATTGATTGATGATGCATCACTGATGCCGGCTTCGGTATTACCGAAGCCTGACATCATTGATGCATCAGAGGAAGTAGCGAAGCCTATCAATGATGCATCAGAAGTTGCATCAGGCAGGCACGAAACAATATAAAGACCTGGAATATTCCAATCCATGGAACCATCGCATCCTCCATTCATATCCTCTTCACCATTGTCGCATCCTTCAAGTTCTTCAATCTCATTGCCATCTCCAACACCTGGCAGTAGTGGATCGCGCTTGTTCGCAGCTGATGGACGAGTATCGGGGTGAGTCTACAGTGATTTGGACAGTAAAGATCGGCTTACGGAATATCAACTCAGCGTATTGCTGGTATGCCGCAAGGAATGTGTTGTCCTTGTCAGGGCACAATTGAGAAAAATTACTCCCAGCGGGAGTTTCTGATGGATGGCACCTTAGTAGTGTGAGTTCATTAGTCATGTTTCTAGTTTGGTGCACTTACGATAATGAAACGATGTCCCAATCATGCCTCGGCTCTGGTCCAGCGCACATGAAGGAGACTATGAATCGAGTTTTTTTCTTGATGAGACGTGCGAAGCGCTGGCATATGATTGGTAAGTCATCGATAGCTCTATAGGTCGTGTGAGTATATCAAAATCACAAACATAAGCCAGTACTTACTTTGCGATAGCGTCAGCGTCAGTTTCATCGTTGTCATCTTCATCGTCTAACACGACCCTCTTTACCTTTTTCTGTCTACTATACCTCTCTCTCACTTCCTCCTTAACCTCGTCTGACTCGTCTTCCAGGAGCTCCTTGCAAAACCTTCGGCTCAATGCCATGCACTGGCCAGCTGTACTTATGTTACCTGCCTCTTGTTCGGCCTTGACGAGAGGCTTGATGCGTTCACTATAGACCATGTCCATGTATATCTCTTCAGTGGATTTCACGCGTGACTTCGGTACCAGTGCCGCTTCGAAGACGGACGTGTCCTTCTTCAAGCCGCGGTTTTTCTTGGATGCATTCGTCCGCCAACGAAACCAAGTTTGTAATTGCTACCAGAGGCCTTAGTGGTCATAAATTGTCAACACATTTGACGACTTACAGCTTTACGTGAATCCACAGCATCAGTTTCTGCGGTTTGTTGCTCCTTTTCTAACATTGTTTCATTAGCGATACCAGGGAAGAGGATAGCTCGCTCGGGCCATCTGCTAAACCAATAAAGATAGATTTTTGGCCAGAAGAGCGTGTATTCTTTGTCCCCGTCGTGGATTGCAGTATACTCCTGGAACTGTTCTTGGAGCCATAGGTACTGTTCCGTAGTAGTCCACTTAGCTGGCAGCATCTGGCAGAGAATTTTCAGTCATACGCCATACTAATAGTGGAGCCGTCATACTTTTTTTCGCTTTGCACAATGATAGACGAGTGTGTCCCTTCACAACGTCTATGTCCGTCTTTATATCGCTCATTGCCAAACAACAGATCAACATCGCCCATTGAAAAAAAGGAAGCTAATTTAACGAACTTACTACATGATCTGATCACAAGGCAACTTTTCATTCCGTGACTGATGATGGTTTAAATGAACAGCATGGCATACTATACTCTCATAATCAGATAAGTTCACAACATCGCATTGAGAGCAAGCGGGAATTACCTGGACATTGAACGTTGAACGTATAAGTTCAGAATATCACACAATTGAGAGCAAGTGTGAAATCACCTGGACAGTGGACGTTGAATGTATGAGTTCAGGACATAGCACAATTGAAAGCAAGCAGGGAATCACCTGGACATTGAACATTGAACGTATAAGTTCAGGACACCGCACAATTGAGAGCAAGCACTAAATCACCTGGACATTGGATGTTGAACGTTCGAATCTTTAGCAACGAACATATACTATACTCTTATATTCAGATAAGTTCAGGACAGCGCATTGAGAGCAAGCAGAGAATCACCTAGGCATTGATATGGAAGGTTGAACATCGGAAATCGAAATATGAAAGGTGATTGACGTTCAAATGTTGAGCAACAAACATATACTATACTCTCATATTCAGAACATCGCATCGAGAGCAAGGAGAGACCCACCTGGACGACATTAGAAGTTAGTGGATACAGGAACCAGTCCAATGCAATGTGCAATAGCGTGCGTGATAGTAGTTATTGACCCGGAGTGTTTGCAACATTGAGTTCCAACTTCCTAGGCATTGATATGGAAGGTTGAACATCGAAATCGAAATCCGAAAGGTAATTGAATGTTCGAGTGTCGAGAAACAAACATGTACTATACTCTCATTCAGAACATCGCATCGAGAGCAACTAGAGACCCACCTGGACGACATTAGAAGTTAGTAAATACAGGAACCAGTCCAATGCAATGTGCAATAGCATGCGTGATAGTAGTTATTGACCTGGAGTGTTTGCAACATTGAGTTCCAGCTTCCTAGGCAATGATATGGGAGGTTGAACATCGGAATCGAAATCCGAAAGGTAATTGAACGTTCGAGTGTTGAGAAACAAACATGTACTATACTCTCATTCAGAACATCGCATTGAGAGCAACTTGAAGGAGAGAATCACCTGGGCATTGATACCAGTCCAATGCAATGTGCCATAGCGTGCGTGATAGTAGTTATTGACTCGCAGTGTTTGCAATTAGTACTATATGATTGACGTATAATGAGACCATTTTGGCTGAAAGTTTGTGTGTCTTGCTTGCCAATTGCGGTAACAATGCAAAGCCATACTCAGTCAGCGCTTCAGCCTTAATTTCATCACACACCAAAAGACTGGCAACTCGACACTGCTTGTTCTTACTGCAAGAGATATTCAAATGCAAAGTGCGCACTTCTCTCTCTGTTCTAGCTACTGATGTGTACCAAAAGACACAGTAACTGCGCCGTCATCATCAGCAAGAAGAACAAACCAAAATATGATCAACTTGAAGAGCGCCATTGGTATGTTTCAATCCATAATGAACATTACAAAACCATCTGACCAATGTCAGTGCTTATACCCCCACCCAAAATCAGTTGAAGACTTTCACAAAAACATTGGTAGTACCATTGATGACGACTGGGTCGTCCTCAGGGACGAGATTGATTTTGGCAAACCGTCGAGCGAGGGACCTGCTGCTTGCCCAGCACCCAGACCACAGGAAGAGCTTGCGCCCCGAAGGCAACCTCAGAGACCTCTTGATACGTCATCCAACCGTTGGGAGACCTTTCCACTAAGGATTCAACCAGCATGAGCGGTGAGTCACACTTTACTGATAATTTGACAACTTTATATCTAACTGTTACATCAAACAGGACCTTGCAGATGTTGAAATGGTACGATGCACATTATCGTCACTGTATGTCAAAATCTCACACTGTCTATTGACAAGTCCTCCAGTGACTGGTCAACATTCTCGGTGTTGTCGCAAAGAACCCGAACAATCCCAATTTCAACTAGGTCGACATCTTTAGTGTCATCGCAAAGAACCCGAGCAGTCCCAATTTCAACCAGTACATGTTCGCCTCGTACTAGGAATCCTGGCCGCCACTTGCGTTCTGCTCATGCATGTCATGATTGACCTACAGGGTATACTTCACGCGGTGAGCTACTATACCATACTGCTCCTGATATCAATATTTTGTATTAATCATAGAGATGCATCAGTGATGCATCAGTGTTATATACAGTGACTCATACTGTCTGAAAATGTCATACCGGTGATTCCAAGCGCTGGAAATTGATTTCCAACAACACCGTTTAGGTCTAAGCAAATTTTGATATCAACATTAATGTCCGGGGTGAGTGCACCGCTATATCATTGGTAGCAGTTCATAAGACTGACCCAAAAACTACTGTAACTACCACCGGCGATTTTCTCTAGAACTTTACATCGACCGAGCGACTGTTAAACCAGAAATACTACCACCGTGTCAATGTTCATGATGCAGGGTGAGTCTTTCACTATTAATGGGGGCATTTCTGAGGACTCATCCAAAAAAACATAGCGTCTTTCAGTTTACCCACTCCCAGGATACCTGTTAAGACCATGCACAAAGGGTAGGACTGATTCCAAGGGGCTTGGCTTCAGCTCGTGCGCTGCGCCCCTTACCCGAGTATGTGCCCTTAACTTCAGAATGAAGTCCAGAGAAAGTCCAGTGAAGTCCGAAGGACTTCCGGAGAAGCGTGGGAAACTTCGGAAGGACTTTCCGGACGAGTGCGAGAAACTTCCGGATGAGTGCGGGAAAGTTCCGGAAATTACGATGGAGTTTCGTCCTGACGGGAATATGTATAATGGCTACTCAGGACTCGTCCTGAGTAGAAGGAAACAGAGGAAAGGCTGCAAGGACAAAGTCCGAAGCAGAATAGGTCCGGAGGACCGCGGGAAAGTTCCGGAGGAACTTCCGGAAACTCGGAGGAATGGAGGATCAGATGAGTGGATGAGCGGAGGAGCGGAGGAGCGGAGGAGCGGAGGAGCGGAGGAGCGGAGCTCCGGCCTAGGGAATTCCTCCCTAGGCCTGAGATGGATGATTACTGAGTCGGAGGAATAGAACTGTTACGAGGACTCAGTGTGAAGACTAGTGCGAGGACTAATATGTGTATGATATTCAGACTGAGGAAGTACAAAGATTCTACAGAGTTTATATACTACAGAGGACTTAATGGAGAGTCAGTCAGCGCAGTCCGAAGCTATGGGAGGCTGTGGACGGAGGATGTAGAAAAGTCAAACACTAGTCTATCGGAAAATAGTAAATGAAGACGGAGATGAAGACATAGGAAAATAAAGCCGGAAATGAAACGAGGTACGGAAAATGAGGAAGTCTAACTCAAGAAGGAACATACAAAGGGATAAGGCACGGAAGATAGACGCGGGTCGGATCCGGATGTTCGGAAGTCCAGAGACAGGTGATTACCATAAGGGGATGGGCGCTGATTTAAGGTTTGGGTTCGGACATGACAGATAGGTCGGATCCGGAGATCCGGAGATGTGGATATCAGATGCAGGAGTACAGGGATCCGGACGGATAGAGGATTGGGTCTGGAGACATGGACAGGAGGTCCGGAGGTCCGGATGAGGCGTGGGAACATCGTCGGATGTTGGTCCGGAATGCGGGATATGACAATACCTCTCAATGCAAGATCCACCGATCCCCTTTGGCTCGATATTACCATGACGCCCTACATGGCCGAACCCGAGGAGTTTGTGACTGTGCATGAGGGCAGTTTAGAGTTTGAGGAGGCCGTGAACGCTATGGCAGAAGAGTGCTTTTTATACTCTTATCAAGGAATATTCTATAATATGCCTTCACAGCGCGATCTAGAACCCCCTTTTTATTGTGTTACTCAGGGCCGCTACATCGGAGTTTTTCCATCACACATCTGGTGAGTTTTCACATTTTCATTCATCTCTTTTATATGTAACACTTGCCATAGGGATGGCGTGAAATTTGAACTCCGGACACCAGGCAATCGTGTTGCTACGTACTTTACTGTTCGGTCACTTGTCCTGGGAGAACAGAAAGTTCATCGTGCCATCCGACGTAGGCTTGCAGCAAGCAGGTGACACACTAGTAGGTTCGATACCATACTTCGTTTGGTAGCATTGGTTGACATCTCAGTGCCAGCTTCAAGGCGTCATTGCTGTTTGGACATCATTGCTGGTGAAAAATTCATTCCGGCCCTAATCATGTCTATCTGTGGCATCGTGTTTGGTTTGCACCGCTCTGCCCATCGTATCTCCATGCATCAATCTCATTTGTTAGTCTTCGACTACCTATTCATGTCCATCGTGTTCGTTTTCTGCTAAATGAATGCTTGATTTTTTTTCTCGTAGCGACTCGAACCGTAAATGTGAGATCAGTATGGATGAATACTCTTCGTTCAACACCGTGACAATCAGTGCAGAAATCAACAAAGAATGTCTACAGATCCTACTTGTGCCGTCGGCTCTTCTGAGGCAGGGACATCTTCAATCCAGACAATATACTGTGAAGTAACGTCCAGAGTACCAAAGAAACGGAAAAAGAAACCCAAGCTCAATGTTTACCACTCAGTCCCAGTCCCTTCTCGCCAGCATACTGAATACCAAGCTCATCAAGACGGGTCCATCACCTATACACTGAAGCGTCTCAAACCTCCCAAGAATGCTCAAGCAACTATCAATAATCGAACTCGCGCGACAATGACTCTGCATGATGCGGCACCATTGTCAATCCCTGAGCCATTCGATGACCTCCCGCTTGATGTATCATTGGACTTTTTAGGGCAGCAAAGGAGACAACGAGCAGCAGGCGTATGTACACTATAATGTTCTGAGTCCTTTGACATGTCGCTCACCGTTATTCAGGATCATCCTTTGTTGATGTGGTTGAAGCACCGAGAATTATTTCTGCACGAAATGATCCGTCTTGAAGGAAGATGTAATAGACTTGGTGCTCAATCTTGCTCGGAGTGTAATTGTCCCAGCCCAGAGTATAGGTGTCGGGACTGCTTAGGGTCAGAGATCTATTGTTCACCTTGCATCCTGTTGGCTCATGTGCGCCACCCGCTTCACCGATTGGAGGTATGCTTTCATGTCTGATTGGGAGATGAGGATGTAAGGCTAATATCTAATATCAATACAGAAATGGAACGGTCAATACTTTGAGCGAATCTCTCTGAAAACCCTGGGCCTTCGCATCCAGCTTGGCCACACCACTGGCCTAAAATGTCCTAACCCTCGTCGCGCATTCAATGATGATTTTATTGTTGTCGACACCCACGGCATACATGAAGTATCTCTCGACTTCTGCAGTTGCGCAACAGCCCAAAGCCATATACAACAGCTACTTCAAATATCGTGGTTTCCTTCGACAACGTCAGATCCAAAAACTGCTGCGACATTCCGCGTTCTTGAACACTATCACCTACTCTCATTTGAGTCAAAAGTATCTGCCTTCGAATTTTACAATGCGCTCAGCCGGATGTCCGATAACACTGGCTTACTTCCCATCAAGGTAAACTTAATTTTTAGGTGCCTTCAAAGTTAATCCAGCTTCCTCCAGGATCGGTATGATTCGTTTACACGGATGATACGCGAGTGGCGCCACTTGAAGATGCTTAAGCGCTCAGGGCAAGGTCACGATCCCAGTGGTGTAGATGGGACGGTTGAGGGCGAATGTACTGTATTGTGCCCGGCATGCCCACACCCAGGGAAGAATCTCCCAGCCGGTTGGAAAGATGCTCCTCAACAGTAAGTTTAAAGCGAGCTCCAGTCTGGAGGGGAATTTCTACTGATATAGGTACTGTTAGGTGGCTATATGGATTATTCCTCGCTATAGATGCGAACTTCCGCTTAAAACGCAAAGCTGTTTCAAGTGACAGTGTTGACCCAAGCCTGAGTCGAGGCTGGGGATATTTTGTCGAGGATAAAGCATATAAAGATTTCTTGCACAGCAGTGCGGACAGCGTCCAGGAGGTTCGTGGTTTGAATTATTCTTTTTCATATATTAATGGTTAGATTTGCAGAAATCAACGTGTTCAAGTCACAATGCTGTAAACATGGCTGATACGAAATCTAACCGCGGACTCGCTACCACTGGTTTAGGTACTGTCGACTGTGCCCGCCATAACATGAAACTGCCCAATGCCGTTGGGGATCTTCAAAAGGGTGAAAGGTAAATTGTCATTTGCATCCAGCAGTTGGCGATCTAACGCACGCATGTAGATATATTAACATGGACTACTTGTTTTTCTCAGCACTACGTCATACTGTACTCGACACTCTCAATGTATCCTACGACATCGCATGCCAGTGGCACAAAAAATTATGGCACCGCATGAGTGCCTTTCCGATTTCGATGCATCTCTCGCATGCCGTCAAGACAATCTCATTTTTCGTGCCGAAGTTCCACCTTCCCGCTCATATTGAGCAGTGCCAAACATCATTTTCATTCAATTTCAAGAACGGGGTAGGCAGGACTGACGGAGAAGCACCAGAACGTGGCTGGGCCAACATCAACCCCGTCGCTTCAAGCACCAAAGAAATGGGGCCTGGCGCACGGCGAGACACCCTTGATGACTACTTCGGAGACTCAAATTGGAAAAAGGTTGTTAGACTTGGTGCGTTGATTTTCGTGAAAAAAAATGGCAACTTAGATTTTTCAGGTCATACTATGCTTCACAAGATAAAGAATGCATTCCCAGAGCGCGAGAACCATCGTGAAGCCTTTGAGGACCTCAATGATGGTTTGCGAGGCGAATATGGCGCCGCCCTCGAACAATGGAGAGAACAAGTGGAGGCTTGGGAGTACGACTCTACACAGCCTAATCCTTTCGAACGAAAGGCAGAAAGTAAGCACGAGACAGTGATGGTAATGCTTATGTGCTCATTTTGATCTTGACGCATTGCAGCTGTCACTATGGCTTCGGTACGACTAGAACTGGCTAGGGAGGACGAGATCGACCTTCAAACAGGAACTTGCCTTGCCCTACATGAGGATTGCACGCCTAGCATATTAATTAGTACTGGCTTAGAACTTGAGGAACAACAGTGAGTGTACTGTTACTTTTATGACATTGTTCTTACTTCAATAGACGGCGAATGAAAGCAAACAGAGCTGGCCTCGGAGTTCACGCAACAGATAATCAAGAAGGGAAGATGGTTCAGCAAAGCAACACTCTCCGACGGAGGATTGATACCTGGATGAAGATGCAGGAACTATACATGCCGTCACTTGCTGCACTACGTGTGAGCGAGAGTTCAGTATCTGGCAGCGTGACTGCTGCACCAGAAGCAATCAAGCTCTGGCTGCCATCCCAGATCAGCAGGACCGCACCTTGCAACAGCCGCCTCCAGGCCATCGAATGGAAGCTGCGGTATGCACAAGGTCACGATGCACTTCGCTCTCTGCGTTCAAACTTACGTGCTCAGACTGCAATCCTCAAGTACAAGGACCGCAACCTCCGTGGACAAGGAGCAAACACAAGGGCACGGAATACATTGAAAGCTGTTGAGGCGAGGATTGAGGCTGCTGCCAGGACTTATGAGTATGCGCATAAAGCCCTTGTGGTTCTTTCACCGCGAGTGAATCAGACTGGGTGGCACTCATCACTGCGACCGCTAGACCGAGCTGACGTCCGCTCGATGACGGACTTATTATGGGGAGAAACAGAGGGAACGAGAAAGTTGTCGTGGATTTGGAATATGCGGGGAGCAGCTGCCAACGAGATCGACAAGGACAATGCCTCGGAAGGTAGGTGGCTCTTCATTTCATGGCTTCCTAGTCAGACTCACGGACAAGCAGACATGCGAATAGAATGGTGCAAAGCCAGGGCACGGGCGATGCGCTGGACAGAAGAGGTGGAATTGTTGAAGGAGGAGATGCGAAGGATTCTGCAATTTTTGGAATGGGACGCGCAGCGCTGGGATGAGCGGGGCCTGGAAAACACGTTAGAGGATGCAGGTGAAGATGAACGCGAGGGCCGTATGGCATACGCCAAACGTCAAGCTTCCTTACGTCGAATGCTTGCTGAGTCCTTCAAGACCAGCTGGACCGACACCTTGGCACTGGTGGACACATTTGATCACAACTCGCTCGTTGCTCAGCAAGACATGGACATGGACACATAGTAGACCTTTGTTGTAATATTAGTAGATAAACAATAAAGGCAATACATGTGTAACGACAGGCACATGCGAAACAGCGGGAGGGCGCGAGAAAGTGAGCACAAGTAGATAAATAATAAACGCAATACACGTGTAACGACAGGCGGGTGTGATAGCACACGCGAAACAGCGGGAGGGCGCGAGTAATGGCAGGTGGGTGTGATAGCACACACGAAACAGCGGGAGGGCGCGAGTAACGACAGGTGGGTGTGATAGCACACGTGAAACAGCGGGAGGGCGCGAGAAAGTGAGGTCATGTGCGGGAGGACAGTGGGAGGGCGCGAGTAACGACAGGTGGGTGTGGCGCGAGTAACGACAGGTGGGTGTGATAGCACACACGAAACAGTGGGAGGGCACGAGTAACGACAGGTGGGTGTGATAGCACACGTGAAACAGCGGGAGGGCGCGAGAAAGTGAGGTTGTGTGCGGGAGGACAGTGGGAGGGCGCGAGTAACAACAGGTGGGTGTGGCGTGAGTAACGACAGGTGGGTGTGATAGCACACGCGAAACAGTGGGAGGGCACGAGTAACGACAGGTGGGTGTGATAGCACATGCGAAACAGCGGGAGGGCGCGAGAAAGTGAGGTCGTGTGCGGGAGGACAGTGGGCACAAGACGGCGGGAGGGCGTGACAAAGTGAGGACTGATGCATCAGAAAACGAAAAGGATGCATCAGCGAAGAAAGGACTGATGCATCACAGAAAACGAAAAGGATGCATCAGCGAATGGAGGGGATGCATCAGAAAACAAAAAGGATGCATCGGCGAACGGAGGGGATGGTGGTGGGCATGCATCAACCTGGAGTGGGCTGATGCATCAGCGTGAGAAAAGCAAAGGTAGAATTGCACCAATGATGCATCATTGGTGCGCTACAGTTGTACTGTTTAATGCATCAATATGACACGAACCTGTGACAAGCCGAAGATCATCCGTCATAGAATGGGTTCGGCGTGGATTTGGCTGCTACTGGAATATGAATTTGGTGGTCAATTGACTAACACCTTACCTGGTTTTTGCTAAAAGGGATGTCTTGATAGATGCAGAACTCACATTCGTCAACAAGTCTATGGCCGCCTTACACAGTGCCGCACAGGACGTAGATTCATCGGAGAGCTCAAAGTACCATACTTCATTCATGCAAACTGAGCCTACCGGCTGCTCATGTGGAGCGCCACGTCAAACGTCGGAGAGCACTTATTGCGCGGCCGTCCGCTATTCACATGCACACGTCAACGCATCCACTTGCGCGCAGTATCCTACATCAACATACTCAATAAGATCCTGGGTATAGAGAAGGGGACGGAGCCGCAACCAAAACTCATTCAAGAGCCTGATGTTTTCAAGAACGTTGCCATACTAGGACGTCCGTCACGTTCGTCAACATGAACCCTTGAAGCTATGCGGAGATGACTCCGAGATGTCCAGTGCTTATGGACCAAGTCGATGGCTGGTTGGAAACTCGAATGTTCAGTAAATAGTAGTTCCACCCCAAGTTGGCGATGGACCTTGGCTGGCAATCCGCTGGCATTTTCAAATAACAACATTCAGCTCATGTATAAGAACCAGCCGTCTTGTTCAGAATTACCTGGTTTCCTATCACAAGAGTCACAAATAATGCGTTTCTCTTCTGCATTTGTCCTCGCCGTCGTTGCTGCTTTAGCCTCATCATCCGTCTATGCCCTACCCTCCGAGTCACCATCCGTCTCTGTCATATCCCCTCAGGCTGGCACCGCTCAATGTCAAAGCTTTTGCTACACTGATGAAGTATGCAAAAAAACTGGTTGCGCTTATGGGAAGTGCGTGAGTATCAGTAGTTTTCCTGGCTCTGATAGCATGGCTCACTTGCATGGCAGGTCTTCAATTGGTTCTGCATAGTGAGTTGTGTTTCTGCCCTCACATCCATGCAGTATGGCCATTGGCACTGACGCGCGAGTGATTAGTGATTTGCAGATTTGATAAATGGACCACGATCGCATTCAGATCCTCCCTGGTCGCTACAAAATCTATCTTATTTAACAAGCATATAACATTTGACTTGAGACTGACGTTATGCTGTAACATGCCCTAAAACTTTCCTAGGTATACAATACACCGTCGTACAACCATCGACGTATCCAAGTATCATGATAACCAAACACGAGTGCGGTCCCGTCTGTTTGAACTCAAGACAAGTTTTGCATTGCGCGTTTCCATCATGTCAGGTCGTCAAAAAGTATCTGGTCTTGTGCGCACCTCAAAAGGTTCAAATGAAAAGCGATGAGTGAGAGATTGGGATGAGAGACCTGGAATTCGAGTGAGCATTCTGTAATTACAAGAAGTTATATTGACCGATCGATTGATGCCCCTCCAAGATACCAACCTGCAGCACTATTGGGACCATGTCCATGGGTGAACTTCGACATTGACTCTGACGTGACTGATACGACCGTTGTGGATCAATCGATCAATCCTGGCAGGGCTACCCCCAAAACCGGTTCGGGAACTGAACCCCAGATCAAGTATAACGAAGTAACATGTTCGAAAAAGTGTTCGATGGATCAGCCGAGCACTATATTCACTGGATGGACGTGCATGGCTCCGAAGAAATCGTCAAGAAGTTTACCGTCCAGATATACTATGGAGCAAGCGGCCCTGGTCCTACTGTAGTGCCGACCCAGGAAAGTTTTAGGGCATGTTACAGCATAACGTCAGTCTCAAGTCAAATGTTATATGCTTGTTAAATAAGATAGATTTTGTAGCGACCAGAGGGATCCGAATGCGATCGTGGTCCGTTGATCAAATCTGCAAATCACTAATCACTCGCGCGTCAGTGCCAATGGCCATACTGCACGGATGTGAGGGCAGAAACACAACTCACTATGCAGAAAACACCTTGGAACTGCCATGCAAGTGAGTGATGCTATCGGAGCCAGGAAAACTATTGATACTCACGCAAATCCCAAAAGCACAGCCAGTTTTAATGCATACTTCATCAGTTTGGCAAAAGTTTTGACATTGAGTGGCGCCAACCTCGTCAACCTGAGGGGGTATGGCAGAGACGGATGATGAGGCTAAAGCAGCAACGACGGCAAGGACAAATGCAGAGGAGAAATGCATTATTTGTGACTTCTTGTGATAAGAAATCAGGTAAATCTGAAGAAGACGGCTGGTTCTCATATATGAGCTGAATGTTGTTATTTGAAATTCTCCTTGCGTAGTCAAACAGATAGCACTGATCTGTAATGCCAGCAGATTGCCAGCGAAGGTCCACCACCAACTTGGAGTGGAACTACTGTCTACTGAACATTCGAGTTTCCAACCAGCCGTCGACTGGGTCCATAACCAATTGGAAGTGCACGGTGTCCCGAACGTTTGACTACCTGCTATGAGTCTTGTCGCGGTGAGTAACAGAGCGCTGTGGTCCTACATCTCGTAATTTTGAACCACACGGAGACGGGAAGAATAGGAGGTGCCAGTGTAGCCAGGAATCACACAATGTAGGCTGGCTGGGTAACACTATGAGACTGGAAGTGGGTTCGAATCGCCGGGAACACTGGAAGACCGTGCGATTCATGCAACAGCTTTGATCAACGTGGCATTTTGCCTCGTCACAGCCGCGTCACGAGTGTGTCAAAACGACTACATCAACGAAACACCTGCTAGTGGATGGGATAGGTTCTGCCTAATTCTTGTCGTGCAGTATTGTCCGCCGAGGCATAACCATTCAAGTTGCCAAACACTTTTGTAATATAAAAGCAAGCCATCTTCTTACTGTCACCAATGTCCACCCTGCCGCCTCAAATAAATCATTCGAGCACTTCAGCAGATCATACCACTTCAAACGGACAATGTGTCTCCTCGCCCTTGCCTTTATTGTTGTGTTGACAGCATCTATAATGTCTGTCACAGCAAAGCAACCGCCGTGTAGCGCCGGGCGGGACGACTTTTGCGAAAAGGATACTGACTGCTGCGATAAAACCGACGTTTGCGAGGCAAGCATATGCAATCCCCGCGAGTCGCGACCAAGACCCTCCCGGCCACGAACAAACCGATTTGCACGTAGCGACACACTAGTGAGTGTTTCCGCCTTCGCATTAGTGCTGTTGTTGATCGAAGAATACGTAGAACACTGCTAGTTGAGAAATGAATAGAAGCGATATTGAATGGAAGGAGTACATGATATGAGCGTATGAAGTATCTGCGTTTGGGGTAAACAAAGCACCATGGGCCAGACCGGCCAGCCATAGATCCAAATGCGTATTAGCTAAAAGACGCACAGTTTAATCAGATCAAAAGTCCACTCTTCGCCATCTTTCACTCGTTCACTCGACAAGGCGGCGAAGACCTGATATAAATTATCGACCTCTCTGGGTCCGAGGGTCGTAATATCATATCTATTAATATAAGTAGAACATCAATCATGCTTACTTGCCTGGGACCCTTGTGGACATTCGCAAAGTATGCATACAGGCCGCAAATCCCTATGGGAAGCCTCGCTGACAGCACAGAATTGGGTAGGAGATCCAGCTTTATGAAAAGGAAAGTGGTAATATCGTTGACTGAATTTTCAGCCAACCCTTTGAAACTGTACTGCCTGAAACAAGCGATGTGTGGCTCCCACAAGGTGAAACATGTCAGGTAGCTCGAGTACATTCTCTGCGATTCTACAGTGTATCCTGATGAGGTAGTTTCGTGTTTGCATTCTCTGTGATACAGAGAACGAGAATCAGAAAAACGACAGGTAGTTCATCGCAAAGCAAGGAAACTTGCGCAACAAAATAACTTCGTCACGTCACAGCGGATTTGGCAGAAGGACCACACTCGGCGACCAAGTTCGTGCAAAGATTGACAAAACCCTAGTGTCGTCAAACACGGGTATCAATATCGATATAAATGGAGAATTTTAGATGGTTGTTCTTCATCTTCGACCACGGTGGGCGTCCAGAAAAGACGGTCATTAGCATGAAAATTTGTCCGCTGCTAGGCTAGTTGTTGAATGCACACCAATCCAACATATGTCGTTTCCGAACAAACGTGTCCCACTTCATATGATGGGCGAATGTGAAAATCATCTTTCACGACGGGGTTCTACAGCCACGCATCGCAGGGCACCACGTCACCTAGCAGGGATGGCAAGGTAAGTGAATTCATTTGGATTAACAGCAAATGATAGACCAAGGACCGAAGGCTGTGCACGACCGTCAGCATCAATCGACACGTTAGACTGCCATTCATCCTTAGGGAACTGAAGCGCAGATACTGTACCCTAGTTAGATCGCGGTAGACGACGGATGTATTGCGTACCTTATCCCAGGTGTGAAAAGTGTGGAGCAGCAAAAAAGAACTTGCAATAATAGAGAGCGCTGGCAATGTCCTGAGAATGCGGCGGCATAGCTTTATCCGTGTTGCCCCCACTGCCTGTAACAACTCACCAGACGCAACTTCTACGTCTGTCAGATTATTTCATACCTGTCGATGTGCCATCTGCCTGCTAATATGACACGAGGTATGCTCATCAGAAAACACGGGGGATCAGTGCCGCGTACCAGTACAAGTTGATCTATCTTGCTGATCAGGTGCCTGAGGCAATCCACACCATCTGAGAATCTTCAAACGAGCACAGTTTTCAAATTCTGGATGAGGATGTGTGTCTTCCGTCTCTATGCCCTTAGGTCCCAGCGGATTTCAGGCAGGTCCGTTTCGGTCCTGATCGAAAAGCCTTTTGGTATCAGAGATCGCCGGCGGAGACCCGAAGATATGGCTTCGTCCGTGACACCTTTGCCAAGCCCGTGTCAGGTTTGCTTCCAAGACAAGATGCCAACGTGCTGCATGTTCCTGCCGAGGTGACACGACGAACATCCGAAAAGGTGCTAAATTACCGGCGACTGCAATTAGGGAGACATATCGAATCTGCCTCCAATCCCCGTTTCTCTTCGGCTGGCCTTAAATTCATACATTGGCTCCAATAATGAATACTAGTGGGAAACGGCACACCTTTTTCTCGGAACTTTGCCTACAACGTGACCGTGTTTAGTTCTCCCTTCATACCAACGCAGACCTTAGTGTTTCAACTTTCACGATATGAAACGCATTTCAAAAAATCATTGGATGCGGCGAGGCCAGCCTGATCTATCTTGCCGATCAGGTGCGACTCCTCAGGTCATTCATATAACCTGGGAATTGTCGTACGACTTCAGTTTATTCGGAACACATGTGTAAAAACTTCATGCCTACTGCGTGCCCCATACCATCAGGTTCTAGTGGATTTCAGGTACAGTTCTTGATGAGCAGAAGAAACGCGTGTGAGAATATTACAGATATAGCCGCGATAGATGTCCTTTGATCATGAAACGCGTTACTGTGCATGAAACGCAGTGCTTCTTTGCTATGATCCTCGCCTCACAAAAAGCAGCGCGGTTGAATGTGAGTGGAGATTGCCTGTCTTCTGTTGTGACATGCTCTACCTGCCAGAGTTGGATTGCAGTTGAACTGAATTTTCCTCAGCAGGACCAAATTGAAGGACAGCAGTCGTTCCTTCGGACCTTTGCATATATGGCAGTGGCGCGCGGGGGGATGCCCACGCCAGGACCTGACTTAGAGCATGTTAGTGCTGCATACAAACACGAGGGAACGCCACCTTGAGTAGATTCGAGCTTAAATGCGAACATTTCTGATGAAACCGCAGCAAAGAGAAGCGACGTACAAGTAAAAGTATACAGTAAAGCGGGCACGAGCACGACTATTCGACTCACCGAGCGCTTATATGGTAAAAGATACTAGGATCGCAGAAACTACAACAAGCGACTGACTAGTCGAATGCTGAACCTGCACTAACTTCTTCCCGCACTGAGTAAAAACCTTGCGCCACTGTACGTAGTATTGATCAGTGATTCTGATTAAACCTTTGAGTTTGGATGTGATTTGTGCACTGACTGTCTTCGCATTTCGACTTTACGCAAACCTAGCTAGTATTCAGACGTTGATAAGATTCAGTTCGAAGGTGGACGTGTTTGTGCAAGAGGATGGAGAATGCCGGACACCAAAACGCCAAACAGCGCCATACCTCTGGACCTCTCCGGAGTTTGGACTGCTCAAAATTATCAGATCCAAATTCCGTACTTGTATGACTGGTTGCCGTCGTATCTTCGTTCGATCTCTATATCCTGAGTATCTCCATTGACTTCCACATTCTCCAACATCGTTGGCGCTGAGCAGGACGATGCTGACGCACTCCGAGTCCCTGAAACAACAAAAAGGCCAGGTTCATCACGCAGCGACCTACCTGCGTCGTCCATGATGCGGGCAGTTTTTAGTCTGACACAGGTCAAACTCTTATCATGATTGGTATCATGATTACGGGCGCTTCTCGTGTAAGTTCCAGTGAGCGTGGCGCGCGTTTTCCGAACAGGCCGGGGCACGTGTTTAAAACCTGGGGAAAATCCCTGCCCGCTCATCATTCCGTTTATCATCTGATACAACCATCGGCCACTCCACTCTTTGCCTAGTCCTCGATTATCATGGCGAATTATTATGACGAGATCCCGCTGAAGCTCATCGAATGGATCTTGAAGCAGCAGATGTTTTGGGTAGCTACGGCTGCGCTGCAGGGAGATGGGCATGTTAATGTCTCTCCCAAGGGCACTGCGAATTGTTTTCACGTCGAGAGTCCTACCAGAGTTTGGTATGAGGACCTTACGGGCAGTGGTATGTGACCTTTCTTATCTTACTTGAGGAGATTTCTTCGTTGTTCAGCGTCGGCGTACATTCTGCAAGGTTTTACTCCAAGACTCGTATTCTGATCCGTATGGTTCCCAGGTGTCGAGACGATTTCGCACATGCGCCAGCCCGGAAACGGTCGTATTACGATTCTCTTCAACGCGTTCGAAGGACCCCCTAGAATCCTCCGGTTGTGGGGAAAAGGTAAGCATATTCTTTCTATCTATCCTGCATCCTACCCATTCCTACGTCCTTTCTCATTTTCAAATCCCAAACTCCGGTCTCACTGACCCATCATAGGCACCGTATACGAATTCGGCACGCCAGAATACAATGACTTCATTCCCCTGTCCGACCGCAAAGCCGGCTCGCGCGCGATCATCGTCATCGATGTACAGAGAGTCGGAACGGTTTGTTATTGTATTTCTTCCACGTAATGGCCAATTAAACCAAACTTCCTGTCTTCTAGTCATGCGGTTACGGCGTCCCATTTTACAAATACGAGACCCAGCGTACGGTCCTCGAGCGTTGGTGTGACTCGATGGAAATTTTTGATCGTGATGGCGAAGCTCGTCAATCCCCTCCCCCGTATGAATCTGAGGCCCCCGTAAAAGACCCGCGTGGGATCAAAGCGTGGTGGACTGCTGAGAATCTCGAGAGTTTCGACGGCCTCCCGGGCCTACAATCCGCACACGACAGCAACATCTCGCCCATCAACACATTCGACAAAAAGGCCTCGCATCGTAGTATTGGTCAGATTAGGGCTGCCGCCGAGACAAAGGCTACGGAGAGAGGTGCCAACGCCAACGCCAAGTCGAATTCGAGGGAAACAATGAGACTGTTGATGGCTTTTGGAGTGGGGGTCATGATGACGGTGGGTTATGTGAAATTTGCTGCTTCACGTGTCCCGGTGTCTTTGAGGGCGTGACGTAGAAATGGTTCCACATATGAAGTATGTTCTCAAGATAGTTAGAGTAATTATGTGCGTTCTCAAACTTGTTTCATCATCTCGTCATAAGGCAGAAAGTCAAGAACTCCAAGCCAATTTGATCACGTCAGGGAAGGAAAGAAAAAAATAAAAACAAATAGATGGCGGTGTGGAATATAGACGAATGGAATCAAACAGCTGACATTGCAAAAGAGTAACAGAGCGTTACGTGATGCATATCATTGAAGGGGATGACTGAAGAAACAAACTGACTTCTTCATATATCTTCCGGATAACGACATGCATCATTATCATCAACGATAACAGGTTCTTATCCTACGCCGGCCATGAACCTGAGAGAAAGAGCAGATATGCATGGGCACCAGCACCATATCCACGTATGTAGTCAAGTAACGCGCTGTACATTGAACAGGCACAAAGGTAATGGCTTCATGAACGTGTACCCAATCATGATGCTATTCGGACTTCCAAATACACCGGTGCCCGGAGAAACGACGCGAACACTGTATAGACCATCCACGAATCTGGGAATAATGCATATGGGACTTGATTCACTGAGATCCGGCTCCGTCAGGCATTAAGCAAGGCACACAAGGTCAATTTTGGTGGAGTGAGACCGGCAGACATATGTACATTTCATACGTGTCTGGAATATTAATATATGGAGAGTTTCCCCCCTACGTTGTAAGCAGTGACAATAGCCGGTCCAGGGAAAGAGCGCCAAGCGCGAGTAATAATGTGCATGGACCATCTAAAATCTAAGCGAGATATCAGTTCCTTGAAGTGCTGTTCTACTTAATATTGTGGTATGTACCTGGATCCTGGGTTCCTGCAGGCTTAATTGTATCACGCCACAGGTTTGACTCGCCGGCTATCCCGGGGTGTGGGACCTGGTCTGCAGAGGGCGGCGGTGATTATGCCAACTTGAACAGCATGAAATGAAGCAACGGGGAATACGAAGAGCTAGAGCTGTGAATTCGGGCATGCGTGGGCGCGCGCGTATTGCAGTGGCAGTGCATGCTTGTACTGCCAGCTGTGCAGATCGGCATAGTGAAGTTCTAGCCTTTTGGTATTGACGCAGTCGCTGTGCAGCACGGTCCGCGCGCAAGAAACTTTAGGCGGTTTGCGTCCAACTCATGGCTTTCAGCCTCACCACGAGGAATCCTCGTCGTGATCGTGATGGTGGCGTGAAAAAAGCGCCTCGAAGTACCCAGTACTTGGCTTGTAAGGCACGAGAGTTAAAGGCAACGAGAGAAGCAACCAGGCAACTTCATATGTGAAATTTGAGTCTGTTGGAAACAGGTGGAGTGAGCATGGAAGAGCTTCGAAGGTGGGTTGGGAAAGGGCAAGGGAGCAATAGGCGATATCGTTAACCAGGTACATACAAGGATTGTTCCTGCCGCGGTAGAATTAGCTAAGAGGGCTCTGAGCAAAGTTCGGTTTACCTCCAAGACCATAGACTTACCTTGAGCTTGTGAACTTCTGCCACAGCCTGCCACGCGTATGAATTTGCTTAGGTGGCACGGCGCGTGATCCTGGGACCCGGGATTGAATAATTGACCAAGTTTGATAGCACTGTCAGGCACGGAGCTACTCATGGCATGTGAACTTTCAGTCATTGTCTCTGGACCCGAAATCCCATTTAAGCTGCATAAATAAACCATCACTTTTTACAGAATACTGATCATATCCGCCCCCCGAACTTTATTCAAGCTCTCATGAAGCTCTCAGCACTCTTGTTTGCCCTCGCCTCCGCTTGTACCGTGTTGGCTACACCCATGGTTAGTCTATCTCGTTGTATGAGAAATTCATTATTCGCGTGCTAATCTCTCCTTCGCACAGCCGGTGGAAACTGGTTTGGTAGCAAGAAATCCATTGGTATGTAATCTGTGATCCTCATCTTCTATGTGCGTTCATTTACCCCATCCACCCAAAGCCTACCCCTCCAGACTGGAAGCGGGCTCCCGCGCAAACTGCAGACTGGAAACGGGAGGTGGATCATCATCATCTTGCCCGACAGAGTCCTCCAGACTGGTAAACACTCAATACCACAGTGATGAACGGGCAAGACCTTGTATACATCTACCCAATTCATCACTCTCCTTTGTTTTTCCCGTATTCAATCTGTGAGTTAGCTCATCATATGATTCGTATCGTTCGCCTCCCACTCACTTATCGTTGTCTCTCCCATGAATCTAGTCTTACAGAAACTCATCTTAAAGTCTTGGTCTCGTTTTGCAGTACTATTAATCGATCTGGACATTTTGCGTTATCCATAGAAAAGGGCGGGCTAATTGTGGTGTGGGTTACTACGGAGTAATCTGTGTACTCTTAGGCGGTAGGCGACAGGGACGGACGCTCTTGTACCGCGGTTGTACGAGAAGTCGTATTAACCTAGCGATTGTACAACGGCGGTCTACAGATAGCTTGTAACCTTCCCAGATATTGCATCAAATTTGATCAATGCCGATTCTCATCACTCCCGCTGATTCTAAGGCACCTCTGTCCCAACTTAAATTTGCATGAGAAACGATCAGCTTTCGATATTCAAAATCAACCACTTAGGATGACGCGCTGCCTCCGGTCACGGGCAAATTAAGCTCATGGATCATCAGAACTCCGAGATTGTAGGACCAAGGAAGGATCTGCGGCGCAGTTCAAGGTACAGCTAGTCAGACTTTGACGAAAAGCTGCGCCCCTGTCAGGTGATTTCATGCGCCAAACACGGGCACTGCAGCCACCACAAAACCAGTGACCGCAACCAGTAGCTGTGTCATCTGATATCGTTGGCCTGAGGCACTGATTGACGATATTAATGAACATTGATGCAGCACACGAGGACACGACAAAAATACGCGGTGCCCCTATGCGTACCATGACGACATCAATATGGACCATGAGCTATTTTATTAAACCCTCCACTCTCTTTAAATGAATTATCTTCCGTGCTAACTTTGTCTTGTAGTCACGAATTCAACATTTAAGCGCTGCGTTGGCCGCAGCGAGCCTGGGACCGCCTCGGCTCTGGGACCCCGTGGACGACAGCAAGAGAAAAAGCGGAGTGCAATGCCAGTGATTACTGTAACAGAACCCAATATCAGTGGTCATGGCAAGTCTATCAAAAGACAAGGATACCGTCCGCTCGACACGTGGCATAGATCTCCAAGCGATAAAGAACCGAGACTCTAGAAGTGAGTCCACGCAGGTGGCACCCGTCTCATCCAATTTACAACAGCAACGCGACAGTCCAGGGGGCATCCAATGTGTTTAGTCGAAATCAGTAGTCCCACCTTGCAAGTTGCCTACCACGGAACACCGGATCGAAAACAAACGTTCGAGTCTTCCTTTGTAATGCGCGAGACGGTCCGTTTACCGTCCGATCTCGGTTGCGGAATCTAGAGTTTGTATTCTTATCCGTGGTATGTCTTTATTTCGACCGTGTAGTTTCATGGCCTTGTCGGAGCAGCATAAGCTCAATTTCTATTCCTGTGCACTGATTATTAAACACCATTAAAGCATGGGAACTTTTGAGTACCTTATAGTTATTCATACCATCACCATGGCCTCTGTTCCATCTGCAAGTCAGTGGGGATCCCCTATTGCAAGCAAGAGAGCACTCCTCATACATGGTGGAAACTCGTCTTCGCACACGTTCCACCGTGTTGCATCGATGCTTGCGGCCAAAGGTGGGTCTTCTTCGCTTAAGTATTTTTACAGCGCTTATCAATGCATGATAATATCATAGGATACTTGGTCGTTGCTCCTAACCTCCTTGGACATGCTCTCAGGATGCCTGGAGTTGACTTTCGAGCCCAGACATTGGCTGACGACCTCTTGCCTTATCTTCAGGCTGCTGAATATGATATAGTCATCGGCCACTCAATAGGCGGACTCGTAGTACTATCGCTTCTCAAGTACCTGCCGAGAACCAGGCCCGTCTCAGTAGTTCTCATCGATACATCCGTGGAGTTAAGTGCGGAGCAAATGGCAGTAGTTCGGAGAGCCAAGGTACCTAACGATGTCCGAGCCAAACCTAACCCCACAGTAGAAGATTACATGGCATCGAACCCTCTATGGACAAGAGAGGATGCCATTTGGAGATCGTTGGGGATCCAGATCGGTAGAGCGACCAACTACGATGATCACATGGATGTCAGTGTTTGCGAGTAACACTCCTGACTCGGAATCAACGATACTGATACTTTGCATTGCTACAGGGTAACATGCCATGGTCGTTCTCGCATTTGTTCGCAGACAGGCCTGCTGCTGCCACATTGACGATTCTGATCGCAGATCCGCAATCTCAGGCTAATGGTGCTTCGAAGCTGGAGGCTGTTGCAAAATTCAAGGAGGTCAGAGCAGTGATCGTTCCGAATGTCTCGCACTGGATACATTATGAATTCCCGGAAGTGATCGTTGAAGAGGCGCTGAGGAATATCGGCGAAGAGCAAGGCGATGGCCCGTAAGAAAGTTTACCTTCCCGGAATTATCGTGCCATTCCATTCCTCGGCTCCCACGTCAGCGGAGGAAGATCCGTACGTTTATGTCATTTTCGCTACCAGCTCTTGCAACCTTAATTTTATCGTAATGGCGGGGACTCCTGCGCCGCTGCAAAGTGGTGCTGGCATGATTGAATTTGGCAACTAAACCTAAATGCACTTACGAACAACAATACCTGGTATATATAAAAATAATTGCACTGATTGTCGGACATTGAGAATCTGTGCGGCTTCGCGGCAAGTAGAAGTGTAACCAAAAATCCACCATACAAGGGAGCAGCGAGTAAGTGAGAAAAACGGCATGAGATATCGACCGAGTACATGTCAGAAGTATCGACGAGAATGAGCATCAACTTGTCAACTTTGTAGCTGGCGTTCTGTGGTTATGGAGAAGAGAGTTGTTGATGTGTCTCCCGGTAGGTTATGCTACAATGGTCGTAATCAAATGAATACGCTCCTGCAGGTTCTGCCGAAATTTGTGCTATCTGACAGCGATAACAATTGATCAGAATCGTGTCCATAAGTGTATGCAGCATATAAGAGTTACTCATCGTCCTACAGTGTTCCCCATCCTCAGAGATATCATTCAAGGAACCCCTCAGAAGGTTCCATATTATCTCGCACAAAAATGTGATTACCCTTCCTTGCTGTTGTTATTGCTTTGACAGCATCTGTGTTTGTCAGTGCACGTAACACCAAGTGGCAACCTTGTCAAGTACCAGACTTTGACTATTGCTGCAAAGGCTTGGTTTGTCTCGATGATCCTGTGAGTATGAGCAGGTTGTTGTACAACCAGGATTCAGCCACATGACTCATCTGCACGCCTAAGGATGGAGGTGACAGCTGCCAAAATGTCGAATGATGCAGATTTCTGCATTGACATGAATTGTGAATTTTGCGTGAGTATGAGCAGGTCGCCGTGCAACCAGGATTCAACCATATGACTTACCAGTGTGCGGCGCCTCAGAATGGACGTATGATCCACGTGCAGTTTGAAAATCGAGCTGACAGCCCGAGCAGGCCGTCGCAACAGTGATGTTTCTGCTTTCGCTTTGGTATCATGCTTAAAGGTGCAATACCTAGTTCGGAGACAATCAGTATAGTAATTTGTGGACAAATTTTCGTACTGCTCGAGCAGTTAATGTGGATGTCTGAACTTATCTGAAAATGATCGAGCGTGCCCAGTCTTGCTCGTGGTCCACTAAGCTGGAGTTTGAGAGACTGTCGGAACGAGCGATCATTGCTTGATGATTAATATTGGGAGGCCGTACGAAGATTGAACGCACTGCACAGACACTCTTGAATCTGTTCGTCTAACGTTAGCCTTGTAGACTAGCGCGTGGATCTCTCTCTGTGTGATGGAGCCAACGAGACACCACTTCGTTGCCGAACGTGATTCGTGACAAACATGTTGTTCTCTGGTATGCAGTCGAAGTCCAAGGTCATACGGGAGCGCGTATTATGATGAGAGTGACAAAAGAGGGTGACAAAGATAAAGATAGAGAGGATTAATATTACTGCCCAGTGCCGCACTGCGCACTGCGCAGTGATTGACATCAAAAGGTAGTGTGGTGTGGGACTCGGTGAGAGTTTGAAAGTGGTTCTCCTCACCGAGCGAGCGTTGGATGGGATGAGGGTATTGATTATGTATATAACCCTAAGTGAAACTGATTCAAATAACGGTCAAATATTGAATGAGGTTCAAAGAAGAACGGACAGTATTCAGTACTGTGTTGACATACCTGCAGACTCACTATTACTTACTAGTACTCTTTCTGTTGTCTTTGCTTCTTGGTGCTCACTACTTTCGTCAACGCTGTTCCTTGTCTCCGAGGAAGTATAGGGTCATCGGGGTATGCCATGGAATTGTTGTGGGTGTAGAGCGAGTTGTGACCATATATAGCTACTATATATTCCAGGTATCTTCGTCGAAGCGCATGCCGAGAATAAGAATGTGTATCAACTTCCTCACTATGCGGCAGTTGCAGGGTCGCCAGCCTACTGATGATATTAGTAGGCGAATTGCAGGTACTACACGATTTGGGGAGCAACGAGTAAGTGAGAAAAATGGCATGAGATATCGACAGAGTACGTATCGAGAGTATCATCAAGAATGAGCAGCAACTTGAACTTCTTAACTTTGTCGCGCCACTGGCAGGGTTATTGCAGGTTCAAATGATGAAGCGATGAATGAGAGGAGACCGGGGATAAGAACGAGCGTTCTGGGGTTACAAAGAAGAGAATTGTCGATGCTTGCCAGCAGGTCACCTGGTACAATGGTCGTAATCAATCGAACACGCTCCTGCAGCAAGTTCTACCGAAATTTGTGCCGCCTAACAGCAATAACAATTCTGCCAAATCGATCAGAATCCTGCACGTAGTATATGCAGCATATAAAAGCTGGCCATCGTCCTACAGGGTTCCCCCATCCTTAGAGATATCCCCTTCAAAAGACTTCCATATCACCTCGTACAGAAAATGCGTTTCTCCCTCCTCGCCGTTGTTGTTGGTTTGACAGCACCTATGTTTGTGAATGCATGTTTGGCCGCAAATCATGCTTGCAATATAGATACACCAAATGACGATTGCTGCGGTAGCTTGCTTTGCTTAACTAATTCCGTGAGTATGAGCAGGTCGCTGTGTAACCAGAACTCAGCCACATGACTCACCTGCGCGCCTTAGAGTGGAGGTTTGTCCTGTCAGTAGTACTCCGTTGGAAATTGTGCAGCCCAAGCGGCACGTCATGATAGTAAGTTATATTTTTGCTTTCGCTTTGGTATCATGGCTGATGGTGTAATACCTAAGCGTTGCACGATGCCGCTGTGAAGTCATTGCGGAAGAAGATTTCACTTCAACGAGCGGCGTCCATTATAAGCTCAAATTCCATTCCTGTACACTGCAGCTGATTATTAAACACAAGTCGACGCTTGAAGCATGGGAACTTCTGAGTACCTTAAAGTTATTCATAACACCATGGGCTACGCATCGGCGACAGTCCCGTCTGCAAGTCAGTGGGGATCCCCTATTGCAAGCAAGAGAGCACTCCTTATACATGGGTTAAATTCGTCTTCGCACACGTTCCACCATGTTGCATCGATGCTTGCAGCCAAAGGTGGATCTTCCGCGTTTGTATTTTTACAGCGCTTATCGACGTGTGATAATATCATAGGATACTTGGTCGTTGCTCCTAACCTTCTTGGACATGCTCTCAGGATGCCTGGAGTCGACTTTCGAGTCCAGACATTGGCTGACGACCTCTTGCCCTACCTTCAGGCTGCTGAGTATGACATAGTCATTGGCCACTCAATGGGTGGGGCCGTGGTATTATCGCTTCTCAAGTACCTGCCCAGGACCAGGCCTACCTCAGTAGTTCTCGTCGATTCATCTGTGGAGTTGACTGCAGACCAGATGACGGTTCGGAGGGCCAAGGTTTATAACGATGTCCGAGTCAAACCTAACCCCACAGTAGAAGATTATATGGCATCGAATCTTCTATGGATGAGAGAGGATGCCATTTGGAGATCGTTGGGGACCCAGATCGCCAGAGCAACCAACTACGATGATCATATGGATGTCAGTGTCTGCGAGTAACACTCCTGAATCAGCGATACTAATAGTTTGAATGGCTACAGGGCAACGTACCATGGTCGTTCTCGCATTTGTTCGCAGACAGGCCTTCGGCTGCCGCGTTGACGGTTTTGATCGCGGATCCGCGATCTAATGGTGCTTCGAAGCTGGAGACTGTTGCGAAATTCAAGGATGTCAGAGCAGTGATTGTTCCAAATACCTCGCACTGGATACAGTATGAATTCCCGGAAGTGATTGTGGAAGAGGCGCTGAGAAATGTCGAAGGGTAAGATGTTGCAAATGTCATGCCATTATATTTACATAATAGAAAAGCACACATTTCAAGTAGCGCTCAGCTTTGATGTTCATCCCATCCCAATGTTTCTGCATGTAACAATTGAGTCCGAGCTGTCCGAGCATCGTACCAGTATGTGAACATATGACTTGAATGACCGATTAACGCTACCTCGAGGATTTCATCCAAGTCATGCTCCCGTTGCGGGCTTGCTACCATCTAAAGGCAGCAGACAAACCGGTGAGTTCTGGTCAACTTTCGTCCCTCGTATTTGATCATGAACCGTGTCAGACAACACCTTACAGTAACGAGCTATGAAAATCCTGAATCCTCGCGATCCCGATCATTGTGAAGTCTTAAGTTCTAGAGAAGCTCAACCCCAAAAATCTGATTTCGAAGCACCAATTCGAAGGACGTGGCAAGACTTTGTTTTCTTACACGACAACATCTACATCGTGAATGGTTTCGACGACGACACGATGCGCAAGTGGAACTCCAACACATGACCTCTTGTCAGGAATCACGGAAAAGCAAGGGGGGAAGGTGTGCACTAGTGCTTTCTCCGGACGGCAAGACGATTGCATGCGGGAGAAGTGATGAAACGGAACACGGACTGAAAGATGACGCAAGATGCTTGGATGGGTTACGACCAAATATGGTTACTCTAGTGGTTTCCCAGCGGAACCACAAAGAGCAGAAAGTGGAGAAGCGGAGGCGGTGTCTAAGCAGAATGGTGTGTCTACTCTTGCATATTCACCGTCGGACAACTCGAACACAATCTGCATTTGGGACAAGAAGACAGGGGAACTGGTTGGTAGTCCCCATACGATAACTTTTTCGAGGTAAACCTCGTGTTTTGTCATGCAAGTGCAGTGTTGATGATAATCATCCATATCATTTTTGGCACCATCTGGTTCCTCTTATCGTCCCCGGTGTCCCCTTTCCATTATCCGCTTCTGGAACATCTTGATCGCTCATCGGCGCTTCTAGATAGCAAGAGAGCTTATTACGCAACGACACCTCAGGCGCAGTCTGTTCGGTGTCACACATGACCGAGGCCCGTAACAGTTTCCGCCGGAAGAAAAAAAACAAGCGAGCAGTCTACTAGGTGTTCCTCGTTCTCCTGTATACATGACCGAACCCTACAGAGGCTCTGGCTTGCACGTCACCCTGAGAGCACCGCTGATGCTCAGACTAGTCAGCCATCAACCACAGCTCAGTTGGATTCTGCAGCGTAGCCACACTTGATGTCACGGCCACGTCTCCCCCAGACACCGGCGGCAATACAACGCCCTGCTCAAGAAGATTGCTATGACTATGGTTGTTGGGACAACTATTGCCTTACTCTCTGGTGCATCCCTCATCGCCTCTTCGTATTGTTTCCTCCACACAGCCTGTCGCCTCATGATATCAACTTGGCAGGTGCTTTTTGTTGTTCCTGTATCTCGATCTGTTTTCAACGACTTTGCTTGACTACCGCTCGTTTTTCAAGATTTCATTGGTTTGTTTGGGTATTCATCCCACGATTTTGATGCTACCCCTAGAATCTGCATGCGGCTGATGCTCCGCCCAGTAGATTATACATAAGATGATTCTATATTCCAAGGCATCAACTATGCACCAAATCCATCCATCCTCTCTCTCTAGATGTTTTATCTACACGGCGGGATGCAAACGAGACGCTTGTGACTTCGTACTGGCGTTTTAAAATCATGATGCCACGCCCCGAACAGAGATCCACGGAACATCAACTTCAAACCAGGGTAAGCATAATGTTAACAATCATGAGATATGCAGCAGCCCAAGTATCCCCATGCACAGCATACTATCTTTATGCATGAATATAATCCTTGTGCAGCACCAAAATAACGTCAGTGCTTGCTGAAGTGGAATAGGACGAAATAAGTATTAGCGAAGCTGGGCATCGAGGAGTATCGAGCGTGTATCGTGTGTGATATCTGATTAGTACTTCCATAAGATGTAGACATCAAAAGCGAGACCTCAGGAGGTACTGTCATGAACACAGGGCAGCCTGCCGCTCCCCGCGCCTGAGCCACGACGAGCCATGTGCGACGCGACGATAGTGTGTTGCCCTGGGCATACATACTGCCGAAGGCCGTTCATCGGAATAGTAGAGACTAGTGCATATTGCATTATGGAATGAGTCATACATTGACACCATCGATGAGAGGATGAAGTTGGTATGAAAGTCGAACTTGTGAGCCGGGGTTGCGATAATTTCGAGGATGTCACGGTGGACCGGCAATTGGCAAAACTAATATCTGAGAGGCATGTGTCCGATCTGCTCCATGAGTGCGAATGGTCACGAGAATGCAATGCTGTAGAGTCCTCCAAAATAATGTCACACTTCCGGCGGGAAGCCCGCTAGCAGCTGCACTGATATGATTCTGGGATCCCGTAGTAAGACTGCAAGCACTGAAATGAACCCTGATACCTGATGTGTGCGGCAGACGCCCCCCTATCTCGCTAACAACGTGCTCAATATTTGCCCGGTAGTGTGAGGATTTCTTGGGCTTTCACAAATAAATCGCTCCACTGCTACCATGGTCAGGGTAAATGAGAATCGAAGGTCGTCGTAGACAACAGACAAAAGAAAGGGACTTACACAATCTATTTTCGCAGAGATGATCGCAGAGAATGAAAGTTGCACTTGTCTCGATGAGCGCCTCATGGACAAAAACAGCCTGCAACCGAGTGGCGATCACTAACACGTTTCGAAGGTGCGCTGCCGAGAAACTCCAAAAGACAAGAGTTCATCTTCCCTTTCATACACCTTCAAATTCCAGCATCCCTTACAGCTTCCCTCACCATTCCGCAAATTCCTGATGATTACGCCTGTATTTTCTGCAGCACATTCTTCTCGATGGGAAAACGTAAGCGACGACAACCGTCGTCGCCCGCGTCGTAAACGAACACGACTATCAGATGGATCGGAGGACCAGACAGAGACAGACGTTGACGTTGATTATGAACCTTCACCTGCACCGCGTAGAGTGAAGCCTTTGCCTGCCCATGTGCATGGCAATCATCGTCAACAGTCCGACGGAGAGCTCCCTCCCACACAAACATCTACAAAAAAAAGTTCGCACGGTCAGTACATACCGACGGGTGACGTGGCCACAGCTTGCAAGTTTAGACCTTCTCATATACCACCACGTACACTCAGATTCTGCAAAAATGGCGGTAAAAACGCATGCTTGGATTACCTTTTGGTTTGTCCTCACTGCGCCTGTCGTCCTCTGGGACGCGGGATACTGTTTCATGCGGTAGGTATCCTTACCTTTGTCTCATGCTCTCATGTTAACGGGATCATGCAAGTCCACGATCCATGCTTGGAGGAGACCTCCACTGGATCTGGAAACCGTACGAAATTTACCAGAATATTGATTATGTGAGTGCACTTCCCTAACAAATTACGTCCTGTCATCGACGGCCTTCACCAGGTTTATGGTATTAAAGCTCTAGAGGAGAATAATGGGTTCACAAACGCACAATGTGCGTGCCTTTGGTGCTTAATTACTCCGACTCACCAACTCCCCTCCTTTAGCTTTCCTCAATATCGTCGAGACATTCATGAGTCTCGCATACGTGTACTTGGCACATATCTCGGGCTGGTCCCCTGCCCCCCTCATCGGGTTTGTGACAGCGAGCATGACGTTGTCTAAAACAGTTTTATACTGGGCACAGGAGTACTATTGCGGCTTCTGTGCCATCGGACACAACACCGTGTCCGATCTAATCATATACTGGATCATACCCAACGGGTACGTGTGTTCGTTTTTTATTAGTTTGACAGGTCATAATGGGTCTTTTCGGTGTAGATTATGGATCGTTGTCCCTAGTTTGATTGTCGTGAGACTAGGGAAGGATCTCGTTGCCTCACTCCACGTTGCAGAGCGCGCTGCGACCAAGGCTGCTTCTGGAAAGCAGAAATGATGGATTCCCCAGACTATCGGATCCAGGACGAGGATGGTTTATTTACAGTTATAACCTATCGATTTATGTACGCCTGATTGTGGTATCTATTGTTCTGGAATGGACTTGGCTTATTGCTTGCGTTTTTTGATGTAATTCAGTCCGGAGTTTGTCGCGTGGGTCGCGCCAGGTGATCCCTCCCATGCGATCGAGGATTTATCCTTCACACGTCTCTGATGATGATCGCACTTTGTCCTTTTGGATGGGGAATGTCCTCTCTTCAGCACCCGATCGCGGCCTTGTTGTTTTGCTCCTGATCACCCGTGCATCATTAACATAACGACAGGCGAATACAGTATGATATAATACATACGGGTCAAGCCACCGCTCTAGCTCAAAGGTACTCATCCTATATATGCGAGCTTTTCTCGCATCCTCGGTGGCGAGACGAGATGCGACCAAATGGATTCCACGGAATCGCCAGTGTACATGAAGATCCTTCGCTTACTTGGGCTTCTCCCCGAGGACGAAAGGATCCTACAGGATCATGCGTGTACAAGGATAATAATATTCCACGTTTCATTCCACATTGTGTTACATTCAATAACTATACATACACCAAAGAAATAAAAAGTCCGGAGAGATGCCTCACTAATATGTCACAAAACAAAAACGAAAATATCGAGTGGCGCAATCTCAGAAGTATGAGACAGCGACGATGACAACAACACAACAGGCAACAGGAAAGATGAAACAGCCCAATGCCAGAAAGGTGAGCGTGAGGTATGCGGTGTGTTTAATAAGTACACGATGAGTGGACATCTGTTGTCGTTGTGAGAAACGAGGCTAAGAAAATGAAATACTTCGTTTGCGTGTTTGTTTGATGCGCGCGGTCGATCGAGGGCTTGCTTCTTGCGAGCCTATACCAGGAGGGAATCAATCCATCTCCATGTCCATTTCCATACCATCCCACTGTTCTTGAGACTTCTTCTTCACCATGCCCGAGCCAATACCCTCCTCCTCAACCTCCTCAGGCACGCTGAATGACAACACAGCATCCTCTTCCTCGGATTTCCACCTGAACCGTGTGCCGCTCACCCGCCCGTGGATGTGCATATTCGCAGATGCGATATCATCAACTTCGGCAAGCTCGCCGTCGTCGCTTGAATGAGAAGAAGCAGACATCGAACGCACAGACGAGCGTGGGTGGGACCATCCCGAACGTGAAAGGGATGCAGATGCGGACAGGAATGACGAAACGCCGTAAAATGAGGATGAGGTCGGCGAGCCCCAAGACTCTGAGTGCACGCTAACAGAGCCAAGAGCCAATAGGTTCCTTGCGTCGGCATCTGTAGGAGCGGCAGGGACTGGCACTGGGGAGCTTGGCGCACGCGAGTTCGGGGTGGTAGGTACGCCCAGGAGGCCTGGACGCAGCTGTGTGATGCCACCTGGGCCGGTGGCTTGGGGAATGGAGTAGTCGTGGAGACGTGGTCCGGTTGAGCCTGCGCGGCCCGAGCTGCTGAGGGCGGAAGTCGCCGGAACAGAGCTGGATATCGGTTTCGAAGGAGACGAAGTGCCAGATCCTTCGTGTGCGCTCCCGGGAGCGGGAGGCGGGACTATGCCGCCAGAGAGAAAGGTAGGCCAAAGGGAGCGATCTTCGGGAAGTGATGTCCCGGTTGTAGACGAGGGTGAAAGATGCGACAATATGGCGGCAGCCTAGGAAATTTTTATTAGCACCTTTGTCAGCTGTCAAGCCAGGGGTAATGACCTCCAACAATTGGACTTGCTGATGTTTGCTAAGTACAAACTTGGAGGCTTCGCGCCACTGGGGTGTATGTTCCCACCGATGTTTAATGAGACAAGAAGGATGCCGGTAGACCTGAGGCTCGTGGTCAATTTCTACTTGAACAGTTCAAGGTACGAAAAAGCTACCTTCGAGCAGCTCTCGCACGTAAATATTGTGCCGCGCTTCTTTCCGTTCTTCGCGACACCGCCGTTCGTACCCAGACTGCTATGAATAGGAAGCGATGCCGACAATTCATTGTCGTCAAAGCTCCCGCCTTGTAGTGCAGCATCAGACCCCTGCACCACAGCAATGTGATCAGGTCCTTGTGCTTCAAGGACACTTCGGGATACCGCGTTCAGGGAAGTGCCGTGATGGATATTACTGCTCGGAGGCGAAGAGGAAAGAGACAGGGTGGCAAGTGAGGATAAAGCCGTGCTCTGCAGGGACGCTGGTCTAGATGCCAAATTTGTGATGAAATTCGGATTAAGGCAGCGACAGCACATAAGGTGGGGGAGAAGAATAGGATATGGGGAAGCTAAATGCAGAACTTACAAAGGTCGTGTAGCTGCATCTCGCGCATCGCTCAGTCTCCTTCTGGTCTTGCCAGTTGACGACAGGCGGCGGTGCTTGGGACCAAAGTTGGTCCCAGATACTACCGTGACAAAGATTGGTAAGTACTTTGCACCGCAACATCCCACATCATCGTACCATGCAATGGTTGGACAACTATGTCCACAGACTTTGATACGGATATTGGCGAAGCACTCGCGGCAGCAACAGAGAGGGAAAGTAGACTCAGGTTTGAGTGATCATTCTGGTAGGATATGAGTGAGTTTTGCCTCGTGGAAACAGCATAACGTGGAATGACGATTGACTCACGGAATTTGGGGAACTTGCTGGTGATGGAGAGCTGGAATCCGAGGTACAAGACATGATAGAATTTACAAGAACTAATACAAGCTCATGACAGAACAGAGACAAGGGAACACGATGTTCACAGATTGGCGCAATAGTCTCGCATATGTGCCACGAAATTTCAACGTCCGCCAAAAATTTGTTCCCAAAGGGTCCAGTGACAGGGCGCTCGCTACTGCGCAACAAAGGCTACGACGCCGCCGACAATCCTTACAAAGTGCTGAAGTACCTTAATCGGTCATCCCTCTCTGCAGAGTTACAGGTCTATATAAGCTATATCCTGGGGTTGATCTGCCAACAAGTAGTAGTCATCCATATCTGGCTCGAATCGGCATTCCTTCCGACCCACACCAAAATAGCGACCGCGGAACTTTATTGCATAAGGACCTAATGGGCTTGTACGACACATGATCCAAAGCCCAGCCGGACTCCAGGCTATCCAAATCTAGCATGCGGCAAACGATATGCACGACAGACGATGAAACCATGTAAAATAAGAGCTGGACAAAGTTTTCTGGACTACAATGGGAATCATGTGGTTGTGCCTTGTTTGTCGGCAGCTTTGAATGCTAACAAACCACAACAACGCCCAACTAAAACATAACAAAAACACAAATATATCTTTAGCAGCAACTGGTTTCGATCCAGTGACCTCAGGGTTATGAGCCCTGCACGCTTCCACTGCGTCATGCTGCTGTGTATTTCATACCCAGCAATGGCCTAATTGATGGTCTGGGCATATATATCTATAGTTCTACTTACACCGAGTTCAACGCGGCAACCTCCCTACGAGTAGAACTTCGAAACACCCATATACATACATCAGATTTCTGAATCATTGTTGCATGTAATACCACAAGTTCACTCTTCTCCCGCACTTCCAATATGCAATTCACAAACCTTGTCCTGACCTGGACAAACGTTATCTTGTGACTTGCAGTTGAACTCGATATACAGCTATCTCGAAGATAGGCGATGTAATCGGCGGCGGCGAGTTAGATACGCATGTTCTGAAAGAGCTCTAGAAGTCTAGAACAATTGAAATGGAGGAATCCCCTATCAATTGCATTATAACAGCACTAAGACACTGCATTGACGGAGCGCTCATTGCTACTATTACTAAAAAAGCTATCCTTGTTCGTCACCGCAAGAAACTTCTATCAGGCTAGACTAGATAGCGCAATTGTGAGATACGGGCAGCTTGAGCCATGTTACAGCACTCCAAACCTTTGCAAAACTTCTCATTCGCACGACACAGCACAAAACCCTCAATCCAAGTGATCCAGCGTGATGGCAGTGGTGCTAGATCGGACGAACAAAGAGCGAATAGCATCAAGCACAACAGCAGATGCGGAGCAGCAGGAACAGCAGATGCGGCAAGTCTTGAAATAAATCATTTCTGTTGGAATATTAATGTCCAATGAAAATCTATGAACGGTTCGACGACATTAAACACAGCAAAGAGAAAGGCACATAGGCGAGGCACAAAAGCAAGCAATGCAGGAGCCGCATGTATGGAAGCCTAGGACGTACGCATACGTACCCCCTTTTCACAAGCCACGAGATGCCCAAATCATTGCACTCTAAGCGCATTTCGCATCTTTGGCACACCCCGTTGCACCCACTCCGAGGGTGACACGCGTTCCTCTGTATCCAAGCTTGCAAAAAGGAGGTCGTTCTCCTCGGAGAACGCCCACACACTAGGGTCAGGTGCAGGCATCGCCATGATAGCGAGAAGTTCCTTGCCTGCATGGGGATGTCAGTGGCGGTCCTGCGCGAGTGCAAGCGTTCTTACGTATTATGTTGTGTACGAAGTGATCCATGTTCTGAAATTAAAGTTTGTCAATATCAAATTACCTGAGCATGTCCGAGGCAGCGATTGACCGGACAGCGCGTACCAGATCATTTTTGTCATATCCTGGGTGGATTAAGCGCATCGATATTGAGTATGCCGGACACGGGCCCCGTTATCATGGAACAGAACTTACCAAAGGGATCTGGGAAGGTACGTTGTGTCGGATGATGCAAAGTAATGAAATTACATCACGCACTTTCGATCTCTTCACCGGCAACAAGGAAGCCAAAGAAGATAAAACTCTATTTTATAAGATAAGCATTGAACGATAGGGAGATGCGACTCCGGACAGGCGTGTGATGTGATGGCAATGATCCTATCAGGACTTACCGCGAGAACAGTGGCAGGGATCGTGACCCATTTCAACGTTAACCAGACCTGGAATGGCTATAATTGTGGAGGTCGTCAATGGCTGCATGGGAGAGGACAGATCCTCCGTACCAAAGCCAAACAATACACAACAGTTACTAGCCACAAATGAATGGAATATCTATGCTAAAATGAGTTCCCCGCGAGAGCCATGATGTCAGGGCTTACGAAAATGGTATTGGGGTAGTGAGGATCCTTTCCAGACCAGTTAGAGCATCTACAAGCTGGGTAATTGTAGCGAGTAAAACAGCTGCGGGTTCAATAATAAGAAGTCTGTACATTTGGGGACAGCGGTGAACGGACTGGTAGTTGGTGCATCGACAACCTTGCGAGATTGCAGGGCAGAGACGTAAGAACCCTAAGGTACCAGATTCAGATCTTGAAACACAGAACGTTACGGAAAACACCAACCAAATACAACGAGATTTCTAGAGGAATGTTGGACAAATGTTGACTGCCCATCATGGCTCTCCGTTTCGCCGCCCTTCTTCCTTTCACAACATCCCCGTTCTTACGCAGCCCATCCTTAGTCAGCATCCGGACCAGTAACGAGAATGGGAAGAAATCTAGCAGCGAGTACTTGGGAGGATTCATAGCAGGGAATAGGTCAACGGGGGCCGTAGAAAATTTTACGCCCCTTTGGGGACGCCCGTCGGTGTGAAGTATCTTTTCCGTCGCAAAAGTCGCATCCCGGAGCGAAGGTGTAGGAGCGGTAGCCGGAAGCGGAAGTTGACCCGGAGCCGGTGTTCTCCTCGTGAGTGATCCATGGAAGTGCCCCGAATGTGGTGATGCAGGAACACCATCACTTGTGATACTTGTCCGATCGAGATCGACGGAGGAAGGGATTGTCGGCGGAAACGGATACTTAGGAAGGAATTTAACCAAGTAATACAGATCCTCATAGTAGATGCCGTCTTCGCCACGCAAATAATGCTTAACGGCGACGGCAAATGCTTCGAGCAGGTTCACGACGGTTTTCTTCTCGATCAGAGTCTTCGATTTGTATTCCTCATTCTGCTGGTCTGTGAGTGCCTGAGCACTCGGATACGCGTTGTCTATAAGCGGGAGATCAACCATCATCGAAGATAGCCACGAGGCCAGTGTGTACCTGGTACGTGTAACCACACGGTGCGAGCGAAGGTACGGCTTCCAAGCACAATCTGTGACCAAAGCCTTCGTCCCTCATTGTAACGTTCGAAACTGGAAGTAGTCCTGTAGGAAATGACAAAACCAAGGATAGTACCAAATCTAGACAAGAGCTGTAAATGACCTTGGCATCTCCGAGTATGAGGAGTGAGACATACACGGTGATAAGAGTTGGCTGCAATGCTAGTAAGCCATGGCCCTTATAGTTGATCACGCAGATAGCAGTCGACCAAGCACCAAAGAAGATTAGGATGTGCCAGCATCTGAAGAGGGCTATGGCCAACAACGCATTCCCAAACAAAGACCAGGTATTAGACGGTCCTAGTGCGTCCGAAGAACTTGGATTGTGAATATGAGCGCCCTGGTAATTGAAGGACATGAGAACCTGTCAGTACACCCGCACTGCGCAGTGGGAGGAGTAAAACAAAAATGAGAAGCGGCATCGGCATCGGGTAACCCGGTGGTTTGTTCCTTCAGGGTGGATTACGTAAATGTGATTACGGGGCCTGTAGCATCACTTTTTATCATAATATTTGCTTTTAGCGACGAAAATTTGGACATGTTCTGCAAGTAATTGTCATGCAACGGTATATAAAAACAATATATCTTTCTCACCAGTAGAGGCCATCTCTATGGACAAAAATACTTACGTTGGAAACTCGGCGAGATTTTATGCAAATACTAAGTACAAAATTTACACAGATCCGGCGGGGGATGGGGTGGTCGTTAGGCGCGTACAGCTGGGAAAATATCTCTGCCTGCAACCAAGACCTTTTTGAGGTAGTACTAGGACCTTATAATCAGCAAGCCAATACCGTCCAGAGCGTGCATAATCTTACCTGTTCTTTTGAGTCGAACAAGATGACCATTCCGCATCAACAAAGAGAACAATAGCAACCTCAAGGATTTGGCGCCACGCAGCGCTCAGAGTCCGAGTCAGCCCGTTACATAACGTTTCCAACTTAAGGCGTTAAATATTTCATTGGACCAGTGACAGCTAGGACACAGGTGATTGGCGGAGAAGAAGAGACTGATCTGGCAGGAGATTATCTGACTCGGCGATCAACGTGACCAGCGGCATGCGAGTCAGATCAATTGGTTTCTCCACTACAATCTGCACATATCCTCGAACTCCTCGAAACTTTCATCTGTTCGTATCAACGAGGCGTTACAGTCATTCTGATATGTCGGTCGTCAATAGATCAGTCCATCCGTTCGACAAATCCCGTCTGGATGCTCTGCTGAATCGCAGATTTTTCTATGCACCAGCTTTTGAAATCTATGGCGGTATGCGACACATTATTATTGTGATCTACAACCGTGATATTGACAACCTGCATTCACAGGTGTTGCTGGCCTCTACGACTATGGTCCACCAGGCTCGTCATTACAAGCCAACATCATGGCGGAATGGAGAAAGCATTTTATCATTGAGGATCATATGCTAGAACTCGATACCACTATCATGACCCCTGCTCCCGTCTTTGAGACATCTGGCCACGTCGCTAGGTTTGCAGACTGGATGGTCAAGGACACCAAGACCGGCGATGTCCTCCGTGCAGATCACCTCGTCAAAAGCGTCCTAGAAGCGCGTCTTGCTGGCGATCGAGAAGCTCGTGGGTTGGCTGCCCAGCCGAAAGATGATGAGAAGGACAAAAAGAGGAAGAAAAAAGCGAAGACTGTTGCAGTTCAGCTTGCAGATGAGCTTGTGAAAGAGTTTGAGAGTATCCTTGCCCAGGTGCGTCATTAATCTCTCGTGCGATGCTTCTTCATAACTCTGGCAACAGCTAGATAACTATTCTGGTCCTGAAATCGGCGAGCTCTGCCGAAGATATGATATTCGTAACCCTGATACTGACAACGAGGTTGGCGAACCTCAGCAATTCAATCTGATGTTTGCTAGCAGTATCGGTCCCACAGGTCAACATCCTGGGTAAGTCCACTCTCCGTCCGTGTATCAGGGATCTTGAAACACGTTGTCCAAGTTACCTCCGGCCAGAAACCGCTCAAGGCCACTTCCTCAACTTCTCTCGCCTTCTCGAATTCAATAACGGTCGTGTGCCGTTCGCATCCGCTCAAATTGGTCGTTCCTTCAGAAACGAAATCTCTCCCCGCGCTGGCTTGCTTCGGGTTCGAGAGTTCACCATGGGTGAAATCGAACACTTTGTTGATCCCGAGGATAAGAGCCACGAAAAATTCCGCGAAGTGCGCGATACCGTGCTCAGCCTCCTCGATCGACATGTGCAAGTCAGTGGCAGTACTCAAGTGACCCAGATGACTATCGGCGAAGCTGTAGACAAGGGCATTGTAGCAAATGAGACACTTGGCTACTTCCTTGTCCGCATCCATCTTTTCCTTATTAAGATTGGTATCAACCCCAAACGCCTGCGGTTCCGCCAGCACATGGCGAACGAGATGGCACACTATGCTGCGGATTGTTGGGATGCAGAGATAGAGAACGCGACAGGGTGGACCGAGTGCGTTGGTTGTGCGGATCGAGCTGCCTATGACCTGTCAGTGCACTCGGCAAGGACTGGCCAGCCGCTTGTTGTCAGACAAGCGCTGAAGGAGCCGATAGTGACCGAAAGGGAGGTACCAGAGTTCAACAAAAAGGTCGTTGGCAAGACTTACGGGCGCGATGCTGGCCTCCTGCAAAAGGTCGTCGGTGAAATGGATGAATCCCAGCTTACCAAGCTTAAGGGTCAACTTGCCCAAGGGTCCGTATCAACTTCTATCCCTCACCTTCATAGATTCAATTGGGCTCTTTGTACAGCCAAGCAACAATTTCGGCCGAAGGGAAGGAGTTCACCATCACCCCCGATCTGCTAGCGATCGAACGCAAGACGTTTAAGCAATCGAGTGCGCTTGCCTTTTGTGCCATGGGTTCGCCCGATTTAACCTTTTACTATTTCTTGCAGTTCGCGAATTCACACCAAATGTCATCGAGCCTTCATTTGGCTTCGGTCGCATTCTTTATACTTTGCTTGAACATAGTTTCTGGTGCAGAGAGCAGGATATAGAACGTGGGGTGAGTATATTGGTCAATTATTTGATTAGGTGGCCCGGGGCTTACTTCAGGATGCCCGAAGGTCCTGTCACTGCCGCCTGTGGTCGCTCCCACGAAAGTTCTCATCGTCCCTTTAAGTGCCAAAGAAGAATTCAGTCCCCTCGTCCAGGAAGTTTGTGCGTCAAAACATCTGTTTTTGTACAAGCACCCTCAATGTTAACTGCGGGCTCCAGCCACCAAATTACGGAAAGCTGGTATCTTTTCTCGTGTAGATGATTCTAATACCTCGATTGGCAAACGCTACGCCCGCAACGACGAATTGGGGACACCATTTGGTGTCACACTGGACTTTGCCTGTGAGCATTTTTTTTTCATGAGCTCCGCTGACCCTGCAAACTCTAATTCGACCACAAACAGCTGTCCAGAACCGGACGATGACTCTCCGGTACGTCTGTGGCGGTCCGCGGCCGACGGTCGGCTTCTTTCTTGTGACACGTTTGACTGACTTTACCTTCTCCATGTAGTGAGCGCGACACAACAGACCAGCTCATCGGCCCCATCGACAACGTAATTGCAGTTGTCACGGACCTGGTGCAGGGCACTATTGACTGGCCAGCTGCGTGTAAGCGCCTGCCAGCATACGATGGTGTACAGGCCGTCGACTAAATTGGAATGGCTTGAATTGATGTGTAACTATGTATTACGTTCATGAGCGTCATCAACGGAATGTGGTGATGGGGTGAAAATACTCCGAGGAGAAGTGAATATAGAGGATGCCCTACTGATAGCTGATATAACGCGTGCATGCGTTAGAGGTGAACGCTCGAATCTCAGGATACGACGCTCCGACTCCGTGAAGCGTTCCATGTGACGCGCGGTCTAAGATACGAGGATTTTGTATCTTGTATCTCACACCGCGAGAGTTCTTTTCAGGAGGCAAGGAAATGAACATCGCGATCTTAATTTGCTGGAAAGAAGTTGTTCATTATGAACGATGTACGTTGTGAGAGCGGCGTGGCGTGCTTCGTCATACTCGGGGGAAGTACGGTATCTGATGGATGTCCAGTTACATCGATGAAATCATTCACGTGCATGTGATGTGATGATGGTGGTTGCCGTAAAGTCGAACACGAGTTTTACATCCCTGAAGAGATAGATATTTGAAGGTGACAAAGAAGTGGTCTTGACTGTGGAGCAAAAGGATCAGCCTTTGCTTTACCAGGGCAGACGTCGAGCACACGGGATCTCACACCCACGTTCGGTGCCGTGACGCAACTTTCGCGTTGATCTCGCACCTTGTCACCTGGGGGACATCCGTATATTCCTTTGGACTCGCAGGACCTGCAATACCGTCGGAATCGTGAGACTCACGATAGAGACTGTCAGATAAACGTCTGATAGACGTTTCAGCTGACAGAGTCAAGTGACAATGTGATTTTGATATCAGATAGGCGGCAATCAGGGGACTCAAATTTCGCCATATCGTGAGTATGATAGGTCGGGTAGCCTAGCCTCTTGTTCATTAAGTATAGAGGAACGATCGAGGACAATAATGCTTCCACCTGACCCTATGATGACGCCATTGATGAGATGTCGTACTGTCTAAGTTGTGCCGGACGGCCGGCTCCGTTGCATTGTTGTGATAATGAGGGCACACCGCGGTGGGAAATTCACGGAGCGCTGTGCAAGGCCAGAAGAAGAAAATGAAGACGGACTTGGCCGATTGGGCCATATGCAAATGTGGGACAGCGAATAGTGTGGTTCGCCCCAGCCGCATAGTGGCGAAACTTTGCTATACGATAAGTAAGATGCAACGACTCGTGGCTTTTTCACATTACAAAGTTATTATTGCACTCACATCAATGAGTGTTGGGAAGACGATGTACTTCGGTTTAATACTTGTGGACCACTGTTGAGCTTAGATCTCTTGATTGAAATTCGTGGCACTGTGAAAATGAAAGACATGAGGAACGGAAAAAAGAACATGAAAGTGATCTGGGCATTTCCTAGGAGACCGCGCACGGAGAACTGAATTAAGACGAGTCTCTATCAAAAGAGAGATATCACTACGGTGAATAATTGTGAGTGCAGGCTATAACCTTTGACATAACTGTGAAAGGACCCCCAAAATTTACGCGAAGCTTTTGACGGGAGACATGGGTAAGATGCGCCTGCAGGCATTCGAAGCCCAACTAAAATGGTAGTAAATCTTATGGTGAGAGTTAGCTTATCGTTCGTAAACGGATGTTTATGTACCAGTCGCGTTGCTTCCATGTCCGCGCACGAAATAGGACCGAAAATGAGGGTCGTCCACACCGTAAGCAGATCTAGTACCTGCACATCCCTATGAGAACAATTTATGAGAGTAACCTCGATGACCTTCCCTGATGTGACTAAATTGTGTGACTGCGGCATCCCGCGGGAAATGAATCCGGCTCTTAACGCGTTACTTTATATAAGTTCAACCTCAAACATTATATATTTCTCCTCATCCTCCAGATTTCAAGGGCTTTCAGACTCTTGCAAGGCTTCGCCTTTTGTCCTTATACTCTTCATCTCCTTTAGAAACTTCACTTAGACTTGTACCGGCTTGCTTTATCTTTCACAATGACAACACTTCAACAGTCCAACTCCCAAGGCGTTCGTGCCGACAAGCTTGTCGCTCTCCCAAGCTTGTCATGCGGTCTCTCTTCATTACCTCAAGCAAAAAGCATGGACAGCGTGTCACTACATCCAAACATGTATGCGCAGCGGGCAGCTGAAAGCGAAGCCAAGGTACTTTCTTCGCTTCTCGCCACCCGCCACTCGACATTGAACGCGTTTTTCCTCTCTTACAGCTGAAAAACGTCCTGTCCAAGACTGCTGCATCACACTCGCAGAATCCTCCACCCGTCCCTACATACATGAACCCGGTACGTGATACTAGACTAACCATTTCGGAAGATCTGTGCTGACCGCCGCCATTTTTTCTTTTGGACATTCTAGCCTCACCAAAACGCAAATTCGCCCAATTCGTCTTCGCCCTTGATGATGCGGAAATCTGTAAGTACCCGTCTCCAATTAGTCCCACTCCATTCGTCTCATTCTGGAAACAATCAGAAACCAAAATTCTCGGCCTGACTGGCCAGCCTAGACTTTCCTTTTATATTTTCCTCTGCTGGGAACTATCGTAGATCTTGCATTACCACCATAAAGCGGCACACCTTCTCATCGTCCATCCTCATCACGTTATTGCATCGCATATAGACACATCGCATACCTATATTCATACCAGGGCATCTCTTTCATTCCCCGTGGTTTTTTTTTTGTTGCTTTTGTTTTGTCCCACCGGCCCAGCGCTTCAGGTGAAGATTGGAATTTTAATACGGGTGGCGAGCTTATACTTAGCCTGGGAGGTTTTTTACTCTGCTACGGGGTCTAGTCATCATAATTTTATGGATATTGGGTTTGTTGGGCAACTGATATTGGTGTGTGAGCATCGCTGACAGGCCCTCAAACCCTCAGGCTTCAGGCTGTTGCAAGGGACGGACCTGGACAGCCTTGGATGACCCTGGCCTGAGTTAACTTGGACCCACTGTTGGGTAATATTTGCACGTGCAAACTTAATTAAGAGAGAGACTGAGGACACGGCAACTAGCACTAGTACTGTAACTTATGACCTGCCGTCTATTACGCCATAGGCTATTCGAATCACTTCCGACTGCAAGAATAAGTCTTTATCAATCTCGTAGGTCCTGTTAGGCCTGCCTCCTGAAACACTTTGATAGTGGTTTCTGATACCCGATTCAGACGGTTTCATCTTTTAGATCAGCTTCCGCCGATCTGCAACGTTGCATGGAGTAGCTTATGTGCATTGTATCGGATGCTCACTGGATCGATTGGCCTCAGATATTCTAGTAGCTTCTAATTTGCAACATGGGTCATCTGAGACGTATTCACCAGACGCACTCCCTACAGAAATTCCTGGGCGATGAGCTAAGAGTCCTCGGTCGCCGTAATAGCCAATGTACGACTACTGCCCAGATCTTGGACGTCCTTGGGCAGTAAGGGACAGAGTACTGCGTTATTTGATTATCATTGGCTTGGTGATCACCGAACTCTTGGAGTCGCGCGCCCCACAATTCTCCCCCTGGTGCTCCACGTCGTAGATTGGCATTGTCACTTTCGCTCGACATGTCATCTTCACGTGTGATCGGGAGACATCGGAGTATCCCGTACGCCCTTATTACCTTTCAGTTCTCTGAATCATTCTGTGAAGACGATTGACAAAGTAAGTATTCTTTAGCTTTTACGTTTTGCGTTCTCAGAAGCGTCATTGCCTTGCCCAATAGATACCATCTATGCTCCTCTCTTGATTCGACGCGGGGTTAAGGGCGCCGAATGCCATTGCGGCAGGCCTGAGCGAGTCCAGAACTTCAAAATTATTCTTCCGTCCATGAGAAATAATAGCTCATTTCTTTCGGTATGTTCCAACCTTTCTCGGTTTGTGTGACAGACTATCACAACTTAATCTTGTTTTTGTGGCACAGCACACGTAACTTCGCCCCCAGTTTGTGTGGACTCCCAGATAACATGTGGTTACTGTCGACGATAAGGCTATGGGGCACTGTATCGACTCCCACATGCTTTGCACCAGCCCTGTGAGGTAACATAGATTTCCTTCTTACCACTGTCCCTGAGACATATTTCGATACCTGCGCACTTTCCTTAATACGTTACAGATCTCAGAAGGCTTCGAGGGCCTTGTCGGCGAATCCCGACATGTCGTTTTCGCCACGGATCTTGGCTCTTGAACGATTCGAATCTAGTGCAGTCTTTGCGATGCGAGATTACCTCGGACGTTTTATCGAGACTTGTCACGATGGCTTTCCATAGGCAAAAATAGTATTTCGGACTTTTAAAACCATGCGAAATCGAGTGCGTTTTTTGTTCTACTCGACTGCAGGCTGATTCAAGAATTATAGTTGGAATGAACTCATTGTCTTGTGAACAACAACGCGGCGCATGCATGTGGTCTGGACTCTGTATGTTCGACAATATGGGAACCGTGAAGTTAGCCTGTGCAACAAGTTTCAAATGAGGTTCAATATATCCATAATATGGGTTTTCTGATATGCAGGGTCAACTCCTAATCGTAGGGGAAGCTAGTGGCAGGAACAAGAAGTTAGATAGAAGGTTGCGAGCTCTTTGCAGCTGAAAGAGATTAGGTCTAGCGGTTAGTGGCTAAAAATGGAAGGAAGATCGCTTATTGCGGTCAAAATACTAATGGAGGGTGAAAATGGCTCACAAGTACAAAATATGCTGCAAATGTGACGCAAATTAAGACCGATATGTCCCTCAAGTAATAATATTTCCAGCCGCCATCCAGGGCCCTATGCATGCTAGTACGACTCTCGATATTACAGCATTTGCCACCGTCGGGTAGTCAAGATTTAAATCGAGACTGTAAATGAATTATTGGTTCTATGTACTGCGCTCACGGGTTCTTTGTACCACCGTTGTCACTCGATGATGATCCGAATACTCTTCGTCACATTTTTGGCACAGTTTCACTACATGCACATGACATATCTAGATCTCATATGAGAAGCACCAACACAAACTTGCTGCATTGTGAGAACACTCCTGGAAATGAGAACTTTGCATGCAGTGTGTTCCTGTGCTGAGAAATTTTAGCGAGTTCTGTTCTTCTCATCCTCAGATTCGGTAGAACAATGTGATACCCCATCCCCTGAAGTGCCTTTGCCTTATTCGCAAACTTGAGGACCTTCCCAATTTAGGTTTTCCGTATGAAATTCGTTGTGGTGGCGATGAATAGCTCATACTAATCACGCGTACGAGGGACGTCGCACGATCGGCTACAGTAGTTGGACCACGTCAAAGCCCCCGCTTCCCTTCGCAACTACTAACCGTCCCATTCCCTCGTCGAAATCTACCCTGTCTCCACAAACACTGTCGCCACCAGGTTCAATCTCATATATGGCCTTGCCCGTCTCGAAGGCAGGGCCAAACTGCATCTCACGAGGGGGAATATACAACAGGCTTGGCTCGCACAGTCGGACCCCCCGACCAAAGACGCACAGCCCGCGCCCAGACGATCCCATGCATATTTGCGTGCATTCCTGCCCCCCTATGCTCCTGTCTGTATCTCCCGGCACATCGGGAACAAATGGAGGTAGTCGGAGAAGCTGATATGGAAAACTGGACGGATGCTTTGCCCCATTATCGTTGCTCAGCGGAATAAGCATCGACATAGCAATCCTGCCCAACTTGCCCTTGGGACGCGCAGCGATCGTGAGGGAAGGCATCTCCTGGGATGATGGGTACGCCGGCGCATCTATACCGGTCCAACCTCGAGGGACACAAGTTGTGAAGGCGACAGGTGAGCTGATGGGCTCAGAAAATATGAACACCTTGGTATGGGCAACCACCATCCGTCCCTGGGCTGGTATTTCAGGCACCGGAAATACGCTAATGCATGTCTCCCATGATACAAGTATATGGTCGGAGAAATGAACGAAGCCTAGAAATGGACCAAACTACGACAAAATCACACGGGTCTGTTATTTACAGTCGCACTTGGCTTACCAGATTGGGTATACACGGGAGCAGGGCAGTACCTTCCGTTTGGGCATGCCAATCTAAGAGCTCAAGACCGCCACCGTCCTGCTCTGACGTCGTATCTAAAAAAAGGAGGTGTCGCGATATCCCTGCGACGGTACCAGGGATGAGGGAGTAATCACATAGCTTGCTGAGGGCAGGCTTCAATGCGAGAGAGAATATAGTGGCATGCTTATTTGGTCTATCCACTGTCAGCGACCCTTTCGCTTTTGTGTCGGAAAGACGAGAGACTCACTGGTCTCTGCAACCGATGGCAATGATTCCCTGGCCCTCGGTATCCTTCGCGACTATACAAGCATCATCACTCGGTGACAACCACTCTTCAACCTTTTGGAGCTTGTATGTGGCCCCTCTCTGCCCAGAGATGAGCCAATATATCACTTTATTTCCATGGACGGTCAAGATCTGCGTTCCACCAGGGATAAGCAGGATCTGGTCTACGGTCTCTCGTTGTCTGCTCGAGGCAATAACATTGGGCGTGGATCGTGACCAACGTTTCTCGAGGGAAAGAGCCAATAATGTGCGATGCTCTAGATCTGCAGAATTCAGAGCACGGAGAGAGCACGAAGGGCCAGGGGGCGGAAGGTGACGGGCCAATACTTCAGTACAGAATGCCGCATACCAAACGCTGCGAAATCTAGACAGGAAATAATATCGTTTGGAGGTCTGAGAAAGGTGGAATGTGCGTGAGTTCGCATGTGAAAACAAGTATGATGGACTTACCCGTCTCAGCGTCAATATTTCTCGCACAGACAAGGTCTGGAAGATTCGTATGACGATATCGTCGACCAAGTTATCCAAGCTCGATGTGCAATGCATTACGGGTGGAAAGTTAGCTGTACGATGGATGAAGCAAGACCAAGAGTCTCACCGAAGAGACCGAGTCATGCCCGCTACAGCAAGTTAGGATTCAGACTAGTACTGTGTTGGAAGCTTCAAGGTCCGGACCATTTATGATAGAGAGATTTAGTAACATTCCTCTAGTGAGGACAAAGAAAGCACGGACACGAAAGAAAATCGGACGATGTTACCCCAATGATATCCACAATACCCGCATGGCATTCAAGCAGAACTTACCGCACCGCATTTGGCGTCCGCCTTCAACGCAGACACAACTCTCATTGTAGGACCATGCTGTGTTCTACACATCAAAGAAGTTTCGATAATCACCTGCTGAGGTAGCTGCTATTGTCCCAAACTTGTGAGTTAACAACTTGAAACTTGAAGTTATCCGGATGTACTAGAACAAATGGACTAAGCTGATATTCACGTGACCGCGATAACATGTACCGGCACACACGCTCCTTACTACACCCTACGTTGTCACAAGCTTGTGATAATGGCACCCGGTGCCGGTCATCGATGTACTGTACGCGCCGTATGCACTCGGCTGCGCGTTTATCTCGTGTATGCATCTTTTATACTCGTCCATCATAGAGATGTATGGACAATACCAGTTGTAGTATATCTGATGATCAAGAAGGTGGTTGGTGATGATCGACCTTGTCTCCGAGTCTGCACCTTGTTCGTTCGAGTTTACAGGAGTATGGGCCTGGCCTCGTTGAAGGCTTTGAAGGGGTGGAAATATTTCGTGGTCTCGATGCCGGAGCTGCATTGAATGAGTAGATCATTATTAATACTGTTCACAACGCCGAGCACGAGTCTTCTATGCGGTACATAACAAATCGACAAGTTTTGAAAAATAGTCGCACTACGAGAACCAAAGAGAGAGGGTTAAAAACAAGAAAGTCATGCAAGGGAGTAGACTCCTTTGTATGAGGAATGAGTGAATAGTCGACGGGTACGGGACACGAGCGTTGATGAAATAGATTCTGTCATCAGACACGGCGTTGTTCTACCACCGAAAGTAAAAAATTGAAGGCAGTGCTTTTTTCCGCTGCCGACTGGTTGCATGTCCTGGGAAAAATAGAGGATATGGGGTTGCTCGAAGGTTTCATCACTGATAAATACAAATCCAAGATTTTGAAGACATGAATTTGTAACACCGAAACTGTGTAGGTCACCAGATGCAGTTGATCACCAGGCGTGCCGAGTCGACCTCAAATGGATATAGCACCTTGCAGTGCAACAGTCCTGTCACGTCTGGGGCAGACACGGCCAACAGAGATGAGGTAGCGGACGCCAGGTCACAGAATGGAACAGTTGTTCTTTACTAGTAGCACGCAAATAGCATAAGTGGAGCAATTTGGATTTTCGAATTGCGAAGAGTGGAGTGCTTAATTCAAATCAGTAATTCATGCGGAAGAACTCATATCATGAACCATCATAAGAGGATCCCAGTAACGGCAGGTTCTACCGAAATCTGTGACATCTGATAGCAATAAGAATCGTGCCAAATCGATCAGAATCGTGCCCATAAGTATATGCAGGATATGAATGCTGACCGTCACCCTATAGTGTTCCCTCATCCTCAAAGACATCATTAGCATCAACTTCTCAACTTTGTCGTTGCGCTGGCAGGTTCAATGCAGGTTCAAATGATGAAGCGACGAGTGAGAGATTGAGAATGAGACAACAGTGATTCGAGCGAGCGTTCTGTAGTTACGAAGGAGAGAATTGACAATGCCTCCCAGCTGGTTATGATCATAATAATCAAATGAATACGTTCTTACAAGTTCTGCCGAAATTTGTGCCATCTGACGGCAATAACGATGCTATCAAATCTATCAGAATGATAAGTATATGCAGGATATAAAAGTTGGTCATCGTCCTACAGTGTTCCCCCATCCCCAGAGATATCATCCAAGCCCCTCAGAAGATTCCATATCACCTCGCACAGAAAATGCGTTTCTCCCTCCTCGCCGTTGTCGTTGCTTTTACAGCAGCTTCATTCGTCAGTGCATGTTATGGCCCGGATCAACCTTGCCGATCAGATTGGGATTGCTGCAGTCATTCTTGTGCCGTGAGTATGAGCAGGTCGCTGTGCGACCAGGATTCAACCACATGACTGACCTGCGAGCCTTAGAGTCAAGGTTTGATGTGCGACTAGTAGTCGGTTGGAAATTGAGACGGCAGCCCGAGGGGCACGTCGCGACAGTGAGTCATGTCTCTGCTTTCGCTTTTGTATCATGGTTGATGGTGTAATACCTAGTTCGGAACCAGTCAGTACAGCTTTTGGTGAAATTTTCGTATTGCTCGAGCAATGTGGATGTTTGAATTGATCTGAAAATGATCGACCGTGCCTAGTCTCGCTCGTGGTCCACTAAGCTCGAGTTCGGGTAGTGTAGAGAGCTCGAGAGTGATTCTTTTGATCGAGCGAGTGTTGGATGAGGTGCAAGAGCGGGCAGCCCATCTGCCAGATCAGTGAACGTCTGAACCTGTGAACAGATGAAATCGGTATTGAAAGTAATACATTGTGCATCACAATAATCAACGTACAACTGCCGACTACTCTCATATGGGAATGTTATGCATTGTCGATTTCAGTGATAGCCAAATTACCTGTGACCGGGTGGACACCAGAGGGCGAAGAGCAAGAGAGGGCCGGAGAGATTGGGCGAGAAATCGAAGAGAGCCAATCATAGATGATTGGAAAAAGAAACAGAAGGACTTGAGGTGAAGTGATATTCACTACACTAGTTTACCAACGCTTTCAACAGAGAAGTTAACTGTACATTGTGTTGGAAAATACGGCCATAACCCGATTGTATGCACACAGCAGTGATGTCAAGCCTCAGAGAATCTCTTGCTGGAGCAAGTAGGGAATAAGTTCATCCGGCGCAGAAATAGCAGGTACAGTAAATAAATAAACTGCCCACCGCTCTGGACTTGTTGGCACCAGTTGTCGTGTTGTAGTCCGCGAGAGATATGGTTGCAGGCTGACTTGAAACAATGGAATTGAGCAGGGGAAGAGTGACTCGGACATGGTCAGCGGACGAGAAGACGCGCACGTGTGGTTTCGAGTCTCGACTGCACTAAATCGGAATAAACTACGCGGCTTACCCAAACAATTGTGCGTGGGATCGAAGTCTGACATGCGTGCATTTTTTGAACTTCGCAAAGTTTTTTACATTTTGCATGAAACCCAACTTTGTTCGTCTCAAATTTCTTAGATCTCTTTGAGTGGGCTGTGTTCATTGTCGTTTTCACTGGGAGCGTCCAGTATATCATTGACAACCGAAGGGGCGTGCTTGACGTAGATGTTCTGACAGGTATTCGTTTGTTTTGATGATGATACCTGAATATTGAATTGTCACCAGGTTTATATATGCACAGATGCCCCATAGCCTTATTCAAAGCAGGAACTACCTTGTCCGTCCTATAAGCACCGTCATCCTGCGCCAAATTACTTTGCAGATCCACGACCACCCCCTAAGGTTTGATTCATGAGTCAAAGGCCCTCAGATCGACTTTCCTTTCCACTTGGCATCGTGCGACAGTACTCACCTCGATAAAGAACACGGACGTCATTACGCTCACGTCCATTGCTATCTGCGAAGGCAGCTTGTTCTGACTTTGTCGCGGACTCTGCCAGCAAGTCTAAGATAGGCAATCCTTACAGACCTATGGATGGTGTCGTAGTACTAAGATTGCTTTCGTGACCTTTGTCCTGGATGGACGGGAACGTTGTAGAGGCACTCGTCCGGTGACTCGATATGGCGAGGTTTAGGAACTCGAGTTTGGAATAACAGGACACGAGAGTGTCAGGATGAGTGGCGGCGGCCGCCCGACGGACGTCAATGGCTGGAGTGATGTTGTTCCTGGTGGTTGGGATGCGGGCGGTGACAGGGAGAATTCAAGGGCCAATGGCTGGGCTGCAAGTAGACTCGTCACAATGTTGCTAGAACAGGGCTGTGGACAGAGATGTGTGTGCAGGCGTTAAGAAGCTTTGGAGCAGGCTCCGTCGCTTTACAGCCAGATCATCCGTTTGTTCCATCCTCGTCACCATGTACTAATTCTTATTCACGAAGGAGATAATGCATGTCATTTGAGAATAATCATGAGCCGATCAAAAATCGTTCACGCAGCGCCTGGTACATGATAATCGGGATGAGAGCTTTGGTTAAAAGAACTGGCGTGAACCTCGCTTGGTCTCTCGGCGATCCAGATATAGGGACCATGGATTCCATGGTAGATGACATTCCCGAACCCCACGATGATAATACTTTGAACGCAGTGCTCAGTAGCATGGGTGGTGAGGACCCGCCGAGACTGGCGACCTTGTTGTACTGTTACTTGTGCCGTGCAGGACTCCAATGATGATGGATTTGGAAGGGGATTGACGAATGAGAGAACTGAAACCAGTTGGGCCCGAAGTATGAGAAACTCAAGTAGAGATCGATAATGAGCAGAGCGGTGGAAGCAAAGCACTCCTTTGTGACAGAATTGATGACGAGTTTGAGATGCCAAAAGGGAGAACTTCGGCTGCATCTGAATCAAGTGCAAGTGGGCCTTTGGAGGATGCAGGATGAAGAGGTTACATCGCAGTAAGCCACATGCATGTGTTCGAAGCAGTGACACGGTGATGTGCTTGAGTCGCTGCTCGGACGCAATCATATCATGCAAGGTCATCAGATAGTCAGATTCGAGCGCTGGAAAGCACTGACTGCTCGAGTAGATGTAATGAGATACATTCTGGCAGCTGTGGAAACAAGAGTCGGATGCATGTATGAACCGAGACGCTGGGAGGTATACCGTCGGCGGGTATGATGATACATCTGCAAAACGACTGAAATGAACGCTTAACCTACGCGCGTTACGAACACTTACGAACACTTACGACTTCAGTAGCGAACTCAGGCGATTGGTGGAGGACTCGGACGTCGAATTTACGTCGTAAACTTTACGGAATTCGATGTGATTAGATGTGAAAGATTATTATTATCAGCGCGTCGTACTACTGAGCTAATGGTTGGCCACTCGGAGGCCAACCTGTTGCTGTACCCCATCAAACCTCGCACTCAAGACATCCGAAGCACGAATAGTTCGAACGATCGCCATGATATCTTGGTATGCATCGTCGAACGTGGCCGAATTCACTGACACGTCAGTGAATCGGCCTGTGCGATGTGCATATAGCACACAATAGATCGCAGCGCCGCAGGATGCGAACACTCGGTCCATTGGGCCTTCCAAGTTGGCGTCCCAACCTCCGATCAACACGTCGATAACCATGTTGACGAGGACCTCGTTTTCGAGTAGCCGTTCGATATCCACGTCGTCGACAGTCTGCAGGTGTGAGTGAGAAACAGTCCCGCTGATGATAAAAAAACGGGTACCTGCTCATACAAATGTAGGTACCTCCCTCCGTCTAGCAGCGTTTGGATTGTGTCCCGTTTGTGCGCCGCCTCGTCGAGCAGGGAAAATAAAGGTAGGCGGAGGCTGTAGCCTAGCGGAACGGTATTGAGCGCATGTACTTTGAGAGCGCGTCGCATGTCTGCTAATGAAGCCACCATGTAGTTATGTATACCTTTGATGTTCTCGATATCCACTAGTAACTTATCAGTAGTAGATGATTTCGAAACAAATAAAACATACCTTGACCGTAGAGCTCAATTCGTGCGTTTTGCAGCGCGGTTTCGATCATCGTGTTGCGCATTGCGTCATTCGGAGCACCGTCAGTATTAGCAGCCACCGTAACGATCAAGCCCCGAAGTTTCTCTTTAGCGAGCTCCTTATACTGTCGCACCTCTTTTGAATCGAGTGCGATGCGCGTCGAAATAGGTGCTGCAGGCTCCTCGGGCGCATTGGCTACTGGTATCATGGGTGTGGGAGGTAGGTTCGTCTTTTGTCGTCGTCTCCCGCTGTCCGAAACGTGTTTTGTGCGCTGTATAGTCACTAAGTTAGTATTCAAGCTCGGAGGAATGATCACTTACACGAATAACGCCTTGGGTTTGCTCCCCACGGACGTTCTCTCCCACATGGTAGGGTGCAAGGGCAATGAGTCGCGAAACCCCCCATGGGGCCATAGACCCGCTCCCGAGATCTGGTTGTGACGGCAGCCTTGATCCTTCACCCTGGAGAAGTGCGAATGCGCCTGCATACGCCTGCGACTGCGCCGTACCCGTGTTCCATTCGTGGCGTTGATGCTGCTGGGGCTCATACCGCTGGTGAGCTTGATACTGCTGGGGAGGTTGGTACTGGGGCTGCGGCGGCGGCTCATACTGCTGGGGAGGTTGGTACTGGGGCTGCGGCGGTGGCTCATACTGCTGGAGAGGTTGGTACTGGGGCTGCGGCAGCGGCTCATACTGCTGGAGAGGTTGGTACTGGGGCTGCGGCGGCGGCTCATACTGCTGGGGAGGTTGGTACTGGGGCGGCGGCGGAGGCTCATACTGCTGGGGAGGTTGGTGCTGGGGTTGGTGCTGATGGGGTGGGGGCGGCAGATATTGTGGTACCGGTAGTTGATACTGTTGGGGCTGAGGTGCCGTTGACGCTTGATGGGAATGCGTGGGATGCTGCATGGAGGGATTCATCTGAACCTGGTATTGTTCAGGCGTTTGTACGCGATCACCGAGTAGGTTGAGTTGAGTGATGACTGGCTGCCCACTGGGGTTGAGTTCTGAATTGACTCCAGGCCGGAAACCTTTCTACACGGCAGTCAGGAAAGAAGAGCGAACAGAATTTAGATCGTACGTACTCTTGCGGGGTTGGGCTTTCGCCTGCTGGTAGTGGAATTGGCTGGAGGATTGCTCATCGATGCTCGTGGTGTGAATCCACGTTAGTTATCTGATCTTACCCAATGCGAACGTACTCATCGATCGCCAATCAAACGAAAGCTTCTGTTATTCAGAGCGCTAAAATACAACGTATAGAATTGAAAAAGATCATGATCAGGGGTCTCGTGATAGGAACTCAGAACCTGCCAGGAAAGTAGTGAATTGAGTCAAAAAAGGATTGTAATTGACGCCGCCGGCCCATCTGTCCGCACTCCGTCCTCGTGGACAACGTTCAACCTGAAAGGGTAAGTTTGTAAGTTGTTTCATTTTAGGGTAGAGACGTGGCTACCTTCCGCCTCGTCATTGTCCGAGTTGCTACTGTTGTCGCTATGATTATACTTGTCATATTGTTCCTCCTCACCAGGTTCGTACTCCGTATCGCTACTGTTCTGGGGGAACCTGTGGGAGACGTATTTGGTAGCAAGCGATGATATGGACGACATTTGGAACAGCTGTTCGTCGGCTGTAGCTAAGTCTTCGAGTTCGCTATCATGTGACTCCGCAAGGCATTCGACATCCTGGTCTAGGGCCGGAATATCCCGGTCCACCAGGAGCTTCTTGAAGAGGTGATAATCCGAGTCTGCCATTTTCAAGCGCTGCTTCTCCTCGTCCTCAAATGCTATGAGGACTAGCTTGTTGAGTTTCGCCTCTTCGATCTCCCAACCGAGTTGCAGGAGTTTTTGACGGCTATTTTCTCGTGCAGCGTGCTTAGCATTTGCTACTAATTTGATTGTATCATCTGAGAAGGATGAGAGACCGCTCAAAAAAAGGTCTCGCCCCTGTAACAGTCAAATACACCATAAATAATCAGTTATTCAGTGGCTTCAATACTTGCTCGCCTTAATGACATCATTAAGAGTGATGTCAGAGTGATGATTTCTTCGGACTGCCTTCATGGCAAAACGCAGCCCGACTTGGGTGGGACGACGTGTGAAAGGGTGGCTTCTGTTTGCAGAACGCACTCCCCGCCGGGAGCTGCGAGAGCTGCCAATAGGGGACTCGTGACCAGAGCGAATTGAGTTTGAGGAGGAGGTCGCTGAGCGCGAGAAGGGGACAGAGTCTGAATGTGGGAGGTCTGTGGTCAAAGCAATGACCTTCTCTTCCGCTGATTTGGAAGGGTTGGAATTACAGAGGGACTCAACACGAGTCCATCCGCTAGATCCTGACATAGTAGATACAGATGACGAAATATGAAGGGATGGGGGAACCATAAGTACAGCTGGATGTGTATCTGCTACTATCTTAGCAAGCAGTGAGGCAACAAACCAAGTGGGTCGGAGTTTGAAGAAAGTTGAACGTTGAATCCTGGCAGGAGCACGATGGAACAGGCTGACTCGGGCTGCACTGCAGCTGGACTAGAAATACTACACGATCACAACGGGTGAGTTAGGCCGCATCAAATAGTAGCAGTGACTGACTGACTTCATCACGCTGACTTCATCACGATCAGTAGTTCCTCTGCAAGATGCCCGAATTGCAGACTAGAATTCGTCTCAAATCTCGCTGTTTTGGATCATCTCAATGATCCGGTGCATTCTTGTTGGAGCAACGAACCCACTTACCGCTTACCAGTTCCTCCAGCTTTCCAACGAGGCGATAGCGGCCAGGAAGAGGTAACTGGCCAGTATCATTCAAAATCAGGGTACCTTTTTGGTCGGGGACACAATATCTTGCAGACAATGGAGGATCATGATCCTGACCAAAAGCGCCGCAGAGCAATAAATCCCTCATACCCATTCGTCGATCAGGCTGAATGGCAGCTAGCAGAATTCATCGTGCAGCGGCTGACCAAAACCGACATTAACAAGTTTCTGAAACTAGACTGGGTGAGTAGCATCCGCCTTTGCAGTTCCACACTGTGGCTAACAGCCTGAACTTCACCTAAGTTTAAAACTAGTAGATCCCGACCATCCTTCAAGAGCGCAGATCAACTATTTGGCTGGATTGATGTATTGCCAAGTGGCCCTCAGTGGCAATCAACGACATTCGAGTTTATCGACTACACAACTGCGAGGCCAATGGAACTCATCTGGCGTGACGGTCTTGAAGTCGTTAAAGATCTCTTTGCAAACCCGATATTTTCCAATCACATGATGTACGATCCCCACCTTGTTATGACTGGCTCAGAGCGTGAATACGGCGAATTCTTCACTAGTGAGAGGGCTTTCACCATTCAAGTATGGATCTTTGAATAAACGAAATTGCTCGCTAATCTTTAACAGAATGACCTTCCAGAAGGCGCCACTATAGTACCAATCATTCTTGCATCTGACAAAACGCCCGTAACCAGGATGACAGGAGGATTAGAAATGCACCCAATATTCCTTACGATTGGCAATATTCAATCCGAAGTTCGAATGAAGGCCACCGCTCATGCATGGCGTTGTATCGCATTTATCCCAATTCCGAAGTTCGATGCTCACGCAGACTATCAAACGCTCCTCCATGCCCGTCTCTTCCACAAATGTATGGACACGATATTCGCCAGATGCAAAGTTGCCACAAAGATTGGTGAATACATGGCAGATCCCATGGGTTATATCCGGCACTGTTTTACTCCGCTTGTCGCCTACACAGCCGACCTTCCTGAAGCACAGCTTGTTGCTTGTGTCTCGAAGAACGCATCACCAGTCACGATGGCCACTCAAAGTGACTTCGGTAGTGCTCATATCTATCCCCCTCGAACAGGCCAACACACGCTCACGCTCATCTACGACCTATCCAAACGCATTGATCCATGGAGTGTACCGCGCTTCCAAGTCGAAGCTAAATCGTTGATGCTTAGTGGCGTCCATCAACCGTTTTGGAGAGATTGGAGGTTTGCGGATCCTGGTTATATGTTGCCTGGCGAACTCCTTCACACCTGTCATAAGTTTTTTGGTGACCATGCTCTAAAATGGTGCAAGGAAGTTGTTGGGGAGGAGGAACTCGATGCGCGTTACAAGGCTCACCATAAACGAGTCGGAACACGTCATTTTGGCTCTGGCGTCTCCCACATCAGCCAGATGACTTGCCGGGAACATCGCGACATTGAACGCACCATGATTGCCACTATCGCTGGCGCGACAAATGCAACCCCCGATTTCGTTCATGCTATACGTGCCCTCACCGAGTTCTTTTATCAGGCACAGAGCCCCGTGCACACCGACTCATCCATCGCTTCTATGGTTCAGTCCCTCGACGAGTTTCATCGCTTAAAACAAGGCATCCTCGATGCCGGTGCTCGGAGAGGCAAGCGTGGAACCATCGACAACTTTCTCATCCCAAAGTTGGAGTTGTTTCACAGCTTTGCTGGATCTATCAGAGCTCTCGGTGGTTTGATACAGTACTCAGCAGACGTCAGCGAACGGCTGTTGATTACTCACTGCAAGTTTCCATTCGAAAGGACCAGCCGGCAAGCCAAGAGTTTTACTTTACAGGTTGTTCAAATTCTCAATCGCGACGAAACCATGCAGCGTTTCAATCTTTACACGCTCCTGCAGACGCATGGCGCACCGCTCGTTAATGCCATTGCTGCTGAAGATGATATCGTCGCAGAGACAGATCCTACCTTGGCATGGATAGCCCGCACGCTCCCAAGTCAGCAGAAGCGCTTCCATGGTCCACGTCCAGTCCGCAACCACTTCATAACAGGACTTCTTTCTGCAGAAGCTACTGCTGCATTCCATGTCACGGTCGCACCTGATCGAAAATCATTTACCGTCCCCGATCTGCAGTACACCTACGCCCTTCCTGACTTTGCTGTGGCGCTCACTGAGTATATTAGTAAGTCATCCCAGGGTGCCCCAACAACATCGTGGACCTGTCGGGGAGGTTCGGTTAGGACGTGGAACAAGTTCCGCATACAACTCCTCTCCAACTTCCAGTCACGAGTTGTCATGCCAAGTCAAATCGTCCAGTCGTATCCGCCCTCAGAGGCATTCCCTTTTGGGAATTGTGACGCAGTTCTCGTACAATTAACTGAGAGTAATGGTAAGATTTTTACTGCGGTGCCATTCAGGTGCTTACTACTACAACCTCTGCAGACGTCTACATCGCACAAGTGCGTTGCGTTTTCCAACCTACCGCCAAGAAAGGCCGTACTTTGCCTCGCTATCTTGAAGCTGCACCTCTCTTATACGTTCAATACTTCCAGATCAAAGCCACGCCTGCTGACGAGCCAAGCGTTGGGATGTACAGGGTGAAACGAATCTTTCATCAGGATGAGACAGGTCGGATCTTCCGACCTGGCAGCATCATTCCACTGACGGCTGTTACTTGTGCCGTCGAGCTCGTCCCTGTGTATGGTTCGAAGATGAATCGCACGATAACTGCTGCAAACTCGTTAGAGGTCTGTGATGATTACTACCTGAATAAATTTTCAGACAAGGAGGTTTTCCATACGATGCACACAGATCTAATGTAGATTTTTTGCGTATTGCCTGTAGTACTAGTTCTGCAATTCATTATCTGCACACCTGATCAAGTTTAGATATGATAATCTTGCACCGCTTGTGTCATTCAGTTGTCATTCAGTTCCCCGTTCGCATTTTGGCCTAGTTAGTTACTTAATGCAACTCGTCCGAGACTAGGCCAAATAGGGATCGTTGAACGATGCTTTCGCGACGGTTTCAGATATCAGATGTAGGATGCATTCTTGCCGTAACGGCGATGAAAGGGTGGAAGCGAACAGCCTTGTGCCCTGGGCGTCTATAGAAATGAGACAGATTGACACATAAAACGCACAATACACATGCACCTTTGCCGAAAGACGCCGATAATCCTTCAGAAATCCACTTCGACTGCACCCAGCGCCATCGACCTCCAGTAAAATAATGGAGCTCACTCCAATCACTACACCCCTGCGAGAGTTCAAAGGTCATAAAGAAGGCATAATGGCAGTCGCAGTCTTGCCTGATAAACAACGGATGGTTACGGGCTCATGGGACAAGACGGTTCGCCTGTGGGACTTAAATACAGGTTTTGTGTTGGAGAAGATGGAGAGACATCGCAATGTGGTGTTAAGATTGGCAGTATCACGAGATGGGCAATTAATAGCAAGCGGTGATATGGACGGAAAGGTCATCCTATGGCACGGAGAAACTGGCGAATTCGCTCGAATCATCACAGCCCACTCCAAATCTATCTACTCGCTGGAATTTTCTCCCGATGGGACAGTTCTAGCCACTAGTGGATATGACGACAGAATGATGAACTTGTGGAACACCAAAAACTGTGAGCAACAAGGAGACCCAATTGACTGTGGTAGTCATGTCACTTGCGCACGATATTCACCCTCTGGAAAACTTCTTGCCATCGCGACAAACAAGAATATTCAAATTTATAATCCAGGCACGAGGGAACGCGTCGCATCCTTTAGGGCTCAAATATACACTTGGTCACTCGCATGGACGCCCGATGGCACTCGCCTTCTCACAGGTGGCAGTGTTCTTGATTATACCATATGCGAATGGGATACAACAACCTGGAAGCAGGTCGGCGATCCTTGGACGGGCTACTGGAACAATATCAATGCCATTGCCGTTCATCCTACTGGCACACTCGTCGCATCCACATCTTATGGCAATCATGTCCATCTCTGGCGGCTCTCAGACCGACAAACCATTGCCATATTCGAGTGCTCATTTACGCCGTTATGCGTTACTTTCTCCGTGGACGGAAATCACATCCTCAGCGGAGGTGAAGATGATATGATCTCGGAGTGGGCAATACCTCATCCGAAGGCATGTTTCCGTCTTTGACTCATATACCACACAGTTCGAGCATGTTTTGTGCAGATCCTAGCCATCACGAGAGCTCGTGGTGCATGCATAGATGGGCATCTGTCTACTGCCGAAGAACTACTCACGCAAGATATCAACACCGATGACAACAATCACACTTCCTACGCCCATCGCTCATTTGTGATGGCCCGACAAAACGACTGGGATTACGCCATTCAGGATGCTATCAAAGTGAGTGATACGCACTGATCATGGCCCCCTCACATAGGCTAACTCGACGGCGACATAGTCCATCAGCATTCAGCCCTCATTGACAGGGTACATCTCCAAGGGCATTGCCCTCTGCGGAAAAGGCCGCATCCTGGATGCAAGGGCAGCATTTGATGTTGCATCAATGTACACTGACCAAGATCCACAAATCCTCCATTTCCTGCTCTTGATCAAGGTGTGTTACATTTGTCTCACATACTCTCTGCATCATTGCGTATTGCAGGTGATCGCCCTTTTCAATGCGGATCAACAGGACGAGGCAAACCTGCTCTTCAAAGAACTTTTTTCTGGCTGTCCGAATGCCGATATTCTCGGGTGTTGTGTCGTGCAAGTAAGTGGCATCCGCACTTGGTCATTAACACTAATTTTGCAACTTGCACATCAGGCATATCTGCGTGTCCAACTCGGAATCAAGGCCTTCGATGGCGCACGTTACGAAGAAGCCGCTGACCATTTTACCGCAGTTCTCGACTCAAGCGCTCTCTCATCGAGCTCGCCCATTCATTTTATGTACGAGGACTTGGTGGTGGTACGTGAAGACACATCCGAAATCCTTGTCGTAACTGAATCCCTTGTCCAGCTCTTCGGCTGGAATCTCAAATCATTGTGGCTCATTGCACACCAGAAACGCTGTCATGCACTCCTTCGGGCAGGCAAACTTCAAGATGCCGTCAAAGCATACCAATACATGATGGACAACATCGATGAAGCAACGAAGGCCAGCTGCGTTGAATGGTCCAATGGCAAGTCTTCAGTGATGTCACTCCAGGTTATAGATGCTCACCCACATTTCACTCAGTTTTCAAACGAGAATGCAGCGCTCCCTTTCTTACCCGCGGAGATGCTGCCCTCGCTGCAAGCGACTATGACAAAGCTATTGCCCTTTACTCGGCAGTGATCGAACTGAATTCTGCGTCTGATGCTGTCTTTGCAAATCGTAGTATTGCAAAATTGGGGAAAATGCTATGGGAGGATGCGCTTCGCGACGCGCAAAAGGTGCGATGACATCTATGTTTTTGTAGCCCATGTTGACTCCGGCAATGCGTAGGTGACCGAACTCAATCCTTCGTCTCACGTTGGATACCAGTTGACACATGCAGCGCTGCGTGGCGCACAACGTTACGATCGAGCCATCGAAGCCTTCAAAATCATGTTGTCCAAGTTGGACGATTCTCCCGAAGCGCGGATGCAAGGTAAGCCTTGGGACACTCTCGCATAATCTCGAAACGCCTATCTCGTTCTGCAGACCTGCGTCAGCAGTATGTGCATCCATCCGAAGCAGAAGACGCTATTCAAAGAGCTGTGTGGATTGAACTCGAATATGCTCCGATACGTCTCCTTAATACCTCCACGGGTCTTTTGTGTGATCGAGCGGCACAAATAAACGCCTTCAAAATGACTGCAAAGTACAAGGAACTTTTGTCATTCACAACGAAACATTCAGACCTCGAGATGAACCGTATTAAGGAAGGGGTGGCGATGTACTTCCGTCGCGTTATGCTATCACACAGGTGGGAAGAGAAGGAGGCACTGCTGCACGACATCCAAGGTAAAGATGTGCGCGAGTTGAGGGGAATTGGTGGCATCGCGAAACTGCAGTCGTTCTGCCAAGTCGCTCGTGATGCTGGGTATCGTTGGGCGTGGATGGACACATGTTGCATCGACAAGAGGAGCAACACTGAGCTTCAAGAATCGGTCAACTCCATGTTCGTCTGGTACCGCCATTCAGCACTCACAATCGTCTACCTATGCGACGTTCCTCCTTCATCCCAGCTCGGTGCACTGGCGAGGAGTGTTTGGAACGAGCGGGGATGGACCTTTCAAGAATTCGTCGCTCCGAAAGTTGTTATCTTTTATCGGAAGGATTGGTCTTTATATCTCGACGATCGCTCTCCTAACCACAAAGAGTCCCCTGCAATCATGAAGGAGTTGGAGGATGCGACAGGCATAGATTCGCGGACCCTGGTGACCTTCCGTCCGGGTATGAGCGGGGCCCGAGAGAAACTGCAATGGGCATCGAAGCGCGTCACCACTGTGCAGGAAGACGTTGCGTACGCATTATTTGGCGTCTTCGGGATCACCCTACCTGTCATTTATGGCGAGAAGAAGCAGAACGCGCTCGGGAGGCTCCTGCAGGAGATCGTGGCTCGTTCGGGCGAGATCACCGTCCTCGACTGGATTGGAAAACCTTCCGAGTTCAATAGCTGTCTTCCAGCCCATATCACTTCTTACACCACTCCTCCACGTACCCTTTCACCTTTGTCTGAAGAGCATATTCACACGCAAGTCTCTTCGCTGCGACAAACCGTGTCTGCAAGTCTAGCATCGAAATTTTATGACCAGCTTGAACAGCTGAGAGCTCCTCGCTTTTCAAACTGCAGACTTCATCTGCCTTGCATTTCATTCCGTGTCGCGGAAGTCAGACGGAGGCGCGGTCTGGCTCAGGAGACTCCCATCACGTATAGAATCAAGGCAGACGGGCTTCACGACCTGCTTATCACCACTGAAGAGACCCTAGTTCAGTTCTCGCGGGCAAGGCCCATTCAGCAGACGTTCTTACTTGTGCGACCATGGGATCGGCATCTCCTCGGGGTGCCTGACTTTGCAGAGCAGTCTGACTTCGCAGACGATACAGAGAGCATAGGAGATTGGACTGAGCCTGGGTCCCCGATAGACGACTCCGATGAGTTACCCGGCGATTCACCTGTTAAAGAGGAGCCTGGCTCACGAACGTTGCGGTTGATGGTTCGCCTCGGACAGCCTTTCGACGCATTTTTGCTTGCGCAGCAGCGTATCGGAGAATACAAGAGGGTCGCGTCGGACTATAACATCATTGCACAAGTGAAAGACATTGCATCGGTTGATAACATGGACGTCGGTACGGTGGAAATACTCTAGCTAATAGCTATCTACAGGCATTGGGTATCATCACGCCGCTGTGGGTTCTCTACGGATCGGCTTCATTTCACTGCGTGCGTCGGTTGTCTTCAGAATGATAAAATGATTTTTGGCGATGACAGATTCATCGCCAACACTAGTGCGTAAGCTACTGAAGACGGAATCTATCCATTGGATACGCGAACTATCGATATATATATCGGTCCTATCATTGACGATGAATGCAAATCTGTGTATATCTCTTCGTCAATGATGTACCTGACTTCTCTGGCTTTCGTATGTTTGCTCATTCATCTGTCTGTATTGGACTTACAGCTTACAGCCCCTTCCCGATGGCGCCCCTTCTGATGGACATCATAACAGGTAAAGATTCACGCAGCACCTTTTCAGTTAAGCAGGAACATGGATGTTTTAGTGCATTGAGTGCGACTGCATACCATCGCGGACCTACGGCACAACATATGTTTGGCATCCCAGTAACCAACCAGTAACCGACGACAAGATCAATACATAGCCCCGCACAGATCTCATTTGAAACGCTATAGTAATCATTCAGGACAAACTTCCTATAATCAACAGAGCCGTGTGGGAGAGCGTCGTCGATGAAACAATCTGCAATCAGCCAGAAATATTGCTTTGCCTAAGCCTTGCAGGGCTTCATTTAGCTCAATTGGCACCAGACGAGCTTTGGTTTATTCCGTATATAGCATACATTACCGCATACGTCCATATAATACTCCATACGGTACGTACTGTTTGCCTCGTCCGTCGCCAATATCACGTACGGTAGATGGTCTTCACCTGAGTTTTTGCTTGTACTCGCTGTAGGAGCCGAACAATTTCGGAGTGGTAATAGGTCACTCATCACCGGACAGAACGAGTTGTGAAGGATATGGGAAGTGATTGGAGATACCAAAATAGTTTGATCATTCAGTGAGCGTGTCATGTGCGAGAGCCCCAGTTGGCCGAATCGATTGCCTGGGTTGTGTTTGACAACTCAGGCAGGGCTCATAACCTATTCGCTAGAGCAAGTCTCAGCGGGAGTTAAAGAAACAAAGTTAACATTCTATTTACCTAGAGCAAGTCTAGGGTACATGTTAGTTACTGGAGATACGAACAATGAAGACGCATACCTCAGCGGGAGTTAAAGGAACGAGCTGACGTATATCAGTTATACACAAGAATGCGGAGAAGCTACCGGTGGAGCGGGGCGCCCTGGCAGCACAGGACAGGAGTGGCAGGAGTCCTGGCTCGTAGTCGGTAGTCCTCGCGTGTGTCGTAGTCTGTCCTCGATAGACAGAGCCGTAGCCTCCCGCCATAGAGGTCTGGCCTTGGTTCCCTTGCAGTCCGTGCCCGTTCCACCGGAGAGAATGATACCGGTAGTGCGACATGTGGTGTCGAAGGTGCACAATATGAAAAGGTGACAAGGAGGAGAGACTACGATGTTAATCATGTGCACACTAAGTACTTCCAAAAGAAATGAGGCAGGTTGACACATTAAATAACACACGCACCTCTGCAGAAAAACCATACACAATCCTTCGAAAAACTGGTAGTAACGGCCACATGGAAGAAAGTAATAACATCCAACAAACCAATACCAAAGAACTGGCCATCGCCCTCGGGGTTTTAGTGGGTATCAAACCACCCAGGCCCTCTGTGAACGAGGCCCCCAGGTAGTCCAAGAGTTCCACATACCCCATGGGAATGGGAGTGCGTAAGTGCATTTTCCCTCGGACCGGAGTTCCCCCGAACCTCATACTTGTAGAGCTACCTTTCGTCAGTTGCTGCAAATTGCAATTATACATCGCTCGTCTAAAAAAAAGAAAAATGAGACAGGTTGGCACATAAAACGCACGATACACGCACCTCCGCAGAAAGACACCCACAACCCCTCAAATATCCGCTTCGACTGCACCCAGCACCATCTACCTCCAGTAAAATGTCGGAGCTCATTCCAATCACCACAGCCCTGCGAGAGTTCAAAGGTCATGAAAAAATCGTGATGGCAATCGCAGTTTTGCCTGATAAACGACGGATGGTTACGGGCTCATGGGACAAGACGGTTCGCCTATGGGACCTAAAGACAGGTGTTGTATTAAAGAAGATGAAGGGGCATCGCAATGGAGTGTGGAGACTGGCAGTATCACGAGATGGGCAATTGATAGTAAGCGGTGATTGGAGCGGAGACGTCATCGTCTGGCATGGAGAAACTGGCGAATTCCTCACCAAAATCGAAGCCCACTTCAATTTTATCACCTCACTGGATTTCTCTCCTGATGGAACAGTGCTGGCCACTGTTTCAAGTGACGACAGAATGACGAAATTGTGGAACACCAAAACCTGGAAGCAACAAGGAGACCCAATTGACTTTGAGTGTCATAAAAATGTCCGTTGTGTACGGTATTCGCCCTCTGGAGAACTTCTTGCCATCGCAACAGGCAAGAATATCCAAATATATAATCCAGGCACGAAGGAACACGTCGCGTCCTTCAAGGGTCACAGTGGAAGCAACTTGTCACTCACATGGACACCTGATAGTACACGCCTTCTCACAGGTGGCAGTAGTTCTGATCCTACCATACGCGAATGGGATACAGCAACCTGGCAGCAGGTCGGCGATCCTTGGATGGGCCACTCTAGCCAAATTAATGTCATTGTCGTTCATCCCGCTGGCACACTTGTCGCATCCGCATCTGATGACACTGATGTCCGCCTCTGGTCGCTCTCAGACCAACAGACCGTTTCCATATTCAAGCACTCATATAGGTCGTTCTGCGCCACTTTCTCCGTGAATGGCAATCACATCCTCAGCGGAGGTGGGGATAAGATGGTCCTGGAGTGGGCAGTACCTCAGGGTTTCCATCCGAAGGCATGTTTCCGTCCTTGACTCATATGTCACAATTCGAATGTTTCTTGCAGATTATCGCCATCACAACGGCCCGCGATGCATGTATAGATGGAGACTTATCTACTGCCGAAGGTCTACTCACGCAAGATATCAGCACCAATGTGAACAGCCACACTTCCTACGCCCACCGCTCATTTGTGTTGGCCCGACAAAACGACTGGGACAACGCCCTTCAGGATGCAGTTAAGGTGAGCTTCACGCGCTGATCATGGGCCCTTACTACAAAAGGCTAACTCGACAGTGACAGTCTATTAGCATTCAGCCCTCATTGACAGGGTACATCTCCAAGGGCATTGCCCTCTGTGGAAAAGGCCGTATCCCGGATGCAAGGGCAGCATTTGATGTTGCATCAATGTACACTGACCAAGATCCAAAAATCCTCCACTTCCTGCTCTTGATCAAGGTATATTACATTTACCTCACGTACTCTCTACTTCATCGCAGATTTCAGGTCATTACCCTCTTCAATGCAGATCAATATCATGAGGCAGATTTACTCCTCAATGAACTTACTACCGGTTGTCTGAATGTTGATATTCTCGGGTGTTGTGTCGTGCAAGTAAGTATCATCGCACTTGTTTATCTACACTCATCTTTACAACTCGCACATCAGGCATATCTGCGTGTTCGACTCGGAATCAAAGCCTTGGATGGCGCACGTCACGAAGAAGCCGCTGACCATTTTACCGCCGTTCTCAACTCGAGTGCTCTCTCATCGAATTCACCCATTCATTTTATCTATGAGGACTTGGTGGTGGTACGTGAATACGCATCCGAATTTTTTTTTCATAACTGAGTCCCTTGTTCAGCTCTTTGGCTGGGATCTCAAATCATTGTGGCTCACTGCACACCAGAAACGTTGTCATGCACTCTTCCGGGCAGGTAAACTCCAAGATGCTGTCAAATCATACCGATACATGATGGACAACATCGATGAAACAACGAAGGCCAGCTGCGTTGAATGGTCCAACGGCAAGTCTTCAGTGGTGTCACCCGAGGTTATATATCCTCACCCCGCATTTCACTCAGCTTTCAAACAAGAATGCAGCGCCCTCCTTCTTGTCGATAGAGATACTGCCCGCTTGAATTCTGGATCTGATGCCGTCTTTGTAAAGCGCTGCAAGGCAAGGTTGGGACAAACGCTATGGACGGAAGCACTTCTTGATGCGCAAAAGGTGCATGGCATTTATTGTCTCATCACCCATACTTATTGTGGTGATACACAGGTCATCCAACTGAACCCTTCATCTCATATTGGATACGAGTTGGAGCATGCAGCGTTTCATGGCGCACAACGTTATGACGAAGCTATTGCGGCCTTCAAAGCGATGCTCTCGAAATTAAGTAATGCTCCTGACACTGAGACACGAAGTAAGCCTCGGAGAGTTCATGCGTCAACATACTTCATGTAACTGTTTCTGCAGAGTTGCGCCAGCAGTATCTCAACCCATCCAAAGTGGACTGTGCTATTCAAAAGGTCATCAATGCTCAACTTGACAATGCTCCACTGCGTGTACTCGACACCGCCACCGGTCTCTTATGCGATCGAGAGACACAGATACGCACCTTCAAAACGAGCATAGAGTATAAGGAGCTTGTATCATCAACAATCATGCATCCAGATATACAAATGAAGCGCATCGAAGAAGTGGTGATGACATACTTCCAATATGCCATGCTATCGCACAGGTGGGAAGGCGAGGAGCCACTGCTGAAAGATATCCAGGGAAAGGTCGTCTATAAGTTGAATCCAATTGGCGGCATCAAGAAGTTGCAGTCTTTCTGCAAAACTGCTCGTGATTTGGGGTATCGCTGGGCATGGAGTGACACGTGCTGTATTGACAAGAACATCGATGTTGAGCTTCAAGCATCGCTCAAGTCCATGTTTGCCTGGTATCACCACTCCGCGCTCACAGTCGTATACCTTTCGGATGTTCCGCTTTTGTCAAAGTCGCTGGCAACGAGCGCTTGGAACACCCGCGGATGGACGGTGCAAGAATTCCTCGCTCCCAAAGCCATTCTCTTCTATCAGAATGATTGGACTCCTTATCTCGACGATCGCACTCCCAATCACAAGGATTCCGTCGCGATCATGCAAGAGTTAGAGAATGCGACGGGCATAGATCAACAAACCATCGTGGCCTTCTGTCCCGGGATGAGAGACGCCCGAGCGAAACTTCAGTGGGCGTCGACACGTACTACCACGCTGCAAGAAGACGTCGCATACTCATTATTCGGCGTCTTTGGCGTCCGCCTGCATGTTGATTATACCGAGAAGAAGCAGAACGCGCTTGGGCGGCTCCTGCAGGAAATCATAGCTCAGTCTGGCGATATTACTGCCCTGGACTGGGTCGGAAAGTCATCAGAGTTCAACAGCTGTCTACCAGCCGACATCACTTCATACGAGGCTCCCTCATCCAAGCTGTCATCTCCATCCGAAAATGAGATTCAGTCATCGGTCTCTTTACTGCGAGGTGTTGTGGCTTTACAGTCGGCTTCACAACTATATCAGACGCTTGACTGCCTGAGCGCCCCCCGCTTCGCACACCGCCGGTTGCATCTGCCCTGCATTGTGTTCCCGGTCACAGAGGTCAGGCGGAGGCCACGCCGTGACCAGGATACATATACGTATGAAGTCAAGTCAGACGGGCTTCGCAACCTGCAGATCACCACAGAGCACAAGTTTACCCCGTTCTCACCGGCAAGGCCGCCGCTCGCCTGGCAGACGATCTTGCTCGTTCGTCCATGGAGTCGACATCTCCTCGAGCTGCACGACACTGCCGACAATACATCGAGCGTGGACAATTGGACCGTGTCCGAGTTTTCGTTGCACGATTCACCTGCTGCACAAATTGGGGCGATTTATCCAGATCCTGACTCGCGAGTATTGCGGTTGATTGTCAACCTTGGACAGCCGTTTAGTGCATTTTTGCTAGCGCGACAGCGCGATGGAGAATTCAAGAGGATTGCATCCGATTATGATATCATTGCACAAGTTAAAGACATGACTTCTATTAGCTACTTAATGGACATCAGAATACTAGAGATAGTGTAGCTGTATGCATCAATCCTTTCCGCCGCCTCACACGTATTCCTGGAGAGCGTTTATTATCACGCCACCTCCCTGTTTCTGACAGTCTGTCAAGCTCGTGCTTAGTAATCAGAAGGCAGAGCACCCTGAGAAAAACTGCCGATTCCCGACAAGCTGAATGGTCGTGTACCCGCTCCGTGTCGTTCCTTTGAGGGCCTCAGCTAGTCTGAAGGCACAGCTGTCTTCCTTCTAATAGTCTGACCACGGGAGACTTTTGTACACGGCCGACTCGACAGCATCACAAATCATGCAGTGATCACAATGAATTCTCGCCGTCGTAGGCCAGCCGGGTACCGCCGGACTTATTTGTGCGTTTTTCCAAAACGTTCGGTTCTAGAATTTACAAATGCTATTGCGCGGTCGCCAGTCAATATTGCGCCGGCCACGATGATGTTACTGATGCCCGCGCACCTCTGCCTCCCTGTGTCCATCCACTTCAGCTTATTGCTTGAGGTTCCCATGATCATTTACACGTGGGTGCGATTGTATTTCATCCTGAATATTTTCCAGTTCAACTGGGGAAGTATTAATTTACATTTCAATGAGCAAGTTCTTTGTTGATCATGCAGGGTCACAATATTCAGTATCCTCTTCTGCGAACAGCTCTGCAGTAATATCCCGTGCTGTCGCAAAACTAAGACAAACGCTCTACTGATATTGCACTGAAGCATACTAGGACAATAATCGTGACCGACTATCTGGAATAATCATTCTCTGATTTTGCCACAAGATGTTCAATGGCTGTTACTCGGAGTCACGGTCCGGCGCGGTGCAAGGACCAAGTAGTCCGTATTCAAGCCACAACTTTGGCGGCCCATGGCCTTAATATAAGGCATAAGAGCTTGAATAGGTTGCGCACGGCATCAGGTAAGTGAGAATTCTCGACCTATATGTGTTATTACTCAATTGTTGTCAATTTAAGTGAGTGACTCGTTGGGGCGTGCCAATTCCGGCCTTGTAATACCCTGTGTAAAATGTCAAGTCAACGTCATGACGTAGCTGTGTAAATGCCATCCCATCCCAACTCACATGATTGAAAATGGATTTAAGCAAGGAAAGGTCTTTCTTACGTGCCTGACAATTAAACAAACTCGTGGCCATTTTTCTGCATTGACCCTGCCTTTGACGTTTAAGCCACCAAGATGGTCTGCTAGTTGCAGACGCTACTTCTATAAATGCACGAACTCTGGCACTTACGGAGGCAATTCCAGGTGGGACTGTATCATTCATCTTCGACCTTCAACTGACACGAATCTATTGTGGTCTAATGGCGCCAAGGTCAAGGTCAGGGTTAAGGGTCGCAAATCTGAAGACATGGGTATCTTGAGTGCTTGCATCATATTATTGGCTACCGCGGAGGCTCCACAGGGTTGAAAACGTTGATGTGGGAGACTTGTGTGTATGTACATATTCTACATTGAGTCCTGATAAGCCGAAAATTTTCTAATCAGTAGGGTACCATTCCCGCCACGACCTCATTCTACCCAATTCTCGCTATGGTGAACTGGAACGATCCTGACCTCGAAGCGAAATTGGGGACACTTTCAGCACAGTTGTTGTATGCTATCCTTGGCTTATACGGGTGAGTGCTGCGCGTTGTAATGCCTTAAATATGGAACTAATTAGTCCGCGTCTGTGTCTGCAGCTGGGAATATATATGCTCTTCACATGTGGAGATAGCACTACTTCGGAGGAAGCTTCCATTCCGATGGCCTTTGGTGCGCATTCTCGAAGATGCAGTGGACGCTTGCCACTTACGCATGCCTAGCTCTCGTACATTGTCGCTAGATTTAGTTTCTTGATTGCGACAGTTCGGCTGTGAGCCGACATACAAAAAGTGACAAACGTACTAACGGCCTTCGTCAGCGCAGCACAATTTAGTCCCTTTCACACAATCGTTGATTGTCAGGGTGAGCGTTTTATAAATTTTAATCTTCCTCCAGGAGGCTCACTTCGATTTTAGGCATGAATTTAATCACCACAGTAAGCACGGGAGCTGCGAGGTTGCTGGTTTACCACCATATTGCCTAGTTTGCGACAAACGCCGCCATCGGTTGCTCCACAACAAATCTGATGATCAGAACGTAAACCCTTGATCATTGCTCACATCATGCTCAATCTAATGGTATATATATGTAGGTGGCTTATCTGGAAAACCAATTACCTGCTGCGCTTCTTGCTAGTCCTCTTCTCACTAGGTCATTGGACAATGCTCACTCTTTGTGCGTATTTGCTGCCCTCTATTGTCACTTGTCTAACCATTTCCTAGTCCTTGTAACCACTCGTGCGTCCACCAGAAGCGGGGTGTGCATGATCAGCTTTGTCAAACCTGCATATACTAGTGCGGTGATCATATATGGTACGCATGTCGCATTTATGATCAATGGATACGTGATAATCAGTACCTCGGGTGTAGGCATGTTGTATGATTTGGCACTTTTGGTCTTCACAGTTATTGGACTTTTGAGGATGCCATCATCTTCTCCGCTATGGAAAATGCTCCTGAAACAAGGGGTGGTATACTTCGTCCTCAATTTGGTAGCAAACCTTATCCTACTGGTGCGTTCCTTGTTCTCCTACAGGCTTGTCGCAGACCAAACTTTGTAGACCCTGAATATTCTGAACCTGAATCGTAAGACTGTTTCGCTGCACTGCAAACGCACACTCACTCTGTATCGTCAGCTATCATGGATTCTATATTCTCAACGCCTGGTATGTGCCCATGATTTGACTGAGTTTTGTAGCTGACCTTTGGAAAGCGGCATGCATCTGGTCAGGACTCTCGTTGCGACTTCCCGTTTAGATGCATGACCTACTTTCATTTGCAGCACGATTGCATCTAGCCAAGTGGTCCTTGCGCTCCTCCGTCCTTCGACCACTTTCGAAAGGTTTTTCCTGTTTTCTTCTTCATTTGTATGTGTTACCAGTCTTATTCGTTGCGAATAGCGACAGTGCCCCGTCGACTAAAGTGCCTCCGCTGACGAGTGACTTCACCGTTTCAGGGTAAAATTCTTTGTCTGAGATGCGTGTACCGCGGTTGACTGTGCGTTCAGGTTCCAGTCCACGGCTGAAGTCTAAGAGAGTATTTGTTTCGAATCACCCCAATCACTATTCCGTCCCTATGTAGTTTTGTGAAAGGATTTATATTTCGGCTTCGATGTATATTGCTGTAAGCTAAATTTGTCTATCTTGTCTCTGATGCAAAACTCAGAATTTTCGATGTGCCAGCGCTCACAAGTTTGATGGGGTCTTCATGCATGATTAGATCTCGTGGAACGCGATCTTGAATATGCAGGCTGAACATTCAAGCGAATCCCTTTGAGTACTTAGCCTTTTATGATGTCTCGTTTGAAGCCGCGGCAGTCGCCTGGAAAATGCAGCACGCATGCAGCCTCCGTGTTGTTTGCACCTGACCGCAAACAATGACCCTTCACAGGTGACAGGGGTCTCGAGTCCGGAGGCCAGTCCCATTTATAGAACACTCCCTCATTCCTATGAATCGAAAAGAATGCAGTTTTGTCGATGACACGCTGCGTATGTTACTGATGCAACTAGTACTATGATATTGTGAACGTACCACCTGGTCAATAATTGTTGTAGACGAACTTTAAATGTGATGGGAGCACCAGAAAATATGATTGTAGATGCCTGCATGACAGTTGAGCGAGGGGTAGTCACAACAGCCTCTTGAGGAACGCCGGGAGTAGCCGGGGTTGTGGTCAGGAAATATGCTGCAATATACGGAAGCACTGCTATAAGTGACGGCAAGAGACTACTCCACATCATCCGTTCCCCGGAAAAAATAATATACTGTGTCGTACCGATCACGATCGGATCACGAGCGGACCTGTATCGCTCGAATCGGATAATAGTACTAGTACGTCGAGGAGATACACATGATCCCGATTGTTTCAAACTCCGTTTGCCCTTTATTCACGTGACAAGTTGTTACTGCTTCGGCGACAAAGTCTTGTTACCCCTTGGAAAGTTGGAACCCCCGGATTACTCGGTAAGCCCGTTCACTTTGTTCATATGTGGATCTTTCTGATTCATAATATCATCGCGAATTGAAAGTTTGACGGAGAGAATTAACATGACAAGTCAACGTTACAAAGAAGTCAACGTTAACAATAGCAATGACTATAACGTTAATGCGACTAACCTCTTTCCAACTTACGGCGTATGAATCAGATCGATCGACATACTAATAAAATGAACGGAAGAAAAAAATCGCCGAACGCACGCTGCTAAATCCCCACTGTCACGATCACTCTGGTCTCCCCACGCGGTAGAGAGTCGTTCCTTCAAGTTCATAGCTCAGGATGGGTGACTACGTAGTTCTCATGGGACGTGAAACTACTTTTGCAGTACGTCCTCTGCACTCGCACAGTGTGCCAGTGACCTGTCGGCTTCGTGCTTCATTTGCTCACTCGAAGTCAGTATGTTCAAGGTAATTCGACTACACTCGTACTCGTTCTGCACGACTGAATTCCTCGGACAGCTGCATCCATAGCGGCTTTGGTAAGGAGGAACGAATATGACAAGCAACGTCATGACCATTTCCCCCCAGCTTTTTGACTATTGTCTTACTTTCGACTCGGAGGTCAGTATGTTTTGATGGCTATGTGCAAAATTGACTTTATACCAGGTCCGTTGGACATGGGGGAGAAAATGGGGGATCGTAAGGATAGCCTTTGTGATCTCTCGCTATACACCGATTGCAACCATTGTTATGTACCTATATTGTAAGTGCTCGGGACAATTTGTCTATTCTCGCTCCTCACTGATGAGACCCTCGAATAGATATCCTCGACTCAGGAGGAATTGTGCGTCTAAATTCTTGGCTGAGTTTATATCCCTGATGACATATTCTAGCGAAATCCTGGAATGTACATTGCTATAAATGGCAGTTGCGTATACAATAATCCCACTATTTTTGATTCTCAATAATTTCTCTAGCCCTGAGCACCTGTAATGCTGCTGCTGCTGACGGTCAGAGTCAACTTAAAGTCAAATCTCTTCCCTCCTAGTGACTCCTTTTTAGCTATGCTCGTGGCTAGGGCACAAGCGTTCTGTCAATGGGGAGTCAGGACCTTAATTGCCATAATATTGCTCTGTACCGTAACCCTGATCTTTCCTCTTAGCTACCTTTTTGTTGCTCAAACATTACACTTCACTCTAGGCCATAATAGTCGTTGCGCTAACAATTATATACGTCGTGACAAGTAAACCTGGAGGTCTGTATCTCCCCCCTTCAAATTTCTTCTGCTCACCCCGTTGCAGATGCGTATGTGTTTGAGGGGGAAGAATACGTCAGTATCGCTTATGGGTTAGGCATGGTCTATCAGCTTTGTACGTAGCATTTCCATGATTCGTCCAGTGGCTAACTTCCGCCAGTATTGATGTCCTTGATACTGCACAAACGCTTCAAATTTTACCGACAGAATACTACACCGTTGGTTACTAATGTATATCGGGATGGTGTGATTTATGTGCTATGCATTGCTCGTGAGTCTTGTAGATTCTTATCAAGAACAATACCTTAATTTTTTCAGTGGCCTCGATGGTGAATTGCATCGGCATTGCTGTGCTTCCTGTGAGCAAATTTCTTCTGGTAATAAGATGAGCCTCTGATCAGATTGTCTAGGAACCATACACTTTTCTTTTCTATAGGTAAATAATATCATGGTATACTCTATATTTAAAGCTGAGTCAGAGGAGCCCGCAGGCAGTCGTGTATAGCGTTATTTCTTCACGCATACTGTTCAATCTACGAGAAACAAGCGAATCGCAGGATGACGTTGTAATCAGCTTGGGGATGGTTTTTTCTCAACCAGTCGGAATCTCATCTACAATGGATCATCTAGAGCTAGAGGTTATTGAGACTGCATAGTACTTGTGACTCAGTTTTGATTATGGTTGTAGCTCCCCTTTGTTAGATATAGCCTACGTACTGCGTACCATTATTCGTGGATATATACCATTACGCTCACTTGATACTTTGACATTCATCATTACTTTCCCTCGGTCTTCTAGAGGGTACATCCATTCATTCATAGTTATACGGTACCACCCATACTGGATTGTATATTAACATTACATGTGTCGAGGTATTTTTTTACCCCTGACATACACGACAGTGTGGCAGTGTTTCCAGCCCTCGAAGTCGCTGCTAAGATTACATCAATAGTTCGATTGCTCTGAGCTACGAAAAATCAATGCAGTTTTCAAAAGTGTCTCCTTGTAAATATTTTTTTCTGAAACAGCTAGCACTGCAAGTACCGACTTGACCCAGCTGAGCAGCGAGAACGCCTCGAAGGCGATCTAAGAATTTTCATGACCGAAAAGGTCGACGCTGCGAGCGCAAGTTATGTGGCGTCATGACTTGACGGCAAGAGTGCGACTCAGTGTGTCAACGATCGCGAACAAGGCAAAGAATTTTCCGAGATCTAACCTGGCGAGATGAAGAAATTGGTTGATCATGACTCTACATTCCAATGCAGGGCGTGTAAACTAGAAATACATCTGAGTCCTTGGTCTCTTGGACAACTTAACATTCTTCCCCGGTTTCTTCTTTCACTCCCTCTCAAAAATATACATGTACGCCAATTTCTTCAGATCCCTAACGCTCGTTTCATCCGCTCGCACAACCTTCTCGTCGTTGAAAAGCACCCAATCGCTGACAGCACCATCTACATCCATCGCATCGCCTCTCGGCATACGGATGTGTGCGACATAATGGCCAGAATGAACGCTAGGACCTTTGTGTGATATGAAGGCTTTCAGCCTGTATCGAGCAGGCAAGCGCGATGAACCAGGTGGTGCTTTTTTGGTTTCTGATGACGAGGTAGCGGGTGGGTTGTCTTTGCCACTGTCATCGGGATGGTTAAATAGCCATTCGACGGCACGTTCTACATTTCCATCCTACAACACTATCAGAATAAGAGTCAAAACAAACCAGAACAAACTCACGGTCTCCCTCAACGCTTTCTTTGCTTGCGCGTTTGTGAAGCCCATGTCAGCAAGCATCGCTACCTGCTCTGCGGGTGGTTCTGGTGCATTACCAGTTCCTGATCCTGCTGTCTGGATGGGTACGTTGATGTCTGGAAAATCTCATCAACTAAAATTTCGAGTGGATTCATTTCGGCATACCTGGGTCCTCCATGTGCATGATTAACCATTCCATTGCAACTTCAGCCCCAGCATTGCCAGTTGCATTCAGGGCGTTCTGACAACTGACGGTCGGGAAGCCCATAGCCTCAAGCTGAGACAGGGCTTCGACGTCAACTTCGGGCTGCGAAGGAGCTGAAGTGTTAGAACTATCTGGTAACTCCACTTCACCAGACTGAAGTCCGTGCCCGAGGTAGTTATCAAGATTAAGTTCATCGTTCTCTGGAAGGATCACAGGTATATCTACGATTCGGGGATGTTGAAATTGTATCAGACATCGAGGTTGCAAAAGCTTACCTAGCTTCGTCGGGACCCAGTTCACAAGCTGGAACTTCTTTGCATGCAGCACCAAAATGTCAGGGAAAGTAGCAAACTGCATCTGCCTAAGTCCAGTCTTAGTCAACCTTTGGGTAGACCGAACGGCATACGCATACCTGACGGCATTCACTTTTCCGCAGCCTCCTTCACATTGGTACTCCAGAGCCTCTTGTCCACTCTGTCCGAGCAATAGGTTCAAGCACTGTTCCAAAGAAACAGAGCGGTACCGCTTCTTTCCAGGACCACTCTCGTCTGGTACACCGATAGTTCCCGCTTCTTGTTCTCCCGCTCCCGTATCCGCTTCGCCATCAGCGAGTTCGTGAGCGGGTACACCAAGACTAAGGACATCCATCGTGTCCACGCGATACCTGACCCTGTGACAGGACTGGCACTGGAGACGTTGCTCGAGGCCAAAGGCAAACGATTCGGTCGGTTCAGATTGACCTATGCAAGATCAGCGCAAGTGATACTCGAGACAACCCTCTGGTACCTGATACGCCACGAGTATTTGAATGATTGAATCGCCTAAGTACCGTCAACAAGTGACTAAAGAATTCTTCCGCATCCTGCTGGCGCATGGTGGAGAACTCAGCGTGGCCTTTACCAACGAGAGCCTTGAATCCTGCTGGCTTCAGGCCCGCCTGCCAAGGAGTATGTTCAGGTGTTGGGTGTGCGAGAGCGTCAGTCGGAGCTGCGGGGGCGTATGTCAGATGTCATACACATAGATCATATTATGATGGATCTCGTCTTCCAACATACCTTGTTCATGATCTGAGTGAGGCTTAGAGTATCGTCCGCTGAGTAATCCATCAGCGAGCTTGTACATCTGACATTCCAGGCAATCTGCAGGGAGGGCTTGAGTGCAATTCTCCCAGTGAGCAGCTGCTGTCGGAGAGACATAGGGGGACTCTGTGCCCGAAGGTCCTTTACCATAATAACGGATTTGGAAAAGAGGGAGTGAGAACAGTGTCTGAATAACGGAGGCCATATAGCAACTATGAGGGGCCATCGTCGTGAAAATAGTTGTTAAAAAAGATGGAAAACATGCCTATTTCCGAGGTTGCTAAGACCTGTAGCACCAGCACCAAAGATCGGTTGAAGTGCCGAACCGTCCTCGGCCGTGAGGGAAAAGTCAAACAGGAGGTTTTGCTCGATTTGCTGGTTTGAGGGTCAGATTTGAGACGATGGCATTATTTTTCACCAATAACGCACAAGCTCAGTCATGCTCTTCTCGGTCTTCTTCTGTGCCGCGACATTAATACCAAAGGTACTGAGGTGGTTTACAAGCTCTGGGTCAACACGGGCGTCATTACATGCGTAGCAATATACATCTTGGAAATCGGGTCAGATACATATTATAAGGGCGAGAGATAACGACTAACCAGCACCGCCCTCAGGTGTAATAGTTCCAAGTTTGACGCATACAGGATGCTGGGTCGTGTTAAAATGTGCTAGCGCGTGGCCGTTACCGCCAGTGCCACCAAATTGAGCACGACCGCATCCAAGAGCACCACAAGTAAGGCAAAGCCAGAGATTTGAAGTAAGCTCGCAAGAGGCGCAATGCGCTAGACCTAATATTGGAATGAAGATGCATTCTTAATCAGGAGGTTGGATATTACCTTCTTGGGGTATCGTTCCACTCTGGAGCTGCTCCAAGCAAAGTGTGTGTTCGCAAGCCGTAATCTCCTCTTCCCAAGCTTTGACTTCCGATTGACGAGCCGAAGAAAGCGATAGCATGATACCATCAGTTAGACGCTTTGTCTGTGGCGGTAATATCAACGATGCCGATCAGACGAGTAGCAGACGAGTACACTTGCGTTTGCAACATCAATCGCTACTTCTTTTCCGTCTTGCAGATCACACTTCCAACACTTGAATACAGTCGTATGCTCGTATTTGTCTTCTTCGCGTTCCTCATTAATGGCAAGCTTCTTCATTTTAGCCGGTGGCTCCTCTCCATCAGCCTAGCATGGTTCTAGTGTACGTTGCACATAAATGCGTCGCCACTCACGCGATTCGAAACCTTCTTCTTTGGGATGCGCTTGACATTCAGAGTGAACGAGTGTCCTGATCGGAGGGCATGGTTACGCGTATGGTGGCGATCTGAGTCAAGACATGATCCATTGAAGCACACCAAGCAAACATCGATGCCCTTAGGGCCATCCTGCACGGGCGTGAACTCCGGAATTGTGTATCAGCCTCCTTAATCGACCTACCTGATTATCAAAACATTGCGTGCATTCTTCCCTATGAACTGACTGGCTTAGTTTTGGCTCTCTCAAACGAGATATTTCGTGAACATGGGGACAAGTTGCAGACATCGACATAGTGGAAATGTCCGTATTCGTTATGGTCGAATTGAAAGTTCAGAAGTTCAGGCAAGAGGAGCGACATTGTCACGTGGTCATCATGTAATGAATTCTGTGACATTTCCACGATCAGCATTGTGTCCTCAGTCCTGTCTATTCACTCCAGTTTGCGCTATCTACAGGGTATTTTTTCTCCAACAAAACGTATCATTGTTACAGCAAGTCCATCCTGAAGAAACGGTATCTGGGAACACAGAAGAGTGCAGAGCGTTTATAGGGAAAATCAAAAATCTGAACCTGGACTTTAGCAGACAGTCGCAGTAGAATTCATGCTCCACTTACTGTTCTAATATGCATGGCAGAGTCAAAATCCACTTTAATGATGGAGGGATTATCAGCTTTGGGCTCACCCATCACACTTTCGGTGCGGGGGTCCGCCAAGAAGCAGTAGTGTATCAGAGCACGATGCCACAGATTGGCTGCACGGATATTGTCGGTAAGACCAGGTTTGCATGCGGGAATACACGACTTACTTCGCACAGTACCACGGAATTTATCCTCTCCGACAAGGACGTGGAGGCTCCTGTCCCAGTCTCCGGGACCACCTGGAATGTAGGGCGCCACATGATTTTCCTTGCATACCATTTTAGCCAATTTTCAAGAAAGCCCAAGATGCGTACCTTCAGATAGGTGATCTCCGCATAGCCCATGGGCTCGCCGTTCCAGCTCATTATTACAGGCAGAACACCAGGGTCGTTCATTATTTCCGTGATATATGCTCTGTGTTTCTCCAGCGAGCCACGTTCTCCCCACGCCTTGTTCACTCGCTCTGAATTATGCCAACGATGAAAGATGTCTAGATGCTTTGAAGTAGTCGATCCGCTGCGGAGATCGAAGTACGTGAACTCTAGAGTCTCCCCTATGGATGGACAAAATCGCCTAAATAGCGTTTCTCCTGGTTCAGGCTTTGGTGGACGAAGGGGGTGCCCGGAAATGACAATGGGTGTACGGGTGAATGACGGGATCAAGGGAAAAGGCGCAACTGAAAATGACGATGGAGGTAGCCAACCGCGATTATGGTATCCTCGTGTTCCCGCGCCCTGCCAGAACGTGGCTCTGTGCAAGTATATTTCCTCCTTTGAAGCTGTAGGCGCATGCGCCGTACGACCGAGGCCGGATCGAAGTAAATACGAGCGTAGCTCCTCGTTATTATTGATTTTTTGAGACAGGACAACCGGGATGATCTCCTGATCGTGGTACAGCGTGAAGAGTGCGTACACAGTCGCCCACATATCTTTTACGAATATGTCGTTTCTAGATGTCTGTGGCGAGCTGACCTGGGAGGAAGGAAGGATCTCAATGACCTGAAAGCTTGGTACATGTGATGCGGTGTTTTCAAACTGCGTACCGACAGCTGAAACGACGAGCTGTGCGGTCCGATCGAGTAAATGATACTCGCACACGATCAATCCATCGATGTGAATGAAATTCGTCGGCGATACAGAGTCTGCCTTGGCGGTCATGACCGCACCATCTGGCAAAATGAAGTTGTCCACCTTCTGGTCATCACTAACAGAAATGTTTGTGAGTGCATTTTGTATGGCTAGGAGACGTTGGGCAGCACGAGTCATCTGTTGCGGTTGACAACTCGGCGGGTGAAACCGAGAGCTAAAAAATGTAATCTCAGTCTATTGGACTCGTTAGTAAAATATATGGCTAATATGAGAAAATACTCACATCTCAGTCGAGATGTTCGTTCGTCGCCGTATATCCTTTAATACGAATTCGTGGCATTAAATAATTTGCGGCCCCCGTATAATATATGTACCTATGCTGACTGATGGCTAAAATATCTTATCCCTTGTTGATCCGGACTCCTTTATGTCCGACTCCACCATCACTGGGCATGCCAGTGGTACCGGTCAGATAACAGGGCAGCCTAAGATAAGGTCAAAAGGATATATGCCAGGTGGACATGGGAAGACCCGAGGGACAAATCTGCTACGCCAAATTTAAAATGGCATTCGCACGTGACTGATTTTTTTTCCCGCACTGTTCAATTTTGATCAGATCGTCCTCATACCCTTTGAACCTACATAGACTATGGCGCCCAACGGACTCATCCCGAATGGAACTGCAGAGGCTCCTATCGAGATCTCTGCAGTACCTTCCATTGTTGGTATTAACTTTGGTAACTCATATGCATCTATCGCAGTCTTAACAAAAGTGCGTTTCTTCCTGCTGTCAATCCCGAAATCTCACATAGAATTTTTTTTGGGACGATAGGAAGGCATCGCCGAGTGCATAGCAAACGAAGATGGAGAGCGTCAGATCGCTTGTGCTATCGCATTTCAAGGGGAGGAGATGGTATGTGGTAGCCTACTTCCTGTTCATACCACTTACCCAAGTTTTATCTTCTCAGTATATCGGAAACCAAGCGAGGCACCAGCTAGTCAAAAACTCTCAAAATACTATTACAGGATTCCGTAACCTTCTAGGCAAGAAGTGCGTTGTTTGATGAATTTCATCATTGCATCCGGTCTGAAGGTATATGGCAGGTTCTCAGAAGTACCACAGGCGGCTTTGTCCGTCTCTGCGCCTGTCATACAACACCCTTCGCTACCCGACACGCCAGCATACAAGGTCAAGGTCCTGCAACCCGCGCCCTTACCTCTTAAAACTACCGCTAGCAATACACCTGCGGCATCACAAGTTGCTACTCCACGATCAGAGCCCATCGAGGTTGAGCGCGTCCTAACTGTTTCCGAAGTGACCACAATATTTCTCGGTTCGCTCGTGCAATCTGCTGAGGACTTCCTTGGGAGAAAGGTACTCGGTGCCGTAATCAGCTTACCCTCGTGGTTTGATGACGCCCAGAGAGAGGCGGTGATAAAAGCTGCAGAGGATGCTGGAGTTCACGTCCTTCAGTTGCTTGATGATGCAGGTGCAGTTGCCGTCTGTACTGCCGCAGGATCAGAGGAGATCTCCTCGGACCGAACACAGCTCATTGTCGATCTCGGCGCATCATCCCTCGAACTGTCTCTCCTTTCGGTCCGCGAGGGCCTCGCGTACTCACTCGCAACCATCTCTGACTCTTCTGTTGGTGGCGATGATATCGACTCCAAGTTGATCAAATTCTTTGCAAAAGAATTCACCAAAAAAACCAAAACGCCATTAACTGTAGCGCCTGCTTCTGATCCCCTTGATAAGCGCGCTGAAGCTAAACTCAGACTCGCAGTTGAGCACACAAAACGCACGCTTAGTGCGAGTCCTGGTGCTGCTACGTGTTCCGTAGAGTCACTCAAAGATGGTCTCGACTACACCGGTTCCATCAACCGACTCCGATTTGACATGGAGGTGCGCTCCATATATGACAAGGTTTACGCAAAGGTGAAGGAGCTTGTCGCGAGCGCAGGGGTGGATTTGTATGACGTTGATGAGATTGTGTATATCGGCGGTTGCGCTTGCTTGCCAGGCCTGGATGAGACCTTAGCTGAAGGCTTTACCGAAAACGTCATTACGCCCTTCAAGGCAGGCACAGTCGCTGGCGGTGGTATCGGCGACCCAACCACTATTCTGGCACGTGGATGTGCCCTCCAAGCACAACTGCTTGTTCGCCTTGCTGGAGAAACTGAGGAGGTTCGCCAGGCATTCATCAAGGGCAATGGAACTAGCAGCGTCAGCGCTACGAGCCGTACTATCGGCCTTCTGGTTCCTCAGGTGTCTGCAGAGGGCGGCTTGGGTGGAGTGTGGGTACCTCTCATTTTGAAGGAGACGCCTTTGCCATGCAGGCGCACTGTCACTGTGGAGGTGGATATCAGTGGGTCTGAAGATCGAGTTGGCTTCGAGTTCTGGGAAGTCAGCGAGGGAGTCAGGATCGAACATGTCAAGCCACAAAAATTTGAAGACGATGAAGACGAGCCCCAGGACGAGGAGGAAGAAGAGTTGGAGGAGGTAAAGGAGAAGACGATCTCAAAAGAAGCATTCTTGGCTTCATTATCACTTTCGCGTTCCAACCCCTCCAAGGGCAAGACGAAGGTGCAAGTGCAGGCAATCATTAGCAGCAACAGTGCTGTAGATCTCAGTATAAGGGAGGTGACGAAGAACGGACTGGGAGAAGCTGTGACGGTGACAGTGGGATCTTCATGATGCATCTTGTGACATGAACGTATGCATTTTACCAGGCAGGTGTAGACAGACTTTTCTACTGGATCTCACCGATATCCTCGTTCCATTCCTGCACATAGATCGTCAATTATAGCAAACATGCCATCCGTAATAGACCATCATGACGCACCTCCGGTTTTTCGACAATGAATTTCTTCATGAGCTCCTTGCATTCTGCATTATCAACCACTATGACCTCGACGCCTTGGCTTTTCAGCAGCTCTTCTCCTCCCACCCAGTTCTCATTCTCTCCGATAACGACACGTGGAATCTTGTAAAGTATGATTGCACCTGTGCACATGATACAAGGACTATTCATGCGGTGAGTCATGAGTAATTGATAGAACTAGCGACGCATGACGATCACCCCCACCTTAAGGTCGTGTACTTTATTCACCAAATATCAGTAAGTCGCACTATCAACCCCATACACATCGCTCGGAGTCTCACCATCGTGCATCCTCTATAAACTTGTGCCTTGAGTCTCCCTGCATCCTCCAAGGCAGCTATCTCTCCATGCAACGTAGCCGATGACTTCTGAATGCGTGAGTTGTGCGAACATCCTAGAACAACTGCATCTTTTGGATCTGTTGAAGACCCGTGATACACAAGGGCAGCGCCAATCGGGATCCCTCCTTCTTGGTAACTCTTGCGTGCCTTTGCTAAAGCTGTAGAGAGTCCGAGCTTATCTATGCCGTCCATGGAGTGGTCTTGGGGCAAGCTGCTGTCCGCATTCCGTGTCCCACGTCCTGACATTAATATTGATATTGATCATGGGATCGAGGACTTTGAAGATATAGGGGGTGATATAATATAATGACCGGCATGCTTCACAGCCCTGATGGCTCAGTTGGTTAGAGCGCAGGTCTCATATGTTATATATGACCGAGTGTATTCGGGTAATCCTGAGGTCGCAAGTTCGAACCTTGCTCAGGGCAAGTTTTTTGGCTTGTATCTGATCAATGTTTTTGATGTCAAGTTGCACTACATACAATTGCAAGTACCGTAATTTAAGGCTGGCGCAGGACCGCCGCAGCTGGTGACTGAGCGGGTCTCGGGAAGCACCACTCCAATATTATCCCCTTCTTGCACTTGAAACTGTACTACAAGGGAATCAACAAATTCCAAGACCAGCCGCGTCGGCCCTTAATTATGTACTGAGTGCATTGGATGGTAAAACTGTTTCACGTATATGCTTGTTATCCGCAGTCTATTCCAGTTCGAGATTTTGGAAAAATTGACGAGACTGCAGTTTGATTAAACAAGGAAGCAGTGCCAAAACCCTTACCGTTGCGATCTGCCAACATACTCAGGCTGTTCTTGATCTTTGGAGGGTCACGGTAACATTTGAGGACTGCATCGTCCCCGAGTCGACATCAGGCTGTACGTGTATTGTTCTTTTTCATTGCCAGGTTCACAAAAAGACCCCACAATTAAATACAGATGCTGCTCCATCCGTGAATAATTAAACATCATCCTCTATAAAGATAGGTTCCACATCCTTCCAAGGCTGCCTGCCTCCCATAGCCCACACCTTCTCTCTCTCTACCCAATATTCCAACCTATTCCCAACCCTCGACGGCGCCCACACCCTCTCCCCAGTATCCTCATCCGTCTCCGCCCTAAACCATCTAGGTCGATGCGGCGGCGCGCGCCCCTCCTCCCTTGCACGCCGCGTCGCTCGCTGCCGCTCCTCTTGCTGCATCTTCAACCCATTCGCAAACTCATACTTCCCCATCTCAAACGCCCGTTGATCAGGTCGCAGACGGCAGTCTGTCGGGCACAAGTATGGCCTTAGCGTTTCATCGGGGCAGTCATTCAGCGTGATGGCAAACGGCGTGAGGTTGAAAGGTGCGGTGGGCTTTTCGGAGTTACGCCAGAGGAGGATGTACTCTGCGGCGTGGTTTGGCGAAGAGGGTCCACTTACAGTAGCGTCAGGGTGTAGGAAGCCGCTGCCTGTGCCGACGGCGCGACATATGAGCTGGCTGTTCCACCGTCCAGCTACCTCGTGGGTTACTTCTCCGTCTGCGTCTCGCACGACACCAGTGATTTCGTATGCGTCTTTGCCCCGCCATCCTCTCGGCTTGAATGTCAGTACACACTGGTCGCCAGTGCGATGATTCGTGACCTGTAGCAATGTAGTTTCAGTGTCGACGCATGATGAAGAAGAAAGAGCAAATCACTCACGATCATGTCACCATAGTGATCGATAGTGGGAGAGCCTAAGATGAATCCGGAGACGTTGGTAGTGACTTTCTTCCACGAGAAGTGCTCGACGACTTTGCCCTGGATGCCAGCAGTAGTACACTTAGGGTAGTCGGGCGCCCACTCTTCAGGAAGAAGAAGTTCAGCATGCGCAACGCCAGTAGGACGAATCTCGAAAGATTTTCCCATAAATTTATTTTGTGCGTCGACCTGGTGTGGATAAGTATCAGTGGATCATGCGAAACAACAATGTAACAAACCTCTCCATAATAATGCCAATACGGCGATTCTGCCCAACAAGCTGACATGGGGGGATGATGACTGACTTGCTCAGATACGTAGCGATACTCCTTGTCGAGTCTGACGTATTCGAATGTTTCACTCTGGATAGGTTGAGTATTTGACTACGTGAAAGGCATGGAAGGTACATACAAGCATAGGATTGAATGGTTTAGCTATACGACCGATGGTCGATGAATAATTTGACATTGCAAACGCGGCCACAAATGCTAACCGCCGATGAGGGTCTTGCTCCCGGGCAGCGACATGGACTATCAACCAATGAGTTACGATGACCAGCGATCGCATAAATGAGACACTTACGACACTCCGAGAACTCCATATCCTCCGCCTTCACTCAAATAAGACAGTGTGTACATATCCATTAGCCAAAGACAACTCACCATCCGCTGCAACATACTCGTCGGCTCATTAAACATGACGGGAAAACTAATCCTCGTCAAATCCTTTCCAATGCTGTGCTTCAGCACAGACCACAGACTCGTGCTTGGCCTGTTATCCGACCCTATAGGTAACCGCGTCCTCAAATTTTGATAGCCTGCGAAATGTTCCCCGTTCATGAAGGACAACGCAGGTACCACGTGCATTGGGCTACATAGCAATTGGCTGACGACGAGGTTGGGGAGGGCATTGGCCTCGATGGCATCGAAGAATTCATCTTCCTCATCTGTGTCGACGGCGTCTTCATCCTCCTGATCTTGCCGTGGTATACGCTGTGCAGTCGGCGTGACCCCTGCACTTGTGGGTGATGATGACACAGTCAATGTGGACAGGCCGTTCACTTCCTTAGGCGAGGAGACAATAGTGATTGGTGCAGGGCGCACCAAGGGTGAGGAATAGGGTTCTTCAAGCACAGGAGATACAAGGGCCATGGTCGCAGGGCGCGGTCGGAATATGCCGCCACCTGCATCGTTTATACCAGCATCGAAGAATCTGCTACCTCGTTTCCGAGACCGCATGCGCAGTTCTTGTTCCAGGACTTCGCCCTCCCGCACGACAGTTTGTAAGCTCTCTTCCCACACAGTCTGTCTCTCACGCTCACGCTGTAGTTGAGATTTCCACCACTCCTCACGGTCCTTGGCCATCTGGATATACTCATCTATCATCGTTTGTACGATCGCGAACGATTCCCTGAGCGCTGTGCGGAGTTCTTGTGTCCTGGGCGCCGCATCTGGTGGTAGTGCGAGGTTAGACAGAAGCTGGGCGGTGAGTTCCATTTGTGCTGCAGCCGAATTCCCTTGCAAGTCAAAAGTTGCATTGTGAGGAGGCGACTGCGTGAGGACCGACGTTGAAGAATTATAATTGCGCTCTTCATTTTCCGAGGTAGAAGGGCTTTTAGCTGCCTTGCTCGTCTCAGGAGGTAGCCCATCCTCCATGCTCTCATCTGTTATACCCATAAAGGAGCTTTGTGACCCCCCGCCGCGGGTACCCGCATCCATTCGCCGCACTGATATCACCGACTGGAAGCTCGTACGCAGACTCTTGGGCTTCAAAGCATTCAACTCGCTTTCCCCGCTCTTTCGCGGCACTTGCTCATCGCGCCGCGCCCATTGTATACTCTTCCCAAGGGCCTGCGTCCACCCGGCAGCCTCGACGTGATGATTAGCACGCATGTACCATTTTTGCCCAGTGGTATGTCCTCGAGATGGGGTCGAGTGGATCTCGAACCGCGTCTTGTCACCGCCAGGCGAGGTTTTGAGGATGGCAGTTTTCATGGTGATGGCACCGCGGCTAGCTATGCCTTCGTCTTCTTGGTGCCGGTAATCTACAGGAGGTTGAGCGCCATGGATAGACAAAAGAGGTGAGAGATGACGGACATGAGAATACACCATCTTTTAGGACAAACCATCTAGTATTATAGCCCTTAGCGACATTGGTGTATTTACTGAGATAACCCTTCATGACAGGAGGTTCCGAAGACGGGACCTCAATAAGAGAGGTATCATGGTTTGCGACTGTCGTTGGTTTGAGCACAGTGGGTAAGGGAGCGCGTAAGGAGAACGTACACTGTCGCAAGAATACCCGTACGTGATCATCTTTTCCTGCGCCCTCGTATGCCATTTTCCCCCTGCGGTCTCGCACAAAAACGCTCGCTCCTGCCCGCACGGCTAGTTCAATGAGGCGCAGGTTTTTCCGCCTGGCTGCCTCGTGTAGCAGAGAAGTGCCAGATGCATCGTCCAAGTACGACAAATCAAGTCCATGTGCCCGTGGTGATTCCAATAGAGCCACTAATGCAGCATTTGGGGGTGCATCCATGGGAGATAAAATATACGAGCGTAAAAGCGACCTGTATGAGGCGTTCAAAAAAGAACGTGAATCTAGGAGCGGCGTTGGTGAAGAAGGCACAGAGACACAGAGAGAGAGTACGTACCTTCCAACGTTTGGATAACTTCTTTTGACCTTGCCACATCTTTGCATGTTTTTCCGCTGTTATCACGGAGGGTGTCGTCAATGCCAGCTTGGTCGAGCAACACGCCTACGATGTCTGCACGACCGAGGGATGCTGCAAGATGCAGAGGGGTGGTCCCAGAACCTGGTGGGTGCACGCCATTGGGTGATATCGCTCTATGAGATAGGAGTAGCTGTACGGTACCGACTTCGGTTACGGGTGAGGGAAGGCGGGAGTGGCAAGCAAAAGTGATGACCTACCGGAAGCGCAGCGTATAGCGAGGTGGAGGGCAGCAGCTCCAGTGTTAATGTCTCCATCGACAGAGTTTCGTCTTTCCTTGCCAATTTCAGCAAGAAATGGATGTATGAGAGCAGGATCACCTGTGGAGAGGGTTTGCTATGAGGTGGGAGAAGAGAGAGGTGGTTTCTTACCACTCCGAAGTGCCGACAGTAGTTTGACTTGATGAAGGGGTTCTGTGACATCTACTGCTCATAAATGACTGAGTCCAAGCCCAAGAAACTGACGAACTCACCGGACCTGAGACTACGAATCGAGAGGGAGGAGCTCATCATATGTCCACAGCAATTCTGCACCTGTAAATTCAAAATCCAGGATAGTTTGGTGTGGGCAGTCCTTGCGTGAAATGAGGGGGAAAAGTAGTTAAGAAGAAGAAAGCGAGCTAGATGTATTCAAGAAAGCCACGGTGACCAAGTACTGCTGCAGCTTGCTCCCCATGCAATTTCAGAAGCAGAGGTCCGAGTCACGTGTCACTCACATGTTCTACCCCACTGTGCTGCTTGCCCTGCCACTATGAGTCTATGATACGATTGGCTATATATGCTAAGGCTAGTAGCGCTGCAGGGTAGCACTTGCGCTTGTTTTTTCAGAGCTGCGAAGCGCCGATAAGACGTAAGGATACCTTCTTCCACTCTTGTCAATTCTTAGCACCATTCAAGCAGCCGCATGCTCATACTTGAGCTATTCCCATGTTCATTTTTGCAATCTTTATCACCGCTATCGCTGTCTAATGGGCAACATCTCTGCCTGAGATACCAGGGGCCTATATAAAGTATAATTTTAAAGTGGGTCCCTTTCCAGTCGCCTTCCGTTCATCTATTCACGCCATAGTAATGAGCAATAGTTTCTCTTCTCCAGACAAGGAGAAAGCCTTTGAGGTTGATATTGGTTCAGGAGAGCGCGCAAGCAGTAATGACATCTATACACCACCACCGGACTTCAAACTCCACCGAGAGCTTAAAAATCGTCATGTTGCAATGATAAGGTATTTGCCTGTCAACCTTTCTGACTTCAATGACTGAGTCCCTACTTTTTCAGCATTGCCGGCGTCATTGGCACAGGACTATTCCTCGGGACCGGGTCGGCACTCATGAATGGCGGTCCTCTAGGCCTTTTATTAGGTTACATATTCGTTGGGTCCATATCTTATTGTGTGATGGTCAGTCATGTATATATTCACCGATTTTATTCTTCATTGTTTTGTTACTAGATCACCATCGGAGAAATGATCTCTTATCTCCCAATTGCCGGTGGTCATATCAAGCTTGCCGAGCGCTTTGTTGATCCAGCATTCTCATTTGCATTGGGATGGAATCTATGGTACAATTGGACGGTAATGTGACCCTTTGCTTGATGTTTCAAGTTTCTGAATGTCTCTCCCATCAGGTAACATTGCCAGGTACAGTCTCCGAATCATCTCCCAACGAATGCCGTTGATTATATCCAAGCCGAGTTGTCCGCAGCCGCTACCATCATAAATTTCTGGCATCCTGGTGTAAACAACGCAGTATGGATAACAATGTGTCTCGTTGTTGCCGTCGGGATTAACATGAGTGGCGTTGGTAAATGTTCACACTATTTGGACGCTCTTCTAGTTCAATTTTCACTGCAGGTGTGTATGGTGAAACCGAGTTTATGTTCGCGTAGGGTTATCTTTCCCTTAAGTTGTTTTCTTTGCCTGACGCCAGGGGCGAGCCAGCTCTATCAAGGTTGTTACGATTGTTGGTCTCATCATCTTTGGGATCATCCTTGACCTTGGCGGTGGCCCGAACCATGATCGTATCGGATTTCGCTACTGGAAGGACCCTGGTCCATTTGTCCAATTTTATAACATAAGTGGCATGACAGGTCGTTTTCTAGGCTGGTCTCGTGCAGTAACGCAAGCTGCATTCGCATATTCTGGGTTAGAAGTCGTGGCTGTGAGTCGTGACGCTCTTCCTTGGATCTTTTGAGGTTGAAATAGACCAGATGGCGGCTGCAGAATCCAAGAACCCGCGCAGGAATCTCCCCAAGGCCATCCGTCGTGTTTATATCCGGATCCTACTATTTTATATTGGCGGCGTATTTGTTATCGGTCTCCTGGTACCTTCGAACAACCCCTTACTGAACGTAAACTCTGATAATGCTTCTGCGTCTCCATTTGTAATTGCAATTAACCAAGCTGGCATCAAAGGATTACCCTCAGTAAGCGTTGCGTTATACAATAATGCATTTCTCATGCCTCTGTAGGTGATCAACGCCGCTTTACTGACATCAGCCTGGTCCGCGGCTTCCAGTAACCTTTACATTTCCTCCAGAGGCCTGCGTGAGCTTCAGTATTATGTCTACAGCACTGCATCCAATTTAATCTACTTTCAGATGGCCTCGCCGCCTCCGGCAATGCCCCAAAGGTATTCCTTCGTACCTCGCGGTCTGGGCTTCCCTACGTCGCAGTAGCCATGTGTGCTTCTTTCTCTCTCCTCGCCTACATGGCGGTCAACACGAGCTCCGGAATGGTCTTCACGTGGTTCTCTAGCATGTGTGCCACTGCGGGCCTCACGACCTGGTTCGGCATCGGTGTCATCTATCTGCGCTTCCGCAAAGGCTTCCTCGCGCAGGGGCACAAGATGAGTGAGCTCCCGTACTCCTCTCGGCTTCAGCCCTTCGCCGCCTGGTGGGCCATCGGCGCATCGCTTGTGACGTTGTTGGTGAGTTTAACTTTCGCATGTGCGATATAATGAAGCGATTCTTGGGCTTATGGTCTCCAGTTCAGTGCATGGGAGGTATTCCTGAGAGATAATTGGTCAACAGCAACTTTCATGACAAATTATCTGCCCATGATGCTTTTCCCTGTTTTATATGTTGGCGCCAAAATCTGGAAGCGAGTCCCTATTATCAAGCCGAACGAAATGGACTTCCACTCTGGCATCGCAGAAATCGAGGCAATGACGTAGGACTCTTTTATTTGCTTGTGAAGTATAAACCAGGCTGAGATGCTTGTCACAGGCGTGCAGACGTGCTCCCGAGGAATATCGTGGAGGCATTTTGGATGAAGCTTGTGAGTTCTCTTTCGGTGATGGTGGCCATTGGCTGGTTTGCTCATCCTTCGAATAAGACGTGATGATTGATTCCATGTCGACCGATATTGTATTGGGAGCCTGCAGAGATGTGATTTAGATCTTATAACAGTTTGAATTCAACAGAATATAAAAACTGACATCCCTGAAATAAGATGGTGTATGTTGAGGAACGCACCCTCGCATGACTGTTCCAATCAATTTCGAAAATCAACCACTGGCACTCAAGGTCTTTGCCGTGACGATCCTCTTAATTGTAGGTGAAGTAGAGCGCACGTGCAAACCTTTGACACAGCGCTGTAAAAGATGGGAAATCCACCCGCAGTCGATATGTACACTCGTGAACTTGAAGAGGTTAGCATTGCTGGTGAGACTGCGTAGAATCTTGAAGCATCCTTCGCGTGGACACCTCTCTCGACCGAGCCTCGTGATGCATAATAATTTAGAAAATATCTTGCCTGAAGACGTTGCTGCGGAATTTGCGGCTCTTGACGAGTTAAAGAGGATTGAAGCTTGAATGTCAGAATATTAACGGTGTGGAAGTGCTCAAGGGAAATGCTTTTGATTTTGACGAGTTCGATTGCGTCGTTGAATAATACCATTAGCTATTCTAGATGAGTTTGAGCTCGTTGTTAATTACAACGACGAGGACTCGGATGAACGGGACGAAGCCATAAATGTCGATGTTGTCGTTGGGTATGGTGGACGATAGGTTACGGTTCGATTTGCCGATTTGCCGCGACTTATTTTGAAGTCCGATCACTGTTTGTTCTAGTCTTTTGAACTATTTGTTAGTGCACCTCAAATATTGCCGTCACAGGAGGTCACAAGTGGTTGTGTACTTACAATGGACATAGTTTGACCGCTCCAGAACTTGAGTACCGACCGACCGACCCCAGCCTGACTCAGACGGACTCCGATGGAACGAAGCCATGGTTCAAATATACAGCATCGGTAAGCCAGTTAGAACTTGAAGAGTGCAACTTGATATGCTTCTCCAATTGAATGAGTGAACAGCGCACCACTGCTTCGTTTGCGGTCCACTGAGTCAGGCCTATGTATAAGCGGTTAGTATCCATTCAATGATACGAACTTTGTTCACTTGCATCCCAATTTCGTAGGCCTGTTACGTTCCTCACTAGATGCCCATCCCTCGAGGAAGAAATAGGTATGCCATTGCTCGTAAGCACATTAATATTGATGCCAGCGCTAGCAGCTCTCGCAAATGTAACGCACAAGTTTCAGCTTCAGATGAAGCTGTACGGCCGCCAGTGGAATGATTTGTTGCAAGTGGCTACACTAACCCAGAAATCATTTCTCATCTTCGAGAACACAACCGGCGTGATGTTACAGTTGGAATGTTAGAAGCGAAAGATGAATATTCTGGGAAGGGACTGCATCTGTTATCAAGTGCTCCCCAGGCTGTACATCCAGTGACCGGTGAGATCCGAACTCACAATACCCAAGCTAGTGGTGAATCCATCAGACAGACTTTTCTTATGGCATCCTTCAGCATTATCTTCCCCACTGACGTCGCTGCAGCATGTACTCGATTTCACCTTCCCTCTGGCGTTCCACGACCACTAAAACATTCTGTTCATTTTCACAGATGCGACTAGCGCGATCCCGGGAATCACAGTGTGCTATCAGAGTTCCAGTACTTCATACCATTTCTTCTCCTTTCCGTGTTCGAATTGGGTGGGTAGTAACCAGGAGCATGTACATATACAAACACGCGCTGACAGGTGTTCTCCTCAGGACTCATAATACTCACACTCATATGCGCCATGCAGAACTGGCAGATAAACTCAAGCCATCTGTACGTTGTCCTGGTGAACTATAACATATTCTATTATGCATGCGGTTTTCGTGAGTTTACATTCACACACGCCATTTTTCCGTACTCATCCTGATTTCTGAAGTGTTTTCGGTAACGAACATTATTACACCGCTGCTGTTCCAGGTGCGCTGATCTCCTAAATGCCTTTTATGATCGAACCGTTAATGTTCTGCGTCCCAGGACTCCTACCAGACCATTTTGAATAGGTATCCACCTCCACATCCTGCTGCATGTTTTTACTAATAATACCCGAAACGTAACTTCACGTATAGTGTCCAGTCCATCATGCTTGCAATTCTTGCCACACGCAAGCACCTCCATCTCTGGCAGGTGAACCGACATCCACGCGGCTCTACTAGTGCCCTCGTGCATATTCCAATGTCCGACATCTCATTTGCAAATCCCACGGTGTGATGTCTTATTCTGTGACTTATTCTGTGTCGTTCGTGGAGCGAGGCTTGGATCGTACAAGATGACTGGTGGAGGTGGGTTTGGTAGAGTTTGTTACGTCCTTAACTTATTGGATGAGTCTGTTGCGGAATGGGAGGAGCATTTGGATGTCCTTGGTCTATCTAACACCCAAGTTTTTAATGTAAGCGGTGGCAGATTCAGGATCCAGAATTTGAGTATGCTAGAGCCAAAATCAAGGACGATCTAATTCTGCTTCGGAGTCCTGCTACACATCATCATGTATATTACGAGAATTTGACTTGGTCACACAGCCATGGATGATCGCTCATATAGAGAAGCAGGAGAGGATCACGAAATGGGTATGGTGATATGCAGTGACTCACCTTCGAGTCATCAGACATGCTGGTGCGATGAAGAAAACGAGGATCAAGGATGTGCCTAGTGGTAGGTGCAGTGATGAGTCAGGAGTATGAAAAGACGGGGGTTGGAGAAGAGGTGGGTGGTCCAGGTCTTGTCGCACCTGTATTTCCATGGCATTTGTATGTTTGGCACGATAGACGTGTGATTATACAAAGCACTGAGAACAATGGCTGACTTGAGAATTTTAGCAGGAGAGTCTGTACATGCTAAAGAAGTGAGCAATATCAAGGTCAGTCATCAGTGAAAGTAGCACGCCAAGTCTGAAGGGAACATTGAGCATCCTGTGAGGCTTGCTACTCTGTACTTTTATCGCTGAGTCGTACCATTCACTTGGCACATAGTAAGGTGAGAAGTAGATTTCAGTGTATTTCATAGTAGAAACGATATAAACTGCTGAAAGGACGTGCAATAAAGTAGGAACACGAGCGAGGGTTTGCGAGAGCATGTCAGAAGGGATAGCAGAATGCAATGGACGATATTATGAGTGAGCACGAGCCTCCCATGCAGTACATAACACTTGTGACAAATTTACAAGTATACTTGGGGTATACTAAAAAATAGTCGCACCATGAGAACAAACATCGATCGGACTTCCAAATAAGTTGCAGCAAATCGGCAAATCGAACCGTAACCTATCGTCCACCATAGTTGGGAATGTCGTCCATAGTCGTGTGACACAGCCTAGAGTATTACTGCAACCGGCAGAACTGACCCGAAGTATGTAGGAGCAAAATCTATAAGTTATGGAAAGCCAGACCACCGTGCTCTACTTCCAAGGCTTCCACTTCTCAGAACCTTCCTAGTAAGGTAAGTAGCTTCTATTGGCCTCCGAACATCCTGTGTGAGTCACGATTGTTCGAAAATTTAAATTTTATTGGCCTTCAGTTATAATGCGTGCGCAGAAGCTTCAGCCGCAAGAAATATATTTTGTGAGAACAGATGATGAACAAACATAGTACTAAGTATCGCGACTTTCATCTACCGAGTCAGCTGAGTGAAACTTATCCAAACCAGCCCATTCGCAATAGTCGTTGCAGACATGTTGTGCCTCGAACATGGTGACCGCAACTTCTATGTTTCCTTCACCGAAAATATCCTGTCCGTCACTGACCGAGCTGATTATGATAGGGTGTCAACAACCACTGGAGCCAGAGATCAAGAATATACATATGGGTCCGTCAATATCTGAGGATCAGTCAGTAGTGAAGTGCTTCCTGAGGGTCAATGAGTTTTATCAGCACACTGGCAGGATTGTCGTTGGGTAGAAAAGTGCGTACCTTGGTAGTCAGATATAAATGCTAAACCACTGGTCTTCACATATTGAACATGTTGAGTGAATGCGAAGAATACCGCTAAATCATAGCCATAGTCAAGTTCATCGAGCAAAGGATCAGCGTCCATGTTATGAATAAATTTGACAAATGCATCGTCGCCGCCGTCAATGAGTTCTTCGAGCAGATAAGCTGCTCGAATAGGGCAGGGCTTCGACCCTGGCATGATGCTTTTTGAGCCCAGTTTGACAGAGGGAGCCGCTATGACTGCTTGACCTTGCACAAACGCTAATGCAAGGCCAGCTTGCACAAATCGTACTCGCGGAACTGGGAACGGAGGAGGACAAGATGTAGCAAGGCGATGGTCGATGAAGTCGTATGTAAGTTGTAAAAGGGAGCTTGCCCAGTATAGCACGTTGGCTTCTCGAAAAAGCTTTGGCAATTCATCTACGATGGGAAACCTGCTGATCTTGAAGGCTTCAGTCGACCCACCAGCCTGTGACAAAACTCTGTGAAAGGGCCGTTTGACCACGATTTCGTCACGCGGAACTGAACCAAGCCCGGAAACTGGAGGAGGAGTGAGGGTGAGCCATCCTGGATGGGCCATCTTGAACCCACCCATCCCAATAGTGCTGTCATGGGATATGTCAACCATCAACTGGCCAACCCAAGACTCGGCAGTGTCGAGCATAAATGAGCGATAATCCTTGTTTCGTAAGATCTCCGCTAGAGGGTGATTAGGGATGGGGTAGAAATGGATGGTTTCATTCTGTTTTTCGAATACTAGTACAAACACTATTAGTTCGTCAGAAGGATATAAGCATAGCACGCGCACCTTTCTTTACATTGAGATTTGCTGTACCACCCGATTTGAGGGCCGCTTTCAAGTCATCACGGTCAGGCGAGTGGAACACAACTACCGGGGCAATCTTTTTGCGTGGCGGGGATGGAGGCAAAGCACTACGACTGCTCTCAGTTCGCACATGAGTCCGCTTAGATATGCCAGTTGGTTGTATATGAGTCTGAGTCGGAGCATCTGTAGTGTCCTCGATTGCATCATTCCATGTGGTACGGCTGGTGGTATGGCTGGTGGTATGGCTGGTGGTATGGCTGGTAGCAGCCTGAAATAATATGTCCAATTAAGCAACAAGTTGATGGCATGCAAAACAAAACAGGACAAGTTACCTCCTCTGCAACTCGTTCCACCCAGTCTTCATATTCCAGCCAGTGTGTTTGAGGTGCAACTACCATTAATTCAAATTGTTTGGTCTTGAAGTTTACTGTCTTTGAATCTTTGCGGCTCGCTTGTAAACATTGATCAAGGAAGAAAGGTTGTCCAGCTTGGTGAGTCGAGAGGTCTACCCATTTGCCGTCCCGCACAACAAACTCGTCGTCATACCAAACAAAATCAGCACAAAAGGTCCGGATCTTTGGCAGGATGGTATTGAGTGCGATTGTCATAAGTCCAGGTGCATCAATACGAGCGTCAATATCTTTGATGCCCTCGCAAATATTCTAGAGATAGATCGTATATCGTGCATTTAGAATAACTAAACCAAAATCCCAAGGATAAAACACATACCCCAATGGTGATGCCATGACTACCCTTCCGCCTAACCCCACCCTCATGGACCGCTGAGATTTCCAGAGAAATGGTCTGTGCCGGTGGTACAGCATATGAAAGCTTAACCCAGCGCTCACGTTCAGACCCATAATGAGCATGGTGCAAAGAGTAACCAGAGGCCCAGGTGCCCACAGCCTGCGGATTAGAACTGGACGGCAGACTTGGATAGTTTGAACCAGAGGATTGTGAGAGTTGGATTGGACATTGTGAGAGTTGGATTGGATGCTGCCATGTTGATGGGACATTGACATTGGGACCTGTAGTAGTAGGGCGTACCATAGCCACCACAGGTGGTGGGTTAAGCATTGCTGAATGATTGTCAGACTCAGATGATGTAAAGTGCCATGAGTTTACTTACACTTTCATTGCGCAGCATTGACAGATTGCCGGATAACATGTGGATCTGGCAATTCATGGTTCATCTGCCCTGCAAGACACCAAAGCATCAGCATCAAACTCGCTAAGTGGTAGATGAGTGGTAGAACAACTCACTGCTGTAGGTCTCACTGACGTAGCTAGCTTCCCTCGGTACCGTTCATGACAAGAATCACACACATAACGGCCTGGTCTCCCAGGGTCCATAGTGCCCACATAAAAACAAGGTTCACCCCTGAAAATCTTGACACCGCAGGCAGGACGTTCGCATAATCAATCGTCCTTAGCAAATGCATCTTCAGTGTACTGAGAGACCAATTCATACGCAGACATTGTTCGTCGAGCAGAGGTGAGGGATAGATAACAATGCAACTTAGATGCCAGAGAATGGCCCATTAAATACAAAATCATGTTTTGATGCCTGACCGTGACGCTCCTTAGAGATTGGCATAAGTCTGTAAGTGGCAGAGATAGAGGATCCAACTTGCGAGACTGAGTTGGCCCGATCAGCACAGAAGAGGTAAGAAACTTGTTCAACACAGCCTGCTATGAAACTCGGCCCAGCCAGCACAGCAGAGATAAAGAATCAAATGAGATGACACAAAATTCATATTCAGCTTTAACTCCGAGTCTTTGAGTAAGAAGCTTGTTCAACATAGCCCCTGACTGTTACGACTTGGATAGGTCGAGCCTTCTCTAGTCAGAATGACTAATCGTCTAGCGGTCACGCGTAGACAGAAGGACGGGTTCTGAGCTCGATCGAAGGTCGAGGTATCCTCCGACAAGCTTGGTAAGCGCGGCGGCTCGTCAAGCTGTAGGGCTAACAGATGTACAGCTAAGGTAGTGTCGGCTTGCCTTAGAAGTGCGGTCTAGACAGAGGGACTGGGAGTCACTCTGAAAGGATGTTCAAGGGAAAACCAAGTATATTAAAGTAAGGAATACAATGATATGTATCTACTGTTATATAGTGTCTAACTACATAGTTCGGGAGGAGTCTGTATCTGTGGATCTATCCTAGTCAGAGATAAGATCCATGAGGCAAGCCATGCTTGTCTGATAAGTACATGAGGCACTCCGGCCTCTGAGTCGATCAGCGCATGAGGCGGCATGTGTCGGTCTAGTTCTACATGAGGTGGACAGCCATCATGATGGGATCGGAAGGCCTTCTAGGCCAGGGGTGACGTCATAGCAGCTCTAGACTGCTCTAGGTGTCCAGCGGCATCCAGGCCGCTCTAGGCTTCTGGCAGCGTTCCGCCGTGTTGGTAAGTCGGGAAGAGGGAGCATAGGGTGAAGGCGGCATGTTATTGTAACACTGACCTTCCCAACTCTGAAGACGGGAATCTCATTAGCTGCGGCGACACAAAATTCATATTCAGCTTTAACTCCTGACCTTCCCAACTCTGAAGACGGGAATCTCATTAGCTGTGGACACGTGAGTCTCAGTAGCTGCGGACACGTAAATGTTCGTGCTTCATCCTCGGTGACCCTGGGACTAACTGGGACTAAATGCTTTAAGTAGTCGGCATCTCTCCTAGTAGGTTCATACTAGGCATGCCCAATCAACACAAACCAACTCGTACGTGTCTTTTTTACAATTTCAGAATTCGCTGTTGAGAATCAACCCTAGCACCCCTTGATGATATCAAACCTCATATCCTTCGACTATGGAAGACACGTCAAACAGACAAGCAGATTGTGGATGGTTTGCGGAAACATTTTGACACCGAACATTATGGAATTGGGTGAGTACTTTCCACACTATCTTAGATGTTCCAAGTCACTGGCGCTCACTTGTTCAAGCCTTACAAAATTTGTAGCATGGGCCTTCGACGAACCCGTCAGCAAGGGCACACCGTCAAATCCATTTGTGAAGCGATGCTTGACCTACGTCAAATCTATCCCAATGCCAGAGCGAGGGAGATGATTAGCCTCCTGTTCCATGAAAAAGGTATGAGTGTAGCCAGGTATGTTTGTTGTTGTCACTTGTGTCAGATCTGTAACTCATTTGGTATGTATACTACAGGACTGTAATACGAGCATATTTCGCAACTTATGAGCCAGACCTTGTGCGGGAGCGGAAGGCACAACATTTGAAAAGGAAACGTTTTTGGGCTGCGGGGGTCAATGACTTATTTGCCGTAGATCAGCACGATAAATGATTAAGATTCGGTCTTGCGCTGCATACCGGAATTGAGCCGTTCTTGGGGCACATTATGTGGATCCATGTCTGGCATTCTAACAGGAACCCACAGCTCATCCTCAGTTACTACTTAGATACCATCCAGACTCTCGGTCGTAAGTGTTTCCATATATTACTTGCAATGATTCACATTATTTCTACTTTAGATATACCTATGGTGACACAAAGCGATCCTGGTACCGAGAATTATGGTATCGTGAACGCCCATACCATGCTACGACAATGGCATGACCCTGCATTGCAAGGTACACTCCAGCATCGTTGGATGCGGACGAAGAAGAATGTAATGCCCGAGATTACATGGTCGCAATTACGCAGATGTTTCACTCCTGGCTTTGAATCAATACTGGACCGGGGAGTCAATGAAGGTTGGTACGACAGTAGCACTACTCTCCAAGTGTGAGTTTTCTGTTCATGATATATCAAACATTAATTATTGTCACTTCAGAATGGTATTCCATTGGGTCTTCATTCCTTGGCTACAACACGAACTCGATGCATACCGGGACCGCATGAACAATACAGCAAAGAGGCGTGATCGCAACAAGGTGACTAAATAGCATGACTCACTGTGCGAGCTACTAATATTCAAGTCCCACTGTCAGGTACTCCCTCATGGTGTCCCCAATCTCATATATGACTCGCCTGAAGATTTCGGGGCCCTGGACTTTAAGGTATGTCATCATGTGTCCTCCTTCTAGGTTTTTTTTCAACACTGTCATCAGATCACTGTAGAACGAGCTGCTATTGATCACGTTCGGGGAGTCTACATTAATTCAAGCCACCCCATCTTTGACCTCGTGCCTCCCAACCTGGGCAATTATATCCAAATGTGCTACGAACAAATGGGCTGTCCTGTCGTTGACTGCAACTCAGCATGGACTGTGTATCACGATTTGCTCAATAAGCTCCAGCACAGCGACAACTCAGCATTGCTTGATGTCTCTGGTGACGAAGATTCAGATGAGGAGCTGGGGGATTTACCACTGCTCAGTAACCATCAAGATCTGCCATTCAACGAGGATGGTTATTACATGAGCGGTGTTGGTGGTGGGTTGGGGCTGGGTAAGACATCTCGTCCTTTCGACTCTCAAGGCTCTTTGTTAACTGACGTCCTTGTGTTAGATACCGTGCACCATCAACAGCTGGATAGTCTTATCGAAGAGGATGAGCCTGACATTTCTGTTGACGGAGATGTTAACCTTGATCATGACGGTCTTGTTGTCTGGGATTTCTCAGACAACGAAGATGATGAGATTAGTAACGCTGATCAGTGGTAACCGATAACCTACAGACTATTTTTCTTGTCGTAGTTTATATACTAGATGTTTGTTGTCGAGTCTATCATCGTCGATCCAGCAGCGGAGCTTGACCTTCATGCAATACTAACGAAGTTATAAAGTATGTAGGTGGAAAATTAGTTGTATCGAAGATCACAGTGACATGAAACGGAGTGTCCGGAGGCCAAGAGAAGCACTTACCTTACTAGGAAGGTTCTGAGAAGTAGAAGGCTCGGAAGTAGAGCACGGTGGTCTGGCTTTCCATAATAAGTAGTTCTCACGGCTTGATATCGGACTGAGTTCCAAAACTGTATTCAAACGTTCAAACGTTCAAGTCGCGACGTGCCGCTCGAGCTGCTAATCCAATGTTCAACTCGTGATCGACATGCAACTTGAAGGATCATTCTAAAGCGCGAAGGTGAATCATGTGGTTGAATCCTGGTTGCACAAAATGCTCATACTCACGTCCTGTGCACAAATCATGTTTGGGCAGCAATCTGTATCTTTTGTACAAGTCCATCCGCTACATGCGGCACTGCCAGACATAGATTCTGTCAAAGGAAAAAGGAGAAACGCATCTGTTGATCTGGAATCTTCTGAGGGGGATCTCTGACTCGGAGGATGGAGTAGGAAGACGACCAGCTTTTATATCCTGCATATAATAATGGGTATGATTCTGATCAATTGTTATTGCTTTCAGATGCAAGAGATTTTGGCAGAACCTGCAAGAGCTTATTCAATCGATTATGCCAACTATTGGATCGTTGCTGAAATCGTACTGTGTTGGGTGTGTAGCTCATACGCGCACCCGCGCTCGCGCCCCGGACCATGATATGTGAGTTCTCCTACATGAATCACTGATGTTGAACCGTCTCTGAATCCATATCTTGCCACGCTTTGCGCTCCGCTCATTGGAATTTGGAAAGCCAAATTGATGTTATTTGCGTGCTACTGCTGATGGCAAAGAGCAACCGTTTCATTCTATGACCTGGCATCATTTCTGCTTACTGAAATTGAAACGTACAAATACCCAACCCATTCTGGGCGGTTCTTCCATCGAGCTTGCATAAGTTGCAATGCTGTCACAAATTACAATCGCAGTTTGGCTCATGGTCTGAGTCTACAACTAGCTGCCTTCTACTTCCATTTTCACCCTCTCTCACACTGTCTTATCTGATATGCCCATTTTACAGCGTCAGCATTGCTCCTACGTAAATGAGTTCATTGGCCAGTGACTCACCGGTACATCACCATGATGCTCTTGAGTTGGCTCTACCACACATTTGATTCCGTGGAAGCAATTTGCGTGGCCTCCATGTGAGTTGCAACCGCCTAGTGCTGCCGTGGTCCGGTTCGGTCCGGTTCAGAGGCAGTTTGATGAGAACCAAGAACTGGACCTTGGTCCGGTTCTACCTTTATTGATGAACCTTGGACCGAACCTTTGCGAACGGTTCGCAGTGGTCAGGTTCGGTTTTTTTTCGGTTCGAACGCGAACCGGACCCAATTTGTTCTACAGGTAGCAAAAAAAAACATAGTCAAAGTACTTCGACCGCAGCAGCACTACGAGCTCTGTATCCCTCCACAATACCAACAACAGCACCTTTCCCGGCGACGATGCACTCCGCTGAGTCATGCAAAGAGAAATATATCAATGTCATTGCGCATGTACATACATGAGACGGAACAAGTTGTATCTAAGATGCTTGATGTGTCAATGGCTAGTAGATTGGGGGACTCGTGAGGGTGGGATGATATGTTGATGGTGCAGGAGTGGTGCCTGCCTCAATGAGGTTGCCGAGTCTGAGGAGTCCTGGAGAGGCTGTATCTATATAGGATGGTAAAAAAAAGTTGCCCCAACCAGAGTCGAGTCTACATGCGCAACATACCTAAAGCATTGTGAGACATTGTTGAAACGAGGAGTCCTGGAGAATGTCGGGTCAGTAATCGCATATGACTGGAAAGGGTGGCGTAATTGAGTCATACGGCAAGGATTCCTAAGTTTTGAAATTGTACCTGAGTGAAATAGAATGAAGCCATGGCGTGAAATAGAATAGGGAAGAGAGAGACTAATGCTCATAGTGAGAACAGGGCTCCCTGAGGCCGAGGTGGATCATTGAAGGCAGTGTCAAAACACACTTCAACAATGTGACAGAACTTCTTACGGTTCGGGGTTCGGACCGGTTCGGGGAAGGTTCGAACCAACATAGAACCGTTCGGGCAATGGTGGACCGCGAACCTCACTCAGGTCCGGTCCGCCCCAATTCTTGAACCATGGACCGAACCAAGGAAGAACCTGACCATTGGTCAGGTTCGGACCGTGGTTCTGGACCGAACCACGGCAGCACTACAACCGCCCAGTGGGACGGATCGGCGACAGGGAAACGTTGGTGGTGGATGGGTTTTCTCTCCCATTTCGAGCAACCTTACCCACCCAGACATGCAACCGATCAATAGCGGAAGAGGCTGCTCATCATCAGCAATGCAGTTCCCAGGTGGTGAAAAGACGTCTGTTTGACGTCGAGCACACTTCTGTGGCGAGCGATTCGTCGACATACCAGATACCGGAGCTCAGGTCCATTGCCTTCCGTTGCCTCTCTATCTGGCTGGACCGCCGATGCCCAACAATTCCATTTGCGACCCGTTTCAAATCACACCTGTAAGCCATACTGTGACTGGGAACCGTTTAACTCGACTGAGGAACTCGAGCTCTAAAATGTCTGGTGCACCGTGACTTTGCAGAGAGTAAATGAATACTGTCAATTTCGGTTTGTCGCACATGTTGCTACTCGGGCGCTACCGGTTGCGCGAATTAATAGAGTGGAGCTCCGGTTGGTCGCTTCCGAGTCGGTTCCGCGCATGAGGATTCGGCCCAGCTTCTCGGGAGACTTGGACACCAGTCCATCAACGTCTTAGTCGCGGATCACATTCCTACCGTTTGCTTCACTGTACAATCAGGATCCTTGGTAAAGGAACATCGTAGCTGACACTCCGGACTCGGAGATAACAGTATCACGTTGCAGATGATTGGTGCTTATTACTTAATGAGCCGGCGAACAGCATATACATGATCACCATTCGGCGCTCACGACATTAGAGCACGACTCCCAAATATTTACAAGTTACAACCCCCAAACCCTCTCATACTTTCATGTCATCTCCGTCGCATTTTCGGTTCACGCGTGCCAATTCATCCGGAGGTTTCCTTTTCGCCAGCGATACAACCCTAAACCAACTATTTCAATATCGCTACCCCTTGAGGCCATTGGAGCTCTTGCTGTTGGCAAACAACTTATCCTGCCAGTGATCGGAATCCTCATTGGTGAAGCATTCACTTGCATAGGGTTCATGCACGTTGAAGATGAAGTACTCGGATTTGTTCATGTGATTTGTTATGCGTTGCATCTGCTTTTAGCTTACTATGCTGTCGTGTTACAGTTTCGCATCGTGTTTACCCCTAGCATTGACCCAGGTGAGATCTTGGCCTTTTAAACTACCTCTTTTGTGTGCTGAGGAATTAATTGCAGGTGACCCTGACACAAGCATGCTCTGACACAAATCTTGCTGCATTCCTGCTGCCCCGGTTGATCCTTGCGTCCGGGGCGATGACCATATTGACAGCTTTTATACTCCTCTTTGACTAATTATCCGCTTTTGTATCTCCAGTGCATGAGTGCTGCACAGGAAACACCTGGCCTTGGCGATGATAGATTGACCTTGCTCTGCTGTGGAGCCCGAACGATTAGGTATGATTATATCATTAGCGAAGACTCGAGAGCTCATGAACCCATTTGTCTGTAGAATACCCAGTCAGGTTCGTTTCGGTCAGTTGACCATGATAAAGCAGGAATGCGGTCTTCCGTCCATCGAGTATCCTACAAGTTGGGTTGACGGGGCCAAGCGAATATTAAATGTCAATGGGGACCTGCCATGGACTTGTGCAAGTACGTAAAATTGCACCGCCTTAGGCTGTCCAGATGATCCTGAAAATGAAGCTGTCGCAAGCTCAAGACTAATCTGTCTCAGGGATGTATTGACGATGAATGGGGCTGCAATGAGGCGGTGATCAGTGTAAATGGTTAGTGCAATTTACTCATCGCTTAGGAAGTATTTCCTGTCAAGCAAGGTTACCTCCAAGTGGTCCTAGCTCAGGGCTTCCGAGCTCGGTAGACTTTGTGCCGGACTACTATGAACGGGTTCACAAACGGTCAGGTTCAGGTTGGTTCGGACCAGGAACGGCGAGCTCAGCCTGTACCATCGCGGAGAGGTGGCCCTGGCGATACGCAGTACTGTGAAGTGACATTGAACGCCTGAAACACGACCCTTTTATCCTCCGCTGACAGTTTGCATAAGACCAGAACAAAAAGCTTCGCATGTATATTCTGCAGCTAATAAACGTTGGAAGCCACCGACTGCAGCAGCGGTCTCACCGACGCCGAACATTCGATTTCGAGTTTCATAATGTCAAAAGGTGACCTATTGTTAGTTTTATTATGGCGATTACTGATTCTCAGTGCTCGCAGAACAAAAGCATCGACTAACAAGCTTTCCATGCGAGAATGGTTCGGACTGGTCCGGACGGCCATCAGATACAACTCGAATGGTCAACTTAGATATGGTCTGGCTCTGCGCCCCGTGTCGAGCCTGCAACCGAACGGCACTTCATTTCGCAAAAGTTCGGGTTCGAAATTTGATTCAGGACTGAATTGCAGCAGCACTTTGCCAAGATATATTGGCCCTGCCCAGGGTTTTCATTCGTGCAGCTCATCAGTGGAACTGGATACTGATTTAAATTAAAGCATTCAATACAAGCTATCGACTTCGCTCGTCGACATGACACCGACATACGAGCGGACCGGTGGACCGCTTATCAGGCTGTGAACCCAAAGTCTGGCCATGGCATCTTACCCAGTCTTACGTCTATAACTGCCAGCAAAGACAGGGAAGCACTTACTGTACTTGCATTTAAGCATAGTATTTTCCATGGTTAAAAGAAAGATCGAATTCTCCTTTTCATTCCCCCATCTGAATCCAAGACGGGCTGTCTCTGAGCAGGCTTCTTCGACTCGTTGAGATAATATCACGACTCGCAACTCATCCGATCATGGGCAGCATCGTCTTCGGTAACTTGCTTTGGATTTCTGTCCAACCGCTCATACGCATGTAGGGATTCTTTTCCCAGTTGCCCTTGCGCTTTTTTTTCACGCTCGTTGTCATTCCTTGAGGTTCTTGTGCGTAGCATGCGGATTCGGAATCACAAAGGCAGGCTTGTTACCTGCCGTGGCATCTCGCGGGATGGCACAAGTTATCATGGTAAGATTTTTTCGACTTGAGGCGAGGATGCACGACTGATCGATCGGCAGAATGTTACGACTCCATGCCTGATGCTCTCGACGATCATACCATCGTTCCACTCATCAAACATTGCCGAACTCGGTGCGATTCTGTGCTGTTTTACGTCTTTTTTGACCGAAGTTGTTTCCAGGCCCTCTTCTTATCATTGCGGTGATATATATGCTGATAGGTATAACGCTGTCGTGGATCGTCAAGCAACTCTTTTGGGTTCCTCACAGATTCCGGCATGGAATTCTAATGGCTGGAGGATGGGCAAACGCCGGTGATATACGTAAGCTCGCCGAAACCCGTTTGCCGTACATTCTGTCTGATACTTATGTGTATAGCTATATCTGTGGCCCTGAGCGTAACGGCGTCAGCTCCTTTCAAGGGAACTGATGATGAGAACCTGGCGGTGGGCTACATCGCTGTGTTTCTGCTGGTGTTTTACGTAAGTATGTCGGTTATGCAGTTACCTCCATTCACTACAACGTCCGTAGGTCACACTGTTTCCTCTTGGCGCATACCGGTTGATTATAATGGATTTCGATGGTCCCGACTTGGACAATGATCGAGTCAAGGAGAGGCTGAGCGCCAAGCACTCGAATATTCTGTCAAGACTTACTGTTGGATTTGTCTGTCTCAGGCGAATCTTTCTCTTTAGCCATTCACCGGTCAGGGAACTTCATACCGAAGTCGGTCAGAATAGTACTGGGGGAAAAGAGCCTCCTCATGCGACATCTACGCACGAGGACTCTGTCACCGCGTGTTATAAACCACCGGAGCAGGAGGAAATCGGAGTATCGACATCGACGAATGAAGAACTGCCTGCTTCTCCCTCGTTTACATCAATACAGCCCGGTCCGGTTTTGACTGACGAAGCCCAGAAAGTCTCTACAACTACCACCAGTCTTCCTGATTCGCTCGCTGGGCACGTCGCGGTGACGCATGTTCATTGGTTTAACAAGTTTATCGGTCTGACTTGGAGATTTTTTCGATCCGCCATGACGCCTCCATCTTTGTCGATCATCTTCTCATTCACCATCGCCATCATTCCTCCTTTGAAGGCGCTTTTTGTTGCAGGCGTTCCAGGCACCCATATACCTTCAGCGCCTGATGGTCAACCTCCATTGGCCCTTATCATGAAGACGTCCACCTTTCTTGGTAGCGCATCATCACCGATGGGTTTGATTCTCCTTGGGTCTGCTCTCGCCAGACTAAGCATCCCGCGAAACCAGTGGAGTTCTCTCCCTCTCTGTGCCATCGGGAGTGTTGCTATTGGCAGACTCGTTGTGATGCCTGTGCTGGGCATCCTTATTTGCCAGCAATTCACGCGATTCGGACTGATAGATCCCTCCGACAATGTGCTCAGATTCGTCTGCATGTACGTCCCCTTTTTCAACGTTTGAGGCTGGATGAGACCTGACCTTGGACATTAGCCTCGTGTCGGGTTTGCCCTCTGCGACCACGCAGGTAGTGTTTGTTTATCCTTGGTGTTGACCATGATATTGAGTAACATCTACTAGGTGTTCTTGACTCAAGTGTACTCTGGGACGGGCAATGCTGAGCATTTAGCAGCGTTTCTGATACCCCAGTACATCATCATGTTTATATCGATGACGGCCATCACTACTCTGACGCTTGACATTCTGTTTGGATGATACCCTGAAGCAGGGATGTATGGATCGCGTTATGTGCAGATCTAGATAATGCGGCGAATAGACGGATGTCGTTTTTTCTCCTGGCCAGTCGGACAGAACATAATGAGTCCGTACTGCACGTATGCGATGTAGAATATACTAGAGCACGTGAAAGTGTATTTACGACCTCAAGACGCATTCGTTATATATTTTTTTGTATTCATTTCTGTCCATTGAGAGATACTCTATGTACTACGGACGATACTGGCTAGCCTAACGGAACTTCCTGTATTCCGTGTCGCATCTCTGGAGCTACGAATATCCTGGTGGAGGCGTACCCTCACCACTGGTCCGCCGTTCCCGCCGGCCATGTCGGAAATTTCTAAAGGTGCCTTGCAAGGGGCCCCTCTTGAGGCTAATTGAGGGGTTGCAAGATCAATGTAAGAACACCCGAAATTTATTGGAAAGGACTTGCAATTGCGTCGCAAGCGGCTTACAAGGGACCGTAAACGAAACTTTTGCAAAAATCTGTCCTAATCTGTCCCTAAATGAGGTTGCAATCAGCTTGCAAGTGTCAATTGAGCCCCGCTTGCAAGATTTTCGGGTCCGCTTCCAAGGCGCTTCAAATGGGCTCGGTCAATTGAGGGCTTGCAATGCCTTATCAGGCATGCCAAGCAAAAATAACTTTTTCCGACACATTTTAGACGTGCTCCTGTGAAGATGGGATGACTTTGGCGTGCTTTCGATATGTAGTATGCTATCTTATACGTGGCTTATCGCATGCTCCGTCATATGTTTACACCGGCGAATGCAGCCAGCACTACGGTTGATGAGATTGTTGGAGACGAGTCCTGGACTCCACCGTGTTACATTGTTCGACATCAGTGGAGGAGTGGATTACATAATCATATCCAAATTCAAACCCAGATTCACTCACAGCTTGATGATCACAGACTCAAAACTGTATCATTCATTGCATCGGTGCGGTCCAACTGTTCAAAGTTTCGTGCCGCTCGAGCTGCTAACCCAATGTTCAACTCGTGATAGACATGCAACTTATGTCAAAATCCATTCTAAAACGCGGAGGTGAGTTATGTAGTTGAATCCTGGTTGCACAACTTGCTCATACTAATGTCGGAAGTTTTTGTACGGCATTTTAATCCATTAAAATGGCCTAACGACGCAGGGTTATTATAACCCATTGTTATATAATAGTCAGCATTTTAATGATGTCGCGTCATTTTCGTGGGCAATGTAATGCACATTTTAATGCGCATTTTAATGGTGTCTACCTAGTTGTAATACTCATTTTAATGGTGTCTGCCTAGTTGTAATACCCATTTTAATGGTTGTCTTAATGCTTATCTTCATGATGTCTACATTATCCTGATACACATTTTAATGTTCTTTTCGATGCCAAATTTTGCATTGGAAGATTCCAATGAGCGTTAAAACGTTAAACATCAATTATTATTATTATTATGGATCAACATCGTATAGAATTACAATTGGTCTCAAGTAAAAAATGGATTTACGGAGCAACAAACAATACCTGCATAGAGCTCATCAGATGCCAGAGACAGACATCCAGAGAAACACATACCTCCCTGTCCCGCGATGGAGTCAGTTCGACGACATGAAGACATGTTGTGCATTGTGAGAGCTCAATTTCCTCATTGGTGTGATGTTCAGAGCGGAAACGTGAGGACAGGAGATCCATGAAGGCATTTGGATGTGAGCGCGAAGGCGTTACAGTATGAGGTTCGATGTCTTCAGTGTTGAGTTGAGAGCGGGGGAAAAGTGAGGATAGGCGAGCAAGGAGGGCATGTAGATGTAACTGCGAAGGCGTGGAGGGTTGTTGAAGTTCGTTTGGTGCATCATTTGCAGGTGGAGAGCGGTGAATGAGTGACGACAGATGAGCAAAGAGTACACGTGGAGACAATCCTGAAAGCGTTGGGGTTGCGAAAGTTCGTTTGGATCAGCATTTTCGGGTCGAAGGCGGTGGAGGAGTGAGGCCAGGCAAGCGAGGAGTGCACTTGCAGAGGAATCAGGGTGGACACCACCAATTAGAGACAACTGAGAGCACAGAGATCAGGACAAGAAGCAAGTAGCAGAAATGATAATGATGGGCTTCTGTCTGTCGCAAATTTTCTGCAACCATTGAAGATTGAGCGACGAACGAGCTGTTGACATTTGCAAGGGTCTAATCAATGTCTGGAACCAAGAGAGAAAAAAAAATACCCACCATGTGCTGCCGCAAAACTGCGATAGAGCAGAGTCGCTCCTGAGACGGAATTTGTGAGCAGCAATTCAGAAAGAATCTAAATACAATCGAACTTAGACTCACAAGTATGTATATGTTGAGCGACAGCAACATTTAAAATCGGGGTGTTGGTTTCACTACAAGTCATTAAACGCGTTCAATGTCGAGTGGCGGGTGGCGAGAAGCGAAGAAAGTACCTTGGCTTCGCTTTCAGCTGCCCGCTGCGCATACATGTTTGGATGTAGTGACACGCTGTCCATGCTTTTGGCTTGAGGTAATGAAGAGAGACCGCATGACAAGCTTGGGAGAGCAACAAGCTTGTCGGCATGAACGCCTTGGGAGTTGGACTGTTGAAGTGTTGTCATTGTGAAAGATAAAGCAAGGCGGTACAAGTCTAAGTGAAGTTTCTAAAAGAGATGAAGAGTATAAGGACAAAAGGCGAAGCCTTGGAAGCGTCTGAAAGCCCTTATTGTAAGTCTAAGAGTAAGAAGGCAATGAGAAAAGACGGCACTGTCATTATAATATCATTAGTAAGCATGATAACCACGTGATCAAGTCAATTGGGATGGCGCACATCAAATTATAATATCATACAAATGGCCAAGGACGACGCAAGGCTCGAGCAGACTCGAGTGAGGCCATCACCAGTCTTGATCGCATCAAGCTTGAGAAGGTCATCCAAATCATTCATGAGGGCATTCCAAAAATTCGTGTTCAGTGAGTCAATCCCAAGATATGTATTAAATACTAGGATCATGTTGATATTAAGTGACAACTCACGCAGAGTATACCGAGGAGATCGAACTTGAAATCGACATACTACCACCACACGTTCTCACAAAGTTGTACAACTTTGTGCTTTGGCCTCTGCGGCATACCAACACAGGAATTGGCAAGGGCACGGGTACTGGTGGCCTTAAACAGAAGGGCATGGGCGAGACCGCTGAAGCTGAGAATATCCGCAAGCTGGGCGAGTGAATGTGACTCTTTGAAGGTAAGAACTTGTCCACACCCAACTCTGCACCTGCACTAGCTCATCAGAACGATAGCGATCATTCATCGGACTCTTCTTCAAACGTGTTGACGGACATGTGATACAAGGCAGGTATTTATTTACATTGACAACATTTGTATCGTGTAGGGAGCTAGATTTTAGGTACTAAGGAAGCTCCAATGATATAATGACAGCTATCATTTTGCATTGGTACCAGTATTGCGAGAAGAGCGGCGAACATCAGCGTCACTGACAGCGGCCTTGGTCCTCTTCCTGCCAACTGCCTTCTTCCGCGTTTTGGCACTGGTATCAGTGTCGGCTGCTGCAAGTACACCCTCAGGAGTTGCTTCAACACTTTGAATGTTGACTGATGCAGCAGCTGCATGCGGTACCGCGGTCACAGGGAGACTCTTTGGAGTTGGGCTAGATATTGATTCAGACACAAAAGGTCCAGATATTGCAATGTCGTTGTGAACTATCGGAACTGGAGTACTGTGGACAGTCTGAGATACTGCAGGTGTAGGGGGAAGTGAAATGGGAGGGGATTTGTAGCGCGTCTCGGTTTCGGCGCTAGGTTCAGCGTCATACAATGATGCGCCGTCTGAATCACTTTCAGTGTCAAGTGCGGCCATGACACGATCAAGCAAATCAGTGATATCCTCTACTGCGGTGTCCAAAGTACAATCTGGCTGTGTCTTGGTAGCGCCGTCAAAAATATAATCATTGATTTGCTGCACAATATTCTTGACGTGTTCGTGTCCCCATTTGACAACAAAGAATTTCTTGACAGTTCGGAAGACAGAGTGATACGAGATCAACGATATGGCTCCAATGCCATCGCCCGAGAATTCTTGATCAGGGGACAGGATAAAAATGATCTACTAGCATGATAAGAGCCTACTCAGAGCATATTAAAGTAACGAAACCTTACTGATGTGACGCCGAAGGCAATTAGGCCTGGAGTGCAGCTTGTGAGCTGCCAAATTTTGGCATAGGGAGGCAGGCCACCGCATGCCTTTGGAAACAACGACATTTTGCCGCAGACTGCAACCTTGACAACCTTGAGAACAAAATTTAAGTAACCATGGCCACTTTCTGGTGAGCCCTCACCTTTGCGAGCACCATCCAATTTTTGAACACTCTCTTCTCATTGATGACATTATCGGGGTAGAGTATTGGCACCTTGAAAACATCGAACACCTTCCCCTTGCCTGCTTCCCATCCGATGAGGTCTGTGACCTGCGGGACAGACTTACGGTCATACTTCAACATGAAATACTCGTTCGGCATGTTGAATATGCTACCTGCCACCGAACGTAGCCCATTAATGAATGACGATCGAGCTTGCTGCATTCCGGTTCCAAACTGCGTGAGGCTTCATAAGCTGGATTGATTTCGACAAGGTAAAATTAGTACGAACCTGATTATAGAAGGCGTTTGTTCGCATCCGAGGATGTAACACGAAATCGATGGACGTGTAGAGCTCCGTTATGAGTGCGTCCTTCTCTGTTGATTTCTTCGCATAGCAATTTGGACTAGAGATATCAGCTGGAGGATCAGGACAATCGCTCTGAAAATTGACTTTGTCGGGAAGGAACATTTCCGTAGTTATCGCGTACTTCTTCGCCAAGCCAAGAATGAGCTTGTCGATGTCACTGGCCTTATGCGAAGCTGACGTAGCCGAAGTAGCAGACGTGGCAGACGGTGTAGTAGGCGATGCAGCAGACAAACTGGATGATGGCTGGGATGCCAAAGATAGTGTATTGGAAGATGGGGCCTTGAGAGGGCGCTTGCAAGAGCGTTTCAGCTGGTGCGCGTTGAGTACATTGTTACTCTCATTCAGAGCTACATTGCACTGCTCCAGCTTTCCATGCTGAAGCTGAAGGTGCTTGATATACTAGATGAAATATGTCAGAATGTCAGTGGAATGATCATGATAAACGGAGTCTACCTTTTGGTAATGTTCCACAGAAGCGCCATCGGCTGGTGGAGCGACACGCTGGTCATCTTCATCTTCATCTGCCGAGTCTAGGTACAAGCCTGAATGCCCCGATGATCTTGAAAGGTTCGAATCAGATTTGTCAGACATCTGTCAGTGATAGAACAGCAGATTCAGAGTATGCGAAACAGAAGAGACTTGAAAGCGGGGCTCACAGGACAAGTCAACACTCTTGCCGATATTTTATACATTTCACTGTGTTGGGTGCATGAAACAGCGTGTTTCATAGTCGCGTCCGAATATCAAAATGTGATAGAAGTGAGGCCTTGATGCAATCAATCATATATCAGTGTGATTTGATGCTAATGCTTACCTGGATGTCAAGTCCAGTCATTCGATGGGGTTATGGGCCATTGAGGCCGTGTCCTAAAGTTGGTGAAGTAAGTTAGACTGAACAGATACACGATAAAGACGACTAATTACCGCAGCACAATGCATGTATTACGCGTTACTGAGTATAATAACACACATTGTGAGTCTTGGTCGGATCAGATGACATCGATGAATTAAAATTACTTATGTTTGTATTGCAAACGATTGATTCGACGTAATGATGGAAACAGAGTGCGTTTGTAGGCTGGTTTGAAGACAAGTTCGAGGTTAGGTGCCTGGCAGATGCGTTAGCTGCAGGACATTGATGGCTGTCAGAACCTGAGCGGATAGATAAAACGGGGTACATACCAAGGCAAATGTAAATTTGGAGGCTTGTGTGGAGGAGGGAGGTACATACATACACCAAGAATACGGTCATCTTGTGCAACGAGTGCGCAGCGTGTAGAAGTGGTCACCATGCATTAGGGCAAATGCATCGGAGAGAATGGCATGGGGACAGTGGTACCGGTACAGGCTCGTGTTTTGGTATACCTGGAGACGAGAGGCTGGGGACAGTGGTACTGGTACAGGCTCGTGTTTTGGTATACCTGGAGACGACAGAGGCTGGGGACAGTAGTACCGGTACAGGCTCGTGTTTTGGTATACCTGGAGACGAGAGGCTGGGGACAGTGGTACTGGTACAGGCTCGTGTTTTGGTATACCTGGAGACGAGAGGCTGGGGACAGTGGTACCGGTACAGGCTCGTGTTTTGGTATACCTGGAGACGAGGCTGGGGACAGTGGTACCGGTACAGGCTCATGTTTTGGTATACCTGGAGACGAGAGGCTGGGGACAGTGGTACCGGTACAGGCTCGTGTTTTGGTATACCTGGAGATGACGATGCTGATGGGTGGTTGAACTTGAACACCGAAAATGAAAAAAGGCCTGATCCCAGTCATATACAGCAGCCATAGTGAGCAGAAGGATCTGAGCATTGCGAAATGAGGGGATGGGCAGGTAGTATGGGACCATGTACAGCAGCCATAGTGAGCAGAATGGGTGGGATGATCTTGATGTGTTGCTTGCCGGGAGTATGATCCAAGCGGAATACACTGTGAATGAATAAGGGCAGACATGCCCTGGGGATGTAGGGTAAACTAGAAAAGAAGCTGGGTAAGAGATTAAAGGAGATGAAGTCGACGATCGCTGACCTGCACCAAACTGGTTCGGTGCATGGATGACTGATACTCTCCTATGAGCCCTATGCCCTATGAAATCATTTTCTCTATGATCTGAAGTCAGACTGAGGCTAAGGGAATTTTTTTCGTTTTTACGAGTTTGCATGCAAGCGGACTGAATATTTTAGTACATTTAATTCGGCAATGAGTTTTGCTTAGTCAGCCATGGTGATGACCCAGACAAAACTCCCACGCATGTCAGGTGACTGTGAAAAATATTTCCCACATATGTTGTCCTGGAAAAACATTCGTAAAACCCTAAATACTAGGCTCGCGTCATTTTCACTTTTCAAACAAAGCAAAGAAAAGACAGACATACAAAGGATTCACATCATGTGACATTTCTTACTCTCTTTCTGGACTTGTCATCAGGAGTTGGATAGGTCACCTGACTAGCAACAAGCCAGGATGACTTAGCAAAATACCCAATGACTCATTATGACTCACTCTGAATATATGACTCACTATGACTAGAAATAACTTTGAACTGACTCACTATGACTCACCCTGAATATATGACTCATTATGACTCTTTATGACTCTTGAATATACTAGTAGCACAGCCACATTTATTGTGTATATAATGACCCCAGTTTTGAAATAAAAAATAAGGAGCAACCAAGTGGGAGTTTTCAGCCCATCTAACATTAAGTTGTGAGTAAGGTGTGATAAGTGTCAGCATCAGTGTCAAGAACTGTTCAAGACTGAGAGGAACATTCTCAAGAGACAGTAATACTGCAAGCTCATCATACTAAACGACTAGCTGCGAGCTCACTGTGTGCAACAACCAGCAAGCAAGGTACAGCCACAGTTTTATTCAATTTTCTATTTTCTATTTTCTTTTCTTTTCTCTTTTGTTTTACTTTCACCAGCCTTTGGTGTTCTCTTTCCAAAAGGCATATTCCAAAATATTTGTGGTGTCTCTACGTCCACCTAAGACTCAGAGTAGCTTAGTGGGGAGACTTAAGGGATTGATAGTGAAGCTTGACCTCACTCATCTGAGTAGTGATACTGAGCCAAGGTTTTCTGTGCCTGCTAGGCTTTAGCTGTTGAAGAGGGGACTTGGTAGTAAATCCAAGGACATCCGTTCCTGAGTCTGTTTGAATACTCAAAGTGAGTTCCTTGACAGCAGGTTCAATATTGAGCTAAGAGTTCTACAATAAAGCATTGGACTAGTCTTGACCTTTGATTCTACCTGTTTTGTGCTGAGGGGGTTGATCATTGTAATTCCGCACCATTCCTTTTGGAGTACAGTTTGGTAAGAGGCCCTGTTGTTGAAAGGAAGCTTGGGGGAGAACTTTCTATTTCTTTGGTTACTGCCATACTGTCGGGCTGACCATTATTTGTTTGTTTGTTTGTTTGTTTCTGTCAAGTCCATAGATTGGATTGACCATTGTAATTACTGAATCTTGCAGAAGTATCTTTAGCTGGACGTACTTTGGGTAGTATACAACTAGCCACCCACGAACGACCACGTTATCAGTCATTGGTATTTGTCTGAATCACTGACCGTGGAGATATTTGTTTTTATAGGTGTTTATCTATAGATCATCTATCTAAGAAGACATCGCGGCAGAAATAGGCTGAATTCAAGGGGATCATGCAAACGTGAATGCTTTAAAAATGTAATTACGCTTGAAGAGACTTAACACGAAGGAACATGTCCGTATCCACAGTGTGAATAACCAAGTAATCTCCATCTGTCTCCGGATCTTTGGCGAGCGCAGCACCTCGGATAATTGACTGGACTGAAATGATCTCAGATGATGAACGAGGTGTGGCACGTACACGCCACAAGCCCAGATCAACATCCCGCCTTTGACGAACACCAATACCAACATTGTAAGGATGGATAATGGCCAAATGAAGGTCAGCATCACCGATTGAGCAACCGAACAAGTACACAAGGCGAGCAATAAATGGTTTGCCGGCAGTTTTCACAATCACACAATCAAACCTCGGCGATCCATAAAATGTTGGGTTGCACCGAAGTAAGTCTTGACGCATGCGCCAATCAACCATGGACTTGTAAGTCACTCGCAGAAATCGGAACTCCGTAATCTATCAAAAATATCATTGAGAATGATCAATTGCAGGGTCGAATAAAGCAATAGCAGGACATACCTGATCCTCGGCTTTGAGATGAAGGACCCTTCCTGGACCGTCTGGCAAGGGAATACCGTTCTGCGGCAGGAACACATTAAGAAAGCCATTTAGCTTTTTTCTGAAGTCGGTGAAAGCTCTGTCAGAGCCGTGTGTGCATGTGATGTCTGAAAAAGAATGCTGGCCCTGCTTCGAACCCAAGTGCACATGCGCGACAGGATCCGGTTCCAAACCCAGAGGCTCGTTTGTCTCTGGGTCAGTGGTAGCCATTCGAACATGCTCATCGAGCTCATCGAGCTCAGTGCACATTGCTGTTGAAGTAAGAAGCCAATGGTCATAGCGTAGGATCTGTAGCTATGTCAGTAAAATTTAGACTTCATTGTAATGTGACGAACCTGAGGAGCTACATCCTCGAAGTTTGTCCGTCGAAGGTAAATTTTTCGTAAAGCGCCATGCATCTTCTCATTGGGCTTAGTGTTGTAGTTGCGTGTTGCGCCTTTAGCCAAGATGTCGTCGAATATGTGCGTGATCATGTGCTTCTTTGGAAAGTTCCAGTTTTTGCTCATCTCAGGTTCCGACTCAGTAATATATTCCTATCGAGACGTTAATCAGAGGATATACTCAATGATCAATCCGATTAACTCACGTCCATCAATTCTGAGAACCTATCCAGGGATGCCCTTCCAGCCGCAATCGTCTCCTCGGTGTGAACTTCCAACGAAGCATATATGTCGAGCTCGATATAGTACCGGACGCAGCGCAAAAGTAGATATCCTAGCTTGGACTGCGAATAGCATAGGACATCTTGTGCTGTAAAGAGAATGAGCTTTAGTTAAGAATTCATATTAGTACCAAATAAATCACGTTCAATGTTTGCGCTCGTACCTTTGATATATCCTCGTGAAACGAGCCATCGTTGAAATCGACTGATACGACGGCTTTAAAGTGCGTGAGGTTAGGCCATCGTGGGATAGCATCAAAGCTAGAGTGGCAGTAGTCAGTACCACAACGAAATCACATAACGACGTTGAACTTAAATAAGATCACATACTTCGCATCGAGTTTGACAGCAGCTTCCCGTCCAAGATCGGAAATCCAGAAGAGAATGTCCTTCCACAGGTGGTCCTCCCATAACCCTTCATGATTCATATGCAGGCGGTCAACAGAAAGCGCACGATGAACATCTGGAAGAAAAATTTTCCAGAATACATTCTTTTAATGTAACGAAATCAGCCAGTCTGTTAGCGGCAGTACAGCAACACATACCTCGACATTTCGGAGTGAATAAGCCTTTAGATCCTCTTCCCGTTCCCTTTCTGTATGCTTTGCTCTTGCTGCGCGAAGGACATGTTGGGAATTGTGAGTCGTGCGCAAAGCAAAGACACGATTGGCTGACTGCTCATCCTGCGGCACTAGACAGATTGGGCAAGGAAATTTGCCTTTCACACCGCGAATCAATGCCATGACACTTCTGTTACAGTAGATAAGCCTCGTAGTAGAGCAGTAAACTAACTGGTACTTACTGTTCTTCATAATCCCCGCTTAGGATCAGTACCAAGGGCCAGAGACAGCGTCGAATCTGATCCCCACATTCAAACCAGTAGCCGGTTTTTGAATGCAGCTCAATTGACTGGAGGAGTTGGTAGAACGACTTATGCCACACCGCATTTTTGAAGTCTACAAAACTCTTCTTTCTGGTATGTTTTTGATCCTCGGCGACCTAGTAAAATAGTCAGTAACGACACTAGTAGCAACACTTATTGTTAGATACTAACAATCGGCAACCAGCCAACAACACGACCTCCTCCTAGGGCTGTGTTGCTGTTACGAATGTGAACGGGAAGGTTCGCGATACGGGCGATAATCGGATAGCCCTTGGCAGTCCCAAAAGAAGATAGTTTGTTTTTGTCAGCATATAGAATGAATGCGAGTGGCTTTGCGTCCGGCGGAAGTTGAGACTACAACAGAGATGAAACACGATAGACTAAGAAGATCCTACAAGACATACCTGTGCATTCCAGAAGGCATCGGCAGTCCATGGTTCATCTATGAAGCGGACAAATTGTTCTCCATTAAATTTGGAAAGACGTTGTGCATCAAATACAAAGTGGTATGCGAGACGTCTGTCTCGCAATAGATCAAGCGCCCAGTCCCAGAGGGGGCGATAGTGCATTTCAAACTCATGTGTCTCATCGTGGTGCTCAACAGATACTATATCCTTTTGAAACTAGTGTACACTAAGTATTAATCAGCGCTGAGAAATACACAAAATGAAAACAATCACCGGTGTATAACGCTGCGAAGCCATTTCCCATAGCGAGCGAACCTCGTCATGACTCTGCAACGTAAATGTGTCTGTGCCGCTGGCAGATCGATGAACGAGGTCAAGCAATCGGTTTGTCTGCTCTTTGGTCAGCGCAGCTTCAAGTGCGATCTCTGCGACTTCGAAGTCCAGTCGCGTCCGGAAGGGCTCCCAAGGTGAGTTGTTACGAGGTACCTGAGCCTCTGAAGGGCGACCACGGGAAAATTCGGAAAAGTGATGTATAGTCGAAGGTTGTTTGCTGTGCGGATGGTACTCGACTTTAATGTCGTCGAGTTCATAAGGGGGCTCGTTGGGATGATTGAGGTCAGGGACATCGGAAAACGCAGGAGGGTCAAAGTCAATTGATTCGCGTCTATGCGGCGACGACCCTTGCATATCTGATGTAGATAGAATGTAATCAGTAATACGACGAATTCAAAGAATGAGGAAATGATACCAATTTCGTTCTCTATACCCTCGTTTTCTACCACACCGCCTTCATCTTGTGCTGCCCAGATCGCAACAGGGTTTACTACGTAGTTATATCAGAACAAAAAGAAGATCACTTAGACTGGAAGTGGTGTACTCACTCGCAGATCCAGTGTGCGCGTTCTGAAGAGTTTTCTGTTGTTTGCGGAGCCTTCGATGCTCCTTGCGATGTTCTGTACCATTATATCAAAATAGATAACTGTTAGTACTTTAGAACATCTGGTGGCTTACCCTTTTGCTCAGCAATCCGAACTATATCAGCAAGTTGTTCGTCCTCCCACCGTTCCCGATCTTGCTTTTCACACTTCTTTAAGTGAGAAGCTAATCCTCGAGTTCGAATTTCTAAACCACAAATATTGCAGTGGGTACTCTCAGATGCTCGCTGCCGCTTTGTCGGCAGCGTCTTGGGCATTGAGGTCTATCGCGGGTGGTGGATGTAGAGGAAGGAGAGCGTTACACATACCATGCTTATCGTACGACGTAAGGTCATTGAAACTCAGTCTATACGTCGTAATCTCGACGTAATTCCAGTCATAATGATGGTTAAAATAACCACGAGGCACATTAAAATGCGGGAGCATTACAATGCTCGGGAAAAATCTCCGACATACTCACGTCCTGTGCACAATGTTTGGGCAGTAATCTATATCTTTTGTGCAAGTCCATCCGCTGCACTACCAGACGTAGATTCTGTCAAAACAACAATTGAGAAGAAGGAGAAACGCATTTTTTGCAAGGTGATAGTATGGAATTTTCTGAGGGGGATCTCTGACTCGGAGAATGGAGTAGAAAGACGACCAGTTTTTATATTCTCCGTATACTAATTGGTATGCTTCTGATCAATTGTTATTGCTGGGTTCGTACTGTGTTGGGTGTGTAGCTCACAAGGGCACGCGCACTCGTGCCCCGGACCATGATATATGTGAGTTCTCCCACGTGAATCACTGATGTTGAACCGTCTCCGTATCTTGCCACGATTTGCGCTCCACTCTTTTGCAATTTGGAAATGTTATTTGCGTGCTGCTGCCGATGGCAAAGAGCAACCGTTTCGTTCTGTGACCTGGCATCATTTCTGCTTACTGAAATTGAAACGCACAAATACTCGACCCGTCCCGGGCAGCTTTCTGTTGAGCTTGCATAAGTTGCAATGCTGTCGCGATCGCAGTTTGGCTCATGGTCTGAGTTTACAATTAGCTGCCTTCTACTTCCATTTTCGCCATCTATCTCACACTGTCTCATCTGCTACGCCCATTTTACAGCGTCAGCATTGCTCCTACGTAAATGAGTTCATTGGCAAGTGACTCACCGGTACATCACCATGATACTCTCGAGCTGGCTCTACCACACAGTTGACTCGACTGCAGCAGCGGTCTCACCGACGCCGAGCATTCGATTTCGAATTTGATAATGTCAAAAGGTGACCTATTGTTAGTTTTATTATGGCGATTACTGATTCTCAGTGCTCACAGAACAAAAGCATCGACTGATAAGCTTTCAATGCGAGAATGGTTCGGATTGGTCCGGACGGCCATCAGATACAACTTGAATGATCAACCCAGATGTGGTCTGGCCCTGCGTCCCGTGTCGAACCTCCAATCGAACGGCACTTCATTTCGCAAGAATTCGGGTTCGAAATTTGATTCAGGACTGAATTGCAGTAGCACTTTGTCAAGATATATTGGCCCTTGCCCAGGGTTTTCATTCGTACAGCTCATCAGTGGCACTGGATACGGATTTAAATTAAAGCCATGCTATCGACTTCGCTCGTCGACATGACACGAAGATACGAGCGGACCGGTGGACCGCTTCTCAGGCTGCGAACCCAAAGTCCGGTCATGGCATCTTACCCAGTATTACTGCCAGCAAAGACAAGGAAGCACTTGCTGCCGCACTTGCATTTAAGCATCGTGTTTTCCGTGGTTAAAAGAAAGATCGAATTCTCCTTTTCATTCCCCCATCTGAATCCAAAACGGGCTGTCTCTGAGCAGGCTCCTTCGACTCGTTGAGGTTATATCACGACTCACGACTCATCCGAACATGGGCAGCATCGCCTTCGGTAACTTGCTTTGGATTTCTGTCCAACCGCTCATACGCATGTAAGGATTCTTTTCAAGTTGCCCTTGCGCTTTTTTTCACGCTCGTTGTCGTTCCTTCAGGTTCTTGTGCGTAGCATGCGGATTCGGAATCACAAAGGTAGGCTTGTTACCCGCCATGGCATCTCTTGGGATGGGGCAAGTCATCATGGTAAGATTTTTTCGATTTGAGGTGAGGATGCACGACTGATCGACAGTAGAATATTACAATTCCAAGCCTGATGTTCTCGACGATCATACCATCGTTCCACTCATCCAACATTGCCGAACTCGGTGCGACTCTGTGCTTTTTTTACGTCTTTTTTGACCGAAGTTGTTTCTAGGCCCTCTTGTCATTATTGCGGTGATATATATGCTGATCGGTATAACTCTGTCGTGGATCATCAAGCAACTCTTTTGGGTTCCTCACAGATTCCGGCATGGAATTCTAATGGCTGGAGGATGGGCAAACGTCAGTGATATACGTAAGCTCGCTGAACCCCGTTTGCCGTACATTCTGTCTGATACTTGTTTGTATAGCTATCTCTGTGACCATGAGCGTAATGGCGTCAGCTCCTTTCAAGGGAACTGATGATGCGAACCTGGCGGTGGGCTATATCGCTGTTTTTATGCTGGTATGGTCCGTGAGTATATCGGTTATGCAGTTACCTCCATTCACTACAACGTTCGTAGGTCACGATATTTCCTCTTGGCGGATACCGGTTGATTATGATGGATTTCGATGGTCCTGACTTGGACAATGATCGAGTCAAGGAGAAGCTGAGGGCCAAACACTCGAAGATATTGTCGAGACTTACTGTTGGATTTGTCTGCCTCAGGCGGATCTTTCTGTTTAACCATTCACCTGTCAGGGAACTTCATACCGAAGTCGGTCAGAATAGTACTGGGGAAAAAGAGCCTCCTCATGCGACATCCACGCATGAGGACTCTGTCACCGCGTGTTATAAACCACCGGAACAAGAAGAAATCGGAGTATCGACATTGACGAATGAAGAACTGCCTGCTTCTCCTTCGTTTACATCAATACAGCCCGGTCCGGTTTTGACTGACGAAGCCCAGAAAGTCTCTACAACTACTACTAATCTTCCTGACTCGCTCGCTGGGCACGTCGCGGTGACGCAAGTTCATTGGTTTAAAAAGATTATCGGTCTGACATGGAGATTTTTGCGATCCGCCATGACTCCTCCATCTTTGTCGATCATCTTCTCATTCACCATCGCCATCATTCCTCCTTTGAAGGCGCTTTTTGTTGCAGGCGTTCCAGGCACCCATATACCTTCAGCGCCTGATGGTCAACCTCCACTCGCTTTTATCATGAAGACGTCCACCTTTCTGGGTAGCGCATCAGTACCGATGGGTTTGATTCTCCTTGGGTCTGCTCTCGCCAGACTTAGCATCCCGCGAAACCAGTGGAGTTCTCTCCCTCTCTGTGCCATCGGGAGTGTTGCTATTGGCAGACTCGTCGTGATGCCCGTGCTGGGCATTCTTATTTGCCAGCAATTCACACGTTTCGGACTGATAGATCCCTCCAACAATGTGCTCAGATTCGTCTGCCTGTACGTCCCCTTTTTGAACGTTTGAGGCTGGATGAGACCTGACCTTGGGCATTAGCCTCGTGTCGGGTTTGCCCTCTGCGTCCATGCTGGTAGTGTTTGTTTATTCTTGGTCTTGGCCATGATATTGAGCAACGTTTACCAGGTGTTCTTCACTCAAGTGTACTCTGGGACGGGTAATGCTGAGCATCTAGCAGCGTTTCTGATACCCCAGTACATCATCGTGTTTATATCGATGACGGCCTTCATTACTCTGACGCTTGATATTCTGTTTGGATGATGCCCTGAAGCAGGGATGTCTGGAGCTACGAATATCCTGGTGGATGCGTACTCTCACCAATCCGCCGTTCTCGCCGGCCGTTTTAGACGTGCGCACCTGTCACGGTGAAGATGGGACGACTTTAGCGTGCTTTCGATATGTAGCATATATGCTGTCTTGTACGTGGCTTATTGCATGCTCCGTCATATGTTTGCGCCGGCGAATGCAGTCGGCACCATGGCTGATGAGGTTCTCGGGGATCCTGGACTCGACTTGCAGGTTTTATATACGTTGTCCGTCAGTGGGGAAGTGGACTATCCTGACATCACTGAGCCAGTGATGAGAAAGCCGTCACGCTAACGACCAGGGTAAGGATTGCTAGCCCTGCCAAGTAGAGTGTGCCGAGTAACGCTGAACTTGTATTGCTACGAGGAACATTGAATATTGTGAGCACGGCCAATGATGAAGACAGTGGTACATCACTATGATACCAGGATATTGTCGAACAATGGTCGTGCGCTGCGAGGGATGACATGGACATGACAGACGCAGCTACGGTGACCGATATGTATATGAGCGTCAAACGAGCCTGCCATTCTGGGGTACTTGGCGCGGCCAAATGTCACAACTTGACAGGGGACCCTTTGTTTGTCGGGTTGCACAAGCGTTTAAAGGGCACTTTTAGACCAGCGGTAAAAAGCAGGTGTCAAAGACGGTCTTCTCGATGCCGGCCGGCCTGTAGTATGACATGTGCAAAATAATGCGTGACGTGAGTTGCAGATATGCCGCGGGCGAGTCTATTCCCCATGACGTCGCTGTAGGTCACTGCGGACTGCGGTATAATGCCTTCGTCGAAGAAAGATTCAATGTGTCGTCATTGCTTCTAGCTGAAACACGAAATGATAAACCCTTCTGTAAGTTGTCATAGCACCATGACTCACTAATCTTGATGGGCCGAACCATGTACATAAGGGTATACCACAGGTAATAAGCCTAGACCGAACACCTGCCAGTGTAATTCGCTTCAACGCCATGCAGCTTCTAGGGTACTTTGTCTCTCTTCAATACAAAATATTGTCGAGTCTTGCCCCAAGTAGCTATAGGACATATGATTACGTGATCATGTGATCTGGAATCCGGGGTATCAGTGATCACAATTATAATGTCAAGCCAAGTATTTCCGACTTGGGCAGGTCTTTTAGACCACTCGGCGGCCATCGATGGGTGCAAAGATTAAAATATAAAGCCCACCAAAACCTTGAAAAGTGGCGTGGAGTGATGCGGTTATGTACATGGAGTCCGTTATTAGCTTAGAAGCGGATCTAGTACTCTGCAGAATAGCCGCCCATTTGAATTTGATTACACAATTAGATCAGTTTTCTTTTTCGGGCTCTATACTCCCGCCGGATAAATAGCAGGGTTCAATGTTCAATCTCAACCTCGTCCGCGTTGGTCATCTTCTCTCTACCGCCCACTTTCTCAGTCCGCTCATTCTTCATCAACATGTCTGACGTCGAGAAGGCTAACTCCACCCACCAGATGTATGACAGGCAGACAAAGCCCAGTGCCCCTCCCCCAACCCGTATCGCCAACCCAGGTGCACTGTAAGTTCGTCGTGTTTGTCGCGCCCGCCGGCGTTCTGAACTCGTTATATCAGCGGTCTCTTCTCCTTCGCATCCACGACTTTCATTCTCTCTCTCTACAACCTCAACGCGCGTGGAGTTGTAGCCCCCAATGTAGTCGTCGGTATGGCCTGTTTCTGTGGTGGTCTTGCTCAGCTTCTCGCTGGTATGTGGGAGTTTCCGCGCGGCAATGTATTTGGTGCAACAGGTTAGTCACTTTTGACATTGGTGTCTTTTCCTGCCATGGTTGTCACACATTAAGGACGTGTTGTCCTCCCCGGCAACGCGATCGCCCTAGTCATGTGATCTGGATCGGAACTTGCCTATTTGTACTCGAGTTATTCGGTACCAATGCGGTGCCAGGGAAAACATTCTGCAACAACGCTCCCGCTTCATTGACATTACTTATTTCACTGATTCCATCAAGTGATGAATATAATGCTGACTATTTTGTTGCTCAGCTTTCACATCCTATGGCGCGTTCTGGATGTCATTCGCCACTATCTACCTACCCAACTCTGGAATTATCGCCGCATACGGGGACAATGTTGACGAACTTAATCAGGCAGTCGGCATTTACCTGATCACATGGTTTATGGTCACCTTCTTACTCCTGTGCGTCGCGCTTTCTTTTGGGTTCTATACAACTTCTAATGCGTTTCTAATTTTTAGGATCGGAGCGCTACGCCGTAACATCAGCTTCATTGCGCTCCTCTTCTTCTTGTGTATCACCTTTATACTCCTCGCGGCGGGTGCCTGGACAGCCAAGCTCAACATCACAAAGGCTGGTGGCGGATTCGGCATCCTTACCGCAATGATTGCATACTACTGCGGTCTTTCCGAGTTGCTAGTCAAGGGAGAGAGCTGGTTTGGCCTTCCTATGGGAATTATCAAGCAAGGACGCGTGGACTGAGCGCCGGACTGATCAGTCTGCGTGGGATAGATAGTTACTGAACATCTTGCATCGTGGACACCTATCTTCGCGTCTTTCCCTCAAAAATAGTTAGCATTCGATCACTCCACCCCACCTACGTATTGTCCTTTCATACCCTGCGATACCACCCTCCAATCTGACAACCCATTTCGCAATACTATTCCTTACGGTCCTCAACCTGTATAGATCACTCCTTTGGCTTTGGATTCCCTTGTGTCCGCCTTTCAACCATTTTTTACCATATTTAATCATTCGCAGCGGCGATTGAACAATTGCGATGGAATCGCGCACTTGCAAGTATCGGATGAGTTTTTCCAACCCTGGATGAGCCTTGAAATTAAAATATTAAGGACCAACGCCCATATGTACGTAAATTTAGAAGCTCCTCATACGTGCTTCTCGGATGCTTTGGGATCATGGTTATAAATATCGCACTCCCAGGTTCCAGGGTCACCCAGTTTGAATTTGAGCCACGGTTCTTGATGAGAAGTATTTTCAATCAGTGTGAGGAATACAAGCAGTTCAGGGAAGACAGCCAAAAACATCGCTTTACTCCCTGATTTTTTTTTCGAAAGCGTGGTCCGCAATCGAAGACGTGACGGGGTTAGCAAGTTTCTTTATCCCCATGTACTCGGTCTTATCTTGGCTAGTGCATCGGTCCGATAATGTATCAGTACGACTAGAAAAAAATATTCCGATGCGTCAGACTAGTACTAGCAGTATACGACGTACGTGATTCGCTGGGCGACGCGAATGAAACCATTTCCAGCGTAGCGGCATCATGTCAAAGTCATCCAATCACCACCATTTCACTTCGGCAAGACAGGGGTGGAAGATAGTGAGTCCTGCCTGTGTACACGGAGGCGATGTGTCGTGTACAGTGAATCCGACGATCAGGAAAGTTGATTGGTTGTCCCCCCCACAATCGTGGAGGACACGTTGGGGGTGGGGATGTTACTGTGTGAACGCCGACTGCTTGAATTTATGGGTATAATATGGGTGCTATCCAAGACCCGGGACCGCGTGGGACAGAATATCCGGTTTCCAACATCAGCCCCGGGGATGGTGCGTGAGTTCGAGTTGAAGAAGTCAAATTGCACGGTTGCCCCTGCCAAGAAAAACATTCATCTGCGTACCCAGGGTACGGCTCCGAGATGCGTACGTTACCTGTTCTTAGGGGTGTTAGAAGCAATTTGCCGATACGATAGAAGCAGACTGCATAAACTTGCGCGAAGGAACGCTAACGTTCTATTTCGGGCGTCAAGTTTGCGATGACGACAGGTTCAGCGCTGAGGCCTAAAAATGTCGCCTACGCGACTAGTGCCTTATGAGTGACCCAAGCGATGGTATGACATGAATAGATATATCTGACCTGACTGTTGGTGCCTCCAAGACAGAATCGGAATGGAGCTCGCGACGCGCACCATGAGAAAGCCTAGAAAGTCGTTGGCGTTGCTCGTCTTGACTTGATGTACAGCGGAGGAAAGCAGAATTTTGAATCTGCTTGCACGTAGCGAATCGACCAAAAGCTGTTCGTAAAGGGAACATGTCACTAGAATTGCAGGAGTGCTTTGACGGGGCCTCACCATGCGAATCTGTAGAGAGCTTAATCGATTATCAAAACGGGCCCGGGGCTTAAGCCCTCAGTCAAGAATATTGTCTTGACGAAGGGCTTGAGCTCCGAAAAAGGTGGACACGACCCTGGTCACATCGGTCCCGGCCAGGATGGATTGTGTTACATTGTGTAAGGTCGACCACGGTGACCTTTGAACAACTGCCAAGATACTTCATCGTCAATTCTTGGTTGCGACGTCTTCGGGAAAAATTCATACGCCACTTGAAAAAAAATAACTCGTATGGGCGATCCGATAAGTTACCATCGATCTCGGCGGATTGATTGGACGATCGTATGAGCGGGAATGAGTCAACTGGAGCCTCATGGCAGGCTGGTAGAAGAAGGGATGATGTGAATGAATGCGATATGTAGCAAGCCCTGGTGGATTCGTTCTAACTTCTGATAGAAATCAGAGATAGAAAAAAAGTGACGTAATACGACTGGCCAGCTTATGGAGGGAAAGCGTGCCGCACACGGTGGCGGTGAGAGAAGCCACTACAGCTAGCCAATAGGTTCTTTAATCTCAGTGCTCACCATACTCTCCAAGGCACACGCCACGCAAAGGATTGATCTAGATTGCGGCAGATGTACTATGGCACTTCTGGCAACAGTAGCCAAAAACTAATCCGAGCAACTGCAGCGAAGGGGAGGCCATTACCCATATATATGCGAGGTACTATATCTTGGGGGGTTACGTCGTGACGTGAAGACGGAGAGGATATCCAAAGATCTTGCGACGCCTTCAGGTAGATGATGTACTGAATATAGCACTCATGACCAATTAATCAACGGGGTATTCATTCAAAGGATGGAAACAAGGTCGTAATGGCATCCCTTGGCGGATAAGGATTACTAAATACCAGTGTCAGTGGATGCGGGTAATTGGAAGAATAATAAGTTGTTATACGTACGCCACGAGATAGATTGAGTCATGAATTTTCATCGCGGGTGGCCGAGAAACTAACACTTTACCGCTTCTTGGTTGGTTCTGGCGGCTCACAAAACATCGGACCAATCCGATACTCTTGAATTCAAAGTCTTTCAGACCATGGACACAGGACTCAAATCTGCCATGGTCTCGATTGTTGGCAGAAGTTGATGCTAATGGTGGTGTGTGGAGTCTTGGTAGCCGAACCATGCGAACACGGAGGGTGGAGGGTACCCAAACGGTGCAGGCTATACATCCTCGCGACATTCGCTCGGTGGCACCTTGTGACCTAATCGCCGTGACTATGATTGCCATCCATGGCAAACTGCCCTCAAAAACCAGCCATGATGGCTGGATCAAGCAAGAAACGAGGCATAGATTGGTCTATATCGGCTGCATATGGTGTAAGTAGCGTGTTCTAATACATAGCGCAGATCATACCCGAGAACTCAAAGGCCCCTGACATGTCACCTCACCAGCCAACGCCGTCAATGCCATGCCTTGAGTTGGCAGTAACCTGAAGGAGCTGGCATGCTTGTGAGACGCGACCGGCATGGACCGAAACTCCGCTTGCTTTACATTTGCGCGCTTGTTTCCTGATTTTCGACAACAAATTTGCGGGCCATCTCTTTTCTATCTGTCCATCATGTCCTCTAACGTGCCCATTGCTCATGGTGATATTACAGCACCGACTCCACAGAACACGCCCTTGACGCACGCTCCAATCGCTGCTGGTCTTTCGCGTCCAACAGTCCCCGACATCTCGGAAGATAATGAACCAGCCGAAGATGAAAGTGAAGATCCTGCTCAGATAGCTGGTGCTCAGGCCGCGATGTTGGGTCTTGTTCAAGGTCGTCTTGCAGATCTTGTCGGAAAGAGCTCTGGGTATATTGAGAGTCTGCCCATCGACGTGAAGAAGAGTGTAGAAGCCTTGAAAGGGGTTCAGGTCAAGCAAAATGAGCTGCAGAATCAGTACAAGCGCGAATGCCTGGAACTTGAGAAGAAGGTCCGTCATTATTTTCTTAACTTGTGTTGCTGTCTGATTTAAAAAAAATTCTTTCTTTCTATCAGTACCTCGAGCTTCAACAACCTCTATATGAGCGGAGAAACGCGATTATCTCGGGTGCTGCTCAAGCTACTGCCGAGGAGATCGAAGCTGGCAGTCAAGCTTCTTTGAAGGATGATCCATTATACACGCCACTTCCCAGTGATGAAGGCGCACCAGCAGCTATCCCAGAGTTTTGGCTTACCGCACTTCGCAATCATGTTGGACTCTCGGAGATCATCACAGAACGAGACGCTAGTGCACTCAAGAACCTCACTGACATTCGGTTATCGTACCTTCCAAGTGACTCACCAAAACCCGGATTCAAGATCAGCTTTATCTTCAGCCCAAATGATTACTTCGAGAATGACGTTCTTGATAAGACTTACCTCTATCAGGAAGAGGTAGGCTATACTGGTGACTTCGTGTACGATCACGCGATCGGCACGGAGATTAAGTGGAAAGAGGAAAAAGACTTGACGAAGGAGTTTGAGATCAAAAAACAACGGAACAAGAGTACGATCATTTGTGTTCTGATTGAACGCGTCTCATCATCTTCTTTAGACACAAATCGCACGCGACTGGTTCGCAAAGCACGCCCAACCGACTCGTTTTTCAACTTTTTCTTGCCACCTGTGCCACCTGAAAACGAGGGTGAGGATATGGATGACGAGGACCTCGTTGAACTGGAGGAGAAACTGGAGATGGACTACCAGATTGGCGAGGACCTCAAGGAGAAGGTTAGATACCCCCGCAATCATATCGGAATATTGCTGACTAATGATAAATGCTCTAGATCATCCCACGTGCCATTGACTATTTCACTGGCAAAGCCCTTGAATACGACGTTATGGATGAAGACGAAGACGACTTTGACGAGCTGGATGATGAAGACGAGGACGGCCAGTTCGATGACGAGGTATGATTCTGCTACCTATGGACGTCACCCACTGTGGCTCATCCCTTTCAAGGACTCTGATTCTGAGGTTGAGTTGCCAAGACGTCGCGGTCCTCCCAAAGGCCGTGGCGGCTCGAGTGCTGGTGCTGTCAACCCCGAAGAGTGCAAGCAGCAGTAGGCGAACATCCATCCCATCTCTACGATTTGACACCACCCTCTAAAATTTTCTGTCGTTGCATTGTTGACATGAATTAATACAATCTCCTCCTGCCTGTTCTTACATGTAAACACACCTTGCTGTGCAACTCTCATTTTTTTCTGACGCAGAACTAGTTTTCAGTCGTTGCTCGAATCTTTTCTACTAGCCCTAATTAATCAGGGTGTTGTATATAAAGGTCTTACGTGTTTGCTTCAGTTTGCACCTAGCATAATGGAACGTGACGAATGGATGTCCTAGGGGCTTCCTCTTTGTTTGCGATGTACTACTTAGGACCGCTGTATATTTTTTTTTCATAAAATACACTCAAAAATTCAGGTTCATTGTGCCCGTATGTAGATACTCATTTGGTTATACGTCAGTTGGAACCTCCGCCTGGGGGGTGAGGCGAACTGCGTGCCTCCTATCCCCAGGATTGAAGTCTCCAGTTGCAGAGTGAACAGTGACTCGGTTGTCCTGCAGACGGGATAAGTTTAGCAACTAGTCACGGGAAAGAAACGCAATCCACCCACCCAGACAACAACAGTGCCAGGCTCATACCTCGCACGAATCTGGAAGTCCGCGCCCTTCGCAATGTGGTCGAACAAGAATCTCAGGAGGTACTCAGATTCCTCCGTCTTGTAGCCGACAATGCGGCGCGTGAAGCCCTGGTTCACGTAGAGTGCTTTCTCCCCGGTCACAGGGTGCCGGCGAACGAGAGGATGCTTCACGACGAGGAGATCAACATGTGTGAGATTGAAAGGTGAGAGATGTAATCTACCTCAGTCAGGATAGGTTCCCGACGGACGACCCCACCACGCCTGCGGGAGGACTCTGCTTGTTCGAAGGCGCTGTGCACGGCGCGCAAGCCTTCAAGGCGTTTCTTGAACTCGGGGGAAAGACGGTTGTATGCCTCTACCTGAGATCCAAATAACGTGTCACCACCGACTTCTGGCTGTGCTAAAATTAGGTATGGCACAGATAGCAATGATAGGGGGGAGATATACCTGGTCCAGAACGAAGAAGAACGTGGTTCCGGCGGGTTGTTTCTCGTAAGACTATATGGGGACTTTAGAAAAGGGGTAAGCTACAGCAAAGGAGGTTGTACTGACAACGTCAGAGTGCCATTGCGTGCGGTTGATGCGTTCGTCAGGTATGACCTCCTTCAGCATGTCGTGTTCAGTACCCCGATAAACTATAGCCAAGGTGAGAATAGGAGAGAGCCGTGGCGATAAGCAGCCTCACCGACGTGGAACTCTGGGTATCCCTTGACATTGCCTGAGGTCGGATGCCTCTGAATTCGTCCAAAGTGCCTAGCAAACCAATATCATGAGTACACATACCCGTTTCAAACACAAAATACCGCACTTGGCAATCTCAATCTGCCTATCAGGTCCTATATCCTTGAAGTCTTGATTGCGGAAGATAAGGACCTTCCTCTCCGCGGCGTACAGAGCGAGCTCATTGAGACCGTCCTCGCTCAGTTGGGAGATCTGCACACCGGAGATCTCGGTCCCAATAAAGGGGCTTATATGGCTGACATTTGTCTCGGGCGTTAACAGGTGTGGCTTTGCACGGTCCGCCTTAGCGCCGGGATCCGTGTGCTCTATCTTTGATGTCAGTTCTAGCCCTCCTTCGACTGACGACGTTCACATACGGTAGACTTGCGTTGGAGGGAACTTCTCTTCCGGGTCATAATAGGGGTAGTAGAATGGGTATGAAGGGCCATTCTGTAAACGGACAATATTGTCGGGACACAATCGAGGGCTATAATACATGGGAAACATACATCCTGCTTTGTGACCGTTAACTTGAGATCGTCAACGGCGTCTGCGATGGAGGGTACGACATCAGAAACTGAAGGCGCCATTACAACTGATTGTGTCGATGGAGTATGGACAATACCCAAAGAACTGGGACACTTCCTTTATATGTTGTATGGCGCTGGAGGTGTGGGACTCTGATACCTGTCGTTGACATTGCATGAGCATGCAATCTCAAAGCCAAATGGCTCATTGACTGCTGCAATGGATATTATGGGGTGCACGACAATAATAACAGGCAATGTGATAGGAGGTCGGTCAGAAGTTGCCGCTTGACGAGATAACAGGTCCAGGCGAGCTATGGGGAGCGAATGACGCAAAGTGACGCTACGACCCGCTGATTATGAAGTTATCGAAGCACGCAAGGAATGCACTAGTGTCCCGGTCAGCATGATGTGTGGATATGATGCGCCACTGGCCGGAAGCTGATTGTCTCTATATGTTTAGGACGCCCAGTCGAAGACGGGCCGGATAGATGCATTCCGAGTCAACTGGACTGATCATGTGTGCACATCAATGCCCTAATCACAAGAGGCGTTGCGCCATGTATCATGTGGCATATTGGCTCAGAGTTGGTGGAGTGGTCACGATACTCACTTGGGAAATGGACCCTGACCACTATCCACTGCTGTCCTTGACCCTCAAATCCCAAGAATGACACACTCCATGGGTTTCGTTCAAGTCTATGCAAGGGGTCTTTCGCTTGTCTCAACCTAGACACTACAAAATTCGGTACCGAGCACTGGGCCTGGGAGAATGGATGAGCCGGAATGTGAGTGACGATAATTTTATCACGATCAAAATGTTGCTACCTTTACATAACTTTAACCTGAGAGAACATATGGTACAAAGGTCAATATTTGCATGCACATCACTGGTCGGAGCTTGGTTGGAGCCTGGATTGCCTCTCCTCAGTTAGGACTTGGTGAGGAAGCATCATTCGATCTTATGTACCGGGGGCATCTGTGATCAAGATATTGATATGCTGTGGCAACATTGGATATCGAAGGTGTGTGATTTTGAGGCGAGTGTTTGGCTCAAGCTCACGCAGGCCCATCTAGATCCTGTTTTATTTTTCGACGCAAATAAGTACAATTCTGCAAACAGAGCCTCGACCGAATGAAGTGGTATGATGAGCACGCCTACAGGTTGGATCAGAATACACCGTGCGTGGAGACTGAAAATGCCTACAGGAAGCAGACGGTGTTGAGTTGGGGCGCTCCCGCTCAGGATGTGGCCAAGGCAGAAATCGTGAGGAAGAGGAACTTGTAACAGTGTTGGTTCAAAGTCACTAAGTTCGTCGACACTGTTCCTTGTCTCCGAGGAAGTAGAGGGTCATTGGGGTATGCTATGGAATAACTGGATATCGTCGTGTTTGTAAAGGGAGCTGTGATGGCTGCGACCATGACTACTGTATTGACTTCAGACGCTAATCATTGGGTCACGGGTGGGCGCCATGGAACTGCGGGAAATACAAGGAAGTCGAACGAACGGATCGAAGATTTATTGAAGTAGGGAAGTTGACTCATGGACCAGTGCTCGAGGTCGAGAATATTCAACAGCGTTACAATTGGGTCAATTCAGCTGAGTGTGGACGCAACTGATGGATAATATAGTCAAAACACGATCATAATAGTAGTGTTTGCTGCAACTTACCCAACGCGGCCCAGGACGTCTCTGTGCACCTCGGGCCCAGCGCTTACAGAAGACGTGTGCTTGGGACGACTCACATCTAATGGTTCTTTCGGTACCGTATCGCATGCAGTACTAGTACGTAGTAGCGTGGTATGAATCAAGCAGAGTACTGTTTTGGATTCGATACAGGAATTTCGCTGCGAAATTCTTGTTACGCGAGTCACCCGAGAAAGAAGACAAGCCTCGTGACGTGGTTTTACAAGGCATAGGCTGTTCCTGTCGGACGCGTTACTAATGGTATTGTAGTCAGCATCAGAAGATATGAGCGCTTAAGGCTTAAGCGTCCTCGCTTCACCCGCTCCATCGCCTTTTCATCGCGCGAAAACGGACGAGAACTTTGCAATTGGCATGACCCATGTCATATGCCGACACAATGTTTCACCTCCGGGCCAGCGCATGCGTCGTAAACGACCCTGACTGGACACAAATTGAGTCACCAAGTCCACCAGGATCGGACAACTTCAGTCACTCCGAGTCCAGTTTGGTTATTGCCCACACATTCTCCGACAGTTGCAGTCCGTGCGGGATAGCAAGTCATCCTTACGAAATACCGGTTAAGATAACGTGTGTATTGGTGGCCTTAAATAACAGGTGCAAGAGCCATCTAAAGCTCATCCATCTTCTCACTCATTATCATTCTCAAAATCCTCCAAACAGACAATGTCTCTCCCCGAGAACACGACCGTGCTTATTGTTGGTGCAGGCCCCGCAGGTCTCACAGCTGCTCTTTCTCTCGTCCACTACGGGTGCCATGACTTCGTTATCGTGGATGCCGTAGGCGAAGGACTGAATGCGTCAAGGGCGATCACCATACACTGTGCAACCGTCGAGGTAAGCTACCTTGCGCGTTCGTAAGAAGGCCTACTGATGTTCTTATGATCTTAGGCTTTAGCCAGTATTAATGCAGCAGATGGCTTACTGTCTCGAGCCATCAAGGGAAACGGCATCAGAATCACATCTCGTACTTCGCAGATCTTTGACGCCGCATTTGACCCTCTAAAGAAACATTCCGCCCACCCTTACGCGCTCTGTATCCCTCAAAATGTCACCGAGTTTGTACTTGGGCAGAAGTTGCAGAGCCTTGGTGTTCAGGTGCAGCGTCCGCACAGGGTAGTAGGAATGAAACAGAATGAAAAGGATTCTCGCATCACTGATGTGTCCTTTGAGGATGGTCAAGTTATCAGGGCTAGATATATTATCGGCGCAGATGGCGCCCGCTCAATCGTGAGACCTCAATGCCCACCTACTTAGCTTAGTAGAATGTCTGACGACCATTTACAGATCCGTACCGTCGCTGGTATAGGGTTCTCTGACCCAGAAGGCCCACACCTAACCAAGGACCTATTGGCTCAGATGGTCTCTGCAGATGTCACATTCGAGCCTGAACCTGTCGGTCCATTCACCCTCGAGGGCCACCTCAACGCCACAGTTTTTTCAGGCAATATCTTTTTTCTTGCACCGTTTGGCAACCACTTCAACACCGAACTGACACGAGATGGAAAGCCCACTACGAAATCCATCTTTCGTATAGGTTGTGCCATACCTGCAAAGAACGGAGAACCTCCCCATGCACCACCGAAAGAGTACATCCAGAACTTAATCGACTCATACGGGCCAGCGTGTATAACATCAGATCCGTCTCTTAACCCGAAACCTGTCAAAGTCGACCAGCTGGTCTACTCGACGCGTTTCAGAACCCATTCCGCCATCGCAGACCGTACCTTCACGCGTCTCGGAGCCGCCATTTTTCTAGTCGGCGACGCAGCCCATATACATTCACCTGCGGGCGGGCAGGGCATGAACCTGGCCATCAGGGACGCGATCTTCCTCGCAGAGGCTGTCACGAAGCACATTCAAGCGTCTGCAGAGGATCCCGATGTGGATGATACCATTTTGCAGGAATTTGCGGAGGCGCGTCATGCACGAGCGCTAGAAATCATTGGCTTTACCAAGACGCTTTTGAAACTCGCGAGTCTTACGTATGATTCATATGCTTGGTGGATGCCGTTCAGTTGGGCGTCCATCCGCGATTTTGTGCTGAGGATATTGGGCGGATATGATTTCGTGCAGTCGAAGGTTGCATGGGGCCTGAGTGGGCTTGGGAGACGGTAATCGCATGTTTCTGGATGGCTTGGTTACGATATGATATTTTGTATACCACAATTCACGACATTCGTGTTTCTGTTTTCAAAGATAGGATATATGTAAAAGTATTAAATATTCCAGAGTGGTGTACGTTACTGGCTGCAGTCATTGGACGGACTTGAATGTGCTCTTGATCAAGGGAAGGGAGAGAGGTACCAGACTACAGGCTGATTCTCATGAAGACAGCGAGCGCGATTGACACTAGAGCACGCGCTATAAATTATTCTTACAAGATGAAGTAATATATGTACAGACATGTACGGTACGACAATGGGATGTGGCACCCTAATTACCCTAGTGTGGGTTTCATCTTCGCAAGCTTAATCGTTAACATTCTGCTCGATGAGTATGACAGCTTTCGCAGAGCGAGACTTGATAGAACACTTGAAGGGCTTCGGATGGCCGGAATTGTGATTATCTAGACCAGCGCCGGACATGATAAGATGTGGCATACACGATCGTGCCTGACGAGGAATCGACCTCAATATCGTTCTCGACGACTTTGAAAATATCGAATACGGCCAGTGAAGGAAGACGACAAACAGTTTCTTGCAGATTTGCAGGTCTAGACGGTGTTTGGAACATGGCATCTTGGGTCTGGTTTGCGTACACCTGCATTGTTGGCAAAAAGTCTTGACAACTTCAGGCTCGCCATCGTCCTGTAGCGTGGTTTGAGCTGGAGGAAGAGGTGTATGGACCTTGAACAGTTTTGTTTCTGGAAGTGGAGTTGCAGATACCCGAACTCAAAGCTTTCGACGGTGTAAACGACCCATCCGAGCCTGCACAGGTGCCTAATCGACGAATCCATAAGTTGAACCGTCGCAAAATTCAGAGGCCATGCAGGCAAGCAAGGTCAAATTCGGCAACACCGAACTCTTGTGGTCCTATGAAACCTACGTAGCATAGTTGGATAGGAATTACCTACTTAAATAACTTGTCAAGGGTGCACGGTGTCCCAATTATGTGACTGCCCTATTTGGAGCAAGTAACAGAGCACGGACGTTAGGCTTTCCATAGTATGCTGGACCACGACAAGTACCAGGGATCTTTGACCAAGCGCGTGTCAAGAATGAGTATGAGTATCGGGTCATGAAAGACACTTCATTATGCCGCATGCGCACTGGCAGCAATTGCAGGGTCGCCGGCCTAGGCGAATCGCAGGTGCTACAAAGTAATGAATGAGAAAACAATGTCATGAGATATCGAAGTAGCATCATTGACAGTCATCAGTGAACCGGTGAGTCCTTGATATTGTAGCCATGGCTATTGTAATCAAGTATAATCTGGGTATCGCACTGTAATACTATGAATACCCGAATATATTTGTTTCGTGATGGAATATATATGAATTATATCAAAATACAGGAGTATGATCGAAGTTTGTGGCGTGACTCTAGGGAAGCGTGATCACAGGAACAAATGCATAGATATGCACTTTTCTCGACCTTGGTGTACGTTCCCGTTTGTCAAGTCCTTGGGTTTGTAGATATGGCTATATAATCCAACATCATTTGGCTACCAGAATTGTATTACTTTTTAAGGCTTTACAATGGAAAGCCGCTTTCGCATCCGATAAACAATTCTAGAGCACCATGTCAGTTCTCCACAACACTGCGACATGTCATAATCACTCAAGACAATGAACACTACTCCAGACGTACTTATTTTGTTGAAGGTACTCGTTTTCTCTCACCTGTGCGTCACATTGCACGACTTTTGAAAGACCCTCACCTGTGCATCACACTGTACTACTTTGGCAGCTTCATTGTGCAGGTGACCGTGGTGGGGCACGCTGCAATCATGATGGCCCCTTTCAGATTCGATCTGTCGCAACCGTGACCTGAACAGAACTTATTTTGTTGAAGGTACTCGTTTTCTCTCACCTGTGCGTCACATTGCACGACTTTTGAAAGACCCTCACCTGTGCATCACACTGTACTACTTTGGCAGCTTCATTGTGCAGATGACCGTGGTGGGGCACGCTGCAATCATGATGGCCCCTTTCAGATTCGATCTGTCGCAACCGTGACCTGAACAGAAACTCAGGCAAGCGATGATGGCAAAGGTGTGTCCTCAATGCGTGGTCACGCCGGTTGATTGACGTTACATAACACTCTTTGCACCAGCATCCATCCTGCTCCCTTTCAAGACCGGTCAGTGGCTCCACTAACTTGAACTCCTACCATTTCGGAATGTTCAAGTCATCCTCGCCTGCTCCTCGACTCACCGGGCACAGTTGAACAGTAGAGTACCGTGACTACCAGGAAATGATGAGAATGGTACAATACGCATGTTGCATTTGAACCCAAATTGTATCTGATACCTGTATAGACAGCTATAATTCAAGTCTCGTGTGCAGAACCACTTGGCACGGATAGTTTACTAATGCTGGGAGCACGTCTGGGACAGTCACCAAAAGAAAGGAGTGAATGGAGGGATTCGTTTAAAAAGAAAGGTCGTAAGACTCGTCCTCAGCATTATCGCTCCCTTCATCGTCCTCTCCATCCCCCTCGTCGTCATCTTCCGGCTCCTCGTCACTAACTTCGTCATCGTTCTCATCCTGTTCATCAGCGCCCTCCATCTGTTCATCATCGTCCTGCTCCTGTTCATCATCACCCTCCATGTGATCTTCACCATCACTGACCTCTCCGTCTACAACATCCATAACGTTAGCCAGTGCCAGTGACTCGCAGTCTCTGATTATCCTCCGCTGCATCACCGGATGCCCAACACCAAAATGGGTATACCGCAGAAACATATCACGATCAACGAATCTGTCACAAAAGGCGAGGGTTAATTTGTAATATGTCATGGTAGATTATAAACACTCACATCCCAACGTAGTGTTCATCCCAATCGTCTACACCCCCCCCAGGACGCGCCAACGATTTGCCATAGCGAAGGGAGCTTATACCACGTCCCGACGCAAACACGGGAATTAGATGAGCTCCTCGAACTACCTGCCTGGGATCAAGAAACCCGAACGCGTCAGAGTCCGATTCTTCGACAAATGCAACCTTGGGAAGACTGAGCATGCCTCGCGCCAGATTTATTGTTCTGCAACGGTGCTAACCATCTGACCCAGAGAACTTCGAGATGTTGCTTCACAGGTTAACCACTATTATGGATCCAGGTCTCCAAGTGATAGATGCCCAATACGCGGGCATACCAGTATGGATGACTAGGTGTCATCTCCCCAGAAAGCACCATAACGTCAGAATGCGTCCGAGGGTTAATGGTGTCATATTCACGTCTGAGGTCATATGTTGTGTAATGAACCTGCATTGTCTGGACTGTGTAGATCGTGTTGTTAGGAATGATCACCGAGTTGTGTTCTTCATCTGTAAATGTATGGTCGCAATAGGTAATATCTAGCTTCCGTATCCTGTAAAGGATGTGGTCCTTGAATTTTGGTATGAAATTCTGACAACCATTGTTAGCTGATTCCATACTGCAACGATGCATCTACCTTAACAGCCAGATCACCATCGTTTTCTCGAAGGAATGCGAACAGATCGACTGGATTGCTCTGATTGGTTGCGATTTGGTGATGGATTCCAGTCGACGCTGACTCGGGAGGACGGACATCGGCGGGCGATTGAATATCAGAGGATGCTATACCTCCTGCTTCTGCCACTCGACGGAGTACGCGACGCCTACGTTCGTGCTTGGCCAACTGCGTTGGTGTATCTAACTTGCTTGTCAGCGGGTAAAAAGCTTTTAGAGCTCTATGGGCAAGCTCCCCCTAACCAAACTTAACGTCATGTAGACAGCGGGAATGTATCAGGTACTTACCATTTGAGTCGTGAAAGAATCTGTGGTGCCGAAGAGCCTAATGGTTCTCACATAATCCGCCATTGCATGGAACTTGTAAGTACTCAGATTGAACATCTTGACCCTTGGCCCACTTGATTCTAGAGAGATGGCATTAGTTTCGGAGCGTTGAGCAGACCTTCGTTGGCGAGCTGCCTTCTCTTTGGGCAATTCCATAGTATTAAAGGCAGCACAAGTATCGCGTTGAAACTTGCGCAGTTTCCGAGAAAGCTTCTTGAATGTATCTTCAAGAAAAGTCATAGTAGACTCTGAGTGAATCCTAAGTTTAGCGAGTGCATGCCACTGCGCAAATCGATATAGCAAGGACTGCACAGCTGCATTGTGGTCGGGGGGGGAACAATCCTTCGAAAACCGGGATAGCACACTGACGATGGAGAACATATCAGCGAGCTTGATGCAAAACAACAGATAGTACAAAAACCTGCAAGATATCCTCAAAGTCGCGCGCAGGCTAACCTTTTCATCTCGGAGGTATTGTTAGCGAACTTTCGAATTACGCCATTACCGAAAGTCGGAACCTGACGGAATCTACAGTGACATTGCAAATTAGCTACCTGTTAGTAAGTAGGTAACAAAATTCAGCGTACCTGGTGTCGAGTTTCGCAGCCAACTGACTACCCCCGGGAAAGGCATAAAGAAGCCTGATAAGGTGAGTAAAAAGCGCCTTCCACGTACCCAATTCGCATTCATGCATGAAGTCAACGACAAGCATGCGGAATGGGTCTAGGCCGAGCGGGCCAAGCTTCTCAGCAAATCGATTCTGTGAGTAGTTTGTTTGAACTTATCATAAATCATAAGGAATCATTTCCACTTACTATAGTAGGTACCCACGAACCATCTCCGAGGGTGCGTTCGACCTTTGAACCGTCTACTGTATTTCCCTCGTTGTAGATATACTCACGAGCCTTGATGACCGTTGCAATGGCATACACTCGGAGATTGTTGAGACGACTTTTCATATCCTTCAACAGACCGAGAGAACCAAATAAGCCTTTTGGCGTGAGGCAGCGAGGGCATGCACATGTGCCCATATCTTTCATAGTCGCAATTAAAACCCTAGAAATATATCAGTGATCCTATAGTTTTAACCGAGGCGAAGGACAGTACTTCTCCGGATAATCAGCTGAATAGGTGAAAAGTCTGGGAAATACTCTCCGCAATACTCCATCAGCACATTTCAAAATAATACCGTGTCAATATGCGTCAAGAAAATCTTCATCGAGCAGTATGCCCCAGCACACTTGAAACAGTTCTCTGCGACAGTGGGTGTGAAGCGACATCATGCCAGTCTTTGAAATGCGAGACAGGCTACTCAACATATCCTTGATACTGTCAGGGAGCTAACAAGAGCCGTTGAGACATCGATGGGGGTAGAGCAATCAGGAGGACTCACTGAAGGTAAAAACCCGACTAGATGGCATGCTCCTGATTGAGGCAATGATCACGTGTACTTCGTAAGATTTCCGAAATACAGGTAAAGTGGCCAGGCCTTGGCGGTTCCAAAGTTTGCTAGGTGCGTGGCATCAGAAAAAAACATGAGACCCGCTATGACACGCTCCAATGAACAACCAGGCACCCTCGGCAGCTTCTCCTGGGCTTCCAGCCAAGCATCAGAGGTGTAGAGCTCATCCAATAATCGCTCCTGGGTGTCGTCCAAAGGATCCTTCCATAGCCGTTTGAAAGGCAATAGATGGAAGGCGCCGGCTTGGATATCTGCAAATGCTGCGCGGATTACTTGGACAAGAGGACGATAATGGAATCCAGGGATGGTATATGATTTGGGTCCTTCTTCCTTCGACTTCATTGGAATGTCGATGGAGACGTCTGTCTTAATCCAGTCGTCTGGAAAATTGACCTTCTCCGGACCCACGTCCTCATCCAATTCTCGCAAGCTCCTCCTCACTGAGAACCCCTCAAGATCTTTGACCTCAAAATCGTCTGCTTGTAGAATATCTCTGACCAGCCGCTGGACCTCAATTTCTGATTTTCGGTGGCTCCCTGAGTTCATCCAGGACATGAGGCGATAAACCGTCATGTTAGGAAAGGGGTAGGGTGGGGGTGCGGCTATCGGTGGTGAATCTATTGCTTGAACAACTGTAGGACATGATCTCGCAAGTAAGGAGGACGGAATGTATGCATTGGGCTCGAATGAAGGACGACAGGGATAGAGCCGGCAGATTCCAACCGAATTGAATGCAGTCTGGAGAGAGTCTCTCAGCGTTAAAAGTACATGTTTGATTCTAGATTGGGCTGGGAGTGATGGGGCGTTAACGACGTTGAGATCCTCGATCGAACACGCGATGTCATCGAAAGGCCTCGGAATGCGTCTCCTTCGTAACAACAGGGGTTCTGCTGAAAAAGTCGAGTATTTAGTAGATATCAGATGCAACAACTATGAAGTTACGAACACAAGTTGTCGTGGTTAGATCCATTGGAATTCTCCAAGTCCATCGCAACTTCAACATAGTCACGGTGTTGTCCATGTTCCGAGTTCGAGTCAGGAGTGTGATGCAAAGCAGCAAGCTGAGTGAGCTCGCCAGAAGAATTGAATAACACCGGAGTAGGGTTTGCTAAGGGATCGCAAGCGGTAATTGGTCTTGGACGAGCCCTCGTAACATACCTGGACCTCACAGGTGCGATTCTCTGTTGAAAGCATATAAGTTATGGAGTATTACATGGTAGTGATGGTGCGTCTAAGTCTGTTGAGGTCTCGACACTCGAGTCCCCATTCAAAGCAGGTTTTGAAAGGTTACTCACTCGCGAGGTGTTCACTGACTGGGTAAGTTTTGGAACTAAAGTTGCCAATGTTGCGTCTCTTGCTCGTTGTTGCCTCTTCTGCGTTGCAAGGATGCTAGACCTTTTAAAAAAATGGCAACTTGCGCGATGTCTACTAAGACCTCGATTGTCTGTTGCTTTCTCCCAAGAGCAACTTTGGGCACCGCAAGACACCATTGAAAATAACAGAAGCAGGATAGAGAAGGATTCTAATAGTAAGAGCTGCATGAATGATTATTAGCTTCAACTCAGGCCGTCACATAGGGAGTAGCTCGACGAGTACTTGTGATTTTTTTTACAACTTGAGAAGTCAAGCCGCGCTTCCTAGTACGTAAATTAGTACTATTTCTGATATGTGATATTGATGTAATATTGCCTTATTCTGAACGCTTTCCCACAAAAAATCATTGCTTCGAAAGCACAGGTTCAACTCAGCAAAGTTGCTTCTTACTCCCACAAGTGCCACTCTACCTTGTAAGTAGTCAGTTGAGTCATGGTGGCTCACCATTAATATTCCAGTGCTTGAACTCTGATTGCACTCCGACTTTCCTAGTATAGGGGTGTGATCGGAACCTAGATTATCCATACTAGGACCCAAAACGAGTTCAGTTCACCATGGTGCGTGTAACCCAACCGTTATACTGGAATCTGGAACGTCAGAGTTGCCTAAACTAGTTTGGGTCATACGTCCCGCTTCCGTATTAATATCCCATTAGTAGTAAGCATTTTTCGGTCAGTTCGCCTCCCATAGTTTGTTTACCCAGCACATACTAGACAATGCACCCTTGTCTTACACCTCCTCCAAGCTCTACTGGAGGGTCTAGTCCAGACTATGACCGTTATGATGACCCGGAGACCAGGGGTACTTTGCCTAGCCAAAGTTTTTCGGGCCTTTCTCTAAAGACACTTCATCAAGGCAGGGGTATAACTCGGACTCTCCGCAGAACTCATGATTCGTCGCCGAACAAACCCATGAAACGCCATAGGTCGTTATCACCATCGTCTTCCAAAACCGAGGATGACGATATCAATGCACCTGCATCCCTTCCCCCCATAGTCAGTTATCTGTCTTTTGTTGTGAATCGTGCAAAAGCAAGACATGGCAATTCCTCCGACCATTGGAGGCGTCCAAGAGCAATGGAGCTCCGCTTCACTGAAAGGTATATTGGACCATCTGACATGGTACCAACAGATGTTGAAAGGGTATGTCTATCTATACATATGTTCGTTCACACGTTTATTCAGGAGCATTGTACCAGGGCAAAAGTCTAGTTGCGCATGGCTTAAGAAACATGTCTTCCGAGGCTGTTGCTCAAGCAGTCCTCACGAAGGAGGCTGATCTTGAATGGAAGCGCTTGCGTGCTCTAGCCTCCGCTTGGGAAATTGAAGTTTCTCAGCGACACACAAGGCTTCTCCAGATACTTCTTGAGGACGAAGCTGCTGGCTTTGCCAATGCCACCAAAGAATCTCTGGCTGTCTCGCTTGAAGCACTTGCCAATTGTAACATGGCGGAGCTCAAAAATCGCACAGCCTTCAGTATGGCTGCGTACGGTCAGGACAGGACTTCTTTCATTGCCACCGACGCGCAGCTTGATCACCTCGAATGCCTTGCTCGTGAGCACTATCTGCCCATGAGTGATGAAGACACCCACGAGGTCGGCGCTCGTAAGCAAGATTCGCACGCAGGAGAAGGCCGCTTGCCTGCAAGTCCCGCAAACTCGGATTTAAGTGCCATGGTTTCGGATGAAGATCCTTTTAGCAGATCAGGTTCTCGGTCCGCATGTAGAAACGTGGAGAAATCTCATGACTGAAGTGATTATGGTATTTATTTTCTATTACCGAACTTGTACTGATCCTGCGCAACAGATGGGTGTCATTATACTACTACGCCCTACGTACGATAAACTTTTTCTATTTATGGAACTTTTGTGATATGTAGGACTTCTTGCTGTAGATATGTTCTCGCGGGGCGCGTTAGGTCCGATCCTTCATTTGTCTTCTGTAGCTCTAAAGTCATGGAATCGAAGGTGTATTAGGATACACTCTTAAACGGGCACTTGAGCCAACGAAACCCTAGGCCTCACATTTCACACGGAGACAAAACATTCTCGAGTTGCGGCAGATAGTGGTAAGTTAACGAAATAACGGAACCTGCGCTTTGATCGTAAAAAAATGCCCGTTTTAGACTGCAAAGATTGAAACCAAAAAAGGAAGTCTGTTGTTAATATAATTAATCCTGTGCAAGCGCGAAAGCAACGCGAAAGTCTTTTGATTGGTAAACAGGGTTGATCGGGTCAAATCTGTAAGGCTTCCTTTTTTAGTCAGTACCTTCTATCGAGACTGCCTCAAGAGCCTCGCGGCAGTAAGTGCTATTGAATAACGATGTAAAGGTAAAAGTCGTGTGCTGATCTTTGACTAAATAACCATGATAGGAATGATACTGACGGCGTCGGTCAGCCAATGGAGATGCTGCGCCCAACCGTGACTGTCTGGCTACTGCAACATGGTCACTGTGACCGAGTCGCCGCTAGTACTACCGTGACTAGTACACTAGTATACTGATACTGGTGATATCTCCCATATTTAATCTGTACTTCTACATTCTCAGGCTGTCGCACCTCTCGAACCTGAACGGTACATCTGCTTATGCAGCTTACCGCGACTCATACACTGATTCACTCGTGATCAGCTCACTAGTACTAGTAGCCGCTGGCACTTAAACATGGATGATCACCATCAGTCTGACTCCTTCACTGGCAGATCCTGGTCATCGGCGCCTGAACTCTGGGGAGAGCTACCCAAGCAATTGACTGCCATTCAGCCACCGCCTCAGGCTGTGGGCAGCAGCAGTCATTCCAACGTTGATTCTTTTACAGCTGATTTCTTCCAGTCCAACGTGAACGAGTCAAGTACCAGCGTCCCGCGGCTACATATTCACGGTGATCATGATGATAACCTTGGCTATCACCACGGAGATCCCTATGATCGCGATTACAGGCCCACAAGTGCCCATAACGTTAATGTCACCAACGATCCCTACCATGACCACAACAACTACGGCAGAAGCCAGCGGCCGCAGCCTGACCTGCCAGTACAAGCCCCAGTAATCCAAAACCCTCCCAGTTTCTTTCAGAACCCTCCAAATCTGTCCCTGTGGCCGATCCACCATTCGGACGCCCACGAACATGTTAGCTCATCGTCACATGTTAATCTGCCTCCGGCTATTGAGGCTCCACCTCATGCGTTTGACATTCCCCTCAATATTGTTGATAAGAAGATGAACCGAGGGCGCAAAGTTGGCCCTCAGTATCACACAGCAGCATCCGGCCGACGGTCCAACTCAAAATGTACGAGTGTCGTACAACCAGGGTCTTTGCGAGTCATTCAGGTAGTCATCTTACCACCGCAGTTTATCGATCAAGTGAAGGAAGACGCTCACGCTCACATGGTGAAATTCACATTCGAAAACTCCTTTTTTCTCGCCGATGAAACTTTAACGCATTTGGCGAATCACGCGCTTGACACTGCAGTCGCTCAGTATTCAAACAGTAATTCCCTTTTTATATTCCCGCCTCCTAGCTCATCGACGTAAAACAGCGGAGCTCAATAAATGGAGAAAGTGTATTGACGCTAAAGGCAAGATCAGCAGGCTCAGGAGCGTTCCGACCACCATCATCGACACCTTTAGGGCGTGCGGACGCCTCGTAGTCTTCGTCGCATATGAACTAGCCCTGCCGGTCACTGCCCAGCGCAGGCAATCAACCCAATCAGCTCGCATTGACAGGGTTGAGTCCTTACTACTAAACGATTCATTCCTTGACGGATTCTTGGAGGTATGTCAACGTTGATTTAAGTTCTCTCTTCGATTCAATCTTTCGCATCAGCTGCGCACGGGGGACGGGTCATTCAGCAGTTCCTGGTACCCCTCGCAAATCGCGCGATCACTAACATTTTGGAGATCATGTTGTCGGAGCAACAATATGGTCGCTACATCTTCGATGGCACAGATAAATGGAGGCTGCGGCTTTCGAACACTTTCTTTCTCGGAGGAACAACATGTAGGTGGGGAATAAAGCGATATAAAACAGGCATTTTCGTAGAGGATCAGCTTGACACTCCGGACAATGCTCAGTACTTTCGATACATTGCAGATCACGTTTCTCGATTTGATCCCACAGAAAGGTCCATGTTTGATGGATTGCTCGATAACGAATGTTATCTCTTAACGGGTCACACATAGTATGTTATGATCACTACTAGAAGTGCATTGTTTCCTCGCAGTTCCTCCAGCTCTAGATCTCCATATGTACATTGATGTAATACCTGATTGTGTCCGTTCCAAGCAGTTTTATAGTCATCTTTTGGAGTTCTCAGATCATGTGTCAGTGTTCCGTGCGTAGGATTTTGGTGTCGAATGGTGGGTGCAGACCAACTTGGAAGCGAAGGAGAGGTGCCAGCTAGGAAATAGACAAGGTCATATTGACAAGGACGCTCCAGTTTAGATCTAATATATGCGGTAGCAAAAGAATCATGCTGACGGGATCTGAAGAAACCAGATTTCCGAGTCACTCACACTATGTACCATACACCTATGAGAGATAGATAGTATAAGGCCCGGAAGACACTACAGGAATGGAGCGAACCTTCAGCAGCTACAATACTGATGGTATGAATTGCTGTAGTGAAATCAGTGACAAGACGCTGAATGTTCAGGATATCGATCACCATTCGAAGCCCTGCTGAAGTTCGAGCACTGTATTCGTCATCCTTCAGTTCATACAACAACCACGTAAACAAGACACACTAACATTCACGTTCGCTCGTGTAGCAAGGATAGCTAATCACTCGTCAATGTCATGTACCAGGAGATACAGGTAGTTGCTCACCATATGAAGTCATGCCAGCTGCTACAAAGGCCATGTAGCGTGAGATTACGGAAAGAACACGAGCGACGCTCCAGCACCTGTTCCATGTCCATCGAATCTTGTGACATTCGTCAAGAGATGTTCGAACTCTATGAAGAAATGCTCACTTCAGGTTCGAGCATTAAGAAATAGTCAAAAATCTAGGAAGCATAAGGAGGGTTATTGTCCGTGATTTGTATATAGACCTACCAAAACTCCTAGACCGGCCACTGCACATATTCAGGATGACAATGGTGTAAATGCCTGCATGAAGTCCGCGTACCATTACAATACTAGAGCAGTTGCAGTCAATAAACTTCATCTGGCAACTATATTTAGGAATTCTTACCTTCGCCGTCTGGATACCTGTATTCTCTAGGGACGCGACCATTGCACGCTTGTACTAGATAAGGTTCCAGAACTCGCTCTTAGTATATCTGAATTTGCATGATTTCGAAACTGTGCATTCGCCATGTCACCGTGCGAGATCAAATTAGACTGTGCATGGTGATGGAGTCAAAACCAGTAGCAGGTCCTATCCGTGTCACGAAACTGGCAATGGATTTCCAATGTAGCAGTATAAGACTTGATAGCAAAAATTGAATTTCAGTGATGGTTGGCCTTCGTGCACTGTCCGTAGGTCACGTGAGGAATCTGCGCCACTGCTACGGTAATTGCCGCGACAATCCAAACTTGCTTTACAAATTATTGTTGACCGTCATTCATGTATCCTTCTGCTCATGCATCGAAAGACGTATCATAATAAGCTCACTCGGCACTTGGTGTATTGAACTGCAGCACTGAAAACGTAGTAAGTTTTGTCTTCTCAATTCATCACATTTTAGCTGACTTGGCCTTCAGGCTGATTCGGACGGGCTGGGTCACGGTGTCTTAGCACTAATGGAACACCAGTAATTGTTACTACTACAACTGGCCCGATACCACAATCCAGGAACTTGGTACCCCAATTGTTTTTGACCTTTAGAGGTGTGTCGCATTTCATTTCATTGACGCCTGTGCTCATGCTATTGATCGTTACAATTACAAATCAGGTCAATACCAACATCAACCAGCTTCTCATCGCTGATAACCTGCCTGAGTCACAGACATCGACATTAGGCATCACATTTCTCCAAGGACTTTCTCCCACCCGTTTTGACGTCGAGTCGATCACGCTCAACGTCACAAATAGCAGGTAAGCACCCTCTTGTCTTTGTCAGAGAGTATGCCAAATACCACGATCCATTCATATGTGCAATAGTGCGACCTCTTCTTATCTTCCAACACTAATATTACCCACATCCAGTTCTCCTCCGAGCCTTTTGCCCTCCTCAACGAGCACAGTAAATTCGACTACCAGCCAGCGAACAGGCATTATCATCGGTGCGACTGTGGGCGCGGTACTTGGCTCTTTGGCCATATCGATAGCCAGTTTTTGTGTTTATTGAAGGTGGCGAAGGCGACGAATTTGACGGTCGGAGGTAGATGTTGGAATATCTCTAATGAGACCACGGACGACAAGGACTCAGTGATTGTGATACATCGTATATCGTAAGTCTTTATTTAAGCTCTTCTTGACGTGCTGGATTATCTCAATCCCACCCGCAGTTCGTCAAAGTAGGCTACGCAGGATCGAACTTCCCAGAGCGTGGTGCGTAAGCCCCACCAAAGCACACTGATTCATCCAAACATCCAGTATTCCCCTCCGTCGTAGGCCACCCCATTTTGCGCGCAGAGGAGCACGTGGGCTCCGCAGTGATCAAAGATATCATGGTGGGCGATGAAGCCGCCGAGAACCGTAATTATCTCCAAGTCACGCAACCCATGGAACACGGTATAGTGCACAACTGGGAAGACATGAAGCACCTCTGGGATTACACTTTCGACGAGAAACTCAAGGTCAGCCCGCGTGGCGGTAAAGTGCTACTCACGGAGCCACCTATGAACCCTAAAGTCAACCGGCAGAAGATGGTGCAGGTGATATTTGAGGAGTATGGCTTCCAGGGGGTTGTATGTAGCGATCCAGGCTGTGTCGATGTTGTATGCGCAAGGTGAGATCTGTTCTGTGCTGTATGATGGCTGGGTGCTGACTGTCTGTCGAGTGCAGGTTTAACAACAGGCGTAGTCGTCGACTCGGGTGATGGAGTCACGCACATCATACCTGTATACAAATCGCTTGCGCGGCATGCGATATTGCCACTATTCACATTTCAAATAAGCACAAGCAGCGAGTTATTGCCGAATTCATACGCACGTGACTGCTCAAAGACAAGTCAAAAACCTAGGTGCCTTGGCTTATGCGGGGTGCAGCCATTACTCCTGACAACTGATGAACCAGCAACAACCCGGTAATTGGTACGCGGTACTAGTCCCTTCGTCACAAGGTTTTAGATGACAATGTAGGGGCAGGTGCACGTGGCCTCAAGATCTGGCTTGGTTCTCTTCTCGATCGCACACCGCTCGCATCGATCATCATCTTTATCCTCACTCCACTAAGGGATCTGCCAGTTATGGGGGTGAAAGAGCTTCTTGCGCTCGTGCTTCTGTGCTTCTCTGCCCTGTGGCCGTCAAATGTCCACAATGGCATGGATATACTATTAGTGCCTTGGCGCTTTACTGAAGGTCTCTGCTGAGCTGGTCAACGATGAGATGCGTGTATGTTTCTGGCTTTGTTGGTCAAGCTGCCTGGTACGCTATTTTTGCTTCATGTTCCTGGCTCATTGACGTTTTGATAAGGTCCCCAGCTGATGTACTTCTCCTTACAAGGCTTAATTATGCTATTCAAATTTGGACGGAAGCTGGTTGAACGGGTAGCAGAGTAGTGCTGTGCTGAGTTGTTATTTTGAGGACGGCCCGGGCCCATCGAACGTTACAACTATTGTCAAATCAATGATTGCGTGGTTTGATTTCACCATGTGTGCCGAATCCCGGGTTTTTTGAGTTTTATATTTGGCCGCCGCCGATCTACGATGTGATGGCACGAAATGCTGCCTAAATAAGAAATTCCATGAGTTTATGAAAATGTTCCGTGTCTACTATATATGGAAGTCTTACGCGTGCCTAGTACAATGGAAGCCTTATGCGTGCCTACTATATATGGATATGAAAATGTCTTGTGCCTACTACTACATATGGAAGCCTTGCGTGGGCGTAACGTATGAATATGAAAATGTCAACCTTACGCCTCCTACTACTACCACATATGGAAGCCTTACCGTGTGAGAAGACTCACATCCCCAAAGTTTGTCCGTGACCTTGACAACTTCCGACTCAAGGCTGCCCACCGGCACACGGCCATGCACACCTGTCTTATGCCTCCTCTGGGCTCTATCATCATAGTATAGTCGCAGTTTGCGACGGGATCCGAGTTTATATGACGAAACTGCAGCAAGACAGCAGTAGTACCGCATTGAGTAATTTTTTTCGTCGGCCTAGTAGTACTAACGTTATCGTGCTAGTAGCTTTTGATGTGTTCCTAGGTATGTACTACTACTAGTTACTTTTGCCGACGCTGAACCGTTCTGCCAGTACTTACTAGACGGCCGTCATATAAAGTGGACGGTACATGAAGTCAGTCTTGTCCATATCCTTCCCTCTGGTTTATATTCCTGCCTTACTCATCATGTCTCAGACGCAGGGCGGCTCACAGCCTTCAGCACCATCCGAACCTTCCGAGTCCGTGTCAGTGACAACGTCCATAGCGGTGGCGACATCCGAAAATGCTCGACAGAGGCGGAAAATTGCAGCATTAGAAGAGAAACTGCAAGTGCTCGAGGCTGGGCGCATGGTGAAACAAAGGTTTGTGCGCCTTCAAGTCCTTCCGATTTACTCACTATGATTATTACTGGTAGGGAGACCAACTACTTTATTTCGCAGGGAAGAGCTATTAGACGAATAGTCACATTGTTTGACAGTATCGAAGACTTAATAACCGAGAACGACAGGAGGTACGACATTGCAGACGATGATGAGGTAACCATCGAGTAAGTCCCAAGTCCATCCATGCATCACGAGCGCTACTTACGGGTCTGTCATCACAGTCAGGATCGATTGCACACGGGATACATCACCCTTACCAACATCCTCCCGTGGTTTCAGCCAAAGTGTTCAGATATGGAGTACGAGGAATACGTGCAAATGTTAAAAAAGGTATGCTTCAGCGATATAAATGATTGTCTTTGTGTTGAGTCGCTGTTTAGCTTAGGCAGGGGGCCGATAGTGCTCGTGGAGACGACACCTCAAAGCTCAAGAGCCTTGTCCCCGATTGGGTCAATCGCGAATTCAAACCCAATCCGCCAGTCGATTACGAGGATAAGTACAGCCGTGGATTTGTTAATGATGCGTGCGGTAAACTACTCTGCCCAACTGAATTGGACTGGGATAATCCAACGTAAGCTTTGTGGTACTCGGGACCTTATTGTGCCATACTGACTTCTCACTAGCATCAGAGCGGGAATTAGGGATCGTGCTGATGGCTGCATTGTAACCGAAATGTCATGGCCAACTTTCTTGTATGAAAAGTACACCGCCGATCAAGATAATCTCGAGGAGGGTCTCTTCAAAAGTACCCTTTTGATCCAGGTGCGTTGTACCCAAGTAGCTCAACGAAAATCCAACTTTCGGCAGGCCTTTAAATCCATATTTACTTCTCCTTCCTCCACAAAAGAGATTGATGGTGAAGGCGACGGTGCCAATATTATTGAAAATAACAGATGCACCAAAAGGGAATTTTCTGGCAAGAAGGTCAAGACCCATGTAGCGCAGATCATTAAGATGCACAAGGTCTCACCGTGCTCAATCACATATGTGGTTTGCCAAGTAAGTGATATTGTTCTTCATTTGATTCCTGAGCACCAATACTATGTCACACTCGCAGTTACGATTCGCACTTTCTTCGGTGACTTCATGGCATTCAGTCGATGGTGACTTTGATTATGTACAGTTCTGGCATATCATTGTAGACTTCTTCGAGAAGGCTCCTGGCCAAGCAGCCCAGCGGAAAGTTGACCGCCTCCTTGCGTGGTGGACAAGGTGCGTTACCTTTAATTTCAATTCTCCCCAGCTGACACATCTTCATTTACCAGGAAGGTCTTCGGAACAAGTCGTCGCGCGGAACTCAGTGATGCAGCCAAGTCCAGCATGTCCGTAAACGCTCTTGCAAGGCAGAGGGCGCAAGAGGATGATGCCCTCTTCGATTCTGATTAGTTCAACTCTCGTTTTCAACTAGATTACATTAGTGACTTGATGTTTTGATCGTTTACCATGTTGTGAAGCTCGGGTAGATGATTTGAATGATAATTGAGCTTTATTGGTATCCATACAAATACCCCAGATATTGTGAACTTCATGGACAGAATGAGGAAATGCAGCGCGACTTGTATTCACTCCAATTGCATGGCAAAAGTACAAAAGTGTAAAGTAACAAAATACAGCTTCGACAGTGGTGATATCTATAATGTGTGGTTCTCATAGGCATCTCGAACAGAAAGCACAGATGTGCAAAGTAACAAAATACAGAGCAAGAAAGGCGATATCCGTATCCTCAAGTTCCCAATACCATCTTGGGGCAAAAAGCACAGAAGTGAGAGGTGACAAGATTCAGCTCGACAACGGTAACATCTGTACCTTCCAATCCCTACGACCATCTCAGGCAGAAAGTACAGACATGCGAGGCAATAAAATCCAGTGTGAGAAAGGCGATATCTGTATCCTTCAGGTCCGAAGACCATCTCAGAGCGACAAGCAGAGAAGCGTGAGTAACAAAATCCAGCTCGACAGTGGTAATATCTGCACTGTCTAATTCTCACGACCAGCTCAGGGCAAAAAGCAGTAAGGTGCGAGGTCACAAAATACAGCTCAGCAGGAATGATATCTGCACCTTCTAGCCTTCCTGGAGGGTAAGTATAGACGTGCAATATCACAAAATATAGCATGATAGCATTGATCTCTGCAAATTCCAGTTTCCATGGTCATCTTGTTTTGAATGCCAGGGATTACCGAATGTAGCATATTAATTGTTAGGATTGGCAAGTGATATCGCCGGCTTGCCGGATGGCATGGAAAACAATTACTAACTTAAGATGCTAAAACAAACAACCTCACCGACGAATGGAGGGTGATGACCTTTAAATCTGGAACCGCAAAGCGATAGTAGCTGTGACATATATCGAAATCACAGCTTCGCTCATGGCATGCAGGATAGTTCAGATATTCTCATTGTTCGACCACGCAAACAACAATCAGTCAAGTAAGGCTAAGATACACGTTTTTACTAACGATAGCACAATGGATAGGACCTATATCAAACGGTAAGTCAGGCACCGATGTGAACCGTGAGCCACTGCTTTCGACTTTCTGGCTGAGTGACTGTGTTGTGACAAAGTAGCGGCGACGCACAACACAAGCAATTTTGCAAGAACTAGCCAATGATATCCATTTTGCCATGGCTGCGTACTCATAGCAGACGGACGGAAGATCAGAAGTAGTATACAAATGGTTTTTGGGATGATCGTTACACAAAAATTGCTGCTCATGAGAAGTTAGAATAGCTTTATGGAGTGGCCGTTAGTCCCTCACAAAGTTTCTTAAGGATCATTTAAAGCAGTCAGTCCGAAGAACCGAATCAGCATCTAATATGGATCTTTCTTGATCGGTGCACAAAACGATAGTATCTGCAAGGTACTGGCTTTAGCTCTGATATTAGCTATTGTAGACCTTGTTCAGGATGTGGCAGCCATAATGCATTGGGATGAACCGTCAGCTTTTCTCCCACCTATCCCTCGATCCTGAGTTTAGACGATCCGTGAGTCTTTGGCAGGTTGAAAAACTGTCGACATTAGCTCAAAACTCCTCTTTCCTGTATAAAGTCAAGCATCACAATGTGATGGTCGATAGCAGGATTATTCAGATGTTGGTGATTGTGTACTATGTATGGTAATATATGTCTTTCTCAAATTTCTACCAGTTCACTGATGATAGCTAGTCACTGTGGCCTGAACAGAAGCCAGGCTGACTTCTGCTCAACGTGTAGTTCAAATTGATTTGCCGTGGAGATGTTCTCGGTCGGCTGTCAGTGACACTCATGGCACTTAGTACTTAGTACTGTTATTGGTGCCAAAACATGAATCGCCAACAAAACAGAATTACAAATTGCAATGAACACAGTAAAAAAAATACCTGTGGCCAGTCTGTGAGTGAATCTCATCCACCTCATGAACCAGGCGCTGATATAAGCATAGGAACACGATGTGCGTGACAAATCCGAAAAAGTACTTCACTGCTGATGCTATCCTTCAGTACCCCTAAGTTCCACCGTCCCTTTGCAGGGCGTTCTGGTCAGTCATACGACGCACAGTGTCGTACAAACCCTGCTTAGAGGATAGTGCAGCATCCACGGTAGCCTGAGCTACACCATCTTCATCAGTGAATTGATGAGTCCGTGATATTGTAGCCATGAGACCTGTAGACAGATATAATTATGCTTTTCCTAAATATATCCATATATTCCATGAGAAATCTTAGTTCGTCATACATACTTTCCAGATCTAAACTTGCAAGACACATCAATGACGGAGTTGAAGTATAGTAACATCATATCCTACAAGTCACAGTAGCGTGGCGGCCACAAATTGAGAGCCCATTCTCCCTATGTCTTATGTATGGTCTCGGTTTCATAGATATATAAGGCATTCTAATGGAAAGTTCGTTTTACAATGACCACCGAATCTGGTGGGCCGTGTGACATAAAAACGAGGTTGGGGCGCGGCGACGTCCGAGCATACCAGGCCCAGTAGTGTAACACCCTCGAATTGAGAGCTCCTTCTTACTTGGTCATATGTACGGTTTCAGTGCCATGACTATACAAGGCGTTTGAATGGAAAATACCTTTAGCAATGATTGACTGGAAAAATGTATTTAGAAATCGATGGCCGCGCATACTATGATGTACAATGTTTTACGGTCAAACTTCTGTTCGACGTGTTGAAAAACAATAGTATCTTCCACCGATCATCTACCTCATCCACCTCCTGCCATCACCTCCAAAAAATGTGACATGGCGCGACCAAGGCCAGTAAGGGATGGTAAGGTAATCGTATCCACGCTGTTCAGCATTAATGTTTTCCTTCTTTATGTTCTGGAGTGTGATATCGATGTCATTAAGGACCTTGTGTAGACCAACTAAACTGGAATGGCGTGTCAGACAATTCCATGACAAATAGACTCGGATACTCAGACAAAATCCATACTCGGAGCTGTTACCGAATAGAACAAATTTTCACCCTCGAGGAGCATCCAATGTGTTTAGTCGAAATCAGTAGCTTCACCTTGCAAGTTGCCTGCCACGGAACACCGGATCAAAAACAAATGTTTGAGTCTTCCTTTGCAATGAGCGACACTGGTCCATTCGTCTGATCTCGGTTGCAGAATCTAGAGTGTGTTCTTATCCGTGGTATGCTGACGACCTCTTGCCTTATCTTCAGGCTGCTGAGTACTATGATATAGTCATCAGCCACTCAATAGGCAGACTTGTAGTATTATCGCTTCTCAAGTACCTGCCGAGAACCAGGCCTGTCTCAGTAGTTCTCATCGATACATCCGTGGAGTTAACTGCAGAGCAGATGGCAATGGTTCGGAGAGCCAAGGTACTAACGGTGTCCGAGCCAAACCTAGAAGATTATATGACATCGAATCCTCGATTCTAATCGCAGATCCGCAATCTCATGGTGCTTCGAAGCTGAAGGCTGTCACAAAAATTTAAGAAGGTCAGTGATTGTTCCAAATGACTCGCACTGGATACATTACGAAGTCCCGGAAGTGATCGTTGAAGAGGCGCTAAGGAATATCGGTGAAGAGCAAGGCGATGGCCCATAAGAACTTTCACCTTCCAACTTGAATATTGTGCCATTCCATTCCACGACTCCCACGTCAGCGGAGGAAGATCCATATGTGTATGTCATCGACGATGTACTTGAAGTGGGGTTTGCCTTCTGTATCCGTCAAAGTAGTAACATTAGAGACGTTCACAGCTTCAGGACTGAATGGCTCGGATCGTCGGCTAGTGTTTGGTGTAGGTGATAACGCAAATATACCATCCACTGCAAGGCACGAAAGATCTGCTTTGAAACGGAGGTGCCAGGGAGTAGTACTTATAAACTTCTGATCAGGAAGTCTTTCCGAGTCAAAATTCTGATATTTTGTACTCTCCTCAGTGACGTAGGCATGGCACTCGCCGCGATAGGCATGATGAACGTCTAGAATTCAAAGACGACTCGGACGCCTGCCGTTCGATAAAACTTGAGTACCAAAAAATCTGTTAATGGAGGAAATTCAAAAAGATAGGTCATCATCCTCCGAGTCGTCCTGGTCCTCATCACCTTCCCAGCCATGGTCTTTCTCAACTCCCTCGTCTTCATGCTCTAGGTCATCGTCGCTAAATTCTTCATCGCTCGTCCCATCATCTTCATCATCATCCTCGCCGCATCCGTCACAACCCTCGCTGTCACTATTCTCTGCATGGCTCACATCTACCTCGTCAGCGTCGTCCACAATGTTCATGTCGCCAGCTGATCCAGGGCTAAGACAATCTCTGATCATTCTTCGCATCATTACCGGATGCCCCACACCTAAATAACCATAGCGCATGAACATATCTCGGTCAGCAAATCTGCATGAGAGGATAAGGATCAATATACATAAGAACAGATATTTACGCTCACATGCCAATGTAATAGGCCTCCCAATCATCTAGTTCCCCTTCCTGACGTGCCAATGATTTTCCGTGGCAAAGCGAGCTAACACCACGTCCCGAAGCAAAGGCTGGAATCAAGTGCACTCCCCGAATCACTTGCCCTGGGTCAAGAAACCCGAATGTGTCTGTGTCGGATTCCTCCACAAAGGCGACTTTGGGAAGACAAGCATATCTCGTACCAGATTTATGGTTCTGCAAAGGGGCCAGCCATCTAACCCAAAGAATTTCAAGGTGTTGCTTCACCGGCTGAGCTCCGTCATTGAGCCACGTCTCGATATGATATATTCCTAATACGCGGGCATACCAATATGGATGGTTGGGCGTTGTCTCACCCGAAACCACCATAACGTCCGCATGCGTTCGAGGGTTGATCGTGTCGTAGTCGTGCCTCATGTCATATGTAGTATAATGAACTTGCATAGTCTGGACAGAGTGGATCATGTTGTTAGGGATGATTACCAGGTTTCGCTCCTCGTCTGTGAAGGTATGGTCGCAGTAGCTGACATCTAGCTTGCGCAACCGATAAAGCACATGGTCCTTTAGCTTTGGTATAAATTTCTAATAGCTACTGTGAGTACTAAGGTGCTTTCAAAACCGATGAGACTTCTACCTTGAGAGCCGTATCGCTGTCGTGTTCTCGAATGAATGCGAATAGACTGATTGGATGATTCTGATCGGTGGTGATGCGATAGTGCTTTCCAGAAGAGGGAATATCGACTAGTGATTGACTAAGGGAGGGGGTTGTACCCCCTGCCTCTGCTATACGCCGTAGCGCGCGGCGCCTCCGCTCGTGTTTGGCTAATTGGGCCGGGGTGTCTAGCTTACTGGTTAGTGGGTAGAATGCTTTCAAAGCTCGGTGTGCAAGCTCGCCCTGTACATGGTCATCAGGTTCATACCGGTAGAATGTAGATGATACATACGATCTGCATTGTAAACGAATCTGTGGTCCCAAAGGATCAAATGGTTTTCACATAGTCCCCCATAGCATGAAACTTATAGGTATTTAAGTTAAACATCTTCGCCCTTGCTCCAGTTGATTCTGGAGCGACGTTAGTATGAGCTTCGGAGCGCTGAGTGAACCTTCGTTGACGCGCTGCCTTCTCTTTCGGCAATTCCACGGCGTTGAAAGCAGCACAGGTGTGGGTCCGAAACTTCCGCAACATCCGGGAGAGTGTTTTGAAGGTTTCCTCTAGAAATGCTAAGGTAGAATCGGAGTGAATCCTGAGCTTTGCAAGTGCATGCCACTCTGCAAAGCGATATAGCAGTGACTGCACAGCCGCGTTATGTTCAGGAGGGAATAGCCCTTCAAAAACAGGCATAGCGCACTAGAGGGCATGTGAGGGAGCTTTCCGGCAACTAAACAATGCAAACGAACCTGTAAAATGTCTTCGAAGTCGCGAGCTGCCAATTTTTTCATCTCTGAGGTATTATTTGCGAACCTGCGAATCACACCATTCCCGAAGGTTGGAAGCTGGCGAAATCTGAAGCGAAATTGCGAAATTAACAACTCGTTAGCAGGTAAAGATATTTGGACCGTTATTAATTCCACATACCTTTCATCTAGGGCGGCAACCAGCTGAGTGCCTCCAGGAAGTACATAAAGAAGCCTTATCAGGTGCGTAAATAGCGCCTTCCAGGTACCTAATTCGCACTCATGCATTAGGTCCACCACGAGCATGTGAAATGGGTCGAGGCCTAGCGCCCCAAGCTTCACTGCAAATTGATTCTGTGGACATCAATTTGAGTTTATCATGACCAGTAGCGAGCCCTTTGCACCTACCAGAATAGGAACCCACGAGCCTTCTCCAAGGGCGTCTTCAACCTTTCCGCTATCTACGGTACTTCCCCATTGATAGATGAACTCACGAGCCTTGACGATCTTCGCTGTAGTATAGACTCGAAAGCTAGTTACGCGATTTTTCATATCCTTCGCCAGACCGAGACAATGAAACAAACTTTTCGGTATAAGGCAGCGAGGGCATGGACAGGAGCCCATGTCCTTGATAGTCGCTATTAGAGCCCTAAAAGTTATGAGTCATCTGATATCTTGAGAGAACGCAATGAAAAAAACGTACTTCTCCGGGTAATCAGCCGAATACGTGAAAATTCGAAGATATACTCTCCGCATGACTCCATCGGCGCATTTCAAAACAACACCGTGTCGATAAGCATATAGGAATTCTTCATCCATCAGGATTTCCCAGCAAGCCTGGAACAACTGCCTGCGGCAGTAGGTGAGAAGGGAGGCCATGCCTGTTTTCGATATTCGAGGCAGGGTACTCAAAATGTCTTTGATGCTATCAGGAAGCTGAGGAGGGTAGCGTAAATATGGTTGAAAATATGCAATAAGGAGGACTCACCGAAGGTAAGAATCCTACGAGGTGACACGATCCCAACGTAGGCGACGAACGTACGTACTTTGTCAGATTTCCAAAGTAGGCATAGAGAGGCCAAGCCTTGGCAGTTCCAAAATTTGCCAAGTGAGTAGCGTCCGAAAAGAACATAAGGCCTGCAATGACGCGCTCCAATGAACACCCAGGCTCTTTCGGCAGCTTGTGCAAATCATCCTGGGCTCCTAACCAAGCATCAGACGTGTAAAGCTCGTCGTATATCTGTTCTTGATGGCCGTCTAGAGGATCATTCCATAGACGTTTAAAAGGCATGAGGTGGAATGCGCCCGCTTGAGCATCTGCAAATGCAGCGCGTACAACTTCAACAAGCGGGCGAAAATGAAATCCAGGAATTGAGAAGAGCCTAGGGCTATCCTCCTTCAACTTCGTTGGAATGTCGATGGTGACCGTAGTCTCAATCCAGTCATCTGGAAAGGTAATTCCCTTTCCACCCTCGTCTTGGTCCAATTCCCGCAGACTCCGCCTCACCGAAAATCCCTGTAGGTCCTTGCTGTCAAAATCCTCTGCTAGTATCACGTCTTTGACTAGGGCAGCGACTTTAGTTTCTGACACACGACTGGTGCTGGAATTCATCCACGACATAAGTCTATAGACTGTCATATTAGAAAACAGGTATGGTGGTGCAAAGACCTTCGGCGGAGAATGGGATCCTTGAGCAGCAGCTGGACACGTCCTCGCAAGCAATGCAGATGGAATAAATCTGTCCGGCTCGAACGACGGACGACGAGGGTAAAGTCGGCAGAGACCAAAGGAATTGGCAGTTGTTTGAAGTGTATCTCTGAGGGTTAGAATAACACGCTGGATTCTGGATCGAGCTGGTACGACAGGCAAACTTTGACTCAACGAGCTCTGACCGATATCAGAGTAATTAAGTTCATCCTCTAAGGGCTCGATGGCATGGAAGGGCCTCGGAATTCGCCTGATACGGCACGTCGGTTGCTCTGGAGGTGTCAGGTAATGAGAAAACTGGTAGTCTATCATGCAAAGGGATGCTAACCAAAATAATCCGACTCGTCAACTTTGTCTTCGCAACTGGCACCCATCTCAACGTCGTCATCGTTCTCTAAGTCAAGGGAGAGTCCTAAGTCGTCGAGACTGGATAAATCTAAAGTGCCAATGCCAGACCCTGCTGGTAATCGAAAAGGGGCAGTTTGTCTGACACGACCGATTCTCTGAAGTCCACCTCGTTTAAGAAGACAGCTGATTGCTTAGTAGGACTACTCACTGCGTCATGGTGTGAAGCTTCTTTGGCACGCTCCCGTCTCTTCTGTGTCGCAAGAACGCTATATCTCTTGTGCAAATGACAAGAGGCGCGATGCCTATTGAGTCCACGGGCATCCTTTGCCTTCTCCCAAGAGCAGCCTAGGGCACCGCATTGGAACACCATCATCAGTAAAAACGAGACTGACAGAAAGGCAACAATCCAAAGAGATGACGCAATGCTTGTGCGCATTGCACGTTAGAGTTGTCGGCAATAAGCTGTAAGGTAGCGGTTGTTTGAGTCCTCTGTAGTGTAGTTCGTTGAAGTGCTTCAAAAATGTTACTAGTAAGAATGATCCGGTAGCGGGAAGTCAGACTACTGCTTACATAAATTAAACATACTATCACACACACTGAGACACGCACAACACAGCATGATGCAGAAATATACGTTGTGGATTGTAGATAGATAGATAACAGGACATATTAATATATGCTGATCCTAATATTCAAAAATTGTATTTTTTTGTCCATGCCCGTGGCAAGAAAGAACGATGGGCTGCCAACAAGCTTCTCAAAGAGACCGATACTACAGCCGGGCTTGGTCGTGATACTCCAGCGTCAGACGTGGGTGTCGGACGCAAGGGGAGGAAGGACAAGATGACTGCCAATGACTACGATACACCTGCCAGTGGTGTGGCTGGCAAGCAGAAACGTGAGGTGAAGTCCATGTCTGTGACGCCTTTGGTGATCGACGATGACGAGGAAAAGTATGACATGGTGAAGGGGTAGTGATCTTGCTTCGATGTCCTGCATGGAGGAAGTTATGTTGCAGTGCTGCTTGAGGTTTCATCCTTCGCTCAGGATCCCATACAAAGCATCGTCTTGACACCGTAGAACTTGAGCAAGTGTTTGTGCCTGGTCGTCTACGATGACCTTTACAGTTCACCATGGGTCGGGGTGCGCCGTTGTTGTCTTAGAAAGGATCAGGAAAGTGGTAGAAGGTCGCCAATGTGTCATCTTACCGAAGAAGAGTCGCTTTCGGGAGCTACGATTGATGAAGTCCTTATCTGGGGGCTCCAAGACCTCCATGATGCAAGACAATTGCTCCTGCTCGTTTTCGCCAGGGAAGATAGGGGATACTGTATAGAGCTCGGCGAGGATGTAACCCAAACTTCACATGTCGATAGCCATGTGATAGTTCATGCCCAGGATAACTCCAGGCGACCGATAGAAATGACTCTGAATATAAGTATAGACTACGCTTGGCTCAGTAAAATCTTAGGGACCGTGGTGAAAATGAACTTACTCTTCTTGTGCTCTAAGCAGCTACTGTCGAAGTCTATGACCTTGATAGCACTGCACTCTTCACAGGGTATCGTAATAAGACATTCTAAACACAGTCATAAGACAAAGTGCATGCAATGAGAGAATACTAACGAACCTCTGGCTTGAGATCGCAATATGCGATGATGCCACATCAAGCACAGAGACAATAGTATCATCTGGCTTGTAAAGTGTCGTATCAACGCCATTGTGAATCCAACAAAACTGTTTGCTTTGATCAGTTCATACAAATTGATGCTAAGTAGTTCCATGGCATTGCAGAGGTGATTGTGGAAGTAGAAGTGCTCAGTCATCTTGATGACATGGTGCTTGGAACTTAACTGTAGGATTCCGAAGTCCAGAAATGGCACACGTACTCTTTGTTCCACGACATGACAATTCGACTCGGAATACCGCCACGGGCAACATCTCCGAAGTGGATGTTGTCGATTTAGAAGCTATTGGGTAAACACGATACCAGACAAAACCAGATATTTGTCATGGCGCAGATCGATAAAGTGGAATACTCACCGAGGGTCCAACGTCAACAAAGGCAGTCCACCCTCTCACATCATTATTTCTGTCCTGAGAGATGATCGGCTGGCAAGCCAGAATCAGCACTCATGAAACCTGCAGCATGAACGCAAAACTCCACTGCAATACTGATTGAACTGACCAGGTCATATTAATATTGGGATCAAAGAGGCGCTGTGCAAAAACAACTCAAGTAAACAAACTTGACGTAATGTCACGTTCGTGACAGGCTTCAAAATCAAGTATGTAGTATGATTAGTGGCCATGGATTGATCGCATCAACAAGCAATGAATTCTGTCTGACCAAAAACTAGTAACGAGGCTAGAGACACTAGTAGTACGGCTGCAAAGAATATGGACATTACGAAGCAAGAAGTAATTTAAATGACAATGATTCTGAATGATGAAATTAGCTCAGGTGAAGGCCTAGTCGGCAGTTGTGCTGACCTTTTGAATTGATGTTCAGGCAAATGCACTATATGTTGAAAGGCATTTGGGTCGACATGGACCTGGAGCCTCGTTCAAGACGGGACTGCTCCGAGTCTCCAAAACTTGGAAAGCCCCACATATTCAGACCCACATCACCTGAGATCTGTACAAACGACATCTGCGGTCCCGACATCATCAATGGCGCCTGACCACCTATTTGTCCAAACGGCAACAAAGTGGAAGGCCTGGGCAGGGCAGTCGCGGTATTATGACTCGGCACTAGGCGTGGTTTGCTCAACTCCTCCGCTGTTAAAGGGACGTGGATCGGAAATTCAGGAGCCGAAAGGCCCAGCTTCTCGTGCAATTTTTGACTGCAAATATATGAGCATTGAGCCTGTATTCGCTGTAACGAGAGACTTACAGGCCTCTGTGATGAAGATATAATAGACGCTTCTGGAATGACTCCCAATGTATATTTTGCTGGAGGGCAAATACCATCGCGTTCTTGATCAACTGTTGCTCGTTGGCATATACGTCGGTAGCGAAGTGCAGAGTGTTATTTTCTTTTGATCCGGAGAGTCGACCCTCGACGTACCGATCAATGGCACACCTTATCTAAAGATCATGAAAATTCAATTAACGGATGCACACCAGAACATGCTTTACTCACTCCCACCGCTGACTCTGCGAGCATGTCAAGGGGTGTTGTATTAATCGAGGACCTCATTTCTTCATCATAAAGTGGCGATTTCTTGCTCTCATACCAGTGCTTGATATGAGTACTTTCGACAGCTTGACCTGAGAAGACCAGGACATTGGTAGACGTCTCAGTCTCCTCTATACCATGTAGATAGTATTCGAAAGGCTGATTTGCATCATAGATAGCTACCCTTCGATTGTTCATATAAATCTGGCGTTCCTCCTCAGACCGCTTTGACGGCAGTTCAAGCTTGTACAGGGGCGCAAATTCTTCGCCCGTTTTTGCGAGCTCTCTACGGTCCTTCGTTAGGGCTCGGACTACAGAGTTTATGAGATAGTTATTAGCTATCAATTCTGTAATGCAGATTAGTCTATGATGGGTGGGGTGCGCACGGGGCAGTTGTCAGCACATACCACAACCGAACTTTATACCGGCATGAAAAATGATCTCCCTAACGCGCATCTCCATCTTGACCTTCTCGTCTCTGGTACTGTTCCTGATCCAGCCAGTAGTTGCACCGTCCATAACGAGGCGCATTTTCACCCATTCGATGGCTAGTTGCTGTGTTTTATCATAGTCCTTGATGCTACACTTAGATTGTGGGGCTTCTTGCAAGTCTGTGGTGCAACGAGCACTATCGGCATCATCTATTACACTTGCTGACGCTAGCGATGTAGAAGGCCTTGAGCCAGGCATGCTGCGTGCATATGGGTTATAATGTGATGAACCGAGTTGAGCAGGTATCCCCCGCTGTCTCAGACTAGACTCAGAGGGATCGTCGGGGTCGAACTCAATTGGTGTAAACGTTAATGATTCTGGGGCGTCCATCAAGTAGGCTTGGAAGGGGGAAAGTTGGAAGTTAAATCAGCGATGTTTGAAGTTAAATAGTCAGGAATCAGCAACGTTGATTGTACTACTGCGGTCGGACCAGCCTTCAGTTATCTCACATGTCACAATGTATTTGGATAAACTTACGGTTATTGCAGGCGAGGTCTTGTGCGAGCATCACAGGCACAGGCGGTACTATCCAGGCTGATTCAGAGCCATCGTTGACAAGCGATTATGGTCTTCTGAACGTCATTTTCGGTCAAATACAGATCATGCATCCTAAATGATCAAGATTTTGACTCACCTTGAGGACATCATGTGGTGTGGTGCAAGATTGATATGCGGCCTTCTGGATGCCATTTCCGATTTGTTCTGATAAAGAATTATGTTCAATCGTGCCCGCAAAATGATCAAGATAAGTGTTTGACTCAGCTCCATGCGGTACAATCAGCTAGGAGGAACGAAGGAATAGGAGTCCTTCTATTTTCTGGAAGGAATGGCACGGCTCCTAGACCTAGACTCGTGATAGTGCTTTATGCCCAGTTAGTAATTCAATATGGTCACCTTGGTGCTGCAGGACATAATGATACGTGCATTTCTGGCTAGCGAACTAAGTTTCAATGCTTCCAAAACCCTGACAAGGTCAGCAGACTTTAATACATACAATTACCGGGTGTTCTATTACATCTGCACATTGATCAACATTCGAATCAGTAAACTGTGAAGAAAAAAGCTTCGAAAACCCTGACAAGGTCCGAGTCAGTCATGATACAATATCGACAACTGGGCATTCTATTACATATGTTGAGTCTGCATACTAATAATCGGCTACGTCCGAATCAACAGTCGCAGTGAACTAAAACAGGCCATGAACTCAACTTTGAATGTCCGTAATGAATTGGATGCGAATTCAACTCAACTTGAAGTACTAGTAGTACTATGACTTTCAACGCTTCAGAGTCTGAGAACACAATTCAGGATGTCAAACTTCTTAGTCACGATAAAGCCACTACGTACATTGGAATCAAACTACATATAATGCACATGTGGGCACGGAGATAGGATGACACAAAATAAATTAACAATTTGAGTCATTGGACGGGCAGGCTGAGCTGCCACGAGATGCGGCGATTGCAGCTGATCCTTCATCGGAAGAACTTTCACACCAGGGCCCAGCCGCATCATTAGGATCAAACCTAGAACCTGTGCTCCCTATTTGCGCGACCCCAGCGTCCTGAAGCATATTTCGGATGGAGCCAATTTGCACATCAACTCCACTCAACTGCGTCTGGCACAGCTCGGTTTCGTCGTCAAGAATTGACTTTATCAAATCTAGTTCACGGGAGCGAAGGCGTTGGTATCGCAACCTCGCAGCAATAGCTCGGCGAGTGATTCGTGAGAGCTCGAGCATGCGCTCATTGAGGTATATTGTAGCTGCGGAGGAAGGGGTAGATGTAAAGTTCCACTTTGAAAAAAAAATGAGAACTGAAAATCCGAAAGCAACCGTTTAAATGGACAGACCGTCGTTTGCAAGGTCTTTGACCTCTTCGTGGGCAAATCGCAATCCTCGTCCTGTCTGCCGCCCTGAAATAATGTGTATTGGACAGGGCGTTTACGGGGATCACGAGCGTGACATTTTCCCAAGTTGAAGGCGCGAGCCCACTCAACGCGAAGTCCAGGATTGTCAGCAGACAAAATGGGAGAGTCCATGCTCTTGGCAGGAGAGCCACTGGTGGCAATAGATGTTGGGGGTGTGGATGCTGCATTCGATTGGGGTTTGCTGGGGTGTATGTCTAAGTGGAAGTGAACATATTGTTAAATAAACATACCTAAGATTGGAGCCAGAGGAGTTGGTCAAGGAATTGCTGCTCTTTGATTCAGAAGAGCTACTCATGGCGAATGGCCTGGCGGTTGACCTATAATACAGCGTGAGAGGAGGTTTGAATGTGGACTTGCAGTATACCAGCGTAATCCGTAATTGGCAGACCAAATAGTGTGTGAGAATACCTACACAAATTCGGGTGTCTAAATTTAGACGTGTTAGTCTGATGTTCATATCACATAATACATACGAGCTCTGCCAATGGAACAAGACACTGAGATCAAATGGCATGGTGATCATATTAATTTGATGCTGGGTATGATGAAGGACATGATGTCCGTGCGTGGTATGGTACAGTAATGTGACTAATTTAAACGAGCGCAGCCTGCCGCGGCAGCTTCAAATTTCAAACTCCGCGAGATGGCAAAGAAGCAGCAAGTCACGCACTGCACATGCTCGAAAAATGGACAGCATCTTAATGAGATCGCGCTGGAAATTGTGTTACCTGGAACACCGGAAAAGATTTATGACCTGATAAAGTTTGCGAGTGGGTTTATCAAGGATTTTATGCGGGTGGATCAGACGCTCATGGGTGGGTGGCATCTCGCTCGACTGAATCAGTACTGACGCTCCCTATTCAGATGGGCAGATATCAGATTGGTCTCCCATAGGCGACAACTCGAAGCTCTTGGCACGGAATATGTCGTATATCAAGTCCCTGAACAATAGCGTAGGCCCGAAGCAAAAAAAAAGTGCGAGATCCACGATGAAACCTTGACCTGCGACTTTGATGACCACGTCGTGATGTTGACGACGACAAAGACATGCTTGATGTGGACAAGCACTATTTCCACACGGGTGATCGTTACGCAGGTAGATTGCACTGGAAAAAGTTTCATCAAAGGTCTGCTATTCTTTCCTCCTACAAAATCTTATGCTCATGCTTCGCAATGCGCAAAGGTCTGATCGAAAAATCAGCAATAGACGATCAAAATGCATACCACTCCGACCTCGACAAAGCCATGCGAATGTACATCCAAGAACACCAATACAAATTCATCCCATCAGGCGCTGATCCAACAGCCGTAGCACGCGTCGAGCCTATCAGCCCCGTCATCGAACACAATGATCTCAATATCCTGAGTCGCTCCATGGGCATATCAGACGCAGAAGCCCGTAAAGCGCGTGAACACAAACGTAACAGACGTGGGCTTCAATGGGCGTATGAACCGTTTGACAGACGGTGCCTATGGCATTGTGGGAGGTAGTGATGTGCGGGCCCAGCTCGGCCTGAAAGCCCCGGCTTAGGCCCGGCTTTGGGGGGCTTGGGCTTTGCAAAAGCTCAGGCTGAGCCGTGAGCCCAAGCCAGGCCAAAGCTGCGGCTCGGCTTGGGCTCAACGACGGCTTTCAAGAACAAAATGATCTGAAATTCAATCTAAGCATATGTGTAACGGTGAGATACTAAAAGAACTTCATGAACTGTGTAGGCATGGATGCTGGTATCGTGCATCTGCCCGTGAGCATGTCTTTGCGCACATGGAAGTACTTGATGTGCGCGAGGATGAGCATGCTGTTGTGTTCACCTGTGACCGGGTGCGTGATGTCTATCGATTGGTAGAGCTGTTGAGAGGCGATGTTGTCAGCGAGCGAGCGGGCTAGGCGTGAAATGGAATTACCTCGCATTCCATGCTAAAAGCGCTTTCCTTGACGCGCGAGGCTCTTATTTGCACCTGAACACGTCGTCGTTAGCGGATATATCGTATCGTAAACGTGCACGCGTACCGAGTTTCACAACACGTCTGACCGTGGTTCCAGCTGGTGAAATATGAGTGTAGTTTGCATGAAAACACGGTATACTCACAGATACCGAATGCAGCCCAGTTGACGGCTTGTTTGAGGTCTGCATCGTCAAAGATGATGTTTGGGCTCTTTCCACCGAGCTCAAGGGTGACGTTTTTGAGGTTGCTCTTCGCAGCGGCCTCCAATGCACATGGGAAATTCCATGGGATGATTTGACCCTATCAGACGAACATCAGAGGATGATCTGGGAGCTGATATACGTGTACTTACGACGACACCAATTGGTTCGTGATGAGTATAGGTGAGCTTGTCTTCGGTGGTCTGTTGGATTGTCAGCTAATGAACGAAGAAATATCGAGGCCGATAAGGGACAAAAAGCCGTGGCCTGAGCCGCCGGCTCAGGCTTTTCAACACCTCAAGCCGGGCCTTGGGCCGTGGTCAGGCCCTGACTTGGGCCCGGCTCGGCTCGGCCTAATCAGGCTTGGCTTTGGCCGGCCCACGGCCTGAAGCCGGGCCGTGCACATCACTAGTGGGAGGAGATAGGTGTTGGGAGGGCGAGGGGTGGTACCGGGTCCTCTGGTATTTTGGAGTTGGCGCTGGTAGGTCGGTGTATTCGGGTCATGTAAATGTTGATTTGGGGTCAGAGGTGGATGCTATCCATACTACAACGTTGAATGCTGTTGAGGAGCGGGTAAGACTCTCACTACTACTAGTATGGGAGAGTCTGGATGCGACTTATTGGAGGACAATACTCATATGCACATACTACACTTATTATTATCTTAGGCACTGGTTAAATTTTGAATTGGTTTTTTTCAGGACGGCACGGGGCAGGTGAAATGCGGCACTAGTGAGCCTAGAGGTATCATGTAAGATCTGCAAAATTAATGCAAATGTGACACATGACGACTCAGCCACAGCGCTGCCTTCCTCGTTGGGCTCGATTGCCCATCGTGACCTGGACCACTGACGACCAGCACAAACGCTCCGTTCATGATTATAGTACTACTAGGTATGTGCCATCTCTGTCTGGCCCTTGAGACTCACCAAATCCCTGCACCAGGTACCGATGTGCTCCGTTCATGGTTACAGGTGCGCTGGAGAAGCTCATGAGCACTATGGGTTGGAGACAATACAACTACTACTAGATTATGTAGTGCATACTTGTGTGTAGCCTTGCGGTGGACGGTATGTTTGTGTTGCTACTTGCACCAAACACTACTACATGATGATCAGAGCCATTCAGTTCTGAAGCTGTCACGGTGAATGTCTCTAATGTTACTGCTTTGACGGATACAGAAGGCAAACCCCACTTCAAGCACATCGCCGAGGGTGCAAATTTATTCTATTCGCACGGTGACACTGGCACCTCGACAATCGAGAGAACAGTACAAATAGTACAACGAACTTCCCGTGCGTCCGAGTCGACAGACCCTTCCGAATCGTGGCTAGTACTACTAATACTACTACTGCTAGACCTCTCGGGCGATGATTCTTTCACAGCCGCGGCACACCGTGACCGTGACTTCCATCAAACAGATAGCCCACCTGCCACAGCTAGTGAAAGTGCCATCGCAGCTTCTGAAATGCATGGTCATCAGATGGGTCAAACTATAAAGCAATGTCGCCCGCACCCGTCCCAGAGTCATCCGAGTCGCTGTGATTCTGTTCAGACGTCACGAGCCGGATTAGTCACTAACTATGCCTGTCCATTTTTAGTAAGTCGCAAAGAAGCATACTTTGTATGATCAGCGCCGTGCTGAATTCAATATTTAACTTAACAGTCTTTAGGGCAGTCACGGATCTGGGCGGCCCACCAGCATATAAAATGGGTGCTGGTCGAGTTCTTTTCCCTTGTCTTCACCTCTCATTCCTCATCTACTAATCGAACTTCTTCCTTCCGAGTGTCTTATAGATGTCATCCACAGAGGGCAGCACAGCGCTCATCACTGGCAACCTGAGCCGCGGCATGTCTGAGTCGTTCATCGACGACCAACGGAGCGACCATGGTCTTCTGCAACCTCCGCAACCAGAACCATCTCCGAGTCAAGCATCGTTCGCGCAAGCTCGGCAGAGACGCAAAATTGCCGAACTGGAAGAGAAGATAGAGACTCTTGAGTCGGGGCGAGCTGTGAAAGAAAGGTATGACTCGGACTCCAACGCCGTTGCATACGTTGGATCGGGTTTGCTCACCATGCTTCAGGCAAACGAATTACTACCTGGCCCAAGGAAGAGGCTTCAGGCGCATCATCGCTCTATTCGATGGCATCGAGGATCTCGTGTCAGAAAATGACAGAAGATATGATGTCAATGGCGATGAAGACGCAGAGGCTGCTACTGTTGAGTCAGTTTTTTCTCCTGACTAGTTTCTCGTAGCCAGTGTCCCCGTTGACTTCTTTATGTAGCCAAGATAGACTGCATGTAGGGTATCACGTCCTAACGAGAACCTTTTCGTGGTTCATAAAGAGTGCCTCGGACATGGAGCACGATGACTTCACGCGCATGTTAAAATTTGTACGTTTTATCTCTACCAACGATGGACTTTATCACGTTAAGTTTTTATTTAGCTCAGGGAAGGAGCTGATGGCACTCGAGGAGATGATACCTCGAAGCTTAAGACTCTTATTTCAGACTGGGTTAATCGCGAACTGAAACCAGACCCTCTAGTTGACTCCGACGATAAGCATTGTCGTGGATTCGTCAATGATGCGTGCGGTATGTTACTGTGCCCGGCCGAGCTTGACTGGAACAACCCAGCGTAAGTACTAATGCACCCTGGATCCTGAACAATGCTAATGGTTCACAAGCGTAAGGGCAGGTATTCGAGATCGATTGGAGGGCCATATTGTTACGGAACTCTCCTTTCCGACCTTCTTATATGAAAAGTACAGTGCAAATTCGGACGATCTGGAAGACGGGCTTTTCAAGGGAAAAATTCTTTTGCAGGTTTGTCATATCCGAGTTTCCCAGAAATCATCTTACCTCATTTTCAGGGCTATAAAGCTGTCTTCACCTCACCATCTTCAGCAAAGGATATTGAGGGTGACGGCGATGGCGCAGATATCGTCGAGAACAACAGGCGAGCGAAGAAAGCACTTTCGGGAGTCAAGGTCAAGAAACATGTGGCACAAATTATCAAGATGGATAGAGTTACTCCGCGATCTATTGCATACATTGCCTGTCAGGTAAGCAATGATAATGGTTTTGTTTTGATCAATGGTAAATGATGATCGCACAGGTGCGATTCGCACTTTCATCCATTACCTCGTGGCAGTCGGTCGACGGTGACTTCGACTATATACAATTCTGGAAAATCATAGTGGATTTCTTCGAAAGGCCTCCTGGCCGAGAAGCACAACGCAGAGTCAACAGACTCCTGGAGTGGTGGACCAGGTGCGCTATCTGTCCTTTCAACAAGTCCCGATTAGTTGAATTGTTTCATAGGAAGGTTTTTGGTAGGAGTCGCCGCGAGGATCTCAGCGATGCGACAAAGGCCAACATGTCTGTGAATGCTCTCACGAGGCAGAGGGCACACCGCGACGATACTTCTTTCGATTCAAACTAGGGACCTATTATTATCTTAGCATCGTGTTTTTATTCAAATTTCTTGCTTGTCGCAGTTTAATAATGTCATGGATGATAATGTTACTTGCCATCATGTGATGCCTGATATGAAACACCCATTTGCAAGGTTGAAATTGGGCTGAAAGCATCTCGTAAACTCACATGGCTAAATCGAGCGAATACTAGTACAGCATGCTCACGGTAGTCTCTGCATCTTCTGGTCTTCGTGACAATCATTGTGCATAATGTAGTATACTTACAAGATGAAAGCAAATGAAAAGACCATCAAATTCAAAGTCTTAATTCCTTGCAGTTCTTAAGGGGTTTATATAAATACTTCACTTTGCCTGACGATCACCGTATCGTTGAATTGATAAGCTAAGTCATCGGGATTCTAAATGCTCACATAGATAACACCCCCGCAGGGCACAAAGACACCCAATTGTAAGGATGGATGGGCTAAGTATACACAAAGACTATTGAATGGTAAGCGAAGTACCGCGGTGGGGTACAACTGTTACGGACTAGGATAGTTCGAGCTCTCCCTAGGCGGATTGCCTAATCTGATAGCGGGCTCGCTACTGGAGAGACGGGGATCTTCTCTCGAATGAGAGGTTCGGTGGTTCCACTTAAGGTAGCGTCGGCTTTCCTTAAGGTGCGGCTTAGACTGAAGGACTGGGACTGTCTTTCAGAGGAAGTTCTGGATAAAACCTAGTAGAATCAAGTAGGGAATATACATGATTCTGTCTGCTCTATATACTGTCGTCCGTGTGCACAGACCAATACTACGTTCGGTAGGTAGGTATAAGTGTGTCTATACAAGGGCATCTTATCTGATGCCATGCGGGCGATTATCTATGCATGAGGCTTACCATGCCTCTCTTATCTGTCCTCAAGGCGTAGCATGTCTTGGAGTCTAACTGCGCATGCTAAGGCATGCGGCTTCTCTTCTGACCATGAGGCAGAGCTTCCTCATGATCCGGGTCGAGGACCATCTAGGTCCGATCAGATGTAGCCTAGGCTGGTCTAGGTCATCTAACGGCATCCAGGCCGTTCTAGGTGTCTCTACGAGTCTCCGTTGAGTCGGTAAGTCTTCCAGGACGGTGCATATGGTGGGATAGGGGCTAAGGTCATGGTGACCTCCGTAGGAGGGGTTCTCGGTTACATGTTATTGTAACATTACCTCTGTTTCTGGGTCGAAGTCACCGACTACGACAAAACTCTCTCCCGGGTTTCTTCGTCTGGAGTGGCAGTAGTACTGCGGGTATCAATGGGAGTGGGCGAGCGCGGCGTGGGGTTGTTCACGATTAGTTCTTCTAGCGCAACGTGGTTCTTCTCCCAATCTACGAGGAGTTCGTAGTATTCCTCGTCGTCTCGAAACTCTGGGAGGCATGATACTTCTCCGAGTTGAGGGCAGTGGACCGACAGGTGGTCGGGTCCGATTTCGCTGCAGATGCAGCACACAGCGTCTGGACACTTTCTAAAGTTGTGTCCATATCCTCCGCATCGTCGACAGATGCAGGTGCGGTCTACTCGCGCTTTCTTGGTAGGGCGCGGAGGTCTTTCTAATCTTTCTCCAACGCGTTTCTTCGCGACGTCTACGAGGTCGCTGAAGTTGTCGGGGAGGAGGTGTAGCGCCATTGCGCGGATTTTCTTCTGGTCTTCCAGCACTAGGAGGGCTCTAGTTGCTGGGTCTAAGTCTTCACGGTTCACCGATATTTCTAGGTGTCGCGTGGTGCGGATGATGTCTATCACCAGTGATGCTGATGCGGCGATGTTGACATCTGACTGTCCTAGGATGTCGCTGATCTCTAGGAAGTGGTCTGGGGAGAGAATGGCCGTTTCGGCGACGGCGCCTTTCTCGAGGTGGTCGAGGATTTTGGAAAATCCCGAGTTCTTTAGGGGAACGATGGCAGAGGCTTCGATGTTGTTAGGCATGATTGTTGCGAGAGTTTCTGGCGAGTATATCGTTGTAGAGGGTTTATATGGACCTCCAAGAGTGCTCTAAGCTCCGCTTGATCAGTTAACTTATCTTTTTAATCTCTTTATCAAAGTTCA